GGAAACCAATTCGGTTCTACCCCCTGCTTGTCAATTCGGTTCTACCCCCTGTAATCATAGCGCCGTTTTATTTTGTATGGGGTTTCAATTCGGGTCTAAGAAGAACCGAATTACAGTTTGTTGTGAGGCTAAGTTAAGGCTAATCTATAGGTTTTAGTTAGCTTTCTTCTTAACTTATTTTATTATAAGCTAGATTCTTTATACCCTTTTCTTTAAGACTTTAGGGTCTAGAATAGGCTTATTCTCTAATAATTTATCTAAGCTAGATATTAGGGTGATAGAGGCATCCTCTCTTATCCTTTATATTTATTTCTATATTAAGCTATATTAAAGATATACTCTCTTCTTCTTAATTTCTTTCTATTCTTCTTATTATTAATATTATAACTTTAGTTTTTTTAAGTAGTAGATCTTATATATCACTATAATATAACTACTTATTAGTTATTTTAGGATATAATTAATAGGGTAGTCACCTCTTATTTATAGAGTGGTATACCCTTATACTACATCCTAATAGTAGATCTTCTAATACTTTAAATCTTTCTTTAGGTAAGTATATAGTAGATATTCCTTCTATTACTAAGATATAAATTAATACTTTAACTTCTTTACTAGGTACTTTAAATACTTATTAAATATATAGATAGCCTATAAGATCTTCTAGTACTACTTATTTTAGTAGTATAGTTATAGATCTTCTTATTCTTATATAGTTTTCTTTCTCTTCTTTATTACTACTTATTAGAGGGTTATTCTAAGAAGTATAATAACTATCTATCTTTCTATTAGTACTAGTTACTATAGAATAGTTATAAGTTACTTATTTCTCTCTTCTTTACTCTTTAGGATTAGGGTAAATAGGTTTTCTTCTCTTTCTTCTTATACTTTAAGTTATACTTATATTTACTTACTATTATCTTTTATAGTTATTAAATAGTTATTATAACTTAAAAGAAATTTATTCCTACTATTTAAGTTATCTTCTAAGCCTACTTATACTATTCTTAGTAGAGTAGGCTTTTATTTCTAAGTATTAAGTATATATTATTCTCTAATTATAATAATCCTTAGCTATCTAGTAGCCTTTAGAAATCATTCTAAGGTTTCTTTATCTTATAGATATACTAGATAGAAATTATTATAGTATATAGTTTAATACTTATTATTATATATATTTCTTTAAGCTATATTTACTTATTATATTAGCTTAGATATTCTTTCTTACTTTCTCTATTAGTAGTTATAGGTAAAGTGCCTCTTCTTACTATAGTTATAATATATCTTATTATTATTATATTTTATAGTATTAAGTTCTATTAGTTTAATATATTAGATACTCTCTTAAGTAGTAGTTTCTTTTTATTAATAGATCTTTCTTTCTTAGTTTAGAATATATACTATCCTTTATAATAATTATTAGTTTTTCTTTTTACTATATCTTTTCTAAAGCTAGTTATTAATTCTTATAATAAGTACTATATAACTTATAAAGTCTCTAGATCTTTCTATCTTAATAAGTTTATCTTTTATAATATCCTTTAATCTATTATAGAAGGTTGCTATAAGTAGTTCTACATCTTATTCTAGATAATTTATTACTTATTAGAACTTTATTAAATATTAGATTACTAACCTAATTTATTATAGGTTTTAAAGCTATCTTTCTATAGCTTATTCTTTATTAAGATCTTTAAATACTTCTTTTAGTCTAGCTATAAACTTCTTAAACCCTCTATTAAATATAGTAATAGTTTTTATATTATAATTCTTACTATCATACTCTAGATAGTCTTATAGGATTAGTTTAAACTAGATAAGTACTTCTCCTTCTAGATAATTTACTATAAAGAGCACTTTATCTACTATAAGCTTATAGTCATCTAAATAGCATTTAAGATAGGCCTTTATTTAGATAAGTTATTCTTAGAGGTTCTCTTTCTTTCTATTAAACTTCTTAGGTTTTTTATACTTTAATTCTTCTTTTATAGCTTAGCTTTCTTAAAAGCTATTAACTTAATTTCTAAGTTAAAGAATTTTATTATATATCTATTCTATAGTAAAAGTAGGCTTAGTATTAATAGAAGATGCTTTTCCTAATATAATTTCTATAAATATTATTTAAAGTACAGTCTACTTACTAAATAAAAGTATTTAATATATAATAATCCTTAATCCTAAGAGGTATAATTACTTTATAGAACTAGAGGTATATAGATTTATATAAGTAGTAGGTAATAGATACTACTAAGCACTAGTAATTAATTATAGCTAAGATAGCTTTACTTAAAGGTACTTTATTAAATAAGATACTTTAAATACTAGAGAGCTATCTAGATAGATTTCTAAGTATAGACATTATCTATATATATAGACTGTTAGATCATTCTAGATCACTAAGCTAGAGTGATAGATTACTTATAATCAGTGAGGATTACTAATTGAGTGTGATCGCTTATCTTATCTATTCTGCTGGTCCTGACCGCCTGGGTCACCTGCTCTGTGGTACCATGCCTTGATTTCATGACATCTAGGGTTCTAGAAGTGGTTATATTATAAAGATTGAACTCTAATAGGAGTTTAAGATATCACAGCTTATTTCAATTGAATATGCTTCTTCACAAAAAGAGTGTTGTTATTTCTTCTCTACTGAATCTCATCGCTAAACTAATAAGTGTGGTATTTTAACAAATTTTTTAAGCCAACGAGCCTGTATATATGCCTGGAAGGCCGATCTAAGTAAACCCATTCTAATAGTAAGTCCTTATAATAGATTACTATAATCTAGAGTAATCTAATAGCCTATATATTTCTGCCTATCTTATTATACTGATCACTCTTAGAGCAGTACCCTATAGTAACAGCAGTTAATTCTATAATAAGGCTATTAGATCACTTTAAATTATAGTAATCTATTATAAGAACTTATTATAGATTATAATAATCTATTATAATCTATTGTCTATATATATAGATATATATCTATTTTTAGATACCTACTCTAGATAGCTCTCTAGTATTTAAAGTATCTTATTTAATAAAGTATCTTTAAGTAAAGCTATCTTAGTTATAATCAACTATTAATACTTAGTAGTACCTATCACCTACTACTTATATAAACCTACACACCTTCAGCCCTATAAAGTAGTCATACCTCTTAGGATTAAGAATTATTATATAAGCTTAGTTAGAAGATTAGTATTAATAGATTTAATAATAATAATTTTATAATAGGAAAAGTAATAGTAATTAATAGTAATAATAATAAATCTTAAAATAGTTAAGCTTAGTTATAAGATTAGTACTAATAAATATAATAATAATAATTTTAATAATAGTATTTATAATAATAAATCTAGGCTATCTTATTTTAAAGATTAATTTAAAAGCTATAATTAGATTAAAGTTAGATAGTTATACTAGCAGTTTAGAAGCTAGGCCACACTAAAATAAAGAAATACTAGGGTATAGTAGTACTAAGTAGAATCTAGTATTAGTATGATGCTAGCTATTAGCACAACAGATTTTACACATATCAAACACTGGCATCATTTTGGTGGGCATGTGCCACTAAAGTGCAAGTCCTGACCCTTAGGGTATAGTAGCACTAAGCAGAATCTAGTACTAATGCAGTGCCAGCTGCTAGCACAATAGATTTTACATACACTAAACACTAGCACCATTTTGGTAGGTATATGCCACCAAAGTACAAGTCCTGACCCTTAGGTTTTAGATGGTTTAGATAGAAGCCAAGAGCATATAGTAGTGTCTAGTTGGCTAGATCTAAAGTTAGAGGCTGCTGGTATGGTGCTTGAGCAGACATCTTGCCAAACCATACTCTAGATGAGATAAGAGAGAAGAGAGAAGAAAGGCTTAGTATTATGTGTTTGCTCTGCTCCCTATTGCTTTTCCTACGCCTTGCGGTAACCACTGTTAGGTTCGTGACATCTCCCCCATCCTATCGGATTGAACACGCTCTTTGCCAGAGGAAAGAAGTGTTGATCTTTCTGGTGGCATAGAATCAATTGTTTCACCCGTCGAGAGGACCCGCAATCCTTGTTTGAAAAGCCCCTGTGGCGGTCGCTCCCAGTTCAAGACCTTTCCACCCTTACTCAATACATCCTGCCGCCTCTCATACCACCAATCATCTACTATTAACGAGCGTGGCTGCCCATGCTCATCCATAGTGAAGATTGTCGTTGGCGGGAGCTTAGGTCTGACAGGCCAGTCGATAGCGTCTGGCAATACCCCGGTTCGCGTTTTGGAGAGATACACTCCTCTTTGTTCTCGCCATTCTTTTAACACAAGCCGATAAGAAGCAATCGGGTGGTCTAGCTGAACTTCGGGGTGCTTGATCCACTCCGACTCAATGTCATCAAGGTTCTGTTCTTCATAGGGCTTTTCGCGTAAACTCCTGTCACGAGTGATGATCTCGTATAGAGTAAAAATGACGCCCTTGACGTCATTACGCTCCTCCTCGTAGCTCTCCCCTTCATTAGGCGAAGGACAGTTAATGCGGGCCGCATAGTTGAAATCAAATATCATGATTGAATCTGTTGATTCATCAACAAGGAGATTTCGTGGGGCGATATCTTGATGGGCGATGCCGTAACGGAGGTTCAAGTCGTCCACAACACTAATGAGGTCCTGTAACCATTGCAGCTTGAATTCGCGCGGTGGACTATCCTCCAAATTGCCGCTAGGTATGTAGAGGTTTGTGAATCCGACGACACGGTCCTCCAGTTCGTCGATGACAATGCGGTCAAACGGAACGATGTTTGGATGTCGCGGCAGACGCATCCAGAGATTCATTTCCTTCCACGAACTTTGTGCGTACTGGTACAGGAAATAGTATTTGAAGACGACCTGCTAGGTAATATTAGCTGATTTGTGTCCCGTCCCATTTGCTTGAGAAGGTTGGCCAGCTTCACCTTCTTGGCTGACTCTCTGTCAGATAAAGGATAAGATACAAGATCGACATCGGGTCCGAGACGGTCAAGTTCTTCTAGCTCGTCTCGGTGCACTGTTTGGATGCCTTCCGGAACCACAATATCGTGAAGGAAGGGATAATGGACGCAATATGTTGGGTCATTGTCGGCATCACTATACGCACAGATAATTTCGCCGGTGTGCGATACATAAATCCTGTGGATGCCAAGAGGGAGAGAGCTGGCATGACGTCGGAAGTGTCTGATAGCGAGGCTGTCATCATCCTGCTCCCCGTCCATCGTCACAGAGACAACCCGTCTCTGGTCCCAATCGACGACATGCCAAGTGCTGGGCCCGCCGATTGGGATATCGCCACTCAAGCAAAAGTATTTGAAGTCGTCAGAAATCATAGCACCGCAGTTGATTACGATGGTTGAGGCGGTCAAAGTGGGATCGCAACATAGGAGCAGCTCTGAAGATAACTGAGGTGAATTGTAGATTTGGCGAGACTTTTTGTGTGGCTGTGCGTTGGATACCCCGCATGCAGCTACGCGCGCGCGCCAAGTGGCTAAGCCAACTTCCCACGGTAGTGGCGCCAAACCAGGCAGCCCTGCCTAAAGAGTGGCCAACAGCACCAAGCCCAACCAAGACGGTAGTCGTATATTGACCCTTCCTGAAATAGATCTTAATCTATTGGTTGATATTTGTTATACATGAAACTATAAGCGCTGGATGGGTTGACGCCTCTGCCGTTGGCCCGAGCCAAGAATTCATGCACGGGCTCACAATGACCAGACGGTTGGATGAGAGGTTTCAGATGTTGGTTTGAAAGATCTGTTTGAGCACTAATCTAGGGGCAGGACGTTGCGAGCTTTGCGGCACTTGCTTCACTCCTATTTGCGTCCCAGTCCTTCTTCACCAACCAAGTGCCACCACTGTCGAACCAGCTTCAGACTAACCAACACAGCCGGCCCTGAGAGCTGACCAACGTCGTTCACAGAGCCAACCGAGAAAAGCCTTGTAATAGAGCTACTTTGTCGACCAACATAATTTCGGACCCGAGCAGTATTTAATAGCGACCATCTGTCATATCATTCTGGTTGTCAGCGGTGGACAAAGAAACACACGTCATTAGATATCATTGATGAAATAAACTTCTAAGCTACAACATTTGCCATGGTCATTTCGTCCATCAATTCATTGATATTGATCTAGCAAGAAACAGTCTGTTCACATCAAGACAGTCTCAACTGTGGTAAGTATCAAGTCGCTGTCATTCACACTCAGGACTAACAATCACATCTGTATGAGCAGACTCTTGTAACCAAATCACGTTCCACATACCATGGCTAATCAAACGCAATGGATTCAATCCAATCAGATTGATTGGGCTGCGAGGCGCTCCGCGGTATACAGAACGCAGACTTGTTACTGTGGATGGTATTTCTTCTATGGGATTTGTGGGCATTGCACGCATCGTCATTCACTGAAGTGTGGTTCTAAACGCACAGCTTCGGGGCAGAGTGGCTTCTGTAAGATCGCCGCACCGCAGTACAATGTTGCCTTGTATAGGGTTAATGGTTATTGCAACCAGTGTCTTGGAGCTCAATGATCTCAGTCATCTGTAGAATCAGAGATGTATATATTAATTCCACTTAGGCTGTCAGTTCGAGATGCTCCTTTTACGTTGGGCCCGAAGCACAGCTAACCCCTTCAAGGCAATCAAGTTCTAAGTGCCCTGTGTGTCTCCTTATTTCCCCTTGTGGGGGGTGTGTGTCGCGGATCTGACACAAGTGGGGTTAGTACAGACCATTGGGCTCTACAAAGCATAAGACTTTACATCTCATTAGACTCTTGTAGCATACATCGAGTGGGGAAGGCGTTGAACCATAAGGAACCAGCACACAGCTGGTTAGTTGTCATAGCTGGTTAGGGGTGTCAGTAACTATTGCAGACTCTAAGACCTTTTGAGAACCAACGACAGTAGCTAACTGCAGAGTCTAAGGCATACTGGGGCCAACACAGATCAGTTCGGTTTTCAACCTCTTGCCGACTGCGGGGTGCAAGACATAGTGAGGAGCCAGGCAGATCACATCATGCCGATCACCGGCTGATTGTGAGGTTCTCATAGCGATACTTATATCTATCCCTGACCGGTATCGCTTCCTCACGTCCAGAAAATAACACAGTCGCGGAGAATCCGTCGGCGTTTTGCGAACAGGAGCATAGGCCACAAAATATGGATGTAAACTCGGATCATCTCGGTCAGGAACTTTGTTCCGAACCCCAGGCTGGCGAGGGGGAGAAACCTAGGGATAGCCATCCGCTAAGGGGCCCATCTGCGCAAGTGTAAGTCACCGAGAAGTACCCCTACTGGGCGCACTAATAGCGAGGGGTCTCAAGCTGACGTTATCACCAAATCAGCCCAAGGCCACCGAAGCTGAGTGTGGTTCTGGAGTGTGACAAGGCCGCGATTCCACAAGATGGACGCCTTTCTATAAAGCTTTGTGTTATCTACGACGCCAGCCCGGACAGTTCGCCGATTATCATCCATACCTCGGATTTTATTTGTGGGTGCCAACTCTACTACCGACCATACGGGACCAATAAATGGGAGCCCTGGACGAGCGACTCGGAGGGATGTATGTTCGACCTGGGCGATCAAATAGTCAATGTGAGCCAGCACAAAGAGCTTTCAAGTCTCCAGCCAGGAGACACGTGGAGAATGGCATACGGTATGTGCAGCGACGGAGGATGGTTGCCTGAGGACTTAGCACCCGGTGATAAACTTCAATACAAGTTTACCGGCATAGAGGTGGGCTGGTGGGACTGGGGAAGCAAGGAAGATCATGCCAAGACCATGATCAAGATTCATTGTTTTGGGAAGATAATCGAGCCAGAAGATAACGGCGGGCGCCCGAAGCTTGTTGTGCCTGCGTCAAATGTTATCGAGTTTCATATTATCTAATAAGTAGACAGGAGACTATTCGACTCTTGCCCATCACACCAGCATCAATACAAGACAAGAAAGCAATCCAAGCCAGCCTCGCTCTTTGCGAGTGAATCTCATTGACCGCCCAGTAGAGGCTCCTGCTCGCCTGGACTAAGGGTTTCGTCCACTCTTCGTGCCCTCCTGGATCCCTTAGTGGCCAGGCACAGCAGCACGAACTGCACGAAGGCAAACACGATATTGTCCACGGCCGCCCACCCCATGAATCGATACCAGTCAAGTAAAAAGTGGAGGTTAATCCGGTCAAATTCTATTGAGACGGGAAAATAGATCCGGACCAACCAGGACAGGGCGACGGCGAAGAAAATAAAGGCCTGAACAGCGAGGCCCACGATGCTTAGAGCACCCCCGTGGGCCATGTGCCGCATCTGGGCGAACAGCGCACAAAGGCCCAGAATTGTGACGATGGGGCCGATCATCATGATGTGCAAGCCGCCGAAGATCCAGCCGAAATCACCCCGATCCATCGCTAGATCGCCGGTAATGATCTGCAAGATGACCGGCACCAAGGAGACGAGGAGGAACAGAGCATAGAGTGCAATCACACCAGCTCTGCTCCTAGATAAATAATAGAGGCACGCGGCAAACCTTGAATAGGTGCGCTGTCAGAGAAAACGGGCCCAAGACGAAAGAAAATGAAAACGCACAGCAGCAAAAACATTAGCCAGACAACAGCGAATTGGACCAGATTGAGCCAGTCGCCCAGGCTGCGTGGCTCGTCGATGAAATTGCCGGGTTGGTTAGATTCGACAATGTAGATGAGCCCGAACATGAACTGTTCGGTTGCTGACACGAGATTGAAGAGAGCATAGTAGTGCGAGACGCCTGTACTGTCTTTGCTTGTGAAGATGCGTTGAAGCTGCGGTGTGAAGGACAGAACGCTTAAGATAGAGAGAACACTAGTCGCACGCAGACGAGACTGGGTGATTAGTCAACGGCATAAACAAACACTAAACTGGGCATTACTTACATCCTGACCCAGTAGGGCAACCAGTTTCCAAACATGATGGCCAGCAAGCCTTATGTAGTGCACGGTGAGGAGGAATCACCTTAGGTAGGAGAGTAAGTTGCTTAGAAAGTGCCACCATCTGTGTATTTATATCACACCACCTGAGAAGAGCCCGTGCTCTAGGTTAGTGGATCCCACCCTGTACCCCCAACCCATGCCAAGAGCAGCTGGTGCTGGGAAGGTAGTTACTGGGCTGGAGTTCTTGACCACGCTGCTTCCTGGCGCCAGTAACGTAAGGCAATCAATCCCCGGGCACGTCAGCTCAATAGGTGAACACAACGCATAGGGCAAAAGTGAATGAATCACCATCTTCTTCATATTCACTTAATTCTGTCATCAATTCAAGAATCGAACGGCTATTACGCCCTACAGACAACGAAGTGCGCCTTGTCTGAAGGGTAAACCCCATTTGCGCTCGTCATCTGTGCCTCTTCACATCCGTTTATCATGTGGTCGGGTTTTATCGCCAGGTACCCGGTAGTGAGACTGGTAGGAACCCACAGCTGCCAACACCTGGCGACAGCGGATAGAACCTGTGTGGGTTGTCGGAAGGTGGAGTCGAATCGTTCCGGGAGGGAGGGGACGTATGCCCACTGACGCTGCCAGCCCAGTTCATCCAACACGGAATGGTCACCAATCTGCATTCTAAGCCCCTAAGGAATGGCGAGTTACATCTGGTCTCCTTCCCTCTTGCTGATTTTTGCGTGCGTATGTCCCTCCTCATCCACACGTCTAGACGGCCCGGGTGATATGTGCTGACTTGAAAGTGGGTTGACACATACTGGCTGGGCATCACTTCCCTGTCTTTGATACCTACAATCTGTCCAAGGTCGTAGCACCGGCTGATGTCGAAACACATCAAAGACATCTCCACACCATAGTAGCTTGGCACTTACAGATGCCTGATGAAGTCAAAATACAATTCATTCACGGTCATGAGTAGCATATTACACTGACATGACCGAAGAAATCCGAGAATAGTCGGCATTCCAGACTGACCTATCCATACAGGGGCTAATATCATCTTCGGTCGATGCCATCCAAGTGCAATTTCACATCGCGGGCTGCTTTTCTTCCCATCTCTAGGGCTCCGTCAATATATCCAACCCAACCACTTGCCCAGTCCGAATTTACCAGTTGCAATCCTTCTGAAACTTTTGTGTTCCGCATGATCTCGCCGAGCCCATTGGATAGCTGCTTGGGGCCGTAGGATCCCCAGGCGCCTTTGGAAAACTCATCGCGCGCCCAGTCATGCCATACCAGATGGGTGGTCTCCATATGGACCGAGTTAGGGGTGACGTCATTGGTCACTGCCTCAATATATGCCTTGGGGTTATCTTTGATATGATGCTTTGCAATGAGCTTGTCGGATACGGCAAATGAAACAAGGTGAGTTCCTCCTTGCGCTGACGGGGATTCCGTAAAAGCGGCACACACGGAATGGTGGCCGTCGCTGACGCCGAACCAAGGGTCAACCGGCGAAGACGAATGAAGGTGGACTTTGCCACCAAAGTTCGCGTGCTTGGCAGTGACGAATGCGGAAGGCAAGGGAGGGGAGAACTCAACGTCAGGTAGACAGTGAAGGGGAATCGTGCAGATCACCTCTTTGCCGGAGAAAGATCTGCCATCTTTGCTCGTTACGACCATGCCTTCCCGCGTGCTGGAAATGGATTTGACAATACAGTTGAACTGCGAGTCGCCCGTGAACTCAGAGTATATCGCAGACGCAAGCCGGCTGGTACCATCTTTTAATTTGTACTTGCCACAGATCTCCATGAAAATGTTGAATTCGTATCCCGAAAGAGAGTAGAGTCGCAGAAGGTTTAGAAACGACGACTGTGCTGGAGCAGAACATGTGTTCATAGACAGCCATGAGAGGACAAAGTCTCGATCTGCTTGGCTGATGTCGAGCTGGTCAACGCGTTCCTGAAGGCTGATATCCCAGGCTCCCCACACCTCTCGATTCTCCAAGGGCAGCCAAGGCTGGGGGAACACCGTCTCGCCACCGTCACCATCAATATCCATAAGTTTATGTATGAGCGGCAGCAGGCGTTCGTCGGTCTTCTCTGGCCTTTCCCTAATGGTGCCATCTTTGGCGTCGTTCAGGTACGACACGTCTGCTTCCTTGGACATGCACGTGCTCATCTTGACATTGTCGACGAGGCCATAACGCGTAACCTCGGCCCAGACGTGTGGTTGTAGCCAATGGATCCACGTTCCCCCCATCTCATAGTTGTGTCCATCAACGTGGGTAGTGTACGTGCGCCCACCGATGCGATCGCGTGCTTCTAACAGTAGCACCCGCTTGCCAGCGATCGATAAGTCTCGGGCGGCAGCCAGGCCCGTGAAGCCACACCCGATGATAATCACATCGTAGGAGGCTTCTGTATGAGCACTGGATGATTTCACTGCTTCGGTTTGACAGCCAGTGGTGACCTGATCTCTTGCGACATCGTAACGGTACCCGTCTTTGGTGGTAGAGAGGTGCGACGGCGATGACATAGCTGGGACTGTTTAGATACGGTGTCTACAAATAAGTTGTACTGGGAGTAACTTCGATAATTCGCAAAAGGTGCTCGATCTTTTTATGTCAGAGAGCTGCTCCCGAGTTTAGTCCGAGTCCTGCTGCCGCTCATCGTTCCTGAATTCCGGCTAGCGGCGGGGGAGACACGCCAAGGTATTCCGATATCTATCGTGCTGATGCACTGTACATTTCCGGAACTCACCCATTCCGTTGAATCGGTCTGTAACCCACTCTACTGCCGTAATCCTGGTCTATCTATCGTGCTGATGCACTGTACATTTCCGGAACTCACCCATTCCGTTGAATCGGTCTGTAACCCACTCTACTGCCGTAATCCTGGTCAGGTGCCATCCTTCAGCAGGTTCGGGACCTGCCGGGCGACGCTGAAAGCCAAACACGGCGTCATCTCTGCCACCGCGCTCGCATTGACACCGGGCGTGTTGCAGACTTTGACACCTCGACGGTCACATCGTCAACGTTGTCGAGTCCTGCCCCCTGTTTACCAATGACCTGGAGCTGCGGAGCCGCTTCGAGAGCGGTATCGGTGATGTAATAGTCCTTGATGAGGATGGCAGTGGCGTTGGATCGCCAGTTCTCGCCTTCGGGGTCCCATATAGGACGCAGCCGAATAGGGACTGAGCATATTTAATTGCCTCTGTATGGAAGTCGTTTAGTATATAGAGCTTTCTGCGCTGGGTCGGGGCAGAGCTGTCTCGGTCGCCGTGTTGGCCAGAGAGATATGGGGCCATATCAGTGGCTTTCCTGCTGAAGGGTTGTTAGTGCGAGGGCGTTGGCCAAAAGCTGCCAGGGAGTCTCGGTTATGGGAAAGGAGTCGTGCATTTTAACACCAGGGCACCCCGTCAAGGCCGTGATACCGCATGCAGCTCATCGATAGAGCGAGGCAATAGATTCGATTCTGCCGATGGACATGTAGGTCGGTCAAGAGTTTGGATCCGTTGGGACATGCAGTCAGTGGGGCATCGTCGGACGTTGGGCGAAGCACCGAAACCATGAACAACCCTTTATGGGTTCCCTTTTCGGGTCAGTGGCCGGTGTTGTTGTGTTTGCTACAGACCTGACGGATTAAAATTTAACCATTATTAGGCATCTTCCCCATTCGCGGAATGAATAGAATAGCTCTTCAATTAGCAGCACACCAAGTTGATAGTTTTGAATGTTAACCATCAAAATGATCCCTACAATCCCTACGAACGCGTACGCAAAGTAAGTCCAGATAACTCACTGCTTACTCGGTAGACAATCTTGAAGGGTGTATGCTAACACAAAAGACATTTGCTGGACTGCGCAGCTCTTTGGTATCAGGCTTATTACAAATACGGGCGTGGTGCAACTTGCGCAAAACGCCGGATTTGATGCACTTTTCATCGAGCTCATGCACTCATCACTCTCCACAGAAGAGGCCAACCAGCTCTGCATGGCAGCGCTTTCGACCAGGATCACCCCCTTCGTTCGCGTGCCGTGTTAATGTGGCTACGGCTTTATTTCAAAGGGTGCTTGACGGCGGCGCCATGGGAGTGGTTTTTCCACATATTCACAGTCCAGGTACGAATAACTCCATACTACATGTCACGGAGAAATCTTTCCGTCCTTTTAGTCCGTCCAAGCTAATCGAGTAACATGATAGTGGCCGCCGAGGCGGCTGTCAACATTGCAAAGTACCCACCCCGGGGTGCCGGTCCATGACAGGACAATTGCCCGTCTTCAGACTCCAGCCGACGCAAACGGCAAATATCATTACAAAGACGAACGCGTATGCATCCTCCATAATTCTGATGGTCGAGACAAAGGACAGCAATAGTAATATCAACGAGATCGCTTCGGTGGCTCACGTCGAAGTGTTGCTCATTGGCTCGAACGACCTCAATCGAGCTTGGGGTTGCTGGCCAGTTCCAGATCGAAATTTTCCGTGCTGCCCTTGACTCAGTCAGCACTGCTTGTAAGAAGCATGGCAGGGCCTTTGGCTTGGCTGGCATTTACGACGCGCCCGAACTCCAGGACTGGGCGCTCAACAAACTTGGGGCACAATTCATTCTGGCACAGCAGGACTCGGGTCTGATTGCCGGGGCGGGTAAGAAATGTGTCAAGGCAATAACATCAGTTTTCAAGCAATGATTCATCGATACATTCAGAAGTATCCCTTCCGCTGAAATTACATGTACGGTATCAGCATATCTTTGGGGTAGACTGGAGAGGTTGCAGTGCCACCGGTACCCGGAAGCCGTCCGATTGACTCAGGGGAGTAAGATAATCTGGAATCCGACTCTTCCAAGACGCGGGAATACTAGAAGCGGTACAGATATCATCTGTGCAGCTTCCGTATACACTTTTTCCACGCATAGCTTATATGAAGAAAATGATCGCTTGAGCTAGATGTCGGAGGTAGTCAGGCCCTATCATCGTGACGTGTGATGTGACTTCTCTCATGTCATCATCTTCAATTTTGCGTTGAGGCAATATACCGCGATCTGCCACGACGCGTTGTAAAAGCTGCACCGTCTGTCGGTAGTCCAACATGCGAGGAAACTGGCGTCCCACAATCTCGAGCTTCTGGGAAGCCAGGTCGAGTAGATTGTCCAGATCAGTGGAGCGTGTTTGGTTCAGCTGAAATTCCATCATTTGCATGCAGGCATAGAGCCATACCCGATAGTCGCGGACTGCGAGGCCAAAGCCTTGCTTGATCGAAGCCTGGCCTGCTTCGTCTTCTTGTGCAGCTCGACCTGCGCCTTCTTCAAGATGATAGACAGCACAGACCTTTTCGTCATTGGAGAGCCACCTCGTCGTGTGCGGATAGTAAGGCAGCACGAAGAGCGCAACCACGCCGACAACTACGGTAAAAAGTCCTTCTAAGATGAAGAGCCACCTCCACGCCTCAAGGTTGGTAGTGCCGTCCATGCCTTTCAAGATGCTGGCGCTCACTAGACCTGCGAAAGCATGTGCTGTAACAAGCCCCGACATCAGCAGCGCAATCTGCAGTCCAAGTTCCCGCTTGCGATACCTGTGATAAAAGTATGTCAGCCAACGACTGCGCACGCAGAGGCATATTTTCAGAAAGCTGGTCACTGACCAGCATGTTAGGAAGTAGATCGTGGCTGGAAAAAAGGCCCCTCAGTTGCGCCCAGTAAAATCCGCACCTCAAAAGACCCGACCCATGTTTGTGTTGCCCCCGTGCAGGCCGATACTAGAGCCCACAGAATCATTGTAGTAGGCTATATATGTGCGTCAGAGGCCGTTGGAGACTTGATATACGGCGGTGAGGTTCGGGATATCTACCAGCAAGATGGAAGGCCGGGTCCGAGCAATAAGCAGAGCCTCAGGAATCTGGCTGACTAGTTTGGAAACGATCAATGATACAGCCGGAAACCTTTTCAGATGAGTAAGCATATCCATATATGGCACGCTGAGAATAGAGATACCCGTTTGCCAGAGGGATCCATGGATTCCTAGATCTTTCTGGATGCCGTACAGCCTTGCTTGGGTCACGGAGGTCCTGTTCATGTAGTTCATGATGTAGATGATAACAAGCATGGACATGATGTGCTATGGCATCATGATCAGTGTGATTGTTCCCCCACAGTTCAATATGCAGGCTTACGAGGTCGATCTTTCTCAGGAGTTTTGTCTCGATCTCATCTCGGTACTCAGAAGTCCAGGATCCGTATACCGCCCCAAGCTCGCCCCATATCAGTTGTTCGGCTCTGGGAACGTTCATTACGTTTGAAACGTCCTGCTCAACCTCATCACATTGAACCTTCTCGGGGTTGCTCATTTTTGCAACGTGCGTGTGTAATATAATGAGAATGAAAAAAGAGGTTGTGTCGGAAAGCAACCCAGCCAGAACAAGTCCATTCGCCATGGCAGGCCAGGAGAATTTCACTTTTTGTAGAAGTCATGCGAGGTCACTGCCCCGGCACATCCCCGGCTTCGATGTTGGGGTAGAAGGCTAGAGCACGACCTACAAACATCCTTGGAACTATCTGCCCCGCAAGCTTGCCTGGGGTTTATTGCAGTCGCTTGTCCCATTCTGGTCGGGGGCAGTGGTCGTGTCCCACACGGCACTATCGGACGCGAGGCCGAGGTGACGGAGATGGTAGTCCTCGGCGACCTGTCCGAAGGGAAAGCTGAAGACCTTCACATGCCCATTCCGTAAATTTCACACTATTATTTCCAGCTTGATTCAAGATGTTTTACGCTAGCCCCGAATGACAAGTCCCTAATACCCCCGGACTACCCAAGTAGGACCACCTTGAGCCCTATATGGTTACATCATTGTGGCCCTACAAAGCTGTAGCTTCTTAATGCTTGGTGTAGTGCCGAGATGGGAGATCCGGGGAGATGCTGGTGAGGTCAGTGAGACCGGCTAGGTCTAGGCGTGAATTTCAGCGCGGCCCAATCTTCCCAATACAATGGCCCTTGGCCCGTTGTCAATTGTCTGAAACATAACGAGTAACTGTGCGAGCAAGCAGAATGTTGATAGATCCCCAACACTCATGGTGGATGCAAACAGCTACGCTCCAGGACAAAATATGCATTCCGTCTCCATTATACGTTCCTACAGAATTGCCATAGATGTCAGAGCGAAGGCCAGATTCTGTTTTACATCTCCATTCTCCAGTATCTCCTACCTTGTCTTCCTCACACTTTAATGTTGACTGTTTTTCGGAAGGTGTCTCTAACACGTATACTGAGGGACGTTTTCGGTTGCTGTGGCTATAAGAGAAGCATGAATTCATTCTTTCCCGGGTTTAAAAGATTTCTAGGGTTTTCCAAAAGAAAAAAGGATAATGTTCCGTTAGTATTGAGGCTGGAATGTCTGGCTCTGATTTCAAGTGTCAAGCATCATCTCATAGAGCCATTCACAGTTCAGTTCTGGCTTTAATAGCTCTGTTAGTCATGCTGGCGCCTGTTTCAGAGTGTGGCTTGCTTGGTGGGTGTTTGAGAGCTGCATCATGGGGATGCGAGCCCCAGATCCGGGATATGCAAGTAAGGTAAAGAGTCCAGGTTATTTGCTAGGTAAGTGGTGCTGCTTCTGGGCCCGCCTTTGGAGTTAGCCCAACGAGCTGGAAAGATCTGCTAATTAAGACACCTTCACCCAGAATCTCACCTGAGCCCACCTTGTTACTCTCTCCGAACAATCACCCTGCCCAAGAATGAGGGATCGGGACAGTCCAGCTGAGCTCACCAGACCAAACCTTCCATCATCTCATCCAGGTCCCACTTAATAACACTCCTTAATGTTTTCACACCGATGTTTAGCCTAAACTTTTCGATGCGACCCCTCCCGCGATACGGCTGTGGGGATTACATGTGCCGTTCCATCTTCTTATAATAACCAGAAAACGACTTTAAATTACGCTCTTTTTCCCGGTTGTTTTGCTAGCGCTCTCCCACATAAATCTGCAGCCGCAGGGGCCATTTCCTTAACAGCCTGTTTAGAATCCTCTCGCTAAGCACCAAAAGAACCCTGTACACTAACATTGCAAGGTACATGGCTGTTAGTGCACAACCCAGTATGCCGAAGAAGGCTCTGAGCGCAGCGAAGGGCCTCTGAGGCCGAGACCCTGGAGCCCGAGAGGAACGAGGGCGGAACGGGTCCCATTTTACGAACGCGAGCCCTGCGAGCAGTGAGGGCTACTACAACCCCATTCCCTAAAGCCTGCGTTGCAGGCAGTCCCCTAGTCAGAATTTATTGGATGTTGGAGAGACCCTCCACAGGTTTAGGCGAAACCAATCAAGGTGTCTGCCCCTTGAAGAAACTAGATAAACATCCCACAGGAGCATGATTTGCCTATTGAACCCAGAAACCCGGGTCTTGGCAGGCAGCCTAAAATGCGGAGTCGCCAGAACGCGACCGAGCCAGATGTGCCAGATCAGCTCAGGCTTGGGAAGATCTGCGTGCTCGTATCGCGCCTGTGCCAAATGCTCCGGGGCAAAGCCGAACGTCAGCAGCTTCCCTCCCTTCCTCCATACCTGCACATGGCAAGAGGCCGGGGGGGTTAAAACTGCCGCATGCCGTTTGGTGGAAAAAAGGACCGCCAAGAGGTTGTATTCACGCTTTGCAATCATCCATCAATCCGCGGTTGGCACCAGCCGATAACCTGGAGCGGCAGGGTTACTCCAAAACGGGGGCGGCTGCCCAGGTTGGAGAAGAGGGTTACACTCTGATATAGGGGATGGTAAGCCTATCTCCCACTATACTGTAACCAGATGGGGAGTTGCTCTCACGCGCCCATGTTGATATAAGGTCGCGATTACCGGCTATGTGTAGCGCTGCACCATTCTCGCTGGCCTATGCTATTCCCTCCCGCCTCCTAGCTGTCTCTCGGAGCACAATCCTGCACTTGATTCTCACATCCCATACTCTTGACGATGGCGCGGTCACGGTCGACATGGCTTTTACAGAAGGTGGTGCGGAATGAGGCCATGGCAAATGACCCCCCCGAGATTTACGGATGGAGAGTTTATATGCTCGCTTGCTCGGTAAGGCTCAGCTTCGACTTGGCGCTTTCTTCATGCTGACAGTGCACTTCCTCTCCATTGCTGTAGGCTTGTTTTGGTGCCATGTGCTTTGGTTGGGACTCGTCCGTAATTGGCGGTGTCATTGTGCTCCCGTAAGTTGAACTCCTCTTAGCTCATCCGCGACAAGCGATCTGATCATTATACTGGACTCCAGTCCTTTCGTCGAAGACTACAAGCTCGGAGATCCGAAAAGTGTGGCTTCGCAAAACCTATCTGCCAACATCGTGTCTGTGCTGCAAGCTGGTTGCTTTGCTGGTGCCCTACTCGCATCCCATCTCACCGATAGATTTGGTAGGAAATGGTGTCTAATTGGTATCGCCTGGGTGATATTGGTAGGTGTTGCCATGCAAGCCGCGAGCTCTGGCCACCTGGCACCGATGTATGTAGGACGCTTCATCGCGGGCCTCGGAGTTGGAGCGGCCTCTACTATCAACCCCATCTATGTCTCCGAAAATGCCCCTCGAGCGATCCGAGGGCTGCTCACGGGTCTGTACCAGCTCTTCATCGTCACCGGCGGTATGATCGCCTTCTGGATCAACTACGCTGTCAAGGTCCATTTCAATGGTCCGACGATGTATATCTTCCCATTGGCCATCCAGGCTCTTCCGGCATTCCTGCTTTTCGCATGCATGCTTATGTGCAACGAATCTCCCCGGTGGCTTGCACGACAAGATCGCTGGGAAGAGGCGAAGGCTGTGTTGAGCCGCCTACGGAATCTCCAGCCGACACACCCATATCTCGAAGAAGAGTTTCAGGAGATTGCTGACCAGCTGGAATACGAGAGACAACTCATTGGCGACGCGACGTTCTGGAACCTTCAGAAAGAGATGTGGACCATCAAGGGTAACCGAAATCGTGCCCTCATTAGCATTATCCTTATGATCTGCCAGCAGATGACGGGTAAGTCCATACTTGATGCCGGACAACTTCACGGCCGCAGTCTAACACTTGCTAGGTACGAATGCTATCAATACCTACGCCCCGACTATCTTCAGCAACCTGGGCATCGGCGGCATTCAGAATTCGCTCTTCAGCACAGGGATCTACGGCATTGTCAAGGTCACATCATGCATCTGTTTCCTACTCTTCATGGCCGACTCTCTCGGACGTCGCCGCTCTCTCCTTTGGACCTCAATCGCCCAGGGCCTAGCTATGTTTTATATTGGTCTCTACGTGAGAATTGCACCTCCCAAAGAGGGTGACCCTGTGCCACCGGCGGGCTATGTTGCCCTCATCTGCATCTTCCTTTTTGCTGCGTAAGTTCTTCAATGTGGTCTAGGAACATCAGAGGCATACTGATGTTCTGAATCAAGGTTCTTCCAATTTGGATGGGGCCCAGCCTGCTGGATTTATGCTAGTGAGATCCCCGCCGCTAGGCTTCGTTCTCTCAACGTTTCCTTAGCTGCTGCAACACAATGGCTCTTCAACTTCGTGGTTGCGCGCTCGGTGCCTGTGATGCTAGTCACAGTTGGTGGAAAGACAGGCTACGGGTAGGTCACGGCCATCCCTATTCTGTGATTGTGCAGTGCTAACCTTGCAGTGTAGAACATATCTTATCTTCGGAAGCTTCTGTTTCTCCATGTTCTTCTTTGTCTGGTTCTTTGTACCTGAGACAAAGGGTAAGCCCACCCCGGAGTATTAACTTCGTTCTTGGTTCGAGACACTGCTAAAACATCATCAGGCATCTCTCTTGAACACATGGATGAGCTCTTTGGGGTGACCGATGCAGACAAGCAAGCTGTTCTCGTGGCCGGGACCAGCAAGCAAGGCGATGTGCGAGAGGTGAAGGAAGAGAATAAATGGGCTTGATCCAGAAGCCTCGGTCGTTGGAAGCGGGTCACTATCATCTGAGTGACATTGCTCTGGTCGCTTCCTAATCTTCAGTGTTAGACAAAGGTTGAGGCTGTAAGATGAGATTGCCGACGCGAGGGCCAGCACCTCCAGTATTCCTATACTCCAATTGGGATAATAGGAAACATATAAAGATACGGAATTTGGTTTTGTAGTGATCTCGTGGGAGCACTGCTTCTTACCAGCCCGAGAGCATGCATAAAGAGATTGCAGGTTCTTCTAATCGCTGAGTTGAGAAAGGAGCTCTTGGAATAGTTCTCCTTGCATGGTAGGTTGATAATCTGGTCAGCTGGCTAGGAAGAGCAGCACTCCTTGTGGGTCAGATTGGGTCAGATTGGATAGAATTGAGACCCAATCTCTTGCTCATGGCTGAATAAGTTCGAACGAACTTACACGACCTGTCTCCTTTTGTTCAACCATCGTCACTTACAACAGTGATCGTGTATCAATGTCCAGACCCCAACCCTCTGTACCGAGAGGTACATGAATATCAAGCCTCCTGCCAAGGTCAATGTAGTTAATCAAGATCTCCAGATGTCTACACCAGATAGTTCTCAATGTACCAAGTCTTGAAGCTTACCTTCAACCCTGGTCTTGCCAGGTCCCTATGATGATGCTTCATGGCGCAGGATACAATACTCGTCTGGTCGTGGCCCCCCAGCGCTCGGACAATCTTCATTCCACTTTGGTCATGATTCCAGTCACGAGTATGGTGTGTGCCGGCCAAGCTATGTGTTTTCCACGATTTTCCCGAAAGGGCATAGTTCGTTGCATCGCTATCGCGCACCACATGTGATGTGGTTCATAAAATCCACGGCGGCTGCGGAATGTCCGATGCTCCGAGGCCCAGAGGTACCTACAAAGTGCGCCTCGAGGGCTCGACACGGAGCCATCCCTGATCAGCCTTAGCTAGTAGCCACGCACTGAAAGCACCACACAACGCTGCCGTGCCACATTTGTACCAGGGCGGGCAGGGCCAAGGCCAAGGCTAATAATGTTCCAGAGGCACATGACTAGCCTCAAACCACTCAATCGCTCACTCAGCGGCGAAGTCGCCATCCCGATGAAATGACCACACCTTCACGGCTTCACAGTGCTCGGAATCCGTACGCCTGTCAGGCACGCGCCCGCACACCGACTCCTCGGCGGGGTCCAAGGAAGAACTCATGGAGAACGCCTCGCCTAATAACGGGAGGTCTTTGAATCGGCATTATTGCGACCACCCTGACTGTGGCAAGAGTTTCCGCAGGGCCGAGCACTTGACGCGTCACAAACTCAATCGTACATACGCGCTCTGTCCACAACCATGCATGCTACGCGATTGGCTGACCAAGGATTTCAGACACGAATGCCACCATTCAATGTCCGCAATGCGAACGTCTCTTCTATCGGAGGGATCTCCTGCAGAGACACCTCACCCTGAAGCACGGCAAAGGTCCTAGGCCGGGCCGCGTGGCTGACCGTGAGGGCCTGCCGCCGATGGACGGCTCTTCACCAACCCCGCAAGAAGGCCATCAACCCCAGAACTCTCTCGCCTCCCGGCACATTTACCCCGGAGCTGAAGATGTGACCCAGTTCCCACCGACGACAATGCCGATCAACAGCTCTGTGAATGGCACGGGCGCTGTCGATGACGTCGTACCTCTACCTATCACTGGCGACCTCTTCCCTTTTCCATCACCGAGCGTCGACCTCGCCCCCGACTGGGGCTGGCTTCAGCAGTATCCTCTCCCGGTTCTGCCCGTGCACACTGATCCATCGGGGCCTATGGCATCAACAAATGAGATGCCTGGTTTTGTGAGTAGTCTCGAGCAAATACGACCAACCAGAGTCACTTGGAGCCAATCTTAGCTGACCTGTTCCAGCCGACTCTGAATGATGACTGGATGAACCCCAGTTCCACCCAAGACCTGTATATAAGCCAAGAAGTCTATGACTTTCTCACCGCGCTTGCGCCGGTTAGTTACGAGTCATAACCGTGCAGTATGGGTACCGATTAGCTGACACAAGGCCCACAGGTCGTCGAGGCGAACCATCCACTCGCTACTCAAGACATTCATACGATACTGAACAACGCTTTTGTGTTCATAATGGACTCGCTGCCCATCTTTCACCAGCCAACGTTCAGTTTTGATCTTGTCCCGAGAGAGCTGTGTGCTTCTGTATTCTGTGTCGGGCTGCTCATTGCCCAGGAGCCAGCCTTGTGGCAGTTGGGATGCTCCTTAATGGCCCACGTACGATCAGAACTGCTTCGAGTAAGCCATTGCTCTGTACATACAGGTCTTAAAAGCTTCATCTGACTCTGCTTCAACAGTACGTCGACAAGAACACAATATATTTGGCGGATCTGCCAATTCTTCAAGCAATGTAATTTAAAGCCGCCTTCCCCTCGTCCCTTCGCACCCAGCTAATTTTGCCAGGCTTTTGGTAGAGCTCTCTGGAATGTACCTTGCCGACCGTGTATCGATGGAATTGAGTGACATATTCCACGGCACCATTGTCACTTTGTCCCGCCGCCTTGGGTTGTTTGAGTTGGCCTATAGCAGCGCACGCACAAGCGCGGATTCTGTCGACAAAAACGAGTGGCAGAAGCGTATTGATCATGAGAGTGCAAAGAGGTAAGAACAGAATGGGGGGAGGTCTTTTGAATGAGACTGGCTCTCAATGCTCACTACTGCAGGTTGGCATATTTTGTCTTTGCTCTCGACGTAGAACATGCGTTATTCTTCGGGCATGAACGAAGCATGTAAGTTCTCCGTTGCATTCCTTTTCTCTGCTGTGGTTGCGGTCACTTACCGAATGACAGCCTTTCCATTTACTCCATGAAACTCGAGCTTCCATCCGAGGAAGGGGACTGGCAAGTTCCGAGCCATGGTGCCTACATCAAGCAAGACGGCACAACGTATCGGGCGAAGTACCATCTCGTTTGCCATAACCTTTTATCTATGCCGGAGTCTACGAATATACCACCGAATCTCACGCAGTTCTCCAACTTGATGATTCTTCTGGGTCTGGCATCTGTTGTGTTAGACTTGCTCCAACGTCGGCAAGACCCATTCTTCGATACCAAGCAAGCCTTAGCACGCTTAGGCGCCGTCCTGCCGGCCATCCATGCCCGGCTCATGGCGGGACCGGATGGGATGATGAAGATACATGGAAGGACCGTATATCACTTCACTGCAATATCATTATTCACACCTTTGGACGATCTCGAACGGGCCGCGAATGATGGCTTCTCAAGAACAGGTCGGACACCTAAGCAACACACTAGATCCGCAATCATTCGCCTCCTCACCAAGCACAAAGTAGGACCAGAGCCGGCCCGTCACGCTGTGCATCTTTTGCGTTTGTTCTTGACACCGGTAGCTGGTGCTGAGATCACTGCCAGCCAAAGTGCTGGCACCTTTGTGGTTGGGCCCGCCACATTTCCGGCCTCATACTCGCGATATGAGCCGTCGGCCTTGTACTTCGGCGTCCTGACGCTTTGGGCATATATCATTAGCCGCACCAGCGACGGTGAGGACATTGACAGCCCTATGGATGACCATTCATACATCTCGGAAGGGAACCTCCAATCCCCACAGACGGGAAGTACAGCATCCATAACACAGGCTCCCATCGCATCGGTATTACACGGCATGGAGGCAGCTATCACCAACGGCAACAATCAGGCATGCAGGAGCCATTGGCGGATCATCGTGCAGCATGCATCGACTATACTGTCTATGAGGCGGAATAGCAATGCTCAAGAGTATAGTCAGGTTTTGAGGTCACTTAATGATAATCTTGGTTTCTAGCTAGACAAACAGGTGGGCAGGCAGGCAGGCAGGCAGCGTACATTGTCTCAATAAGATTCACAACCGATATTTGTCAATCAATTTCTCCCAAAACGGCCAGAAGATTGACCTTGAAAGCTGCAAGCATTCTGATTATTTGCTCACAGCTATGATAGGTATTTATTTATAGGCCTGGATGAAATGTCCTTCGTTTACTCATCGTGCTATTGGGAATGATGGTTGTTAGTCATCGAAGCAAGAGAGTTAGAAATGGCATGGCCTAGTTCTAAACTCACAAAGACCGTAACACCCCACGGAGGATTACAGTATCGGTGGCCCTTGTCCAGCGTGGAGATGGACTTCATCTCCTCTTCCGAAAGACTCATGTTGGCAGCCTCGAGATTGCTCTTGATACGAGACTCTTTAACGGACTATTGATGCCGAGACTCTCTTTATCAGCACACAGTTTCTGCTCAAAAGTAACGTCTCTGTCTTTGTTTTGGTGATTGCATTCGGCCCGGACGCACCTTGGGTATCACACTGTGACCGGCCTGCAGACCCCACGCCAGCATGACTGCGCCCGTGTCGCATGAGTGCTTCTTGGCAATGTCTACGAGGCACGCCTCATTGAGGAGATCCTGGCTGCCATTTCCGATCCTTTTTCCGGACACAAAACATCAGTATTGGTTGACTGAAGGCAGCGCTTTGCCCGCCAAAGCATCTCTGTGGCGCATGTGGTTGATCACTCACGGCGAATAGGCAGTAATGTGTATGCCCTTGGCATCGCAGTACTGCTTGAGCTTCGGCTGCTGGAGGTAAGGGTGGAGCTCGACCTGGTTGACAGCGGGAACGACCGTACACTGGGTACGGAGAACTTCAAGGTTATGTACGTCAAAATTGGCGACTCCGATCGCTCGGACCTTGCCGGTGCCTTGCAGCGCCTCCATGTCGCGCCATGTAGCGGCAAAATGGCGGTCGCGTTGCAGGTCTCGTGTGCCATCCTCAAGCAGGGGAAAGAGCGGCGGGTTTCCGTTGGGATTCATCGCAACGGGCCTGATAGTGCGCTAGTTAGACACGGAATTGGTTTATGCGGAGAACTGCGATGGCGCCAACGGATAATCCTATGCCTATGGCGGAAAACCGAGGTGCCAAGCATCTGGTGGTGAGCTAGGCAGACTCTTCTCTTACCAATGCATCAGCCACAAGTCAAGGTAGTCGACGCCAAGACGCTGGAGTGACAGATCTAGGTTCTCGGCGACCCTCGTGTGATAGGTGCTCCATCTGATGTTTATCAAGTCGTTACTGTTAGGTGTCCGCTCTCAACGCTCGCCAATTCACATACAGCTTTGTTGTCAGGAATATCTCGCTTCGGGGAACTCCGCTGTCCTTGATGGCGCGTCCGACATCGCCTTCATTTCCGTAGTTCTGCGCGGAGGCTCAGACATCAGCGGGCTGGTCTTCCGGAGCGAGGATTTAGATGGCATCATCAAGGAATCGGCATCGACGCCCAGCCGTGCGTGCTTGGTTATGCGCAGCGCGCCCAGGCCTACATTCTCTCCCATTATGATGGGGTCGTGGATAAAAACTCACAAACGCAGTATCAATATGCCTGTAGCCTGCCTTGAGAGCCGAGATTACCGAGTTGTAGGCGTCTTGTGGCTCAGACTTCCAGGTACCAAAGCCAATGGCTGGTATCTCGTTGCCGATATTGAGCTTGAAGGTACGCTTGGTTCCCTGACCGGAAGACATCCTTGTTGTCGCTGCTCGCTAGTAAACAGTTATCGGTGTTGGATTCAGGGAAAAGAAAGAAGTCAGTGTTACTCGATATAAAGGAGAATCAGTCTTTGGCCAGAAACTGGTTAAGGACAGAGAAAGCAGGGGGAGAACAGATCATGACACTCTTCGCCATGAAAGGCCCCGCGAACGGCCTGGCGGGATGAACGCGAGGGCCTGGGCTGGATTTGGTGCGGGATGGCGAGAAGTTGGAGACTCCAAGAGAAAACACACTGCTCGTGAGGGGCAAATAAGCTGCGTGCGGGGGAGCGCGTCATAGCCAGGAACCAGTGCATGGCTGTGGGATACCTAGGTTTTCCCCAAATTTTATCGGACCGGTCAAATGCTAGGTATTTACCGTCTCGAACAACTCGACTCTCGACTGGACGCGGCAGTGCGGGATGGGAAGTGATGATGACCGATGGGCCCGCACCTACTGACGTCCAAATCGGAAAAACGCCCGTCGGTTCTCGAGATAACCCCGCTTTCAAACTCCGCCAATACGGATTTGGCAGAAGGTTTGCCGCTTATTGTTCGGTTTGGCTGCCGATCGAGGACCGTTTGATGTGTTTTGAGGCGGCTAGGTTTTTGCTGATAAACCTGGCGACGCCATCGAGGGCTTGCAAGGGTAATTGTCGTTGCCCTGAGGTTTCATAGGCTTCAGTTCCTCCTTCGACCGTTGTCACGATGACTGTTGAGGCACTCTATGACCTCGTCATCCTCCAGGCGACGCCTGGTGGCATTACGGCAGCTATCGAAGCGGCGCGGCTTGGTAAGACGAGTATCATTCTTGAGCGCACCGCCTTTATTGGCGGTCTTCCGGCCAACGGCCTTGGTGCCACCGACATTGCCACCCGCGGCGCAACTGGAGGTCTATTCCTCGAGTTCGTGCGCAGGATCAAAGCCTACTATGTCTCGACATACGGCGCCGACTCGGCCCAAGCTAAAGATTGTTCCGATGGGTATCGCTTTGAGCCCCGCGTCGCTGAGCAAATCTTCCATGACTGGCTGGCGGAATACCCTCGGATCAAGATCGTGACCAGGCGGCAATTCGACTTCGAGCCCGAGAACGTCCAATGGGATGGAGACAGGATCTCGGCTGTCCAGGTGACCAACCTGGATACAAACCAGGTGGAAACCGTCCCCGGTCGTTTCTTCTTGGATGCCTCTTACGAGGGCGACCTCATTGCTGCTGCCGGGGTTCCGTTCTTCGTTGGGCGGGAGGGCGTTGAGGAATACAATGAGATCGGGGCTGGAAGGCTCTACAAGCTGTGGAATGGACCTGAGTGCGCTGGATCCACTCATGCCGGTGACAACGCGGTTCAAGCCTTCAATTATAGGCTTTGTGTCACGGATGACCCTCAAAACCGTGCTCCTATCAAAAGACCAGAGAACTACAACCGGGCTGAGTTCGTTTCGTTGATACACGACGTCAGATCGGGCCTCCACACAGGTGTCGATGTCCTGGAATGCACAGAAGAGATGTTTGCCGAAAACCTGAAGCGAGCGGACCGCAACGAGTTGCCCATCCCGCACAAGCTCGACGGTATTCGACGTCTCTTGAGCAACTGCAAACTGCCAAATGCGAAGTGGGACGGCAATAACCAACACTTTGCTTTTATTTCTACGGATCTGCCCGAGGAAAACTGGCCCTACCCTACATCCAGCTGGGCGTGGAGAGATGCGTTTGCCAAGCGCCTACGCGAATACACCGAAGGCCTGCTTTACTTCGCGCAGACCGATGAGGCGCTACCCCAATGGTTTCGTGATGCATGCAGCCAGTGGGGCTGGGCTGCGGACGAATATGTGGAAAACGGACATTTCCCGCGCCAGTTGTACGTTCGCGAAGGTCGCAGGATGAAGGGCAAATACATCTTTACGGCCAACGACATGCATGTGCTGGTGCCCCGGCACCCGGACGGTGTGGTCATGCACGATGGGACGACCAAGGGCCGAGTGGACGATAACTCCAAAACAAGACGGCCTTCTGTTCAGAAAGACAGCATCACGGCCAGCCACTATGCCCTCGACTCGCATGCCGTGCGCAAGCGTGAGCCTGGCCGTGTTCATCTAGACGGCTTCTTTAGCTACCGTTGTACGCCGTATCCTGTGCCGTACGGCGTGATGGTCCCCGATGCGCCAGTCAGCAACCTCCTTGCCCCAGTCCCCGTCTCGGCTACTCATATTGGTTTCTCCACGCTACGTATGGAGCCGTGCTGGATGGCTCTTGGACAGGCAGCTGGTGTTGCCGCTTGCCTGGCTCTGGACGCAGGCGTCGCCGCGGAACATGTCAGCATCGAGAAGCTTCAGCAGAGGTTGCTGGACGAGGGAGCAGTGCTGGCGTATGATAAGAAATTGTGGGCGTCAGGCGTTGACGACGAAGCAAGGAAGGCTATGCAGTTAGAAACGCTGCAGACATCGTGATCAACTTTGGCAAATTATTCTCGTTGACGTGGCTCCTCTTCCCAAGCTATGACATGCACGCAATTGGATGTGGACAAAGCTCGATAGAGGTTCTAAATATGTTCATGTTTATTTTAGGATTGATCGCATCAGATCATGCCGAGATTCAGGTGGATCCTTCGCTGTGCAGATCACCACCAAGATCCTTCCCTAGTCGCCCTGAAGCCCAGGATTAAGGATCGTGGCAGGGCCGCCGAGCGACCCGCAGTGGGCACCAATTGAGCAGGGATCGGGGAGTCTCGCATTAATACGGTGTACATGCTCACTGACCACACATGTCATTTTCAACGAGTCATTCACACATAAACTACCTATATCGACTTGACAGGTTTCTTTTCAAACACCTCGTTTTCAAGGTCTGTCTAGTGCTAAAGTAAGTCTCTTGTAGAATTCCCACAAGATCCAAAGAGCTTGGCCAATATCGAGTGCATATGCCAGGACGAAGGAGAAGTACAAGCAATCGTCCTTTGATAAAGAGGCGTACCACCTTGCGTGCCATTGCAAGTAACTGACTCCAGATTTTGTTGTCATGTCAGGATTACTTTGTGTTTTTGATGTTGATGTTGGAGTAGAAATTTGTGCGCTCCATGTTCAGCGCGTCGAAGGAGGTCGCAGGGTTCGGGCTGTTCTCCATATAAATGTCGGTAAAGGTCACATCACTGATGGTGGACGAGGCATCGTAGCCTTGGATCAAGCCACGCTGCTTCCCCTTCATGCGGGCCTTAATGTTCTTGAGAAGGATGCCAGGGCCAATCGGACCGGCACCTTGCTTGACAAAGTTGACGTAAAGAGTGGCCCATGCGGCCTGGCCGCCGGGAGAACCGCCCAGACGCTCAATGTCGATGTTCTGCCAAGTGATGTTCCTGGCGGACGCTGAACCGTACTTGTGATTGATGCCGCACCCGACGCCCGCGTAGTAGACATAGCTGTTTTGGAACGTGATCTCAGACTGCTCCTCCCAGACGCCCTCTCCGATCTTGTAGGCGTAGCATAGAGTCCAGGCAAGACAATCGTCAAACCAGATCTTGTTGTTTGGGCGAGGCTGGTATGGAAAGGGGACCGTTGTTCCGGTCTTGTAGGGCCAGGTCTTTGCAGAAAAACTGTCGTCGTTGGCGATAGCAATGACACGGCGCACCTTGACATTGGACGACTCGTTGATGTCGATGCCGTCGTCCTGGGTTACATCAAAGCGATCAAAGATCTTCAGGTTCGTGAAGGTGGAGTCCTGCACCTGGACAACGTTTACAGCCCAGAAGGAGCTATCACGAACGAGGACGCCGTCCATGTGGAAATCCTTTGTGCCAGCGGGAACGACCATGCTTGCCATGAACTTGTCGGCACCAGTGTTCTTCCTCGTGTTGTAACCATTTCCATCGATGGTGCCTCGGCCAAAGATTTTAATACCGGTGGTATCCTTATCCGTGGAGATCCACCATGTGCCATCGCCGAGATCCGACTTGGTGTACATGACCTTGTAGTCGGACTTTTTGCCAGTGAAGCGGAGCACTGAGCCACCGGCAAGGTAGAGGGAAGTCCTGTCGCGGATGACAAGGTTGCCAACAAGATATAGTCCGGGCGGCACGTAGACAATACTTCCAGGCCGTTTCGCGGCGGCGTCTATCGCAGCCTGAACGCCCGCGGTGATCGCAGCACCAGTATTATCCGCCTTATAGTCCAGTACGTTGAAAACATTGGACGCACCAAGCTTGGGAACATTGGTCTCGCTGGGGTCGGCGCCGACAACAAATTCCTTCATGCTGTTGATCTTGACGATGAGGTAGTGGGCTTTCTTCATCTTGAAGATCAGCTTCTTGCCATCTACCCTAGCTTTGATTGGTAGCGCTTGGGGTGTAATGGTGTAACTGTTGATCGACGCCTGATCTCTGGCCTCAATAATGATCTCGGTGTCGTAGCCTTCATCCATGGAGAACTGGACGTAGTCGTAGCCAGCATAACTGACCGTATACATGTCGGTGCCATTGACCTTGAGAGAGAAATGGGCCGACTTGCTGTAGATGGAGGGTCGCGGGTAACCAACGTAACCGCCTTGGACCGTGGCGGCCAGCAGAGACGCCACGGTGACGATAGTCTTGAGGAACATCATGGCGAACAAAGGACGATGAGGAGAAGACAAGAGGCTCGTCTTGCTAAACAATCTATCGAGATCATCATGAATAACCCACTGATTTTATATACACGTTATCCTCGGCCAAACTTCAACCCCCCTGTCACTGTGCCGTAGCACCCTAGCCTGGTCTGCCGTTGTTGTATTCTTGGAAGTGGCTGTGTTGATCGCGCCAATGCCCTAGCACGACGCCATTTTCTGGGGTAGCTCGGAGTGATGATTGCCCCTCCAACGTCGTCCGCTTTGGAGCCAATGTTGTGTGCCCCTCACCTCCTCGCCCTCATCGGCGTTGTTGCAGTGCGCTACTGAGGTTGCTGCGGGACCAGCAAGTGACGCCGGCTTGGCGCTCATCCCGCAGAGGCATCCCGCAGGGAAAGTCCAGGGGCGCCGATTGCGGGCACACGCGCGCTTCACCATCACGGATACTTCTCCGGCAGGATTCATTGCTTGGCAAGTTTTATAACATCGAGCGGTGGCGCATGTGCAGTCCATGGCTGTCACAACCAATTCAACAAGGCAATCCGGGCCGACAAATCGTGACAATGTTGACCAAGCAGACGCTCACATCCTGGAACTGGAGAGACGCCGCGGACGCTAGTTTCGCTGGCCGGCTGGATGCTCCCACCACCAAGTAAGTACAGCCTGCTAAGACATACTCTAGATGCTTCACAACAATACTCAACAGTGCTCCGAGTGCCTACACATGACGCTTAGCTAACAGGTCCATCTTGTAGTATCCATCTTGACCTCCTGGCCGCTGGACTCATTCCGGACCCGTTCGTTGGCCAGAACGAGGCAGATCTGCAATGGATTCAACACAAGACCTGGGTCTACACAACCAACTTCAAGGCTGCGCCTGTAGCCACAGAGGAGCTCGCAGACCTGGTGTTTGAGGGCCTTGACACGTTTGCCACGGTCAAGCTCAACGGGTCTGAGATACTTAGGTATGTGTTCCCGAGCTGGTGTGTTGAGAAATGTTGCCAACAAACTAACTGGATGCCATAGAACGGAGAACATGTTCATCGGCCACCGTGTTGATGTGAGACATCTTTTAAAGCCAGAGAACGAGTTAGAGATCACGTTTGAATCTGCGTATGACAAGGGAGAGGCTTTGCGCGCAAAGTACGGTGATCGTATCTGTTGGAACGGCCACTATGGTCGAATCTACGTGCGCAAGGCGCAATATCACTTTGGCTGGGACTGGGGCCCCTCCTTTATGACATGCGGACCATGGAAACCTGTTAGCCTCGAGCGGTACACCTCCCGTATCGACGACATCCATGTCGATATTGATCTTGCAGACGACTTTACTCAGGCCGTCCTGAAAATCGCCATAGACGTGGAGCCTAAAGTCGAGCATCACTCGGTCGAGGTTGAGCTCAAGCGGCCAGACGGGTCTGTCATCAGTACCACCCAAGCTGTGAATGGATCAACCAGCATCCCGGTGACCCAGCCGCAATTGTGGTACCCACACACGCATGGAGCACAGCCTTTGTATCAACTGCAAGTTTGGTTGCGGTCAGCTGCTGGAAGAGTGTTGCACACAAAAGCTCAGACTATCGGTTTTCGACGCGTCGAACTCATACAAGACCCACTCAAAGAGGGAACATCATTCTACTTCAGAGTGAACGGAATTCCAATCTTCGCTGGTGGAAGCAATTGGATTCCAGGCGACAACTTCCTTCCTCGCATGACGCCAGACAGGTACAAGCGTTGGATCGAGATTGCCGTCAGAGGCAACCAGAACATGATCCGAATCTGGGGTGGTGGAATCTATGAAGACGACGCATTCTACGCCGAGTGTGACAGACAAGGCGTGCTCGTCTGGCAGGATTTCTTGTTCGCCTGTGGAAACTATCCTACCGACAAGTGGTTTATCGACAGTGTCACAGAGGAGGCAGCTCAGAACATCAGGCGTCTGAGATCGCACCCATCCCTTGCCATCTGGGCAGGCAACAACGAAGACTATCAGGTCGCCAACGAGGGACTGAAGCATGACATGCAAATGCCGGAAGAGCAGTGGGCCAAGTCAACATTCGGCGCTCGAGTCACCTACGAGAGAACGCTGCCCGATCTTGTGCAGAAGTACTCTCCTGGCGCCATTTACTGGCCCGGGTCGCCATTCGGTGGTGTCGACAACAACAGCGACCGCACCATCGGAGATGTCCACATTTGGAATGTTTCAAGTGGCATGCTTTTGCCCTACCAGAGATATCCCGACGTGCCCGCTCGGTTTATATCAGAGTTTGGAATGATCTCTTGTCCGTCCGTGGCCACCGTAAAAGAGACCTTCTTTGGAGACGACGAAGATCAACACGTGCAAAGCAAGTCTTTTGAATTCCACAACAAAGCCCACGGTTACGAAAAGCGCATGTTCACGTGTATTGGTGAGAGCGTCAGGATGTCTTTCGAGCTTGAGCCGTTCGTCTACCTCTCACAGCTTGTCCAAGGCGAGGCAATGTACTACGCATACCGCGGCTGGCGCCGCCTTTTTGAGGGACGCGAGTGTGGAGGTACCCTTGTCTGGCAGCTGGGTGACTCCTGGCCCGTGACTAGCTGGGCTATTGTCGATCATTTTGAGCGCCCCAAGATGGCTTACTATACTATTGCTCGCGCTATGCGAAACGTTGGCACCGGCATCTCGCGCAAGTTGAAGGTCAACCCCAGGCCGAACCATCAGCATGAGGCCTTCTGCAACGGCAAGATCAAAGCAGACGCTGCAGGTGTTATTGCACATGCTACCCCTCATATCTATCCCAAAAGGGAGTCCATATTCTCAGTATGGATCGCAAACGCTACCACCGATATCCAGACGCTCAAGAGTCGCGTGAGGTTTATCAGCATTAAGACTGGAAAGGAAGTGCGCGACGCTGTTGAGCAAATTATCGAGGCTAAGGCGACTGGAACGACCGATATCATCAGTGATGCTGAAGGCCCTGAAGCTGAGCCTACCGTCATTGTATCCGAGATATATGACGCAAACGGAGTCCTTGTTTCTCATGACGTGGACTGGCCTCAGCCCCTCAAGCATCTCACCTTCCCCGACCGGGAGCTGAAGGTCGAGGTACGAGGTGAAGACTTGATCATTTCTGCCGCGAGACCAGTCAAAGGATTGTGGTTTACCAACGTTGGTGTGCACTTCAGTGATAATGCACTCGATGTCGTTCCTGGTCAAAAGCTGCGGGTGGTTGCACCAGGCTTACAGGAGGGGCTGCAATGGAGATATTACGGTATGTAGTATGTCAAAATACTAGTCGAGTAGTTTAGACTAGTTATAGACGGCGTGACTATGGCATTGTATGAACTCTCTTCACAGATCTTCTGATATTGCCATCTCATAAAATTCTGTCAACATTCATCCTCCCTGCCTTATTTTAGCAGCTACATCCCAGGGTGAATGGCAAAATGGCATTTTCTCTGGGTCTAATGTAGGAAAATTGGCTCGAATGGCCTGGAACACCTCTTCAAACAGAAGGTTATAACCCGCGGCAGTCAGATGGAGACCTACCATGTACTGTCAGCAAGTCAGGGGCTTCAAAGATGTTCGAGGATCAAATGACTACCATCAGTAAAAAGCTCTTGCAGCCGCTGATTGACGGGAAGGTGGTGACTCCCGATTATATCATCCCCCTCTTTCCATCCCGCATGCTTGATGAACGCAGTCCAGATGTCCACGACTGGCACGTGGAGCTGGCTTCCAACGTCTTTGCATACCTGCGCGTATTGCTGCGTGTTTCTGACGGTTCGACGCAATTCAGTACCGAAGCCTCGTGCTTGATCGGCGACCATGCGTTGGTGTTCGTTGATCGGGGGTGGAGTTACGAGTAGGACTGAAGGCCTGTGCTCTTGCACTTTGGAATTGGTGATGATAGCCGCTATGTTATCCCGATACACATCCAAGGGAACGTGATGCCCTGTGGGGTCATTCTCAAGACAAGAGTCGTTGGCCCCAAAGCAGATTATCTACTCTTGTAAGATGGGTGATGTGGCAGTCTAGGTTTTCATGGGTATGTGTCTCACCAGTAGTTCAACCTTGGCTTGAGTAGTGGTGGGAATGAACTTTGGCAGAACAGCAAGAGCATGATCAGTGTTGTATCCACTGCAGTCCTTTCAATCAGTCGTCTTGGTCTATTACTGCCGCAGAGTGATCTTACGAAAATCCTCTGTTGATCACGTCCAAACGTCGCTTGAATGCTGTCATGCCCCAACTGTTACCTTCCCTGTCGGCTTTCATTCGGAAAGTTGAAGTTGACTCTACCATGAGATAACGCCGCTGCGTACGAAAACCCCTTGGCCGGGTCGAAAGAGTTTTCTGTGATTGAATCACCAAACAATATGATCTGCGCATATGGCCCCTCGGATCGGCCTGTGACGATGGGTTGGCTCGTGTCGGTAGTCATGCTTCTTGTTGTACGTCAAAAGGTGACTGGCTCTTTGGACGCCGGCAGAAGCCACGGTACAGTGCTGATAACTGTGTTAAGATCAGCCCAGGTTTTCGCCGTTCATTCTACCCTTCTAGGTCTGTCAGGCCATTGATAAGATATCCCGCTTCGATTCGTGGTTTGGTGCATCGCATCTCATAGGCATTTGACGACGCAGCTGCGGGATGAGGGATGCGGGATATGCAGGATCCTGTGGAGATGTTGAGACGGCTGCGGGATGGAAGATGTAACGACGCCAGCAACAGGTAAAGCTTTGGCGCAATAGCCTAGAGGGACTATGTGCACTAACGCGATTACGTGCTACAGTTGTGCTGAAAAGACAGTTAATGCTTGCTAAGATCAGATGTACTAAGCTACAGGGAATTACGTCCCACTCTCACTGTGTGGGCCTCCTCTGCCTTACATGCGGGTCTAGGAGAAAATTAGGTATCGGGAGAGCAAACTGTCACGACCTCGCGGCACTACATCCCGTCCGGGAGGCTATCCCTCTTTAACATATTGCCTTTGCATCGCGTAAAGATGTACCCCACGGGGTTGGGGAACATAGACGGAGCTGAGCCTCGCCTTTCCTCCGCATTGAATTGAAGACCTCCCATCTATAAATCCTTTGACGGCTGCGGCTGTGACGATTGCAAATTGTCCAGCCACTCCAAGCTGCAGTCAGACAGCGTATCAGAATAGCAACCATGGCTGACGCAACTCGAGTACACCCAGGCTATGCCGCCGCAAACATTGAAAGTTCCGGAGCAAACACTGTTTCGGCCCCGGATGCTGGTCTAGACTTCAAAGCCCATACTGTCGCCCTGGACAGCGATGAGCTCCGCGACCAGATGACCGCTCAAGTCAACGCGCACAAACCGAGATGGACCTCATTGGCATCTATCCAGATGCTTTTCTTTCTCTTTGTTGCCTACTGCAGTATGCCTTACTTCCTGATAGATTTCTCTTGTTGAGGTATCGCAGGCTAACCAGTGTTGTCATAGATTCATGGGGTACCGGATTCGACAGCTCCCTCATGAGTGCCATGAACTCGAACGACCGCTGGCACAAAGACCTCGATGTCCCAAAGACAGGCGGCTACCTTGGCATCGTCACGGCAATCTACACCATCGGCAACCTTAGTGGTTCCTTCATCGCCGGCCCCGCGTCTGACAAATGGGGTCGCCGATGGGGAATGTTTGGCGGTGCCTGTGTAGTTGAAGTCGGTGCCATCATTATGGCGACGGCCAAGACTTCTGGCGCATATATGGGAGGCCGATTCATGACTGGCTTCGGTGTCGCTATTGTCAGATCCGCAGCTCCAGCCTTCGTCACCGAAACAGCACCTCCCTCGTGGAGAGGCCCAGCTACACTCCTGTACAATTCGCTGTGGATTATTGGCGCCATTCTGTCTAGCTCCATTGCCTACGGCACTGGGCCTATCAAGTCAAGTCTGTCTTGGAGAATCCCGCTCTGGCTGCAAATCGTTCCGTCCTCAATAGTCATCCTGTTCTCCCTGTTTCTTCCTGAGACTCCTCGGTGGCTTATCGCCAACGACCGCTTTGACGAGGCGAAGAAGGTGCTGGCAAAGTACCATGCCGATGGAGACGAGACTTCGCCACTGATTGCTCTTGAGATGGCCGAGATGCAAGCTAGTATCAAACAGCAAGCCTCTGACAAGAGATGGTACGATTACTCGGAGCTCTTCAACTCTCGATCAAGCAGATATAGGACCTTTCTCGTGGTGTCAATTGCGGCAATTGGTATGGACTATGATTTGATAATACTTTTGTTATAATTTTCCAGACTGACCACCGCACAGGACAATGGGGTGGCTCGAACCTTACCGGCTACTATCAAGCCAACATCCTGCGCAGCATCGGTATTACTGCCCAGAACCGCTTGCTCATCTTCAACCTGGCCTACTATATCTCGGCTTTGGGAGGTGCAACCATCGGATCCCTCGTCTGCGACCTGGTTGGGCGCCGCAAACTACTCATGATGGGCTGCTTATCTATGTGCGTCTGCTTGATCGCCCTCACCGGGCTTACTTCGCAGTTCCATCCTGGCCAACCGGACTCTGTCTCCAACCTCACCATCGCATTCATATTCTTTGTTGGTATCTTTCACTCTGCTGGTATCAATCCTCTGGTTGTCGCCTACCCTGTCGAGTGCCTCCACACAAATACCCGTGCCAAAGGTATGGGTCTCAACAACTTTACTCTCAACGTGGCTGAGTTTGTCAACACATACGGTGCCCCTATTGCGCTAAAGAACATCGGTTGGAAGCTTTATATCATATACACGGTCTGGAATTTCGTTCAGACTGCCTGGATTTACTTCTTCTTTGTCGAAACTCGTGGCCGTACCCTGGAAGAGCTGGATGCCATCTTTGAGGCGAAGAACCCTGTCAAGGAATCGCTGAAGAAGGCGCACAATGTCGAGGCTGTTACTGCCGAAGATCTTAAAAGCGTCTAATGCGGCGTTTACTGGTAATAGAAGCAATGCGCCGCCCTTCAGCAAGGTCCTGCTTCGTAGAAGCTGGATCGTCGGGGGCTTTATTTATATTCATGAATCTCATATTTATCAAAACTGGCGTTGCCATCACTCGCGTGGCACACCCACACTGCCATATTCCTTACTGAAATGAACCTGGTATGTAAGTAGTCGTTGTTCTGCTTTCAGCGGCATTGCGGGCTCTGTTCTCATCTGGACAAGCATGAATGGACTCTACGTATGGTCGAGGATGAGTTACAGTGTCACAGCTCCTTTAGCCAGCTAAGCCTTTATCGATCCAATACAGGCATTAAGAACCCATCCTCTTCTCGTCTATCACTTCCCTCTTTCCAAGAGATCTGATGGCTTCCAGTACCATAGTTGAAGACTATCAGGGCGACTACCTTACAAGACCTTAGATGCAAACCCGAGCCGAGGAGATTGACTGCCGTCGAAAACAACAAATGCTGCCTTCAATGCCACGTCGCCGAAAATTGAAAAGCCAATTCCCTCATCGGACTGGATACCGCCAAAACATGAACTTCCAGCACTGTCAACTGGGGCGAAGTTGATGTACTTGCCAGGGATAACGATTTGAGAGTTACCAACAGCATAGGTAAATGACGGCAGAGAGGTGCTACAGGGGAACACGTAGCCCGCTTGCGAACTGTCATATCGGGCATTACGGATCTGCTTATAATAGGTAGTGACAACACTGCTTGGGACAAGAAGGAGCGTCGTGCCGGTGTCAGCAATACCCGTGATCGAAGTCGAGTCCAAAGTGCCTGAGCCCACGGCGTAGCCGGGTGATGTGAACATCCACCATCCGTTAGATGAATCTACGGCAGTGTAGGTGAGAGATCCGTTGTAGGCAGAGTCGTCGATGTAGCCAAAGTTGTACTTGCCCGCTATCGAAAGAATTAGTAGTGCGCCTTGCATTTTTGACTACGGTCTGCGTACCTTTGCCATACTTAAGGTCAGCTGTGAATACTGCCGAGTCGAGCGATGGCTTTGCCATATCGAAAAAGGTCTTCTGCTGTGTCGGTTGGACGGTGTTGATACTGCTGAAGGCCAAGCCGAGAAGGCCATCGAGGTCCGCCTCCGCGGTGAATTCACGCGAAACCTTCTGAGCGGACTCGACGGCGACGTTGGATACACTGAGACCACCGATGGTGACCTTGTCGGTATACACAGAGCCACTAGAAGAGCTACCATCGCCGTATGAGATCTTCCACGTTGCACCAGACAATTTCTTCGCAGTGCTACTCTTGGAAGGATTGTAGACGGTCTGTCCCTGCACGGAACTCTTCGGTGTTTCGGAGCTGAACACCCAGAGATCGGAAGATCCCGTGTCAAAGTCTAGCATGAGGGTTTGCGCCGGCGTGCCTATGGAGACTGGGCTAAGGTATTCGGCATCGTATTGTGCTGGGGTGGCTACGACGCTTCCGGTAGCGCGTTTGTCCAGGCCGAGTTCCTGGAGCAGCCTTGCTACGGCGGCGCTCAGGTCACCCGGGACAGGCGCACCATATTTGATGTAGGCCTTTGCCAAGGCAAAAGGGCCGTGACGGCCGGCAAACTGGGCATTGCGAACCTGCTCAACCGAGAGGGACTGGCCAACGGCCGTCCCAACTCTTGGGTGTGCAAGTGGCGAGGCAAGGGCTCCCGTGGCGGCAAGGCCAGCCAGAAGGAAAGCAGTTGACGGCATGCTGCGTGAACGAGTCGGCAAACTTGAGAACCAGGCTGCCCTGCAATGGACTAGAAGGAAAAAGAGATGGCAATATCCGATGAACTACTTGGACATCAGTCCTTTGAATGTGAGGGCGACTGATGAGCCGTGGTATTTATCTCAAGCCCGCAAGTCCATGACGACTGCGGTTGCACGCCGCCGAGGGAGGGACAGTACTCCTGAGGCGTTTTCGCACGGGTAATGATCGCCTTTGCTAAAGACATTCAATCAGGGGTTGTGTGGACATGCGGTGTTGCTCGGCTTGGGTGGATCCCGGAGTCGCTTGCCAAGTGCGGGTGTGGTGTTGATCGCGGGGGCTTGTCTGTATTTCACACCTGCCCAGCTTGGCAAGCTCCGGCCAGATTCGGTGTTTTGCATCTCTGGTGATTTGACTATCCTGGACCTGTTGGAAGTAGCACGGCCTCTTAAGAAGCAATATAGAGTTGGGCAAGCTCTATGTGAAACGGCCCTCTTTTCCCAGTGACCACTAGAGAGTGAAGATGGGCATCTCACTGCGATAAGAGCAGTTGATATTGGTGTGCTGAATTACCAGCCAACGCAGCCAATCATGGCCTGCTGCGCGGGTGGTGGCGTCAAGTAGGCAGATCCCTATTCGACCCAAGTTTAGTTGCTCCAACTAGTACCCGGTCCAGCTAGGCAGGTCAGGGGTCTCGCCCGAGGTACTGTTGTGTTTAAGCTTCGGCCTACCGACGGCACATCCTGCATCGTGATCCCTCCTCCTCTCGCGGAATGTGGTGGCGCTGATTGGTTTTCTCCCACAGCCGACATATCATTGCGACACCATCATGACCCGGAGAAACCCCAGTGTCTGGGAGGCACCCATGCAGAGTGCGATGATCAAGGGGTGGCATCCCGCGTCAGGTGGAATGGGTTCCGGACGGCTTGCCGCGCTGGTGACGGTGGAGCTGGCCTCCTTTCCTGGCAAAGAGCTCCGATAAAGAAGCCTGACGGCGATGCCAACACAGAGCTGATACAAGTAGATCTAAGGGCTCTGGCGATCATCATTTCCTTTTCCATCTCCCATTGGTCTCCAATAGCCCGGCTCTGAGTTAGCTTGGCACATGTTTGTCAAAAATGAGACCTGAACAAGGCCCCGCCTGACCCCATTAGTGGGCTCTTGCCGCCGGGAGCGGGTCGGCGACCACCATCAAACTGAACCTGAGGCCCTGCGGCCTTGAGATCCTTCAGGGACTTAGTTACCCGGGACAGTTCCAGAAGCTGTCGAGATGCCTCTTAACGATTGGGTTGACTTGCACTTGTTAGTGCGAAGGTTCTTCCCTGGTCATGGGCTGCAACTAAAATGCATTTGATTGGTTTACTTTGAGCATTTACAGATAATGTCCTCTCCGCCTCATCTCCGGGCGGGCCAATACAAGTCATTGTGTCATGCATGGAATATTACCCTCAATCCACCCATCAACTCAGGAAGTTCCCTCCAGAAAGACTCTGCGACATAGCGAGTATCAGTCTAATCATATATCAGAATCACATATATGTCTGAAGGATGCTAAGGGAGCGTAAATTGTTAGCTTCGGCATGGATGATGCTATGTTGGATACCGCATGCGGGCAGCTGCTATGCACACCAAGAATTGCTGTATTCGTGAACTACCAAATCACGTTACATAACAGCAAACATCAGTTCCGCTTCGGTAGATGATAAACATTCAGAAAAGCCCGATATCTACAGATCTTGCAGACAACCAAAGAAAAGCACTCAAGAGCGTGAGTTTCCTAACCCAATGCTCCAAACTGGATGGACGGTGGAGACTTGATGTGCATGAACGGACTCCGAGGCCGAGAAACTCCGAGAAAACGATGCATCACCAAGAAAATGTAGGCCCTCAAGCATTCTGTGAAAGTGAGGAGTCATAGGGGAGGCTCAGCCTGTGAGTTCGGCACTCTAACAAAAAGGGGGGAAAGAACGGAATATCTTCGCCGCGTATGATACTTCACACTCAGCAACAGACGTCGCCGCTAACCATGCAAGTAGTTGTGTGCAAGTGCCGTCCGCTTGGGCAAATGTGCGAACATGATCAAGGGCATGGCATCTGCCGTGATCTGAAACAGCAAACTTCAACTTTGGCCGAGACTTGAGCCTGGCATCGTAATGACGTCTTCTCAATCAATTTGAGAGTTCCGAGATGCTGGCGTGAAAGCTGTGGCAGTCGAACATGAGACAGGCACTAAGGTGCAAATTTGTACAGATCGTGACGGGAATTGCGTCATTAGAGCAGTAGTGTGGCAGGTGGCATAGCCTCGATTTTCTCACGAGCCCGCCTCCCCATCGGGTGATCTGTGCAACCCTCATAATCTTCCCTCATAAAACTGTCTTAGTATTCTTGAAAAACGGTCCCTATTCGCTATATCGAGTCGGCTTTCCCGAGGGCCAATCACCTTTCTTGGATCGTCAATTTAATTTGGGGTAGCCGTGATGGCGTACTTCGGAATGACTGGTGGATGGCTGACGTTTTGGGCGACGGTGGCTTGTGCTGCCGACACGGCACTCTTTAGGCATGGAACATGACTACTTGTCCATCATGAAGCAGCTAACAGGCTAATATTTATGGTCGGCGCGTATTTTCAGGCGTAATGTTGTTCTGGAAGACCTTGTCTTTTAACACTCAGAACCCTCGACTAATAACAATGCCAGCGTGACCGGCGAGAAGGCGACACGTGAACAGGCATTGGACGACGAGACAGCGTAGTGAGAGCATGCAGTCAGGTAGATCGCGAACTCGTTCCTGAAGGGGCATTTTTGGTAATCTTGGCTTGATAGCATTCACCACATCAAGTGTAAATCAGTCCTTGCGAACCAGATTTGCTCCCTAGAATATGGCTAGCGCATTCGGTGGACTTGCAACGCCGCCTTCGATATTCAAGGGAGAACTTGTTACAAGGAAAGTCCATCGTTGTACAGCCTCGCAGTGGCGTGCCAATTCATCCAAATCGAAGAGTTCTCCAATAGGCATACCGAAACCTGCCAGTAGGATCTCATGCATGCTGCCGCCCTTGGGCGCTGGCAGAGTCTTGGTAAGCTAACTACCCTCTTTTGAAACGGGTACAAAGGGCTATTCGAACTTACGCCATGCTTCGAAGCTGGGGCAATCTCCACAACACGCGGCAAACTTGTTATCCCACAGCCATCGCAGGGTCTCCACAGAGCTGGACAACCCGGGATACTGGCCTGGATTCTCCAGTGACATCTTCTGCTGCTCATCGTACGATTTGGCCTGACAGGCCTGGACGAAACCTGGAATATGTCATCAGCGTCGCTAAGCGAGCACTATCATCATGTCTAGCGCACCGGTCCTCAAGACGAGTATGTCTCCGGGTCTGAAGTTGATTCTGCATTCTTCGGCAGCCGATTGAAGTTGGTTGAGTGTGATTTCAGCGCGACTTGTTGGGTTGTAACTCAAATTGTGTCTTTTTGCATACCGCGCAAAGTCGACAAGAACACCCCGACCAACAATCCCTTGGTGGCTCCAAGCTGAACCTTATTGTTAGTGCTTCACATTGTCCACTCAGTTAGTCTTCGTGGGTGAAGATTCACCCACCTTCGATCCCAATGGGTGAGTTTACCGATCGAACCTGCGCCGCTGTGGTACCGTTGTAGAACAGGCCGTCAACATAGCCGCAGTGGCCAAAGCCATCCCACTGAGAGCTGGTTTGGGTGTTGAACTGGATGCAATCATCCTGGACGCACGGTCAGATTGCAATGTGTTTCCTTCTCTGCACTAAAGAAGAATGTGTAACTTACATGCATATTATGTGCGATGCTATAGATCTCATGGGTAGGAGGCGAACGGAAGCTCGGACGGAGAAAGTTCTGCTTAAGAGGCAAGTTGAGTCCTATCCGAACGCCTGTGCGAACCTCTTTGACTGCTTGCAACACATGATCTGGAGTGAGGTGGTTCAATGTCCCTAGACGGTCTTTCTCTCCCCAGACACCCCACGCAGCATGCGGCGGGTGTGTCGGATCCAGGGGAAGATCTGAAAACTCCGGAAACTCGGGCGGACACGGCATTTCTTATCTGGCAATACGAAGATTCGTAGCCGGGCGTTCTCATAATCGACCCTTAGAGAATAGAGCCGTATAACATATACCTCTCTATCTTTCCTCAACAGGATCCGGCTCCCCCAGTGTGCTAGATTGTTTAACCGGCTGCCACGAGTTTGTTGACGCGCGGAAGTTCACTTTCCCTTGTGTCTGAGACTGACTCCGCAATGTGAAGATCTTGGCGTTTCTGAGCTTAGCCTTCTCCACAAAGCCCGGATAGCGCCCTTTGAAGGTCATGAAGCTTCAAATGCACGTCTACATTGCTCTTTAGCCCCGGGCCGAGACTGGGGTTCCCCATGGAGTATTGGGTTAGGCGTCGCTGGTATTTTATGAACAAGCTTTCCCGCTGAGAGCCTGAGCTGGACTTGCAACTTTCTCTGTATCTTCCTGCAGGCTCTGTTTATTAACTCAAACTTAAATCATCATGGAACCGAAGCCTTCTAGCCCCGAGGTTGAGAGGGTCGAGCACCCTGTTCCAATAGCAGTCAGTGCACGGCCAGGTGAAGAGCTGGGTGAGGGCAAGTTGAACTCGTTTGTCATTGCCTTGGCGACCTTTGCCGCGCTTGGCAATCTTCTATACGGGTAAGACCTCGTAGCCTGCTCCATATGTCCGGGCTATGCGAAGAGAAGACACAGATCGCTGACTTGTACTGCGCTGTGCAGGTACAATCAAGGTGTTATGGCAGTGATCCTAGAAATGCCACAATTCCTAGACGCCTTTCCCGAGATCAACGCCGACAAGTCGGCCCGTGCTGGCTTCTTAAAAGGTCTAATGACAGCCATGGTAGAGCTCGGTGCTATGATAGGCTCACTGTCATGCGGATATCTCGCCGATAGATACTCCCGGAAGCGTACCATTTTCTTTGGTAGTGTTGGGTTCATGGCTGGTCTGATTCTTCAAGTTGCATCGCAAGACTATCCCATGCTTGTTGTGTGTGGCCCCTCTTCGAGATCGCCTGGTAAGGAGACTTTCTAAGATCCCCACAGGTTGGCCGTCTCATCTCGGGATGGGGAATCGGCGTCTTCTCCATGATTGCACCACTGTACGTTTCAGAACTCGCCCCAACCAAGTGGCGTGGTGCTCTTTTGGCTATGGCTGGATGGAGTATTCTCGTTGGAACAGTGAGTACAAGCTGAGGCTCCAGCTTTCAATACTGTGACTGACTTTGTAGTCTATCTCCTTTTGGATCACATATGGCACCAGATTTATCAGCTCAACGTGGTGTTTCCGCCTCCCATTCGCTCTACAGTTCGTTCCGGCGATCGGGCTAGCGGCGGGGGCCTTCTTGCTTCCCTTTTCCCCACGTTGGCTGGCGGCGCAGGATCGCCAGGGCGAAGGTCTCGCTGTACTTTGTCGGCTGAGAGGATGCAACGCCCAGGAGCCCGACGAACAGACAGTCGCGGAGTGGACCGAAATCCTAATTGCCGGTCAGTCTCCCTCTCATAAGGCCTTTCACGGGTGGATGATGCTCAGGCCCATTCCGGTCACTATCCTAACATCTTTCAGTCCAACTCGATCGATCAGCACTCACAGAGACGCACGGCGACGTAAGTCCTGGGACCCTCCAGTGGGAGTTCCTGCGCTGGAGAGATTTGTTCTCTACCAAGGCCATGCTACGTCGCTTTGCCGTCGCGTGTGGTCTATTCTGGTTCCAGCAACTTGGAGGTGAGTGTATATTAGCTATCAGCCTTTGCCTATCAAAGCAATACTGCAGGGCAGCAACCTCCTTGGTCTGCCTGGGGTGTACGTAGCTGATTCCTCACTAGGTATCGACGCGATTCTGTACTATGGGCCGGCTTTCTTCAACAGCCTGAACTATGACAAAGTGCAACAATTGAACTGGTCCGGTAAGCGAATCTAGATGGTGGTGTCTGCAAGGTTTCGCCCGTCTCACCAAGTTGCTCCTAGGTGTTGTGAACTGCATGAATCTCGCGGGAGGAACCACAACCCTTTTTACGACGGATCGATTGGGACGAAAAAAGCTGTTGATCGCTGGTGCTGTTATTATTACCTCCTGCCATGCCATCCTTGCCGGACTGATTGGAACTTACCAGAAAGACTGGGCAACGCACCATGGCGCAGCCAAGGTGAGATATCTACCTTTGACTTTGACCGGACTGCTGTGGCTATTCTTTCTCGACGAGGCATCCTGCTTACGACTCTCTTAGGCTGGCGTGGCGATGCTTGTGATCTTTATGTTCTTCCAAGGAGCCACCTTTGGACCGTAAGTAGAATGTGAATATTTCTGTTCCTCACGGGCATGCTGACTCATCGGCTCGCAGGACTCCTGCTGTTGTCTGTAACGAGATCTTCCCGTATCGCCATAGAGCGCGGGGTGTTGCTTTTGGCATCGCAAACGAATGGGTAGGTCATTGCGGCCGGCGCGTCATGAGGACGAGCGTTAATGCAAGGTAAAGCTAACGCGCGTACGCATACAGCTCGCCAACTTCACTGTTGGACTGATTTCCCCAGCATTGCTTGACAAGTCCGCTTGGGCTACGTTTGTCTTCTTCGGGGGCTGCACCTTTCTCTCATTCTTCTTTGTGGTGTTCTACGTCCCTGAGACCAAAGGCATCTTACTGGAAACAATGGATGTGATTTTCAAGGATCGCGCGGGTGATGAGGATGCCAAAATGCGGGCTGCCATCGAATCCGAGGTTCGCTCGAGCGCCGCTGTTGCAACAGAACTCCACTAGACGGACGTTTGGACGTAACGTCCTACGCATGAAGGTCCCGAGCCGGTAACAATGGAGGCTTCTCAGACTTCCAGCACAGCTTTTCAACAAGGTCACGGCTTCTTGCCATTCATATTCAATCTGGATATTCAATGTTACCGGGTTCGTACACGGGAAGGCACGTGCATTAGAGCAGGAGTATGTCAAGGGGACAAGGCAGTCAGAAAATCGAAGACAGAAATGTCCAAGAGGTAACTAGTTTTACAAGTCTAGATAACTATGCTCTGGCCCGTGGCACCCAGCCAGGTTTGGGGGCTGAGCTAAGACTAAAAGCAAGCATCCATGCATGGATCTTTTTCTGGCTACCTAGGTAGCCATACACAGGTTTTGATTGTTATTGGAGGCGCGCTGTGCAGGCATTGACATTGCAGCTGAGTGATCAGCCACGCTTACTCGGGGGCATTTTCAACCCATTGTCGGCCGCCAAACCCCATGGATGGCCCAGGCCCAGCCTTTTTGGGGGCGTCGCGGGATTGTGGAGCGGCCAGTGGAGAAGGTTCTGGTCTTGAGCCTGTCGAAGAATTACAATAGACTGCAGTCCACAACAGGACCTTTGTTTTTTGTTGTTTTGGAAGGGCAAAAAGACCCGACGCTGAGATTCCTGCCCGCTTGTAGGCTTGGAACCTGCCAGCCATTGGTGACGTGCGAGTCCGCTCATGATTTCGGGTCTCATGGCGAGCTTATTGGGGTGAGATGGCGGAGACCTCGCCGGCCAAAGGTGGGTGTCATCAGCACAGCCCTATCACCTAGGCAAATTACCCCTGGTCCAGTAAGGTGCAGGCGGTTGAGACCCCATCATGCTGGCATGCTTATCGAGTGATCAGGTGAGCTGTCCATGCTCCGTAAGCCGAGGCCTCTGTCTTCGTTCAGCTCGTCCAGTTTGCACGGAGACTCTCCTCTGTTTTCTTCCACTTAGGCAGCTTAGCTTCGCGAGATTCTCATTGTTTGGCTCTTATGGAACTCAGGCCCCTAGCCGCCACCTGGTTTGCCTCAGGGTGCTGTAATGGCACTATTCTGTAGGACATGGCGCCACAGCGGACCACCAAGCGCAACGGCCCGCTCCGTGCTGCTTCTGGCACTACTCCTCGGCGCAGAAAGCCCGGCTCAGGCCGCTTGCGGCGTTGAGTTCCTGTATCCTCAAGGAGGAGAAAAGTTTCACTTCAACGATGTGCTCAATGTCACGTACGTGTCCCACATAACAGCCCCAACTCTGTACTGTTGGTGCGGTGGCCCGGGAGCGGCGTCGCAAAGTAAGCACTGGATGTTCGCACCTCGGAGGGGAGATGCCTTGGATCCCACGCTGACGATAACGGCGGTCCACCCGCGCGACAGAAGCAACAGTGCCGAACGCGCCTCCGCTCAACGGATCTGTGCTACTCGAGCTCGATTTCACATCCTTCGAGCCATGCTGGCTCAATCTCCGTCCAAATTCAGAAGAGTGCGAGGGCAGCGGCGATAACAGTCTACCATTCAGCATCGATAACACACGAGGTAGCCTGGCGACTCTCGGGCTTCCACAGCCGTCCGCCACAAAGACGGGAGGAAGGGCCTCGGCCCCTTCAGACCCGAAGCAAGGACACAACGGGTTGAGCACGGGTGCTAGTGTGGCCATCGGCGTCGGGGCCACGGTTGTTGTACTGGCGCTCATCGGTGGCATTTTTGCTCTCGTATGGCTTCAGCGGAAGAAGCGCAATCAGGAAAAGGTGAGGCAGTCATACAACCATGCAGGAGGGCTATGGCGGCGCTCAGAGAAGCCTCAGCCGTTGCTCGCGCTTGAGCCTCGGTCGCTCACGCATTCAAGCCGGTCGTCCCTCCAGCAGCTGCACGGTCTCCCTACCTCTTTCGTCGCACCAGGCATGACCTTTTCCACCACGCCGGACTCCGCCACACATATCATGAGCGGCGCCCGCCAGTCGCGAGTAGGACACAACGCAGTTGTAGCGCCTCAGGATGAGCATCGACAGCTAATCCCTGCGATGCATGAGGGCGCTCCACTATCGGCGAGCATGTATCAACCCACTCCAGTCGGGTTCTATGCGTCTAGAAAGGAGCCCAGCAGGAACCATATTCGGGATAGGGAGGTCAGCAATGAGCCTGTCGAGTATCCTGGACGAGACGCCAGCATGGATCTGACCACTTCTGCCGTCATGCACCCATATGAGCCAACAGAACTACCCGGAAAGGAGAGTCATCGAGGATATGGAGAAGAGTATGAGCTCTCGATTCCACAGCACCCGCGCCCATTCCAACCAAGTGGCCACGAAGTGCAGGAGCAGAAGTTTCTCCTTGACGATGTCGAGCTCCGAGAAATGAAGCAACAGGCACGGCTCAAACAAGGACGCTAAGGGTGTGGTACAGTCTATATTTTGACACGGAGAATATAGCTCTACTACCGGAAAATTTTCTCCAATGGCCTTGTACGATTCATGAAGTTATCATGGAGTTCTAGGGAAGAGCTGTGCTAAGATATCATTGTGTTTGGTTTGTAAGTCAGGCGTTCAGGTGGATATCATGACCGAGAAGTAAGAGATTTATGGATGTATCCCATTCTTGGGGCAGGCACAGGAGCAACTTGAAGATGGAAACAGGCCTCCTTCCTCTTAGACATCTTTCTTAATAGAACATGTGAAATGTGCGGCCAAGCATGAGCAAGCGACACATTTCTCATGAAATGTCCCTAGCGCCCAATGAACTCATCTTCGGGGTTGAGCTGATAGTTCGCAAACTTCGAGAATGTCAGCAAGAGGATCCGATACGAAAAGGGCAGTATTTCTTCTTACCTTGCGAGCAGGGATGCCCTTCTGGAACATCACATCCATCTCTCCGAAAGTGCGGTCCTTCGTCTCAGGCAGCCGGAAGTAGCCCCAAACGGTCGTCAGAAAGGACAGACTCCCCCAGAAGAATGCCTAATGGTTTTCAATGAGTGCGCCACCTCGACTTCTCAGCTGAGCCACTTACTGTCTTGCCTTTAGCGTCCCAAGCCGTCGGGGACATAAAGTACGGCTGGAGCACCCCGCCGATGATGTTGCCAATATAATACGTCGTCCTGCCAAGGACAACGGTCTGCGTCCGGAGACGAGTGGAGCCGATCTCGGCAACGATCGTGTAGACAATGGGACCGACAGACATGGAGTAGGAGCCCAGCCAGACCAGGCACAGACACGACTGCGCCCAAGCGAGCGTCTTCGTCTGGTTCGGGACGCACGCGAGAATGCCAATGGTGAACAAGACCAGGACCAGCATGTAGAAGCCGTAAAGCCAGATTGTGCGACGTCCCCATCTGGAAAGGTAGAACCATGAGATGATAGTGCCGCAGAAGGCGATTCCTGTGCCTGCGAGACCGATGGCATAGGCGGCATCGGCACTGATGCCCGTTTGTTCGAAGAAGAAGCTCCCGCTGTAACACAGGGCACCGCCGTCAGTGATCTGAGAGAGAAAGCACATGCACGCGATCTCGGTACGGCGCCGGTTAGTGCCCTTGAAGGCATCCCAGTAGCTCGTTCCGGCCTGCTCTTCCTTCTCGATCTTGTCGGTGTGGACCATGAGGGCGATAGTGGCATCGTAGTCGACATTGTGCTCGGGCTCCGAAAGGCGGACGAGCGACTTGCGGGCTGACTCGAGATTGCCGTTTCGCACGAGGAACCAAGGGGATTCAGGGGCGAGGAGAGCAGCGATGAAGAGGGGGACGGGCCAAACCCACTGGACAGCAAATGGAATCCTAAGAGACCTGTTGTCAGTTGAAAGTGCGATTACGCAGAGCTCCCAGGGAACGTACTTGTATCCCCACTGAGATTTGTTGTTGACCAGTCCCTTCAGGACACCAGCAGAGATGAATTGGCCGATACACCAGCACAAGTTGACGTATCTGGATGGTAAAGTTAGCGGGCTGCAGGACCCCTAGGCTTGCACGATGTTCATACGCAGTGAGATAGCCTCGCAGGGCCAACGGAGCCACTTCCGCTGCATACGCCGGTCCAGTCGTCGCAAACACACCCCACGGGATGTTGCAGAGAAAGACGCCGACTAGAAGGACCTCGATGTTTGGCGAGAAGAACTCGATGAAGATGAAGGCAGTGAGGAAGGCCAAACTGAACATGAGCGTCTTGCGATGGCCATATTTGGCTGTAAAGTACCCGTTGAGCAGAGCACCGATGATGTTGCCCACGGCGGCAATGTCGTTGAGCCCGGCCTGCCAGGCCGAAGAAATCTGGTATCCATGCTCTTCATCGTGCCACTGGCCATACTTTTCGCGAAAAGTCGGGTATCCAATGAAGCTGGCAACCAAGGTCACCTAATTGCAAATGGTCATTGTCAATTCCTGGTAACCGAGTGGGTTTTCGAAGCGTACATCGTAGCCTTCCATGATCACGGTGGTAGATATCACTGTTTGCGTGGTCCGCGCAGTAAGCATCCAGATGCCTCACGCAATAGAATCAAACATCCAGCGCTCACAAATAGACCAGAGAGCCGCGCGCTTGTACGTCTTAATGCCTTGCAGGAACGTAAGGCTGTGCTCGTTCGCGGTACCCTGAAGGGCTTCCGCGTTAAGTATCTTGTCATCGAGCCCGACCTGTGTGAAACTGGTATAATTGACATTGCTTCTCTCGATACGGTCATCAGTCGGGACCTTCTCATTCATGCCGGGAGGAGCGTGCCCGGCTGTCTGTATGTCAGAACTCATCTCGGCTTCGTCAACGGGGTTCGCAGCTTCAGCACTTTTGCGTCGACAGGTTCCATGAACATGATCTAAGGTACCTCTGAATTGGGGGTGGCAGCCTCTTAAAAGCTTAGACAGATCTACAATTGGCCTGGGCCTGGCCGGTGGTCACCATCTTGTCAACGACACCTGCATCGGCCGCCGGACCGTGCATACCGCAAGCTCCTGCAAGCAACAGCCATTGTCACTTGTCCCAGTCCTGTATTGGAAAGAAGTAAGTGGTCAAGTGTAAAGGGCTGCAGATCATGCATGTGAGGTTGGGGAATAGGAAAGAAGGGCGAGCTGTGTCCATCTTGATCCACGCGTGTTGTAAGACGGCCATTGGTGGAAAGTTTGAGGATCACTTCCAAGGCGGGACTCGACAGGGAACAGAGCGAGGGCCAGGTCTGGGGGATCTGGGGCGGGGCGAGCTGTCCCGCACATCAAGCTGGATGAGGATGGAGCAGCATGGGGTGCGTCTCTGGGACATCAGAGACCAGATGCTTAATCACAACAAGCAGCACGGCGAGGTGGCGCCAAGAAATGGCTTTGCCTACAGTCATAGCTCTCGGAAGAGGATATCCTATTCCGTCATTCGAAAGGTCTCTTCAGTCTCGGATGGAAAGACAGTCCTGTTCGATGGCTTGACTCCAGGGTATCGTATGATCCCATCGGCTGAATTGATAAAAAGAAGGACCAAGGCCATCTCAAGGGAGAACCAAAGGGAGGAGCCGTAGGACCTCACCCACAAGCGCCATATATGACCCGACGGGTGTTTGCTTCGGCAATCGACCGGGCTCGGACAGAGCTGCACAAGAGCTTGTTGGTGCGCTTCCACACCTTGGGGGTGGTGGCCAGTCTGGGGTTCGATGGCCCAAACTCGGCCCCATTCCCTCGCATTTTCCGTCGAAACGGCACGACGGGCCTGAATCACGAAATCGGGGAACTACTCCGTACAGGTAGGTAGTCAGATGTGCCATGAGCCAAAACGTGTGAGCGCCGAAACCTTGGGCTTCCACACCGGAAGCAAGTATCGGAGCACTCGCTCGCAACATTTGTCGGCATGCTTCACCTCCATTCTTCCATTTCACATGCAGCAAAGATGTCCGAGATGTGCGGCGGGCTACACGCTCCCGCCGCCTCTGTGAGTTCATTCAATCTGATCACAATGGTAACATTAAGTAGAGACATGCCTCATAAATACCCTCCCAGACCCATCAACCAAAGAAAACGATCCGTCCTAACGCCAACCCGATCGACGACGGGCTTGTCAAAATTCCACAAGCTCAAGCAGCAACCAGGAGTGCTGGACTAAATCCATCCAACAGAGTCGCAGCTGGCAGTGTAGGGGCATCGCTGTCATCGTCATGATCGGTCCATCCTCTTTCTGGGCCCCAACAGAGCGTTTTCCGGCTCTCGAGCGCCGCGCTGAGCAGTGCTTGCATGATGGGGGACGCTTTGCGCACGCTCTCCCATGCGTCAAACTGAACCCTGTCGACATGGGGAAGACCGGCAAGCAAACCCACGAGAAGATCGCGCGAAAATGATTCATAGAAGCCATCAGCCTGTCTGTAGCCTTGAAGGAAACTGAGGCTGGGGTCCAGCTGCACAATCACATTCAGCTTGCGTACATTGACGCAATCGCGCAGGCCTAGTGAGGGATTGACCACCCAGCCTCGGGGTGGCTTACTCCAGCCTGGTCCGAGACGCAGCTCGAGCGAGGTAATCAAAGAACGCTGGCGGGCATTGAGCCTGGCCAGCAGCGGCCGTTTGGTCTTGAAATGACGCCCCGGAAACGTGGGGAACACACGGAAGGTATGGGTGCTGAAAAAGAAGTAAGACGCCTCGGAATAGACGGTACGACACGTGCGTAGGAGGAGCAAATTCTTCCAAATACGCTTGAAGTTGCTGGGGTCGAGATCGATTACTTTGTTGTGCGTCCCTGCAAAATGATACTCGTAGACCCTGACGCGCAACTCGGACGGAAGAGCGAGGAAAGGGAACGGCTTGGCCGGCTTCTTGGTGGCCTTGGCGTCGTCTTTCGTGTCGGTCGAGGTTCCATCCTCGAGACTGAGCTGGTGCATAGGTATCTGGCTCACATCGTCCTGGTCGTACTCGTCCTCTGTAGGGTATCTGGACGGGTGCGCCGAGCTCAGTGGCGTTGTCTGTGTCGACGGAATGGGTGTTGGTGAAATGGGTGTCGGGGCCAGGGTAGGGCCCTGGGCCCGTGAGGGTCGCGAGGCTTTGCCCCCTCTGGGTCGTCGCGCCATCTTGCTATGCGGTGAGTCGAGCCGGATATGATCTTCGGAACGCTCAGGGGATGTGTGTAGAGAATGCTTGGGCAGCTTCGGTAAACGGGAGTGCGGGTTTGGAAGCAGGCACTTTGCGGAAGGAAAGCAGTGCGACAGCCGGCGACGACGACTGTAGTTCAGTTGTAAATTGGACTCGAGATCGGATGACCGAATGGGTGAAAAGACAGGACTCTAGAGGGTGGTGCCATCGTGAGTGCCACTCGCAGTTCAACCGACGGAGGACCACCCTCTAGAATGCAGCATGCGCGGCCGCCATGGTGATTGTGGTGGTTCTCTCAAAGGCTGTTTGGGATGATATTTCGAGCGTCGAGAGCCCCGACAGTGCCGGAATGCGAGAGCGGGATGTTGTCGGGTCGAGGTTTTGAAGAAGCGGAAGAAGGTTCGCACGAACTCAGGATAGGCCAATGGGTGGTGGAAGAGGAGGGGAATGAGACAGTCCAGGAGGCACGAGAGCAGGAAGCGGGCGGGGGAGGGAGAGGATGTGTTTCGACGGTATTGCTTGGACTTTGGCTGAGAAGAGGGTGTGTTCGCGTGCTTCGTCAGTGGTTGGCTCAGGGAGCAGGTTCCGAGGACGGAAGAGACGGACAGGTACAGGGTCACAGAGGCCTGGAGAAGAGGAGGTCCAGTCGCAGGCAAATGCGATGAGATGCCGGCAAAAGCTGGGATGAATGGACCGGACTCGAGTCCTCGCTGCAGTGCAATTCTGCGGGTGGCGTCTGTCTGGTCTGGTCTTGTGCCTGCCGCCCCCTGCAAAAATTGGCGGGGAAAGAGACAACGGGAAAAGCGGGGTGCAAATTGAGCAAGTGGAAAGCGCGGGCAGGGTGGCTCGGTGGCAGGCACATTCTTGCCATATATGACTAAGCATTGCTATCAACACGTGATGACTCCTGGTTATGATATCACCGCACAGACCACATCGCAGTACTGAGAACCGGAGCAGCGGGTCCAGCCCAAGGACTGTCGTCCCGCCCAGACCGCCGTACCCAATCAGCCATGCCAAAAAATCTGGTGACGGAATCTTCGAGCTTCCTCAAGCCGCCAGCCCAGCTCAAGTGCTCCAACCGTTTTCGCATCTCCTTGGATCAGCCAATTCAGGAGCACACCCACCGGTCCAACAGCTTCCTGCCAGCACATATCCCCGAGCTCGGCAGAGTGCTTTAATCCGACGCTTCGTTCTGTCGTCTAGATCCTCCTTCGTCCATCAAGAGAAGCTGTCTGAAGTTCCCAACCATGCTGTCCAGAGTGGTCGCCCGCTCTTTGCGGACAGCCGCCTCTGCGCGCTTCTCCCCAGCGGTCACTTCATGGAGGGCTTCGCCCGCAGCTCTATCATCAGTATGGATCAGGGGTATGGCAAATGACAACAAGCCCGGCTCGTCTAGATTCGGCACCCCTCAGAACTCCCAACAGAGCTCGTCCGAATCCCAGAAGTCGTCCCCTGCCGGGACCCAATCTCAGCGCAACACTCAAGATTCTGCTCCTGCCGATGCTACGGAGAGCAAACCATCCTCCCAAGCCGACTCCCCTACCGAAGCTCAGCAGACCCATCCCGAACAGCAGATCCCCTTCAACCAGCTGCCCGACCTCACCCAGGGCATCCCCTCGACTCTCGAGTACGAGACTTCAGGCGCTACCAACCGCTCTGCTCTTTCAACCATTGAGGAAGATGCATCAGCCGGTGGCCGTGGGAAGGGCGAGCTCCCTGCCTCTGCCTACATTTCATCTTCTGAGAAGCGCCGCGCCAAATTTGCCAACTACGCCTTTGGAATGTCAGCTCTGTTCATCGTCGGTGCAACTGTCTACTCGGGCAGGAACTGGGACGAGGTGGATGCCAAGCGCCACCCGGACGTTCCCAACGGATGGGGACTTGGGCTCTGGTGGAATCGCGCCAGCGCCCGCACGAAGGAGCTTTTGACCTACTACCATGAACCTGCATTCGAGAAGCTGCTGCCCGACCCGGACCCCATGTTTGAGCGCCCCTACACGCTTTGCATCAGCTTGGAAGACCTACTAGTCCACAGCGAGTGGACGCGTGAGCACGGTTGGCGCGTCGCCAAACGACCGGGAGTCGACTACTTCCTGCACTACCTCAGCCAGTACTACGAGCTCGTCCTCTTCACCACTGTCCCCTTTGCTATCGGCGAACCTCTTGTTCGCAAGCTTGACCCCTACCGGTTCATCGTGTGGCCGCTATTCCGCGAGGCAACCAAGTACAAGGACGGCGAGGTTCTCAAGGTGAGCTTCCTCTCTCGTGCACCTCCTTGAAACCAGACCTGCTAATTTCTTTCGACACAGGACTTATCTTATCTGAACCGCGATCTCTCAAAGGTCATCATCATCGATACCAACGCTCGGCATGTCCGCGAACAGCCTGACAACGCCATCGTTCTTCCTAAGTGGACAGGTGATCCCAAGGATAAGGAGCTGGTCAGCCTGATTCCCTTCCTCGAGTACATCTACGCCATGCAGTACGGCGATGTTCGTAAGGTCCTGCACTCTTTCGAGGGCAAGCACATCCCTACCGAGTTTGCCCGTCGCGAGGCCATCGCCCGAGCAGAGTTCCAGAAGCAGCTGGAATCTCAAGGCAAGCACAAGACCAAGAGTGGCATCGGGGCTCTCGGAAGTCTGTTGGGGTTGAAGCCCAGCAATATGAGCCTGATGGTCAGCCCTGACGGTGAGCCCAACCCGGGCGAGGAGTTCGCCAAGGGGAAGATGCTGCAGGACATCGTTCGGGAGCGCGGTCAGCGCACCTATGAAATGATGGAGAAGGAGATCCGCGAGAACGGCGAGAAGTGGCTCAAGGAGGAGGCTGCGCAGATGGAGAAGGCCCAGCAGGAGGCTATGCAGAGCATGAAGAGCTCCTTCTCCGGCTGGTTCGTCCCCAACGACGCCAAGCCAGCATCGGCACCCGCCCAGGAGCCCAAAGCATAAGGCGGCAGGGTCATGACACACCTGCGCCGACAAAAGACACATGTATAACACTGTTTCCCTTCTTTCCTTTTCTCTCTATGTTTCTCATTCCCAACACTTCACGAGCCACTAGCATAGACGCATCGCCGCATACGCGTCATCGTGTGCCCTAACCCACCACCCTACTCTTGTACTCGACGGCATTTGCATGGAGCAAAGGTTGGGCCCGGAATGGCCTGAGGGGGAATAGACGGAGGTTCTGCTTCGAGTACATAAACATGTCACAAAATAATTGGCTGGCTAGGAGGGTTTGGAGAGGACCTTGTAAGATGTACTATCAGCTCAAAACTCGGAGTCTGTCTGAATATAATGATCAAAACGACGTATACAGAGGTTACCTGTGCTACGTATGGGGAACAGTGCATGCAACCATGGGTGAGGCTTGTATGACAAGTGCCACCAGCGTCGCTTATCTCGACAAAATCCTCGCATCAGGTCCAAAACTAGTTACATAAGATCGAGCATGACCTGCCGGCATCTTGCTTGGATAACCTGCTATAGCCACTGATACACTGCTCTTGGTACTCTCGCACAATTTACATGTACGCTGCACCCCGTGGCATTAGCGGAAAGTGCAGGGGCGGTGCGAGCCTCACCGAGCACATCGCGTATGGGCAGGGAGCATTTAGCCGGATTGAGAGGAAGTCATATACACCTAACTCAAATCTCAAAGCTGATATTCAAGGATGGGCCTATCAGAACAGTGTATTGGTGTCATTGCACGCCAAGCTTAAGGTCTCCAAACTATATAAGCCCAAAGCTAAGTAAGAATTAGAGTTGTGGGCAATATGAGGGCGCAAACCCAGACTTGTTGAATTGTTTGTATTATGCTCCTGTACACCTCCAGATTCTGTATTCCCCGAGATGCTCTTCGTGAGGCCTTCCTGTGCATCTTCGCTTATTTCGTGGTGGTTTGACTGCAGTGAACCGAGTGGAACTCGTGTGTTTAGACTAAGTCGCCACGCCTTGAAGGATATAAAGCGATCGGACTCGCCAAATCAACATCCGACCTGGTTTATCAGATCACACAACCAGTTGAGTCATCTGGCAGAGACCATATATCTTACATTTCGCAACTCCATCCCTCAACATGAGACTCACATCCGTTCTACTGTCACTGTTCCTGCCCAGCCTTGTCCTCTGCGCGCCAGCTGGACCGGCTCACGCTGTGCCAGGGACCATAGCCAGCCGGGATGGACACGACGACACTGATCCTCCGCCTCCAGACTGCATCAAAGACTGTGACTGCAAGAAGTTTGAACCAGGAAGTTGGGAGTAAGTTCTAGTCCTTGACCTAGTAAGGCTCACGTATAATACAGAGAGGGCCCAAGCTTCGTTTCCTGAGGCGAAAGAGATGACTAACGGTCCTGCGACAGGCAATTTCAGTGTCAAACGAGCGTATTCTGTCAACGATGCGCGGAACAAGGCCAGCTTCCCGGTGTTGATCCGCAGTAAGGAACCTGGGGCTTTTGAGCTGCACGTGGTGGAAACGCTTTGTCGAGATCGGGATTGGATACGTTGTCTAGGAATGAAATGGGATAAACTGAGGTCACGTATAGAGAAGACATCAGTGTAATGGGACTATGATCTTCTGACTTGTTTCACGGGATAAACTTTCCTTCATCTGATCTCCGTCGTACTACTCCCTTGTGTACAGATAGTGACAAACATGAATGAACATATCCGTGCACGAAACAAAATCCTGGCACAATACAATCCTGCTATGACTTAAGATAAACCAGGCCCCCTACTTCTCACCCGCCATGGCCCGGACCACAGCTTCGAGCGCCGCGCGGTCCGCCCCGCGCACCTTGTCCACCCGCCCCTCGGCGTCGACACCCACAGACTGCCTCCCCTTGAGCCCCTCCGCCGCCACGCCCGCGGGCCGGCCGTCCCGGAAGAACATGAACGTCGGCATGGCCGAGACGCCGTAGCGCTGGGCCGCGCCGCCGACGTGGTCGACGTTGACCTTGGCGAAGGCCAGCCGGCCCTTGGCGGCGTGGGCCTCGGCCAGCTGGGAGAAGACGGGCGCGATGGCGCGGCAGGGCGGGCACCAGTCGGCGTAAAAGTCGACGACGACGCGGCTCGTCGAGGCGAGCAGGGCGTCCAGCTCCGCGGCGTCGGTGATCTTGTGGACCTTCTCGGACGTCTCGGGGATGGGCGAGCGGTCTGCGAAGAGGGCCTGTGGGAGGCGGGTGGGGGTTTCATGTTAGCAATGGGACGAGAGATGAGATTTGCGGGGAGCGCTGCATACCGGGCCGATCACGAAGACGGCGATAAGAGCGAGAATGATGTAGTATATCGTCTCCATGGCCGTATGGCTCAATGATTTTGGTGGGAGCAGATGGCCCTATCAAAGTGTTGGTGAGCGAGGAGGGGGATGTTGCTGAAGGGGGTGATCATCAAAGTGGAAGGCGGACACCTCTGGCAGAACGTGGGAATCATCCATCCTTCGAAGCAGCGAGGCCTTGAATCACAACTGAGCATGTTCAAAGGATATACCGTCTTAGATTTGGTGATTAAGGATTCTGTGTGCTTTATGGTCCTTCAGTGATGTGAAGTTGCACTTTTGCCCCCAGTGCCTTGACTTGCCATCAGACAGCCCGAGGTATGAGAGCATGACCTTACATTTTTACGATTAAACTAGCTTTTGATTCTCTATGCAAGAAAAGGGTATATATCGTACACAATGGAAAATGCTATCGTGATTCTACATGTTCTACAGTCTTGTAAACGTCACCATTACTCAGAGCCACGGGCTTGACGACCGCGCCATTCGTGGGCTTGGCCGGCTTGACACCATTCTCGCACCCCTTAGTAGAGGCCGCTGCCTTCTTCGCACTAGGCCACCGGTCGTAATCCATGCCCGCAGCCTTGAGCCCCGTGAGGACCGCATACGAGAGGCCGAGCCCGACGGCGACGAGGTCGAGGATGTGCACGACCCACCAGAAGTGCTGCCTGCCCAGGGCACACGTCGCGTACTCGAAGCGCCACTCCCACGCCTCCTCGTCGAACCACGCGCTGAGCAGACCCGCGTTGCCGCCAAAGTCGCCCATCATGCTGCGAACCGTGATCTCCCGGACACCAGGGCGCCCGCGGCTGGCGACGATGCCGCCGTCCCGGGCGGGAAGCCAGCGCATGGCCTCCCAGTCCCGCTCCGACGGGCCGGCGCCCTTCATCTGGTCGATGAAGTGGTAGGTGTCGCAGCCTTCGTGGTCGTGCCCGTTGAGGATCACGCCCTTCCTGCCCTGGCCGTTGCCGGGGGCCATCGTGTCGCCGCTGAAGCCGAAGATGCCCTCGAGGAAGCCGCGCGTGGCGTCGGAACTCAGCTGGTTCTGCTCCTTCAGGGAGCCGTCGTGGTCGTGGAACGCGAAGAAGGGCGGGTCGACGCAGATGCCCTCGTCCTTGTAGAGGGGCACGTGGGTCAGGACGACGGTGAAATGGCCCTTGTACTCGACGGCAGAGGCGGTGTTGATGACGGCGTTGATGAAATCGTAGGTCGCGTCCTGGATCTCGGTGCTCAGGACGGGGGTGTCCAGGTTCATGTCGTTGAGGTTGATGATGCGCAGCTCAGGGTGCAGCCGGTCCGAGTCGCTGTTGGTCTGCTCGTCGTAGACGGTAGCAGCAGCGTCTTCGGAAATCGCCCCCGGCGGCAGCTCAAAACGTAGCTCGTAGTTTGCCCTGCCGAAAAGGCGCTCAAAACGGCCGAGGCGGTCGTTGTTGATGTCGCCGGCGTATCCAATGTCGTGGTTGCCTGCCACGTTGATGATGCGCCGTGTCCAGCTCTCGGTTTCGTTGCTCGGTTCGGGGTGGAGGTAGCCGCCTAGATCGTACTCGTCGGAGGGGAAGCGAGCGATATCATCGGGAACACGCTCGCCCCCGCGGACGACCCGGTTCCAGAAGCGATCGGCGCGCCTCTCAAACTCTTCATCATCAAGCCACTGACTGCCGAGCAGATCGCCCAAGACGGTGATGTGGGTGGGCCTGGACCACCATCGGACGGTGCGGTAGATGTGCGCCAGGTAGAAGTCGTTGCCGAGGAGGTCGATGCGCTTGCGGATCGACTCGAGGGTGTTGGGTATGTCCTCGAACCAGAAGTCGACGACATCGTGCAGGGTCTGCCGGAGGCGGAAGCGCAGGGATGCATGCTCACTCCTGAACGTCAAGTGGTCGACGATACTGTTCAGGTGAGGGAAAGACGCACCCCGCGCGTTGGGTATGGAAGTGTCGCCTTCGAGCTGGGGATCGCCGAGGGCGAGCAGGCGGAAAGGGGCAAGTCTCGAAGGCGTCGGATGCGTCGCATTGCCCGCGGATGACCGCAGGAAAGGGAGGTGAAGCTTGGCGGTCTCGACAAAGGGGCTGTGGCTGCTCACGCCGCTGCTACGCGGTTGGCCCGTCGCATTGTTCTCGGAAGGCAGCGGGAAGCCACATGTCTGGAAGACCGGGTAGAGGTAGAGGTAGGAGGTCAGGAGGGCGCAAACGGGGACGAGGAGGCGCAGCACATGGCGGAGGAGCGCCGCGGGCGAAGAGGGCAACATTGCTGTGAGCGGCAGCACGGGTAGGAGATGGCTCTCGCCCGTTTTCCTTGAGAGGCTGCTTCACAGGTCGCGGAGAGGTATCTCGGAGGGGGGGAAAAAAACAAAAGGTTGGAGTGTCCAGGTTGGAGTACAACCTCTCCCCAGACTCGCGCAAGATTCGACATTCGACCCTCGAAAGGATCGATCGACGCACAGACAGCCACAAGCGTGCAAATCATGGTTCACCTGTGGGCGCGAACCCCCTGAAAGTAGCGCGTTTATGGTCCCAAACCCAGCGACAACACCCCTGAGCTGAGTAATTTTTAGTGGAACTCCGTCCGGCTCCAGCCGGCGCGATAGGCGAGATGCCCACTGCAATTGGGTTCGTGCAAGGCTCCACTCCACTCGAGTGCTGCCCCTCGTCCACCAGACGAACAATTTGGATTGATGTCAAATTGTGCCCCCTCCAATAGTCGAGGTTTGCGATACATGTGGGTAGTTTCACCTTGCTGCCTTGCGACAACGTCGGGCCTTGAGCACTTTATTCGGCTTCCAGCAACCAAGTCAGTCCCAGCGGCTGGATATCTCAGCAGAAATAGTCACCATGGCTCTCGAGACTGTCTGCCTCGAGCACATCCCCTCGACGCACAGCGTCCAGGTCGCCTTCTTCCGCAATGTGTCCAATCCCGACTTCCTGCAGTCGCAGCTCGTTGCACGGAACCCCGACTTCGAGTACGCCTTCATCGACGCATCCTCGGTCGTCTCGCGCGTTCAGGTCCTGGCCGCCACCTTCAAAGCGCTCACGCTGCTTCTCAGTGGCTCATTACGGACCCCCAACGTCCACTCCGAGATCGTCTGCTCTCTGAGCCCAACCAACAACGTAGGATTTGTTGCAGTGCCGTTTTCCACCTCAAAAGCTGACTCGGACCTCCTGCGCAGATTGCTGAAGCTTACCGCCGCTACGGAGTTACCCCTCAGACCAAGGATGTCATCATTGTCAAAGTCCTCTTCCCCACCGAGGCCAACCCTCAGCCGCCGTCACCCGAGTCTATCTGGGCGCACCTTCAGGAGCACGTCAAGGGCAGCCCCGTCCCCCTCGTGGACGAGAACATTGCAGCAGCTACGGACCTGGCCAAGGTGCGCAAATATTACAAGTTGAACGGCGCCCCGGCACTGAACGACGCCAAGGACGACCTCTCCAGGAAAACCGAGACGGAGGCGCTTGTCCTGGCGAGCATGGCCCTACGGGGTGTCTGAAGAGTCTGCGCCCTTTCGATACTGCCGGCATAGCTCGAACCGAGCCGAGTCAATAATCGCAATGGATGCTGCCCACAGAACTAAAGATATTCGTCATCATTATTCGTACGCCAGGGCAGTACTACATCTAACTCTAACGTCTAATCGGGGAATCATCGCCAAAAATCAGAAAGTGGAAAAAGCAAAGCGCTTCCAGAGCCTCCAAACAACATACAGTACACTCTAATTAAGCACCTAGCCCAAACACGCCCTTCAGCCGCCTCCACAGCTCGGCACGCATGGCGTCACGGCTGTCCCTTGTCCGCTGCACGGCGTCGCGGTTCTCGTACGCACGGCGCAGCAGGTACTTCATGCAGTCGCCCGTGGAGCCCCAGACCAGGTACTTGTACGCCTGCGGCCGCCCCAGGGGCTCGACGGCGCCGACGCCCGTCGTCTGGGCCCGGGCCTCACCGGCGCTGGTCTCGGCGAACCCGGCGCCGTTCGAGGAAGTGGCGACGAGCTCGCAGCTGACCTCGTCGGCCATACCCTGCAGCTGTGCAAAGGCGACCTCGGTGCCGCGCAGCCCGGACTCGAGCAGGGCGCGCGCCTTCTTGACGCTGTCGGCGTTGTGGGACGCCAGCACCATGTTGACGTTGGGGAAGGCGCCGTTGCCGTCGGCGGGCCTGGTCAGCGGCGCGTTCCACTCCCGCCTCAGGAGCGCCTCGGTGATGCCGTCGTAGCAGGCGTCGGTGTCGGCCTTGGTGTCGTGGATGATCTGGCGGGGGTCGGACCCGAGGTAGGCGCCGCGGACCAGCTTGACGCCCAGCGTGAAGCCCTCGTCGCGGGCGATGCGCAGGTGCTCTGAGACGACGGCGGGCGCGTGCTTGAGGTAGGCCTGGTAGGTGCCGTAGATGGTCGCCCGGTCGGCCGTGTTGAAGCGGCGCATGTACTCGAGCGTCCAGTCGTCGATGCCGGCCTGCAGGGCGTGCTGCTCGGCGTCGAAGAGGAGGCGGATGCCGCGGGAGGCGGCGAGGGTGCAGATGCCGTCGATGGCGTCGGCGAGGGCCTTGGAGGGCGGGAGCCGCTCGGCGAGGTTGTAGAGGGCTTGTCGGCCCGCGCCGGTGAACCTTTTGTTGTCACACGCCGTTAGCTTACTCGTTTTCTCTCCCATATAGTGAGAACAATACAGAATCGTGTACTGCTTACTTCAATGCGACAAAGTCACCCGGCTGCGCCAGCTTGACCGTCTCCATCGTGCCCGCGGCCCAGGGCGTGATCTCGTTCCTGACGCAGTCCTCGGCCGCCTCGCCCGTCTGGCTGCTGGCCAGGTCCTTGCGCTGCTCCTCGGACAGGACGACCTCCTTGGCGTACCCGAGGATGACGCCCGAGAAGCCCATGCGCTTGAGCCCGTCGATGGTCCGGCGCACCTCGGCCGGGTCCTCGCCGGCGCAGAACTGGGCGTAGAAGGTGCGCTTCATGAAGGCGCGCAGCAGCGTGTTGCGGTCCGGGTTGAGCAGGGGGCTCTCGGTATTGGCGAGCACGGACATGGCGGCCAGGGAGGGCGGGAGGAGGAGCCGCGAGGACGAGACGGTCGTCGTGGCGAGGGAGCGCAGGACGGCCGTCAGCGGCAGGACGGAGAGCGGCGCAGGGGCCTTGGCGGCGGGCATCTCGGCGGTGGATGATGCGGCGGGGTCCGGGGTCAGGAGCGCGGATGCGGTGCGGTTGGTAGACGATGAGTGGATCGACCGGGATGAGGAGGCGGTCGAGGCTGACCGTCGCGGTGTTGTTGACGAGATGTGCTTTCGTATCCTGCTCGATGATATCGTGCATGTGGGAGCGATGGGGCTGTTGGCGGAGAGGAGGGCGACGAGGACAGGTCTCTGCCCCGACTGCAGCGGGTTCCTGCAGATGGAAGTCACTGCCGTTGCTGATGTCGGCGCCATATCTCTTGTTGTCTTCCTTTCCTACGATTCCTACGAGTGAATTGTGTCGTCGAGTGGGTGAATCGGCTAAAGAAGGGACGCGGTTGGTGTGTGAACAGCACGTGCTGGATGAGGCGGAAGTTCTTCGTCTACAGCACCGTATTCACAGGTTTGATATTCACTTCACAGGAAGGAGGGGGGTGCAAGCTAGGATGGGACGGAAAGGGAGGGGAGGTTTGATTGTATGTAAATACTTAAGTAGATGGAACTATGGAGGTGAATGGGCCACCCGAGAGGAATCTCCGAACATCGCACTCTTTTCGTGTTGGGAGTGGCGGCGGCATTGGCAGCGGCATAAGGTGAGTGGGTGATACGGAGATCCCAAAAGCCAAAACCACACGACGGGCGACCCCATGATATCAGAGGCTAGTATCTGAAAGGGAAACTATCTAGGCGACCTTTCGGGGGGACGGGTGGGTGGCCCAGGTATGAGTTGCCCGATGAGTCGCGCAATGACAAGGTTGAGCATCACGTTGTAGTAGGATGCGAGATCAAAACATGTTACACAACCATATTCCCAAGGTGAGACAGGTACATCATCGACGGTGGGGACTTTCTTCTCGCCTTCAGATAAAAGCCTTGGAGGGTAGGTATTATCAATGATGAAACCATCAAGGGACCACTGGATTGTGCCCCTAAGAGCAGGCTAGCCAGCACTGCCGTCGTTGGCCGATGACGCCCTCGACCGCGACTGAACGCAATACACCAGGATTGGCGCTGTCTGGCTTGCTTCGCCAGCTCTGTCGTGGGCGAGGATCTGGGCTCAGATGCTGTCACGTGGACCCACCGGCGCCATGAAAGCCGCTCGTAGCCGGGCGCTGATAAGCTTGGCTGGCATGTCTTGGTGCGATTTCGCTCGGGAGACGCCACCAGGACAAGGAATTGGAAATCGCACCAAGCCAAACCCCACGAGTGGCCCTGTCGGTCCCCATCGCTAGCGGCCTTGACGGAGAACTCAATCACCGCGAATTTCCATGCGCCAGAGGGCCCCTGGCTCTGGGCTGCCCTCCCTGTTGGCTGTGGTTGCGCCTGTTGTGGGGCCTCTGTGCTGCCCTGGAGACTCTGTCTTCGGTCTGCTGCGGCTCTGCGAGACGCTGGACCTCTATTCAGGGCCCGTCGGTGCTTCGGTCAATTGGCCCCGTCGGTGTTGCTTGCCCTTTTCAAATCAGCAGCGTCGAGCCAGAGTTCATCCCAGCTTGGTATGCAATCCAAAATCGGGCTAGCTTGTCGCGATCCCGACCATTGTCCCATCGCCAACGGCGGTCTGTTGCGGCTCTGCCGTGTTGGCGCAGAGATGTTCAAGGCCCCTCGGGCCACTTCTCGGACCAAACCGAAGCCACGTATACAGAGCGCGTGCGCTCTGGTAGATGCTCGGGGTCATAGCTGTGGGCTTTCTTGCTCGGTCAGGCCCGCTGGCCCGCTGGCTGGCTGGCTGGCGGCCGATCCGGTCTCGAAAGCAGTGGCCTCCCGTGGGCCACCATCCCGATCAGATCGGACGGTCTTGTGTCGATTGCTGGTGCTTGCCGCGTAAAGCCGTCATGCAGATTCTGACCTCGCTTCATCCCCACCACCCAGCATTGTCTTTCGAATGTAGTCCACGTAGCCAATGTGGCGTCCTCTGGCGATACCGGCCAGGTCTTGGAGACCGCCGTAAATAAGGCCCACTCCCAAAGCCGTCTTTGTCGTTCGAGCTGCCATTACGAGTGGAAGACGATCTGTGAGAGAGTAGAGAATCAGCTGCTAGTGTTTACCACGGACCATGTTGATATGGGTATTGTTCTCATAACGTACTCCAGAGACTGAAACCGCCGGCCACGCTAACGCAGGCGAGGACCGTGTTGACAAAATCCGTCGAGCCCCGGTAGTTGTCGAACATGGCCTCGATGCAAAACATGGCCGTCGTCCAGACCGAGACCCGCGCTCCCATCTTGAGCCCCTCGCGCACGCCGCCGAGGGCCACATGATAGTTCTTGCTCTTGTGGTACATGTACCAGCCCGTCGTCGTCTGCGGCAGCTTGTGCGCGTGCTCAGCCCGGAAACGCAAGCCGGCCATCTTGCTGCCCTGCACGAGGCCCAGGCCCATGCCGGTCATGAAGGAGAGGGCCGAGGCAGCGGGGATGCGGGCCACGGTCGGGATCGAGAGTCGAGACGCGCGGTACAAGGCCTCGAGCTCCTCCGGGGTCAGAGGTTCGTTGGAAGCTACCGCTTCCCTGCGGCGTTGGCGTATCCTTTCCATGGCGGAACAGGAGAGAGAATCAAATGCAAAGACAAAGGCTGGGGGAGAAAGGGACCTGTACCATTTGTGTCCTGGGTTGGCAGCAGGTAAGTTCGTCGACACTGGATGCAAATGTCTGACCACTTGAAATTTGCTCCTCCGTAAAAGAAGGGCCCTGTGATCCAATGCTTGTCAATTATGGGTGGCCCAAGCTCCCTGTCGGCCCCGGTACCACTGTACCAACGGCGCTGCTCTGGCGCGCTGAAAAGGTAATCGGTGCCTGCGCGACGCCACCTGCACTCTCCAAGCACTCGCGACTTCTTGAGCTGCCCCGCAGTCGTCCAAAAAGTTGCCGCTATCGCAACTTCCTTCCCAGGCAGGCCAAACAGCGAAAGCAGCAAAACTGGCAAGAGCAGACAAGACCATTGATAGCCAGGCTACGAGGCTACACGACGACGGGCAGCAAGTCAGACAAAATGGTAAGATGATCAGTTGCATCCTTCATCAAGAGGCGACTGACTGCTCTTGATTTGCGCATGGCTCAGCCGCTGCTGACACTCTCCTCACCATCCAGGTCAAGTCAAAGAGCGACGATGTCCAGCTCTCCCTGCGCCTCAAGCACGGCCTCATCACCATCTTCCTCCTGGTAGACGCCCAGGACACCTTCGACAAGATCACCTCGACGCTGCTCTCGGTCCTCCGCGAACGCTACCCCGACGGACTTGACGGCGGCCTCGTCCCTATTCCCCAAGGCGACGACTTCCATGTCGCGTACGGCATGCTCAAGAAACCACAAGATACCCTCTCGGGCTGGTCAGACCTGAACGTTGCAGAGGGAGATACACCAGCGAGCAGAGGTGTGAAGGATAACACCCCACTGGCCTTTGCATTTGTTGGCGATGAGGACGATGAGCCCACGTTCAAAGTCGAGTTCCCACGGATGGAGTACGAGGGAGAGGGGGATGACGACATGGCAGAGTGAACAGCCGAGGGATTCGAGTTCTTTTAGGGAAACAAACCTCGCGACGGTACAAGGAGATCAGGGCGGCCCCTCTGTGAGAGACAGAGAATACCCTCTGGGTGTTTGTGATGGAAGAAAAATGACCACGCGACAGCGTAGTGTACTTCTACTGCAGAGAAAGTTTCAGGAGGAAACATGGACAACTGGGTGGCTACAGCTTCCAATTCGAGGCGTGTAGCTCACAGTGTGGTGAATTGCGAGAGGTTGAGCTTCGTATGAGGGTCTTGCGAGGGTCTTGCTCCCCTCCAACAGGAGTTCAATGGAGGATCGGCAGACATATCATGCCCTGAGGCCTGAGGGGTGCATGCAGCGAGGTACTAGAGTCGCAACATGTGCCTACTTTAATGATAATGAAATGTACCATGACAAACACAGCACACAGGAGTCATTTATGATACCGATCAAGATGAGCATTCGTCATAAATGACATCCCAGGAGCCGGGAGCCGGGGATGTCTGGAGCATGACAGGTTCGGAGCATGACTACATGAACCGGCAGGGCGCAAGGCGCGGGGCGACCCACAACGTCACGTCAGTGTAAGCTTATGTCAACAACCATCATGGACTGTGTCCTACAGGTCTGCCAACCTGTTTTTTGAGATATCTACTTGTATGGTCTCATTCCTAAAATGCTACACTGTGACTTGTTATTTTGGTCCTTGCTTGATGCAACTAGAAGACTTCGAAGCACTTCAACAGGACAATGTACAGTGTCTTTTATTTTGCTTATATGACTTTGATTTAAGAATCAAGACACAAATTCATTATCCAAGTAATTTCCCTTCACTCCCACAACACTGCGTCATTTGCAGCTCAAAACAAGCCAGATCTAAAGAGCTCTGCTCTGCGAGGCTTGAACAAAGAGCAAACAGCAACATGGCCGCTGAAGCAGCAACAGCCGCCCTGATCAACGCCCTCAACACCAATTCCCTCACCTCCCTGCCCACCATCGTAGCCAACCCGGTCCTCGCCAACGGCGACAACAAGCCCACACCGCTGGAAGAGTACATAGCCTCGATACAGACCCGCCTATCCGCTGCGCCGGGCAGCACCTTCCATCTCGAGACCATCGTCCCGGACACTCTCTCAGCCGGGACCCGCGCGGCTGTCCGCCTCCGCTGGCAAGGCACGCTGTCCGGGCCGTACGCCGGCGCAGATCCGGCATCCGCGCCAAGCGACCAGCCCTTCGAGACCTGGGAACACGCATTCATACGCACCAGCACGGACGCCGACGGAGGCAGCAACGCAAAAATCGTCGAGATCACGAGCGTGCTGGACACCGACGTCTTGCGGGAGCAAAAGCCCAGCCTGCCGCGGCTCGTCCGGGCCCCAGCCGCCGGGGCCAAGCTGGGTGTCGCCGACTTGAAGGCGCTGTACGAGGCGTACATAGCCTGCATCAACGCCCACACGACCGACGCGGCGCACCTCTCGAGCTTCTGCAATCCCACCGTCGCGCACAACGGCCAGGAGCTGGACCTAACGTCCTACGGGCGGCTCATGTCCGATGCCCAGGCCGCGATCGACGGCCTCAATTTCGGCATCGGCGACCTGGTCGTCGACGAGGAGGGGCAGAGGGTCGCCTGCCGGATCGACTTCTCGGGCGTGCCGGTGAGGGAGTTTGGCGGGCTGAAGCCCTGCGGCGGGAAGGCGGTTCGGTTCACGGAGCAGGTCATCTACCATCTCGAGGGGGGGAAGATCAGGACGGTGCTCAGCATAGTGGACTTGGAGACGGCGAGGAGACAGCTGGCAGGTTGATTGACAAGTTGGTGTACAGCAGGTTATCGATCAATTCCTCCCAATCCTCACTGAGATGAAAGTTTGTCTATTACGAATACGTATCGGAAAGATCGCCCTAGGTATCTCAGATGAAACAACATCACATAGCCCAAAAAAACCGCTGACTACCCCGGCTTTGATGCAGTGTTTTTCTTCAACCAACGCCAGTCCCATATGCATCCGGGGTATTTCTGTCCAGCCCTCGCAATCAAGTGGTATCTGCTATTAGATGCGAAGAAGATGAAAACGAATGTACCGAATCCAAGAAGAGATATATACCGGCCGCCTGGCTTGAACTCCCCTGCCGCCGCTATCCCCAAACCCGTTACGGCCCCCTCCTTCTAATATACTAAAAGCCTTTCACCGGGACACGTAGTGATACACATGCACATATCCACGCCTGGGCAGCAGTTGGAGCTCACCCACTACTCACAGCGCCGTTGGCGTCGTGAAACAGAATCAGCGGCCACTGGGTGTGCGCCCCGCTGCCACCCATACTGACCCCAAGACCGTTCGCTGCCGGGCCGTGCCCGTGATGGGCGCCGCCGGCCTGATCAAGGCCAAGACCGCCATCGCGTGCCGGTCCTGCGGCAATGTTCAACAGGGCGTTGGCACTGTAGCGGTCCTGGCTGTCGGCAATGGCCGCCGTCCAGTCGTGCCACGTATTCGTGTTGCTGCCAACGTGGGACGTGGCCTGAGAGGCGAACGCGACGAGAGGATTCGTCTCGTGCGGTTCCGACACTCCTGCACTGTTGCCCTGGGAGATGGCTGCTGCCGCTGCGGTGGCGGCGTACAAGTACGACGCCTGGTCATGAGGGTCATACGACATGCCGTTGCCAGTGTGTGTTGTCGTGGCCGACTGCGGTTGGTAGGCTAGTTGAGTTGGGTAAGGGGTGGTCTGGGCAGCTCCGTTGGAGCCGTAGTAGGCATTGCTGCCGTTGTTCTGAGCTATGGTGCTCGCCGCCATGGAAGAACTGCTATTTACGACGGCAGCGGTGGCCGGTGGTATCGATATATGGGTGAAATGCGACGGTTCCTGTTTGATCTGGGGTGTCTGCTGCTGCTGCCCGCCGTTCTGAGGCTGGTTGGGACTGACAGTGCCTGGCGCACGCCCCATGTCGCGTTCAATCCACGCAATCGTGCGCGTGATGATCTGCCGTATCTCATTGCTGAGGCGTTCTCCCGAGGTTGAACCTGTGAAGTTGTCAGTATCAAGCAGGAATGGGAAGATTGCACTCAGGGAGGGGCACGAACCGACTAGGAGGCAGATCTCAGTGATGATGGCGAGCCACGTATCTGCGTCCTCTTTGAGCTGTGACACCTCGGCGGGCGTCGTCTCGTACCTCCTCTCCCAGTGGGCCACCAGTATGGTAAACATGACGGCGCAGTAGACTGATATTTGGTACCAGGTGGTGTCGAGCGACTTGAGCCTGAGTAGTATCTCGACATGCTTCAGAAGGGCTCGGGCAGTCTCCTCGCAGATGCGGTTGTTTTCCGCAATGAACTTTGGATCGTCAGTCATGCAGACAGACGGGTGCCTCAGACAGAAGCGGAATTCGAGCGAGAAGGCTTGCGCGTAAAGAGCAAAGACTTGCTCCCCTGGCTTGCATTTGGCGATGTTGAGGTCGTCGGGGAGATTCTCCTCCCAGATGCGATACTCCTCATCCAACTCGTTGACGGTATCGATATATGAGGCCGGGTCGCGGCGAACGCCGTAAATCTCGGTATGCATGCGCATGTACATGGTTGCCGTTTTGAAGCCCACCAGCCCGACCATGTGATGGCAGTGTCCAATCTTGGACTCGTCCACGATACCGTCCTCTGTCAGATACTCGTCATCAATGGGGACAGGGTAGCCCGTGTCAAATTCCTTGACGTTTAATGGCATGGGTCTGCCAAGGCGACCATTGAGGGTGACCAGCATCGAGAGCGCGGACCACCACGCCCTCTTCCGAAGCTCGTGGTCCAGGTTGGTAGGGGCTCCCGGAGGTTTAGACTCGCGATGAAGATTGAGCTCAATGCATTTGTTGACGGCATAGGACGCGATGAGGGATGCACAGCCCGGCTTGGGGAAGCCCCGCGCATGAATGGCCATGAGGACCAGAGCTTGTACGGAGGTGACAGAGGTGTCGGCGATCACGTCGGAGATGGTATGGAGACACCAATGATAGTGCTTGTTGGATAGTTCGTTGAGCATGATGCGCCTGTCGGCCTCCTCGCGGTTGCGGATGCCATACTGGAAGTAAATCATGGCGAGCACCATGTGCACGATGGCGAGCTCCGCGGAAGACGGCTTGAACCCAGGCTCATCATAGATACGCGCAAGCTATGGTCAGGAGTCAGCTCAGTGAAGCGAGTGATGGAAAGGAGATAGCATCGCGTACCAGCCGCATGTGGGTAGGCTTATGCAGCACAGGAACGAACGGGAAGATCATGACGAAGTACCATTCGGAATACTGAAACGCCTCGTCCTTCGAAGGCAGTTCTATGGGCGGCGGCGGTTGCTTGTGCATGACGGATTGTACGAAGGAGAAGAGGGACTTGTTGTAGAAGGGTTCCGTCGCCTGGAACCCTGGCGCGGGCTCTTCCATGTCCTCGGCATCGAAATCGGTTACATCGATGGTGGCTCCGAGAATGGAGAGCTGGGTGCCCTTGACGGCGCTTAGAGGGGCTTTGTCCTGGAAGACGCCAATGTGGCTATCGCCAGGGCGAGGAAGCAGCACAGAAGACCGTGTTGCGCCTAAGGAGAGGTTCTTGGCTCTGGCCGGCGCCGCCTCGCTCTTGGTCCACGATGACCCGTCTGTGTTGCTGACATTGATCGGGGCCCCTGTCGTGTCGACGAGCATGCCTAGCGGATGGGCTGGCTTGCCAAAGGCAGACCAGCTCCACGGCTTGATGTTGATCCCCTTGGAGTTGATCAGCTCTTCCAGCTGGCGGATATGATTGAGCATGTCGGACTTTTCCCGTTCGAGTTCCTGTAGATATCCTCTCCGCTCGGTGCGGCCAGTGACGCGGTCGGTGACATAGCACTCGAGTCTCTGGCTGGCGCAGTGAGAACAGCCCTCGGGGAGTGCATCGCAGCGAATCTTGCGGACCTGTTTGTTCGCAAGGCGCATGCGTTAGCCCAAGTCCAGCAAGAGGATCGGGGGAGAAAAGAGGCGTGGCAAGGTGTGGACCGGACTCGACTGGACTCGACTGGACCTGCGACAATGCCGAGAAGAGTAGGACATACCTTGCAGCGGTCGCAAGCTTGACCCGTGCGGGTGTAGGACTGGAGCTTGCTCTTGACGACGCTGGAGAAGTCCTCTGGGCCGCGATCGAGTCGAGGCAGCTTGGCCTTGGCGGGCGAGGGTGGACTCGTGGTAGGCGAGCAGCCCTGATCGCTGGGTCGTTTTGGCGGGCGACCACCACCCGGCATCGTGATGTGCGGCCGTTTGCGCGCTCCGAGCTTGGCGACCGTCGGCGAGGAGGAGGAATTGGCTGTGGCGTTGTTGTCGCCGCCGACGGTGTTTGCCGCAGAAAGGCAGCTCGAGATGGCGAGAGAGGAGCGCGATGGAGGAGGAGGGAGAGAAGAGGACGGGGGTTGCCGGGCTGAATGGAAGATGCCGTGGGCATTTGGCGGGAGGGGATGGGGGAATCCTGGGCTGATCTCCAGCATCCCACAGGGCAAGTGGTCAGTGGACCGCTGGGATGGGGCAGTGGGCCTTTCAGTGCAGGTGTCAGGCTGTCCGTGGCCCTGGAGGCGCTTTTTTTCTTCTCGCTTGGCGTCCGGGCTGTCGGGAATCGGAGGTGAGACGGTCAAATGGTACAGCCCTTTGAAGTCGAAAAAAGGGGTCAAAAGGAAGAATTGGGAGCGAGAAGTCGTTCGGTGTCAATCCTCTCTCTATCTTCCTGCTTAACAACTTATTTCCTTGATCATAGGGCAGGGGATGGCGGCGTGGAACGAGCCGTTGTTATATCGCCAGGAAGAACACCAGTCTTTGGGTCAGAGCAAGGAGTTAACTAACGAAACAAACGGCTGCGCGTCATCTGATCCCATCTCTACCTGTCTTGTCCCATCATTCTCCCAAACCACAGCTGCGGAGAGTCTGGTCTGAAGAAACGAGGCTGCAGAATTAACGCTTGGCTCCCAAGGGACCGGGCAAGATTGGACGGAACGGGACCGGGCTGTGCTGACTCGACAAAATAAGCGCTATTAGTGCGAACTGCCACGCTCTTGTTGAGGTCTAGGCCCGTTTCCGGTGGATGCGCCATCGTTGCTAGCGCCTCCCAATGCCCGATTTAGCGGGTGCATCATCCCGACCACTGTTTGGCGCCTGGCCCAAAACGGCTGCAGAGCTTGCAGTATCACAGTCACAGTTGGAGACTGACCACCATTGACATGCATTTGGGGACTGGGCATGGTAGCCAAGCATGTGTGGCCTGGACATGACATGCTTTTAATTCGTCGAGTGCTTCTTCGTGCTACCTACAGTCCCTGCCAGGCCTTTTCCATATGTAACTACATGTTTACCACGGTGGCAATGGAAAGCTTGGGACCAAACAGAATGAGGCATCAACCACAAATCACAGTACTCCGGTAAGGCTGATTTGTCCTCTGCGTGCAGCAAGGAATTAATATACGGGGTCTGCAAACCATCCATCCATCACATTTGACTTTAGCTCTACCCCTTAACCACATCAGGTAGAGTTACGAGGCGGCAGGCGGCGCGCATTCTCGCTGACACAGATCGATCACGGTGGGGTCCCCGCGCTGTTGGGCCTTTGCTGGGCCCTGTTAAAGTTTGGAGCCAGTGGCTGCAGGGCTGGGCTTATTCACAAAGTCGCCCCTGAAAGCCTCGAGGGCAGGCCTACCCGGGTTGGCTCTGCCGAATCAGACGGGCCTCTGACTAACAGGAGTGCACTGCTGTGTCGGTACTGCGCTGCTTGGGCCGCGTCCTCAGCTTACAGAAGTACATTTCCACATGAAAGCAGTCGTCAATCGCAGCAACCCAATTGATCAAGAAACTGTAATTGACCATCTGAAACGGCCGACATATGCACACTTCTCTTGGGGCCGAAGCTGATCACTAAGCTTATTAAACCTTAACGCAACTGCTCGTCTGGTCAAGCTTCGTCGCGTCAGTTCAGTCGGAACACACACAAAAGACGCGTCCGTCCACGCCACCGCGACGTAGAATTTGTGTTCAGCTAGGTAGGTAAACATGGGATTAATTCGGCGTTTCTAATTTCGTATCGAGCAAATGGGTCACTTGGGTCGAATAATTCCCTCGAGTATCAGAACCAGGAGAGTTCGTGCTCTTTTCATGTCGACCATTGAGGACTCTCGGATGCAGTCAGACACCGAGCAATGTACCCAAGCAACAGACACCAGGGACACTTTGGCGAGGCCAGTCCCATTGTTTCATGCCCCTTTGCTGCTATGTAGTGTCCTGAAACAAACCCTGAACGCTGGTGATGTCCCGAAATAGAACAGCGTCTTGTAAATGGAAGTAATCTTGCCGCAGCAATGAGGTGAGCAACCTCGTTGATGAGTGGAGGGAACATCCTATTGGAGATGTTGGGTTCCGGGCTTCTGGTGAAACGACATTGTTGCAAGGTGCCTTGGTGGCTACGGTTTGTGCTGGACTGGAGCCAATGACCGTAATTTTGTGCTAAAGATCGAGGTATAGCGTGCCAGAGAGGTTCTTATCTATAGGAGTCTGCTTACATATAGGGCTGTAGGCTCTGAGGATTGGACAGGCTGACGAAGTCAAGAGGCGAAGCGAATCACTCCAAAGACCAGTTTTTGAGGCCTTGTGGTGAGGCCCTAGGTTCTGACATATCACGAGATAGACTTCTTGCGTGTGGCCGTAGCTCGTCCATGTTGGCTCGAGGAGTATCAAAAAGAAGCCGACTTTCACAGACACATTCAGTGCGGAATGACAATGAATACGTGATAAACATTAGAGTAGTCTACGGTGTCGAATTTCGAAGTGGCGAGCTTGTGATCATGCTCGACGATGATCCGGACTTCTGCCGGCTTCATGATCGCCGTGGCCAACCTCCCGAGCACTTGCATTGCAGAAGGCGAGGCTCAGAGGGCACAGGGAGATGAGAAGGATATAGATTCATCACCGTAGACTAGAGCACTCCAAGCTCTGCGACAGCATGTTCGTGAAGTAGTTGCATTGGTCACCCCTTCGGCATCGAAGCTCCCGTGTGTGCATCTGCCCCACCCGACTTGAACGGGAGTATGGAGCGCATTTGTCATGGTGGGAGAATGTTATCCGGACAAACTGGGCAAAGTGCGTGGCTAGCCTCCGCATGACGCCATACAGATTATGCAACATCGGAACCATCATTGCGTGACCGGGGATGTCGACGCTGCCGCTTCTTCGGAATCAACGGATGGAGCTGTAGGATCCCATCCTTTGACCGTTTTTGAGCCGCAGGACCAACGTAATATCATCGCTGTAGAGACCCCATTAGCGAACTTTAGACTAGCCGAACCGCTAAGCCAGCTAAACATGAAGGAAGCGATCGTTGCTAAAGGTACACTCGAGCTAGCGTACACACAAGAGAAAGTGATCAAACTGACGTTGGCTCAGGGCCCAAGGTCACGATCATCGACTCACCGATCCCCGAACCGTCCGAGGACCAGGTGCTCATCAAGGTCATCTTCTCTGGATCCAACCCGAAGGACTGGAAGGTTCCGCTATGGACCGGCAGCGAACGCAACGAGGGCGATGACATCGCCGGCGTGGTGGTCAAGGCCGGCGCCAAGGTCACCGAGTTCAAGCCGGGAGACCGCGTCGCCGCCTTCCACGAGATGCGAACACCCCACGGCAGCTATGCCGAGTACGCCGTCGCCTACCAGCATACCACTTTCCATATCCCGGCCAAGACCAGCTTTGAAGAGGCCGCAGCCCTACCTCTTGCTGCTATGACCGCGGCCATTGGATTGTATATTGACCAAGGTCTCCCGCAACCCTGGACGCCGGCCAAGCAACCCATCCCCCTGGTTGTGTACGGTGCGGCATCTGCTGTCGGCTCGTATGCCGTCCAGTTTGCTCAGAGGAGCAACATCCACCCGATCATCGCTGTAGCCGGCAAATCCGTCGCGCACGTCGAAAAGCTCATCGACCGGAGCAAAGGCGACACCATTATCGACTATCGCGAAGGGGCCGACGCCATCGTCGCCGGCATCAAGAAAGCCCTCGGCGGCGCCAAGCTTCTGCATGCCTTTGACGCCATCTCCGAGTATGACTCCTGGGTTCACCTGGGAAGGGTGGTCGACGATGGCGGCAGCATCAATGTGGTTTTGCCTTTCAAAGACTACAACGGGGTCCCCGAGACAGTCAGTATTCTGACCACGAGCGTCGGCCGAGCGCACAGCGATGCTGCAGACTTCGCCTACGTCTATTTCCGGTACATAGCCCTTGGTCTGCAGGCGGGCTGGTTCCGGGGGCAGCCTCAGGAGATTGTGCCCGGGGGGCTAGCTGGGGTGCAGGGTGCTTTGGAGAAGCTCCGAGACGGCAAGGCGAATGCCATCAAGTACATCTTCCGTATTGCCGACACAGAAGGCTCCGGGAAGGACTAGATAGTATTGAATGTTCGCGATATGTTGATCATTATTATGAACTGAGACAGATACCTTGAATGATGTCGACCATCATGACAGCCCTTCTCGAGTACCTCAGGCTGCCCTCCAAGGGCTCGTGGTGTTTCGAGTGGGCGAGGATTTCGCTACCACAGTACTGACAATTGAATGTGCAGTCTCTTCATCTCTTCATTCTGTCAAGAATCCGGATATCGATGCCGAGGTGGCGTCCGTGCAAAAGGGCAAGAGAGCACGCGACACAAGCATGATTGCTTGGACTGTATGACAGATCTCTGAAACCGCACACTATTTTTGGGAATCCAAGAGATCCGTTACTGGGCTTTTGGAAACTTTCAGATGGCCCACTGACAGATCAGTCCCATAATTGGAGTATTCTCGACCTCTGAGACGGGATTTGTATCACTAAGCTTTGGCACCCTCTTGGCAAATTGGGTCCTCCCAGCAGAACAGGGGGTCACCACGAAACACCAAATTTTCTTGGCTGGCTCGCTGGCCGAAATTGAAACAGCGGAGGGCTCACAGTAAATGAGCTGTCGCCACACAATGACAGAGCGGGAATAGCAAGAACTGGGGCGAGGCCGGGGAGCTGTTGCTGTCAACACCACCCCTTCCTTGAAGCCACCGACCAATTAAAGGATAGGGGGTTGGAAGGGTGTGTAAAAATAGGCGTCAATCTCGTGGCCAAGAGGGTCGACCGTCGTGATTTGTTTCGAAACATGCGCTCGTTCACTTCTTTATATGATCTCGTCGATCTTGCGTCTTGTCTGTCTTGTCATCTCTTCTTTCCGTCTCAACACCGCGGCTGGCCGTTAAGATATCATTCTTGTCTCCCAGGCGGATCATTCACTTTTGCGCGCTCTTTCTAACATCCTTTCCTTGTTTCGTTGCCCTTCTTTTTTCTTCTTTGCTACTGAACTGAACGGCGTTTCTCTGAGAGCCTCCTTTTTGAGTCATCTAATATCTCATCAACAAAACTCTTCAACTGCACGCTATCCATCATGCCTGCAATTAACACTATCCAGTAAGAGATCTTCTTCCATCTGCACTCTCATTTCATGACCAGAATGGTCTCTAATATGTCCGTATCAGACTTAAGGAGAGGCGCCGGCCGGCGTTGAGCATCCGTATTCCGGCCCCACGCAAAAGCCATTGGGATATTGTGAAGAGGCAAAGCATCGCGTCGCCTGACTCTCCAAACTCGCCGGCTTCGCAGAACTCTCCAGCATCCCCGGCTTCCCCCGGGAGTCCGGACAGGCAACGAGTCAATGCACGTGCCTCTCCCTCGCCAAACAGCGGCACGTTCCAAGGCGGTCGTCTTCCAAGCCCAACCTCGCCCGCTTCACCTGGGTCACCTGGAAGCCCTGCTGGTCGTCGTCTCAACACCCGCGGCCCCAAGTCTCCGAATTCTCCAAACTCGCCCAACTCTCCCAACTCTCCCAACTCTCCCAACTCGCCCAACTCTCCCAACTCTCCCAACTCTCCCAACTCTCCCAACTCTCCCAACTCTCCCAACTCTCCCAACTCTCCAGCTTCTGCGGGCCCTGCACCGGGGAGACGTCCCAGACCTCGTCCGTCTAAGAGGCAGAGTATTCGGTCACCGAACTCGCCGAATTCACCCAACTCTCCGAATTCTCCAAACTCGCCTAACTCTCCTAACTCACCGGTTTCGTCTGGAAGATCACGGGCGAAGCGTCCCAGACCCCGTGTATCCAGGAGGCAGAATATTAGGTCACCGAAGTCGCCCAACTCTCCAAATTCTCCAAACTCACCCAACTCACCCAACTCTCCGGCATCTGCAGGCCGTTCACGGGGCAGACGCCCCCGACCTCGTCCGTCCAAGGGGCAGAACATTCGGTCACTGAACTCACCGAATTCACCCAACTCGCCAAATTCTCCGAATTCGCCTAACTCGCCCAACTCACCGGCGTCTCCTAGAGGCGCACGTGGCAGGCGCGTTCAGATTCGTGCCTCTCCTACACCGAACAGGGGTGCTTTCCGGGGACTTCAGAGTCCGAACTCGCCGGCCTCTCCGGCATCGCCCGGAAGCCCGACTGTCCGGCGTCCCAGGGCTCGGCCTTCCAAGAGACAAAACCTCAGGCTTCCCAACTCGCCCAACTCTCCGAATTCGCCCAATTCTCCAAACTCTCCGAACTCACCGGCATCACCAGGGAGCCCTGCTGGGCGACGATTTGATAGACGTGGCTCTTCCTCAGCAAGAAAAGGCACTTCCCATGCTCTTCGCAGTCCGGGCTCACCAGCATCACCGGGCTCACCTGGGTCGCCTGGATCCCCCGGATCGCCTAAGAAGTTCTCTCGGACCAGTGTTGCAGCCTCACAGCCAGCCCAGACAAGAACGACAGCTCCTACCAGCACCGTGGCTTCGGCTCCGGTCCCTACTCTGGCGCTGCCTGTGGCTGCCAACCCAGCAGCCGGCGGCATCTCTCTCAAAGATCCTGGCCTTGCTGTGAAACCGGTGCTGAACGCAGCTGACAGCCCTCCGTCCAGCCCTGATTCTCCCAACTCTCCGAAAAGCCCAGACAGTCCTTCAAAGTCCAAGTTCTTTCCGTCATCGTCGTCCGCACCGCCACCGACACAGACTGTGCAGCCACCACCCCCTCCAAGTTCCGTTATCACCACAAGCACCACATCTTCGGCTGTGGTCGCCACAACCAGCTCTTCGAGCGTTCCTCCGCCCGCATCTGTCGCACCCCTTCCTCCTCCAGTGCTAAACCCGGAGCGAACAGGCCCGACCAGCGTGGAGTCGACAACTTCATCGATATCCTCCACATCGGTCAAGACGTCGACGACACCACCAACCCTGGCGACTCCGACTGAAACGGGCCAGGGCGGTACTGGGCGACCAACGACAACACTCGTGTCCCTCGTAACATCTACGCAGAGTGCCGATGTAGTGGTGTCTGGCGGTGATATCATCGCTGCGCCAACCCTGATTATTACTAAGGTGCCGATCGTTATTGGTAGTAACACGCTTCCTTTGGCAACCGAAACAGGTGTCGGCCAGGGTGCACCTTCAACTACGACTGCACCAGCTGATGGTAGTGGCACATCGGGCACCAACCAGGGTGCCAAGGTTGGTATCGGGATGGGATCTGTTGGTATGGACATATGCACCCCCATTGTTCCTGGAATCTTGTGATGCTAACTGGGTTCAATTTTCTAGCTGCCGCAGCTGTCGTTGTCTCTCTGATCTTTTTCTTCTTTCGAGGTCGGAAACGTGGCTACTTCAAGAATGCACCAAGTTTCTCAGACTCGTTCCGGAACACGAAGGACAAGTTTGGAGGGGGCAAATTGGGGTTCTCCACCAGCAGGAGCATCCCACCCGCGAACAAAGGCGACAAGTCTCAATCCAAGGTGCTCGACGACCTCATCACCGCAGCGTACGCCGCCGAGGAGGCGGGTGGCAGAGGGGGATGGGATCAGTCTGGGCCGAATGGTCCCTACGGATACTACGACGAGAAGAGGGACATGCAAGGCAATCCAACGTTCATGCCTGCCCAGAACTTTGACCAGCCTACTGTCCAAGTAACAGCACCTCACATGTCGCCAGAGGCCGGAGAGCGGAACAACATACAAGGGCAGTATGGAGCAGCGGCTGGGACTTTGAAATCCGAAGACTTCTTCCAGTCGATGAATCACGCCAGGGCTCCAGAGCCAAAAACACCCGAGGCAGTGGCCTGGGCTCTCGGACAGGCACAGACAGCACAGTGGTGGAGAAATACAGGCAGTACTGCCCCCCGGGACCAACGTGAACAGCAAGGTCGAGCACCAGGCGCACCAGAACAAGAGCCGCACGCGTTCTCTGGGCCGCCTGGCGCCGCAAGGCTTGGCGAGTCTCCGCAGTCGAGTGTGGCAGATGTGCGGACTGCGAAATGGGTCGAGATCAACGGTCCGTTTGCCGCCCCTGTTCTCACACAGACCGGAGGCCATCTCGATGTCTCTGACCAGGCGTATCCGACGCTGTCTTCTGTCTCGACCGAGAGGAGGATGTGGGGATGAACAGAGGCACAAGGCGCATAGACTCCGTTCAGTTCATGTACAACACTTTTCAAAATGTATTTTAGATACCATAAAACAGCTAAAACCCTAAAAATACTGACCGTATTACAGTCGCTACCGCAAACCACATGCGCAACCAGGTAGTTGATGACCTCCAACTTTTTGCTCAACCTTTCAGTGAACGTAGCAGAGTTAATTCAGAGCATACTGCAGGTGTATTCGTGATGTCATGATTTTAAAACGAGACCCGATCGGGGGACTGTATAATTTCGATCCGGGGACGGTTTTTTTTACACCGCCTTCCTTTTTGGTCATGCGCATCAGGTCCCACCCCCACTAAATTTAGCAGGTCAAAAGAATAACACAACACATAAGAGTAGAATATACAACATAATATTGTAATTATAAAAATAAAGCTATTTAAAGTCTATTAGTGACTTAATTTATTGATTTCTATAGAGTTTTTTAAATAGATGCTTTTTAATAGTTAGAAGAGGTTATTCTAATCTTTAGATAAGTCTTATTAATAAGATATCTAATTATAATAATAACTAGTCTTTATCTAAGAACTCTAATCTTATTATCTAGCTCTTTAAGACTTTAGATAAAGCTATAGTTAAATTAAAGTTATTTCTATCTATAGAGATTTTAATAGTTAATCTAACTTTAATAGTTTAAATCTTTATCTTATCTTTAGTTATTATAATTTAGCCTAATATTATAACTAATAGAGCTTAGTCTTATAATCTTTAAATAGGCTATTATATAAGTCTTATTCTCTTTATTATCTTCTATTAAAAGAGATTATATTTAAGATTTTAAGAAGTTAATTAAGCTATAGATCTTAATATTAAAACTATTAATAAAGAGCTATTATCTTAAGATCTACTCTTAAGAGTTCTAACTTAATAAGACTTAATAATTAATAACTATTAATTATTATTATTAAAACTTCTCTTAAGCTATTAATAAAGATAATAATTACTTTTAATAATAATCTTATTTATCTTAAGCTTCTTTAAAATTATATAGTTATAGAGTAGGCTAAATTAGTAGAAGAATTAATCTTAATAAGGCTTTAAATTAATCTCTTTAATTAAAAAGCTTTTAGTTAAGTACTTTTAATAATTTATAAGATTAATAGCTTTATAAGAAAGCTTATATATTATTATATCTAGCTAATATTTATCTAAGAATTCTTAATAGCTCTTAAGCTTTTAATTTTTAACCTACTACTTAAACTTTATCTTCTTAATTATTATTATTATCTTAATTATCTTTACTATATTAAAGAGATTATTAAAGTCTTTATAGAGATAGCTTTTAAGAATATAATAGGCTGATTTAATAGATAAGATTATAATCTAGTTAAAGTTAGAATAAGTCTAAATCTAAGCCTCTACCTAATCTTATTTTACTAATAGATATTACTTCTTAAGATATCTAATAATTAGCTTTTAATTAATAAAATCATACTCTAGCTATATCTATATCTTATTAAAAGCTTTCTTGAAGTAGAAATAAATAAGTCTTATCTATAGTAAGTAGATCTTAAAGTAATTATATAGTAGGCTTAATAGAAGAGATCTTATAAAGTTATTACTCTTATAAATAAGATAATTAATAGCCTTAAGCTTATATATCTTATTATCTTTTTAATATAGTAGAGGTATTATAAGTAGTCTAATAGCCTTATTATTAAATTTATCTTTATTAGTCTTATTATTAGTATTAATAATAGTCTTATAATAATTCTTTAGGTCTTTCTACTTCTTCTTAATATTAGTAATTATATTCTTATTAATATAAAAAACATAAAGCTATAGTTAAATTAATAGATATTTTATCTTAAGAACCTTCTAGAGTAATATCTTATAATTAGTAATAATAATTATTAAAGCTAGAATATTATAAGAGGTCTAAAAGTAAACTAGCTAGCTAGCTAGCTAGTTATAGCCTTCTTCTTACTTATTATTAATAAAGATAAAGATAGTAATAAAACTAATACCTATATTAATTAGGGAATTGCTAGCCGGGCATGACAGTTTTGCTAGCCGGGCATGACCTTAGCCGGGCATGACTTTTTGAGCCCTCTGATTGGTTTAAAATCTTGCCAGCTGCCAGTCCCACCTGCCAGAATTTTTACCTTAACAGCTTATCAGGGCCGGCCGGCCTGATTCAATTGACGAAGCCGTCAAGGCCGGCCACCAGGCCCGATTCAATTGACGAAGCCGTCAATTGACGGGCCCGATTCAAGGCCGGCCACCAGGCTTGATTTTGACGAAGCCGTCAAGGCCGGCCACCAGGCCCGATTCGATTGACGAAGCCGTCAATTGACGGGCCCGATTCAAGGCCGGCCACCAGGCCTGATTTTGACGAAGCCGTCAAGGCCGGCCACCAGGCCTGATTTTGACGAAGCCGTCAAGGCCGGCCACCAGGCCTGATTCAATTGACGGGCCTGATTCAATTGACAGGCCTGATTCAAGGCCGGCCACTAAAGGCCAGTACAGACTGCTAACTGTATGGGCTTGCTAACTACACGGGCTGCTAAATGCACGGGCTTGCTAAATACACGGGCTGCTAAATACACGGGCTTGCTAACTGCACGGGCTTGCTAACTACACGGGCTGCTAAATACACGGGCTTGCTAAATACACGGGCTGCTAAATACACGGGCTTGCTAAATACACGGGCTGCTAAATGCACGGGCTTGCTAACTGCACGGGCTTGCTAACTGCACGGGCTGCTGGCCCTGATGGCCCTTGACGGCCGGCTTTGAATCAGGCCTGGTGGCCGGCCTTGAATCGGGCCCGTCAATTGACGGCTTCGTCAAAATCAGGCCTGGTGGCCGGCCTTGAATCGGGCCCGTCAATTGACGGCTTCGTCAATTGAATCGGGCCTGGCTGGCCTCTAACCCCATGGGCTTAAGGGCTCCAGGGCTGCCAGCTGGTAAGATTTAGTGGGATCAAGGCCCTTAACAGATAAGAATGCAGCCAATCAGAGGGCTCAAAAAGTCATGCCCGGTTAAGGTCATGCCCGGCTAGCAAAACAGTCATGCCCGGCTAGCAATTGCCATTAATTATACTAGTAATCTAAAAGAGAGATATATTATAATAGTTAGTTTTATAGGTATTATTATATTATAGGATTACTAGAAATTAGCATTATATCTATAGAGCCTAAAGATAGCTCTAGAAAAGTATTATAGGCTAATAAGAATTATTATTAGTATATTAAATAGTATATAATAGGCTAGTCTTATTAAGATACTTAAGAAGATATTATATAACTATATAGCTCTCTAAAGCCTTAAGCTAAAGATATAGTTAAAAATTAGTTATATTAAGAAGAAAAAAGATCTTATTAAAGAAGACCTCTTATAAGACTAACTTAATATTATATAGTTAAATAAAAGTGGTTTTAAATATTATAATAATTATTATTACTATCTTAAGAATAATTCTTTAATAGGCTTAATAACTAATAATTAAGTTAGATAACTTATAGTTATAATAATTATAAATAGCCTTAAAGATCTATTAATAATTATTCTTCTTTAATATCTTAATTATAGTCTTCTATAGGCAATTAGACTCTTTAAATATATATATCTTTTATATTATAGCTCTAAATAGCCTAAAGTAGTCTTAATTATATCTAATATTAATTCTTATAGCTAGCCTATCTTATATATTTAAAGATCTTATCTTAATAAAGATAACTCTATTCTCTTTAATCTAGTTATTTAATTTAACTATAAGATTATTACTAATATAATAAGTAGTTATAAAGAGGCTATAATTTAATAGAATAAAGATAATAAGATTATTAGAGAACTAGAAAATTAAAGATAAGAGATTAATATCACTTAATAATTTAAAGAGAGATAGTAATTTAAAATTTATTTTAAATTAATAATTAGATAGATATTATTAAGAAAGTCTAAGAGCTTTAATTTCTAATAATATATATTAATATGGTGGCTGTTATAGTGGTTTGAAATTAATCATTTGTTATATTTCACGTTTGGTGGAGATTAGGCGTGTTGAAAAACCGGCAAAATGATGGCGGTGTGGAAATTGTGGAGAAAGCCGTCCCCGGATCGCTTTTTTACAGTCCCCCGATCGGGTCTCTTTAAAACGAGAGACTTCTAAGTACATTCCCGAAAGGCAGCCGTCTAGACCACTTGATTTAATGGTAGGGCGTGACTGGTGAGACCGGGCACCTCCTAAACGAAGAAGACTTCCAACTTGGATAGCGAACTCTTTGGACTTCATAGTAACATGTCCGCTGATCGACGCTAATTCATCAAGGTTCGCAATTACCCAACAGGGTGCACAAGCTTCGCCTAGATATAAGGGAGGGGGCCGCCACCTGTGTCTCCACCGCTGACACTTTTTCAGGTTCATCTCTACACTCGAAAACCGTGTTTCATACGTCCAGCCAGCCACTTGTTGGAGGGGCCTATCCGGCCTCATACATTCTCGTACATGCTTGACTACTGGTCTGCAAAATCGAAGTCTCCCAGCGCCTGTAATTATAAGGTCAAGATGAATAGCAGCCAGTGAGCGTTCCTCTTGTTATTACACTCAAGACTCAAGACGACAAGGAAGAGCCAGAGGCATGCAGAGAGGGTGGCAACGCAATCATACCGGGAAGCAAGGAAAGTCTGGAGCCGGATCTTATTAATAGTTTGTTTCTATTGATTGGCAACTTCTCCGTTCTCATCCTCGGCTATTACCCCCGGCCTGTTGTCTACCGGGAGCAGTCAAAATAGCACCACCACTTATCACACGGCATCGATCCAGTTTTTGTTCCCTTTTGTCTTCGTTTCTGTTTCCCCCCTTTCTTCTCCGCTATCCCACACCTCACAACTGTGAGATGGCTGGCCACAGGAGCAGAACGCGGAAATTCACACATTGTATGCCCGGGGATCTGGGAATCTATGCGGGAAGGACTCCAGCCTTCTGAGCGGTCCAAGTGGCAATGGCATCCATCAGGGGTGGCGAGAGGGCGTCGTAGGTCTCCAGGCCGACCGATCGAAGCTTGCTCCGCACCTCATCCATGCCCTTGGGGTCGAAGCCCTGCTCGATGATGGAGGAGACAAAGGCGGCGAATTGGGGCTCTTGCCAGCCCTTCTGGTCTGACAGCTCGACGTGGACAAAGTCGAGGCCCTTGAAGGGATGTTCTTTCTCGATGCGGCCATATAGGTGGACCCCGCAGTCCTTGCAGGCATATCGCTGGATGGTGGCGCTGGTGTCGACGATCTTCAGCTTGTCGCCGTTGGCCGTGACCTGGAGCTTGTCCTTGGGGATGACGGCAACAACCGAGAAGAGGGCGCCCTTGGGCTTCCAGCACTTGGAGCACCCACAAGCGTGGTTATGGGCCACGTTGCTGCCGAGGGTGATCTCAATGGGGTTGGAGGAGCAGTGGCAGCGGAGCTTCCCGCCGGGGAAGTCGGCCTGACCCTTGACAAGGCCGTTGTCGATGAGGGGGTGGAGGGAGGGAGCCATGGTCAGAAAGGTGAGTATTGTTTCGTCAATTGGTTCGTTGAAGGCGGGTTGTTCGAGTTGAAGAGCGCCGAATGCCGCGGAATACCCTGGGAAGACACCAAGCCCCTGATATAGGGAGGGAGGGCCGCGGATCGCAGTTCTAGTCCCGACGAGGACCGCACGGGACAACAATGACACGCCCATTCATCCTCTCAACGCACAATGCTCCAAGGGACTTCCCCTCATCGACTCCCCCGCATGGTCCCGAATGCGGCATTACTTCCCGACCCTACCGTGATACATGTGCCTGCCACTATACGGTGCGGCAGTTTGCATGGCTCCACAGCACCTCCGCAAACTGCCGAAGGTAATACAATAGGGGCGTGGCATGGCGCCATCCCCGCACCTGCCGATCAAAACTCTGTCTCAGCACTCAAAGGACGCTTTGGAATTTAGGTTCATGGCAGGATGCAAAGCCAAGAGAGCATCATTTGGCGTTACATCGGAGTTAGCTCGGTGTTCGGCGAGGCATGTGGGGACGGAGACGGGTCCGGGAACCGAACCCCATGGCCCTTGGACGAGAGGACACGATAATGACAGCAAATCACTAGGAAACTGGCAGTCATTGCGGCGCGGGTAATGTTCCTGTGTCTGTCGGCCATCGATAGCGTGATGATTGAGCATCCATCGCTTCAGCCGCACTCATTATTGATCCCGACCTTTCCAGCTGAAGCCTCACGAGAGCTCCCCAACCGCCAGTGATACAACGGCCTTAGAGCCACTCCCCCATACGCTTGTTCACATATTTGGGCCTAATTCCGGAAAGACCCATGATTGCAGATGACTACGAATGCCCCGTGAGGAAGGGAAGGCCTTCTTTCCGGACACAGAATACGGAAGGCTTACTAAAACTCCACATAACGGTTACACACGACACCGGAGAAAGGAATTCCATTCAACATCCTCTTGTAGGTGGTCATTCTCCTCGTTAATCTGGTTCCTCTCTTCAGGAAAGTCCTGGAATCATCATGAATATATCACCTACCAGCGCTCGAGGGAGAGGAGCCGAAGATAGAGAATACCAGAAGACAGGGGCATGCGAGAGATCTCTCAAGGACCTTTGAAAACTTGACTTCTCAAGAGTTCGTTTCTCTGAATTCGCGGAGATTCAACACTGCATGCGAGTGAGTTGAAGCTAGACCATGCAGTGTCTGCGGATGTTGAGGACAGGACTCTACTACCGCTCCTCCAACGCAGGTCGTGAAATGGCGCTTCGGGGTATGAGTGTCCGGTGCGGGGCGGCCTGGTTGTTTGGCGCTGGCACTGGTGCTACTGTTCTGGCCGCGATGACGCGAGTCAGATACAACTGGCGACAGACTTGTTCAATATTATATATCTTCTTTAGACTGTTCGAACTTCTTATTTGCTTACCTTGAGCATTGTGAATCCTTCAAGATGATGAAAGCACTCCTTTTTTATGGCGCATATGATGTGCGGTTGGAGGAGAGGCCCAGTACGTCATTCAGCTCAAGCGCCACATACAGCTCCCAGATTACTGATTGATAATTATCCCCATAGTCCCGAAGCTTGTCGACCAAACAGATGTCATAGTAAAAACAACGTCGGCCGCGTTGTGTGGCAGGTAAGCCCATGTTGAACAAACCAAAGAGAAGCCTGCCCTATTGCTCACACTGACAGTGAGCTGCACCGATATCGTGGTCATTCCAAGGCCAACATGAAACCTGGGTATGTGTGCGGTCACGAGGGTATTGGAGTTATTCATGAGAAAGGAAGCGAAGTCAAGAACTTTGCTGTGGGGGACCGAGTTATAGTGCCCTTTCTCACTAGCTGGTAAGTTCAGACGGCGTAGCAGCTTACCTCACTATGTCTGTTTTTTCGCTCATCGTTATCGGTTCGCTAGCAACGAATGCTTCAACTGCAAGAGGGGCGTACATGGGCGGTGTAAGAAGGGCCGAAACTTTGGTGGCCTCACGTTGGACGGCTCGCAAGCGCAGTATTTCCTCGCGCCGATGGCGGACGCGATACTGTACCGCCTGCCTAAGGAGTTAGAGGGTGGCGAGCTTGCTATTTTGATGACAGACATATTCCCTACCGGGTGAGTAACTAGCCCGTATGTGAGTTACGTGGATGTACTTGGAGACTAATGCTGGCTTTGGCGTTGGCAGCTTCAACGGCGCCAAACAAGCCTTTATCGACACTCCGCAAGATCAGTGGAAGGACATGTCTATTGCCGTCATAGGTTGCGGACCTGTAGCTCTGTGCGCTATCATTTCCGCCTTAGAGTATGGCCCTGCGAGAATCTTTGCGGTTGACTCGGTTGTATCACGTCTAAAAGCTGCCGAAGAGCTTGGGTGTATTGCCATTAATTTCAAAGAAGTTGATGCAGTGGCCAAGATCCGCGAGGCCACGGACAACAATGGAGTCCATGCCGTTATTGAAGGGGTGGGTATGTCACCAGCTCTCAAGACAGCCTATGATATTGTCTGCCCTGGGGGCAAGATCAGTTCGTTCGGTAAGTTGTGATCTTCTCACTGTCGATAGTCTCTTGTTTCTCTTTCTGATCAAAGTGAACTAGGCGTGCACAATGGAGAACTGCCTTTTACTGCCGCTGATTGTTACAACAAAGATGTGCACATCAAATTCGGTCGCTGTCCTCTGAGAGTTGTCTTTCATGATGCCCTTACAACTCTCATCCGGAACAGGGAACTCATTGAGAGAATGAAGTTTATCGACCTGGTAGTCCCGGAACTCGATGAGTCCTTTGCTGACGCTCTCAAGAGGTTTGAGTGTGGAGAGCTCAACAAAGTCGTCTTCAAGCCCAACGGGCCATCAGCATAAGACTCAAGGGACTTTTAGAGACGGGGGGCAGTAACTCAATGACTCAATATTTTAATAGAGGACAATACGTCTTAAGTTACTTGAAAGCTGAAGTGCATGTTATCGAGGCAGTCATCGACACAAGTATCTATCAATAGTCTTCTTGGCCACTTGCAGTTGGGTTCATAGTGAGTGAGTTCCTACATCTAGGTAGCAAGCCATAGGCATCCTGAGCCTGCCCAATGACTCTCTGCCGTCAGTACCGAACATCGGCCGCTGGTTCATTATTGCATTGGTCACGGAACGGCCGTGAAGGTTCGAAATTCTTCTGAGGAACGCACCGTCATGTTCAACCTGTTGAGCTGAACTAACTGAGACAAGAGGAATATCATGCCCGCGATGAGATACGCCGATTGGACCTAGAATTGGACTGTGGACCTGAATGAACGGTTACTTCATGATTGCTCTTCGAACCGGACACGTTAGGAGCATTAATTGTCATTGGTATCAACGGTACTTCATTTCCCGAGCCATTGGCAGTTTCATCTTTTCAATTGGCCTTGAGCTCCTACAGTGGGATCAGAAATGCTTCTGCATGGCGGCAAGTGAGTCTCCTCTTGGGAATGGAGGTGGAGATTTCGACTTTCCCCGTTGTGGGGCCGGGCTCTCGGATTTACTCAAGGGAGGACACTGGGGTGTGCAATCCGGAGATGAACTGTCCGGACCCGGCATCGCCTATTCACTGGTCAGTTGGCTTAATAATTCCACCCTAACAAATAGACTGAGACTTTTTAAGTCAAGGTGCCCGCAAAGCGCAGGCCTCGAGGCTTGAGAATTGCGAAGAAAGCCAAAAAGCACCAAAATGACGCTCATCACAGACCCTCTCAAGATCGGACGCTGCACCCTGAGCCACCGGGTTGTCATGGCGCCATTGACTCGGTTGCGGGCCAGCGATGAGCATGTCCCTGAAGACATGGTGCTGGAGTACTACTCGCAGCGTGCTTCCGTTCCAGGGACGCTCCTCATCACCGAAGCCTGCTTCATCTCCGCCAAGTCTCGCGGCCGCGACGAGAATGCCCCGGGTATCTACAGCAGCAAACACATCCAAGCTTGGAAGAAGATCACGGACGAGGTTCACCGGAAAGGGTCCTACATCTTTATGCAACTATGGCATGTGGGAAGAGCTGCGCGCCAACATGCACTAGACAAGGCTGGACTGGAGATGGTTAGCAGCAGTAGCACTCCCATCAGTGACGACCACCCGACGCCGCGGCAAATGACGATCGAAGAAATTAAAGAGTGCATAGACGACTTTGCACAAGCCGCCAAAAATGCTATTGCTGCCGGCTTTGACGGCGTCGAGGTCCACGCAGCCAACGGTTATCTCATCGATCAATTCACCCAGGATACGTGCAACCGGCGGACGGACGAGTGGGGAGGGAGCATTGAGAACCGTTCGCGATTCTGCTTTGAGGTCGTCAAAGCAGTCTGCGAGGCCATTGAACCAGATCGGACTGCCGTGCGACTTTCACCGTTCAGTACCTTTCAAGGCATGCGCATGGCAGACCCTGTTCCCCAGTTCAGCGACCTGATCTCGCGCCTCAGAGTTTTCCCTCTTGCGTATTTGCACCTCGTCGAACCGCGAATCGCGGGCAATGCGGATGTGATCTCCACAGACCAAGAAAGCCTGGACTTTGCGCTCAAGACATGGGCAAAGACTGGACCACTTATCCTTGCCGGGGGCTACACGGGAAAAAAGGCAAACGAGGCTCTGGAGACAAGACTCAGCGGGGAGTCTGTGGCATTTGCCTTTGGAAGGCATTTTATTTCAAACCCTGATCTACCCTTCAGACTGACCAATAATATCCCTTTGACTCACTATGAGAGGGACACTTTTTACAAAGTTAAAAGTCGGGACGGATACACAGACTACTCATTTTGCTCTTCTTGGCAAGACCAGCGTTTGTAGGTATTGCGAAATAAACAACTGTTGTCGATTGAGTGGCTCTGAGAATGAATACCGTACTGTATATTCCTTCCAATCCCATGTCCAATTCTCATATCTTGGGAGGCGTCTTGTGTCTGATGTGTTTCGTCTCTATATATGTGCGTCTATCCCCTTCTGGTGCACATTCAGCAATTCTCTGCTTTTCAAGGTCCAGGACTTAGTGATCGCAAGTCACACTTGTTGCTAATCGGCAAAACTGTTGATGGGCCCCCATGTTCTGATGACGTGGTTATGGTCAGTGCGCACTTCAACATTGCTTTGTGCGAGTCTCACAGGTCCATGTGGTCCAAGCCTATCGAAGTCCCTGATCAAACAATTCGTAGGATGTATCTCCAGGAGTGCGCGGAGAGTATATGCTATTTTGACATCTATCTTGTGAAGCTAGGCTAGCAGATCCTGGCTTTCCGTCCTGTGACTCATTGTGCAGAAGATCTTGGATCTAGAATAGAGCAAAGCATAGCGATGGGAGCATATGTCTTGATAAACGAATCTAGCCTAGACAGTGTATCTAAACCAGTCTGTACCCTCAATCTGCTCCAGACCTTGATCGGCTCTGCTGTTTGCTCGTCGGAGGATGAAGATAGTAATGGGTGCTAAGATCGTGTTGAGCACAAATAAAATCCCCATTGCAATGACTCCAGGGAGATAGTTAGGAGCATCCTGTCCCTGTCAGTGCGGGTTTGTGCCTCAAGACCTAGGATACTCTACTGACCTGTTGTCGGAAGACTGTAGACGAGTAAATACCGCCAATGGCCGAAAGCGTGATCTGAACGGCCGTGACAACGGCCCGCTTCTGGTCTTGTCTTACATTGTTCTGTCCCCACGCAATACCAGTCACCACAATAGTGTTGGAGGCTGCTTGGCCTAGAAAGGCGCCAACGTATCTTGGAATGGGATTTTTGAGGAATCCAATCATAGCAAGCCCGATGATTCCCACGATTGAGGCACCGAACATAAAGGGCGCTCGGCACTTTGTTTTGTCGGCAAACCATGATATTGTGAAGGCCACGATGACAGCAAATGCTGCAGGGGGGGTGCTGAGCAAGAATGAGTTCTGCTGGCTGAAGCCTAAGCTGTTCTTGAGAATAATGGGCAAGAAAAAGAGGAAGGCGTAGACTCCTGTGGAGCCAGTTTGATACTGAAATGCACTGGCAGAAGGTAAGCATGGCTCTCACAAGATATGAAGAAGTATTGGGTTGCACGCACAGTAGCCAGACTTTCCAGTCCTTAAGGCAATCCCAGATGACCTGCAAAGAGACATGAACCGTTTGGTTTTCCCCCCTTTCTTGCAGTAATCGTGCTTCAACGAGTGTGGCTTCCTCTTGAGTGAGAAATTTGTTTCGCTTCGAGCTAGGGAAGTCAACCATGACAAAGTATGCCCCAATGCCGACCACTATCGTCACAGTGCCTTCCACAATGAAGATCCATTTCCATCCGTGCACAAAAGGATCGCTGGAAATATAGATCAGGCAGTATGCGAGTATGTTGGAAAATGAGGACAGAAAGGAGCCGGTCAGGAAGAAGATCGCAATCCTAGACTCACGTCAGTATTGATATCGTGCAGAAGGATGTGGCTGTTGGTAACCTTTTTTGGACCTCAGACTTCTTGTACCACGATGAGACTAAATAGATTCCTCCTGGAAAGACACCCTTGTACTCCATTAGCATCCGGCATAGTTTCCAGCACTCGAACACGATTTCCACGAAGGCTTACCCCTTCAAAGATGCCCAGAAGAACCCTCAATACAACAAGGGACTCCCAATTCTTGATAAACCCAACAGCCAATGTAACCACTCCCCAAGCCACGGCCAGAAAAGAGAGCCAGGCAGCAGGACCAGCTTTCCGGATGATGATGTTGCTCGGAAGTTCCACAATTACGTAGCCTATGTAGAAAACAAGCACTGGAAAGAGCCAAAGGTGAGAAGCTTGCATGGGATTAGCTAGGGCATAATCATAGTGACTTACATGCGATCGAAACCCGACTTCCAACAGCAAGGTCAAGAGCTGCGTCTATCCCGGAAATGCGTGCAGCACCCATGCTGGACCTATCAATGAAGCAAAAGGTGTAGATCAAAGAAAGGATGGGAAGAAGTCTCCTATCAATCTTACGGCTAGCCACCCGACATTCAATTAGCGACATCTTCACTAGGTTTATTGCGCACTGGAATCCTTACATCAACGCCTTCTCCCTCTCGGGATCAATGATAATCGATTGCTGCGTTTCTCCATGATTTGCCTCGGGATCAATACGCTTCTCAACCTCAACGAAGTGACCTGTGTTTTCTGGCATTTTGAATGACTGGGTGTCAGAATGAGTTGCCATTTCAAAAGTGAAAAATGTCGGAATAGGTATAATATCATGCAAGAAATAAATCTAGATTGACTGGGCAGATTCTTTGAAATTAATGAACGGCGAGGTCTTTATGAGTAGCCTTTTGTGTACGAGGAGCCATCGGCAGTGGTAGTTGAGGGCCCGAGGCTCTGGCGATTAGATGACCAACGATCTCCTGTGGCAATAGTTCTGGGTCTGCCCCTGGAGAAGGCTCTATCCGGAAAGTTAGAATCCGAGACTATTGTACTAGCGTCCCGGGGAAGCGCCCTGCCATTTGTAATGGTTGTGCAACCCCGCAACATACCATGTCCAAGCTCTCGGCCTGTTCCGAATTACAATTGAGACTGATCCTTGGCGTCGGGGAGAGACTCGCCGACTCATCAACTAGCCCTCCGAGGGCCTTTCGAGGACACGACAAAAGCATTGTGGACCCGCAAGTTTGCTTTCTTGAAACGCTTAGTTGGATTGACTGGATGGCAGATTCGGGCTTTACCAATAAAATACTTTGTTTGAGTACCGAGCCTGTCTGAGGATAGAATCTCTACAGCGATTATCGAACACTCATGCAAAGACCTTAAGAGAAATACAAGGCTTGAAAGGGTAATCGAGTATAATAGATTCAGTGATTGATTTGCTTGCTAAAGAGGGTGAAGGTTTCTAGCTAGAAATTGTGCAATGGTTGCAGAAAGTGAAATAACGGCAATCTCTAGTGTTGAACAGAGGCCAGAAAAATAGTAAGAGAGTCGAAGGTATTGATTCGATGTCACCTGCGACGTGAAATCTCCTCACTGATTGGATTATTTGCCCACGGCCTTTCCAGCCTCATGGACCTGGATCAGGTAACGATAAGCAGCGATATGGCTCGCCATGACGTTGCCGAACCCTTCAACATCGCGGCGCCAGTCGCGCTGCAGCTCACCGGCCACGGCGAACCAATCTAGGAGCTGGACGCCCTGGGCTACCATACGCTTATGAGCCGCCTCACGGGTGTGCTCTGCCAGGGTTCCCGAAGCGTCAGTTACGACGAATACTTCGTAGCCGAGCTCCGCCAGAGAGAGTGCGGCGTACGCAACACAGGCCTCGGTGACAACACCGCTAGCAGGCGAGTCGTGTTAGCAAAATTGAATGTGTCCTGCTGACGAACCATAGGGATTCTCACCTGATGATGACCTGCTTCTTCCCAGACTCCTTGACAAGGCGAGCGAAATCAGGGTTGTCCATAGCGTTGATCTCACCAGGACGACGGATAAGAGGTGCATCCGGGAGCGCCTCTGGGATCTCGGGGATGATGGGCCCGTTTGGACCCGAATCAAAGGAGGTGCTCAGAATAGTGGGAACCTTGAAGAACTTTGCCAAGGCGACCGTAGCAAGAACATTGTTGCGAAACTCGTCCACGCCATAGTCTCGCACGACGCTCATGAGACCTCCCTGGTGATCAATAAACAAAAAGAGACTGTTGTCGATATCCAGGCGCTTGTAAACCGGAGGACTCATTTTGACGAGCTTTGCAGACTATCCGAGGTGGTTTATTTGATGTTCAAGAAGGTCTTTGCGATGAGAGATGTGCTGTAGATTTGCTCTTCCTTCTCGCTCTACATCCCTTTCCTACACCGCGCCTTTATACCTGGAACTTTTTCTTGCCTTTTCGCCCTCTTACCACCTTACCCAGTCGAATGAACTTCGTCATTCGAAATCCTTTCTTTCTTGTCAGGGAGAGGCAAGAGGTGCCTTCATTTGTGATGCCTTACCTGTTCATGACAAAAGGTGCGCCAAGTATGTTGTGATGGAATTTGAAGTGGCAGACTGCTGGCAATTTGTATTATTTGGTAAGCTCTAGACTACACATTGGTCAGCATGATGATTTTTGGTGTGCGCTGATTTGTGGCTGTATTCGTATGCTTACAGCTTTTGACGTTGCATCCAGGGTCTAAAGAAGCAATGAGAAGTGGTGGCCCTCCCTGTGGCGTGGTGGGCGGGATATAGTAAGCGTACATAAGCAACATCTTTACTCTTGCTGTTGCCGCCATTGGACAACCTTCAGCGTAACATGACTCCATAACAACCTCGCAAGACATTATCAGTGTACTAAGTCGATGCAGGCAAGATCTGTGCCATGACAAATGCTCAGTTTATGGATAACTTGCCAAGCCGGCACAAAATGAGCCCTCTTCGAAGTGGAGGCAGAAAAGACCTCCGCAACGGAGCTTCACTTACCGGAACCCACTACCAAGATAGCTTTATTTGAACATTCCAGTGTACCATATCACCAAAGTTTTGACTTCCTCATGATCAAATAGGCACTAAACAGTATACCATCTCATTCAATGCAAGATGGAAGAGGACTACAGTATGTCCCAACTGAAGATACCATCTTCAGACGTTACGGTGCGCATACGGATGGTTGACACTACTGGTGTCATCGTCGTGAGGGCCATATCTTTTATCGAGCCTGTCCAACCTGGGCATGAGATTCTAAATCTTCCTTGTGCTGCATTCTTGATCGACCATCCTCCATCTGGACGAAAGATCATGTTCGATCTGGGCGTGCGCAAGGATTATTGGAAACTCCCAGCCGGGCCCCAAAAGCGGTTGGGAATGGTCACTCCCGCTCTCCGCGTTGACAAAGACACGACTGAAATATTGATGGAAAAGGGCATAGATCTGAGCGAGATATGTAAGAGTTTCGTCTGTGATGATACAGAGAGTGATCACTAACACGAGTCCTCACAGCAAGCGTCATATGGTCGCATTATCACTGGGACCATACTGGCTCCATGGAGCTATTCCCTTCATCTACGGAGCTGGTTGTTGGACCTGGCTTTGTGTCTTTGCCATCGCTCCTCCCAGGATATCCTCACAACCCGCAGTCCCCGATAGACTCTGCTGCCGTCGAAAATCGTGTTCTTACTGAAATAGCCTTTGATGATGCGGCATCCCCTCGTATTGGCGGATTCCGATCACACGACTTTTTCGGAGATGGTTCATTTTATTTGTTAGGTAGGTTACATATGTCCCTATAAGAAATATTACTTATCAAGACTGATTGCGCACTGCCAAGATACTCCCGGGCATTGCCTTGGGCACATTTGTGGTCTTGCTCGGACAACTGGCGGATCAGACAGCACATTTGTCTTACTCGGTGGTGATATTTGTCACTTTGCCGGAGACTTCCGGCCCAGTCGCCAGATTCCCTTCCCACCTGCTATTCCCTGTAGTTCATTGGACAGGGATGCATACTTTCCTATTCCCTGTCCTTGCTCGCTTTTCGCCGACTCCCATCCGAGTAACGCGGCAGGCACAAAGCCCCTCGACCCCTGCAAAACCCCATTTTACCGAATCTCGACACATGAAACGGCCGCATATACAGATTCTGCAGAGTCACAACGCTCTGTCGACAAGTTGATTGTTTTTGATGGCAGCCCCTCGGTTCTGGTTTGCTTGGCTCACGACGGCACCATGCTTCGCAAACTCCCGACCCTGAACAGCAATCCAGAAGAGGATCTGAATGATTGGAAGAGGCGAGGGTACAAGGAGATGATCCACTGGGGATGGTTAAACGAGCTCCCACGCAATGGGAAACTGGGGAGAAAGCAGGCGGTCAAAGGATTCTGGAGAGATTACCAGCAATGGCCGGAGGCACAGGAAGTCTTGTGTAAGAACGGGGAAGCAGCTGCATCACCGCTACTCTAGAGTGTCGAAGTTATGAGAATTACAGATTGATTTCAGGTCTATCCAAGTAAACCCTGCATGTATCTGACCCTTTGCCAACCATGTTCCCCGTCTAGAGGCTAGCTATCGCAACGTATTGTACCCACACTTCAAACATGAGAATTAATGCTGTAGAAGAAGGCGAATGGCAAGATAAGAGATATCTGAAACGACAAAGCTACGTTTTCCATTCGTTTTATGGTATATGAAGATATTAAAGTCTGCTTGCAACAGCGGGAGGGTCTTCGTAATGAGGGTTGGCCGCCCGTCGAGCCGCGGCTTTCCCTGCTCGGCGTCCGAAGACGGTCCCAGATGTCAAGCCACTTCCGCCAGGGTAATTCTGGTAGAAAAGGCCACCGAGCATTTCGCCTACACAGTAAACGCCAGGAATGGGCGCACCGCTAGATGCCGCTATGAGCTGTGCCGTCTTGGGATTAACCTTAAGGCCACCGAAGGTGAAAGTGATGCCGCATGTGACTTTTACCGCAATGTAAGGGCCTTGGTCAAGGGGAAGAGCCCAGTTGGACTTGGGTAGGGCAAGCTGTTTGGACGCAGACTGCGTCGAAACGCCGTCCCTGACTGTAGGGTCCCACCTCGGTCCGCTGGGCCCATTCTCACTCTGGAAGGCGTAGACTGCCTCGTTGTATTCTCGAATCGTATTGACGAATGTCTTCTTGTCATGTAACCCGCGAGCCGCACACTTCTCCGCAAGTTGCTCAATCGTGTTGGCAGTGATCCGCTCCACACGCTCCTCGCGGTATTCCTCCGAACGCAACCATTTGGCCGTCTGGGCATCCCAGACCTGGAAAGCAGTTTGCTCAGGCTGATGGAGAATGGCCCGGCCAAACTTGGCGTAAGTGTAGTTGCGAAGGTCGACACCCTCATCCACAAATCGTTTGCCCTCTGTATTGATCATGAGGCCCAGAGGGTACCCCGACTTGGTGTATTCGTTCGAAGCGACCCTGTCTCCGACATCCGGATTTGCGTTGGCATCCCAAGCGACCGCATGGCAGCCGGACCAGTTACCCACTGCTTGCGCACCCAGACTCTTAATAGCCATCTCTAAACACTCCCCTGTATTGTAAGGAGTGCCACGGACCATAGCCATGTCCCAGCCCGGGCCAAGGAATTGACTCCGTAGCTGAGAGTTCGACTCGAACCCTCCAGCTGCGAGGATCACTCCTTTGGTGAAAATTCTATGATCCACGCCGCCCTGACGGACCGTGACAAGAACATCACCTCCTTGACGCTTTGGAGGGGCAATTCCGACAAGCGCAGTGGACCACAGGCACCGGACGCCGTGTCGGTTGGCAGCGGCTTGGTGGTCGGCAATTAGACCCTTGCCTCCATCCTCGGTCTTCAGTGATAAACCTCCCCAGAACTTGATTTTCCCATTGACTTCGTACGCTTGCCTATTGAAAGACAGCTGAAATCGGATGCCATTCTCCGCAAGCCACTTGACGGCGTCGTTGGATTCGGATACCAATGCCTTTGCGAGCTCTGGGTCTGATCGTCCAACACAGACCTTGTCAAGGTCCTGCTGGAAATCCCGTTCGGTGTAGGGGCCGAGTTCGATCTTAGCCGCCTGCTCGCGTGACACGTTGTTGACAATGGGGAGAAGGTCCAGGAGACCGTCGTGTGCGGTACGATAAGCCCCAGCAGTGAAGTAGGTGTTGCCTCCAGCCCATTCCTCAGGGCATTTGTCGACTAGGAGGACGTGACGTGCACCGGACTGAGCTGCAGAAATCGCCGCTGAGAATCCGGCATTGCCACTGCCAGCAACAATGACATCGCAACTTGAAGGGACACTCATGACGAAGGGGAATGACTGCTTCGGTCTAATATCATTTGTGTGAGTTACTTGATAATGGGGGTAAACGCATCGTTTCTGGACAAGATTTGTCCACGAGTAGATCAAGATATAGGAGATGTTGACATGGGCACTAGCTGAGGGAGTGTTGTACACGCTGATGTGGGAATAGACCGGGATGTTGCGCCGCCGAGTGTCCAGGAGATGCTGCCGGAGAGTCACTCCCCGGCGGGCTGTAATAATGCCCCAACAATAGTGCCAAGAAAACCGGCGCCTACAACGCCCGTTGAGGTGAGGTGGAGCTTGAATTCCCCTGCGGACATTGAATCTCCGGACATCGCAGCTGTTCTAGACTTGCGCGCCGAGCCCGTATAGCACGCACGCGCACGATTGACTTGTCGAAATGGCATGAATGAACAGTCCGCCACTAAAGCAGCTCCTCGGGTTAAGTCTCGGACATACTTTGCTGGCCCCGCTGTAGTCCGGTAATTGATAGGGGCCAGGTAGACAGCTCCAGCTGTTTACTGATATTCTTAATCACCGGATCTGTCACCTGTTATGCTCGCAGTGGTGACACTAAAACAAATTGGTTTGAACTGTGCCATATTGCTGCGTAAGATGTCTTCGCAGCCCCTCAAGAAACAAAAGGTGAGAACTGGGTTGCCCTGCAAACCTCGGTCTTATAACACTGTCCCACACTTCTAACCATAACAGCTGAGTACAGCTTCGTCCATTCTGGCGGGTTCAACTGCAGGAGCAGTGGAAATTGGTAAGGCCTTTGCATCACTAAATGGCCATTGGAGCAGTGCGCTAACAAGCGGAGCCATCACCTATCCATTCGAGTTTGCAAAGACTAGATCACAGCTGAACCGCAACTTGCCCGACGCTCAGAAACTCCCTTGGCCTCCTTTCCCCTCCAAGCAATGGTATACTGGATGTTCGACACTGATTGTCGGCAATGCTCTCAAGGCTGCATCACGTAGGCTGCCATCGCCCATGTTCCTAGGCTTGTCTCTTGAGGTAACAACACTGACAGATGACTTTTTCTGAAAGGATTTGTCGCTTTCAACGGTTTCAAAAATCTACTCTCCGATGATGAGGGTAAAATATCTCGTCTCAATACCGCCGTTGCTGGTCTTGCCGCTGGAGTAACCGAGTCGACATTGGCTGTCACCCCCTTCGAAAGCATCAAGACGCAGCTGATTGATGATAAGCAGAGGCCGCAGCCAAGGATGCGAGGATTTCTACATGGTTCCATGGTCATTGCGCGAGAACGTGGGATTCGGGGGTTCTTTCAGGGATGGGTCCCATCGACAGCTCGGCAAGCAGCTAATAGCATGGTTCGGTTCACTTGCTACACCACAATCCGGGACCATATAGCGAAGGAATCCAGTGGCGGGAAAGTTGGCACAGCTGGAACCTTTGTAGCTGGAGGACTTGCCGGTATCATAACCGTGTACACCACCATGCCTCTGGATGTGATCAAGACACGGATGCAAAGTATCGAGGCGCGCAAGAACTACAGAAACAGCTTGCACTGCGCTGCTAGCATCTTCCAGAACGAAGGTGTTTTCACTTTCTGGTCTGGCAGTCTGGCACGGCTTGGCCGCTTGTCACTGAGCGGTGCTATTGTATTTACGGTGTAAGTTAACATGCGAACCATCTGAAAGTCTGCAGCCCAACTGACAACCTCCACAGGTATGAGAAAGTCAGCGAGCTGCTGAGCATTTTGGAGCAGCAGGGAGCTCCTTCATACAATTTGGGTTGAGGCGAAGATTGATCACTGAAATACTCTCAACCTAGCCGCGATCTTAAGTACGAATTGCCGAGCAAAGAGCGTAGATGAATGCAAGTAGAACGAGATAAAGAGACCCTTCACTGGCCAAGACTACTTTCTCAGTTTAGTCTGCGCTGTTCGAAGGATATCGCGTTTACAAATAGACACACATGAATACATTGACACTTGACCCGTCCCCAAGTTTAGCCAAGTCCCCTGTCTATCTCCGCAGCTTGAGCACTAGCAAGTCTAGCGCCAAACTCTGTCACTCTCCATCTACCTACCCCATCTTTTCTCACCATTTCATCTTCCCCGCTTCCCATCCTGTGAAAAGCAAGCCGTCCTCCCTTGGATTCAGTCGACCCCCGGCTTATATACTGACCCTGCTTGCTTCAGCTTTGTCCAAAGCTGAAAGACACGGCCATGGGCGAGCCGACGGACAACCACCAGCAACGGCCCAAGTCACTGGCCAAAGCCTGTCTCTCCTGCCGGACCAAGAAGATCCGCTGTGACGCCAACCACCCGAAATGTTCGCCCTGTATCAGCCAAGGTAGGGAATGCGTTTATCGGATCGAAGCACCTCGCAAGCGGTAGGCACACTCCATATTGCGGCACTCTGTCCCCCTATCACACGCATAGAAGCTAAATCCCTTTTCCCTGGAACGCTGTAGTCCTACATTCTCTCAGATCCATGAGCTGCAGCGTGAGAAGGCAGCTTTACAGGCCTTCATTCGTGATCTCAAAACGCAGGACTCCGAGCAAAGATCTGCCCTGCTTGATGCTGCCGTCGACCTGCAAGGCAAGATCACTCTTCCCAACCAGAGAGGCCCAGAAAGCACCCGTTCTCCCAGTCCTCCAGCCACTGCCACAACTGAACCGACGACCAAGACCCTGGTCAGGGACCAGCCAGCGTATGAGGAAGATTCATTATACTACTCTGATGGCGAACTCGACATTGCAAACTTCATATCGGTCGATGAGGTTGGAAAACCTCGTTGCTACGGGCCATCGTCGGCTCTGCACTACCCTCCCAGGGGCGATGCGCCGTACTCTCCCTCACGTCAGTCCACGACTGATCTTGAGAGTATCCGCAATACCCTTATCGCCCAGGCTGCATTGCAAAGGCAGTCTGAGCACAGGCTTGCTCTGATGGCATCAATAGACGGGACTCCCGCCGATCTCGCGTATCATCTTCTCAACATTCATTGGGCACGGCAACACCACACGTTCCTCCTCACCTACCGTCCCGCCATCATGCGTGACATTCAGATCAACGGACCCTACTCCTCGAAATTCCTCCTTAACGCGATATTTGCCTGCTCGACCAAATACTCGGGCCTCGTGACTCTTCGGGGAGACCCCCAAGATCCCAAGACGGCTGGGGTGAGATTCTTTCGTCGCTGTGACGAACTGCTGGTCAAGGAGTCACTGCTTATGCAGCCTACAATACCTACTATCACTGGGCTCTTGCTGCTAGGGTCAACATACAACTCTATTGGCGAACCCTCAAAAGGGTGGCTCTATACGGGATATGCGTTACGTATGGTGTACGATCTTGGACTTCATCTAGATCCAGAAGAAACGACCAATAACCCTGAGGACCTGGAGATCCGCCGCCGGGTGTTCTGGGGTGCGTTCATTTGCGACAAGTTGCAGAGCCTCTACCTGGGTCGGCCAGTGGCGATCAACGTGCGCGACTCGCGCGTCTCAACCCAGCTTCTCGACACCTTCGAGGAGAATGAGCTCTTTTACCCTCCTGGACATCCTGCCACATCACTTGCCTCGCCATTGACTGACCCGCCGCACTCACTCCTGGACTCCATGTCAGCATCCACACCCGTGCCAATGCGATCCGTGTCTACTTTTCAACACCTTTGTCATCTATCAAGGATCATGGCGACCATAATTAACCGTTTCTACGCTGTTGGAGCCACTTCTGCCAACGCCAGAGCCGGGCTGCAAGGGGTTGATTCCGCTCTCACGAAGTGGAAGGAGAACCTTTCTCCTGATCTCGACTTTAGGCCTTGGGATTCCGCAGACCCGATACGTGCTCATCAACCCCCAAACATCATGCTGTTACATAGTCTATACCACTCGCTCATTATTCTCTTGCACAGACCATTTATTTCCGACGGCCACTTGCGCTCCGCCAACGCTCCCATCCGCTCGTGGGAACGGTGTAGTACGGCAGCAAAGTGTCTCAGCAGTATCTCATCTACTTATCGCTCAGTGTATGGCCTCGGAGGCGCTCCATATATACTTGGGTATGGTGCTTACGTTGCTTGTACTATTCACGTGCGCAATGCCGCCGTACAGCGAGAGGGCTCTCAAGATCATGGAGCAATGCTGGTCGCGAGCCTCAAGTGTCTTGACGAGCTGTGCTTGGCCAATCCAGGTTTGGCCAAGCCTGCGGCTATCATCCGTCGCTTGATGGACTTGAACAGTCTGGACTTGAATACCGGTACGCTGCTCGGAATTTGCTTTGTCGAAGCTAACTAATTCTGACATCTGCACTATTCTAGACGAAAGCCCTCAGGCCGGGGTTCCCATTTCTGATGTTGATCTTGACGCGATATTGAATATGTTCCCTATCAACAGTGGTGCTGAGCCAGAAGACGGACTCGTTGGTCTTAATGCCCGGACCGGGTTTGACTTCGACCTGTCCTTTGACCCTCTTTTCGGGCTTATGGATGGGGTAGAGATGCCGTTTCCTTCTCACGGAGATGGCCTCCTAACCACTAGAAGAGTCTCATGATAGAATATGGATTTGCTAGTGGGGGAAGCACTGTTGTTGTCGTGCAGTGATGAGGTGCTGGTTGCTGTAGTTCTCGGCCTGCATGGGAAGTGGGAAGTGGGTTATGAGGTCAATGAAGGGCCATGGGAGTTGAACTACAAACTATTTTGCATTGCAGATCCTATTGGATGTCCAAATACAGTTTTTGCCAGAGTCCTGCGGGGTCAGAGGATCTGAACTCTCCGACACGCAATGTGTAACTCCGCCCTTCCGGAGAGTTTACCCCCGATGGGATGCCGGGGTCGGCCGCCGAGTCGGTGGGGGATGTTGCGGAGAGGGCCGGTGCAGACAACCACGTGACACGTATCGCTATCTCAATTGGGATGCCTTGGTTCGTTGGATATAACTTTGTCTGGTGCTGCATTCCGCATGAGGATCAATACGGCCTGGTTTCTCGTGACCACCCCCCTGCCTCGATTTGTATTGTTTCGGATTGATTCAAGCAGTATGGCTGGCCTGTTCAAAAAGACGATTCCTTATGAGGTATGGTGCAAATGATGTTCTCAGGTCTTGTGGACGAAGCTTCAAAACTTACGCCAGCAATTAGTTCAATGACCCGTCTCTGGTTCAGACCAAGGCCTATGTAGGGGGTCAGTGGGTCTCAGCGGCCTCGGGCAAGACCTTTGCGGTGCTGGATCCGGAAGATGATCAAGAAGTCTGTCAAGTAGCCGATCTCGGCCAAGACGACGTCCGGGCTGCCATCGAGAGCGCTCAAAGGGCCTTTGAATCCTACAGCAAGACACCCCACCGCGAGCGTCGATGGCTCATGCGACGATGGTCCGACCTTCCCAAGGCCAACCGAGAGGATCTTGCGGCGTTGTGTACGCTCGAGTTGGCAAAGCCGTTCACTGAGTCTCTCGGCACGGTCCAATATGCCATCGACTTTCTCGATTGGTTTGAGGGCGCTGTCGAGCGAACTGTTGGCGATACGATCCCTGCTTTTCGCGGCAACAACCGAGTCCTGACTATTCGTCAGCCTCAAGGGGTGGTGGCCGCTGTAAGTCTAGACCATGGAACTAAAGAGGTCAGTTCTCTTGGAAAGCTAATGGTGCCGATGGCAGGTAACTCCTTGGAACTCGCCGCTGGCCATGATTACGAGGAAGGCCGGAGCAGCCATTGCAGCTGGCAATACCGTGGTCTGCAAGCCCGCACCTGAGACTCCGCTCTGTGCTTTGGCACTCGCTCGGCTCTTTGAAAAGGCCGGCGGACCTCATGGAGTCTTCAATGTCATTCCCTGCAGTCCCGAGTCAACGCCGGCAGTCGGCCAGGAGCTTTGCCACAATCCTTATATCAGACATCTCAGCTTCACGGGTTCCACACCAGTGGGCAAATACCTGAATACTGAGTGCGCCAAGAATATTAAGAAGACCAGCCTGGAGCTGGGTGGTAATGCTCCTTTCATCGTCTTCGAAGACGCGGATCTTGAGCAGGCCGCCAGAGGTGCGTCTCCAGAAGCCATATTAAGGCAGTTTGGTCTGACTCTAATCATGTTGGACTAGGTCTCATTACTTCCAAGTTCCGATCGTCTGGACAGACCTGTGTCTGTGCTAATCGAGTTCTTGTTCACTCTTCTATCCTAGACAAGTTTGCCCTCATCCTACGTCAATGCGTCGACGACACCTTTGTATACGGATCTGTGTGGGATAGGAAGGTAAACTTCGGTCCACTGTATAGTGGAAAGGGGGTAGACAAAGTGAGACTGCATATTCAAGACGCCATTTCCAAGGGAGCCCAAGTTCTTAATGATGATGCTTTTGCAAACGGGGTCGGGCCCAACTTCATCAAGCCTACCATCATCAAAGTGGCTTCGGGCTCTGAGAACATGAAGTTCACCAATGACGAGACATTTGGTCCCCTTGCCTTCTTAGTCCCCTTTGAGACGGAGGAAGAAGCAATCCGGGCGGCGAACAACACCGATGTGGGACTTGCGTCATATTTCTATACGGAGAACATCTCGCGGCTCTGGAGAGTGGCCGAGGCCCTCAAGGCTGGCATGGTAGGGGCCCGTGTTGGCCTGGTCAGCGCTGCCGAAATGCCATTCGGAGGTATTCGAGAGAGCGGACTTGGACGAGAAGGCGGCATGGAAGCACTGGAAGAGTTCCTAGATATTAAGAGCATCACTATAGGAATCTAGACTCAATATCAAGCTGAAAAGCTAGCAGGAGGAAATTGCCATTTTACCAGGGCCTTGCAGGTTGGAGATAGACTACTCGATGGCTACAACTGACTACTTTGTTGGTTCACTTCCCGTACCCATGGCAGCCCCAACTTCCGTTGCATTCAATAGTTGTCCAGATTCACAGGTCCTCCCCAACTGCTCGCAGTTTGGCTCCGCATTAATACGCTGGTCAGTAGGAAAAAGGAGATGGACACGTGGGAGGCGACCGAGAATCCTCGCGTTGATCCGAGTTCGCCGGCAGGATGGACATAAATATGTGATAGCGTATCGCCAAGCGTGGCCCTCTTAACATGTCTGTAATCTGGAGGCCGGGCGGAGGAAGAGAAAAGGCGTCATGTTTACGTGTCTTCCAGTTGAATGGACGGCGTGCTACGGCGCAGGCCGTCGTGGTTGGTGGGCATTGCCCTATTGACATCATTGATCTCCACTCGTGTACCAGGCAGTCCAACATAGCACCTAGGCCTTCAGTGCTGTCCTTCTTTTTGAAGTCCCAAATCCGATGAACAGAATAAACGACTTGATTGATCATTTTAGCTCCTCTCCCTCATCACCCAAAAGGATTTCTACTACGTGAGAACGAATCTTGTTGACATGGCAGACGTTGCAACCATCAAAGTGCCTACATCATTCGCCTCGTGCTCTGTCGGCCTGCCGCGGCACAGTCTACCCCAAAAACTCGAAGCCATTGCGTCTGGGGGCTTCGAGGCCATCGAGCTCTCATTTCCTGATCTGCACTCGTTTGCAAGGCAGCATCTCGGGAAGAATGTGGCTGAAGACGACTACCCTTTGCTTTGCGAGGCAGGAAAAGAAGTCAAGAAGCTATGCGAGCAGCACAACTTGAAAATACTTATGCTACAGCCGTTCGTGAACTTCGAAGGGTGGCCCGAGGGGAGCAAGGAGCGAGAGAATGCGTTCGCCCGAGCACGTGGCTGGATGGATATCATGTCTGCTGTCGGCACGGATATGCTGCAGGTCGGCGCTTCAGACTCGCCAGGCATCGCAACCTCTGTGGCAGAGCTTGCTTTGGACCTCGCCCTACTTGCAGACTTATTGGCCAGTCGAGGCTTCCGCATTGCCTACGAGAACTGGTGCTGGGCGACACGATCCCCAAATTGGAAGGATGTCTTCACGGTGGTACGGATGGCGAACCGTCCGAACCTTGGGCTCTGCCTCGACACATTCCAATCCGCTGGTGGGGAGTGGGGAGACCCAACGGCCAAGTCAGGAAGAATCGAAACGGCGAATATCAGCGAGCATGACCTGACCATGAGCTATCAGATCAGTCTCGATGAGCTCGTCCAGCTGGTCCCTCCCGATAAGATTTTCCTCCTGCAGATCAGCGATGCTTACCATGTAGTTCCGCCACTCTCACCAGAACCCGACGAGAGCGGACTGCGTCCAAGGGGTCGCTGGAGCCACGACTATCGGCCTTTGCCGTATGACGGGGGGTATCTACCTATCAGTGCGTTTGTTAAAGCTGTTCTGGAAACGGGATTTCGAGGTTGGTTCAGCATGGAGGTGTTTGATGGCAAGTTTGAGGAAAAGTACGGCGACGATCTAAAAGATTATGCGAAAAGGGCAATGTTGGCACACAACCGGCTGTTAGGAGAGTCTGTGGGCAAGTAGCTAAATACCCTTTTCAAGTACGAAGAAGCCTTGTTCCATGCAGGCAATGCCTTACATACGGAGCTCAAGTAGACGCACAGATAGGTATTCATCCATCTGAAACGCGCGCTCATGTGGTAAGAAGTAACTAGACAAAGCACTGCCTCTTATACCCTGAGACCTGCCCAAGAGGCTACTGAGGTCCTAAGCTATCAGAACCTGCTTCTCCCTGTTCAACTTCTCAACGAAGTCGATCGGCACCTTCAGAGTTTGCGCGACAAGGTCTGGAGGAGTCAGGGCCAACCACTGGGTCAGCGGGATGTCAGCGACGCGGTCAGACTTGTAGATCTCAACCCAGACCAGGTCCTCAGTTTCGGATGTATTTTCAATGTAATGCCTGTTTCTAGGATTAGGATCGTCCCGCTAAAACTTGAGTAACTGAATGAAGCGGATGGGTACTACATGCCCAGAGTTATCGGGAAATGCGGCAGTATCCCCAGCACTGAAGTCGAATGTCCGAGCAGCTGTGTTACCGATAAAGACTGTAGCTCGAGCTTGACCCTTATGGAAGTACAGCCATTCCTCCGCCTGATTGCATGAGTGAGTCAACTTGAGTCCAACTTTCTATGCATTTTGAGTCCGCTCCACGTAACTCACGTTAGGGTGCCAATGCAGCTCCCTTAGACCTCCAGGCTTTAGTGTGACAAACGTCGCTGCAATAGTCTTGCTAATGGGGAAGTTTGTTGAGTCAATCTTGCGGAACTCGCCGCCCGCACCCGGCACCTTCTCAGGGGCGTGTCGGAGCGAGGAGGAGAACGGCTAGCCTTTGAAGCATTGCAGAGTGTTTGAGAGTGCACGGAACAAATGCGAGCTATTTATTCGCCGATGTCTTAGCGAAAAAACACGCGTAATGTCGATGTCCTCTCTTCCTAGCCAGGGGATGTATCTTTAAATACATCCAGGAGACACTCCAAAGACATGCGTTTATTAATTGAAAATCACCATTGGAGTGCCTTCTGTTACATTGATTTGATGACGAGATAGCCTATTGTTTGTCATCAGGACCTACCTTGGAGCCGGCTGTAGGTGCAGCTGAGGGATAAAGACATTAAGCGCATCCCCCAATCCGCCTATATGGATGTGTGTTAATCATCAGCTATTGTAAATCTGGAAATATCGGTGGCGGTGATGGCAATATGCCGCAACGATTGCGTTTGAACACTTGCTACGCTTTTGGCAGCTCATGCATCCCGTCTGGGCCGATTCGACAGGCCAGCACCCCCAGACCCCCACGAGCAAAGCCAATCCCGTTGCTGCTTCTTGCTCTGTGGGAATGTCGTTTCCACTACTGAACAGCTGACAACATGAAAGCACGCACTATTGGGGATCTCCCTATGCTATTGCCGGTCCGGGATTGGTGTCTGCCAGGCATGGGCTCCTGTCGAAAGATCTGGGGTTGATGTCGTGATCGACTGGGCCCCCACGGATGGCAAGTCACCCACTTGAGCATTGGTGCCAAGGTGAGCCCGAGTCTTCTTGGCACCGGCACAGGCATTGAGTTCTATTATGTGCCAAATCCCGTTTATTCGGGCCTTGCTTGTACTTTTGAACAGCTTGGCAGTGACTGAAGGCTGGCTACTCCTGTAGTATAGATAGAATTGAGCTAACAAATACCTTCACACAATGTGTACTCGTCAGAGGCTTCCATTCTGATGCCCATACAGTCTAATTCACTGCTCTACGCCAACGCATCTCGTGATCTCGACGGCATCTGGAACACCAGATGGCTCCCATCCTTCAACAAATTTGCTCTCGTACCGTAGATTCGGATTCCCATGGGCTTCCTTTTCCAGGACCTCCTCCCCTTCCCTAGATTTGTATTGATATTTTGTGCCGTCACCAAAGTGTTCTAGATCTGCCTTCATGACATTCTTGAAACTAGCGCGTTTCTCACTCACCGTAGCCCGGACGTATGCAAGATAGGGAGGGTTCCCAGGTTTCACAACTGCCGGAGCTGAGGTTAGATAGACAATGAAAACGACGGGGCAAGTACCCATTCACTTACCATTGTCAGCGGCATATACCGAGCCGGGTCCTACAAGTCTCAGTTCCTCACAGAGTTTAAGATCTGTAGTGTAAGAAGGCTTCCAGTGGTCGAGGAACAGGAGGTCTATACGCTTAAGGGTGCCATTGCGGTGGAGACGCTTGAGCGAGGCGGAGCTGCCGCCGATTTCCACCTTGACGATGTCAGACAGCCCTGCGAGGTTGACCAGACTCGATATTACGGCACCGAATTCTGGGTTTCTTTCGAGACTGTAGAACTGCGTGCCGCCCGCCTCTCTTAGAGCTGCGCCGAACGCAATAGCCGAGTACCCCACGTAGCCTCCCAGTTCAACCATGACACGAGGTTTCTCGTCACGGATCAACTGGGTGATCGTCTTGGCTTTGTACTCGCCGATATTCATGAGGTACTTCTTCGTGCGGCCGAATTCGTCGATTGCATCAAGCACGTGTTGCGGGCTGCCTCGCATTTTCTCAAGTTCAGGATGTCCATAGATGAAATGGAGCAGCTCCATCTCACGGCCATCATCAAACTATGCGAGATTGTTAATGTCTGCAGTCACTTTTGCTATTGATCGGACTTACTGACATAAACATCCTCTTGCGGCTGGTAAGCCATGCCTTGGAAGGATTCCTCGCCCATGATTGCTCTGCCTCACAATACTGGCGACAGATCAAGGCCGTATTTAGGGGAGCAAATGGCTGCTGGCTATTCTTCGCCGGCTCTCCTTTGCTCGATATGGCAATGACCGTCCGAGGATCTCGTATTCACACGAGAGGATGGAGAGCTACGACTCTATGTTCTCGGGAAGAAGTTTGGTATGCTGACTTGAGTCGACTTGGGTGCAAATACGATGATTCATCATGGCTGAGCGATCTTGAAGTCATACACTCGCGCTTGATCGCCAGGTGTCTTATCACGAAAACACCTGACTTTCTCCCTCTCTTCTAGCCCGTCCGCTTCTCCATCTTTGTCCTGCCGCCACTCTGTCCGGCACCGCTAGCGCCCCGCGCCATCGAAGTCTACTGAAACTTAGAGCTTGGCTGTCTCAGATCTTTCCCGCAGTGGATCGCCGCTTTGCCCTATTGTAGGTAGACCTGTGCTTCTACGGTGTCCCTAGGTATTTCTCAGTACCCTTACTCTACAGCTCACCTATTCCTGGATCACATAGAACCCTCACCCACCAAGCTAAATGCAGCTTAGGGGTAGCTGTAGCTACAAGAGTCATCCCAAACTGCCGAACACACTCTGCCGAAGCTGAGCGAATTCGATGACAGCTACTTATTGCCTTTGAGTATCTAGGATACGTGAGTAATGGAGAAATTCAGGTTTACATTGACAGCAGAGTCAGGACCTGCGGGACGAGAATCGGTGAGTGCAGGCTCATATCCCATTCACATGTCACCCTTAAAGTTCCATGTACTCCAACACTGAATATATGAGGGAGGGGCGAAACGGAATGGGGGAAAGTTAAAACAACAAACTTGCTCAAAACACACGCACACCAACGACAAGTGCCGTCCACAGGGCCGAATGCCCGGATCTCGACAATCGGCGACAGCTTGGCACCCAATTCAGAAGCCAACACTGCTCTCCAAACCCAGATCCCTTCATCCAACACCATACGGAGTATATCCCATCTCAAAATTTTAACAGCACACTATTCTACCATCACATATCTCCATACGAACCCACTAGATGCCACGACAATACTTATCACGAGCTCTAAGAGCTCAGCTACACCGTACACATCAACTACAGAGAGCCGAAATGCTTCGAACATTCCAACACAATCACCAACAAACACAGTCTCTCCGAAATGCTGAGATGGTCCAAGCCGTTATACAAGCCCACAGACAAATACAGCAACTTGAAGCCATACGTCTACGGGAAAGGCCTTGGTACAACCGAGTCTTAGACCATCGATTGTTCAAGTAGGCATTGGATGTAATGATTTGGACCGCGATCACCCAGACAGTGAGTCTTACTTCTCAGGTTTAGGCATACTTATTTACTAACTATATTTATAGTGGCGAGTTCTCCGAGATGTATGGTCGAGGTACCCATGGTAGTGGTGAACAAACTGAGTGGGATAGGATGGATTATGGCGGATATCTGAACGAGAATGCAGTATTATGGCGGATATCTGAAAGAGAATGCAGTATTATGTGTAGCGATGGTTTCGATGGGCAGTGTGGTTTTTGATGAACAGCGATGGTTTTCAATGGATAGCGTAGTTGGAGGTAATCAATGCAACTCTTCTGAGCCTACGCCAGTGTCAGCATCAAGGTTGCTGTCAACTATGGCAATTACAAAAACCGCCTAGGTGCATACCATGCACCCATGCACACATTCCTCGATTTCACTTTCCTCCGGACCCTCCCCATTGCTCAGGTCCGGAATGGCTTTGCCGAGCTGATCAAAATCTCCTCCTGCTCCCATCTGGAGGTGTTTGAGCTGCTTGACAAGCACTGCGAGGACCTGATTGAGAACAAATTTGGTCGTGCTGATGGCTCGTCCGCGGAGCTGCGCCGAGCGGCCGATATTGTATGTGTGGCTCGCCAGGGCTTGAATCGAAGTCCAAACCTCTAACCGCATACTGACACTGGTCCCCAGATCAACCGCGAGGGCATTTACGAGATGCTGCGACTGGAGTCGCCTAATCTCCACGAAATTGGTCTAGACCGTGTCATTGCTTACGGGCACACCTGGTCGCCCCTGCATGAGCTCATTCCTGAGACACCCCTGCGCCACGGCCATGCCATCTCCATTGACATGGCATATTCTGCAACGCTAGCTAACCAGCGCGGATTTCTGTCCGATGCCGAGCACTTGCGCCTCCTCACTCTCTTCTCTCGTGCAGGCCTGTCGATCGACCACCCCCAGTTCGATAATGATGTGCTCGAGAAGGGCACCACTGCCATCCTCAAGACGCGCGATGGCATGCTGCGGCTTGCGCTTCCCAATCCGCTGGGTAAGTGTACCTTCCTAAATGATTATACTCCGGAAGAGCTTCGGGATGCCCTAAGGAAACACAAGGAGATCTGCCAACAGTTCCCTCGCGAGGGGGCGGGTCTAGAGGCCTATGTGGATGCCAGTGACACTGGATACACCGATAATGAGGCCTCCGGCACGACAGTGGAAGAGACCGTCGAAAATACTCCAGTCGCTACTAAGGCAGGTGTAAATGAGCTTCAGGGGACTGAGAAGCTGGCTGAGCGCGTGCAAGTGCACATCAACCAGCTGAACGGGTTCACCAACGGTGTACATTGATGGAATTGGGGACAGTACCACTTCTGCGAAACAATAAAGAGGGGGTGGAAAGAGAGAGAAAATAAATAGTCTATTATGAGGCATTTCATCAATGATCATGACCTTTGACCCTTCGGGTTCAAGCTCCATTTAGCCGCACAGCAAAGTTCTCATGGGAAAGGGAAATTGCCAAGACCCTGAGATAACTTAGAAGGAAACGAGAAAAGTGGTAATCCCTGTTTATTTGACAGATACCCAAGTTTACAGAACTGTGTGTACTTCATTGGAAGCTGCAAGTCGATAAGTTTCTGTGTACCCTACATGGAGTATTGGTACTGCTGATCTCCGCCGAATTCGAGATCTGCCAGTAGTTGATCACTGTAGTTACATGTCAGTCTCATCGTGTACATTGCATGGATGGATACTAAGTTGCTTTTCGAGTGGTGTCGTAATAGATTTAAGCTTCATTCCCGCACCACACCCGAGACTAACTTCAATTCTCAGCTCCAGTCACGTCAACCACGGAACTTGGCCCGGCCCCGGCCCTCCGCAGCCCCACCCGAGTCGCCAGATGAATCATGATGCGAGTAGGTACTTCCGCCTTGTTCATTCAATTTGGCCCAGTCCGTATCTAGCTTATTCTGCAGATGCTCATCCAGGGTTCGGTATCTTAGCGGAGTGCCTCTGACAACCAAGCATGCCATACCCAGCCAATAATTGACAAACCCTTACCCCTGCCCTTTACGTAACAACTGTTCAGTTCTATGGCGGGCGAACAGCAATTCTCGATTTGTACTCATTTCAGCCTTCACTACGAGGATCGCATAAAGATACCACAACACGAGGTTCATCGATCTTTTTTCAACCCTCTGCATCCATTGAAACAGCACGCTTCGCGACCTAGGCACATCATGGAAAAGGTACTAGCTTCGTTGACTGTCAGAACCTTCTTCCTCTTGGCCCTGGAGCTGGCCTCTATCTTCTTATAATAACTACAAAACGACTTTAAATTGCGCTCTTTTTTCCCGGTTGTTTTGCTAGCGCATCGCCACCTAAATTTACTGGCGCAGGGGCCATTTCCTTAACAGCCTGTTTAGGATCCCCTCGCTAAGCACCAAAAGAACCCTGTACACTAACATTGCAAGGTACATGGCTGTTAGTACACAACCCAGTACGCCGAGAAGGCTCTGAGCGCAGCGAAGGGCCTCTGAGGCGGAGACCCTGGAGCCCGAGAGGAACGAGGGCGGAATGGGTCCCATTTTACGAATGCGAGCCTTGCGAGCAGTGAGGGCTACTACAACCCCATTCCCTAAAGGCTGCGTTGCAGGCAGTCCCTCTAGTACCGTTAACGGCCCTCATTGTCATTCCTTCCTATATCCTCACTTGTATTCTGCCTCGAGCGTACATTGAGCACGAACGATGGTGCGCTCGCAGAAAGCCCGGTTTCCGCGAGTACACCGTCCTCGTCACCGGAGTTAGCATGGCCAAAGGCCTTACCCTCGCTCGCGCCTTCTATCTGTGCGGCCACAGGGTCATTGGGGCTGATTTTACGGAGGCTGGCGTTCCTTGCTCTGGACAATACTCACGTGCCCTTTCGAATTTCTATCGCCTCGGAAATTCGTTGTCACGTCCGCGTGACTATACAGAACGGCTATTACAAATCGTTCAGCAAGAGAATGTGCATCTTTGGGTATCATGCTCCGGGGTCACCAGTGCTCTAGACGATGCCTTAGCGATGGAGATAATAGAGAAGAAGACATCGTGCCGATGCATACAGTTCGACAAGACTGTTACCACGATGCTGCACGAAAAGGATTTGTTTATGCGTCACTGTCGCCAAATACAGCTCCCCATCCCAGAGACGTACAGTGTGGAATCTGCGGACCAAACACTCGACATTCTCCGAGTCGCCGCAGCAAGCAATCCTAATCACCGCTTCATCCTCAAAACTGTGGGGGTTGACGATGCGCATAGGGGCGATATGTCTCTTCTGCCTCTCGGCAGCGATGAGGAGACTGCTAGACACGTCACACGACTTCCAATTTCCAGGCATAATCCATGGATCCTACAAAGATATATTGCAGGCAACGAGGAATTCTGTACTCATGCCGTGGTCATGAAAGGAGATGTCAAGGTGTTTGTTGCCTGTCAGTCAGCCGAGCTACTGATGCACTACCGTGCGTTGCCAGCTGAGGATGATATGACACGAACCATGCTGCACTTTACTCGAGAGTTTTTGAAACGCTCGCCTGGAGTTGAAGACTGGACCGGACATCTCAGCTTTGACTTTATGGCTGAAAAGGTTGCTACGGGAAATGGCCAAACCAGAAGGCTGTATGCTATCGAGTGCAACCCACGGGCACATACCGCGGTGGTACTCTTCGCACAGCGAGGCCGCGAGATGCGTGACATGGTCCAAGCTTACCTATCAGCTCTCGACGGGGAGACATTTCCAAAGACCAACGGCGTCAGCGATGCGCCTATTCCGGAGTCTAATAACCTCTCTGCAGTGTACCCGCCTGCTGATGCTCTACCCCGTTACTGGATAGGCCATGATCTGGTAACCCTCTGGCTGCTCCCTACTTATAAGCTCTTCATTCGAGAACAAGAGCCTTCAAAGTACCTGCGGGTGGTCTTGGAACTACTGAAACACATTCTATGGTGGAAAGATGGCACTTTCGAAATTTGGGATCCATTGCCATTCATGCATTTGTATCACACCTATTGGGCTGGCACCCTGTGGAACGCATGGATGCAGGGGATAAACTGGAGTCGTCTCAATGTTAGCACTACCAAGATGTTTCTCTGCGATTGAACTGTATTATTTTTTAAAGAGCATTTGACGTACATGAATCAAACTCTTAAGAAATTGACAACTATTGATGCGTATTCTGATTTATCCATTGCCACATTGTCTTGACCTGTGCTGGCGTGAGCGGCCTTACGGAGTGGATTGAAGGCGATATCCCTGAAGTCGTCTCTACATCAAAAGATGGGACTTTGACTGCAGTTCGGGAAGTTCCGAAGCGGCGCCGCCAAAGTGGAATCAGGGCTGTAGCTGAATGGCGGGTTTTGTCCCCGGATAGATTCTCTTCGAGCTTGTCTAGCCATCTCTGAGGCGGCAGTATCTCAATATGAGACGAGCAGCCAGGCTCCTCTTCCTCGAATGTCCGGATCCAGTCCAGAAGGTGCTTCCATGTCACATCTTTATGGTAGTTGAGTACATGGTAAACGGGTGTCTCGATAGCTGACAGGGCTTGATAGTCCTCGTTGACATGCGCTGATATTTCGAGAATTGCTTTCGCTGCTTGGTCAACTGGAAGCCAGTCGATGGCTTCCTCTCCCAAATCAGGCAGACAATCCAACATTCTCCCTGTCGACAGCATTAATGGGTATGCTTCACTCATATTCCAAATCCCGGCTGCACCCCCACATAGCTGCCCAACTCTGACAATGCAAATTGAACTTTGTGTGCCATAATTGCTGCTGAAAGTCTGGTCAAGACGCACATTGCAAGCATGTTCGAATGCTCGAGCACAGATGCCCTCAGCAACCCATTTTGAGCGGGAGTATCCTAGGGGCGATGCGTCTTCAGGGCGGGAAGAAATCTTCTCGTGAACGGGATTGGACCGGCCATACAAAACGGCAGCTGTTGAAGAAACGAAAATGAAACGAGCCCCGGCCTCCATTGCCAGAGCTGCCAGAGACTGGGTTCCTCTGAGATGGTTGGCAAAGGACCGTAAGTTGATGTTGAAGTTGACTGCCCATGCCGAATGAATGATCGTTGTCGCGTGCTTTAGCAAGGAGCTCCAGAGTCCATCTGGCAGCCCAAGCCGAGCCTCTGCAATCCTGCACTGTACACAAACAACTTCCACGGGATCCTGATCGATCGCAAACCTATGGTCATCAAGGCCGGGAAGACCCCGAGCTTTCAAAGACTTGACGACTCGATCTCGAGCTTCTTCCTTCATCTGCGCACGTACCAGGCAATAAACCCTTTGCACATTCCTTGACCGTCTCAGGAGGTCCAATATATGGGCGCCAAGACCCCCTGTGGCCCCCGTCAATACGATGACTTGATCAGACTGGCGCCTGATACCTGTCTTGACCTTGACATTGGTGAAGTCTGAGTATTCAGTAACAAGCTCTTGCATAAGTTCGAGGCTAGTGTTGTCGATAATATTTTCTCGGTGTGGCCCGTTCTTTTGTAGCCTCAATATTTTGAGTCGTTCGGTAAGAGCCCGGACCGTACAGAAGTCATACACGGCATTTGGTCCCAGTTCCACTCCACTCCCTGAGAGAAATGTATTGTTGACCAACGTCCGAATTCGACTGGCTGCCAATGAGTCGATCCCTTGATAAAAGACATCATCATCAGGATTTATATCTCGCTCGGACACTTGGCAGTACACTCCTCTGATCGCTAGGAGAAGCTGGTCGTTTGGCACAGTCGATGGCAATCCTATTAGTGCCTGGCTTTGATAAGCTCTCTCGATTTCTTCTGCAAAGATCTTCTCTGCCTGTCCCCTGAGAATGGACCCTTTACTACTCTTCGGCAATGTTGCTTCATTTCTGCTTGGATGAGCCATGACCAGCATGGACTTAGAAATCCTTGCGTGACTTTGTGTCTCCTCATTCAGCTTATTGACTGTAAACCAGACAGTTTCGAGAATGTCTTCTGGAGACATAGTACTCTTGGCTTCCTTTGTCGGAAAGAATATGGCACCTGGGTATTCTCTACCATTGCCAAATATCAAAATATCCTGTAGAATACTGATTGTAGCCACGATAGCTGCTTCAACAGGAGAAGGATCAAACTTCTTTCCATTGACGAGGTTGATCTGGGCATCCGCACGACCGTGATATCGCCATAAATCTGGAGCGGTAGGATGGGGCTCAAACACATCCGAAGTTGCGTATGAATCGTCTTTTCTGTTCACTTTCCCCACACATGGCCAAGTTGACTTAACCACCAACTCATGAAGTTGATCGTCATGAGGTTCGAAGGACAGACTGTCGAAACCTTCGGTCGTCCGAAGATACTGCCATTCCTTGTCTACCGAATAGTCACGGTGGGATGATAGCAGAAAGCCGCATTCTGCACTTCCATACCGCGAGACAAGGTTTACCTGGTTGCTGACCAATTTGTCGCCTACCGAGGCTGGAAGGGCTGCACCCCCGACGCCTACGAGCCTCATACAGCTCAACAAGTGCAACGCAGCAGAGTCTTCGGCGAGCATCTGAAGGATATACGGCACTGAAGTAAAATATTGTACCGGAGGGCCGCCGACTGTGTCAGCAACCTCAATGCAACTGCGAATAGTGCGTGCGGTGATGGGGATCAAGCCTTCAGGAAACAGCCAGATCATAGCGCCGCTGGACCACGCCCGAAAACAGTCCGCAATGCCGCCATGATACAGAGGTGTTGTGGAGAACGTTGGAAATTGATTCCCGTGCGGCAGATTTGGCAGTACTCCGACTGCTGCGTGGTGGGTTTGTGGAATGGGCTTGGGCAGACCCGACGATGTTCCCGAGGTATGGAAGAAGTACGCGATATCCGTCGGCTTAGAAGGCCGACACATTGGGGTATTGGGGACAGCTGATCCGATGAGATTTGCCAGGCCATCAATGCTAATGATCTGTATCCCATTTACAGATGTGGCCTTGGTGTAGTTCCATCGATCGGTAAGGATGGTAGTGACTTGGCTCACGGTGCAAAGGTGTTTGATAGCTGATGGCTCAAGTTGTGGGCTATGGAGGCGTGTCAGTATTGCACTGTTAGCTCAATGCAAAACAACAGGAAATAGCGGTCATCACTTACGCCAAAAGAATGACTGGCAGACCCAGGCGTAAAAGTCCCAGCCAAGCTCCAAGGAAGTCGGGACTGCTTCTGCTCAGCAAGCCTACCGTGACGCGTTGCGTTTGCGGAAACTTGAGGCTAGAGAGACGCCCACTGAGGGTCGATGCTGCAGCGAAGGAAAAACTACGCAACTCGGAAAAATTGAGCTTGACTGGATATGGGTCTGCAATACATCAGTGAGACATCCCATCTGATGAGATCAAGGGTACCAACCATCTTCAGTGGATTCTTTTATATGAGAAAATCCAACGGCGAGACTTTCTGGAGTGTACTTCGCCTGTTCGTCTAGGAGGTGATTTATCGTGTCAAAAGTCCGAGGGTTTGTCTGTTTCCATTTGGCTGCTTGTCCCAATGTGCAGGTGAAGTAGGTGAGTTCAGGGGCTGCCATTGCGCCTTTGGAGATCATGGAACACAATCAAGATCAAGACAAGGGAAACAGAAATTGAACATTTTCATAACATGTCCTGAACGTGGTACAGGTGACGGAGGGAAACCGATGCGCCGACGTACGGCGCACTCCGGACCGGAGCGGGGCAGCCATCGATGATCCGTTGACTTTGCCGGCATAAGGTAGGCAATCAACTTGATGTGACTAGGGACACCCCCGCTCCTCATCGGCATGATGAAATCGTGAGGGGCTACTTCCTCACTGCGCGTCAATTTGACAACCACTTCCTTAGACTTTGATTCGATCTTTGCGCAGAAGAACAAGACATCCTCAATCTAGATCTTCTCATACAACAGGCTTTCTTCTACTAAAAGACCGCAGCAATGTCATCCCGCTCGCTCAAGGATGCCCTGCCCCTCATCAACTCGTCGCTGAGCATCCCGCAGCTCGGCTTCGGCGTCTGGCAGTCCCCTCAAGACGTCTGCGAGCAATCCTGCATCAACGCTCTGAAGCTCGGCTACCGCCACATCGACACCGCTCAGGGCTATCACAACGAGGCCGAGGTCGGGCGCGCGATCGCCAACTCTGGCTTGCCGCGCTCCGACATCTTCGTCACCACCAAGATCGCCGAGCCCGCCGGTTCTGTCGACGCCAGCTACGAGAAATGCCTCGAGAGCGTGCGCAAGCTGAACCCCGGCGGCAAAGACGTCTACGTCGACCTGTTCCTCGTGCATACGCCCAACAAGGGCGCCGAGGCCCGCAAGGAGAAGTGGCTGGCTCTGGAGCGCCTGCACAAGGAGGGCAAGGCCAGAACGATCGGCGTGTCAAACTACGGCATCAAGCACATCGAGGAGATGAAGGAGTACGCGACGACGTGGCCGCCTGCCGTGAACCAGATCGAGCTGCACCCGTGGCACCAGCAGCGCGAGATTGTGGACTACTGCCAGAAGAAGGGCATCGTGATTGAGGCCTACTGCCCCATCGTCCGGAACCAAAAGGCCGAGGACGAGACGCTGGTCGGTGTGGCGAAGCGGTGCGGCAAGACGCCCAATCAGGTGCTCATCCGGTACTGCTTACAAAAGGGCTGGGTGCCGTTGCCCAAGAGCGACAACCCGGACAGGATCAGGGCCAATGCGGACTTGTACGACTTTGATATTTCGGAGGAGGATATGAAGAAGCTGGACGGTCTGGACCAGGGTGCCGAGGGATCGATCTGCATGACGGTGGAGAATCATTGATTGGAACACACAAAAGCACGTAGTCTCGGAGAAGATGGAACAGTTAGATAGTCGAGTTGGACAACAGCCTCTTCATGAAATGATTGACTACTAGACAGTGGATATCATTGTCCATCACTCCTCATTAAGATTCCTGCCTTACAACAGGCACAACCATTTTCCAGACTTCACCGCATAAGTCTAAGTGTCTTGACTCTGAAAAGCCCAAATGACCACAGAACACTTTTTAACACGACAGGTTGGGGCATCCCAGATTCGTACCGAGAATGTCACCGGAGACACCAGTCAGCTGCAGGATGGCGCCGACGACGCCGCCCATGCCCTCACCAGCGATCAGACCAGCGGCGATGGCATAGGCGTAGATCTCCCAGGACCTGTGCCTCCACGTCTTCCAGACCTTAGAAATGATGGCGCCAATGAGCGCAGCATTCGTAAAGACCGGGTTGGGCAGCACAAAGGACAGGGCGATGGCGCCCCAGTTGGGCAGGTACTGGCGGTACTTCTCGCGGGGTCCGACGAGGTAGTAGTGGCGGAAGATGACCTGGATGATGGAGAAGACGCCCATGACGATGGCGAAGATGCCGGCCGACCAGGGGATCTTGACGCGGGGGTCGGTGACGGCCTCGGCGACGGCCTGCCAGGCCGAGACGGAGGGGGCCGCGAAGGCGCACTTCTCGTCGTCATTGATGTGGATGATGCAGGGATAGGCCGAGGTGAAGAGGACGAACATGGCCGGGGCGAGCCAGACGGCGCAGAAGGTGCCAATGGCCTGGGCGATCCACTGCTGGATGGGGGAGGTGCCGATGAGGAAACCGGTGCGGAAGTCGGCAGTCAAGTTGGTGGCGACATCGGCACCGCCAGAGGCAAGACCACCGGCGATCAAGTTGATGGTCTGGGCCTTCTTCATGGGGTAGTGCGAGCCCTGGGTAACACCACCAAATACCAGCTGCGAAGCCTTGGAAGCAGCGGTCAGAGGAGTCTGGTCGGTGACAGCACCGATCTGGATGGCGAGGAAGGAGAAAATGAAGGCGAGAATGCAGGCAAGGATGGTCATGCCGGGGTTCATGTCCCACTGGAAGTGGAAGATGAGGATAGCAAGGATAACGGAGACGACCAGACCAACCATCCAGATCCAGTCCTTGACCTGCTGCTCTGGAGGGGCGGGGTCCTTGACGGTCTCGTCGTTCCTGACCTCTTCCTCAGCGTGCCTGGCAAAGTACGGGGAGACCTTGTTGCGCTTGACCAGGATGGTGTTGATGCCAACGCAGATCTGGTGCCACACCGACTTGAGACCGATCCAGATGACCTTGTACTGGATGAAGAGCTCTGCCATGGACGAGCAGACCATGATCATGACACCAGGCCAGAGCAGCCAGTAACGGGGCGAAGGGGTCCGCGTCGCAAGCTTGGCGAGACTGGCAAAGTTGTAGTAGCTGTCCCAGTGCGGGTCATCCGGGTACTGCTGGATACCGATGCACGTGCCGTAGTGCACCAGGAGAGGCCCGATGACTCCCCAGGCGAGGAAGGATCCGCCAAACATGGAGAGAGCCGAGTTCATACCAATGAGGATACCCGAGCCAATGAAGGCAGGCGTAATCTCAATGTACCAGCCCCAGGACTCGATGTTCATGGCCCACGAGGTGTAGTTGGACCAGATGTGGATCCAGGTGAAGACGTGCCAGTCATAGAGGATGCCAACAGCGTAGTAGGAGGCGACGCGGTGGCAGAGGGCGGCAGCGAAGGCAATGCCCAGCGCCTTGAGCTTCTTCATGGCCTCGATGCCTCCAGCGACACCGGCGTGCATGGAGCGGATGGTGAGCGCGGTGGCGGTGGCGGTGGGGAACATGAGCCTGAGCTCGCGCGCGACACGGACGACGAAGAACTTTCGTAGCGGGGTGACGAAGAAGAGACCCAGGAAGGAGCAGACGATGGTCAGAGTGTAGATGCGACCGAGATCGTCCTTGGGGTTGTTGCTCAGAAGATCGAGGCGGTACATGGCGGGGATACCAGCGACGAAAATACCAGCGATACCACCGGCACCGGTGGCAGCGGCCTGGACGATGGAGTTCTCTTGGGGACCAAAGGTGCCGCCGATCCACGGAAGGTTGCCGGCGCTCTTGGAAATCAGCTTGACGATGCCGTAGCCGAAAATGGCTCCGAACATGTTCGCCGTGAAAGTGAAACCAGTCTTGAGACCTATTACGGAACAGCGATGTGTAAGTCAAATAGCTCGAGATCCGCTTTCTACGCCCACAACAGTCCGCAGGATAACTTACCCAGGTACAAATTGGAAGCATTGACCAGGCATCCGAGAATACAACCAGTGAGGACCGCCCGCAGGGACAGAGCGGCATATTCCACGGGTAGGTTGGGGTCCATGGGCAGAGGGCTGTAGAGATCAAGCTCCTGAGGCTCCTCCTCGATGTCGACCTTGAGCCCGTCCTTGACATCATCCTTGACATCGGCGACAACGGGCTGCTCCAGCGGAGGAATGCCCTCAGCGAATTGCTGCGTTATGGCAGTGCCGTGAGGCGCAACCACCTTCTCGTCCATTTGCTGCGACGCCATGCTGTATGGTGTTGCGGTGCTGCGCTGCTGACACAACACGAGAGGGAAAGATGGAAAGAATGGGCAAATGTGCCACGAGCCTGGGGGAAGGGGGATCCAGCAGGACGGCACGAGGGCGGGAGGCTGGCTATTTGAAGGCGAGCATGGGCTCTCGCAGATCCTCGAGCTTAGCTTAAATGAAGCAGCAGCGCGCGGGCTTCCGTCCAGAGGAAGGAAATGCAGGCGAGGGGCATGGGCTGTCGCACTGCTTCATGCATGTCCCAGCTCCGGAACGAAGCACAGTTGCCCATGGCGGCTTGTGCTCTGCGCGGGGTCCACCTTGATACGGACACCAAATCCCTACGACCACGCTTCCCCAGGTCGACCGGTCGAGGCCAAGGCGCGGTTGTCGCCACACCCTTGTTCGAGCAGAGATAAGCAGATGGAACGTTGGGCCAGGGATCGATGCTTTTGCCTCATCTGGGGGTATCATTCTTCGGGGCCCAGAATACCAGCCAGATGGGCCACGCTATTGGAGGAGGCTCCAACATCCCGTGTCGGTGCTGGCCCGCGCCAACAAGGAGTGGGACAAGGCGATAGAAGCTGAGCCGAATCGGGCAGGTGAAGGATGTCGAACAGGATGCGCCAGTATCGACAGACCCAGTAGCTCTTGCGGTGCGCCGTCCGTTTGCCCCCCTTGTTGGACCAACGGGAACGGCGATCCTGCCAAAGAGGTACTGGCCTCCGGACGTCTAGATCTGACGGGCAGAAGACTGAAGCTGAGAAGGCAAGCTACGGCATGCCATCCTCCATTCTATCACTCTCTCTCCAACACACCACCTAGCCATCTTTGATTCGATATCAGCTCCGACCCAGTGGCAGCCAGTTGGAAGCTTGGATCAGCATGACCCGTCGCTATCTCAATTTATGGCTTGATTAGGTCCAGCCCAATCAGAGCAAGGTGTGCGACCTGACCTTGGCATATCGCTGTCGCTCTTTACCGTGTCCAGCCAATGTTTTAGCTGACGGCACACCCGCCTTTTTTGCCGCCTTGGCGGGCTGAGCACTAAGCAGGGAATGCTTGATGCGGAACAACCCTCTGGCCTGTGATCATGCGCCCGCACACCATGGAGGTTTTGAAAATAGATACGTCGGGGAGGAAGAGGCAGCTGGGGTGGTGGTACATGCTGAAGCGTGCTTCTGTTCCTGAACGAAGACCGTCTGGTAGGGTTCACGCCAAGCCAAATGAACCGAGGCAGGTCAAGGCAAGCATTGTTTGCTGTGCCCCAGAACACTGAAGGGGACCTTGGGGCCTGGTCACGCGGGCTTTCCAGGGTCCGTTTCCTCTGGTGGCTTGAGCGGGACGGTAGGTGGTTACTCAATCGTATGCCCATCGACTGGTTCCCGTACCTGGAATCGATGGAGCTTCACCCAGCAGGGACTAGCAGCCGAAGAGAGGCCGTTTTTTTTCTTTCAAGGTTGCCCCGTAGTGCCAGCCACCGCGTTCGAAATCTGCTTCTAGCGCTGCTCTTTGGCCCCCCAACCGACACGCTGGGCTGATGCGGTGGTTTGACTGAACGGAATAGTGGCCCGGAGCATCTCGTTCTGCTTCATTTGTAGGTATTGTCCCTTTCCTCCTAACATGCTTACCAGAAGGGGCAGGTTGCTGTATGTGGCTTGACCGCTAGCACAACTAACATCAGGCCAACAGCACACCCGGTGCTGGACGTCGATGATTGCCCAGGCTGATCAAATTACGATGCCAATACTCGTAAATGCTCCTGCCCAACCCAGAGACCGGCACATTGCGTGACCACTACATTTACCTTCGCAAGCAGCATCTGCCCACAGTGACCGAGGCGCGTCTAGTCTCTGCACTCGCCTGGCTCGCGACAGCCTGGCCCCCATTATAGCGCTACCTCTGATCTGGTCTCAGGCATGTCAGGGACGATAAGACAAAGGCATGTGAAGTAGTTAGTTATTGCAACGTGCACGAGGGGCATGACAATCGGCCCTGCTTGCCCATACGGCACACCAACCAGCTTTCTCCCAGTTCTTGCTTACTCCATGCATAGATGAAATACGCAAATCCCGGAAGTCGGCACACGCCTGTTCGGGATCTGGAGATCGCACGCTGACAACTGCTGAAATCCCCATGACCACCAGCAGGGGAAACGGAGAAATGTGGTAGGACAGGCGTCGCCAAATCCTGTCAGTTCAAGCTTCTGACGGTCGACACCTACTACGGTTGGATCCTGCTAGCGCTGTGCTCCATCCCAAGCTTTTTCCAGGGTCTAAAATAGCGCTTCCCCCCCACCGGCACTCGAACTGAATAGGCAGGCGACTTGGTTCAGGTTCAGAAGCATCTCCTCCCGCATTGCCGCCGCAAATGACCTCTTCCTTATTAGACAGGTCCAGACCAAAACCTCCGGCGCCAACATGTTATTCTGTGGGCACCGAACTGTGGTCTCCCGCTAGCAGTGAGCTTCGGGGCAAGTCTGGTAGAATTTGAACCCTATTAATGTTAAGCTTGACAACTGCCGTACCTTATCTCAGGATCCTCTCCACCGCCGGTCTCCGAAGGAGCCAAGATTACCCTCCAATTAAATATTTGCTAAGTGTGATGACAGACACATCCATCTCACTGATCCGTGGGCAAAATTACCTGCACCCAACCGGCAGGACTGATGATCTTCATTGTCGAAACGCAGTCACATGCTCTTGAGACGCGAAGGATGTTAGACCCTGCCAATCTTCCTAGATAAGAACCCCTTTCGCAAATGATCACATTTGAGGTTCGGTTGCATTAAAATTGACACAAGCACAAGGGAATGATGGCTCGACCAGAACTTTGGACCAAGGAAGGGATGGGCAGGTAAGTGATAGCCTACCTCATTGAACCGACCGAAGTGGTGGCAGGATTGGACGGAGGATTGGATGGAATGACACGATCAAAACAGACGGACCGGGCCTGCCAAGACTTTTGGCTCGGCGCGCTACGCCGCCATAGGAAGGTTTGCCGTCGACTGTAGCTCTGTCGACAGGGTCAGCTGTGCCGCCAAACTGGCCCAGTAAACGTTCTCGCGTCGTATATGCGGTTATTGACATGAAGAGGAAAAGAGCGACATTCTGAGGAGAAACTTTTACGTTTTCTTTTCCCATTTTTCTTTTCTTTCCAGGGACGCGAGCCGTGCGCCCCCATCGGCCATCGATGGGGTCGTATGAGAGCGGAGGCGAGCCGAGAATCCCAGCCTGTACGATCCAGCTGTGATAAGCTTCGATTCTCTTATGCCCCAAAAGGAACCATGATCAACATGTACTGCATTTAGCACCCTTTCTAGAACCGCGATTGGAGAGAATGGCTGGAGATTATCAATTCCAAATGCTACTTCACCTGCATGCTGATCCGTAGTATTGACCAACATGCATGGGCCTTGCTTGTCATGCTTGCCACATCTGTGAAAAGCTTGTTCAGTGTAGTTTCTCTTGGCTACTAGGTCCTGTCCGGCTGGCTAGACAAGCAAGACACCCTCTCTCTTGTCTACATCTGGGCCGCACAGTTGCTTGGAGCAGATCAGATCCAGCCATGCCAGCTGGTGGCTACCGTGTGGCGATATCGAGAATCCGGGGGAGGAGCCCGTTTGCCATCTGCTGGGGGTGCACGGCCAACAGCATGGAGCCCACATTCAATACTCCATCACATGCCCGTTCATGCTCGCCTTGATGGAGACTTCCCTCCATTTAGGTAATAGATCAAACCCAATTTGACCATCATGCCGCTTCCAAACATAGCTTACATAGACGAGAGTGACATTGAACCTCCCTGGAAAGCTTTCGAGACAACTGTGCTGGCGTCCACTTGCATAAGGCCCAACCTTGTGTCAGCCTCAGCTGCCCCATGCGGCCTCCGACATGGTGATCCGAGACGAGGCATATGCGAAATGAAAACGCCCTCTTCACAGCCTTGACAAGCCGCCCCTATCCGCTTCGTTCCGCAGAGACTCAGAATTCCTGCCAAGACAAAGCCACTGCTGAGCCTAACCTCCCTTGGAACTTGGATAGCCCTGATTAGGTAGGTGAGAACAACTCCATGTCCCTTTTATTTTAGCCCTTCGGAAAAGAGCGCGATATATGATAGATCTCCGACTTATCAACAACTCGGCCGAATGTCCCCTCTCTGTACAAGATTTCACAAGTTGAGCAGGAGAATGAAGACAGCTATCCCCTCGGTTATTGCAAAGGGATCATGATTAAAGGCATACATCGGGCCCAAAGTATTCACGTCAACTACGTCTCCACCTAGTTGAGCGAATCCTCAGATTCCTACTCTTTTTGTGATAGAAACACTGGCAAGCATGCGGCAGAGAGGACCTCAAGCATGGCGGACCGCCTGTCATCCCAATCCAAAGACGGGGAACTTCAACTCTACACTATGGCGATGCGCGATGCTTCCCTTTTCCAAGTTTGTCCGATCGCGGGTAGATGCTGGCTCAGGATTTCTAGAGCTATTGTTTCGCTCCTACAAGTATTCACTTGTTAACCTACCATTTGAATTCACATTACCTTTTGCTACTCAAATGCTTAAAGTTCTCGAGTCTCAGACCGAATGAGCTATATTCACTATCAACGGTTTGACCGACGAGACAATGAAACAGAGTGTCATTTACCAAATGGCCACGCAACACAACCTACACTTCATTGGTGAATCTGCGTCAAGCAAGCTTTACTATCATTGAATGCCTCAGGCTGAGGCTAGAAGGTGACAGTGAGTCACGACTCTTGGTTGGTCCCATGGTGGAATTAGGCAGCCACAAACCATGGGATAAGAGCTAGATAACGCCGAACCGCTTTTGCCTGCGGGCATATGGTCAAATTGAAACATTACAGAGAAGATTAGCATGGCCCCTGCACAAGGATGACACGCGTTCAAGCTCCGAGAGTTCCAATTTTTTGGTCTTTTTTGACACTCTTCTTTGCTGGCTCGTCCACTTCTCCCGCCATCAAAATTGGATAGACTGGACAGAAACAAACGCCAGCATAATTACTTGGAAATGAATAGCAAGCAGAAGAAAGGTTAGTGGGCAGGACTAATAACTTTTCCTAGGGATCCATTTATTACGGTTCCATCGATATCACGAATCATTCAATGATTTTTTTAGCAGTGTAGCAATTGAACTTCTGTTCTATATTACGAAAGAATAGAAGAAATGAACGAAATCGTATAAGAGAGTTGTGAAATACGCAGGATAGAGTGACCTTACACAAGGAAAACTGTACTCAAGTCGCTCATCGATAGACCAGAACCGACCTCCCCATGCATACTCCTATGGACATATGCTTCTCCCAATAGTTCAAACTCGCCCTCCTTCGTAGGACGTAGAATAAACGGTTTCGGTACCGGGAAATATCCACGCCTCGTCTCCTAACTTGATGTGATCGTTTCCAAGACCTAATTGGCCTTCGTCGGTTGCAAATACAACCTTGCCAGTTGTACTCCTCACCAAACGACCCTTGATGAGGTCCATGTGTAAGCCTTTCTCACCCCAGACACGTTCTGGATGACTCAAATAGAGTCCCAACGTTGCAGTACTATCTCTTCCGCTTGCCTTCTTGAGGCATTTCATTGCCAACCCGACTCCAGCATCGCATAGTTTGCCTTGGGTCCAGGCTAATTCCAGCTGCGGCAAGATTCTATCCAATTCTGGAGGAAAGGCCTTGTCTTTGATAGAGTCTCCTTGGTCTTCCAAATATGATCGTTGGGTTGTATACATTCTGGAGATCAGTAGTTTCAGGCCTTCCCATTCGCAAGTCTGTGGGTTAAAGGCTGAATCTCTGAGGAACGTTCCCATCTTCGGGTCCGCAATCAGTCCAGCGGTCATCATAAGACCGTGTAGGCTGCGATCCCACATGTCCACGAATACGTCTATATTATTGAAAGCAGATGGTCGCTTCCGAAAGTGTCCGTTATTAGCGTTCTCCAGAACACTTCCAGTCTTGACTGTTGGACCGCAGTCCCTTCGCCATCGACGCTTACCACTTCGCGGCGATCGGCATTAAGTGGAAGGCCCGCCATCTCCAGGTACGATCGTAACTTCGGCGTCAATGTAGGAACCCTTATATGGGAGGCTTTAGGGATATGTTGAAACAGGGCCAATAGAGATCTGTCACCCTCGGCAGTGCCGCCGAGAAATTCTATTCCCTCGAATTCGTACAGGGCTGTGATTTCTCCGATGCGTAAACCTCTACATCTGAGAGCCTTATTATCTTCGAGGAATTCTACCACACGGGACGGGAGTGAGCCTCCCGCAGACCATGGGGCGCCGATAGTCCACAGCTAGTAGACTATCAGACTGTGCGGCTCGGTGCTGCAGGTTGTCCAACAAACCGAGGAACCCATAGACCTTGTCTCTAGGGTCCGTAGCCAACGTTTCCTGGAACATTGATAAAATGTTGAGAAGTCCACATTCTATCTTCTCTGTCAAGGGTCTCACACTACAAGCTGGGTGGTAGCGCCCAAACTGTGTGACCCTAAGTCTCACAATCATTGAGATGAAGCGGCGGCATTTCCAATTATCTCGGCCTGCGTGATGAAATAATATTTTCTCATGACAGGCCTCCTGCAGTGTTTTGACAACCGGGCTTAATCTAGTCGTGTGACCATGAAAAGTGACAGCAAGTTCAGTCATGAGATCGAAGGCGTTGCTGCTCGCTCAGAGTTCGAGTGCTGTAGCAACCAAATCCACGGGGAAGAGCTGTAGGCCGCAGACGAATGCCAGCTTCTTCGCTAGAACAAATTCTTGAATTACCCAAGTATGTTCAAACCATGTGCGGTGAAGGAATGTGTACGCTGCAAGCCACTGACGCGGGCCAATTCTTCTGACATTTGCAGTCTGATACGCGAAGCGGTTGAGGAAGTTTCCTAGCGTGAATAGAATTTCGGTCTTCTCCTCCGTGATGTCGAGTACGCGAACCAGGAAGTCTGCCCCAGATCGGGAGAAGACATCCTCCCCACCGAGCCACCCTATCACTCGTTCCGCGTGCGTGTATATTTGTCCCATGAGCTGGACTTGGGCCGCACGTTCCTCTAAGTCATCCTGATTAATACAAATTTGATCAATCCAGATTAGTGATGACAATGTATATTGGTCCAATCCGTCTGCGAACCTCAGCCACGCTATCATAAATGAAAGTGCTGTTTCATCCTACGTACGACGGATCATAAGTTGATCCGAAAAGGTCGAATCAATCAATGCCAATGATTCTGATCTTTTGAAAACTGCGAACGACATGGGGATTCCAGATGATGTTTCGTCAGTCTCAATACTTGATGCCCGGATTGGTAGATGAGCTCTGGACATGGCTTCACAGAAAAGCTGCCGCGGTACACCCTTGCAATTTTCCAAGAAGAGTTCCTAACTTTGGAGATGACCGACGACGGGGAATCGATGTTGGTTGCTGAAAGGACATGGAGATACAGTCCGGACTCGGTCGTCAAGTTCGGTTTTCGGTCTGTTTCGGTGGTATTAAAATACGCGCATAGCCCGAGGCCGAGAATTAGCCTCGAAGTTCGGTCATTTCACTATCACCATGCAGTAGCTCCACTGTAAGCTTGCCTAGAAATGTTGTCCAATCCAGTCGCTCAGCGCTCATATCCACTGGATAACTTGGCTCTGTTTTAGCGTGCGGATGGCGGCTGTTCAGTGGGTCATCCCAGCTTGGGCCGATGACGAACCACGGCCTCGGAGTTTAGAAGGATTCTCGCTCTTGATGGCTTCACCTTGCTGAACTGCGTGGGCTGCAGAGCGGGGATATCTGATTATAAAGGAGACAAGACGTCCTCTGGTAGACACCTTCTTCTTCTTCATCGCATCACTTCTCGACATCACGACAAATACCTGACGAATCGCACAAACAAATTCATCTCAGCGGATACATTGACATTGAGACAACACAAAAGCTCGTTTATATTACTCAACATTTGCCCACCATGGCATCTGCCGCCACAGCAAGCCCAAGGACCTTCCAGGTCGGCATCATCTGTGGCTCGCAACGTATCATCCGTGCTGGACCGCAGATCACCACATTCATCCAACAGACCATCTCCTCGCACTTGGCCGCCACCACTCGGAGCAGCAGCTCAGGCCACACCTTTGCCCTCGAACTCATCGACGTAGCGGCGCTCAACCTACCGCTATCGGACGAGTCCGGCATCCCCTCCAAGATCACCTCGGCCGACGGCTACGAACACGAGCACACCCGTGCCTGGTCACGGCGCGTCGCCGCCCTCGACGCCTTTGTCTTCGTCTCGCCGCAGTACAACTGGGGCATCCCGGCCGGCCTCAAGAACGCCATCGACCATTTGTTCAACGAGTGGCGGGGCAAGCCCGCCGCCATCGTGACCTACGGCGGCCACGGCGGGGACAAGTGCGCCGCGGCGCTCAAGGTGGTCCTCGGCGGCGGGATCGACATGCACGTCGTGGACCCGCCCGTGTGCCTGACTTTCCCGGGCCGCGAGTTCCTTGTCAAGGCGGCGACGGGCAAGGAGCTGGGGCTGGACGGAACTGCGGAGGAGGGGCCATGGGGGGATCGCAGGGCGGATGTGATCAAGGCGTGGGAGGGGCTTGTCAGCATGCTAGTCGAGGAGAAGAGTGGAGCTGTCTGACGGGAAGTGTTGGTGAGATTGAAGCGGTGTCATTTGTGATTGATGGATTCAAGAGAAGATAGACTGCGATCCGTGTTTCTATGGTAGCTCAGCGAGATTTTCCCTTCAAATAACGCACCCACCTAGATTATAATATCAAGTCTTGATGACGAGGGAGCCAAAATGTGGATGTGCTCGACCTTGCGGTCAAAATTAAAAGAAAAGCATAAGCTCTTGCTGATCTACTACAAGGAGCAAACAATGGCTTGCATCTCTTGGGGGTATCAAAACAATGAAGCGCTTCTCACAACAGCCACCTCCCCATTCCTGGGACATAACAAGGATCTTTCCCTATCCCAAAGCCGGCAGAGAGACAAACACTCCCGACTAATCCAATCCCCTGGCAACGAGAACAGCTCCGTACCCAGTGGCCCCTCATTTCCACTCTGGACAACACTCCTGCTCGCAGGGCTGGGCCCTGGACCCTTGTTGCGCAACTGGGAGCCAGGCCCCGGAGGAGGCCTGGGTCCTGGCCCAGATGTTGCACCCATACCGGGTATCGAGACTTGCCACAAGCACACCTGGAACGTCTTCGACAGGAATGCAAGACGGTTTCTCGGTAGGAAGGCAAGTACGAGACCGATCTGAGAAGACACATCGTCGCTCAAAATGATTGGAGTGATGATGCCGAGCGGCACACTCTCTGAGTTGCCGGCGGAAGCCGTCTCCCCTGATGACGAGTTGAAGGCGCTGGTGGCGAAGTAAAGGAATGTCTTGTCTCTGGTCGCCTGGTCTAGAGAAGACATCTGCACCAAAACATGATTCTTGTCGTGTGTAACTATTACTCGTTCAGCAATGGCCGGGGGTATAGCAGCACTAGGAAAGTCTGTGCTTCTATCTTGAGGCTCTGGGTACTGAATACGATATGATTGGAACTCAGTCAGGTCCCAGTCCAGCACATGAGCAGTAGTCGGGCCCAATCCTAGGACGAGTGTCGGGTCTCGAGGATGTACGATCCATCGGCATTTAGGCTTTGACATCTTTGCAGTCTTGGTCACAGAGGATGTTTCGACCGAGATGGTATGTAGCATCGACTCGGTGTGGACCAGAATGCTACTCGACTTCGGGTGGAAGACTAGCTGCAAGATGGATCCTTTCGGGCCGGCCTGGATGGGCACTGCTGTTGGCGTTCCGATGGACGGATCGCTCTGACCCGTAATTGATTGCACTGAGACGATAAAGACCTTTTTGCTGGTGTCGGAAAAGCACAGCAGCTGCCCATCCGGGCTCCAAGTAACCTGATCAATGCCAAAGAAATTTCTCGACATTTGTATCTCTGTGATCTTTCCCCGAGAGCTATCATGGATCGATAGGATGCCCTTCTCGGTGCCATACGCATACAAGCGGCCAGCTGGCGAGGTCGCAAGGGCGGTCACAGGATCGATCCATTTCACGGTAGTCTCGGAAACTGTAGAACTCTGAGCAAGGCTCTCCATGTCGCTCTCAACATCAGATCCTCGTCCAGTCGGCTCTGCGTATTTTAACAGAGCGTTAGGGCCCCAAACATTTCCGTAAAAGCCTCGAATGTCGTAGAGCCGGCGAAGGTCGGGGCTGAATGTCAATCCGAGAACGACATCCTGAGAGGCAACGTGATAGATGTGAGTGAGGGTAGAGGTCGTGAACACCTTGATGGTCCCACGTGCATCACCGGTCGCGAGCAGATGCCCATCGCGACTCATGGTCAGCCTGTTGGCCCCAACAGACTTCTCCTCCACCTCGTTCTCGTAGGGGGACCATTGGAAGATCTGCCCTGTGGTGTAAATTCCGTAGACCTGTGGTTCGCGTGGGTGCCAGACAGCTTCGATTACCTCGCCTCTGTAGTCTGCATCCTTTCTATAAAGGTGTCCAATATGCATAGGCCCATCTGTTTCCCAAGCGGAGAGTGGATGACCGCGGTATGCAACTGATATCAAGCTCCCATCCTTGCTCAAAGCCATATGATTGGCAGCGTTTAGGTACTGCCCTTCAAGCTCTGGCTCCTCCAGTTCAGCAACGACATTCCAGGTCGGAGAAGGCTGGTCGATAATCAACGATCGCACTCTCCTGTCATCAGTGCCCACGAGAAGAGTGTTGCCCTTGAGGAGCAGAACTAGTGGACGAAGCCCGATCTCGACATTTGGTACCGAGAGTGTGCAAGTCCCTGTAGCAACGTCCCAAACCTTAGTCGTGCGGTATCCATATGTCACGAGTGTCGTGGCTTTGTTGTTGACCTCCATCCTATAGAGGCGCTCGCCATGCTTGATGGGGCTGGTAGTGTGATAGTCCAGGGTTGCAGAGTCGTAGATGAATACTAGCCCAGATGCGACAAGAATAAAGACGTATGGTCCTGCCGCTAGAATGAATGCAGCATAGGTGCTGAATCCAAACGAAAGTCGACCCAGCGAGTCATCCCAGTTATCTGATGATAGTCCGGAAACGCTGAGAGACCTAGCCTCGGCTCTGCCAAACTGTTGATATATGGCAGAGTTATGAGGGCAAAAGGCTGGTATAACCTTGTATATAGACATGGGGAGCCGCCGCAGGTTCCTCCCGAACTTGCCGGCCAGTCTCACCAGATCCACCGACCAGCACTCAAACAGCTCCACCTCTTTGATATGCTGATGGCTCGCGGTTGGGTCAGTCTCGTCGTGGGAGCGGCGATTGGTTGCATACAGGGCGAGGTGCTTCGAGGTTCGCACTAGCAGATCCAGACGCTGCGTTGATGCAAGGAGGTAAACCCACGTCAACACCCAAGGTCCCCCAAGAAACTTTCGGAGTGTATCTGCAGTCTCTCTGCAATCTATCGGGGCACCGACCAGGTGAGTCGTCCAAGCCATGACCGCATAATCCAAGAACTCTGGAATCTTGTCCCGGGCAATCTTTCCTCGCAGCCCGGTCGCCATGAGACAGCGCATACAACTCAGGAAGATCAGTCGATGGGCCAGATCGCGCTCCACGTAGAACGGCCGCTCGCCACTGTCGTCCAGCAAGTATTCGCGAGCGGTATGATGGACGAGAGCCACGTTTCCGCTGTTGTCAACAACCACAAAGCCGCCGCACAGATCCACGATCAGTCGTTGTATGTCCAACACATCGTCTTTGTCCAACGCTTGTGAGAGTTCGACGACTGTCAGCACACGCACTGAGCATGTGACAAATCGCAGTATGGTACTCGTCAGCTCTCTGTCTGCCGGTGTCTGGTCCATGATCGACGCTGTCATGCGGTCGTACAGCGCTTTCATGCCGACGGGCAATTCCTGGAGCGTGCGCTCGACATCGGGAATGACGTAGCACTTGTTCAATCTCTCGACAGCCAAGCGCACCCACTAGCTATCGAATTAGTGTCCTGAAAGGCACAACGGGCTGCCCTCCAAAAGGGAGATACTTACCAGAAAATTGTTCTGTGCACCTTGGATTACTCTTTCTATCAGCCGCTCAGTAAACTCCGCGTCTCCAATCTTATTGAGCTCCTGAACCATGTATGATCGAAGGTCCTCTGCATGACCCTCGATATGAATGGAAGTTGTGCGCAGTGATGATCCGATCTTTTGAATGGCTGTATCTATATCATCCGTGATTCGACTGACCAGGAGGATGCGAATTGGTAGAGGGAGTGAAGACAAATCAGTCAGGTACTTGAGCAAAGTTCGGGGGTTCTCAGCCTCGTCGAGTCCATCGATGATCCACACAATGGGCCTTGGCGCTTCAATGCAGGACAGCACAGATTTGATGCAGTCCCACACCATTCTCGAGTCGGCACTTTCGAAGTTCACGGCTTCGTCTGTGAACTCCACGACCTTCTCCTGGAACCCAGGAATGTTGAGCGACATCTGATATGCCAATGAGCGAAGAAGCAGGCTGAGGGTGCGTTTCTTTCTGTCACCAAACCGAATGTAGAAGTACTGGCAATAAACCTCGGCCTCCTCGCCAACAAGGGAATTGATGATGACAGATGACAACACTGACTTCCCAGATGCTGGGCCACCATTCAGCCAAAGGATATGTGGTGCCGGATCGTTATTACGGAACCACTCGAGATAGGTATCGTCTTGCGTGATCCAGTCGCCAGTTCCTTCCACCCACTGGTCCTGAAAGAAAGCGTAGTCCGTGCTCGGCAACTCTGTTATGGCAAGCAGCGCTCTTAGATCGAGCGATGCCCGTCTGTTCGCTGCGACAGTCGCACTTTCTGATCCTCGCGTGAACCTGTTGGAAATGATCTTGCTCACTAGCGACCTAAGTACGTTTCGAACCGTGATGTAGTTGGGATCCACTGGGCTATCATACTTGCAAATGCCGTGGTGATCTGCATTCAAAGCCTTGGACGTCTCGCCTGGGTATCCCAGAACAGAAGAGTCTTTCTCTAGGACCATCTTTCACCAAGTTAGTCTAGGAGCCTGGGAAAGTACCACAAGCGGACCCTACTCACGATGCGATTCGCCTTGATTCCTATGGGAGTTGGCTGCGTTTCATAGAACGAGACGATATCGAGCCTGGGCGCAATATGTCGAAATTGTTCATTCAACTTTTGTAATGCGAAAGAGTTCTTAGCCAGCTCCGCTATGTACTGCTTCGGGTTGGTTGTGAAAGTTGATTGCAGGATGCGATTCAGCGTCTGTGCCAGATTCGTGCCACGATGCGGTGTTGCAAGGAAAATGACGGCGCTGATGGCTTTAACAATGGCTTTGTACTCGGGATCATTTTGTCCTTGTATGTACGCCTTTTTCTCGTCAGCTTGTTTGTGTAAAGTGTTTGTCTTGACAAGGGTGAGCTCATTACGAACCTCCTTGGTGATGAGCCCTCCCATGCTGTGTACAACGAATATCAAAGGCACCTGTCGACGTCGTCAGTAGTATCCAGTCCAGAGGATTCACAATGAGCCTACTTTCTCCATGTCTAGCGCGTCGCCTTGCTCGTCCCTGGCGTACTTGAGATCGAACAACAGGTCCTTGGCGAAATCCAACACTGAAGTGTTGAGATTGCCGGCTTTACGGAAGTCGGCATTGTACCCGAACGTCAGGATCCGAGCGAGGCACAAGTCCGGTTCGAGGGGCAAAAAGGTCAATGGCCAGAACAGCTCCGGGTCCGCGTGCTTGGACCATGTCTTCCTGCTGGTACCCCCAAGTCCATGCACAAAGACGATGTTCGCCTTGTGGCCATTATTGGGGCAGTAGACGACGTTCAGGCCGAGCTGCCCGGGATCATTCACGCTGGGCCTCCGTGACTGGGCGATATCCAGCGAGGATGATGGGAGCCGGAAGCTGTCGCTACGGGTCGATGTTCGTGAAACGGTTTCCGCGGTCTCGGCGAGGGTCACGGCGTCGCTGCCATCGTCGCCTGCCTGATTTGATTTCAGTGAGTCGCGTCGTTGGTCGCTTCCTTTTCTTCCGATCTTTGCGATCTTCCGAAACTGGATGCGATTGTTATCAGTGCCATATTCATCGGCTGGCTGAGGGGGAAACTGTTCCGACACACCATGGTCAACAAAGCACTGGGTGTCGCGCCTCCACCACGGACAAATCAAGCCGAAAACCAAAGAGGGACAGCGACGTGCGCTGTGAATGGTGATCTCCGTCTGTGCATATCAAAAAAGGACAATGCTCGCATGGCCGAGGATTAAGAATCCTATGAATCTACCCTAGACAAACTCCGGTCGCACTGAGCAAATAGCAGAGGAGAAGTTAAAAATCACACATGTTGTTGAAGAGAATAGACCAGTCCGCTGGAAGGTCTCTACGACAGAAAAGTACCCCGCAGCACGCATGTCCGTTATGCACGCGCTCACCTGCTTGCCCGAGCAGTGTGAGTGTGGCTATGCGGCTGAAAAGGGTGTTGCTCTGTTCCACGGGATGTCGGTCCCTGGCAGGAAGGACAACGCCTCTTGGGGCTGAGTCTCGTGCAAAAGGACGGTTATCTCGGCGGCTATCACTAGCCTTTTCCGGCCCCCAACAACGGTGAGGGCTACCAAGTGAGGGGTTCCGAATCCTTGTCACAACGCCCGAAGAGGTGGTAAGCAGTGCAGGAAGTGGGCACAAGATGTTGGCCCGAACTAATCACCTCATCCCACGTTGCCGCCCTTGGCGACGGTAGCGGCGTTCTTGAGCAAATGGGAAGCTCCGATATGTTCAGGCCTGTGAGACGTGCATATCTAGCACATTGCTGTCGGAGAGACGGTCTTTGCGCTGCAGATCTTTGACGCAGGCAGAGGACAAGGCTGAAATCTTAAACAAAACCTGAAACTCCTCAGAGGCCTCAGTTGGAGCCCAATCTTCCATCCCATGAACGCTTCGTACATATAAGTGGTTCGGTACTCGGCTTCACTGCGGAACAGGGTTTGTGGGATATCCTTGGCCGACTAGTATCGTCTTAAAGTCGCGACAAAATGGCAATCAAGGTCGCATCGGACTTTGGAGGCGGCAGCAGCGTTGTGGTGCGCGATGATCACCAACCAGAAGAGGAGTTCGTGTCTGGAATCGAGGGCAACTACCCAATCCATCAGACCATCTTCAAGGGTATTTTCTCTTCTCCAGCGAAGATGTGTGGGGCAGAGGCTAACCGATGACTCTTATCATCTCAGCTATGCCCCCGGGCACCAAGATCATCTCTGCCGTCTCATCTGGCGTGTCTGCCTGGGCTAAAACTGCCAAGGTCACAGTAAAAGAGCCTGATGGCAGCCAGAAGAGATACTTCCTCAAGGTAGGCTGCGCTTCTCCCCCTAAGTCACACTTAAGGAAATTCTTAGCGTGCCGACTAGGTCGCCTGCGGATGGAGTGCCAAAGCCCTGTGTGAGGGCGAGTATGAATCGCAGCTTGTCATTGAAGAGGCCGTAGGCCCTGGCTTCGGTCCAAAGGCCCGCGCATGGGGAGAATATGACTACAACAACACTCACTACTACTTCTTCCTCGGCGACTTTCACGACATGGACATGGCCACAGCACCAGAGCCGGCCTCGTTTGTCGAGAAGATTGCTAATCTTCACCAGAGCAAAAGGTCACCCAATGGAATGTTTGGGTTCCATTGCGCAACTGTCTGTGGACAGATGCAGCGCACTGTACCGTGGGAGGATACATGGGCTGCCTCGTTTACCCACCTGTTGGAAGATGTCATCCGATATGACAACCAGGCCAACCCACCCTGGCCAGAGTACGACCGCGCCTGCAGGATCGTCATCAACAGGGTTATACCTAGGGTCCTAGGGGCACTTCAATCGGATGGCCGTATTCTAGAGCCTGTGTTGATCCATGGTGACATCTGGGAGCAGAACGTGGGCATCGACATGGAAACCGGAGAGACTCTCATCTTCGACCCCGGCTGCACGTATGCCCACAATGAGATGGAGTTTGGTACCTGGAGAGGGTCCTGGGCCTCGTACTTCAACAATCCGGTGTACCAGCGACTGTACCAAATGCATATCCCGCCGTCTGAGCCAGCTGACGAATGGGATGACCGCAACCGCATCTACGCTCTTCATATCAACATCAACGATTCTGCAGGCCATCCAGGGAGTACATCCAGACAAGTGTGAGTATCTACCACAGTCATGCCCATTCGGTAATGCTGATACGGGCCAAACAGTGCCTATAATGACATGCTATTCCTCATCGAGAAGTACTGTCCAGAGGAGCTCGAAGCGGACCCGGAGCTGGGCAAGTATGACCCGCAGCAGGACATCAGTGTCACAGGTGCTTATGTCCCACATATCGTGCGTCAATTAGAATAGAGTATTCGGAAGTGTCTATATAGATATAGATCTACGTCTGCGATTTGCTGAGGTACTTTTGTCTCCAAGCCGTGCCGTAGAGGTAGTCGACCAGGAACAACCCGGTGACGATCACACATAGTCCAGCCATGAATGTATATGTCCACCCGATACCGAGCGCATCGATCAGGTTCTGCAAGAAGGCCACTACAATGGCTGCCATTCCGCAACGCACTATATTGCTCGAAGCTTGAGCTGCTGCCGGATTTCGGTGGTTCTTGTCGACGAGGAGAGCATTGTATATCTATGAAGGTAGTCAGCCTCCTGTTACAGACCTCGGGTATGATGAACAGAGTAAACTGACACTGAAATCTAGTTGCATGACCAGTCCAAGTATGAATTGGAGGCAGAGAGGAATGGCAATGTGCTGAAACATGTTAGTCGCAAATCCGAGAGTTTAGAGTGAGGACACAGGGCCCTACAAGATGGAAGTGAAGTGTCCAGCCAAAAGCCACCAAGCACATGATTGTCATCGACAGCGGTACCCATATGACCACGAGGCGGGCCTTCTCCACTGGAAAGTGGTCAAGGTTATCTGCGACGGACTGGTCTGTAGAGAGCCCCTGCTTGATTCTTATGTGACGATACGCCCTGTTCAGCAACGGGCCGCAGAAGAACGACGAGACCGTGCCGCCGAAACCGAATGGGATGTAAATGAGACCAGTTTGCAACTGGTTGAGCCTGTAGATCTCAATGAAATGGACGGAAAGCGAGGCACAGATGCAAGTGTAGACCGAGTACATGAGGCCGCAGGCCAGCGTGATGATGATGTTGTCCTTGCGGATGAGGATCTTGAGTGACTTGATGGGGTTGGGGATCCGCAACAACGGCCTTGGAGCTTGGTCAGTCTTTTCCCAATGGCTCATGAAGCCGCGCATGGGCAGCTGCAAGTACCTCATGGGTCTGATAGAGCCATTCCCAACGAGATTGCGGGAAGTTTCTGGGAGGCAGAACACCATGATAACAAGACAAGAGCCAGATGCAAGAGCCAAGAACCAAAAGATCCAGGGCCAACCGGCAGCATAGGTCAATGTCCCTCCCAGGATTGGCCCCAGACTAGGAGCAATTGTAGAGCTATGGGTTGGCTGTCAGTCGTGCGTTGAGTAAAACAAGGCATTGTCGACGTACGCAAAGGAGACAGCAGCAACATAGGACCCACGCTCAGCAGGTGTTGCGATATCCGTCACTACGCCGTACGCAACCGAGAAAACACCTTTTCCAATCAATGTTATTGTCGTGTTTAGTCAGGAATTCAATGTCTTACCAGAAATTGCCAAGGCCTGAAACAACCTCAGAACCAAGAGAGCAACGTAGGAATGGGCCGAGGCAGTTACGATGTTTACTGCGACGTACAAAGTGAGAGCAACGAGATACGTTGGTCTTCGACCGAGGATATCAGCGGCATCTCCCATCAAAGCCGGGGCGACAGTTGCGACAGCCATGTACGAAGTGATCGTTAAGTTGATCTTATCAATCGAGACTGAGAGTGAGTCGGCCAGTTGGCTTATAGCGGGAAAGTAGATGAAACTGCTCAGAGTTGAGAAGGCCGCAGCGTATGCTACCATGGCAGTGATACATCGCTTCTCAATCTTTGTGAAGACAGAGTATTGTTCGGGTGGCGATTCGGACAGCGGGCTGTCTTGCGCCTTTTCGGAGTCCATCCTGGCGTTTGGGTGGTTGTTGCGTTACCGTGTTGGACTGAAGTTCGACTAAGAACACAAAGTAATTTGTTACACGAGACGCCAGGGCCAGGCGAGATATCAGAGGTGAGGAAATTCCGGGTTCTAGCACTTGAGCGTGCGGTCAGAAAGTCGAGGTCCGTCAGGGCTTGGGCCCCCTGCGACGCAAAAGTCCATTGCTAAATGCTGGTGCGGGGAATCGGCACCGCATGTGGCTCCATCCATATGGGCGGTGCAGCAAAGGCAGAATTGCAGGCGGAGACGCAGGCAGAGGGATTAGGCAAGCATTGGACGGAACATGCAATCATGATTTGTCCGAACTGCAGATCACTTTTGATGCAAGCCCTGCCAATCGTTCCACCCAATAGTAGGCCAAGATAAAGATTTTCCCTCGTCGAAAACGAAAAAGATTCAAAAGAAAGCAAAATCATCAATACATATATGACATCACTAACGTGGTAAGCAGTAATGATGGCGGATAGGGGTCATAGCACGGATTTCTCGAGTTGCGATACACAATTGAGTAAGTCTACAACATTAATTCAGGAGCTAGAATTGGATAGAAATATCAGTACTTGAATGTGGTCTGCTTAGGCATGGACTACATCCTGGTTGCTAAGTCGATTCAAGTAGTTCCGAATTACTGCTATTATAGCTCCGCCGTCATTGGTCTGGTATAACCAAGCTCCTTGCTATGTTAGATATCCGAACGACAAATCAAAAACCAACTCCGATGGCGCAGCATTCAGTCGATGTGTTCCGTAGCCTCGCATCCGCCAGCCGGACCACCCCTGATCTTGGCATGCACGGACACCATTGTGTCAGTACGTCACCAAGCAAGTGATATACGAAGGAGATAATGCGAAGTTCTCTGAGTTCTTCAACCACAGATGGCGATATTGAAGGCGCGGACCAGCACGGCATATGCGGAACAACAGGCGCTTAAGTAATACATTTGAGGGCTTGAGGAAGACACCCAAGTGCGATTATTTCGCCGTCCGGGACCCAGCGGCGGTCTGGGAGACATTTACTCATTGAATCAAGTCGGTGAATCTTGCTCATCAGTGCCGCTGGGAGCGACGTTTGTGGAAATCAAGCCAGTATTTCGGCGATGAAGTGGCATGCCTGAGACATGAAATGAAGCTGAATAGGCGTACTCGAGCGTCGTCGGTCTGTTGCAGAGTACAGCAACAGCAACAGCAAACCAGCGTCCATCTCCCCAATGAGTGGGCCACCGACAAGGGCCACTGCGACGTGACAGGCCGATATTGCTTTGCAGGGTGACATGGAAGGATGGAGCAGGGCCGTGTCAGCTTATATGTGCATAAAGACGCATCGATTGAGCGAATCAATCCTTCATAGTTGTCATGGTTGTGACATTCCTTTTCGCGGGCTGTTAGATTACACATCTCCTATCAAACAGCAACGGCGATCAGCCCCGGAAGCGGAAGTTCAATATTTGCTCACCCTAGATCCCTTGTCCAGACAACACATATGATTCGAGATTAATAGGGTATACCACGTGCAGTACGCATCTCAGCGTCGGATCACCGTCCCATATCTACATGAAGCCAGCCAATACACACGCGTCGCGGCCCCGGATAGACCGATCCGCCATTAATTGCCGACCGACGCTCAAGCTGCATTTCAACTTTTGGCCCTAACCTCGTCTCGGCGGACGAAGCGCGCTTCGGGATACCAAACCGGGAATAAGCGACCGGAGAGAAGGCCGGTAGGGTTGCGCCGCTGACGGGGTTCCTGATTGCTTGCCATCGAACGTCGAGTCTTGGCTCGCATCCCAAAAAGCCGTCGGCTTTTGCCTTTGTTTTTGTTAGCAGCGAGCAGCTGGAGACCGTTTCGAGGAACGGGACCACTCCACATGACCCGCAGGGCAAGAGAGAAAGACTGGCAGTCAAGAGACGTTCCAAGGTTGACTCTGGAGATATTTGCGGGGCTTGGCCAGTGTTTACGGCCTTGATTAAGGAGAAGCATTCCACTAACCCCACAAGCCCCAGGGTGATCGACACAGTGACGCCAAATTCGCGGGGGATGGCGTGGGAGTCCGAAAGACCAGATACCGACCAGGTCGGATGTGGCAAGACCTGGCGAACCCCTATGCCTGATCTCGGTGCAATGACGACCCTAGCTCATCTGCGACCTAGGTACTCGGTTGATCTGTTCCTTGAACTGAGGAGAGATCTGTCACTTTATTAACCTGACGATCTGCCCTCCCCCATCCCTCTGCCACGCTCTGGTTCGGGGATTTTGATTCTCTCCTGCAGCTGAGCCGCCTCCACGCCTGTGCATTCTGGCCCTTGCATCACACCATCTGGCATCCGGAGATCTGACCCGACTGTAACTATTTGGACCTTGTGTTTTCCTTCACCGCTGACAACTCCCTGAGACTTTGGCTTGTGACGAACCATGGCGAAGGGCAGCCTTTACACCTTCGGCATTGCGCTGTTTGCCGCTCTCGGCACCTTTCTCTTTGTATGTCCTCGATGATATCGCACCCTACGGGCACCATCGTCACCATCAGTCAGCTAATCCTCGTTGACCAGGGTTTTGATACCGGTATCGTGACGACGAGTAAGTCGATATTATCACTTCGATGAGCCATCCCATGTCACTCACCCCCTGCTCCATAGCTATCGCGCATCAGAGTTGGATCGATTACATGGGCCATCCCTCCAATGGCCTCACCGGAGCAGTAAGTCATACCGAGAATGGGACTATACGACCTTCTCTAATACGATAGTCTAGGTTGTCGCCGTGTATATCGCCGGCGAGGCAGTGGGAGCTCTACTCCAGACTGCCATCGCCGACAAGCTCGGGCGCATCCGATTCATGCAGCTCATGTGCATCATCGTCACCATCGGCACCGTGGTCCAGACCGCGTCGGTCAACATCGGCATGTTTCTGGCTGGCCGTGTCCTCGCCGGTATTGCTGTCGGGTAAGCTCTTCGTCCCCCCGGCCTGTCCCTAACCAGCTCGGCAGGTAGCCGAGATACTGGTACTGATCACCCATCACCCATACACAGTGGCATGGTCTCAACCGTCCCCATCTACCTGAGCGAGATCTCGGCCCCACACCAGCGCGGTCTCATTGGCGGCATCTCGGGCTGCGGCATCTCCTTCGGCACCATGATGTCCAACTGGGTCGGCTTTGCCTGCTCGTACGCACCCTACGGCGCTACGCAGTGGCGCCTGCCCCTCGGCATCCAGGTTCCCTGGGGTGTCATCATGTTTGTCGGCCTGGCGACTTTCATGCCCAACTCGCCGCGCCAGCTGCTGCGCAACGGCAAAGTCGAGGAGGCGCGCGCCGAGTTCCTCAGGATCCGGCGCGACCTGGGCTCGCACGAGGTGCAGGCCGAGTTTGCCATGATGCACGCGCAGATCGAGTACGAGATGGAGCGCGAGATCAAGACGTATCGCGAGATCTTCAAACTTTTCCGTCATCGTGCTTTGGCGTACGTTTTGCTCTAGCTTTCCCGCTCGTTTTATTGTATTGACACACCCTCTTGCAGGTCAATCGCCGTCCAGACCATGACCAGTCTGACTGGTGTGAATGTCATTCAATATTACCAGAGTAAGTCCCGATGCTTGCATGCCTGTGCCGGTTTCGTTGCTCACAAGAAACTCAGCCATCCTCTACAAGAGTCTCGGCCTCCAACCCCAGATCATCCTACTCCTCGCTGGAGTGTACGGAACGCTCTGCTTCACATCGAATGCCATTACCACAAAGTTCCTGACCGATCAGTGGGGCCGCCGCAAGTATGTGCTTCCTGACGCCGCGATGGCGTGATTATGACTCTTAACAGTACCATAGGATGTTGTTGGCCGGCCTGACCGGTGTGATCCTGATTGAGATCTATGCCGCCGTGATGCAACGCTTCTTCCAGAACACCGACAATATAGTCGGAAAGGGCTTCACCGTGCTGGGCATCTACCTCTTTGCCATTATCTACTGTAAGCTCTTCAGGCCCAGATCTAATCACAGCACTCAAGCTAACCCTCTATTGCAGACGGTATGCTTAACAGCACTACATGGCTGTACGGCGCGGAGATTTTGCCTATTGCTCTGCGCAGCAAGGTCATGGGCATTGCGTCGGCTTCTCACTTCATTGTGAATGTCGGCAGTAAGTCACTCGCTGCAGAAAAATAAGAATGAACAGTGGCTGGGTGCTAATTGTTGCAACCTCTACAGTTACGGAGGCCGGACCTAGCGCCTTTGCGAACATCAAGGAGAATTATTACTACGTCTTTGTGGGCTGCACGTCGTTCTTCCTCGTCATTGCATGGTTTTACTTCCCGTAAGTCTTGTTCCCTTCAGCTTGGCGTTGTCCACGGAGCCATGATTGGCTGATTTTCCACACAGTGAGACTAGAAGAAGCACACTCGAGGAGATCGCGGCCGCCTTCGGAGACAAGGTTGTGCTGGTATCGGAGCAGGAGGTGTTGGCTGAAGCGGTCGCGGCGGAGGAGAAGCTCAGGCAGACCCAGGAGCACGTCGAGAACACCCCCACACAGGCCGGCCGCTCGGAGAATGCCCAGAGCGCCGCCGCGGCGACCGGCGCCTAAACGAACCGCCCGGGACAGCTGGCTGTCACTCATTGACGGCAGAGTGGATGGATTGGATGATGTGCGTCAGTCAATTGCCGAGGTGACGCGTGGCAAAGGGACATCATTTGCAAGCCAGCACGCAACTGCCGAGTGTTTGTTTTCGGGTGGACGGTCGGTGATGGTGATCTCTTGTGATCATCTTCGGCGCAGGGATTGGGCGCAGATTGTGAGAGGTGCATGAAACATGGTGTAATCATACAAGATCTGAAACGACATTTCTCGAATTGACTGCGCCTATCGATGCACGTTGTCAGAAATGCTGATCTTTGAAGAGGGTGCGGTCATTTCTGCGATGAGTAAGTGGAGGGCGGACTTTGGATCAGGCACATTGGACTGATTTCCCATGCTAGCCTAAATTGACGATCCAGAAATAACCCCAGAAAATGCGACAGGATTGTTTGCCTTTTGCGATATCGGATTCCATTGAGAGCTCAATGATGAAAGGATTCGTGGACGAGACTCGGGCGGCGTCTTGGCAATGAGATCCCAGTGACCATGGCATGGCTTGCTATGCACGTCATGATCCAAGCCCCAAATGTTTAACTGCGACAGCTTGAGAGACCTGAAGGATCTGCAGGAGGAGCCATCTCGGAAAATATCTCCAGGCACATGCACACATGACAGGCTCAGCTCACAGCGGGGAACAATCCAGGGCTAGACAGGGCTGGGCTGGAGAGCGGCAGGACAGGAGATTTTGAAGACAGTTTGTCTCCTGCCCTGACTAGGTTCGAAGCACCACGCGCCGCCGTTGGCCGAAATCCACTGGGCTGCCGGTCTGCTGGGAGATGGAGACCGCCGGAATGGGCACTGGCGTTGGGATCTGCTCCACCAACAGTCCCGAAACCGCTGGAAATCGTGGGCCCAATCTTGGTCAAAGCCTTTGAAAGCCCCCACGTGCCCCGCCGAAACGCCGCCTCGTCGGCCCGGAAGCCCGGGAGCCGTGTGCTTGGTGCCTCTGGGGTTGAGATCCCAGCCCATTGGTATGAAAAACGGTGCTGCTCACCGACAGATGCCACGACATACATCTGTCTATCATTTGAGACTTCTTTATTCTCCTTCTTCTCACGACAAACGTCGTACTTCCTCACTGGTTGCTTCCGAGAGGTCAAACTTTGCATGCAAGTGCTAAACCACGCACCATCATACCATACCACTGCCCAGCCATATAGAGAGCTCGATTGCACCTTCGCCTGGAATGGTGCAGCGACACCAGGGAGAGATATACATGCCCGTACACACGTACAGATACTAGATACTCAGAAGGGCCATTGCTTTCGCTTGATACCCCTAGTGCCAGAGAAAGGGCGAAACCGCGAAAAGAATCACTCGGAAAATCAAATCACCACATCCCATCATCACGGATCAGTACAACACACAGAACTATACAGACAACATGCTGGGTCCGACACACCACGGCGAGCGGTATGAGCTCACCAGCCCGACAGCCCTGCCCAAGTCTGGCGGCTTCTTGTGGAACCAGCGGATGATGATCCAGATCACCTGCCGGGGCTACGCTACTGCCCAGTTCATGCAGCCCGAGCCAGCCAAGTACGCCCACGCCCCGAATCTCGAGGCCAGGACTTTTATGCAGCCCGAGCAGAACTACTACGCCCACCACCCAGGTCGCTTCGTCTATATCAAGGATGAGGAGACGAGCGAGCTCTTTTCGGCCCCCTACGAGCCCGTCCGCGCCAAGCTGGACCGCTTCGTCTTCTCCATCGGCAAGAGCGATATCTCCTGGACGGTCGAGCACCTAGGCATCCGCGTCGATATGACTGTACGCCTGCCGACCGAGGACGTCGCTGAGCTGTGGGCCGTCAAGGTGACCAACGTCTCCGGCAGGCCGCGCAAGGTCAGCGTCTATGCCTACTTCCCCATTGGCTACATGTCCTGGATGAACCAGTCCTGCGAGTGGCGTCAAGACCTGCTGTCCGTAGTTGGCACCAGCATCACTCCCTACCAAAAGGCCGAGGATTACTTCAAGAACAAGCATCTCAAGGACAAGACGTACTTTGCTTGCGAGACTGCTCCGGACTCATGGGACGCCATGCAGGGTGCCTTCGAGGGGGATAGTGGCCTGCACGCACCAGAAGCTGTGATGGCCGAAGAGCTCACCCGCAGCGACGCTCGGTATGAGACGCCCACGGCCGCCGTACAGTACCGCGTGCAGCTCGAGGCCGACGGAAAGCGGGAATACCGCTTTCTCTTCGGTCCCGCCTTTGACGACGCAGAGATCAAGTCTATGCGCGAGAAGTACCTGAGCAAAGCGGGCTTCGCCCAGGTAGCCGCGGACTACACCACGTACATCCAGCAAGGGCGGGGGTGTCTGCAGATCGACACGCCCGACAAGGAGCTCAACAACTTTGTCAACCACTGGCTGCCGCGCCAGCAGTTCTACCACGGCGATGTAAATCGACTGACCACGGATCCACAGACGAGGAATTACCTCCAGGACAGCATGGGCATGACCTACATCAACCCGGCGTACGCCCGCAAGGCCTTCCTCCTCTCCCTGTCGCAGCAAGAGGCGACGGGCGCCATGCCCGACGGGATCATTCTCGTTGAGGGCGCTGAGCTCAAGTACATCAACCAGATTCCCCACACGGACCACTGCGTCTGGCTGCCCGTCGCGCTCGAGGTCTACCTCGCCGAGACGGCCGACTACGCCCTGCTCGACGAGGTCGTCAAGTCCGAGGGCGGCGACGCCCTTACCGTCTTTGACCGCTTCAGCCGCGCCATGGACTGGCTGCTCGGCGCGCGCGACGAGCGCGGCCTCAGCTACATTGCCCAGGGCGACTGGTGCGACCCCATGAACATGGTCGGCTACAAGGGCAAGGGCGTCTCCGGCTGGCTCACCCTCGCCACCGCCTACGCTCTCAACCTCTGGGCCGACATCTGCGAGAACCAAGGAAAGGAGGACCTCGCGAGGCACTACCGCGCCGGCGCGGCCGAGTGCAACGCGGCGGCCGAGAAGCACCTCTGGGACGGCGACTGGTACGCCCGCGGCATCACCGACGACGGCGTGACTTTCGGCATCAAGGAGGACGCCGAGGGCCGCATCTGGCTCAACCCGCAGGCCTGGTCCATCCTCTCGGGCGGCGCGACGCCCGAGCAGCGCACGCGCATGATCCCGGCCGTCGACGAGCAGCTCGCGACGCCCTACGGCGTGGCCATGTTCGCCCCGCCCTTCAGCGGCATGCGCGAGGACGTCGGCCGCGTGACGCAAAAGTACCCCGGCTCGGCCGAGAACGGCGCCGTGTACAACCACGCGTCCGTATTCTACATCTACGCGCTGTACACGCTGGGCATGCGCGGAGAGGGTGGCGAGAAACAGCAGGCCGGAGAGGCGGAACGGGCCTATCGGGCGCTGCGGCAGCTGATCCCCGGCCCGGGAGAGGAGGACTACCGCCAGCGTGGGCAGCTGCCCGTGTACATCCCCAACTACTACCGCGGCGCATGGAAGCAGTACCCGCGCACGGCGGGTAGAAGTAGCCAGCTGTTCAACACAGGCACCGTGTCGTGGGCGTACAGGTGCTTCATCGAAGGTCTTTGCGGCCTGCGTGGCGATGCTGAGGGTCTGTGCATTCGCCCGCAGATGCCCAAGGAATGGACCGGAATGAAGGTCCAGCGGCTGTTCCGGGGTGCGACATTCCAGCTGGACATTTCGAGGAGTGGAGAAGTCAAAGATGTGGTGGTTGAGCAGGACGACAAGAGGTTATCGGAGGCCAAGATCAAGAACATCAAGGCTGGCGAGACGTACCAGCTCAAGGTGCTGGTTCCAGAGTAATTGAGGACGGTGATGAAAACGAGTAAGAAGAGTAATATTAGAAAAATATGTTTTTTTCGGGTTTTGGGTCTCTTCGATTCTACTGTTGCTTATCTCGTTTATGCCCCCTCGCTGTGCCATGAGGTGCCGCTCAGGAATCAGGAAGCTTCAATTGCCTGCAAATGTGTGTTGCAGAGAACACAAGCGTGACTGTTCGTCTGGAAAACAGCGGTCTGTGGTGGCAGAACCTCGATGTGATTAGTCATAGCCATGAGCTGAAGCGGGTGATCGTTAGGCTAAGCATGGTTGTCATCTCTGTCAAATGTGAACAAAGCAGGACGAGATATTAAGAGCATCTAGTTTGCGAAATCGCGCCGAAGACACCAAATCCCCGTATTTCCCGGGTAGCCGACTGCCTCTCCAACCTTAACATGGTCGGACAAAGTACAAGCCAGCATCGACGAGAGCAGAACCGCATTAATCAAAGAAACAGTCGTAAGTCTGCAATTGGTCCTCTCCAGATCATCAAGTGCTTGCCTTGTGGAAGTGAGGCTCACATGTGCTCTCAAGGAGCCAAAAGAAAAGCCGCCCACAGTGCCGCCTCGGCTGGCCCCTTCGGTCAAACTCGCAAATGGATCATCTACACTGAAATGGCTGACGCAGCTCGATATCCCACAACGGATGCAACGGACACGTCTCTCAGCATCAACTTGACCCCTGGGAGGAGCGGTGGCGAGAGCCTATTAGAGGCCGCTTCCAGGCGTTTCTGTGATCTCGACATAACGGATCGTAAAAGGTTTATATGCCATATCCAGCAGGAAGCTCTCGACGGGTCCGCTTCAGCCATTATGCAGGGTCGGCTACTACTTCCAGTGACGCAGTACAACATCTTCATCGCCATGGCCTCGAATGCAAAATCCATCGGTCTATCGATGGACGACCTCCGCCATGATATCCTCTCACCTTTCGTCTCCTATCAACCAGCCAAGTCTGTGGTACCGCCAACCCTTGAGCCGACTGCCCTACAAAGGACCACAATTCATCACCCCTGGCTAGATCTTTATCCTATGAGCTCGGTCAGGGATGCCTTAATCAGCCGCATGTGGCAGTACGACGAGGACGAGCTGTGTCACGATCTGTTTGGGTCCTGTTCAAAGGATCAGAAAAGCGCAGGGTTCCTCATATGGGGCGAACCTTGGGATCCTATGGCTTACGAGATCACTCCAAGGGTACTCTACAAATGGGCCTGGCTCTTTGACAATTGTGTCGATCTACTCCGCTCCACGAACCACTGGCGCAGACAGAGGGGCGAGAAGCCTCTTCCTACTCCATGGCTTCCTCAGATCACCCAAACCCAGAACCAAACAATACGGAGAAACTAAGTGACAATCGATGCGAAACAAGTTTTTCAGAGGCTAACCTATTCACTTAAAAAGTTGCATACCTTTCTGCACAAACTATTTTTCAAAATTCCTGGGAGTATTAGCCTGGAAAGAAGTTAACATCTTGGAACTGGGGAAGTGTATTAATGGGGATGTATATTAATTAAGCCGCCTAAAATTCTCTTGGCCCATATCTAAAGAAAAAAAAACTAGTTGGAAGATAATTCAACTGTCCCACTTCAATTCTTTTCTTATGCTCAAAGAAATGGTACAACTGTGAAGGGAATATCTTGGAACGACAGCACTGAGGAAATCACTGACAGAGTCTCGGCTCACTACCTTGCCCCTCAAGGTTGAGTCTGTTGTATGGAACCTCAGTTGCATGGAATGAAGGATCCTTGGTCACAGGGCCAGACCAATGCCGTGTCGAATACTCGGAGAATTAAAGTCACGTTCTGGTGTTCATACTCGGCGGGTATTGCCCCCCCCCCCCCCCCCCCCACCCTATTTTAAGTGGCTTCTACGGCTACCTAGGGAGTTAGTCGCTTCTTGCTAGGTTCATCCATCTTTCTCCCCCAATAACTACAAGCGTTTTTACCACCCATCACAAACTGCGCCGCCGACCTGAGAGAATGGAATATCCACCATGTAAGTTTTATCATTGGCTCAGTTGCCGAGTTCAGCATACTGACAGTCTAGGGGATGACGATTTCGAAGAGCAGCAACTCGCATGGCAGCCAGGGTGCACGGTAACGCTGATGCAGCCAGATATTGTACTCAAACGTGGCGCCAAAGTTCGACCCAACGAGGAGACGGCAATGCGCCTTGCCAATGAGTACGCACCAGGCATACCCATCCCAAAGATCTACATGACGTCGTACAAGACTGGAAACGGGCCTATTGGCTATGGAGAGCTATACATGAGTACGCTTCCAGGTATCAGCTTGCATTCGGTCTGGGCGGGATTCGATGATGCAACCAAGTTACGAATATGTCGAGACGTATGGGACCTTATTGCGCAGATCCGGTCTGTCCCGCTTCCTGAACATCTGGAACCCGGAGCATATTCCCTAGCTGATGGCTCTCCCTGTCTTGACCCTCTGGTCGGCAGCTATTCTGACATTGCGCCCTCTTCTTTCGATGATCAGGCACTTCGAGCTCGCATATATGAAACGTTATGTTGCGAACAACGGCCTATCATATCGCGACCCTCCTGACCTTCGAGACTTGCTGCCGCGGTCCGACATATCCGTCTTCACTCATGGCGATATTGGCCCCCGCAACATCCTGGTCGATGAAGCCGGGCATATATCAGGCCTACTGGACTGGGAGTCCTCCGGATGGTTCCCGGACTACTGGGAAATGGCTCAGATAATTAGGCATGGCCATGGGGTAGAGCATGACTGGCCTCACTGGATGACCATTGCTAGCCAAGAACAATGGGATCTCACCGGAATTCAAAAGGCGCGAAGAGTTCTTTTCTGATTGATCATCATCCATCTCTCTGGTCGAGCGTCATTTCCAGTAGGACCCTGTACCCTTCTTTTGTGCTCTAGCGCATCTATCCATTGAATGAATCCCCTACAAATTTTGGTCCTATGGCTCTTCACCTTAGCTAAATGCAAGAAGAAACTGATGTAGGTTAGGGATTGCTGGAATAATAATTTCGGGTCTAGTACTACTTCAGGGTATCTTGACTTCCCATTCAGCTCATACCCCTGATTCCTCACCTCCCACTTCGACAATCTTGTACCTCACCAGGCTGTCCACGGTATCGCAGATGCATTCCTCAATGGACCTGGGATTCCACCCCATCGATATGGCCTTGGAGTTATCGATCTGCTTCGAGACCCCAAGTCCAGGGAGTAGGCGACGAAAGGCCGGACTGAAGAGAGCGGCCGTCCGGACCACGAAATTTGGTAGTTCTCTTGTCGGTACCCTGCGTGCATACTGAGGCCGCCCTCTCCGTATGATGTTGGCGATCCCGATCATAGAAGTTGGCCCGCCATCGCTTGTGGCGATGATTCTCTGCCCTTTCGCCTCGGGCTTGAGCATGGCGAGCACGTGCAGGTACGCAGCATCGCGAACGTCGACCACTCCGAAATACAATTGAGGGCAGGCAGCCATGCCACCTGTAAGCATGTTCTTGACAATCTGGATGGATGATGAGAGATCTGGACTAAGGACTGGCCCGAATATGCCAGTCGCGTTGATGACGCAGAGTTCGAGCGATTGTCCTTCTCCGATGAAATCCCATGCAGCCTTCTCCGCCAGGGTTTTGCTCTTATGGTAGGCCGGTACGGCCACCTCGCCATCTATGACGGACCAGTCCTCTTCGTTGAAAGAATGTTTGCTTTTATGGCCGTACCCTATGGCGGCAAAGGACGAGGTCATGATGACGCGCTTCACTCCAGCATTGCGGGCGAACATGAGGACTCGGAGAGTGCCTTCCTTGGCTGGACGGATCACTTCATCCTCGTTTTTGGGATCTGAGGAAGGGAATGGCGAGGCAACATGGTGCACGAAAGTACAGCCCTGCATTGCTTCAGGCCAGCCGTCATCCACGGTCAGGTCGGCGACGAGGAAGGTCAGCCTGTCCGCAGTGTCCACCCCTGCATCGAGGACCGCCTGTCTAGCTCCGGCTTCTTTAGATGAGGATCGAATAGTAGCACGCACCGTGTAGCCGTCAGTTATGAGTTTGGCGATTAGGTGGCCTGCTAGGAAGCCGGAACCCCCCGTGACTAACACGGTTTCCGTACCCTTGACGGAGGTCGAGCTAGGTTGATGCATCTCTACTAAAGACATAAAGACATATAACGATGCTTGGTGGCAAAGAGGGATGGATGGTAGAGAGGGAGATTATGGACCATGATTCGAAAATAAGACATTCCACGCCTAATTATACTTTCTTCAAACCTCCATCCATCCTGGCTTCTCCGGTGACGGCACCGGCCCAACCTTGGCCACGATAATCTCAAGCCACCAATCAGGTATCCACCACAGAGTGATGACAGCAAGCTAGCCACAAACATATGTTGATGACAGGGTACTAACCAGAAACGTCATTGGCCTATGGGTTTCCGTGACTGGACATAACATTCATGCGAAAAGGATACTTCTATGCTTACCCTCTGTTTTCATTTCGACACCTTAGCAGCAGTTTTTGAATTTTACTTCATACCAAGCGTCCTGATAGTACCATGACATCACAGACCCCCACGAGCAGGGGAACATCTAGGAATATGCTCTCAATCCTGATCATCCCCGCTGCGTCCGCGCTTCCCTCGATTTACACCAAGGTTGTTTCAGAAGTTGCAGCGCATGGTTATGATATCAAGGCCCTGCACATCCCCAGTGTCGGCCTCCCCGGTGGCCCTAGGCTGGGTGACCCTCCAAGCATGTATGATGACGCAGCGTTCATAGCATCCCACATCGCGGAACTCGCAGACGCAGGGAGGGATGTTCTACTCGTCACGCATTCGTACGGAGGTACACCAGCAACCGAGTCTGTCAAAGGACTAAGTAAGATAGAGAGAACCAAGAACGGTTTACCAGGCGGGGTTATAGGTCTTGCGTACATGACCTCGCTGGTACCAGAAGTGGGCAAGCCTGCCTCAACCAAGTCGCTGAGTCCTCTCATGGAAACTGACGTTTGTTGCCTCAACCCAACACTGGACTTTCTCATCACTAATGCAGACTAGGAAGACGGCTGGTTCTACTATCCAGACAACAAACTAGTTGCAAACATAGTCTTCTCGGATCTTCCGCAGGAACAAGGCGAAGCGCTTGCCACGCAATTGGTTCCCCATTCAGAAGCTAGCTTTCGCTCTCCGTTGACCTATGCCGGCTACAACGATGTGCCAGTGTGGTACTTGGTTGCTGAAGGCGATAAATCCATCTCCCCGGAAACTCAACGATCACAGATCTCCATGATTGAGCAAACAAGCGAGAACAAGGTTGACGTTGCAGTAACCGGCGCCGGTCATGTCCCGCCAGTCACTGCGCCGAAAGATGTCAGCGACTGGATTCTTGCTGTGGTGTCGAAACTGGGCGAGGGGCAGGCAGAAACAACTTGAGTGTCATAGTTCAACAACGAGAGTTGACAAGAGGGTAGAGCGAGATGTTTTAGAATAGTTGCTCCTAATCGACAGATCGTTAAAATAGCTCAAAGTTGATCAAATAAAGAGATAAGCTTGTCTGGCACTCTAGATCAGGGGGCAGCTCGTGGCATCATTACAAGGATGCTGGACCTCAGTCCAGCCACTCGTATCGACCGACCTCCAAGCGGCCAAGAAATGAATTCAGGTTACTAGCGCCTCTACTGACGACAAAGAAATGTTAAAGATCTGAAATTGGATCCTTCTGTTCTTTTAGGTGTCCCTTAAGCCTCTGCGTGCTGTTCAGGGGATTGCAGGTTCAGATAATCTTCGTCAGGGCTTGGCCAAGTATCACTCTCAACCCGCTCTACCGACTTATCGTCAATACATCGACAATCCCAGCCGCTGGTAAGATGTAACAATTTCTGTTCTGTGAGTATCACTAATAACAAGTCTCAGGTTTTGGCGCCTAAAGAGATACCGGGCTTAATTTCTCTGACTTCAACTCCTTGTTAATTCTGTCATTACATCCATCAGGATCTGTACAGCCGCCTCGGAGATCTCTGCGACTGGGTCAGTGTGCTAGTCACTGAAGGAAATTCAAGCATCACTTACGATAGTGGATCACCAGGCGGTCTCTATTCAACGTAATGCCTTTCTCCTTGCCCTTGGCAATAACGTCCGCAAGTCCAAACTGTTGCCCTGTAAAGTCCAGCCAGACCATGTTGGTTTCCGTCGGGTACAGCAGGTTCGCGCCGCAAGCCTCCCAGTGTCGACCTATCCTAGACGCAACCTCGTGCGTCTTGGCTAGCTTCTTCCCTTCAAACGTGTCGCGAACCGCGACAAATGCAGCCTCTGTCAACAGCCCGGGTTGTCTGATGCCCCCGCCGATGCTCTGCCTGACCCACCGCGCATGGCGGATGGTAGCCTTGTTGCCCAGCACGATTGCGCCAGCGGGTGCGCCGAGGCCCTTGCTGAAGCACATGGTCACCGTGTCGAAGAGCGAAGCGTAGTCCGCGAGCGAGCTGCCAGTCGCGGTCACAGCCTCCCACAGCCGCGCGCCGTCGAGGTGGACCTTGATCTCGTTGGCGTGTGCAAACTCGCAGATGCGGCGGGTCTCGGCAAGTGGCATGACCATCCCGCGCAGCGTGTTCTCCAGCGCAATGACGCGTGTCGGGACCGCGTGCACCTTCTCGCCGTGCCCGAGCTTGACGTGCGGCAGGATGTCCTCGAGGGTGAGGTACTTGCCGTTGGACGGCCGGACGGGCTGCGGGACGGCACCCGAGAAGGCGAAGACGCCGCCTGTCTCGTTGTTCAGGAAGTGCGCGCGCTCATCGCAGATGATGCTGTAGGGCGGCTGGGTGAGGAGGGTGCGCAGGGAGACAAGGTTGCCCATGGTACCGGAGACGACCCATAGGCCGGCCTCGTGGCCAGCCATGGCGGCGACGTGCTCCTCGAGCTTCTTTGTGCTCGGGTCGGAGTCCTGGATGCCATCGAGAAGGCTGGCGTAAGTAATGGCCTCGAGCATGGCCGGGGTTGGGCTCGTGCGGACGTCACCTGGCAGGTTAGTACAGGGCTGGCAACCTTCTGTGAATGTATGGGCTGTTGGGCTTACTCCGGAAATCGTAGGCTGCGCCGCCCGGACTGAGCCACTCGTTGTGCCGAGACTCAGCACTGGCCAAGGGTTGTCCGCCAGCATTCGGGACTTGGGAAGCCATCATGGGGCTTGATCACTGGCAAGACTCGTTTGTTGTCGGAAAGTTACAGGATAGATAGGTTCTGAGTCTCACTTGTGAGTCTGCTAGGTTGCGTGACTGAGTCTAGCTTTAGTGACCTGAGCTTTTGCTTGTGATGGCTGAAAAGCGGAGGTGGCGGTCCGTCAGGAACAGAGGTGGGGCAACCGGACCTTCCATGATCTGTACATGGATCCGCGCTGTCATCAACTTGATGCTGTAGAAAATAACGGGAGAGCCCCCGGATTCCATGGAACTTCCACCGGGGTCAGAAGTTCAATTGGTGGACAGCGAGGGGCATTCGAAGATGCCTCACATGCAACGGTAACAGTTCCGAAGCATCGACTCATCTGTCCAGCACTTGACAAACGTACTTAACATGTCAAATACGGTGAATATCCTCACTGTGTGATGCCTTTTATGGATGTACATTGAGACTACCTGGTTTTTAAGAAGTCTTGTTGTCGGTTCAAATGCCGTAACAATACCAGTCGTCCTCTTTGCTATATCAGTCCCCACGAAATCCTCTCGTTGGATCATCAGTCGTATTTCGGCTTTCAAGAGAATTCATGTCAAGTGGCTTGACGGACTCTCCCGCACGGTTCAGGCAGTCTGATCCAGCAGGATATAAAGATTTGCAATCCGTTCCGGGCTGGGGAGCGAACTTCGTTGCTTGGGGCATTATGCAGTCTACCCTGTCTAGTAGCTTATATCGAGTACGTGACACAACCATGGCTGGTAGGACAACATCAGAAAACTTGGGCTTAAGCTATACCGCATCCGAAGGACACATGAGTAGCCAGGCCGGTATTTCTTGTATTCACCTTCATGTTTCTTACCATTGGCCCACAAGAGGCTATTGTTGCTCAGTGTTGATGCTTGAAATCAGTGAGTAGTTGGAGTTCTCACTAACAATTTTTACGGCGCTAGGAGTGCTCCGGCTTCTATCATCACCACCGGACCGCGTAAATGTGGGCGGTAGGGTTTACTAAATGCCTATTGGACCAAGCAAATTTTTAGGTAACAAAATGCGGGGAAAGGATGATAACTACACTGCTTGTCGCGTGGTGATGCACCGAAATTCTCCGCCTCTGGCCTCGGCCTTCTCCAAAAAACCGCTCCCCTTCTGAGGCAACCCCGGACTTCGACTCTACGTAACCCACGTGCCGGGATCCGACGCCGACGATCAATTGAAGCTGGCTCTCCTCCTTCTTTCTCTGCACGTCTATCCCTGCTTCGCCGCCCAGCGGTATCGTCGGAGGGGGCCTCGGCTCATCCTCCCTCTCTCCGTCACCGGCCATGGACGGCAAGAAACGCATCTCGTATGGCGCAACCCAGCCCCATCGTGGATATCTTGCGTTGGCTAACACGTTATCTGTCTCAGCTGTCGACGCTGCCAACTTCGTAAAGTACGTCTTAATCCAAGGACCGTGAAGTGGAGCGTTGCATTGCTAATCATCCATAGTTGAAATGTACGCGGGTGCATCCCTGCGCCAACTGCGTCAGCAGCAGCAGCGAGTGCTCATTCCGGGACGATGACACTCGCCGTCGACCCGTCAACCGTGCATATGTTGCAGCCCTCGAGGAACGGCTGGCCTCATACGAGGCTACCATCCGCTCCCTGCAGCAACAATCACCGTCCAACCCCCCATCCCAGAGCTCAACCAGTCTGCTGGCCCAGACACCCGGGACGTCCGTGCCTGTTGCAGGAACCGCTGTACCAGACCTGATATTTGACTACAGCGGCTCCTCTAGAGTATCAACTCTGACCCTGCAACCAAGTCCGCAAGGTTCGTGCATCAGTGACTTCGGGAGTGCCAAGTTAGCGAGCTCACAACGGATCAGGCCACCGGTCTTTTTACGGCCCAACTAGTATATACCAAAAGGGCTGTGTCACAGATGGCAACAACAACGACGGCAATCGCAGAGATCAGCCACCCCCGACGATCAATGCCTATCAGGATATCTACCTCTCAGGGATCTTCAAGCTCGAGGACCTTGTACTCAACGACTCTCTGTCCATGTTCTTTCGGCATCTGAATGCCGAGTGTCCCTTCATCGATGAGACGGCTCTCGTGCAGGACTTCACCCGTAACAAGCACATGGGCAAGTTCTGGTCATACCCGCTCCTGTATGCTATCTGTCTGCTAGGCGCAAGGATATCACGCGACCCTCAGGTGTCAGCCACTGTCGACCCGCTCAAGCGATGCGTCCACAAACTCCTGAGCTTCAAGCGACTCCAAAGTCCGCATATCACCATCGTCCAGGCCTTTTTCTGTCTTGCATTGTTTGAATTTGGCGCCGGCAACAATAGCAAGGGATGGCTCCTCTCAGGTGCGTATAGTCGCTCATGGGTCAAGAACTCAACTGACCATTTCAGGAATGGCTGTCCGTATGCTCCAGGACATGGGACTTCATCAAGACCCACGATTCCTGGTTCAGGACGACTCAAGCATCAGCCTCGCCCAGGACTCACAGATGCGGAGAAAGGTCTTTTGGGGCTGCTATGTGACCGACAAGTAAGTATCATATATCGCCGTAGAATCGCCGTCCTTTGCTAACAGCGCGCAGGGTCATCAGCTTGTATTTCGGCCGTCCTGTGCATCTGCGGCACGACGATGCGGCCGTAGACTTCTTGGACCCAGAGGTCTGTCAGTATGTTTCCCTCCGCAGCTCTCTGTGTAGTGAGATCCAAAACTAACATCTATCTAAGAGCTGAGGCTGAGAGGGGTCCTGAACTCGCAGAAGTGGACTCGCCTCTATATACCCTATTAGACAACTCGATCCCTTCATCGATCTTGCTAATCCATCTAGCGGATCTAAGCAGAATCATCGAGTCGATGATGGCAGATGTTTTTTCTACTCGACTGATCAAGCTGCCAAGGAAGGACCTAGTTACTCACAGAGTGGCAAAGCTTGAGGAGCTGAATCTTCGACTTTTCCAATGGCACACAGCCCTGCCCGAGACATTCGCTTGGAACCAATGGACACCCACCACTCAGACTTTGCCGCCTCAGCTGACGATTCTTCAGTAAGATGAAACCCTTTCCTCGTTGATCAACAGTCTTTCCATAGCTTACTGACAACTGTCATGACGCAGCGCATTGTATCATAGCTGTATTATATCGTTGAATCGGCACTTCATCCGGCCAACTCCCGGGTTTGCGCGCAAGACTCAGTCTCGAGACATCTGCATCAGTTCTGCTGACAGTATCATGGCCATCACTCGGCACTACCGAGCTCAGCATTCCCTCGCAACCGCACCCTTGGTCTTGGTTTACAGCCTTGCCATGGCAGCGACGGCGGTCACGTTTGCCCTTGACAGTTCCGTGTCGCCCCATGATCAGTCAGCAGAACTCGCGCAGCACATGAACTTTCTTGTGAAGACACTCAACGAGTGCTCCAAGACATATGAGGTGGCTTCCCACATAAGCGAGAGGCTAAAACGGGGACCGCAGAAGAAGAAGAATGCACAGCGGGAGGAGGAAGATGAAGAAGAGGGGGGAGAAGAGGGTGGAGAAGAAGAGGAGATTACTCCATCCTCACAAGATGCAGATGCGGATGTCCACGACTGCTTGCAGCCAGCGCAAGTATTACCAGAAACCGTCATTCCCGAAGAAACGCTCCAAGTGCCCGGTGCGGAAGCGTGGGGTACTTCGTGGTGGAACGACGGCGTAATGGGATTCGCGCAACCTGACAACATGGAAGGCCAGCTGGATGTTTTGTTGACCTCGGGAGACCAGGAAGGAGACATGATGGCCAACTTTAACTGGAGCAATATGATGATTTAGAATAATCCAATGCAGTAGTAATTGATCATGAGCAGCGGAGCATTGGCACCACATTGAGTCCATTCCATTCCATCCCCTCTGCAAACCGAGATTGACGCCAGGGAACGACTCTCAAAAGATCTGAGGCTGACATAATTAACTCGGCAAGGGACATAGATACCTTGGTTACAGTAGACTAACCCAAGTAGGAAGGAATACCTAGGTCAAACTACACACTTCGCAGAGATGCAATTTGGAGGCATAGTTACCCCAGAGCCAGGGAAAAGAAATTTCTTCAGCAAAGAAGAGCCGATCCGATCTAGCCGGTGGTCCCCTCAAATTGAACGAGGATAGTCCACTACATCCCCTTTCTCCCATGCGGTACATTTCCAGGTCCTTCCGAAGAAGGCAAACTACTCCGAGGTAATGTCTATCCCCAGATCTTAACAAAATGTAGAGGTGACCACGGCAGATTGTGTGGAGCTGCGGGACTCTCCGTGCCCGGCTTGGCATAAAAGCCTTGATTATTTCCTCATTTCCACTGAAGGAGCCAACTAAGCATATCTGTCTGTACTGTTCGACAAACATGACTATCAAACTGACTATCAAACTAGCTCTGGCTGCGTTCGCAGCACTCCAACCCCTCGGGACTCTCGGATTCTACCGCCCCGCTGGAGAGGTCGGTCTTCTAAGCACGAGCCAAACCGTCAGTATCTACTCATTGCCCCTATTTCATCCAAACGATGCCCTGACAGTTCACCAGAAACAAGGGCCGTTACCAGATGTGAACCTCACAAGCTCTATGCTTGCGGGCACTGGCAACCCCATGAACAGTGTCCTGTACACTTCGTACCTCACAGCTGAGAATGGCCATGAATACTTTGCTATTGCTTGCCACTGTACACAAGGTCCGACTCACTTGTACACCTATGTCTCGCTACTGGACATCACAACATCCCAATACTATGGGGTCAATAACTTCATCGAGGGTATCATGCCTAACGAAACCTTCAACCTCCAAGGCGGTGATCTGGCTTTCTCATCCTCGAGCTCCGATATAGTCTCCAACATGCAAGTTACCAGTACAGTACCAAATGCTGGATTCAATCTATCCGTACAAGCCCAGGGCCCTGGCCTCTACTACGCCGGCTCTGGCATATTCTACTGGGGCGGCGGAACGAACCATCAGTGGGCCAGTCCCCTCTCTCGCGTTAGTGGAACCATCACTGTCAACAATGCAGAAGTGAGCATCATCCCGGATAAGTCAGTGACATGGATGGACCGACAATGGGGTACCGGAGTCGCGTACAACGGATGGAACTGGTTCAATGTTATCCTGGAAAACGGGATGACTATGGGTGTTTGGCATTCAAAGCCGATCAATGGAACGACCTCATTCGATTCATTTGCGACAGTACAGTTTCCTGATGGTCATCAAGAGGTCCACCAACTCGACAATGACATCCATGATGCCAACCCATGGACTTCAGACGTGACGAATCTTACATACTACACCGAATTCGAATTGAACATCCCAACGCTGGAGGCTGTTATACGTGCGACCGTTCCGGTAAAGGGAGCTGGGGAGATGACGGTGCAAGGTGAACCGATACCGTCCCGGACCTTATTCGAGGGATTTACCGTGTACTCGGCGAACATACGTGGGAAGTGTGTTAAAGGCTATGGCCTAACCGAGCGGCTATTTCAGATCGCCTAACATCTGTCAAATGTGCTCCTCAGTGCACAGCGGAGCAGTCGACCACAATCAGACAGATGTGCATGGATATATACAGAGAAGAAAGCAGGTACCTCGCCCACTGCTCAGCATTCCTTTCGTAAGCTTAATTAAAGCGGTTTGGGATTTTGTTTTTCGACCTTCTGAGGCTCACATATCAATCACGACACATCTACATGATAACTCATCTAGACCTGAAATCTCAACGACACTATTTGGGAACTCTACGGCCCGCAGCATGTGTAGACACAGTTTGGATATTTTGGAACGATTGAATTAGGGTAATTATCCTATAGAAGTCTACCTTGAGCTTCCAAATTGCATCCCAGCAGTGAATCGAGAGGAATCTGATGTTCAGGACCAGTTTGCCAACACCCTCATACTTTGGCTCGTAGGCGAGTTAATTCCATGGCCATCATTGACTCTGGGTATCTATGAGACCGCTCCCTAGTATACAACACACCTCAATGTAACCTTTGACCCCCCCTTAATGTTACTTATACATATAGACGACCTAAGGAATCGAAACATTCAAGCTGACCTTACACCCTGTACGCAACGCAGCTTTTCATCTCAAATATCTTATTCCAAACAACTAATGGAAATTGCAAAATCAGAGGTCGTTAATGTATCAGAATCGCCCTCGCAGTTGATTAGCTCATCATATGATAGCACATCGAATGGCTCCATGAAGAGTTGAGCTTCGTTCGGATCAATCAGGCTGGGGAACCGGCCATCGCCCTCACTCGACTTTGTCACCTCAGGAAAGCTCGACAGTAGCTCCTGTGCAATAGTCTCTTCGTCTTGGTTGGAAGGATTTTCATCTTCGGTAATAAGAATATCTTCAAGGCACACGTGTCCGCGGAGTTGACTCTGCGAGCAATTTTTTCCTTTCGGCTGAGAATATCTTTTCGGAGAATTGGAGGGTGGCATAGCGAGCAGTTCGAAATCGCAGGAGTCTCGACTGACTGGTTTTCGTGGCCTTCTATCCGCGCATGGCCAATACAAGGCGAGCTCTCGCACAGGGCCTGCCTCAGGCCTCAAAACTCCTCTAAGGCTAACAGGGAAGTCCCTATCCTCGGGGATTCTGAATTGACTTAGGCTTAGGACAACAGTCAAGGTCAGGACGAGACAGAAGGTCGGCTCCTTAGCCGAGAGATCAGTCCAGCTAGCCACTGAGCTTCTCGGAACGAGAGATAATTGAGGCTGGGCAAGGTCGACCACATAGTGCAGAGTAAAGCTTATCCACTCAACACCATCGTAGCGCAATCGATATTCTTTGATGGTATTGATAAGCACCTGAAGGCGGTGGTGCCTTGATTTGATGTCGGCATTGAGATTCTCAGAATAGAGAAATTTGGCATCAAGGAGGTGAAAGAGCAGTGGGATGGATATCAATGCCAACCTGCATTGATTAGCTTGATTGCGGACACGGCCCTGGCTGTCTACTTACGCGCTAATCGGTAGATAACGAGTAAGGTCCAGTTGAGTGAGCTCCTCGCAGCATTCTACTATGCCTAATGCTGCTTCTTGTATCTCGTGACCCCGTTCGGAGTTCCGAGGCAAACCTTGAGTGGGTGTCTGAGGTTGAGAGTAGTTGAGAAGTGCTTCTTGGCGGCTCAGGAGTGATATGCAAGCACTGCAGTCCTCAATCATCAGCAATGTACCGGCTAATCCCGAGATATAATGAAGGGTTTGAGGCCACGTACTAGTAGAAGATATACATATGGTTCGTATGAACAATCGTGGAGTGGTGGCGGAGCCCACAGTTGGCCGTATCAATCTCAATCTTGGTTTGCACGAACCAGTCTCGCAAGGAGACTCTGCATTCCATCAAAGTGCTTTCGTTTTGATCCTGGAGATCGGTATGGTCATATGACGGCCCTAAATGTAAAAGTTTAGGTAGGATGTTGCACAGGTGCATGACCCTCATAAAGATGAGAACCATTGACCGCTGCGTTTTGGAGTCGATAACTTCAGATTGGCCAATATCGCCGTCAAAGTCTGATATGGAGAGTATTGGCTGTGAGTTGGCGATCAGGGGAGTTCGCCTCAAGCCTACCGACAAGACGCGGTCGCGGACCACACAACACCACCAGAGTCTCCTGAGCATTCGATACTCGTGCTCCGGTCGAGAATCAGCCGTGACTACGCTCACAGGTGGTTCCCAGGCGAGGTGGGCATGCGCAGCCCGAGCGTGTTGGATCGCAATCTGATGCCATATGGCATTCGGCTGTACCGGGGTCGGGTCGGAAGTGCACCATAACGACATCAGCACTGCAGCCTGAGCGACCACAATGGATGCTTTCTCAGTAGAAAAGTCATAAAGCAGCTTATGGAGGTCAGTTATAGTAGGCGGTTTAGGCAAGATGGGGAAGGCACTTGTCATACCTTTGACTTGTGGTAAAATGCTGCCCTCGCTGAACGAATGCCAGCGTATCCCATAGACTTGATTACCAGTAGTGGCAAGTACTTGATAGTTATCTAGTCAGATACCAAAATGGATCAAGAGCAACTAAAGACTGCCAACTTACACTGGAAGACGCAAAGATCATGGCCTGGAACAATAAAAGGGGGATCTTGCCACCGGCGCCTGCCGGCTTATCTTGGCGATATGTGTTCCAAAATTCACCCTCATCGATCAAGGGGTAGATTGGATGTACGTGCAAGAAATAATGACGTAGGAACTCATCTAGCACTGGTTTCGCAGGGATAGAAAACGCTCCTTTGAGCTTGAGAAATGCAACATCTTCTGAAGAGAGATCCGCCAAGCTGCCGATAGTGAGGAACGGATACGACGAGTAGGGGACCATTACAGGGTCAGGAACCAATCTGTAGCCGCCGACCCCTTGACGGTGTAGTAAAATTGAGACCTCTTCGCCAGTTGGGGAGGTGCCGGAGCCATCATGTAGTGTAGAGTAATTGGGACACGAGGGAGCAGGCAGTGTCTCTTGACCAGAGGTACCATCTGATGTTAAGAAAGAAACCTGCCGCGGAGTGATTTCATGACCAGTGTCTGCTTCTATAACACTTGATGGAGATGGCTGCCGAATGGTTTGGCCATGGTTGTGGTTGCCTCTTGAAGCTGATGGTGTGTCCGCTGCCATCTCTAGCTCGTCGTCGAATAGCTCCATCGACAACCCCCAAACCGGTGGTTCGGACTCGCACTCTTCTCTCGACGGGAGGACATAGCTGTCAAACATGTGCTGTATGCCTTCGCTGGTGGGGAGTGGCCTGGAGCATCCAGTTGTTAGCTTGATCTTTCCTTCTGACCTGCCTTTTGCTTGACAGTACTCACCTCCTGGACGCTCTGTCTTTGACTTCGCAGCTTTTGCAGTCAAGCTGGCAGTTTGTGCATGGTACACCCCTCATTGTCACGTCACACCGAACTTTCCGATGTCGACATCCAATGCAGGCCTTCCTGGAACGTCGGCGACCCTTGACTAAAATCGCGCTGCGGCCTTTGGGCGGCGCTCCAGCGGCGGAATGTACCGTTTCTGCACATGTAGGAGAAAGACGCGAAGCCATGAGGACGGTAATAGAGTAGTGGCAGAACTACCAAGCATAACGGTGCTGGGAATAGACAAGTTGAGGTTGTATGCGTGCGGTATGGAAGATGTGTGTTTGAATGGTCCTGGACCAGTGAGCAGCCCCTGCCAGAGAGGGAAAGACGGCACTGGGAACAGATGAATAGTAAGAAAATGCTAGATGCGGCTCAACCAGGAGGCTTGATCTCGGATTACGAAGATTGAGTCCCCAGTGGATACTCGATATCCGTAATCCCCAGCCGTGCGTTTGTTCAGACGAGATGAGTGCCGCCCGGGTCCTCCGTACTCTGGAGACACTGACGAGCTACCCCACGAAATGCCCTCGGTATAAGGTTCCTGTTCTGGAATAGTGCTTCGACCAACCCCGCACTCCGTGTTCATGGGGCTCCCGGCGTTCCGGGGACTTACACCTAAGCCCCATCTTGGAGGTTCGTCCACAGGCACTAACAAACTAGCCTACCACGTGTCTACGACCGGGTAGGTGGTGACGAAGGCCAATATTCCAGATGGAGTCGTTTCCTACGCCAGACTGAGTTCAATGTGATCTGTAGTCAATCTCGGCGCCAGGTATAGTTGCCTAAATGGTCCAAACCCAACGGAGATGGAGATGCTGTGTCGAATTCTGCTAAGGTTTCGCCCCTTGTATTGCGGTCTGTGCATACGATCGTCACCCGGGCAATCCGTCCAACAAGTACCTGGTTGCTTTTACGCTCCGTTGAGTTTCTGAAGGTTATCTTTTCTTGATTGTGTAGCTGTGTCCTCTGCGATCGTATAGATTGGGAGGAGTATCAGAAGTAGCTGTGCAACGGAGATACCGTCTCAAGCAACTTGACTCAATGCTTTGGTGCAGTCGATGCGGATTTTGTCAAGCTCAAAAGCTTTACCTCAATTCCATGTTTCCGTCCACCGTGGTGTAACGAGGTGGGCACAGGGTGTACTGCGTCTACTGTTTGTTATTCATAGCGTTAATGAACGATCAAGTCGCGCGTACGTTCGCGGTAGGCATACCGAGGGGTGTCGGTACAAGTGTGGGGCCCTGGGATATTATTATGGCATCGGATGGAAGAAATACATAAACTTAGAAGTCGCGCCCACGGTGAGAGTCGAATCATCTTCGTTGGAAAGATCTTGCTCATTAAACAGATGGACCAATTTAAATTCCTCATACTCTCGATAGAAGACGGTGTTGGCATTATCCAACTGAACCACCCGGAGAAAAGAAATGCCCTTGGCTGGGAACTCCATGACGAGATCATCCGCGCTCTCGCGCTTTGGGTCGAAGACGACAAGGTCGCCGCTGTTCTTTTCGTGGGAAATGAAGAGTACTTCTGCTCTGGATGGGCTCTCGACATCCTCAAAGGAACCGACAAAGGGGGGAACGAGCGAACCAAGTTCGTCGATCTGGCTTATAAGCTGATGATCACCATCTACGACTATCGGAAGCCCACCGTTGCTGCAGTGGCTGGTACCGCCCCAGGCTATGGCATGGACCTTGCCAATATGTGCGACGTGACAGTGGCCTCGGAGAACGCTCGGTTCGGCTCTACACAAGTCAAGTACGCCATGAACGGCTTTTATTTTGGCATGGTGCGAAAGATTGGCCCGCAGAAGGCTCGACGCATGCTATTTACAGGCGACCCAATCTCCGCACAGGAGGCTTATCGCGTTGGCTTGGTCGACGAATTGGCACCTGTTGGAAAGGTCCGCGACACTGCGCTTCGACTCGCTAAACACATTGCTGAAGCCGGACCGGAGATGACGACCGTGCTTAAGGAGGTGGCGCTGAGGGCTAATAACATGGACCACGTCGGAGCTACTGCCTACGAGCTTCGGGTGACTGCTGATCTCGTCCAGCGAAGCCAATTCACCAGGATGATTCATGAGGGAGTTGAGAGAATGAAGAATAAGAAGAGTCGAGCCACTGAAAGGCTGAAGCTATGATCGTATCTTGCATGTAACTTGTCTATAAATTCGTTTCAAAAATGAATGATTGTTTATCCAGCGCGAAACCTGCACCGTCGTGTCTCGAGAGAACAAAAGTGGCAAAATGGGCCGAGGCAATTCTGGGGGCGTGTGAGAGCTCCATTTCCCAAGGGACACTCCTCAGTATTGCACAAAAGCGTAACCGATTCCATGATTGTCAAAGTTCGAGTGTCTCTAGCCAGCAGCTTTTCTCGTCAAAGATTCCAACTCGCTGCCCTGCACACACCTCTGCCCCCCCAATGGGTCCTCCAGCAATCCAGTATTTTTCGGTTTCCAAGCCGCGGGAGTATGTTGCACATGTCGAAATCAATCGCCCTGAAAAACTCAACGCTTTTATCGATGCGTAAGGAAGCACTGCCCGCTCACGACCGCGATTTTAACTGACATATTTCCCTTTTCGAAATTTTAGCATGTGGCTTGAGATGAAAGCAGTCTTCAGCCAGCTCTCAGGTGACCCCTCGGTGCGTGCAATTGTCTTCTCTGGTGCTGGGGAGAAAGCCTTCTCGACAGGTCTTGATCTTAAAGCTGCATCTCAAGAGGGTTCCATGTTCATCCCTAGACCGCAAGACATTCCGGATGCCGCCAGACATGGGTTCGCGGTTCGCAAGTGGATCATTAATATCCAAGATTGTGTCTCCAGCATCGAACGCTGCGAGAAGCGTAAGGTTTCCGCCAATCTTTAAGTCTCTGCCATTAAAACTAGGCTGACATGTGTTTGGTCCTGCTAGCGGTTATTTGTGTTCTTCATGGAACGTCCTTTGGGTTGGCTATCGACATCGCGACGTGTGCGGACTTGAGAATATGCGCCGCCGACACAATGTTCAGCGTGAAGGAGGTCGACGCTGGGCTGGCAAGCGATGTTGGTACCTTGGCGCGTCTGCCAAAACTTGTTGGCTCGTCTTCATGGATCAAGGATGTTTGCTTGACTGCAAGGGTGTTCGACGCGAAAGAGGCCTTACAGGTAGGGCTGGTAAGCAATATCCTTACGACAAAGGCCGAGGCGATACAAAAGGGACTCGAAATCGCCGAAACAATTGCCTGCAAAAGTCCAGTTGCCGTTCAGGGAACTAAAAATTTTCTGGACTGGTGCCGAGACCACGATATCACCTCTGGTGAGCAAACTCCAACCGCAGATTTCGCTCATCTCTGTTTTTGTGCTAACTGATGATCGCCTGAAAGGACTAACCTACATGACCGTCTGGAATTCTGGAGCCTTGAATACTCGTGATGTGCCTTTGGCATTGAGATCGCTGCTGAACAAGGAGAAGACTCCAAGATACGAGAAGCTGTAGAGTCGTCTTGACAGAAGTACTACATAACTATAACACTTTCACAGCAAACCTGTCCATCAATGCAATATTTCAATTTGTAAACAAAGGAATCACATTGCTACAGTTTTTCAGATGTTTACAGTTTTGAAGAAGCAGCTAGGGCTTTGATTTCCTCCTTGTAAAGCTTCAACAACTGCCTGACAGCCAAGTCGAGAAGGATGTCTTCTGAACCTCCAGGCACACGTGTCAGATACACCTCGCGCGAAATCACTATTTAGTCAGCATGGTTAACCGAGTTGAGAGGCAGATGATGTTTGACTTACTCTCAACTAGCTGACCTTGTCCAGTTTGCGTGACGCTATTTCCGCCAAGCAGCAACTGCGCCTGCTCCGCACACAGGGCGTACAGCTTCCCCGCCCTTACTTTGGCGAGGGCTGTTTGGCCTCCAAGCAGTCTGTCAGCTTCTTTCTTTGGCAGCGTATTCATCGCATATGTGATTTGCTCGATCCAGGACCATTGTGCCTCGAGGTCGGCTCCCGCTGTTGCGAGCCGATGTCGGACTATTGGCTGGTCGATCAAAGTCTTGCCAAATGCTTCCCGCTTCATGACGTAGTCGAAAGCAGTGCCGAGAAGCTTTCTGGACTGCATGGTTGCACTGATCGCGAGACTAAGTCTCTCGTGGTTGAAGTTGGTCAGGATATACTTGAAGCCTTGTCCCTCGGTGCCCAAGAGGTTGTTCGCATCAACGAGAACATCCTCGAAAGTAATATACGTTGTGCCTCCGATACCACCGCCAGATATTTCCATCTTGCGGCAGCTCACACCGGGGGTGTTTTTAAGAGGGATTACAAGCAGTGACAGTCCTGCAGCTCCGGGGCCTCCTGTTCTGACGCCAGTCGTCGCATAGTCGGCCCAGATGCCGGTCGAGATCCTACCCTAGGAAGTCAGATTAGAGTATGTTGGGAAGATCGAGGTACAGACCATTTCTTTGACCCATTGACTAGGTAATGTTTCCCGTCTGGCGTCTTGACAGCCGTGGTCTCAAGATTGGCAACATCAGAGCCCCCGCTTGGCTCGGTGATGGCGATGCAAGATCTTGTACGGCCGTTCAGCAAGTCGGGCAGAAGTCGATTCTGTAGCTCCTGGCTTCCAAAGTTATATATCGGTGGGACGCCAAAAGCAATCCCCGGAATGACGACAGAAGCTGGACCCCATAGTCCACAGTGGTACAGCTAGGTTGGTTTAGACGAGAAATATGTGAGAGCTCGCATTGGCGGTTAGCTCACCTCCGCAGTGTAAATAAGATAATGAAAATAGTCAAAGTCCCGAATTTTTAATCCTCCTGGCAGTTCTGTGATACCAGCTGCCTCGAGCTGCTTGACTGGCAGCGGGGCTGGAAGGCATGGCACAATGAACCCTGCTTTGGCAAAAGCCGAAAATAACCCAGAGGGCGCAGTGCCTTCCTGCTGCCATTGCAGTCCGTCTTTGAAGTACCCACTGATAAACGACCGGCAAGTCTCTTGCCATTTGCGATGAGACGCATTGTAGTATGGGGACGGGACACCGGTAAGCCAGGGAGCCTCTGAGAACGGGAGTGAAGCCATAGCCAAGAGAATATCGAATGTCTTGAGAATCCGTAAGTTAATAATCTAGGGGTTTCTTGAGGGGCTATTCGCTTTGGTAACGGTCCAGCTGGGGGTATCTGCTGGATCATTAATATTCATGGGGTTTCATAGGTGGTTGGTCTGGCTAACCTAATAATAGCTTCTCTTCCTCGGCCGGCCTTCCAAACCAGTTTCTCGTAGCCGCGGACTTCCAAGCCGTTATTAGTGCCAGCCCACACCCTCCCCATTCTTTTCTTGCCCGAGGCCCCCCTGCCATATTGGGAAGTCCATGTATGCGTCAGGTGACAAATTTGGCAACAACTTGCCATTAATAATGGCGCCTGAAAATGACCACGAATAAGACGCAAATAATTGTCTCAAATCCATCGCGGAGCTTCATTCGTCTGTGATTCATCACCTCGCAACTATGTCTGTGCCAGAGCATACATACCTCAGCCCCGTTTGGCGGGACGGGATATTCAGCAAGCCTTCCGGTTCTTTCGGTCAAGCAATGTCGTTCTGTGATACTAACTAGGCCCTGCCTTTGTAGAAGACCGTGTTGTTTTCATAACAGGTGGTTCAGGGAGTGTCTGCAGTATGCAGGCAAGGGCACTGGTTCGATTGGGAGCAAACGCTTGTATCGTCGGTCGAAGCGCCAAGGCCCAAGAAGTGGCCAAGCAGATTGCTACAGTCAGAGCTGGCGCCAAAGTTATGGGGATTGGGGGTTGTGATGTGAGAAAGGTACGCAGCCCTGTAGAGCGAGGACAAGCCACAGACTAGGAACTGAGAGAATGCCTTTCCCTCAGATCGAAAACCTACGAGCGGCCGCGGACAGATGCGCACATGAACTGGGAGGCATGGATTTTGTCATGTAGGCATATAATCCTTCTCATAGCTGGTCGAACAGTACTCACGCTTGTCATTTCTCTAGTGCAGGAGCCGCGGGTAACTTCGTTGCATCGATTGAAAACCTCAGCTCCAATGCTTTCAAGACGGTCATGGATATCGATGCGGTGGGTACGTTCAACACCATCAAGGCCACAATGCCTCACCTCTTGCGAAGTCGGAGCCCTCGGATTATCTATATGTCGGCAACATTCTACTTCACTGGGATGCCACTACAAGCTCACGCATCTGCGGCCAAGTCGAGTGTGGATTCTCTCATGGCAAGTGTAGCGCTTGAGTACGGGCCTCGGGGCGTGACCAGCAACGTGATTTCACCTGGTGGTATCACCGGAACCGAAGGCTTGAACCGTTTGGAGAGCGTTGATGAACATGAGCGCGTGCAGTACGCTAGACAGATCCCGTCTGGGCGACTCGGCACCGTTCGAGACGTCGCTGATGCAACCGTGTTCCTGCTCAGTGATGCTGGAAGCTATATTAATGGGCAGGTTCTGGCGGTGGATGGAGCTGCATGGCGGCGACAGGGGGCGATCGGCGTGGGCATAGATCAAAGCATGAAATATCCTGACTTCCTGCTCGACGGGCAAACCTCATCTGGTGTGAAGGAGTCGCGAGGAGGTGACCAGATAGATAAACCTAAGCTTTAATATCGATCAGCTTCTAAACTTATCTTCGGCCATCTCTTTGTGATTGACTCTTCACATGATCTAATTTGTCAAGCTATATATCGGCCTGGATAACATTACAGCTTTGCGGTTGCAACACCCTCAGCAGCCGCCTGTCTGCGAAGGATGCGGCGCAGGATCTTTCCAGACGGACTTTTGGGAATGGAGTCAACAAAGACGATCCCGCCTCGAAGCCACTTATATCTGGCCAGTCGGCCCTTCATGAATAGATCCAACTCTTCTGCAAGAGTATCCTCTGGTCCTCCCATTGTACCCTTGGACCTCTGTACGTAAGCCCTGGGAGCCTCTCCTCTGTGACTGTCTGGGACGCCGATTACCGCACAGTCTACTACCGATGGATGCGTGAGTAAGACATTCTCGAGCTCAGCTGGGACGACCTGGAATCCCTAATGGAAAGTTTAGCGGCTATGTAAATATGTGCGTCAGCACACACCATTGGATTACATACCTTAACCTTGATGAGTTCCTTCACCCTGTCTACGATAAAGATATGCTCAGTGTTGCTAGATGACTGCTTGAATAATCCGATGTCGCCAGTCTTCAGCCAGCGCTCATCCCCATCTTCATGGAAAGTTTCCTTTGTGGCGGCATGGTCGCCCAAATAGCCAAGAATGTTGCTAGGGCTTTTGACCCATATCTCGCCCGCCGTGTTTTGTGCCACAATCTCTTTGCCATCTTTGGCAACAAGCTTGACCTCGCAACCAGTAACGACAGAGCCGGAACTGCCCTGCCACGGATCGTGGGCACTGGTATGACACGCGCATGCGGCGACCTCGGTCAAGCCATACGCCTGGCGAAAGATCCAGTGTGGGTACGCCGCGTCAAACCGAGCAATTGTTTCCTGGCTCAGTGGTGCGCCACCGCTGACAACGGTGCAGACACTGGACAAGTCGTATTGCTGCAGAAGGCCTATATTCTTGCTCATGGCCACTATAATAGGTGGGACCAGGTTGAGCGCTTTGATCTTGTATCGTGTAACGCTCTCGAGCAACATGGCCATGTCGAACTTGGGTAGCACGATGATCGAGTCTCCTCTAAATGTGCTGAGATGGCTGATCATGACGACCCCGTAGATGTGAGAGTGTGGTAGAATGCCAAGGACTGTTTCCCGGATGCTGGGTCCACCGCGGCCTTTTTGTTCGAACAAGGTCATCTGAATGACGTTGGCAATGATATTCGCATGTGTTATCATGGCAATTTTCTAGACCAATCAGTAAAGACGAGGTAAAGAACTAGTAGGGGAACCTTACGGGTGGCCCAGACGTCCCGCTGGAGTGAGAGAGGAAAGCAACCTGTTGTTTTGAACGACCAGGGTTCCACTGCAAAGTCTCAATATCTGGCATCGTGGTCCCCTTCTTCATGAGATCTCCGATCGTTGTGAATCTAGCATGATCACCGAGCGCGTCGAGCCCGTTAGGACCCGGCATATCGCAAATGTAAATTCGATACTCCGGAATACCGATTTTCTTTGCCGCTTCTTGTGCGACCTTTACAAGAGGCAATACCGTAATGATGACTTTGGCTCCAGCTGCGTTCAGGTGGTGTGCTAATTCCGCCGCAGTAAAGGCGGAATTGACAGGCGCGCACACTCCGTTCAGTCGATGCACCGCCCATGTCAAAGTTGGGATATCAATCTAGGTTTGTTAACGGCGGTGACGAGTCTAGGGTCACTTGTACTCACGGTATTCAGGGCAAATATTCCCACAACTTTGTCCAGCGCAGAGCCTTCATTCACCTTCCAACCGAGTTCAGAAGCAAGTCCCCTGGCTAGACTCTCTACTCTAGTCTTCAGCTCGCGTGCAGAGACGACGGTCCCCGAGACACCACATATGTAGGGCGGTAAGGAGGTATCAAACGACGCTCGCCCGTACTTTTCGTCGAACATGAACTCAAAGATGGAGGTGTCGGGCACATGGGGCATTGGTGGAACCCAGGATGGTGCGCTGAACACCATGTTTGCTCACTAGTCAAGGGGAAAATAATGTAAAAACGTTCGAATGCTATACTATGGATGTATCTTTGTTTAGTACAACTTCTTCAGTGTAACACGCGCACGAGAGAGCTTCTCATAGATATGTACCTAGACATGCGTCTGAAATCTCCTTTTGGTATTAGCCCTCCGTGAAGCGCTTGTACTCAAATGGGCCACTCGACCTCGGATCAGCCATCCCGCGCGCCTAAGCTCCATGGAAAATGGGGTTACTTCCGAATGTGTGATGTAATGTCGGGGCATTGAGCGACTTGGCTGCGCAATCCCAACAGCTTTGGCCCACTTCCCCAGACTAGGAAACTCATCCTCGGCTGACATGGAGCCTCATCTATTCGCCCTTCTCCACAGTACAAATGGACCTTTGTTCCGATACCCAGCAGCGGAAAACATCCTTAAAACTTGCTAGTGTATCAGTACAGCCCATGATATTTCAGTACACCTCGGTACTAGAGATCACATAAAAGACCAAGCCACTGCTTCACCTATCAAGGCCATAGGTTATCTTTACAGCCATCTTCTCTCTTTGAGAAACACCATACACCCTTCTCATTTTGATTTTCGTACTCAAGATGCCCAACATTACGAAGCTTAAAACTATCAACGCTTGGATTGATGAGGGGGTTGGCATCATCCAAATCAACTACCCCGAAAAGCGCAACACGCTTGGATGGCAGGTTCACCACGACATGCTGAAGGTGCTCGATGAGTACAAGGAGGACAAGAGTGTTGCTTGTGTGCTCTTCTACGGAAACGAGAAGTATTTCAGCTCTGGCTGGGCGCTCGACGTTCTCGAAAGCACCGGCGGCGAGAGCAGACAAGCCTTCTCGGATATTGCTCTCCGGCTCATGATCACCATCTACGATTACAACAAACCAACCATTGCCGCTGTGGCAGGCATGTGCCCCGGTTATGGCATGGATGTTGCCAACATGACGGACATCACCATCGCTTCTCGGAACGCAGCCTTTGCCGCAAGTCAAGTCAAGTACGGACTCAACCCAATGACTCATCCACTATTTCGCAAGATGAATTTCCAACGCGCGAAGCGCCTTCTCTTTACTGGAGATCCTATGGGTGCCGAAGAAGCATATCGGACGGGCCTGGTGGACCAGTTGACTGAAGAGGGGAAACTGTTTGAAAAGTCACTGGAACTGGCCAAGCAGATCGCTGAGCGTGGTTCTGAGCTTGCTATCAACTTGAAAGAGATGGCCTTGCGGGTACCGAATATGGACCACGTCGGTGCTACTTATTATGAGACGCGGTTCACGAACGATTTGCTTGCCCGTCCACTTTTCGCCAAATTGGCTGCTGAGGGCCTCCAAAGGATCAAAGAGAAGCGACCTAAGGCAACCGAGAGGCTAGGCAAGCTGTGATATATAAACGAGAGGAGTAAAGTGCCCTCCGTCACGGCAATAACTATTGACGCATCTAGCACTAATCATTCATCATGGAATTCATAACCTTGCCGTTGTTGTCATCAAGGGTCGAAAGCTTGTTACGTGCTAATGAGATAACATCAATCTTCAAAGCTCGAGTCCTTCCTGATATACCTTTGTCATGTCACCGGGCGATTTGAAAAACGCACTGAGGTCTTTACTACTCTTGTACCTTGTCTGTTTGAGTTATGAAGTGTTCACAAGCTATTTGGTTATCTTCTATGATTCTGTAGACCCAAACGTCGCCGCCCAAGGTTCGTACTTCTCCTCAGCCATGAGGCGCTGCATCTGCCGGCGACGAAGCCCGATATTACCCCCATCAAACAAGGGGTAGCACATGGCGTCGTTCAAAAGGCTTGGGAACGGCATATCCTTGGCGTAAGACTTCATACCAACCGCTTTCATAGCATCAATGACACAGTCGACAGCGCAGTCTGTAGTGTAAATCTTGGTCTGCATAGCAAGCTCAAGCTTCACTTTCCAGTCCACTTTCTCATCGTCCAGGGTATGGACCGCTTTCCACACCAAAAGACGACTGGTCTCGATCCGCATCTTGCAGTCGATGAGCTTATCAGCCACGCTCTGGTGTTGGATGATGGGCACGGAGCCGCCACGGGTATCAGACTTGGCGAACGCAAGCGCTTCGTCGAAGGCTGCGCGCGCTGTGCCGATGGCCATTGCTCCGACGAGGGCTGCCGACATGGTGAACGCTGCTTCTACAATCTCCACCGCCGTGCCAGGACCGCGCAGGAGATTTTTATGGGGAACGTGAAACTCGGTGAAGCGAGTGTGTGGGCCGGAAGTGGCGAGGTGACCTGCAAGCTCCGGCTCCCCTAGGACCTGATATGCTCCTTTTTCATTTTTTGCGATGACCTCTGGCGTGACCAGGAGGATTAGAACAAGCGAAGCTGGATCGACACTGGGATCCTGGGGCGCGGAAGGATCTTCCGAAAGCCTGCACACAACGCATGCAAGATCGGCTCCCTCGTCACCCCAGCCCGCGCTGTTGGAGGTCCAGAGCTGGGAAACTGGTTATTCCAGGTCAATACAAGTGGGTGTTGTGGAACTGCAAACCTTCTCTCCATTGATAATCCATTCGTCTCCGGACCTTCTAGCTGTCGTTTGGAGGCCCTGTCCGCCCTTTTCCAGCCAGTTCGCCGTTCCATTGGGTTCCGAATGCATCAAGCTGGCCAATGGCTCTCCATGCCCAGAGATAAATGGCTTCAGGTACTTTTCCTGCAAGGCAGGTGTGCCGCCGAGGATTAGTGGCAGTAGTCCTAGAGCCGTTGCCACAATTGTGATGGACACTGCAGGTTCAACGGCGAACAGTTCTTCGAGGACGATGGCCGATTCTACAAGACTCCCCATGGTACCCCCTAGTTGAACAGGCACCTGGGACTTGACCAAGCCGTTCTGAACGGCCTGACCGTAGAATGGCCGAGTCGATGCGAAGCGGGCTTTCTGGTCAGGCTGATGGTGATATTCTACAGCTGTCTTCTTGAGAACGTTCAGCGCAAAGGCCCGGGCGTTCCGCCTGGCTTCTGCTTGAGATGGGCTCAGAGTAAAGTCAATCATGATGGACGTTATTGAACAAAGTGAATTTGACAAAGTTGAGATTCATTCTATTATGGCAAACATGGCAATCGGAAGATTGCGTCTTTATATCACAAGTTCTCAGAAGGTAACCTGCCAGATGTTCAATGATACCTCACTTACACCCTCTTGATTATTGGCCAAGTGACCCGATTACTTCTGTCGCACCCCACATGCGAGTTAACCAACCCAATCGCCGCTCCTTTCCCCTCATTATGATGGCTCGGCATTGATAAGGTCGCGTAACAAGCCAATCGGAATAACGCAACAATGAAGCTACTGGGACTGTATCGAAGCAACTCCGCGGGCTGTGGCAACAAGGCTACACAATGATAAATCTACGGGAGCACTTGCTGCTTGAGCAGGATCACAAGAGGGCGCTGCGAATGGTAGGCATTGCAAGCCTAGCGAATGCTATGGGTTGATTCGGTCACAAGTACAGCGAGTCTCTGGGATAGTACATTTGCCTGTGCTGCTTTGGCTCTATCGTCAATCTTGTCGACGTGGGCCTGATATCTATGGTTCTGATGGCTGTTCATTGATGAAATGGTGCAGATTTCGTAACAATTAGGAAAGGAATGATTCAATGCAGTTTCAAGAAGGGAACCACATCTTCACATCTGTCACCGAGTGAGCGCATGCCTGATTTTTGCGTAAACACAATGAACAAGACCGTGGCGATCTTGGGAGCAAATATATTCTTCACCCTAATATGTGATTCGAATAGTCTCCGACGGCATGTGATCATCATCTTGCGGGCCTTGTGGCTAGGCTTCATTCTATGGCTGAGCATGAGCAGGCAAATTTTATCCCTTGGGTGGCCGTGACCACAGCGGCTGCCGTTTTGGGCAATCAAATCCCTGCGACATCGCCTGCTGAGATAGTGTTATTAAAAGATGACAGGGAGCAGTGAGGCCTCGTCTCAAGGTGTACTGGTGAGCTAGATATGGGCATGCCCTGTTGTAATCAAAAGTACTCTTGGCTCTGTCTTTGCTTAAAAACATGGCCAATGTAGATTTGAGCTTGTCAGCTCATGCAATGTTCAGTATAGGCAATTCAGGTGTCATGCAAGGATGCGCCTGTCGCCTAAATCAAAGGACACCCATGGCGAGTGCGAGCTCAGCCTCACAAGTGCTTACGCAGTGGATCACGGATTCATATATGAAATGCCTGGTTCCCAGATTTGGAAGGGAATGTCTCTTTGTTATTTAAAAGTTGAAAGTTGAACTTTGTTCAGCAAACCTCTTCGAACCTGCATCGTGGCCATGAAGTCTTTGCTCTCTCTCACCCTTTGGGCTGCCACGGCCGTCGCCAAGACCGGGCTCTTGATCCCTTTCTACGAATATCCCAACGATGCTTCCAAGGGGGACTGGGACTCCCTCATCTCTGCGATCGATGCGTACCCAAACCTGGACTTCTACGTCATCATTGACAATCAGAGCGGCGCACCCTACGAGGGAGCGAACCCTCCCGATTCCATCAAGGATTGGGCTCAGCGCCTGGGCCAACTGAACGATCCGAAGAGAACCAACTCGTACCCGATAGGATACGTCTACACCACCCAGTCTGCGCGTACCTATGCCGATATCACTCGCGGCATCGACCAGTATGCCAACTGGACCAAGGCCACCGGCTGGGACGGCGTCGACCACGATATTCACGTCGAGGGTATCTTCTTCGACGAGGTCGACACCACGAAGCTGCAGGAGACCAAGACTTTTGCCACTTACGCTAAGTCGGTCTTTCAAGGTCGCGGTGGCCCCGTCGTGCTGAACCCTGGAGGCCTCGTCGCCGCCGGTAGCGAGTCTCTGTTTGATATCGCCGATAGTATTGTGCAGATGGAGACGTGCTACACTACCGCCGAGGGCGCGACCAACCCCGACGGCAAGCCACGCTGCCCCAAGGGCCGGTACGTACCCTTCACCAAGGCGTCACTAGATACCCTTGGCTCCAACGCCGCGAACATCGCCAAGTCCTCGGTTCTCGTCCACGACTTCTACGATTCTTGGAACCCGTACCAGCCCGCGCCCTTGTCTACGCTCGAGGAGGATGTCAAGGCCATCGTGAACAAGGGGGTGCACAGCTTCTATATCTCGCAGCAGGAGTGGCAGGGCGGCTTCATGTCTGAGCCGGCGAGCATATCCAACATCGCTAGACTTGCTGCCGCGGCTCAGGATCTGTAGCGGCGGCCATGCTCGTCTGCCACACTCAAAGTATCGACAGGATTGGGGGCGAAGGACTAAATCATGGCGTACGTAGAAACATGCTCTAGAAAGTTCTAACAAGCGCATGGAATCCCAGTCCCAACGAATCCAAATAAGGTGCCATATTGATGTTGTCGCTAGTGCTCGCAAAAGCGATAAGTCCAGCGCTTCCAGAGCTGGTCTGAATCTTTGTGAAACCGACTTCTCTCGTCCATCAGTCGAAGCCTATGCTCCTTTGCCTCATCTAGACTCATTAGTCCTGGTAATGGCGTTTGATCATTTGATACCATGTCCCATAACTCCCGAGGCAGAGCACTCGGCAGCTGTTCTCCAGCCAATGCATCCCCATACTTCTCCGCCAGCTGTGGATATTTCTTGAGTATTAGATGAAACAATCCTGGAGGCATACTACCCTGGTTAGGGCTCCCCTTTGCGCCGAAGACGGCCTCGGCCCACCAGTCGAGCTGCTGAGGTGGCACATTTGCGGTTGATATTACCCGCCGGTGAGGATCAATAAGCCACAATGCTATAAATCGTCGGTGGCCCGGCCTTGTCTTATCTTTGAGAGAGAAAGAAGAGACTCTGTGTTGACTAAGCACCCACACAAGGTTAGTTAGATATTAGGTCTCGAAAGCAACATCAGAGGGGCGCTTACAAGACGTTTGGAAACGCGAGCAACCTGCCGGGTCGTGTTTCAACCGAACCGAACACTTGTAAAGAGGGGTCACTGCTCATAGATCCCACAAGAGTTCCATAAACTCTCTCTATCCACTCATACTCGTCTTGGCCATAGGAGAACTCGGACTGCTCCGCTTCGCTTGCCATTCGGAACGTCAGATGGCTTTCCATGACGTTCTCGCTGTCAAGGTAATACAAAGCAGTTGCACAGATTCTCTCATTCAGCTGACCCTCAATCTTTTCATAGTATGTCAGCTGAAAGTCAAATTTATATCACCCAACCTGAAAAGACTTACATGCCAACTTCCCAAAGGGAACTGGGGCTTCTCTGGCGTCAATTCTATGCTGGCCATCTTCACAATGACTTGAAGGCCAGTCTCGTTGAATTTCTTCCGCAAATCTAGCTGCGGTGCATAGTCGATATGTTCGAAGTTCTGAGGAAGAGGTAACTCTGCCGGGTCTTTGACTCTTTTCCAGGCGACCTCGCGATGTGCTCGTAATCGTCGCTTTGACTCCCGCCTCTCGCTACGGACTTGGGATGTCTCGTCGTCAAGGTTTGGGAGTTTCTCATCTGTATCCGAATCGATGTCCAAATCCTCGAGATAATCGCCGTGGGACTCATAGGTATAGTCGTAATCGGACTTGTCTTTGTCCTCGAGCTGAAACGTCTTGACGTGTTCTGACTTGATGTTGGGAGTCCAGTGCTTCTCGTCAGAGTTGCTATGGAGACTCAGGTCAGTTTTACCAGTTCTATAATAATGGGTGAGATTTCTGCGGAACTTACTCAGGGCAATCCTTTGGCTTGTCAAGCCGAACGTCGACTCTGCCCGCTTTGTGCGGTTCGTTACCATCAATGTGCAGTGGTAAGCATTGGTTCCAGGCCGGGATAGCTACGTCTATTAGCTCCTCAAGAGCCTTGTAGATTTCGGGATACTTCTCTGGATGCAGGTTGTTGACATAGCTGGTAAACATTACCAACCCGTCATCGTCGAACTTCAAGTTTGCTGGAAGCCATTGATAACTGTCGGACCAGAACTCTTCTGGAATATTCTGCGCTGTGGATGGCATTTCCGCGCCCTTTGGGACTATGACATCTCCTTTGCCCGCCCATTCTTGCACAGCACCTTTCAAGCCAACGATTTCGGCAGGAAAGAAGTGTGAACGACCTAATGGCATTTATGTTAGCATGGATGTCTACATTATTAAGCTTGCTATTGTACATCACCATATACGAATGGATACATGGATGGGTGAACCAGGTCCTGTACCATGTCATTGCTCTGCGGATGCCAGTCGACATTAGACGCTTGATCCGAACGTAATTGGCTGAAGCTTTCGACTAGTCTCTGATGTAACGTAGGTTGAACGACAACGTCCGACTTGACGACTACTCGGCCAGCGGTATCCAACGTAGGTACCAGGCTGGTCTGTTTGAAGTACTCTGCCTTGCATCTCAGTTCCTCAATGCACTGGACAACTCGAGGAACAGGTCATTAGCGACACAGATTAGAAGATACGAGCGGTCGGCTGTAACTCACACACTCAAATACATCCTCGTTAATCATTCTTTCTCGTGGCTTTCTCAATCTGCCCAGATCCTTGTCTTCTAGGATGAGGGCATACAAGTCGTCTTCCGGCTGTGTGACTGCCTCCTTGCGCCACTTTGCGACGATCTCGTCATCAAACACCTTTCTCTCCCAGTCGGCCTTGTCCGTCAACTGGTCCATCAAAGCCATCATGAAGACCTCGCGGACCTGTAACATCTCGGTCACACTGTCGTTATTTGCCCAGTGCGCCCCGATAGGGAATGAGTCCCCATGTTCAATGTTGTCACGAAGAGGGACATTGTATCCCGGATAGGAAGGCTCCATTGCCGCGCGAAGTGATGCACAAACAACAGGACGGACTCTTAGCTTCGGTATTCAAGACCTAGCAGAACGGATGACACAAGTGACAAACCCATAGAAACAGACAGAGGTGCAAGAGATGTCAGATCCTGCCCATCCTTGGACCCACATACTGCGCCTCACAGTGGTGGTCCGGTCCTGGTGGATGAATCGAAACAGTGCTCCGCTCAAATTAGATTGGAAGGCCCCGCTGTTTTGCACCCAGATCTAACAGGAGGATTTCTTGATCCTACTGAATTCACTCATTGCGAGAGTTCTTGACGGTAGAATTACACTGGGTAGTGGGCTTATTTCGTTTATAATTATTTCAGGTGGTCTTGGCAATCTCTACTCTATTCGCCGATATCGCCTACCTCAGCCTTGCTCTCTTTCCCTTTCGTCGGTGTCAAGGGGAACGCATTCGAAATCCAGCAAACTGGTGTCAACATTGGCGCAAGTGTACTACGGAGTCTTGCCGCTAGGAACCTGGACAGTGATGTTCTCAGCCCGGATGTTGTGGCATCTCTGTGAGGAGAGATGGATATGTCAGTCCTCTAGGTCCCATGAACTCCGCTTGACGTTACAGCAGGCTTACATCTGGTGCACTGCAGACTAGTGAACCGGCTTTGGGGTCGTTCTTGGCTGAGGTGTAGCCGTCCATGTTCTTAATTGTGATGTCCTCGATGGTCAGGTTGGCGGGATGCTGCTGGCAAACCGTTTGGTTTTTGGATCCATAGCACTGCGAGATAGTGATCGCATTCTAGGTACCGTAGTTATGGAAAGTGTCATAGGTGACGTTGCGCACTCTTCCAAGGCCACCACCGCTGTTGAGCTGGGTCTGGAAGGTAGTTTGGACACCAGGCCAGACCTTGATCCTTGCACCGTCGCTCGCCTTGGTCATACTGATGTTGTAGATGTAAAGATTCTCGACGATATCGGCCATATTGGCATGCTGACCAAGCGAACCGACACTGGTGCCTATTGAATTAGCAGATCATCCCCGGGACAATCGTCTCAGGTGGGAAGCCTACCGTGGCTGCCAATGCATTCTAAATTTTGGACGACAATGTTGGTGCTGTTGGGCTTGAATGCAACACAGTCTAGTTGCATACTGGGTTAGTATATCGTACAGTGCCACGTTGCTCAGTCATCAGCCGTACCGTCTGTGTTATTTGTAAACAAGTTTTGTATGATCACACGATCCGAACGATAGGTGTCCCATCCATTCGAATTACCGACCCTGTTTTCGTTGATGCTCTACCACACCTAAGTCAGCTGAGAGGTCTGGATATGATTTTGGCGGCGAGAAAAACTCACAAAGGCATGCAGATGCATGTCGCCGACTAGGATGTTGGTGCTACTTGCGATGATGTTGAACCACTGCCTCCATGTCAGTCTTTGCCTTTGATTTCCTTGGGACTGACAAGCTCACCATGGGAGGGTTTCGCATCCCGAGGTGTGACATCGTCGCGCCTTTCATACCATCCCAAACAAATAGCATTGGCCTCCTAAACGTCTTGTTTTTGAAGCCTTCCTCCCAGAACAGCTAGCTTGCCATTGATCGGATCGCCATAGATAGTGACATCTTCGCCTCCCCACGTCCAAAACGCTGACATGTTCTGGAAATCATACTTGAAAGTATGGTCAGCCCAATAGTACACGTCGCTGTCGTCGAGATAGATTTCGCCTGTGATGACCATGTCGATATGTTTGAGAAATATCAGGTCCAGCGGCGAACGGAGACGGTAGGTCTTGTCCAAGAGCACTATGCCCCCATTGTCAATCGTATGCGTAGGATTGCGAACCACTCGAACGTCGATATATTGAAGGTCTCGAGCCCGAGCCTCGTGCGCACCAGGTCGTAATCTTGCGGCGTCATTCCTCTCGGTTCCAGAGCGAGATGAGCCCGCGCCTTGGGAAGCTCCTCTCGCCGCCGGGCTGGAGCGACTTGATCAGCTGCTGGCTTAGCTTGACCTGCCCTGGCGGTAGGCCTTGCTGGGCGCCGGTGTGGTTTGATACGATAGACAAGAGCTGCATCCATATCTGCCCTTGTGTGTCTGGCAGACCTACATACCGGTTGACGCGTAGCTTGATGTTCAGGTCATGTGGTAGACGACCTGCCGTAATATGGTTAGCTGCTTTCCAGTAGTACTATGACGCCTCGATGGACGACTTTCGTGAGTGGTAACGCTGGATGAGGTACCCTGATCGCATACCTCACATGTCCACCAGACGTAGTCCCGTAGGGCCCGCACTCGGTGCCGCCCTACCATCTACTCCACCCCGCCCTGGTTGACCTCGCCCAGCTCATGAAGGAAGCGGTCCGGCAACCCTTGTCCAGCCCGTTCGAGCCGCCATTGGCGGGCGCCTATGCCGCGGTTGACGACGGCAATGGGGTATGGCAGAGACGAATGGGTTATGTTGGGTAGGATTTGAAGGACTATGCTAATTCACCACGACACAACTAGATCTAAAGAAAGCTGTACATACATAGCGATCATGGCTTTCTCCCCCAGACAAAATAGACGGGGAGATAGAGATGAATCGACGGATCCTTCAGATCATTCTTTACCTTGGCAATAAGTACCTGCATTTCTTCCACAGTCCAACCCAGTACTTGTGTAAAAACTCCGGGGGTGTAAGAGTCAACTACTTGGAGCTCTTGAATAGATTGAAATCTCCCAATCTCCTTCAGTTTTGCGTCTTTAGGCCACGCACCTATTGGTACCTGCTCCATTGTTAGCATTTATGTTCAAAGTAATGCAGCTTGTGGAAGATAATACTGACTTTGCGAACTTCTTGTTGGATGTCCACAAATCCTGCATCTCTCAATTTGTCTTTCCATAGCGGCGCAGAATCTAAAGGTTTGCCAAACTTGCCCGCGCCCTCACGCATCATTTTTATCCAGAGCTGGGCACTCGTGGCTTTGTCACCAGTTTGATCATCAGAGACGAAATGTGGATAAATAGCCTGCATCTCAATGTAGCCCCCAGGGGCCAAATGTTGGAACACTTGTTGGAATAGTCGATCGTCGTTGGTGATACATCCTCCCAATTCTCGGGCGTGTATGAAGTCAAACTGTCTGCGATACAACCATTCTGATTCAAAATCATCAACTTCAAATATGCAGTTGGGCGGCGTCCTATAGAATACCCGCTGTTAGCTCCCACGTGGTAGAGGTGTGGTCAGCTCTGTACCATTTAGGTTGTATCGGGCTTAAATCGGTCCCAAGTACTTCGGCAGATGGATGTTCACTAGGTGCCAATGTATCAGAAAGAGACATGCAGTGAATGCATATGAAGCAGCAGTTGTGATATAATCTTACTCTGCAAAGTCCATTGCCCAGATGCCAGTTCCAGTTCCGAGGTCGAGAACACGCTTGAGGTTGTCGCCGATTGGAGCAAGGCATAGCTTTCCGCCAAGTACCAGACGGTATATGTGATGCCCTAGATCCATTCGATCTTGCTCTTCTTCGTCATTTGGCTATTGATAGACCAGTTAGCATTTTGGAGCACTGGTCATGAGTTCTCTTCTGGTACATACCACTAGATAAGCGCCTGCGCGGAATGCATGATATCGGCGACCGTTCTGCTGCATCGTAAGCGCATGGCATGGCAGCACATCTTCTACTAACAAAACCAACCTCATATCTAAATTGAACATCCAGCTATCAATTGCGGGTGGCCAAACATCACTACTAGTCAACATAGAACATACTTGTAGTTTGCAATGCTTGAGGTCAGAGATGACACATAGCTAGCTGACCCTTCTCTAGAAAACCAGTCAGGAAAGATTGGTCAAGGCCGAAACCACCAAAGACTCACGAAGCGTGGTACGCGGAATCGGTGTCGTCCAAGGCAGTCTATTGGAAAATTGTGAATGTTTATCGCGAAGTACGGCGTCAAAGGTGGGCACTCACGTCCGCTTCCAACGGGTTCTCGGCAAATAGAGCTTGCAATTGCGCTGCTGGAGTCTGCAGGTCCTGGCCCTGTTCTTGAACCGTCTCTTCAGCCATGGTTGGTCACGAAAGTGACAATGAAGGGCACTGAGGAATTCATTTTCAGATAACGAATGCTCTCAACTTTTATCCTTTCCCCTCACCTGATGTTCGGCCCGTTTTGAGGGTTACACTCTTTCTCATTTGACAGGTTTACGCGCTGTCGAATGCATGCTTCAACATGGATGGATCATGGGCCAATGAGCCTCCAGCCGGGGCCCATTCCTTGATCCCATTATTGACCTGCCTCCCGCTAGTCTCCGGAATCCCGGATGCACGACCCGCGCCAGATGGAGCGGGGTAATTGCTGAGGGGTTATGCCTAGAAGTGGGATTTCCCTGATGCTGGCGGCTCACCTCTACCATCTCTCACGTCTCGTCTGTCTTGTCTGCAGCTTTGCTCGACAGCGGAGCTTGCAGACAGTCGAAGCGCTTAAAGCCTTACCTATTCATCAGTTGAGCACTTACAAGAAGCACAACATAGGAGCGGTTGCGACGGTGAGAATTCCCAGTGTAGGTCTAGTGAGACCCCAGCCGCTCCTTCGTTGAGCTCGGATGGTCCACAATTGGACCCCGTACCCGAGTCTCACTCAGGGCGACTCAGTTGGGTATCAGTGCTTGCTTGCTTGGCTTGCCTAAGTGGGGGCCGTGATGAGGTTGGGCTACTGTACAAGTAGAAATTCCCTCAGTCAGGCCACTCGCTATCTCACATGCAAGCCATGCAAGCCATGCAAGCCATGGGGTAGAAAAGGCTAGGCTCGCACCACAATTGCACCATCAGTATCGTGGGCCCACATGTCGATACGACTGTCCTACCTGCTCTTCGAGCATGCTCTTGAAGGATCGTTTCTGTTCCAAGGACCTTCTAAAGCATACTGTTAGGTAGTTTATCCGTGTATCTTGCCCTTGGGAACTGACTGCACTCGGCAAGCTGCACAAGGGAAAAAGGGGCCAATTATGTGACTAGAATCGCTGAATAGCATAGCCTGTCGTTATCACGTCGGTACTTTTCAGAGTCTCTTCTGGTAGTGGGGTGAATGGGCTTTCCCCTTCTCTTTCCACTTCCCACGATTCATTCGAGGATGCTTTCTTCATTGGATTCTGTAGATGCACTGCAGTCGCCATACCTGTTGCCTGTGGCTGCTGTCTCCTTGTAGACGGTGTCCTTCCTCCATACTGCAAATCCGGGTCCTTCGTCGATTCTTACCACCGCCGTTGGAGTATGGTTTCGCTCCCTTGGTCGAGGAGGGCTCCGCGTCTCGAGTCATCCCCGCTGTCCTACAGCGACAACTCGCGGTTGCGGGCCTTTGGAAACCATCTAGAGTCTTGTGCCCTTGCAACCGTATCCCATAGCACGTGGTCCAGTGCCTGTTAGCATGGTGGTCGGCTTGTGCTATGTTTGCTTGTCATGTTGGTACCCTCCATTGCCCCTTCTTCCAGCAGTTGTACAAGTAGCAGGTCTTGTCGTTTTGTTTGGCTGCGTCGAGTTCCGTTGGTCACGCATGTCGGGTGCACCCGCAATCGGTAGTGCTTGTTCGTGGGTTTGCCTTCTTGATGTTGGCCTGTTGTGGTGTATTGCACTGCTTTCCCCTTCTTTCCAGACGTCGTTTGTACAATCGGTCATCGATTCGGACTGCAAGAGTCATATCGTGTGCGAATTCTTTCGGTCGGTCCATATTTGGAAAAGTTTGTCTTCCACCTCGAGTTTCAGCCCGTTGTATCTTGCAGGGACACGGCATGGATGACTGCAGTACTCACTTCTCCCTGCTTACCGAATCCCCTCACCTTAACAAGACCAAGCCGAGTATTATGATCGAGAAATGGCTGTTACCGCCACCAGCTTACACCTTATTTAGCAGCTCAAGTAAGCCCTTTGAGCTTCCCTAAGTTTCCTCTGGCATGAGTCTCTCCCATTACCCTTTTTTTGTAGGATGCTTTCCGAGGAACGCCTCTCGTGTCATCTGCCCATCATCTACGAGCGCTTTGTCGCATTCCAAAATGTCCTTGGCTACTTCACAATCCAAGCGTCTTCTGCACCACATGGCCCCCGATTCCTGCGATCATTTAACGAGATTGGAGAGTTCCCTCTTCTCGTAACCAGGCGGCACTTTCGCCTCTTCTTCCTCTAGGACGCGCTTGTAGATATCGAGGTATGTAAAGCATCACTCGGCGAGCTTGGGCGGCTTCCCATCTTGCCACTCCCACTCTTCGTTGAGAGGTCTATCTTGGAGAAGCAACCACGGTGCCGAGCCAAACGACTGGGCGGGCCCGATGTATGACCGCTCAAGGTCCATCACTCCCATGACAGTGAGGTTTTCTTTGCTTCAGACAATTAGATTCGCCAGGCCCAGGTCGTCACAGATCAATTTAAATTTCCCACCATCATACTGCTTGTTCCAAGGTCGGGCAGCAGGGATGCTAGAGCCTTGAGCGCCAGGTATATACTTCTGGCGTCATGCGGACCGTAAATTGAATTCGGCTGGTGAGTGGGCTGCCGGAAGTATCACCGACAAGACGCCACTTCTATCAGACTTGGTTCTCCGGGGCAACCATCTCCTTTCGCAACAATCGGAGGCAGGCCAGTCGGAAACCCGAGACCGCGAACCCACGGGAATTCTCGGCCCAGAACCACTGATAATTCGACGCCCAAAACTCCTAGCATTCCGACACCGAAATTTCCTGACAATCCAAGACCGAGATATTCTAGCAGTTCAAGGCCGAAAGCTCCTAGCATTTCGAGGTGGAGGAAGCCTAGCAGTTCGAGGTCAACAACTGAGAACTTCCAACATTGAAGAAGTGACACAAGAGACGAAAGGGGGACAGAAACTGAAATCTATCACAGGATTCCTGCGTAGGAAGATTGAAAATCTCAGGAAAAAGAGAGAAACAGGATCAAGTTCCTCGGGGTCATGCCCATCGGAATCATCGTCACCGGACGAGTCACTTAGCGAATGATCGCAAAGTCGAGAAGAGAGGGCATGATTAACTTCTACTAACACCAGACACTTTCTAGTCGGAAACATGCGAGATCTATCTTCCTCCGCAAACTCAGGCATTTCAGATCGAGCCGTGGTAGCTTTGGATCAGAATGTCATTTATGGTTCCCAAAGAGCAACCCCTATCTGGAAAAAGACAGATGGATTCTAGGATGTTGCAAGTTGAATGAGAAGTGCATTGAATAATTTGAGTATTTGTGAAACAGTCTGCGACACTAGATATTGAGCGGGGGGGCATGGATTCAAGCCATCACTGCCTCTAACACAATCGTCCATCATCGACGTTGTCCGGTGCTTTTTTTTTTTTTGAGTCTCGACATTGTTGGACTGGTAGCGGAGCCAGGACTTGCCCACAACTTTAGATGCAGGTTCACTAGCTCAGGTATTCGGAGACAGTCTAGCATTCTGCATAAAGGTGAAATGTATTCAAAAGGACGCAGCAGTTCAGGGTTCAAGAGGTTAGCACTAGAATGCTAGTGCTCTCTTCAAATATATGTGCAGCCGCTATCATCTATCTAGGCAGTGGTGCACAATTCGATTAAGAGTGTTTCAATATTGACGTTTTTTTATAGATTGACTAAAGCCTAGGCAAATTCTGTGAAGCGAGGCTGCGAGCTCGAAGGCAAGGTACTTGATATAGTCCCGAACTAAATGCAGTGCAGCATGACGATAGAGTGTGCAACCCAACGCAATCCGCGTTACGGGATGGTCACCAACGCAGTCATGAGAAAAGGGATCAAGTGGTGCGAGGACAGGGCTGGATAATGAGGGATTGGCGTGTTGATTATCCGCCTGGTCCTGAGTGGTGTGAGCTTAAACATTTGTTCTTGTATTATTGTGAGTTGGGGTGGTGCGGGCGAGTGACACTTCATCAGCCATCAGCAAACCCCCCCCGGTCCATATCCAATTTTGTCGAACAATGAGAGAGAAGAAAGCTGACATGCATTTCCCTCAAACCATCGTCAATTATGCGAAGAAGCCCTCCAAACTTTTCTTAAGACACTTCTATAGAGAAATTGGATTAACATTCATCATTTATGATTTGATCCTGGAAGCGTGTGGGAAGGGCGCAGCCAGTGAGTCTTTTTCATTTCTGTGATAGAAAGGCAGTCATATATGGCATTGACAAATGGAAGTTAGAAAAGTCAAATCAGTAATTTAGGTGAGGTAGCTAGTTATAATTGTTCCTCTCCAGAAATTGTGAAGTAGAGGCCAGGCGTCAAACCGATAACACAAGGAAGTCGCCATGGTTTCATACAGGCTGGCCGTTCTGAACAATTTGTCGAGTCCAAGTCCAGACTTGAATGTCATCTGTGATTCTTGTCAAGCCGCTGTTAAGCCACTGGATATTCATTTCCTGTGCGAGCTGCTGCATCCGCGCGTCCACCCCGCCCCGTCGTCCCGGATCGACAGTGATGGCGACAACCCAGCCTGCGGCGTACCATGCGTTGGTGGCCCACGACTGCCTGATATCCGCGCCCATAACTTTCTGAAAATCCTTCTTGACTTCGCCCACAAAGTAATCGAGCTTCCCTTTGCTCAGGCACTTCAACTCGACGAAGTGGTAGTGGGGGTGTCCGTTGTGATCAGTAAAGGAGGATGAGAAGTCGCAGCGCTGCTGGCTGCCCTCGTACATCGCTCGCTCGCGCTCGAAGCTTCCGAATTGCAGCCCGAACTGGTCGTAGCCCTGCATAGTCTGCCTCATCTGCAGTGCCAGTTCGACCTGCGCCCAGACTTCCCATCCGTTCGCAGTATCGAAGATGGCCCGGACCTTGTCAGCCTGGGGCCTCAGAGTAGCTCCAACATGCTGCGTGTAGAAGTCTGTTGCCATCTTCAAACAGACGTCTATAGGATCAAGAGTAAATGAGGATTCGACTTTGGAAGATCGGATACTAGCCCACCCAACTCTGGACGGCTAGTGTGAGTTTTTTTTGTGTCTTGTTCAGACAGCGGGCAGCTGTGCACCATCCCCGCGAGGAGATGAATGTGGTCAGAGGACCTCAGGCAGCTGAGTGAGATGATCAACCCCGCCTTCGTAGAGGAGGGCGGAGGTGGGGGTTTGTCAGGCTCCAATGAAGACTTGCATCAAGGTGCTGTCGGTCTCGATCTTTGCAGAATTTGGTTTTCTCATACGTTTTACTCGGGGTGCAGATTGCTGACGGCGAATTTGTTATTTCCGCCGTTGCGGGTTGTGGCAATGCGTCCTGTTGATCTTTCAGATCCTTCGAAAATAATCAGAGTCCCGGTTTGGGATCTATCTATTGATATGTATAGAATATCTATTGATATGTATAGAAGCGAGCGTATAAGGTGTAAAGGTGCATGTGCAGACTGGAGGTCATCTCTGAGATTGCAAACTTGCTGGCATAGCCTTCCCCTGAATCAATGAACCCCGAGTGCTACAATAGAGTGCGCGCCAGGCTCTAAATCGATGACTAATTTTGGGTTTTAAACAGATCACGTACTAGAAACGTCCTTCATTATGACTCAGATCCGAGTTCCGGTGCTCCTTTAAACCGATAGTTCAAGGAGAGCCATGAATAGCTGTTCGAGGTCCAAGTCAGAACCCTGTCTTTCAGAGTAAACCAAGCTATTAAAAGCCACAACACTTTATCGTATCCTATCAAATGCTAGTGATACAGTGTAAGCCTAACCAGCTCTTTCGAGCTAGTCACGAGAAGGACCAAGTCATTACACGAAGAGAGTTCCGGATGCACAATGGCAAAGAATTAGCGTGTGCACTGTCAACTTGAAAATTATATTGAATTGTTTGTCTGACAAATGTGAAAGTATCACGAGCTCAGATATCTGATCCTGCCTATATGAAAGGGCGAGCTCGGCCCTCAAGCAAAACCACTGCTGACCATCCAAGTTACATCATCGTTGAACGACGTAGCAGAATCAAAAGTATGGACACCACCGTTACTCGCGGCGTAGAGGACATTGCTATAATGGCGCAGATACCGCGTGGGGTAGTTCCATACCCTAATGGAGCTACCCTCGCCGCTAAGACCAGCCTGCGGGCAAAACGTAGTATCCTCGCGGTACTGTTTGCTCCCATCGTTGGCGACGAGCTGTAGCTCAAAGTTGTGGTGCCGTAGGTAGCTGCCAGGCGTGTCCCTCGACTCAAAGGAGAAGCAGGCGCTGTTGCCGAGGCCAGTGCGCACGGTCCAGCTGGCCTGCTGCTTGAGCGCACCGGAGCTGGACGACGTGACAACCTGGGTGTTCACGGCGGATCCCGTGTGTGCCAGGTAGCGCGTGTCGAAGCCGGGCGTCGTGGCGCGCAGGGAGATGGACGACCCGACGCTCAGCGCGGGCCCGCTCGTCATCGAGGTGGTGGCGTATTTAGCCGCAACGATGTCAGCCTGCACCGAGTTCTCGGTCGAGTCGCTGGGGTAGCCGGAGGTCATGACGCCCTCGTAAAAGGTGCCCTGCGCGCCGACGCTGTTGTCGCCGCCGATGCCGAGGATGATGGCACCCTCCTTCTTCATCGGGTTGTAGCCAGACGCGTTAGGGCGGGGGCCGTTGTAGTACGTCGACAGGGAGCCGGAGGCGGCGTTGGCGCCCTTGATCGCCCACTTGTTTGGCCCGCCCTTGAGGACCGCAGTGAGGAACCGGTGCGAGACGGAGGGGTCAGCGGGGTTGTTCTTGGGATTGGCACCCGAGAACAGGCCGTTCTCAAGGTCGGCCATAATCCAGGGACCGCTGCCGGCTCCGGAACCCCACACGGTGTTATCGCCAAAGTAAAGGGCTTCCATGTGGCCGTTGCCGGTGTCACGGCTGTTGGTCTCGGCATTTCCGTAGTCGAAGCAGCAACCACCGTTGTAGTGAGTGCCATCAAAGATCGCATACATGCCCTCCGCCTCGTCCCCCTTAGCTATACCACTCGGGTTGTTGTTGCGGTATCCGGTGCCTGGAGAAACAAAGACCCCATAGGCTTTATGTCCGTTCAGCGTGACAGGGGCGCCTGTGGCACTGGCGAGGTTGTCATAGCCATTGGGCTCTGGGCCCTGGAAGCCACCAGGAGGGGCCTGAGTGAGATGGTTTGCTCTGCCTGACTGGTCATAGATGATGGTGATCAGGCAGGTGGTACCAGCACAGAAGGCGTCCTGTGCGGCGGCATTGGCGACACCTCCGGCGGAAAGGGGCAAGATTGTAGTCGTGCTCCCGTCCGAGCCGCGCTTCACCTGGTACAGGGGACCGGTGTAGGAACTGTAAAGCGCTCGAGTGGTGCTGTGTGCAGCCACGCATGGTGTTCCACCGGAGGCATAGATGTCACAGGGCCCTGCGGCGACCAGTGAGGCCGAAGCAAAAATCCCGAGAGCAGCCACTCTGGCGCGCTGAAATCTCAGCTGGGGAAACATTGCTGATGATTGGAGGCAAAAAAGTGTAGTCAAGGCTAGAGTAGTAGCTGAATTATGATGCCGTGCAACACGAGGCAGCCTTTTACCGGGCTGGACCACTTGGCTGAATGTTGATCATGGTCGGCAGTTGTGTTGGTCAGGTCTCATATTTATATCCGTTATCACATCGTCCTGCTTTTCAACCGGGACAGCCAACAATCCTGGCTCTATAAGCGCTCCTATGCTGTAGTTCCGCGAGCTGCTCATTTCGGATTCGGCTAATGTTTCATTTGTACGCTCCGATTTGTGCGTCTAGAAACTGTGTGCAATCGCCTCACTCCCGATCCAATTAGCGGAATCCGGGGGGAGAGCAACGCTCGGGCGGGGAAGTTCTCGTTGTAACTACAGGGTCGTATTAGCTGAGGGGTTGAACGCCTTTGCCGCCTCCGAGACCCCCGTGCGGAACAAGATGGCTCATGAAGTTACGGCGTCGGTGGCCACCCCGGGAGCAGGTAGTCACATGTGTGCACGGAAACCTGCTTGTGCCAGACGAGAGCCGGCGCTATCGCTCCAGTGGTGTGTCATTCCGATCCGGAGCGAAAGCTTGTATTGAGGTCCTCCTCTCACAGTTGCTGGATTCAGAGTTAGCGGCAGTTCTGGAGCCGATACCCGCGCCAATGGTCGGTTGTCCCGCCAAGCGATCGCCGTCTCATGTAAATATCACCGCTGGACCAGTCCTCCTCACTGTTCGGAGTTCCCCAGACGCCACGGTATGGGCAAGACTATTGTTGCTGATAAAGGCAATGCAGATATGCGGGACGCGATTGGACACAAGCCAGCCCTTTGTCTGAACAACCCTCATCCGCTTCCATGCTGTCCAGGGTATGTTTGTTGAAAAATAATTCTGGACCTGACAGAGTCCCTCCCTCACTCTGTTGTCTTTTAACATCGCCGTAACAAGTGGTTTTTGCCATGTTCAACCACCATTACCGGAGGGGCTAGCCCCTCGTAGCTGGGTCAGTCTCTTCTATTCCACGATGACCTGCTCTTTGAAGCTATCCCACAATGAGGGCTGCTAACAGCACACAATGTAATGTATCTCTTCCCGTATGTCAATCATTACCCAAACCCTGCCTTGCTCCATCCCGGTAGACATACTTAGTTTCGATGAATGAACCCGCGATACAAATAGGAAACCCTCAATCGCCTGTCCACGGAGTTAGATCACACGTTCAGTCAATCGTCGAGTACAAAGCAGCAACACTAACCACCACAGCCACCACAACCACCACCATCGCCGCCGCCGTCGCCACCGCCGTCGCCATCGTTTCCACAGTTCGAACCGACTCCACCACAGCCTATAGGACTTTGGGTCAGTACTTGGACACCCTTTGGCGCATCGCACAGATAGATAGATACTTACTTACGCCGGCCGAGCAGGTCGGATGAACGACTGCTCCTCCACAGCCCTGCACAATTCAACATTAGAAACCAATGGGTGTGATTTGAAGGGTAACTTCCTCGGGCTAACTTACCCCTGCGCCACCGCAACCGCCAGGCCCTCCACAGCTACCCGCTGCAGCGCCATTCACTCCGCAGCTGCCCTTGCAGCAGTTGGCATGCTCACCCTCTCCGGCTGTGACGTGGCACGGGTCCCAGTCTCCGTAAATGCCGGGTGTCATGTACATCGGGTAATAAAATGGTGCATACACTGTTGAGGTCCAAGTGTTAGCTGAAGGGATACTCCAACCTCGAGGAGGTCACGTACTAAAGTAATAGGTTCCCCAATGATCGTAGTATGTCTCCTTATTTGGCAGCTGCCTCCCCCGCTTCTCGGCTCTCCGCTTAGCCTTGGCGTAGTTCTCGTCGATGCGGCGCTGGTTGGCGGCCCGCATTTGTTCGTAGACTCGCCGTAGGCGGCTGTCAGTAGGGATGTTGGTCTGTACGGCGTTATGCGCCGAGATATGGGCTGAATTATCTGGTGGACAGAGATTTGCCATTCCCGAGGTGTGAAAGGCTTCGTTGACTAGGCACCGAGGTTAGCGGCAAGATCTGGGGTTGAGTACAGTGTTGTGGCAAACAGCTCTTACCCTTGTCTGGTTGATTCGACCCAAATATCCTGTTCAGGGTGGAGACGTGTGAAGCACGGATTGCTATAACAGAGTGAGCAAAGCCTTGGTCGCCAGCCTGCAAGAATCTGACCGGGGAATACCTTCACAGTACCAGCAGGTACACTCAGAGTAAACTTCGCCGAACCTCTGCTGATAGATCTTGCTTGTCCACTCGAAAGACGAGGATAGCTTGCCTTCATCAATCTTATCATCGTGATCAATGAACTTCCGGCAGGCTTCCATCGTATATCGATAATAGGCAGGAGGACACAGCTGGTGTGTGTGCCACGCCAAATCCACGTCCAAGGTCGGCACGGCAATCTGTCCTGGATACGATGCCATGATGGCTACAAACCGGCGATACTTTTCTAGCAACCTCTGCATAGTATCTCGAGCATGAGGGCTGTGAAGCCAGTCGATCTTGACCATCTTCTGCACAAAGATGCCCTGGCGCATGACCGCGCCGCTGAGGTTGAGCGCGAAGGGGCTCCAGTTCTCCCAGTAGTGCGACATCATCTTGCGAATAGTGATCTTGGTAGACGGCGATATCCGATAGGTCCCGTCGCGAGTAATGAGATTGATCTGCCTAAGGGCGTACGAGTCGGCAAGGATGGGCTCGAAGATCTTGCGCACCGTGTCCATGGTCGGGGTGGGATTCATGCCGGGCTTGAGCAGCGCTTCTATCTCTTGCCGTACCCTTATAGAGCGAATCATGCGGTTGGGAAAGGTACGCGGCTCCTGATTTCTTCGATCTAGGTTCAGATTCAAAGCAGGAGTCCCGGTCTTCGGATCTAGGATGGTGCCGGGCATCATGATCTCCCGATGAATGAGATCCATGGAGTCCTCTACAAACTTGCCCACGGTCATGAGCTCCTTTGTAATGACAACACCACAGCTAGGGCATTTCCAGCGGAGATCACCATCGCCGTATCCAGTACCGGTGAGACCCGGGCGGCTGAGAGATTGAGGTTAGCAGCTCACCCGCCAGCGGGTAGGAACATCCTACTTACGGAGCTTCTTTGGAGTCCTCCGGGAGAGAGCACGTTGTCCAAGGGATGTCGACAGGCTGCTTGCAGCACGGACAGCCGATTCGCTTCACCATGGAATCCTCTGAATTCTCCCAAGCCCGCCCCATCTGAACATTCCACATGACCTTGGTCGGTTCAGTAACATTGTAGTTAAACTCCAGATCAATCAGATTGTTCACCTGCTGCCAAGGCATGCCGGCGGTCCACATATTAGAGGCTTGGAAGCGCATGCAATCCTCGAGGAAGCCTCTTGGGTTGAGCATATGCGAATGAAAGACCATGAGTACATCTGTGGGGATCGATCAGTTTGCTGGATCAGACTGAAGGCCTGGGTCAGCACAACTTACCCAGAGGCGGCATCATCCAGTCATCCCACTTCAAGGGCTTCCCCGTGTATGGAAAGTTGCTGTACATGTCCGGGATATTGGAGTTATCCTCGGTCAGCGTTGGCTTGAACTGGAGGTTCCAGGTGGCTTCGTATCTGTCCACGGCACGGGCAACGAACAACGCCCATCGCTTCTCTCGGATCCTGCTGAGGTACCTCTTCCTGTCCTCGAGAGGCATCTCCTGTGTACTGTAATAAGGCTGCTCCTTGACTTCATTTTCACTCTCGACTAGGAAATGGGTCCCCGATGCCCGCGAATCCCAAAGCCCGAAGAGGCCGTCAGTGTAGCCGACCTCCTCTTTCATGTTGTGAATAGCGTGGAGCAGCTTCAAATGCGCTAGGCATGTGTCGACATCTGGGTCTCGCGCCCCGTTGGCGACTCGGAGGTTCATGACAGAAGCGAGCATAGCGGCAGCAATCTGGGCCGCTTCTGGCGGCACATTCTGAAACGATTGACCAGGAAATTGGTAGGGAGGCGGTTGGCCGCCACCCCGTGACGAAGATTGACCATTCCCTCCCCCATGACCACTCTTCCTCAGGATGCCCATCTTATCTTCAGCCGGTCGGTGGCTGTAACCACAGTCCGGAGAATGGAGAGTAATGGAGGTTTGCTGGCGATAACGTAGGAATGAGATTGAATCTTCCGCTGCGAGTGTTGCTGTGGGGGACCTGTAACGTTTTATGACTTTTGTGCTCCTGCAAGAACTCACCTACTTCATACAATACGGTATGACGCAAACAGCCCTTTTAGTGACCGAACCCACGTCTCGGGATGGCGAGAGGTTACATGCGGCAGGGCGTTTGATAGCTAGAGAGGCGGTGCAGAAGACCAGCGGCCCTCTGATGTATCGACACGTCCAGGTAGGGGTGTACGCCAGCTCTGTTGCTCCCGCTCTCACCAGGGATAGAACTATCAGAGTTGCAGTATCACCAGAGCCACACAGCTCAATCGTCTTTTCAGGTCGCCGCGGAAGCTAGGAACCATCAAACAGAATGGTGCGTCGCGTGGCATCCCGGCCACGCGATTGAAAGTCTGCCTCGTCCAGCCCCATCCGATACCGGTTTGGGCCCAGGTTGTCACTGGAATGTCTTGGTCGGTCTCCTAAAAGGACGTCGGCTCATGCTTAACAAGAACGCCGGGCCCATCGGTCGCTAGAGATGCCCAACCACGACACCGAACGACCAACCTAGCGGGCGGCGGTGCAGATCTGAAGCCCCGCTATCAGATCGTGTCCTTCGACGGCGACGGCGTGCACCACTGGTGCTGTTGCCATTGGCTGGCGATGGTCCGGGGGGTTTTCAGCTGGGGTCTTGGCCGTTTTTAGGCTGTGGTCCCAGAGCTTGAATGCAGTCAGGTGGTCTAGGCGTCTGCCCTGATGGCCGAAATCTCAACGAGCTTGCTTCTTAGGGTTGGTGGTGGCAGTGCAAGCTCCGAATGCTTGACTGCTCCAAGCTTCGAAGATCAATGAGTCGCGGCATGCCGGGCAGGAACCTCGCGGATGGTGCACAGATCCCCATCCATCCTGTATCTGCTCACGCGCCTCTACTTGTACGATCCCGCATGTTTGAAAGGGATGTGGCTAACAATTAGTGCATGGCCAGACAGATTCCTCTGGTGTTTTGAGTTGCCTCAGTGGTCGTCCCACAGTGCAAAAACGTCATGAAAATCACACCAAGGCACCATCAACAATTCTCGCAAACTCAGCATATGATTGACTAACTTCTGGAGACGGTTATTGACATTTGTTTTGCCTAGACATAATATGAACGACACCCGCGCGCGAGCACATCCTGTGGTCGTCAATGGTAGATATTAAAACAGCTCCCTTACATAGTACGTTGTCTCTGTCGAATTATCTTTATGTGGTGATCAAATTCCATAATCCTTGCCTCTCACCGGGGCAGTAATTGCAACTGGGCATGCAGCATTTAATATGAACCGGGTGCGATGATGATTGTCCATGTTGGAGCTAGAGTAACTGGTTGAGGCCCTCTGATTCCGCCGTGCCCAACCAATCTACAGGTGCTGAAGGGAAGCTGAAAGGACACTGTGGGGCCAAACGATGCTTATCCAGACTCTATCATTTATCTGGTCGTTAACTTCAGGCATTTGGAAGTGCGTGAAATAAGGAAATAGAGACCAAGATAAAGATGCATCACCCTTCCTGAATGAACCGAAAAAGAGCAAAAAGGCAGGCCGTTTAATTCATGATGGTATCGGACTGAGTACAGACAGAAAAGCGAACACGGCGATTCCTTGAAACGGGACGTCTACCATGGATAGGGCACTTTTTGCGTTATTGTTGTCAGACCTTCTCTGACTTCTCTCCTCTGCTCCTCCACCTCGATGCTTTTTTCCCCTCATCTTGGGGTTTTGCCCCCTCTTCTGAACATCCCAAGATCTACGGCTGCTAAGAAAACCAGTAACCTCCATCCGCCCCAGTAAAGTGGCGTGTTTGGTGCAGAAAGGCAACCAGGCTGGCGGTTCGGAAATTGCCTGACTCACGCCCAGACATCATCTCCTTGCAGCAAGCCACAGCGGGAATGATCAGCTCGTTCACTCAGAGATATCACCGGTGTAGCGAGGGGGTTACATTCCCTTCCCAGTTTGGATAGTGTCAGTGCTGTTGGTTCTCACTTTCACTAATTTTGTGTGCTAATTATGCACCCCAAAGGGGCCAACACATCGCGATGGGCGCCCTCGTGAGATGGCGTGTAGTTTCATGGTGTCATGATCCCGGGGAAGGTCTCATCGAGGATGCTGACAGTCCCAGTCCTCGGGTGAAACCCGGCATCCTGGCACCTGGCTCTCCTAGGTTTCCATCCGCAACCCTGCTATCTTGTCCAAGCAGCCCCCAATCTCAGCCAGCAGACACACACCTGGGCAAAATTCACGGCCGGGGGCCCACCCACCCATCTCCCTTACCATTGCGTCGGGCCCTGCTGTCCCAGCACCTTGGATACGCAATATGAACACTTTGGCCCGACCCGCGTGCCGCGAGCCATCCCGCGATTCCACATTTCGAGCCACTTTGACTTCCCCAAAGCGTCTTATTGGCCGTTTGGCCCATGTCGTCAGTTTCATCTCCATACAAGTCCAGGGTAACTTCATCCCATAAGGATGGTCTAAGCCAATCTTGTCGCTGGGACCATCGCCTGGGGCCCGGATGATGCAACCTTAGTGCCGGTATCTTTGTTCCGCGCTCCTGGCACCTTTGTTCCGCACTCTTGTGACTCGGCATCAGCTTGTATGTTCCCAACAATGGTATTATCGGAGCGAGGACGTGCATTAGCGAAGTTGAGATAGGTTAGGATGGCTGTTTGCCTGATTTGAGGGCCTGGTACTTCGACATCCACACGCGCCATAGCTGTCTGCGCCTTGTCAAAGCTCTTAAAATGCCCCAGACAGACTGACTTCCTGACATCCCGCAACCTCTTCACCTCTTATCTTTCTCCAGACCTTGTGTAATTTTGTCATGGCAGATTCTACCACCCTTTTTGGTATTGGCTCTCACTTGCAAGTGAATCATGTCTATCCTGAACAACTTGAGCTCGACGAAGACGATAGTCCTCGGCCAATGAGGTCAGATCCTCCACCCCGTTCCTTCAGAGCGTAGCTGAACTATGTATCTAGTTCTCTATCCGGCCTCTACTCCGAGAAGCTTTTTTCGAGGTCACCTTCAAGAGGAGTGGCATCCTCAGCTAGTAAAACCCCATCTAGCGCTACCACGGCAAGAAAGGAACATACTCCAGGGGTTCGTGCTGGCACGGTGTCACCAGTGGTTCTGCCAAAGGAAGAAAAGTCCCTTGAGTCTCGCGGCGGCAGCTCTCCAGGCAAACCAGTCACTTCCAACCATCTTCCAAGCACACTCGGTACCATACTGGCAGAACTTGACGAGACCTGTCCAAGCATTGCTATGGCCCGTTTCCAAGGCGAAACGCATCGACATGAGCGCTTTGCGATCGGTTCACTTCCAGCCTCACCGAACGCTGAACGCAACCTAGATGGAACATCATCGTTGTCAATATCTCTCTTTCCAGAATGGTATCCAGAGAAGACCGCTGAGGGATCCCCCGTGAGAGACGTGGCTTCCCAGGGAAGGACTAGAAAACGGACTTGGGAGGGCGAAGACGGTAGCAATGTGTCTAGTGGTAATAACAAGGACTGGAACAAGGTTATGATGCACCATGAAGGTGATCCTAGCGACCTCATCGCTGTAGATCAATCAGAAGAAGGCGAGGCCTCTCAAGCGTGTGCCGCAGACCTTGTGTTTCGATTGACCCGTCAGCCGCGCGACCCTACGGGGCTCAGACCACGGGTCCATAGACCGGGGAAGTGTAGGAAACGGCCAAAGAAAGTGGAGGAGGATCAGAATTCTTAATTAAAATAAGATCGCTGGATCATGTTGTTTATTTGTCGCAAAGCTGGCACCACAAGACAGACCGCCATTAACGCGATGTGACAGAATAATAGAGTAGGAGATATGATTCAGGAAAGACAAGTTGAACGGAGCAAGTAAAGACTGGACTCGTATATCTTCTACTGTGAAAGACTATCTATAAGCATCGAGGTACGTCCCGTTTGTCTTAAGCAGCCCATTCTGCTTAACCAGCCCATTCTCCTTCAGCCTCCACTGGAGCATGACAGATTTGGAAGCACGGTAGTGTCTGTCCAGACCTTTGCAGATGGCTCTCGCTACGCCTTCAATGTCATTGGGATCGAGCCCCACCGAGATCCTCATGTAAGGGTCCTCGTTGCGGATGAATGGCGTTGACGGCCAGATGCGGGTTGCTGAAAAGCCTAGCCCACCGCCTTTGGTCATCGCGATGCCCTCCTCCTCTGCAGCCCTCAGCACCAAGTTTGTGAACGCATCCAAGCTGGGACGCTTGTTCATCTGATCTCCGAAAAGCTTGATGGTAACAATATTGCCACCATTCGACCACCCGTAGGATCGCCATTGCGTCGGGAAATTGAACTCGGCGATGTTGGAGCTCGTCTTGTTGAGAATGGAATAGAGTCGCTCGGCGTTTGCTGTCAACCAGTGCATCCGCGACTGATGGATATCATAGTCGATAGGCGGTAGCACATTCGCCTGGCGTGAATAGAGCGTTGTGCCAGTGACTTGGCGGATGAGGCCTAGAGTCTCATGGTAGACCTCTGGATATACCAGGAAGCCGCACATGACAACATCCATTCCCATTTGGATGTACTTGTGTGCTGACTCATAATATAGGACCCTGGGATGCTTGGGACTGTCAAACCAATCATAGATCGGCATACCTCCCGAGATCAGTGTCCCATCAATTACCAAGAAGCGATCCGACCAGCCATCTCTGTCAGAGAGAAGCTGCGCAAAGCGTCGGATATCAGTAGTCTCCAAACCAACCGTATTAGCCATCGGGTCGAGATAGACTGCCTTGGCATTGTGCTTCTCCGCAGTTTCAATGATGTCTTCGGCGTCGAACGTGTTGGAGTTGATAACTTGAACATGCGAGATCGACCGCAGGTGCTCGAAACACTCAAAGTACAGATACGGTGAGATGACGATGGTGTCGCCGGCGGACACTGCCTTGCTCAGCAGAAATTGGTTCAGGACTGTGAAAGCTGCAACACCGCTGGATGTCAACAGAAGCTTGAGCGGGGTCTTCTCGTCGCCGAGGCCGAGGGCGGGTAGGAGCCGCGCTTCGGACTCTCGGACATCTGGCGCACCGTAGCGATCATAATTGAGGCCGTCCGACTGGTAATACGACGAGTCGAAGAACCACGGGGTCATGGCATGGTCGTAGCTATTTTGAGCCATCAGCTTCAAGAAACCCTGAGGAATAGGGCCACTTATTTTCCTCACCCAGGGCTTGCACGCTCGAAGAATGACCCGAGATACGACTGCATCTGAATCAGGGCGCGATATCGTTCCTCCATTTGCCAAGGAGTAAGGACAAAGGTCGAAATAGCCGAAGTCGCCTTTATATTGTCCTGGCCAATGTTCTGGGTGATGGCCAACTGCATCTCAAGCTCTGAAGAAAGATGCTCTATACGCGCGTACGTTTCTCGAAAGATGTTGATACACCACTCATCTGTGTGAGAACCAGTCTGTTTCTCGATTCTGGCACGTTCATCAAAGCGTTGTTTGATAGTCGCAGTTGTGGCCTTGAGATTGGAGAGCAGACGCGCCCACATCTCGACGATTGACAAGATAGGTTTCCCGAAGGACTTCTGCTCAGGACGTCGTGCCAATTGGCCATTGGTATTGGCACCAGAAAGCTGGTTGAAATGAACCATTGTACTGTGGTTGTAGATTCTATGTCAATTGATAAGTGAACGGTCCCAGGGAAGAATGATGTTTCTTGCAAACTGTTTGAGTTGAAACGTGAGAAGAGATAGTACCACGCCTCAGCAACTTTCGAGCTCCAGCAAGCCCAGCCTAGAAAGTCAAGCACATATGAAACCCTTATACACAGCGTATCTGTATCTTGCATAAGATACGCATATAATGCAATGCTAAGTCAGAAGGCCACGTCAGAGGAGCAATGCCTTCATAATCCCGCTTCTTGTCTCCTTCTGTTCTGAGTAGCTGAAGTACGAGCGTTGCTGCATGATGGTTTCTGGCTAACTCCTCATTCCGCCGGCATGCCGTAAGATGATCACATCTCCATAAAATCGCAAAAAGTCCCACTTGGTTTCGTAGCTCTGGGGGGCTGCGGACGCAAGTAAGAGGCTCGGCATGCATTGCATGGGCAACTTGCCGACCTTCCGGAAGGAGTAAGCAGGCTAAGGAATCATATCTTGAAAAGGGCGATGCACGCATGGCACAATGACTGAATGTCAGTATGGTTATGGCGGTAATAACGTTGGGGATCACGGCATCCCTACGACAGTTGCAGGGACTAGACGACTCTAGTCATTCGTGAATTACGTAGCAACACGTCAAGTTAGCACGCGAATATATAAATCTCCTCAAACAATTCGTGACAGTGTTCGGTAGCTAAAGAAAACTGCATCCTCATTATCAAACTCGGATCTCATCATTTGACTTGAGTCAACAACCATGCCTTTCCTCAACGGCCATCACAAAGATGCTCATCGGGGGCCACATATTTTGAATGTCCTTGAGCATCGCTATGATGCTAGGTTCTACGAGTCCATCGCGGCCATCATGGCTCTTCGCAAAATCTATTTGCAGCACAGATTCATCTTCGTTCGCGGAGAGGATATGAGTGCCATTCTGGAAGGTCTTGGGGCTAAAAAAGCCGACTTTACCTCTGTTCAGGAAATCAGCGACCTCACAGGCCCGGACCCAACGCTCGACTACCGCTCGGTGACCTATGGAAGATACTGCATTGACCCAGAGACGCGTAGCATACGGCGGCTCGAGACACAGCCATATACCCTTACAGTGCAAGAAGACTACAAGCGGCACGACTCCGGGGTGCCGAGGATGTTCGATGAGACCCCGACTGATATGCAGGGCAACACTGTCGTGCAAGCCCTTATGCTCTTCAAGGCGCTGATCTTCCACGGCGTGCCCGTTTCTCCGCGTGACCGCCTCGACTACGCCTCCCCGGCCTGGATCTGCACCATGTTCAACGCGCGTACGCACACCTCCAAGAAGAACGGCATCTTCGGCGAACCGGCGCTCGAAGGGGTTCACTCAGACGGGTCTGACCACACCATGACCGTCTTCCTCGGCAGCACCAACATGCGCCCCGATAGCGCCGTTACATTCATGCACGACAATGAGGAGGTGACAGGGATCAAGACGGAGGAGACGAACCCGACGCTGATCCGGGGCCGCGTGCATCACCAGCACTTCCTTGACACGCTGATGTTTGTGGACCACGACTTCAAACATAGTGTCACGTCGGTCCACCAGCTGGACCCGTCGCATCCTGCCACAAGGGATATGCTAGTTGTTTTCACGCGGCGGCCGAAGATGGAGGGACACGTCTCAGGGTATCAGGACACTATGGAGTTGCATAGCACGCAGCCACTGCATTTGCCAATGTGGATGCCGTAAAACAAGGTACATGGGTTAGCTTTCACAGACGTTGTAGACATAATACGATATAAACTTGTGGGTTACTCAAGTGACTACAGGGCTGGTACAAAACGCCCTTGTAAGCGCTTACTTTCCCTTTTAGGCAAGTATCAGTACAGTTGGAATTATGCCAAGTAGACAAAACCTGCAAATAGTTGTGTTGGTGCAGGTTTACAATTGCAAGATATACAGTCCCCATGCAGTGGTCATGCACTAGTGACGGATCAAAACCTGCAACGACGAACAAAGTATCATTTCACTCTGATCATCAGCATGCAAGTGAGTTGGCCTTGCTGTGCAGTCAGCCCGCAATAAGCAGCTGGACCGGGCAATCATATCAAATGGGTTGAGTACGTATCATCCTCGCCTTTGCCACGATCCTGCATCTGCAGTTGATATCCGCCCATGATGACGCAAGTGGAAGGTCTTAGATCAATAGCATGATCTCGGTATGTATGCATATGAATACAACCAAACAGCTATTCCTGCTTCGACATGCGTCGCTTTTGGAGGCAGGCTGAATTAAACGACCTGTAGAGGCTACGATCCTTAACAAGTCACTTTCGATTGTCCTCAGATGACATAAGCCGAATGCGGAACTCCTTGCGTGAGGCTTCCTCCAATCGAACAATATGCCATAGTGGAGATTTGTGGACTAGATTCTTCTCCACGAGGATTACCTGCATGGGATTATGCAGTAGAGCCACGGGAATCATCATTAGCGGGAGGCAGAGGCCCAATGAATTGCTCCTAATATGTGACGAAGGAATGCTCCCATATCCAACCATGAACTCAGAAGTCCAACTGTTAAGATACAGAACATTTGACGTGAAGAATGTCCATATAGTTCCCACGCTTAACAAATCATGTCCAAAATCTAGTCTCAGAAACAACTGAGCTTTGAGTCTTTGGTTTCTATGAGGAATGGCAGAGTTAATTCCCTGCGTTTAGACTATGAAATGCCCGAAGGGGGAATTAAGGATAGGCATAATGATGTAAACGGGGTGAATTTATACGCTTAGATGTCGACCATTGCACATATCAATGACCAAAATGTGTTGCGACTCTAGTTCACGCTATGTGTGTACATGCTAGCAACCACTCATTGTCATCTACCCCAAGTACGAGAATGGAATGATAAATTTGATAAAGCCAGGCATCGCCCTCTGCGTTGGGGCAATGATGATCACGGGGACGGTCACGCCAATATCGAGTAATGAAATCATTCTACAGTCCCTGCCCAAGGACGACCCTAACTACCTGGTATCAAGGAAGAACATTCTCGAAGGGGTTTCCAGCGTAACATACACTTTCGTAGGATTTCAGAGACGTTTCATTGTGTGGGTCTATGCATCCATACCAATAGGAAGTGCAGATGTGGCGAGTCACGGACGGAACATCGTATGTGGAAATTTTGCACCATCTGAGACTTAAGAACTCCACAGATTCGTGCTTGAATTATCGGGAGAGTCCTTAGCGAGGACTCTACGAAGATATGATACGCGTAGCAACGAATGGCTTCAAACTAGGTGACGTGGCTCAGGCCGGGAATGGGTATGAATTTGGGCGTAAAGCTGCACGAGAGAACACGCTTTCTATCCGGAATGCAAGCGGGCGGGGTAGTCCCTACTAGGCCCTACGCCCCTGTATCGAAAGACGCGGGAGCTATGGTCAGCGCTTGTGCATTGTCCTCATGCAGTGGTACAGTGACAATACTCGCTGTGATGGGCTGCTTTTGGAAACTCGGCGTGCATATTTCAAGCATATTAATGCCCGCATGCAGCGACGATCATGTCCGGGGCGTAATGGCTACACCTAAGGATACCTAAGGATCGGCCGCGTCCCCAAAAATTACGCGGCTAACTTGAACGCTTCGCTGTTCTGGACACGTACCTTGCCTTGACTCCACAAACAGTGTTGTGATATGTCGATTATCTCCTGCACCTCAGATGTCCACATCAGGCCCCGGAGGTCTCGGGTCACTTAACGGCTTCGGTCCCGTGCTTTAGTGTGAAAATGGTCCCGGCCTTTTCCTACTGCTCAGCCCCTCGGCCTGTAATGACTCGCATAGAGACGCGGAGTTCACCGCTCTTCTCCATATTTGTGTTACGACCTTCCGCATCTTACTACATTACGGCATACACTTGATCCTTTCGACCTCGGACTGCCAAGAGATCTGCCATCAGAAACGAATCCGAGGTGCGTGAAGAGCCAGTCGCTAGCCCATGGCAGATGTGGCGATGGCAAGCCGCAATGCTGACTGCCGCGGCAAAAAGGAAGCCTACATGCAGTGATACATCTTCGGAAACATGCGGGAAGAATTAAACGCAAATTCCCAAAGGTTTTGGCTAGTAATTGTTTATGGTGATAGGGACGGGATGCTGACCCTGGTATTGTGTTCTGTTCGTGGCATACTGAATCACACCGCAAAGATGATCTCGAGGAACTTTGACCTAGCAATATCACAGTGATTTTCGTGTGGTAAATGCAATAATAACAACGGCAAGCATGAGATGAGCCAGGTGTCTTGCTGTTTAATACCTGTGAAGTGTACTTGAACCGGAATTTTAATCACAACTTAGCTCTCTGGCCAGTGAAACTAGCTTCCTCAGAGGCATCAATGCCCCTGAATTCAAAGTATCTATTCCACTCCGGATCCTCCAGCAGTCGCTGCATAAGCTCAATCTCGACCGTGACCAGGATTTCCATTCCCTCGTCCCCCCCAGCGGGACCCTTGTGCGGGGGGTAGACAAGGGCCTGGCGCGACACTCCCCCAAACAGGTGCCGAAAAGCACTGGGCTCCGCAAAGCCAAAGTCATAAGTACAGATTTTCGCGTAGCGCCAGTCGGTGAAGAGCTGCGACATTGGCGGGAAGGAGTCGACGTTGATGGACAAGTCCCACTTGTTCCGCACGTGCGCCAGCTTCTGCAGCCTGTCAGCAAGCATACCGGCCGTGACGCTGTCAGTCATCTGACGTGTGTACAGCGCAAGCTTGTATAACGGCGCTGAGACAATCTCGGACACGGTCCACTGCGGCATGTCCAACATGGTTGACGTGATATCGATCTGCAGGTTGCTCTGCATTCGAGCAGGCATTGGGGGATCCGTGAACAACTTGGCTATGCTAACGCCTTCTGCCCAGAGCGGCTTGAAGTTCGGGTCGGGCTTGTAGATAGACATGCGAAGTTTTGTGAGAGTCCGCCACACGAGTGCGCACATGGCATTGTATGTCGAGATCCAGGCACCGCTGGAAGCTGCAGCCTTCTTGAGCTCGGCGGCTCGACTCTTGGGCAGATGGAACAGCATAGATTGCGATGGCTTGTACTGGGTGTTGTCTGTAGCCCGGGGAGGCGCCTCGATTTGGAGTGTTTTGTTTGACGGCCTATCAAAACCCAGGTAACCGAACAGGTTGCGATCGAGGCACCTTGGATCCCATGATGGGAACTCGGATCCTTTCGAAATAGCGTAGCAGTTCTCGGCCAACTGCTGGACGAGTGCGTTGAAGCTTAAGATGCCGTTGCTGTAGTGGTGGGTGTGTATGTTGAAAATAAGACCGCCTGTGATGAAATTGGCTTTGAAGGATGACAGAGCAGGGCTATTGTCAGGATGTGCCTCTGGCTTGTTGCCACAGGTCATAGGAGGGTTGCATAGAATATCGACGTTGCCTAGGGCGCTGGAGAGGAAGTGGCTCTTTGAGATGGTGTCAAAGGATGGGAACTCGTTAGGTGCAAGATTCTGGACAACAAACTGGACGGTACTTGTCTTCTTGCGGACAATGGAATGGTGGCCGTCTGGATCCTTTTCAATGGTGCCGACAAGGTGCCGAGTCTGGCTCAGAGTCCGCTCCAAACCATTCTTCAGTACAGACATAATCTTTCTGCAAGGTATCATGTCAGAGAAAATTCTCCGGGCATTAAAGCAAGGGATGATGCGAACCTCCTCTCGGAATCCTCAACCTTGAAAAACAGTGCCATACTGGTCCAGGTTGTCGTCGTCAAGTAGTCAAGCGTGGAGAGCTTGAAACGCTCCTCCTCTGGGTCAGTCTCCCATCCCAAGGGATGGAGCTGGAACTCCTGCACGGAAGGCATGACAATATTTCCAAACACGTTCAGTATTTGGTATCAGGCCTTGAAATTGAGTTTGTCTGCAAAGACAGTGGAATATCCCCAATGCTAGCTTGCTAAAATGTGAAATTGTCAGTGCTGGTAGGAAAGATCTCCTCTCGGATAATCATTGAGGAGACATGCGGATCTTCAAAAGGTCCCATACGTAGGAATTGGGTCTTTTGATTCGGCTTACCCTAGACGCAGTGCAACTCTCGGATGACGCATGCAGGACCTTCCTAGTCGGGACATATTTCGTCCGCTATCTGAGGCCCACTGGAGCTCCCAGGTTGAACTGTTCTCAAAACAACTGCGCCCAGGCATATTGCAATGCGATGACTAAGATCCGGGTGTTGGTGAAAGACCTGATTCACCATTTCTCTTCTTGGTCAGCTCGCGGACTCAAGCACCTCAGAAACGTTGGCAAGGCCTTGCGTCACAAACTCTCTTTATACCAGCGTGCCTGTCTGTTTAAATGGCCCGGTGGCTTTCCATTGGCAGCTACCGCATGGCTTTTACAATCGGCGCCTATCTAGCATCACCGAGCTCTACATGATAGTCATTGACCTCAGGCTTGTTAGCATGATCTAGGTGACTGGTCCATTATTGTAAGGTTACTCAGCACTGTTTTGATAATCCTACCATTCACTGCCCTAGCTTGTATGACCTTCTCATTAGAATCCAGCTCGCACGCTGCACTGGGGTAGTAGTAGTTTCTATATGCTCTTCAAACGTCGTGGCTGAGGCTAGTTGTTTTTACCGCCTTCTGGATCATACCGCACCAGCTGTTGCCCAGAAGACTCGTCATCTGTGTTGCATTGGTTAATTCAGTTCGTGAGCTATCCAGCCTCCAATTGCCACTACTCACTGGCTCTCCGGCTTGCCGGATTTCAAGGACATGTTTGCCCGATAGAAAGGATCAGACCCCCCCGTTAACAGAGTCTTACTGCCATGTCGGCCGAAGCGAGAAAAGTTTACGGCGTTGGCTGGGGCAAGTTAAGCCACACAATCCTTCCATAACCACGTTGCCCAATCAGGTCACTGTTTCCGGATTCAATCCCTCTCGTGCTGACTTGCCTCGCCCACGATTCCCACCAGGCTGACCAGTAGTTCACTTTCCAATCCCAGAAATCAATGAATTAGTAGCATTGGCTGGAGCGCGCGCTTCGCAGTATATGCATGATGCACAGCCAACTGATGCGCAGCCGAATATGTACATTTTCGGTGAAGTCGTTGCTCAGTTCTGCAACTTGGTGCAAGACTTGTCAGTACAAAGGGATTCGTGCTACTATTGTAACCAATGAGAACAAGTATAAAACGCCCTCTGCCTGCACCCATCTCGTTTTGCCCAAAGACAGCGGCAAGATTGGTACTTTCTTTTGGATGCGACCCCGCTATTCTATTCCTCGAACTGAGCAAGGGGGCTGTTGGGAATCACTCGACAGAGTCAGGTACCAGGTCCAGGCCCTGATGAGCCCAGAAGATCAGCCCGAACATTGCTGCTGCGTTCACAGGCGTTTAGTATGATGGGCAGGAATCTCAGGGTTTTCTCCGTGTCGTCACTCGTACTCAGGTTCATGAGCCTCATCCATGCTCCAGCCTGTTCCGTAAGGGCTTTTCCTGTGGTAGAAAGGGTACAGCATTGAGGCCCAAGACCGAGCTTGGGTCTATGAACAGTCAAGGGTGTATGTAATCTTGAAGGGCGTGTTCCGATCCTAGCAAGATCAAGCGCCGGCATCGGATTGTAGTTGGGCAGCAAGAGATTCTTTCCATGCCTGTGGCAAGGACAACCACAACTAGAAAGGTGCTGGGATCATTGGATGAGGTTAGGCCTGGCGTTCCTTTGGTCGGCGAACGTGGGGAGCGGTAGTTCAATGTGAGCTGAAGTGCACCAAGCCAAGGCATCGCTACGTGTCAGCTAACAAATGGATCTCAAACACCTTAAAAGCGTCCGTCCCCCTCTCCATCTATGTGAGTACGGGGGGCCTTTCTTGTGTCTGCCATTTTGATAAGGCAGGTCTCAATTTCAGCCATCTATCCGGAACTGAATGTGTGCTGACTACACCTGCATACGGATATGTGAGAATCCTGGCACCAAAAGCTGGCATCATCCTATCATCTGCTATTCTGTTGCCTTTTTTTCATTCCCTCCCTAGAGCTTCACGAGCATCATGTCGAGTTCCACCGGCAAATCTGTATCACGAGGGCAGAAGAAAAAGCGGGAGGATGTGAGAGCACTCGATAATAATGATCTGGCAGCTAGAGGCAACGCGTCCTTTCAGGTTACGCCTCCGACCAAGAATGACCGCGAGATCCCACGGAAAGAAAAAAACGATAAACCACCGAGCAAGAAGAAAATTTCTCACCCTAAACCCACGACACCCGCCACTAAGAACTCCTCCGATCCATCTGGATTGGGTCCGGACATTCACTACGAAGAAATTGACAGCTTCAACACCCTCGGTACACAGTATCCAGGTTGCAGCGAGGATCAATCGTGCATAGATGCAAGTCCAGCTTCTCAATTTGCTTTTGCAGGCCAGGAAACCCTGAACCAAGTGTCTCAGGCTCCCGGAACGAACTCGTGGCTGTGCTGGTCCGAGCATGAGGGCTTGTACAATGGACCAGGCTCAAACGATGATGCACTTGAACATGGGACAAGTGTTAGTTCCAGTCAGCTCACCATGGTAGAAGCTGAAGGTCGAGGACATCTGTCATCGAAGTGGCGGGAAAGTATACAGGCTGTAGTTGCTAGCGGTTCAGACTACGGTCCTGTGTCTTCATCAACACAACCGGTGATAAATTCGGAATCACGGCCTGCCACTCGCATGGCAGTGGGTCGCACAGAAAGCTCACGCCTGAACAAGAAGCAAGACTTTTCCCAAAACGTTGCTATTGCGCAGGAGCGTGACTACGAGGGTTGCTCTCGTCAACACACGACACAAATAAACATCACGCAACATCAAAACATTGTTCCCACATTCTCGACATCAGGTCGAGAGTGGCCTGTTCAGTATGGGCGCGTGGAACCAGCCAGCGACGTGAAGGCGCCATCTGAATCCACGGGTTCCAATGAGGGTCAGTACAGCCACAGGCACAATGCAAAGTCAGCCTCATGTAGTGCACAAAAAGTAGCATTACTGGAGGGCAAAATCGCAGAATTGCACAAAAAGGTCAGAAATGAGCAGGACGCAAGCAGAGCTGCGGCAGAAAGAGCGGAGGGTACCCTAAGCACTTTGAGACAGCGGTACCATGAGGACCTACTCAAGGCACAGCAAGAACGACGTGAGTGTGACCAGTCGTGGAAGAAGGAGATGGCAGACCTGCGAGCAGATCATTCCAGGGAGATTGAGAGGCTGGAAATAGTAATCCAGGAGCAGCAACGAGACCAGGAGCTTGAGAAGCAAAGACTCGCCCAACAGCACTACCAAGAGATCTTGGACTTGGAAGCTCATATTGCCGAAACAGAGAGACTGTGGAACAATGATAAAAAGGTTGACGCGGAAAGGTATGAGGGAAAGCTGACAACAATCGCTGCAAGACACAGCGAGACGATGACGGAAATGGCAACAAAGCATGATCTAGAAAAAGGGGCTATCTGTGGAACATACGAGGATCAACTACAACAGGCTAGGGAGGAGTATTCCAGAGATGTTGACAGGCTCACATCTTACATTCTCTCGGACAACATAACCATCCCCGACGCAGACCTCGGCATCGCTTTTGAGAGAATCTCCCAGGGGATCATCGATCTTTCATGTTGCATACAGCAAGAGAGCTACGTGGTCGATGCAGCCCTGGATCCGACTAATTTCCTCGGCCACGGCCGCGGCGAGTTACGAAGCTGGAGCTGGCACAGGCTCTTTAGAAACATCTGCTGGGCGACATTGGCCCGAGGGTTCTTCTCCTACCCTGGCGGGTTGGGTGCGCTAGGGAAGGATGGTAGAGGACATGAGACAATCTATCCCTACTATGAGTTATGTTCAGGTCAGAAGGATGGAGGTAAGTTATGCACAAGACTCGTCACTTGAACACGGAGCTGACGTCCAGTCCTCTCCTCATTAGCTCTGCAAACATGCTTGGACAAAGAGACAAGCTTCTCCAAAGCATGGCTACTAGGCAAGATCCGCGACGGGATTCGTGCCTTGAATGATCCGGCAAGCGACAAGACACAATTCATCACACTGTTTGAGGAGAATATAGAGTCTGTCACCCGTAGCTTGGTGGACGTCCTGGAGAGGGCCAGTGGCGGCAAGTTGAACCCCGAGAGAGTAAGGGAGGTAGCATCCATATCCCGACAAAGCGGTCTTCTGGCGCTGGACATGGGCTCTCAGCGAGCGCAGATTGTCATGCAATGCTGCACACATGAGGAACGGCTTGTGTGGGGTGCTGGCTTTGAGTGCGAATCACCGCCGGTCGGCCTGGAAACGGCCCGGTTGGGCCTGTTGACAAAGCCTTGTTTGAAGCGAGTGGGTGATGGACGCAAGGACTTCACGACGGAGACGATGATTGTGTGTGGCACGTTTGTGCACAGCAGGTCTGGCTGGGCCCAGATGTGACTCTACTAGTGCAATATTGCTACTTCCTTCCCTGCAGATTTGTTTGTCTAAGCCTCAGCCTGATCGTAGAAATTCTGCAATCTAGTGGCATCTTCTGAGGCCTGCTGTGCCCGGCCATACCGCAAATAGAGAAAGACTCAACCAGCTCTACTTCAACTACACATAACAGGACCGAGAGAGCTGGGCTATTGCTCAACCGGCGGTAGTTTTGGGCACAAAGGCCGCAGATATGCAACCTCCGTCACACAGTTTGTGAGGAAATACCTACTTCTTGACGATGAGCCCAATGCAGCGGCGTATGTCTGCATTGTATTGCATGTTTGCAGCCTTGAGTGAACACGGGGTGGGGTTCTGTGCTGCCTCTGGGAGTATTATGCTACGACACACCTTGCATTTATAGGGTTTGCCGCTTCGAGCGGCCGCCCAACATTCATGCCCAAGGCGTGCTTGGATCGTCAAGCCTTCTGCTAATAATAGGGCTTACATTTGAGACCCGACAGTACCTAGAGTGACATCTCATTTTTGGGCAGCGAAGCAGTGGCGGCTCCGTTCGTAACTGATGCAGGCATTTCCGTCTGGTTGACTGTTCCCTTGGGTTATGCAAAGGAGCCAGCAAGCACTCAATAATATGTTTCTTCGGCAATGCACTTGAGTCGGGCGATCGGATAATGGGGTCGATCTCATCTGCAGGTTGGCTGTCCATACGGACGGATGAAGAGATCCCGGGATGGCGGGCAGGGGCAGAATGTGCAAGCTGATCATTGTAGGGCGCAGAGACACAGGTAATCGCTAGTTGCAAGCGCCGAGGAGAGGCCGCCTGCAGGTTTGCGGTTGCATGCGTTTTGGTCAGGGGCTGCCTGCACTGCGGGCTCAGCTGGAAGCCCAGCAATAACTTCGTCAATATCCAAGGGGGGGGGCGCCTCGGGTGCAGAGCATCTACCGCGTCACAAATCCTTGTTGCCTTGGAGCCACGAACTGTATTGTACCTTACTGATTACATCTTGCCCTGCGTCATGGGTGTTATGAAGCAGCAAACCCAATGCTAATAAAATCAAATTCATCTTATTTCGTCCAGAACTACTACTTGCTTTGCTGTTCTTGCTAGATGTTGTTCCTCTGAAACAATGACGTTAACTACTCCATCAGCTTAAATCTAAGCACCCTTCCGGTCCTGCTTGATAAAGTCGGCCGCCCTCTCAGCCACAGCGTACACCGTGGTCTGGATATTCCCCAGCTGTTCCAGAGGGAACACGCTCGCGTCCACAACACGCAGCCCGCGCACCCCATACACGCGCAGGCGGCTGTCCACCACGCCGCCCAGCTCGCGCGGCAGCATGGCGCAGCTGCTCGTGGGGTGCTGCTCCGAGACCTGGTACTGCCGCACGATCTCGCGCGCGCCCTCGAGGTCGTCGGCCCTCATGTCGGGCACGCGCTTGCCGCCCTCGCGCAACAGGCCCGCAAAGGGCTGCGTCCGGACAAGCGTCTCCACGAAGCGCAGGCCGCGCGCCAGGATCTCGAGGTCGGCGGCCTCGGCGTTGTAGTTGGGGTCCCAGACCGGCTTGTCGGCGACGTCGGGGGAGGCGATGTGGCAGGAGCCGCGACTGAAGGGGTAGTTGAGGACGCACTGGACGGAGACGAAGTTCTCGGGCTCGCGGGGGATCATGAGCTCGCCCAGGCTCTTAGGGTGCGGCGCGATGATGGCCTGCGTGGGGTACAGGATGTACTGCACGCCTGGCTCGTCTGGCTTGGTGAGGAGAGACCTGAGGAGCTCGTGCTCAGCATGGCGGGCAGCGACAGCCGTGTTTGACTGGTTGGTTGGGGCAGAAGCGGGCAAGTGCTCGTCGAACAGAGTCTTGCGCGCCTCGGCACTGAGTGAACCTTCGCGGTCTACCAATGGTGCGTAGGCGCAGGTCAGAACGCTCTGCCCCATGGGACCTTCGCGCGTCTCCTGATACTGCGCGATTGCACCTTGCAGCAGGCTGGGGTCACGAAAGATGTCGGCTGATGGAACGCCATCCGCAACTTCGAACGATATGAGCACGGAGGGATGGTCCTGCAGATGCTCTCCAACGTTTGGATTGTCGACGATAACAGAGATCCCGTGCTTCTCCAGGAGGCTCTTGTCTCCGATGCCAGAAAGCTCGAGGATCTGCGGTGTCTGGAGCGCACCAGCCGCCATGATGACTTCGGTCCGCGCGTTGATGGCCCGCTCAGAGCCATCTTTAGTCCGGATTTTGACACCTGTGGCCACCGGCTCTGCTTGACCAGATGTGTCGAAGATGATCCTGCTCACTAGAGTCTCGGTCATGACAACGAGATTGCTCCTGTCGCGGATCTCCGGGGTGAGGTAACCGCTGGCGGCATAGCTTCTCGTCTTGGTCGCGGGGTCAATGCTCGCCGGGCTCTGGAAAGCCCCGACGGCAGTGCCCTTGCGTGGGTCGCTGGACATCTTCAAGCCCAGGTTGGCAAAAGCATCGGCCCAGGCCGTATTAGTAGTGTTGTATCCGCTGCCGAACGACAGTTGGATCGGCCCAGACTCAGCCTCGGATACGGAAGGATCATACTGGCCGTCTTTAACACGGGCAACCTCTCGTGCCGCATCGGCCGGCTCGTGCGTCCTGGCAAACTTGCGCAGGTATGGCTCAAAGGAGTCATATGTCCAGCCGTTGTTCCCGAGAGCTCCCCAGGCATCAATGCTGCCACGGCCAGGCCACGCGACGAGCATGAGGTTCAAAGCTGAGCTCCCACCCAGCATCTTGCCTCCGCCTCGTGGGATCGTGCGATTGTGCAGCGTTGGCTAGTAGACAATAATCAGCTGCTGTAGCCAACTACGTATCTAGCGGCAAGAGTGAAAGACCGATGCATCCGGCTTACCTGCGGGGTGGAATGAAAGTCCCAGTCATACTTGTCGTTGCCGAACAGGGCGGGGAGGAGTCCCGGAGTCAAGACGAGAGGATCATTGGTATTATCCTGACCAGCTTCAATGACTAGTATGGTCACCTCGGGGTCCTCACTGAGACGTGAAGCAACAACCAGGCCCGCAGTGCCTCCACCCACGACGATATAGTCGAACGTCTCCGGACTGCTGCTTTCTGTGGTCGGTGCAGCCGTCATTCTGTTCGGTGTTTAGATGATTCCAAGTTGAAAGGATTCTACGCAGGACTTGAGGCCCGCGAAGGAATAAATAGTACTCTCAGTCTAGGCAGTGCTTACGAGCAGAGGGTGTGGGAGATCGCCATCGTTCATCATTGGCTGCCATGGAGTGGTGGCTAGTCCAGCGAAGTGGGCAGTGAACGTACGTTGTTGAATGAAGATCCTAGCATTCCAGCAGGGGCTTCTCTCCTCCCTGCTTGGCCAACGCAGTGTCTGCCAGCGGTGGACGTTCGTTCTCGAGCTGGCACCGAATCGATTTGAGGGGTTTCCCCAAGGTTCTTTGGTTGGTCCATTACACCCCACCGTCTTGAGCAGGTTGTGCCCTCATTCGGTTAGTTGTGACATCATGCATGGATTTGCTATTCTTGGAAATTGACTTAGGATTATCGCGATGTTGACGGTATCTTGTAGCTACAAGTTATCTCTCTGGATTTGCATCGTCAAGAAGACGGCGAAGTTTACAATATTGAGGCATGCCTCCCTCCTCCCTACAGGGTTGAGAGTAGTCCAATTGGGTTGTGGAGTCTAGGATCGGCAATTGCAACGGCCAGGCCAGGGGTACGCCTGACCCTGGGCTCAAAATGCAGGGAAAGATTTGTAATTGTCGAACATTGTCTTCACCGCAACCTCGTCTCGCCAATAGGGGTCCAGTGGTGCTGAGCAGCACAACATGGGGTTCAGAGTGATGCTCGCGTTCTTGTGTCGATCATTCTTCTTTAACGCACCATCCCTGTATAAACTGATAGGTTGGATCAACAATTGAGAGGACCTCTACTGCTACCTATCATTTGCCTTCGTAACGAGGCTTTTCATAGCTATCTTCTTTCCTGATGCATACTGTCTAGGGGTGTTATCAAAGCACAGTTTTGTAGGTTGATCTATGGTGTTTACCGAGAGCAAGCCAGGTCATACTACCTACTTCTCTAGAGTGCACAGCTATCGACAGTCTCGAGACTCGGCACTATATTGAACATTTCTCCTTGAGATCCTAGTTGTTGCCGTCATGATCATCATCATCGCCATCGTCTCCACCGCCGTCACGGGGAGGAGCAGGACTAGCATATTTATCTAGCTTGTTCTTCTTCAAGAATTGGTCCAGCAGCGCAGCCACCTTGTCGTTGTCCATGTCGGCAAAGGCGATGTGCGTGCTGCCCTTGAGCCCGACCTCGCCGAGCTTGAGCACCTCGGCGTTGCCGCCGTACTTGTTGATGAGCTCGGCGGCCAGGCGCGACTGCTTGACCGACTCCATGTCCTCGGCGCGGTTGTCGCCCCAGACGAACTGGATCGCCGTCACGTTGGCCAGCTTCTTGAAGCGCTCGAGGGGCACGACAAAGGGGCCGAAGCCGCCGCGGCCGGCCTGGACGCCGGCGTTGTCGGGAAACACGTAGCCGATGCTCTCGTAGGTGACGATGCCCTTGATGTTGGTGCCGTTGCTCTTGGTGGTGGTCATCATGGCGCGCAGGCCGCCGGCCGAGTTGGTCAGGTAGACGATGGCGTCGCCGAGGCGGCCCGAGTCGGCGGCGACGGCGGCGGCGTGGGACTGCAGCTCGACGTTGGCGGCGGTGTCGAACTCGTCGTAGCGGGCGCGCGTGGCCTGGTCCCAGGCGGCGGGGCTGTGCGTCGGGAACTGCACGCCGGGCCACCACATGGGGTACCGGGGCCCGAAGTTCCAGGCGCCCCAGTTGCCCTGGTCGCGGTACTGCGGGACGTAGGTGATGGGCTCGCAGGCCCAGTTGGCGCGGCCGACGCGGGGCCCGTCCCAGAGGTAGACCGGGTAGTCGCGGCGCAGGAGCTTGTCCTTGTAGCCCTCGCCGCCGTCCCAGCGGTTCTGCCAGACCTGGGTGCTGGAGCTGTGCCAGAGGACGATGGAGGTGGCGCGGGCGCGGGCGGGCAGGAAGTACTCTACGTAGCCGTGGTCGCAGGACAGGGTCATGTCCGGGTTGCCGGGGGCGGAGATGGTCCTGCCGCCGATGGAGAAGCCGCCGGAGCGGTCGAGGACGATGGGGCGGCGTTTTTGGGTGCCATTGCCTCTGTCTGGCTCGGCGACTGCAGCTGCGGAGGCCGTGGCCGTGAGGAGGTTGAGGATGAGCGAGCGCAGCGACATGTTTGGTGAGTGCCGACGAGCAAGCTGTGGCTGGGACTTGAAGCTGCGGCAAGAGATGCCAAGAGCGGCGTTTGGGAGGACATATTGAGCGTCATGGGAGTGGTCATGACTTATACGAGAGGTGAGTTCCGTTCCGCCACAGGCCAATGTCGGTCAAGCCAACACCCAGAATCCTGTCACATCTTTTAACCCCGTCCAGAATCCAAAGTGCCGAGGAGGGCGAAGATTAAAAATCCGGGGCAGATATAGGGCAGGGCAGGATGGTGCAGCAGATGATATTGGATGCTGACTGCTCAAACCACTGTCGCTTTTGCCAGAGTGCAGATGCTCCCGGGCTGGGGACGAGACATTCAGCCGATGCGCGAACCGCGTCATGTAGGCTTGCGAGTGCTATGGAGTTGAGCGGTACGCCAGCAAGGAAACCATGCAGCCCTACCTTAGGTCATTGATCAGCCGTCCCTCGGGAGCGATGACTACCTAGGTACTACCTAGGCACCCTGTTGCAATGTTTGCATTGCGAGGTCTTTCCGTAGGATGACGTTGATGTCGCTATCACGCAACAAAGCGGTCTCGAGTCCCCATTGTTTGTGTCTTTGCGCTGCCGCGAATATACACGAGAGACTGCAAGCAGCATTCAAACCTCTCATGGCTGGCCGGTGTACAGAATGGATTGTTCTCTCCTTCACCACCACACACCTGTCCTGTGGGCATCTTGGTGTGAAGTTGGACAGGTGGAGGAGCTGAAAGTCCAAAGCACTCAGGGGTATCAGGTAGGGATTTTGACACTTCCCACTTCTCCGGGCTGCTTCTGCACCATTAGCGCACAGGCCACAGCGCCGTCTCTAGCGTGAATCACTGTAATGAGCGTTGAAGATGTCCACTGGCCAATTGAATCGGCGCCCAGCGAGCCCACCTGCATTTGTTTGATGACGACAAAGCTGCCCAGCCAAGCTCTCCCGCGTCTGTAGCCAGCTCTCGACTCGAGTCCTCCTTGCTTCTTTCGCACCGCCCTTGAATGAGCACGGCCAAACCTCCTTGCCTCCAGTCGATGCGCACAAGCGCCTGTCCTCGGCTGCGACACGCAGCTCCGCCATGACGAGACGACCATGTCCGCGCCCGCGCCGTCGTCCTCGCGTCCCCTCCTGCTCCCGCAGAACCGCCGGCTCCGGCACCTCCGGGGCCTCTCCCTGCGCAACCTGAGCTTCGCCCGGCCCCGCGGCCAGACCATCGACGATGCCGCCATCAACATGTCCCCCAGCAAGCTCGAGACCCTGCGCGAGACCTCGAGGCTGCACCACACCCACTCGAGCGAGAACCTGCAGCTGCGGCCCCAGGCCGGCAGGCGCCGCCGCAGCACGGGGCTTGCCGGCGCCAGCCCGCTGTCCCGGCAGCGCCAGCTCGAGATCACCGTCGAGGCCAAGGTCGCCGACGTCTTCTTCACGCTGCACTGCCTCGGCGACGAGGACCCGGTCTACATCAGCGAGGTTGGCGAGCGCGCTACGGTAGGCGATGGAGATCTACGTTGATTCTACGCGACGTAGAGTTCCTGCTAATACTCGGGCGCGCAATCTAGAACTTCAATTTCCGATCCTTCGAGCTGTCCGAGTGGGAGCCCTTCATCACGAGATCGCCACAAGTCACGGTCAAGGTCTGGGCCGACCGATATCAGAAATGGCAGCTCCTGCTCGAGGAAGAGATCGACCTGCGGTTCCTCAGCTTCCTCGGCGAACTACAAAATATACACTTCCCCCCGAACAGCCTCATATTCCATCTCATCGACGGCGTCTACGCATACGGCCTCAAGGGCAAGATCCCGCCTCCCAAACGCGGCCCGTCGCTCCCGACCTCCTCCTACAATGCTCTCATGAAGCTCGCGACCCTCGATAATTCCGTGCAAGATGCACTGGCCACACAAGAGAAGCTCGCTGCCCAGATCAACGACATCCTCGAGCGGGAGACGGTGAACGAGTTGCCCGAGGCCCAGGACAAGCTCAAGCTCGCGACGAAATACGTATCCCAGCAGCGGAGAACGCTCGCGGCCGCGCAGAAACGACGAGACGAGCTCAAGGCCTCGATACAGGCCCGCCGCGAGGCCATCAAGCTGGGCCGCGACCTGCAGGAGAAGGCGGCGAGGGACGTGGAGAACGCGCGAGAGAAGCTCCCGGGCTGCCGGGAGGCGCTCGACCGCACAAACGTGGACATCCGGGGCCAGCGCCGCCGCATCTGCGAGGACCTGACCAAGATCTTCCCCATCACGCCGGTGCCCTCGGGCGAACCGCTAGCCTTCAGCATATGCGGCGTCCGGCTGCCCAACACGGCGTACGGGCCCTCGTCGCTCTCCAGGTCGTCGTCGTCGTCGTCGTCGTCCCCGGCGCCGGGCGAGGACGAGCTCTCGGCGGCGCTGGGCCTCGTCGCGGCCCTCGCCTTCGCCCTCGAGCACTACCTCGGCGTGCCCCTGCCATACGAGATCCGGCGCTTCGGCTCCCGCTCCACCGTCCGCGACGACATCAGCATGCTGCCCGACCAGCAGCGCGAGTTCCCCCTGTACCTGCCGCGCGGCGGCTCGAGCGCCCAGTACCGCTTCGACTACGCCTGGTTCCTGCTCAACAAGGACGTCGAGCGCCTGTGCAACTCGCAGGGCCTCCGCGTCGTCGACATCCGCCACACGCTGCCCAACCTCAAGTACCTGCTGTACGTGTGCAGCGCCGGCTCCGACGAGGTCCCCGAGCGCAAGAAGGGCGGCGTCCGGGGCCTCTGGGCCGGCCGCATCCCGGGCCGCCACGGGATGGCGGCGCTGAGCGTGGACGAGACGAGCAGCAGCGCGGGCGGGAGCCGGCGGGGCAGCGGGGACAGCGAGGCCCTTGGGGCTAAGCAGGGCGACGAGCTGAAGAGGGTGCTTGGCGGGGCGAATGGGAATGCTGCGCGGGGGAGGGACGGCGTTACTGGCGCTGGCGCGGTGTTTGGGCTGCCGTTTGATGAGACCGAGACCAAGATGACACTGCGGACGAAGGGGTTGAGGGAGCACGTGGGGAGGTAAAAGGAGATAACGATGAATAATGTTAGAGCTCTTCGTCAGGTCTGCTGGAAGCGTGTATTCTATGTATACACTGATACGGTCCTGAGCCTGGAGGTCTTCAGGCTGTCTGACTTCCGGCCTGGTCTAGTTCTAGCCTCACAGGCAGCCCTTAGAAGTGTGTATTAGCGTAGCTATTTCATGGACAGGCTGAGGCAGAACCAGGTTACACAGTTGGTGCTGCAGCTTGTCAAGCTGCCTGATGCCTGAGATGCATAGTTAAGGTAGTTCTCGAGGGTTCGATTCGTCGACAGGCAGAGGATGGTGGGCACCTCGTACACTAGGCCTCTTCGAGACTGGTGCCGTCAGATATCCCATCGGCCAGTACATGTACTCCGTATGCGAGATCTGGTGTAAGCAGGCCGGCCTCTCGCAACATCCAGTCTCTCAACCTCTCGTTCCAGCTCAGCCCATTTCCTCTCCAGTGACTCCATCCGCCCTGGTGTCTTCTCGCATCGTTCTTCCGGCGGCATGCTCAAATGAAATTTACGAGTAATCCACGATGGTCAGAGGCTCGAGGCAGTTCCACTCCAAGTCCAGGAGGGTAAGCACTCTCGGACTCGCCCCTCGCCTCATTGAGGTCGAAGCTAGCAGACGGGCTCACCAGATAGATAGGGCTGTGGACAGTGCAAGAAGAGGCATGTAAGAGTAGGTCTATGCCGACACTAGTTCGTATCACTTGCAGCACTAACCCGGGCACAAGTGCAATCTCGAGGCGCCCATCTGTTTCAACTGCCGCAGGCGGGGCGAGCCGTGCGACTACCTCGACACCCTGTTCGGTCTCGAGTCCTCGGCGTGGTCTAAAACGGACCAGTCCCTGTCACTGGAGCTCGACAGCGTTGTCTCTGACCTGCCCATGGCCACGCTGCACTGGTTCCTCAGCACGATACCCGTCTTCCCGGTCCTGTCTCCGGCCGAGACTGCCTGGCTCGCAGGCATGCTCCAGCAGCAGGTGCGGGTATCGCCCTTCCTCAAGCTCAGCATCGTCTCCGTCTGCGAGATGCGCGAGTGGGTCGACTCGGGCGGCTCGTCGGATGCGCTCTACGTCGCCGCGCACCAGCACAGCATCGACGCGTCGACCCGGTTCCGGCTGACGCAGCTCGCCGTCAGCGACAGGAGCTGGCCCGCCGCGCTCGCATTCGGCCTCAACAACATCATTTTCCAGTTTGCGCAGAGCCAGCGCGTCCACGGGGTCTTTGACTACATCACCGTGTTTCGCGTTCTCAGGGGCACTCTGAGTCTGACAGCTCATTTGCGGCCCTTTCTCTTCAGCGATCCCCTGCATGGGCTGCTGGCATTGCGTTTGAAACAGCCTCCCGCTGCACTGGACCGCGCCGCCGCTGAAGCTCTGCAGCGGCTACAGGGTCTCGACAATGTTCATGTTCATTGTGCGAAAGCCATCGTTTCCCTGGCCGGCTGGGCCCGTGCTGTCAACGGCCACCCGAGGTCGTGGCTGCACTTCATCGGCTGGCCCGTCGCGGTGACCCCCGAGTACTTGGACATGCTCGAACAAGGAGACTCGCTGTCTCTGGTCATCTTCGCCCACTGGACTGCCTTTATGCACCGCGCGCCGCCACGTTGGTTTTCGAAAGGCTGGGCGCGGAGAGCCGCCACGGATGCAATGGCAAAGGTCGATCAGGCGTGGAGGGAGCATCTTGATTGGCCGATGGCGGAGGTAGGTAATGAGACTCCTCCTGAGTGTGAGGTAGTCGTGTCCACTGGTTGACGGTTTGAGGGGAATTTCCTTGGGTCGCTTCCACTGTTTACAAATCATGAGTCTATGGAGGATGGACAGCATGTGTCTGACCTTTTACTCCTTCAACCTCTACCCCAGCGCCATCCCCTTCTATTTCCAAGATATTCGAATATTGACTGGACTCTTGTGGGCCGGCAAATCCCAACCTCTCCCGCGGTGCCCAGCCGCGGTGCAATCGTCGTCACGGCATCTAGAGAGAACAGACATTCGCGCTAGGCAGTGACTCATACCACCTGGCCGCAGTACACAGAGCAAATTCGTACTGAAAAAATTGCAGACTGCTGTATGGGTGTGATCTTGTCGGGAATCTCATACCAGGTCATAGTGTCAAGGAGTCCGACGGCCCTGTACAAGAGCAGACTTGAGATTCGGAGAGCGCCGAGGCACAGTACCCCGTCACCTAGCCAGAAGGTCGGCCGTCTTCTTGCTCCTCGACGTAGCAGTTTCTCGAGCCTATGTGCTCCATAAATGGAGATTATCTTCCGAATATGAGCAAGAGATTCCTGTGTGGCTCAGCTTGGAGTCGTGGATTTAGCAGCATCTTCTTATTGATAGACCGAAAAATGCACATAAAAACCCTGAACTCAGCCCACGCGCCATCCCTCCGGTGTGATTGAACCGTTCCGGATTAGTATTGATGAATTTTGACTTTCTGATCCTCATCATGCCCACGAAACGCGGTCTCTTGGTCTGAAAATGGGTTCTTACATAAGAGGTACAAGGCATATGGCAATGGCGCGAGACGCTCGCTTTAAAATGTTTAACTGGCGGAGCTGCTGTAAGCAAACTATTTTTGGTGTCACTTTGTAGCCTGACGGCTTTAACATGGCCTAAAAGGGAAATTCCATCTTTCCCAAGATATCGTTGTCGTTGCTTAGCCCCGATCGGATTGGACAACGCCCATACTAATGAAGTCCGAGATCCTGAGATTCTGCACACAGCCTCGGAGTTCTTGATAGACTCGAGAGTATAATGAAGGCAGAAGTCTTCACGATGTTCGACATGTATCGCCAAACCAGATATAAGTTCGATGCTCATCCTGCATGAGTGAACTTCTCGTTTTCAATCGCCTCACCTCACTTCACTTAGAATCAACCAATCAATCGTCCTTTTATCACGCAATTACCAGCTCGAGCCAACTTGACAATCCTAAACTCAAATTAAAACACAGATTTCTACCACAATGCTTCCCTCTCAGATCACCGCCTTGGCCACCATCCTGCTCGCCGGCGTCTCCACAGCCGCAGTCGCCGCCCCGGGCCAGGCTCTCTCCCCGTCCTTGTGCATCGACGGCGAGGTCAAGACCGTCACGGCCCAAGAGGCCCTCGAGCAGTACGGCATGGCCGGCGCCGTCAACCTGGACGACTTCCCCACCATCAGCTCGGAGGACTCGGTGCAGGTGTGCGCCAAGGGCTGGGCGCCTGCCCAGGTGCGCGAGCGGGCGAACCTGTGCCCTCCCAACTGCTACAAGAACTGTGGCAAGCTTATCTGGCCATGGGCCATCTTTGGGTGAGGTCTTGTCAGTTCAACCTGTGTAGGAGATACGTAAACTAATAGCCGAACCAGCTGCTTCGCGACCAAGTGCGAGAAGTGCTGGAATTAGGACGTTTGCGAATCTCGTGTGCGGACCGGGGTTCGCTGGGGGGGCAGGAGAGTTGGCATAGGGGTGGCGTTTTGCTCTTTGCATTGATGTCAAGAATGCACGATTCAATCACTACAAGATTGCAAGGATGACGTGGATTTTCAGACTCCGTCAAGAGTGTACTTGGAGGCTGTCTATTGTGTGCTGCCTTTCGAGAGCACCACATCGTTCCTAACAGAGTTGCCTGATCCCATAGACCAGGAATTACACCTCATTACATATCTCGGATCTTACTCGGTCTTGGCAACCGGAGCACCGGCGGCCTCCACGGGCCCCTCCTCCTTGGACTTTCTCGCCACCGCCGCCGCGCCCTGCTCGGCGTGGGAGAGCTCAAAGTCCTGGCTCTTGGCCGCGGCGTGGGCCATGGCGCGCGTGCTCTCGCAGACGTAGCCCTTGAACTTGCGCGCGGGGACGCGGGCCTCGAACATCTCGTGGATCTCCTCGAGCGTGCGGTCCTTGGTCTCGGGGATGAAGAAGAAGGTGAAGACGAGCAGGATCATGTTGGACCCGAACCAGATGTAGCCGTACTTTGCGTTCCAGCCCAGGCTCGCCGGGTTGATGAAGTAGGGCGCCGTGAAGACGCCGAGCCAGTTGCCGAGGAAGTTGAGCGCCGTGCCGAGGCCGTAGGTGTGCGCGCGCAGGTGGTTGTTCGGGTACTCGCCGCCGAGGAGCCAGGCGTAGGGGGCTGTTTTTGTGACACGGGATTAGCTTGGGGATCTTTTTGGATGTTATGGGTGGAGAGTGTAAGAAGGGGAGATGCAACGTACCGTAGGCGACGTAGAAGAACGTAAACAGAGAGATGAAGGCGATGACGCACTTGGCCGCGGCGACGGAGCCCGGCGCGACGGTCCAGGTGATGGCGAAGGCCAGCTGGCACAGGCCGCAGGCGGCGACGCCGACCATGACGATGAGGCGGCGCTGGACGTGGCGGACGAAGAACAAGCTGCTCAGGACGCCGATGAGGCCCATGCAGGTAACCATGGCGGAGTAGGCAAAGGCGTTGTCGACGCCGGCGATGGTGAGGAAGTAGGTGGTGTAGATGTTGATCCACGAGGAGCCTGTGTGTGTGTGAGTGTGAGCACAATAACATTGAAATGGCAGGATCATAGCAAATCATGGTAGTGACTGACCGTTGGCGCAATGGAAGCAGATGATGGCGATGGACAGCAGCGTGCGGCGCAGGTTGGTGCCCTTCCACAGCTCGAACCACAGCTGCTTGCCGTTCTGGTGGTTCTCGATCTGCTCGGCCGTGGATACGCGGATCTCGTTAAACTCGGCCTGGAACTCGGCCTCGTCGATGTCCTTGTTGCGCAGGCGGCGCAGCGAGCGCTCGGCCTCGTCCGTCTTGCCCTGGGTCATGAGCCAGCGGGGGCTCTCGGGGAAGAAGAAGAGGCAGATGGACTGGATGGTGGGCGCGACGAAGAAGACGGCGAGCGGGATGCGGTAGGCCTCCTTGCCCGGCATGAGGTGGGTGCCGTAGTCGACGGCGGCGCCCGTGATGGAGCCGATGGACAGCTGGGACTGGTAGATGGCGAAGACGATGCCGCGCAGGTGGGCCGGCGAGACCTCGTTGATGTAGACCTGCGCAAAGGTGAGGAACCAGCCGACCGAGATGCCGAGCACGAAGCGGGCAAAGTACAGCGCGCCGAGGTTGGTCGTGCCGAGCATGATGGCCGTGGAGATGAAGTTGAGCAGGGAGGCGACCCAGAGGCCCTGGCGGCGGCCGAAGCGCTGGGAGAAGGGCCCGACGAGCAGGGAGCCGACAAAGGTGCCGATGGTCATGAGGGACGAGATGAGCTGCTGGACGGTCGGGTCGATGGCCCACTTGTGCATCTTCTCGTCGTAGTAGCCGAAGACCTTGAGGAAGCCGGGCATGGCCATGAGGCCGCCGACGAGGGCGTAGTCGAGGCCATACTGGAAGCTGGAGACGGTGACGATCATGCAGATGCCCAAGCACTTGAGATGGGATCGTACGTCGAGCTTCAGCGGATTCGCCGAGACGTTGGAGGCGCCTCCGGCCATCTTTGCTGTCGACTTTGGAGGGAGACGAGGCAAAATGGATGGCAAATGGAGGCGAGAATGGGTCTCTCGATGTGTGGGGAGAAGTGAAGAGCGAGAGAGACCGAGTACAAACAATCACCTCGGACTACAAACAGACAAAAACAGGTCTGATGAAGCTCTGTTTCTGGGGTGCCGTGACAAAGTGTTGGAGAGAGTGGACTACCCCGGACTCTTTAAAATAGTAATTCAAAGTTCACGCGTACGGGGTTGGAGACCAGATGGCGAAGGGGCCCAGATCGGATCCCCTCACCGCGTCTCTCTAGCCTTAGCAAATCTTATTTGAATTGCACGCAACGAGACTCGCCAGAGCCAGCACTGGGGAGTCTGGTCGGTGCGTTTGTGCCTAGCTAGCATGTATTCGAGGCAAACCCCACACTCGGCCATGCTGGGATTCATGCCGAAAAGCAGCATTGCATGCAATTGCCGATTATTGCCTTTTCCGCGTTTGGAGATAGTCCGGTGTGGCTTCGCCAAAGGGAGGGGAAGCTGATTGCTGGCGTGCTCTGGAGCAGGGAAACAGATTCCCGGGTATGTGAGATGAGCTGTCTGGCACGGCTGGCTTTGACTTCTGGAGACCGATCTACGGAGGAGGGAGATTGGGGCAACTTGCTACTGGCCGGGGACGATGGGGACGCTGGGGACGCCCCAGACGAGAATGGGGATAGACTGGGGATAGCATGGGGATGGAAGATGGAGTAAGGGGGGAAGGTTGGTCAGCAAACCCGTCCGGTGTTGATGATTGGAGAGACTGGTGATGTCTGCCCCAAGCATTCCCCATCCAAGTACGGAGTAAGGTCTCAAGCCTTCGCTTCCACATATGTTTAGCACGTCGCCCAACAGGGCGCTAGCCTGTTGTCCGAATCATTAGTGTGGAGAGTTGAGACATGGGGAGTGACGGGGACGAAAGAAGCGGAGCAGGAATGGCGAACTAGCGACGCGATCACGGCCTTTAGCACAACTCGGCCGTGTCAGCAGGAGGGCACATGCACAGAGCGGCGATCCTCGACTGGAATCGAGCGCTCCAGGGCTGCATCGGCAGTTCCCTCTGCAGCGAACTCTACGGCGTGTAAGCGATGACAAACACGTGTTGGAGGAGAAGGATACCGATGCCGGGATACCGATGCCGGCGTCAATATCAAGCGCCGGTCTCAGCATTACATGTCTCGATTCTCTTCCTCGGCCGACACTGCTGCCAGCTCCCAAGCGCCCAAGCCGGGTGGCGGCACATGGTCTCTGACAAGCGCCACCCGGTTCACCAATCCCAGCGCTGTGGTTCTGACGGCTTCACTCAATCTCGCCTCCAGTAGAGTTGCTCCGGGATCCGAAATACCAGGAGGCCGCCGTCCGGCAGCGCATTGACCCAGAGATCTGAAGCTAGGTATCACCAAATGTTGCCTCTTTCCGCCTAGTCTTCGGCGTCGGTGGCCAGAATGATGGCAACCTTTAAGGTTATTACGGAGTAGACATGTCACTCACACCGACCCCGATTTTTCCCCAATGTGTCCCCAGAACTATGAGTACCTAGCTCCAAGCTTGTCTTGGTCGTGGAGGGTCGGCATTTGCCTATCTCGAGCTTACCATATGGTCGGAGCAGTAGCAGACAGAGCACATCCAAGATCTGGTCCATGGCCATTATTTAATCCATCCCCCACACGCTGGGAGATAGGTAGGTAGATCCAACTCCAGCTTCCCAAGCCACCTTGATCCAGGCGGGGCATAGCCCAGACAGTACCTAGGTATGTAGAGTGGGGAAGACTGGAAGAGCCAAGTGAGGAATGGGAATAACGAGAAATGTCATCTATGGATCCATCAAGTGAACCAACCCTTTAGCCTCTGTCAAGAGAAGTTGAGCACTGCTGTGGGGACCAACCACCGAAACGCCATCCCCCGCATTTTCCGATGTCGCCCTCCCAGGACTCGGTACAACTGGTTCCTCCCCTCGGGAATCGCCCTCCTGTCGGCCTCGACGCCGATTCGAGTCCAGCCCGCAGTCTTTCTGCGGGACACTCTTGTATTATCAATGTTCCTGCGGGGTGCCAGCTAGTTGCACATAAGTTGCATGATCAGCCCTGGTCTGGTGGAGGGGGGAGATATCATTATCATCATAAAGTCATACAACCACCGCCAGCGTAGCCACATACTTATCTTTAGCATCTGTCCTTGGCCAAGACATTATCTTACCCCAAGTCTTTGGTGATTCATCTTGAAGTGTCAAGACTGAGAATATTCTCATACAACTTCACTCGTCCCATCCCGAACCGCCCTCTTCCCCTCACACCACCACACCACATCACCACATCACAATGGGCTCCCTCGGCCAGACCGCGTCCCTGCGGGTGCAGCCCCTCAAGAAGGGCACCTCGATCGACCACCTCGAGTACGTCGACGTGACCCCCATCATCGGCCGCGAGTACCCGACCGCCTCCCTCAAGGAGATGCTCGACGCCCCCAACTCGGACGACCAGCTGCGCGACCTGGCCATCACCATCTGCGAGCGCGGCGTCGTCTTCTTCCGCAAGCCGCAGGACGACCTCTCGGTCGAGGAGCAGAAGCACATCACCGACCTGCTCGGCAAGCTGACCGGCCGCCCGGCCGAGAACGGCCTGCACGTGCACCCCATCTACAACGACCCCAACAACCTGCCCATGGCCGACGGCACCACCGACAAGAACATCTACGTCATCAACTCCGAGGCCGCCAAGAAGCTCTACGCCACCATGAAGAACCGGCCCGGCACCGCCGGCGAGCCCCGCGACCTCGGCCGCGAGTGGCACTCGGACAGCCTCTACGAGAACTGCCCGTCCGACTTCTCCTTCCTGCGCATGCAGGACACCCCCGCCGCGGGCGGCGACACCCTCTGGTGCTCCGGGTACGAGATCTACGACCGCCTCTCGGAGCCCTACAAGCGCTTCTTCGAGTCCCTGACCGCGACCTGCGCCCAGCCGGTGTTCAAGTCGGCCTGCGAGGCCGGAGGCTACGACGTCATGACCCCGCGCGGCAGCCCGCTCAACAAGGACTACGAGTTCAGCCCGTCGCACCCCGTCGTCCGCACCCACCCCGTCACGGGCTGGAAGTCCGTCTTCGCCGGCGTGGGCATCCACGTCAGCCGCATCAACGACGTGACGAGCTACGAGGACACCATGATCCGCGAGTACGTCCTCCGCCTCATCACGCGCAACCACGACGCCATCGCCCGCATGCACTGGACCCGCGGCGCCTGCGCCATCTGGAGCAACGAGTGCACTTTCCACGCTGCTACCGTGAGTGCCTACCCCTCTTCATGGAAGCTGCATTTGCTAACAATCATTCACAACAACAGCCTGACACCCACCTCGTCGATGGTGTGAGGACAGGTGTCCGCGCTTCTGGCATCGGTGGTGTTCCATATCTGGATCCCGCCAGCACTGGCCGACGAGAGGCACTGGGTCTGCCCAAGTACTAAATAGTGTTGATATCGGGTGTAGAAGAGAGAGATGTAGAAGATATCCAAATTGTGAGAAGTGGGAGTCATAGCATCGAGAAGGCCCTAGGGAAGGGCCTCGTCTACTGTCTATTGCATCAGGAGAGGTCCCAGGGGTGATTCGATAACTACGACATACATATGCCATATATGCCATTTTTCAAGTCTTAATATCAATTTATTCGCATCGAGGCTCTCATATTGGTGCGTAACATAAGAGTAAAACTGAATGAGCTATTTTCACCGCATATGATGTGACGCTGAGAATAACGACACAAAGCAATATTTGGAGTAGTGCACACCTCAAACAAATTAGTCCCTGACTGAACCTATTCCGGAGATCAAATGCCATACAGAAACAGCATCGTCCAATACCAATTCGTGTCAAAATCATCAGAGGAGCCCATGCATACCTCTCAACCACGTCAAAACATGCCGACACGGTTGCAACCGAGAACTGCCTCCCCTCACAGCAAGGCTTACAAACCTCTCTCCACATAATCATAACCTAACATGTGAGCCAAGTTCAAACAACTCCTCCAGCCTTACCCCAGTCGTCGGAGAAAGATTATCCCCCTACTTCGTAACCGATGACGCCTCGGCCGCGTTCTCCTCGGACCCCAGTCCAATCGCCGAGTTGGTAGGACCTGCAAATGCGCTGGAGTCAGCGGCTGGGGCCTGGTCTTCGGCCACCGGCTTCGCGTTTACTGGTGTGAAACTGCCGCCGCCGACATGCGTTCCCGGCCAGCTTCCAAAGGAGAACAGTGGCCGGTTTGTCAGCCTCGGAGAGCGGTCGGCCTCAAGCTTGTCCGCCAACACTTTCATAGAGTCCACAAATGACATTGGCTGAGGGGGCATCGCGCCTTCGGTGGCCAACACGGCCGAGTCGGTCAGAGGAGGCGGCCTGTCCACAGTCGGTAGGACGGGTGCCTTCACCTCCGGGGCAACGGGCTGACCATGTACCTCAGGTGATGTAGGTGTTGCAGGGTCTTGTGCGATCTCTTTCGAGGTATTCAAGGCAGTCTCCTCGAGCTTCTGGATGCTCTGCTCCGCCTTGATGGCCGCGCTGCTCTCCACCTTGGAGTCCGAGGTATTTTGGCTCTGTGGTGCAGGTTCGGTATTGCCTCCGAGACGCTCAACCGCATCATATGTTTGCTGCCCAGCTCGAAGAGTCGAATTGGCTCTGGGTATCTGTGGTTCGGCAACCATGCGCATCAATCGCCGCGTCGCGATTCCAGCAAGCGCAGCAGCCTCTTGAACAGCAACAGTACCCCACTCGACATCCACCACAACCTTCAAAGTGTATGGTTGCTGTTGAGCTTAGTAGACTGCCTTCCACGAGCTACCAGGGGCCTTACCAAAGCTTGGGGATAGAACCAGTCAGGGTCGAGCAGCTCTCCGAGGAATCCCCAGCCTCCCACGGGCACCACGTCGAAATGAGCCTTGTTGAGGCGCTCAAAGACCTCTCGCTCGACATCCTCAGTGTCCCACGTCGCCAGACTGGCATCTCCACGAGAACATGTGAACTCGACTGTCTTTTCTCGTTGGTTGTAGTGGGCAGAGATAAGGTCTCCGTTGCCCCTATTTACCTTGATGGAGTTTCCCCAAAAGCCGCGCCGGGATCGGGCCTTGCGATTCTCCTGCTGACCATGTTGAATCTTCGTGTTAGTGCAATGATCGCAAACACTGCAGTGCGACGCGCGATAAATCAGAGGCAGATGAAGGCAAGACACTGGCACACACCGCTAGGTTAAAAGGCTTGTAATCGGTCGGGGGTTTGTTCTCGAGCTTTGGCTTCTTTTCGACCTTGGGGGCCATTGGAATGGAGGACAGATCAATCTTCCGGTCGAAGTTGCCTTCTCCCTTGATCTCCTTCTTGACTCTCTTGGCACTCTGGCCCCCAAAAGTCGCCGCCGCAGGCCGTTTGTGGTCCATGGCTGGTGTGTTCTGGTACCGGTCGCCTGGGTAAGTATTATGCAGGTAATCCGAGACACTTGTCAGACAAATATGAGAAGTTCGAACCAGTAGTAGCGAGTGACGACTAGTGATCCTAGGTGAAAGACCGGCGGACGAAATTCTCTTGAGAATGAGTCGATTGATTGAAGGTCGGAGGCTGGTAAGTTCGGAAGATAGAAGAGGTTGGGCCTGGAATTGATCGTAGAGGGAGAAGGAAGAGGAAAAGGGAAGATGGGAGAGAAGAGGGGAGGGGGAGTCGTGGAAGAGTAGATAGGCAGGAGGGACCAAGGAAAGCAGGGACGCGTCTGCTTTCTGCTGTCGGCTGTGGTAGCAGGAAGGCACGCGTGTCAGGAGGTCGACTTGCTTTCTCGTTCACGTCACGATTGGCAATGCAGGAGCGAGGTACGCAACCTTTCCCCTCTTGCGTCTGACCTCTCCCTCAGATATCAATCATATCTCAGCTTGGTGATCAGGCTCTGGCATAACGTTTGTTCAATACCGACATTCCGGCACCCGCCCACGCCTGGTAGGTGAACAGTTCCCTGCCCGGCAGGGAGCCAGTCCGTCAGGCCTTGCTTCGTCTGGAGCTGCGACTCAAGCTCCTTTACCTCAGCAGTTTTATTCGGGAGAAAGGAATGCTTCCTGCTGGCCCTTCAGAACGCTGTCAAACCTATCTGTCAACTTGGTGAAATGCGGGTGGAATTGAACTCGACAACCGTGCAGTCTCTTCTCTAGCGATTCTATCGCGTCGGTGTTAACCAAGTTTCTGAGGGCATCCAAGAACACCCGGGTCTCGGAATGGGGCTTTGTGACTGCCAGCTTCTGAATGCATGTAGGCCATTCTCTGGTAGTTGTCTTGACACGGTGAGGCACTCATTCGAAGCCGTACAGCCAGTTGAGATAGAACGACATCCTCAAGATGACGGCAGGGTGACCACCACCTTAATCTCTACAAGCCATATCTGGTGAACGAAAAGAATTGTGTATTAAGAGAGGATGTATACTATGCAAATGGCTTCTTCAATCTAGCATCATCACCACCAAGGATAACATCCAGCAACCTTATCGACGAAACGGGTATTGTGCGTATTGCCAAGCTTCCCTCCCTTACCGGAAAGCAAACTCGCGATGGCGGTTAGACCAAATGCATTTAGACCTCGTGAACCTTGACAACGTCGCCGTGCTCGTTGACGCCGATCTCCTTGCGGGCGAGGGAGGCCTTGACGGGGTTCTTGGCGGCGAAGATCTCATCGAGCTCCTCAAGCTATTGACACACGAAAATATTAGCAAACTGTACACATACCACCGTAGCTCCATTCAGCAAAGAAACTTACAGTGCGACCCTTGGTCTCGGGGATGAAGGCCCAGATGATAGCAGCCTGGATGGCGTCCTGGACGGTAAAGACAATGTACGTCTTCCACGAGATGTTCTGCAGCGACACGGGCCAGGCGAATTGGTTCAGCAGGCCGGCGGCGTTGACGGCCAGCGACGAGAAGGCCATGCCCTTGGCGCGCATCTCGAACGACAGCACCTCGACGGGGTAGAGGGCCTGCAGCGGGGTGATACCGACGGAATAGATGGAGCCGAAGATGAAGATGAGGGCGAGCACGGCCTTGGAGGCGGCGTGGTTGCTGCCCTGCAGGACGGTGCCGTCGGGCAGCAGACCGCCGCCGGACTTGGCGAACTCAGCGGCGGCGATGGTGACGCCGAGCCAGACGACGCAGCAGCCGGTGAAGGAGAAGAGCAGCAGGGGGCGGCGGCCGACCCTGTCGACGAGGAAGGCGCCAAAGATGGCGCAGGCGAACTGCTGCGACGAGTTGATGAGGGTGATGTTGGCCTTGGACAGGTAGTCGCCGTAGCCGGCCGTCTCGAGCACGGCGCCGAGGTAGTACGACAGGACGGCGTTGCCGGCCCACTGGCCAAAGATGGAGATGGCGATGTTGCACAGGAGGCGGTAGACGGCGCCGCGGTTGCGGAAGAGCGCGCGGTAGTCCCACCAGCGCTTGTCGGCGCCGTCCATGTCGAGGAACTCCTCGTACTCGTTGAGCTGCAGCTGCACCCAGGGGCTGTCCTCGTTGCCGTTGCCGTGGTACTTTGTCAGCATGGCCTTGGCCGCCTCGCGCTTGTTGTTGACGTAGAGCCAGCGCGGCGACTCGGGCAGGAACATGCAGAAGAGGATGATGAGGCCCGAGAAGAGCGCCTGCAGCCAGGTGATGAGCTGCCACGAGTAGTCCTCGTCGCCGCGGTCGACGACGGCGCGCGCGGCGCCCGAGGCGATCATGGCGCCCGAGAACCAGAGCGTGTTGTACATGGCGCCCACGACGCCGCGGTAGGCCGGGTGGTTGATCTCGACGACGTACATGGGGCCCGCGGCGGCGGCGATCGAGACGCCGAAGCCGAGCAGGAAGCGGCCGCCCATGAACTGGCCCGACTCGTGCGAGGTGCCCTGGATGACGGTGCCGACGATGATGGTGGCGGCGCCGATGAGCATGCCGATGCGGCGGCCCCAGGTATCGATGGCGGGGCCGACAAAGGGAAGGGCGACGACGCCGCCGATCTGGTACATGGAGGAGACGATGCCGGCCCAGATACCGGCGCTCTGGACGCCGTACTTGAGCTTGAAGGCCGGGTTCTGGAGCAGGTTGTTCATGAGGGAGCCGTCGTAGCCGTTCATGGTCGAGCAGAAGAAGCCGATGACGGAGAAGATGTAGATGAGGATCTGGGCCTGGGTCCAGGCCCGCGGGGGCTCCTTGATCATGGCCTCCTGGAAGGCCTCATTGCCCTTGACGACCTTGGTCGCGGCGACGGCAGCCTCCTGCAATTCACTGCGTCAGTGTCTGATCCTGTCCAGAGATGATAATCCCGTGACGCGGAAGAAAAAGGATAGGGTTGTACTGACATTTACATCATGACCGGTTTTCTCGTTGACATAGGTCGGGGTTGTGTCGGCGTGCTCGCCGCTGGAGGCGTGATCTCCCTTGTCCATTGCGAAGGTTGGACTGTAGTCGGTGGAGTTGATGATGAACTTGCCCTGAGCTGACACCAAGCAGCAATCAGTGTGGTTTGACGGTTCAGTCGAGCTGAAGATGAGACTTGTCTGCGGAGTGGAGATGGAGATGGAGATATCGAGGAGAATACATGGGAATAGTTGTCTTGCTATATATGATTTCGACAACGCCTGATACCAGAGGACAGGTCGGTCCCCACCCTCACGGCCCGTGAGGACGTGAAGCGAGTAGGGCGAGATTGTATCTGATCGGAAGCGCAGGTCAGTCTATCCTAGACGCACCTCTCTCGCGTGCCTCGAGGTTCTGGACGGGGTCTTCGGGCAGGGGGGATGGCCCCACGAGGAGACAGGGGTACCACGGTATCCCGACCCTGCTGCGCCGGAAGGGGAAACAGTTTGGGCGGGAAGAGATGGCGGGCGCGGCAGAGGAAACCGATTGACGCCAGTCCTAATCAGAGGCTCAGTCCGAGCCCTGTGTAGAGGGTGTGATCTGGTCGAATACCACGTTCGCCGCACACGTTATGCGGATGCATGAAACGCGAGATGATTTGCCATGGTGCGGGACGCGGTGCGGCTTGGACTGACCCCCAAATTTGACGCTGGCACGACTAATCAACCAGTATTCTCTTCACTTGGGGAAATCCAAGATGGGATTCCCTGAGGCGATGGCAGGGATCGAGCTAATTGTGAGCAAAGCAGATGGCAACAACTCCTTTCCAACTCCAGAGTCACGGGCGGCCCTCCTCCGGACCCCAGGTTTTTGGCATTCTTTAGTCCAGGGAGGGACCCCCAATCCTAGTGCTAAAAGGAGTGGCCCCTTTGTGTCTCTGTCTTGCTTTCCCAGTCTAACTAATGGAGCCAACGGAGACTTGGCTGGCGTCTCATCCCCACTAGCTCAGCGTCTTTCTCTTGTTCGTGATCACCAACGGGTGATGGTGTGCACCTAAGACTCGCTGGCGCAGCCGGCATCAGGGAAGGGGCCCCGTGGGCAGCGCCATCGCTCGACGGCAAGGTTTGCGCTTTTCACGGGTTTGGCTTTTGATCACGCCGAGGAAGTATCGAAGCCGGTGCGACTGGAATGAGCACCCGCGCTGGTCAAGTTGAGCGCCGCGCCCCTGACTGGCTTAGTCACGCGGGAATCCGGCCCATGTTTCCAGTTCGGCCGAGTTACCACGCAAGGCCATTCAGCTCGTGGCAGCGCTCACCACAGCTGCGCACGCCAAGCTGGATACTAGGTAGCGACAGACGCCGTCCACTAGGAAGACGTTCAATCAAGCCATCCGAATGCGGCGTGTTGTCTTCGCCCATGTAGTCTGCAGCACGATGTCGTTTCCCGTAGCACAGAAAGGACATGTTAGCCGACCATGGCAGCAAGGGCAGACTGCACGACCGCTGGGTACAAGTAGGTGAGGTGGGAGAGTCTGCCGGACCTAACGCTATCTGAGGATGGGAGGAGCGCCCTCCGCGGCAAAACCTGACCCCAATTCGGAAGCCCATCGACGCCGTGCCGGAGATGGGGTCTCCATGGGGCTATCTCGCAATTTTGGAGGTGACAGGCCCTGCCATCCAGAGCCACTGCGGATTAGCGCCCGTTAGTATGGGGGGAGGCACAGCTGTCTGACTGGTGGGCAGCAGTGGAGGCACGGCCTGTCCTGTCCTCTGCATGCACGAGAGTAGCGCCGAGAGCCGGAACACATCATGAAAATTCGCTTCCAGAGGCGCGGTTGCTGCAAAGGACACAATTGCATTGCATGTAAGTGAGAGGTTTTACGAAAAATGAGGCGTACTTGGCGAGAGATGAAAAGACCAACTGATTGCTCGATCCTGAAGTGCGGGCCGGAGTTTGCGTTCATTGTTGGGAAGTCAACTATCACAAGAACAGAGTTTCATGTGGGTTTCTCTTGGGACTTTTGCTAAACCACCAGTCTGAGCTTGTTCCGGGTACTTCGGGTAGATAGCTCTCTTGATGGCATCATCGCTCAGGTCTCATGATGGGTGCTATTATCTCTCGAGAGCTAAAAGTTCATTTACATGGCGATAATCTTTGGTCTCTCATAACAGAGTTGGAGGGGAGCTGAACCTCTCTGCAGGTCTCGTGAAGATGGTTCATGGAGTCCAATTTGTCGATATCAAAGACTGATATGAACGGCCGAGATAGACGCGATATAGATGAAGCTATATATAATAATGTCGGACTTCCCCATTCGTTTTCACCATTGTTTCGGGCTGGTCTGCTTTCTCGCGGAGACCGTAGCCAGCAATGGTTCGTTTGGCGATTTCATCTTATCCCTTTCCGTGTTGACGGCATCGATATTGGGCTGGATCCACAGAGCGGTAGCCAACCCGCGCGCCGAATGGAACCCAACAGGCGGGATCAATCTACGGTCGAGTAAAGATCTGTCGTAAGCGAATGAACCACTCTATTTTATCGATCCTTCCTCTGATTTGGGACGAGCCAAGCTTCTGGCGCCAAGGCCCGTCTCCCTGAGCCTCAGTGTCTAGGCCCCATCCGCTTGCTCGCCCCGAAGAGCCGAAACCTTGTGATGATGATATTTCTGGTCACGGGATAGAACACCCAGAAGCGATGTGGCGTGCGACTCGTCTTCCAGTAGACGAGCATCCTAGACTGTTGCGTTGGCTGTCGACTGTGCGCTGATCACGTCGTCTGGAACGTGTTCTGGTATTTGGACCGAGCGTCGCTTGTTCGTTGCCGAAGACCAACACACGTCGTGCACCATTTGATGATGATGCTGATGGGTTTTTTTCCCGGAGCGTGATTCCGCAACTTCTCCCTGTTGGGTCCTGCGGACGGGCCGTGTGTTTGTTCTTGGTCAGTATCCCGTATAATCTTTTCTAATGTTTTGATGGTCACTCAAACAAACTGTCCTTTCTCGGTACCTCTCGCGAACATTCGATCAGCCCGCAGCATCATACCATTACAAAAAGGCCAACTCGATGTGTCTCTTGACAAATGTGTCTTTCAATCAAGAGCGAGGTGCTTGAAGAAAGCAGACTTATCAATAGACCTTGCACCCACCCCCGCCCAGCCTTCTGTTATGGTTCTCGGGGATCTGCCTTGCCCTCGTCAAGATGTGGTAATTACTAATCATGCCCTGAGCTGAATAGCTACAAGAGAAGTTCTCTGTTGACCAATAACCTTGTGTCAGTGCCAAACTCACTCTTCTCCAAGTCATAATATCACCGTCACCTAGTCTATTTGTGTACACCCAATCAAGGCTTCAGCGGCACCTGCCAGCTGCAGAGAGAGAATCAGCATCATCATACGCGGCGTGTACCTGCCTGGATAATAACTCCAAATCTGATGATGAGTGCAGAGTTCAGGTCGAGCTCGGTCCAAGAAGTCTCGGCCAGTAGTACGACAAACGCGCGGCTCTCGATCAGCGAAGGCGAGAAACGATCTTCCGTTATACCTTCAACTTTGGGAGATACGAGTTGGGCTCCGATGGCTGACTTTCCAAAGGCTCATCACGATATCCTCTTCCCAACTACTACGGGAAGTGCAACAAGGGAGCCAAACCCGCTTTCACGAACATTCTTCAAGCTGACTTGTTTTGGTACAACACATTCTTGATAGAAATTGTGACAGACCCTCGGCTACCTAATATCGGTATACATTTTGCGCGTACTACTTTCTGTGGCTCGGTAGATTGGTCGTCTCCAGCCACTCAAGACTTGGTGTCACATCACTCTCGAAACCTTGCAAAGGACAAATGTAAGACCCGTATCTGTACCATGACGAACACCTTGGGCATCACGGCTTTTTCAAGGCCTTTGGGAAGTTTTATCTGCGGCACGGAAGCCATCGAGGCGACTCCTGAATCCCAGGACATGCTGATCACACACAAGGTGCATCCTGGGAGACTTTGCTAGCCGGTTGGGGCACTGTCGACGGATGAGAAAGATGGACTTACCCTATCGGGACCGCGTAATCAGACTTGTCCGTCGCGTTCTCCGATATTCCTTCATCCTCTTCGAACAGTGCTAGAGTGGGAAAGATAGAAAAGATTTAAACGAGTTGAGGCATCGACAAAAGATTGGGGCCCGGGCTCAGGCGATCATGTGACACCGCGCTGAAATCGTGATGCGCGTACAGTGTAAAGAGACCTGGCACCAGGCGGTGCGCCCCGCTTTTTGGCGACCTGGCTGGCGCTGTCCATCAACAAAGTGGCGGGCACTTGTTGCTTTCCTCCCCCTACCGTGTGAACTCATTGATTCCCGGCGCCGCCTTTTGCTGCCATGAATGAAGCCTTCCGCTTGCTCATGTGCCTTTGAAGCAGCCCTGTCTGGCTCCGTCCCTAGAGTATGCGCTCTGCGCGCCGCCCGACCCTCGCATTGTATCGCAATGGCGGGTGGGGTGGGCGTCGTGGCCGCCGCCGCCGCCTCTCCAACTCGACCACTCGTGATTATGCCTTCATCTTCTCCCGATCTGCCGACTCTGAGCGACCTGTCCCAGAGGTTTCCTAAGAAGGGGCCTCTGCGCACCGGAAGCCGAGCCGCACCCCTCCCAGCTGATGCGCCGAGTACCTTTACGACCGCCGCCCAGCTGTGGCGCGCGACCCAGCTCGAACACGACCTGCCTGCGCCAGCGGCCCAGGGACCAGTACCAGAGACAAAGCCTCCTCCGAGGAGACGGAAAGCTGCTCCGAAAGACAAAGATGTGGCAGAAAAACCTAAGCCCCGGCGCAAGCCAAGGAAGCAAATCCCGAAGGCCGTTGTCGAACTCTCCCCCGACACATCACGAAGCGAAGCGCATGCGCCTGAACCGGTCGAGACTGCACAGCAGACACCACCTCGACCGAAAAATATCGCGGTCATAGAGATATCGTCGCCATTATCCGACAAACCTTGGAGGAAATTCATGGCTTCCAAGAGCCCAAGTGTTGGTGAGAGGTCGCCCTCCAAGGACGACTCCTCCCAACATGCGGCGTCTGACCTCTCCGAGATGACGACAAGCGAAAGTGTCAGTAAATACTTTGCATCACCCTCCAAGAAAAAGAACAAGACAAACGAGGTGCAAGAGATGGGGTCTACAGATGAGCCTCCCATAATTCTGGAATCGGCCCTAAGAAGGAGGACAGACTGGACTCCTCCGCCCGAAGACACAGTTGTCATTGCCTCCGACCCTGCTGCATTCGTCGAAGTTTTGACACAAGATCAAAATCCATACAAAGACCCGGCCAACGATATTTTTGGCTCGCTGCGCACCAATTTTGGATACCTAGAAGAGCCTGCCCTTCCTAGCGTGGAAGCTCCCGTGGATGATGCTCCGAGGCCCAAGGTTCTGGATATGATACAGATTCAGGAGGACCCGAAACAACCAGAGGAGCAATCGATGCCTCCTCCCAAAAAGAAGGCCGCTAAGAAAAAGGCGCGCACGATTACGGAATTGGCGACGGCGGCCTACGCCGCGCGAACTGACGATGAAGAGGCGGTTGCGGTGGAGAAGCCGAAACCTGACTCGCTGCTCAACTACTTCCCGGTCGATGACGAGGAGATTTGCTACAACCCCGGCCACCCTGTCGCGCAGCTCAGGAAAGGCGTAAAAGGGGCCTCAAAGACTCGCAAGAAGAAAGGGGAGCCGACGCGTCGGAATGTTCTACTATCGCCTACCTCGGCCATGCGACAGTCGACGCGGCAAGACTTTGTGTTTGGGACGTCCAGCCAGCTAGCGCGCGAGGAATCACCGACGCTAATCAGAGAGTTGCAAGTGGCGATTGCAGCGTCGAATGCTGTCGACGAGGAGCAGCCTTGCGACAGTCTGTTGATGGCGCGGACCGGCGCAAAGTCGAGGCTGTGGGCGGCGGGCGCTAGAGGTGCCGACGGCGATCTGCACGAGCCCGAGGTCATTGACCTCATCGACTCGCCCGGATTTCCAGAGGATCCTCTCGCACGATTGACTGAAAAACCTCATGGCGCAGAAGTTGTACCCCTACATGATTGTTTGTCTGAACCGCTCGTCGAACCCAGCCCGACAAAGAACCCCGCAGTGATCATCGATTTACTCGATTCGCCTTGCATACCCGTGCCACAAGGAAAAGGTCTTGCGCAATTGCCCAACGGCGCACCCACTACCTCAGCTACACCTTCTCGATTCACCGTCAACGGCCTTGCTGGGGCGATATCTTCTCCAAGCGTGGCGAAGAGAATTGACCCCCCGCCTCGCAGCCCCAGCCCGGACGAGATGCCACCACCGAGCAACCAGCAAGCCCTCGTGTCGCCGCCCAAACGGAAGGGTAAGGCGTCTGCGACCGCGGCCGCATCTACGGCCCGCCCCAAATATGAACTGTTCACGGATGCGCAGCTGTCCAAGGAGGTCAAGAATTACGGCTTCAAGGTGGTCAAGAAGCGGAGCGCCATGATCGCTCTGCTTGACCAGTGCTGGACGAGCAGGCATGGTGGCAGCGCGCTGGGGACGTCTGTCCAGTCTATGGCAATTTCTACGACGGCGTCGGCTGCAGCACCGCGTGGAAAGAAAGCAGCAGAGGTGACTGCGGCTACGACTGCGACGACCTCACCCGCTCGGCCTAGGGGCAGGCCGAGAAAGGACAAAGCTGCTGTTGAAGCAGCGGCACCATCAGAAACTACAGATGGCGCGGCGCCACAACCGGCCAAGAAAAGAGCAAGATCAAAGAAGGACACCGCCGTCACTACGTCGACCACCACGGCCGCAAGAAAAGCGGTAGAAGGAGTGGCGGTCACGCCAAAGCGTAGGAAAGCCGCCGCCTCGGACCTGCCGGCGACGGCAGTGGAGATTGCCGACTCGGACCTCGACGACCCCTTCTCGACGCCCGTCTCGGCCTCGGACCACGTCTTCTCCTCCCCTTCCGGCGTCGACATCTCCGTCAGCGAGGACGCGGCCGACATGTCGCTCGCGACGAGCAGCCCGACGAACCAGCAGGCCGCGCTGTTCGGCTTCATCACGAGGGCCGTCACCACGGCGCCGCCGACGACGGACCCGCGGAACCCGTCGTGGCACGAGAAGATGCTGCTGTACGACCCGATCATCCTCGAGGACCTCGCCGCGTGGCTGAACTCGGGCGAGCTCGACCGCGTGGGGTACGACGGGGAGGTGTCGGCGGAGGAGGTCAAGCAGTGGTGCGAGTCCAAGAGCGTGTGCTGTCTTTGGCGGATCAGTATCCACGGGAAGGAGAGGAAGAGGTTTTAGCATCTGCGATAGAACGCGTGGCGTTGTTGATGAACGATTACATGATTTGATGACAACGTTGTTTGTGTGTGTGTGTGTGCCGGATGTAGGCTTCCAGGGAGAAGGTTGGATGAATGAGGTTTCCCGGTGCTACATTTATTTCAACGGCGTCGAGTTTGGGCCAAGTCTTGAGATTGGTTTCATCAAATACATTTCCCATCTTCAACATGAAACATGACAGTGAAAGCCCGTCGTCGTCACTGAGTAAGAAAACCCCAGATTCGATGCTGGGGACGGCTATTCACGGGGCGCAATTCCGGGCAGCCCAAGCACCCGGAACGTAGCGCAGCAGCCCCCCCGCCCGCCGTGCCTCGGCTTCAGCCCTGCTTAGCGTCTTCCCCGTGCCGACTCCTCACTTTCAACACCGCGGCGTCGCATATCGGAGAGCGAGGGGAGAGTTGCCCTGATAAACGACAGCCGTGCAATGACCCCATCCAGCTGCATCCCCAGCCGATGCACAGCAGTCCTGACTAGTCTTGTGATTACACACACCCGTCAGCGCGGACTGGCTGGATTGGTTCAGTTGCGACGCATCAGCTCTGTCGTGGCCCGGACAACAACAACAACATCATCATCATCGCACACGGCATCGTGTGCAGCTACGCACTGCCACAGTGCCTTGTCTCATCGCCCGTTGACCCGGCCAACAAGGCGGTACTCAACCCGTGTGCATGTAGACAAGATGCCTCCCAAGCCGGAGCAGAAAGCGCGCAAGATCACCCACCCCAGCGCGAGCATCGTCGTCCTCTCCCCCACAAACCAGGTCCTCCTCCTCCACCGCGTCCGCCACTCCCGCTCCTTCCCCTCCGCCCACGTCTTCCCCGGCGGCAACTTGTCCCCCTTCCACGAAGGGGACGTCCCCGGACCGGACGACCCCCAGCGGCATGTCGACTCGCTGGCCTACCGCCTGGCCGCCATCCGCGAGACCTTTGAGGAGAGCGGCATCCTGCTCGCCAAGCCGATCGCTGCTGCTGGCAAGGACGAGGCCCTGCTAGACGTGCCGGAGCAGGAGCGCCAGCGGGGGCGCGCGGCCGTGCACGCCGAGACGCTGCGCTTCGAGGAGTGGGTGCGCGGCGTGGGCGGCGCGCCGGATGTGGACGGGCTGGTGCCCTTTACGCGGTGGGTCACGCCGACCAACATGCCCAAGCGGTTCACGACGCAGATGTACCTGTACCTCATGCCTCTGTCTGCGACCACCTCGGTAGGCACTGGCGGCGGCGAGGAGGTGGTCCAGCACGTCCCTTCTTCCGACGGGGGGCTGGAGCACACCGCCGCGGAATTCGAGGACGCGGCGGCGTGGCTCGGCCGGGCGCGGCGGAACGAGATCATCGTCTTCCCGCCGCAGATGTATCTGCTGTCTCTCGTCGCGAGGTTTACCTCCTCAACGGCGACGGACTATGCGGCGCAGCGGGAGAAGCTGCTCGCGTTCGTCACGCGGCCCGACCCGGCGACGGGCAAGTTCGACGCCAGCGGAAAGACCGGGAAGATCCCGTGGGGCGAGAAGGTGATGAGCCCGCGGATGCTGTTCACCATGCGCGACGGCAGGCAGGCGCTGGCTGTCGACGGTCCCGGGCCGGAGCTCAAGAGCAGCGGGAGGGGAGGCGACGGGAGCAGGATCGTGCTCGTGCGGTTCAAGAAGGAAGGGCCGCGGGATGTGGAGATCAGGGGCAGGGCGGAGGTGATGGAGGCTTATAGGGCTGAGCAGGCGGAGGAGGAAGGGGAGAAGGGGGCGAAGCTCTAGGATAGAATGGTGGTTGGGGGGATGTGCTGGGATTAAAGATGCATGGCGTTCAAGTATAACACATGTTTCGAACTGATGTATATCTTATCCAGTACTACTTGGCTCCTGGCATATCAGGGCATTGGAAGTTTGCAGCAACAGCTTCGCTGAACCGATACACTCGCTCGATGCAAGTTTGCGACATTGGAGAGGTTGGATAGTCCCAGAGGCAAATAAACCTGCTTCAATATTTCACATCAGGCCTAATTTATATATCTGGAACAAGTCATGGGTGAGACTGAGGGACAGGATGAGGAATAGAATGGTCATGATTTGTATGGGGGAGCTGTGGTCGAGTGTTGATTGACAAAACGAGTCTCGACCCTGTTCAACTATCAATCACTCCTTACCACCCAGCCAAATCAAGACATATGATGTATTGCCAAGTCACAGCCGTGATATCTAAGACGCCTAGATGCTATTCGCCATGGAACTCATATCTCGTCATAGCCCAAATGCAAAAGATAGTCCAAGCCACCACCATACTTTCTCTGGAAAAGACCCATATGATACAACAAAAGTAAGTATGTACTCTCTCATCGCCTAAAAGCCAGTTCTATGCATCTTTATCTTCTTCTTCTTCTTGTTCTTCTTCCTCCCCCACGGGAGGCTGCCTCGCGACATCCCTCTTCTTGCGCTTCCAGTTGGCGCTGCAGTTGCCGGGCACGTACTTGGCGACGTCCATGTTGAGCGTCATCTTCATCTCGGGGCAGTACTTCCAGATGTGGGCGCGCTTCTCGGGCGAGCCCCAGATGGGCCCGTGCAGCGTGTTGCCCGACGCGCCGGTGTGGTAGCCCATGGGCTCGTAGAACCCCTCGCGCCACGAGTCGATCCCCTCGACGAGCTGGCCCTCGGCCGCCAGCTTGAGCGAGGTGCCCTTGCCGTGCGCGATCTCGACGGGCTTGCCGCTGTACCCTTCGCCCGAGAAGCCGAGCGAGATCTCCGAGTCGGCGACGACGGCGTCGGGCCGGTGGCTCAGGCGCTCCGACAGCCAGACGTCCTCGGGCTCCGAGTGCGGGGTGCGGACCTGCTCGCGCAGGACCTCGACGATGGCGCTCACGCGCCGGATGGACAGGCCGCCGTTGCCGCCCCAGTAGCGGTTGGGGCCCCAGGGCGCGCCGATCCAGTGGTAGTGCAGGTAGTCGTCGATGGTGTTCATCGAGTTGGCGCACAGCATGCTGTCGGTCTGGAAGACGAGCAGCCACTCGGCCGGCTGGAGGGTGTACTCGTACAGCCAGCGGGTCGTGAGGAAGGACGAGATGTCCTCCTGGTCCTTGATGGTGACGTTGTTGGGGATGTAGGTCAGGTCGAGCTTGCCGGCCTTGACGTGCTCGCGGATGGCGGCGGAGCGGCTGATGAACTCGACCGACTCGTTGGAGCCCATGAAGCGGAAGCGCCAGTCGGGCGGGACGACGCTGATGAAGTGCAGCATCAGGGGCGCCAGGATGGGGTTGGCCCGGTTCTCGATGAGCAGGGCCACCTTGGACTCGTTGTAGACGACGCCCTGCTGCCAGTTGACGGCGCCATTGCCGCCTCCGGAGGACCCGATCTTGGGGTAGCTAAAGGACCTGTGGATAGGGAATGAGGCCAGGAGAGATAATGAGAGGATACTATGATTTCGGTCATGTTAATCCCGACTCCACGGGCCGGTCAGCTCGTGTTATCTTACATGAAAAGCGCAAAGGCGCCGACGATGCGCATGCGCCGGGTCGTCCGGGACCATATTGAGGAGGCGAGGTCCCTACTCCGGTCCCAGGCGCCGGCGAACTTGAGCATCATTGGGACCTGCTCGAAGTTAGAGACATTTAGCGGCTTGGACAAAAGAGACTGGCACGAGACCAGCCAAAAAGCAAGACTGGTACTTACCGTCATTTCTTTTTACCCTTCTCAGCCGTCCTCCCTCCACGTGCGCTTATCCGATGACCGTTATCATTCACTGACGTTGTAGAGTGTGCGTGCCGAGTTGTGTGGCTTGCAGTAGAGCGGGCCGGACCGCCTTCACCACTTGCGGACCGGTGGGAGGTCAAGGGTTTGGCTACCTACTGTAGCTAGAGAACGAAGCGCATGGTCTAAACTTTTGAAAAAGGTATGGAAATCAAGAAACCGTCTGGCGGCGCATGCCGTCAAAAGAGAAGCATCGAAGCTGACAGGAAAGATGTGGGACCGGACATGGGGGGGAAGAGGGCGGGATGAGCGCATGGAGGAGTTCTTCAGGAAGCTCGCTCACTCAGCACAGGAAACCCGGCAAGCCACGCTGGGCATCCATCCCCATCCGACAATCCTTGTCATCCAGCCCACCACACCATCACTCATTTCGACGTACGTTTCGCCTGTTTGGTAAAGGGGGGGCGCAAGCTCGAGCCAAGCAGCCCTTCTGGAGCCCACTTGTGACACGAGCAGGATGAGGAGGAGGAGCGGGACGACATTGGGGGCTAGGCAAAAACAAGTACAAGTACAAGATAGGTAGGGTAGATCACCGTCCAGTGAGTGCCGCACTTCCCGGTCAGGAACAGAAACATTAGCTGGGCGACACGCATGTTTTGGCGACATGCGAAGTGGGACACGACTCGCCCTAAAGAATAAGAATAAGGATAAGAAGGTGGCCTCTCGCTTGCTTGCTAGAGGACCCCTAAAACAAAAGGGCAAGCTAACAAGACGACCGGATCGTCGACTTCGGGTCCAAGTGCGCAGGCATACGTAACGTACGACGACGACGACGACTGGGCTGGGGCCGGTCTTGGCAAAGACGCACCGCATCGCCTCACATCGGGGAATCTCAATTCACCAGTAGGAAAATCCGTGACGCTTCTTGCTTATGTTCGTGTTACCCTCCCCCGTGAAGGGATTGGCAACCTGGTAAAAACGCACCTGTTCCGTACTGCAAATCCGCCCATCATCCATCCATCTCCGGACCTCGCGGGATTTTGCTGAGTTGGTGCGGCGGGGGCTTGGCGGGACAGCAAGACGAAGAAAAAGGGGCCTTGCTTCGTACCTAGTCCTCAAAAGGCATGCTCTCCTCGTCACGATGGCCTGTTTCGTCCGGTCCAGGGCAGAGACACGTTTGGTTCTACAGGACGTCGGGATCTGCTTCAGTTTGTCTGAGAGCGTGAGGGTGGTACGCGTCCCTTGTCTCTGTCTGTTTCCCCTCTGGTGCCAGGCAATGCACCTCTGCTGCACTCTGCCGAAACAGCTCTCTGGCACACATCCTTTCTGGAAAAAGACAGCAGTCTGGCAACGTTTTGATTGTGTGGGTTCGTTTTGGCTAGACCCCATGCGGGATGATGAGCGTTGACACCAGAGAGCAGAGCGCTAAAATCTGACTTGCGACTCTCTCACTGGGTGCGGAAAATTGGATGGCATTCATTTTATCTCACACAGTCGCCTCGTATTTGAACCAGGCCTTGCAGACACCCGCAGACCCCATCTCCACTCTCCTTGAAGACTGCTGGGCTGATATCACTCAGCCCCCTGATGACGGCGCGATCGGATGCTGGGTCTGCTGCTACCTACCGAATCCCCCTTTCTCTTCCCCAACCCAACCAAGAGAAGACATAAGAATAAGTCTAATCATAATCCCAGCCTCTTGCGGAGATGTATGTACACTTCTGTGGATCCAAACGAGATACAGCATGACCGACTGATTGGTTATTTGCAGCGAATTTGCTCTGGGGTCCAAAAACTACGCTTTGCCAGACTCGGGTGACGGATGTCTCTTTTCTTTAAGCTGCTGCCTGACGTTTAATTTGACCACTTCAGCTCTCAACGGCATCACGAGTCTCGGAGTCCATACGAGAGAGAGAGAGAAGACAGCGATCCAATTTTTGTTTTTGCTCCACGGCCTTGCTTTGAATATCTCTCGTGTTCGCTACCAAGCGCCGGCCTGGGTTCGGGAGATGTGCGCCTAGGGCGAGCTCCGCGCTCCGCTGCGTCCCTCGGGAGCTTCAACAGTGTAGCAACAGCGTATCGGTCCGGCTGCTGGGCGCCGGCTCCTCTGCTGATCTGGGATTTGACTCCTAGTACACAGAGTCTGAGAGCTTGGACCTGTCTATCTTGTCTGTTCGTTTCTCTTAATTTGTGCGCCACCTCCGTCACCAAGTCTCTGTCCGAGTCGCATACGGCGCCTTCGCAAACTCGAGCGAGATGGCTGTAGGCGCCTCGAACCTCGGGCGCTTCCTCAACATCACCAAGACCAAGATCATACTAGGCCTCACCTTGATACTCGTGTGAGTATATCCCACCCCCACCCGTCCATTCGAGATCCGACGACATCCGGGGTCGGGAGGCCTCATTGTCCTGACTGACACCGCTCTACGGCGACCGCAGCTGGTCCGTCGCCCTCCTGGTGCCGCACCTGCCGCCCGCCGTCCATGACACCATCCGCTCCAAGTTCGAGGCCGCGCGCCAGCGCATACCCGCCCTGGGCGTGAGCTGGCACCCGGCCCCGGAGGCCGAGCGGCCCGCCGTCGTCCAGCCCAAGGTCGCCCTGCTCGTCGAGTCGCGGCCCATCCCGCACCTCGTCCCGCAGATGCTGCACATGCTCGCCGTCGTCCCGCCGGACTGGGGCATGGTCTTTGTCGGCTCCGAGGAGAGCGTCATCAGCGTCGGCCGCAGCTACGCCATCAAGTACTGGCAGGTCGCCGGCCGGCTGACGCTGCTGATGCTGCCCGGCCCCGAGATCGGCTCCAAGGAGATGGTCTCGCGGCTCATGACCAACATCTCGTTCTACGACGATTACTTGCCGGGCGTCGAGTACATCCTCAAGTTTGAGAGTGATAGTATCTTGTGCGCCAACTCGGAGAAGGGCCTGAATGATTGGCTCGAGTGGAGTTGGGCTGGTGCTCCTCGGTATGTTTGGTTTTCCTCGAGTCGATGCTATATGTACCACACATCCTTGGGGGGTAGTGGCGGTTCGATGTTTGTCACAGCGGGCGAAAAGGTTTAAGACGGTTGACTAATTGTGCACGCAAATCAGCACCCCAGACGACCACTTCTCCGGCAACGGCGGCCTCTCCTTCCGCAAGGTCGCCGCCATCCGCCGCGTCCTCAAGTTCCAGCGCCGCCACGACGACACCGAGCCCGAGGACGAGTGGTTCGGCAAGCGCCTCTCCATCATGCCCGGCGAGAAGGTCGCCTCCGGCACCAACGGCGCCCTCGCCGTCGAGGACGTCTACATCGAGAGCCCCATGGGCTTCCACATCCGCGAAGGCGGCGCCCAGCTGCACGACGACGTCTGGGCCGACCCCGTGCAGCGCAAGAAGATCCTCGACTACTGCCCCGAGCTGAGCATCATCATGGACATGAAGCTCGAGAGGGAGCGCTGCGAGGACGACGACAAGCATGGGCATCTGACGGGGGAGAAGCCTCCTAAAGAGGGTGAAGAGGAGGAGAAGAAGAAGAGCGAATGACGACATATCGCTCGTGGAGTCAAGAAGCTGGACAACGCGCAGGTTCAGATACTAGAGTGCTGATGATCATATTGGAAATACTGGTATATGCATGAGAACAACAGAGTGACGCCCAAACCCTCTTAGCAAGGGCTGGCTCACCAATTGGTTCATGAAGTGGTTCACGTGGTGTTGCACCAAGCGTTGGACACATCTAATTCAGCTACTCCCTGTTACCAGTGCGCCCGTTGGATGTAGCTAGTGGAGCACTCATTCGGGGAAAACAGGGCCTGATGGCCGGATCGACATTGAACTAAAGAAGCCATATGGCCGTAGCAGTCAAATAGAGATAGCTACAGGATAAGAACCCGAGCCCCGGCCTTCTTGCATATATCCAAACAGCAAGCCAGGCAAGCTTTGTCACGAAGGACAACTGCCTGGTCCTCTTCGTATCGAGACAGGGCAAGGAACCTGAGGTCTGCGTCGCCGTCTACAGCAACAATGCTGATCCCTGACTTTTTGTTGCACGGGATAAGAGGCCCGCTGTAACTCAGTCGTTCCAAGGGAAGCTCCAACTCCAGATCTGCATTAGGGCTATGCGGGCAACCCCTAACCAGAAGCGCACTGCTTAGGTTCGGGATGATACGACAAACCCCAAGGCCCTTACCATTACACGTGGGGTCCCCCGTAACTTCTAAGCCAATGTCCAGTCTACCTCCGTCCATGATAGAGAGCATCCATTGCCACTTCATGTTCGGAAATAGATTGCACGGCTTCTTGACCTTGCCGAGAATGTTGCGTTGGGACCCACTCTCCGTTGCACCGGACGAGGTGACCCTAGTGAACGTCTCGCCATTGTGTCTGATGAACCCCGGATACCATGAGACTGATGCAAAGCCCTGCTTGCTGGATGAAAGAGTTTCGAAAATGGCCGGCCATACAGCCTGTCCCTTGGTGCTGCTTACGGCCCAGTCCCGTAAAATATCCTCACCATTATCATGCCCCAGGAGTTCCAAACAATGCCCAAGCACAAACTTCAACCCAATATGACTGGGTGGCTTCCCTTCTAGATATTGACCAAGCTTGTTGTGGAAAAAGTGTTGGCCTTCCACATCCACCCATCCATGGCGTGGTCGAACCGAGACCCTTAAGTGCTCAGGTTCATTGACCAGTGATAAGGCTAGCACGTCTGCAACGACGTAGCCGAGTCCGCTAAAGAATGAATGTTTGAGGCAAGGTGTAAACCCTACATCGTCCCGTTTACCAGCACATGTTTCGCACTGGCAATTTTCGGTGAAAAGCGCGACATGGTGGAGACCGGATATGCTTTGCCCGGAATTGCTGACTTCGGGAGGCAAGTCGTGGCCAAAAAGAAGCTTGTAAATCCTCAAGATGGTCTCGTAGCTCCGAAATGGAGAAAATCCCAGCTTCTCTTTCAGACTGAACGCGGACCCAGATATGTCCGGAAGCGACCCATTGGCAGTACCTTCCGGCGGCCAGTGATCTCCAGAATATGACCGACGTAAAATCGCCACCATTGCCTGGCATAGAGCCGGTGGCATGGCCTGTTGAAATGCCTCTTTGGCCAGACCGGAAGTAAATCGATGATCATGCAAGAGCCCCTGCCCATACGTCCGGAGGTCAACCATCCCAGCGTACGGTTGGCCCTCCCCTGGAACGAGTAGTTCGGCAGGGCTGTGGATAGAGGAATGTATGGTGATGGAGAGTCCATCACAGCCCCGTTGGAGATGATGACGGTAACCCTAGAGTCAGGGTGTTCGAGGAGTGTGCCGCCGTTTGCCTTACACCGGATTGTTGGTGGCTGCCCTAGGCTCCATTTCACGAATCCGATAATCCACGGGGCACCGGTCCCCGCTGTCAGCGTGATTCCCATGACATCAGCTCCCCCAACTCGACCAAGGTGACGAAGTGCGTCAACCAGACTAACCATTGCATCACTGCTTGGTATAGGCCTCGGTGAAGCTAACCTACTGAACACATTGGGGTCACTCGTAGATGGATGTTTGGCTAAGAGTAATCGCCACCCCTCAACATCATCCGCAAAGCCTGCGAGATGACACCTAGACTCGAGGCTGGTGAGAAGGTGTGTGATCTGTCGGGCTGTTGGGAGGAGCGTCTTGTCATTGGCGGTACTAGCTAGCAGCGCTTGCAAGGTCTGAGCAGCACGATAAAGATCCCTATGCGTTACAAGAGCGGCTGCTAGACCGAGAAACTGCAGTCCGGCAATATTCTGACCGAAGTATGAGATACAGTCATTCTTACTCCATCCGACGGTAGACTTGACAAATGACAGCATTCTAGGCTCCGGCGCGGGTAGGACAGAGTGCTCGATCTTTCGGAGTGTGGCTGGGCACATGGCAAGCGTATTGCCGAACTGCTCACAGGCCAGAATCGCCAGCGGCTGCACATTATCGGTTGTTGCAGCATGCAATGCTCCCTTCGACACCCCGATCAAGGAGTTGGATGTCTGGTCGAGGTTCCAGGTCGTCTGGAGTGCCATGATTTACGCACAGCGATGGTACGGGTTTGCGATACGTTATAACGTGAGCACTGTGGGAATGAACTCTTTGAAGATATCTGACAGTTTCGCCGATCGTGCGTTCTGATCACTAGTAGGAAAGGGATACTTTGAAAGAACAGGTGCTTTTGGTTCCATGTGCATCGATTTGGTTGTGCAGTCTTCGGTTGGGCTTCCGGTTCAGGCCCAGGGCGTATATGCCTCATAAATCACGAGATATCTGCCTTGTATCAGACCAATCACGACCACGCAACATCAACCCCTCACCTCTCCGGGACACGCGTGCTGGGCTGCTGCAAGGCTACGACTGGATTAAAGCGAGTTTTGCATCACGTGGAGACATCACTTGGAGCCTGGGAGAAGTCAAAACACATGTTAACACCGTCACCAGATAGAACAAACCTACTTATGCCTTTCACAAGCACAGTATAGGTTGAAAATAAGGGGGAATTTCCCGACCCAGGATATGGCGAGTGTCGCGCCTAGACGCGTAGAAGCCCTGGAGCGAGTTATCCCTGGACGAATCCTGACCGTGCCCGCAAAGGCACCAAACAGTCAACGCGCATGCATGAAGTGCATGCCTGTCCTGACTGTGACTGTCTTTGACAAGACAGTAATCGGACTAGCCGCCAGACGCAAACCCGGCCCCAAGTTGACAGTAGTGTAGAATAGCACATTGCTCGTGAGCTAGCAGCATGATAGAGACAGTTCTATAACTGCATGTGCTATCTGTTGGAGACGCCAGTTCAACTTGGACTTCCCAGTTCCGTTTGAGTAAATCCGAACGGTGTTTTCTTTGTGGTTGCCTGCATTATGATGCTGCTCGGAAGTGTTCAACCTTTCGCGTAATCTCCAGACAAACACTCTCTAATTCTAAAGATATCATATCCCAGAACTCTTGATTCTCTTCATATGTATGTGAGCGATCTTGGTAGCACCTTTCTGGTGTGGACGTCGGGCAAAGAGTGCAAGACTACTTAAAGTATGCTCTAGACTCACATGCTTTAAGGAACAGCTGGATGTGGAGGTACAAAATAGTTGCCCAATGTCTCCCACGCCAATGGATTGGTAACCAGTAAATATTTTAGGTTTCGATCCTAGTGCACTCTCCCCCCGAAACTAGCTCGATCTCCGCCGATGGCGGCTGAATCATGACGTACAACAGATCGGGCGACTCAGCTCAGCTCCCGACAAAGCAAACATGTCCATGACGGCACCTCGCCGCGTCTTAAAACTCCTACGCCTCGCGCTTCGCGGTTTCGCACCTGGCTTTCCTAGATAGTTTGCTCTCAATTGACTGAAATCCCGTTTCATGCACACCGCTCGTCGCGTTCTGCTCTCGCATCGTCGTGATCCTTTGCCCTTCGCACAATTCAATCGGTGTTCTCTGCTTCACACCCGCAACACAGTCGTGACCATGCCCGCCGCGCGAGCAGCGAAGCGCAAGGCGCCAGCCCCCTCCGCCGCAGCGGCCCTCCGCGGCTCCAAGCGCTTCCGCTCCAGCGTGTCTACCTCGCCGGAGCGCGTGCTCTCCAAAGCTTCCTCGTCGACCGACCCTCTCCGACAACCGCACCCCTTCTGGCAGCAGTCCGAGGAGGCGGGTGTCGTCTTGCGCAAATACTACCCCCACGAGATGAGCAATGCCCGCGCCAAGGCATATCAGGAGGGCAAACTCCCCCGGCCCATGGAGCTGCTCAACGACGCCCTCGACGAGACTTTCCAGCAGCGCCAGGAGATCAAGGTCAAGGGTGCCGTGGTCCACTGGTTCAAGAACGACCTACGCACGGCAGACAATCGTGCCCTGCGCGCCGCGAGCGAGGCGGCTTCGAAAGCAGGCGTGCCGCTCGTGACTATGTACCTCGTCAGCCCGGAGGACTTCGAAGCGCACCTCACCTCTCCCGTGCGAGTCGACTTCACCATCCGAAACTTGAAGGTATTGAAGGAAGAGCTGGCCAAGTTGGATATACCGCTGTACGTCGAGACTGTAGAGAAGCGCAAGGACATTCCGGGCAGGATACAGGAGCTACTTGAAGAATGGGATGCAAGCCATCTCTACACCAACATGGAATACGAAGTCGACGAGCTACGCAGAGAAGCAAAGCTAGTCAGAGCACTAGCAGAAAAGGATATCAGCATGGATGTCATGCACGACACCGTCGTCGTCCCTCCCGGCACCCTCACCACCGGCGCGGGCAACCAGTATGCTGTCTACACACCCTGGTACCGCGCCTGGGTCGCCCACGTCCACGCCCACCCGCACCTCCTCGAGCTCTTCGACCCGCCGGCCAAGAACCACGTCAGCGCACGCACAAAGTTCAAGGACCTCTTCGCCTCCCGCGTCCCCGACGCCCCGGCCAACAAGCGCATCACCAAAGACGAAGCCGAACGCTTCCGCGCCCTCTGGCCGGCAGGCGAGCACGAGGCCGCGAAGCGCCTCGAGATGTTCTGCGAGGAGAAGGTCGGCAAGTACACGGCGGCGCGCAACCTTCCCGCCGAGACGGGCACCTCATCCCTATCGGCGCACTTCTCGGCCGGCACGCTGAGCACGCGCACGGCGATCCGCATGGCGCGCGACCGCAACAAGACCAAGAAGCTCAACGCCGGCAACGAGAGCATCCAGCGCTGGATCAGCGAGATCGCCTGGCGCGACTTCTACAAGCACGTCCTCGCGCGCTGGCCCTACGTCTGCATGAACAAGCCCTTCAAGCCCGAGTACGCCAACATCAGCTGGTCGTACGACGCGGCGCACTTCGCGGCCTGGTGCGAGGGCCGCACGGGCTTCCCCATCGTCGACGCCGCGATGCGCCAGCTCAACCACGTCGGGTGGATGCACAACCGGTGCCGCATGATCGTCGCGTCCTTCCTGGCCAAGGATCTGCTGATCGACTGGCGCATGGGCGAGAAGTACTTTATGGGGCACCTCATCGACGGCGACTTTGCCAGCAACAACGGCGGGTGGGGGTTCGCGGCCTCGGTGGGCGTCGACCCGCAGCCGTACTTCCGCATCTTCAACCCGTTGCTGCAGAGTGAGAAGTTTGACCCGGACGGGGAGTACATCCGCAAGTGGGTGCCCGAGCTGAAGGGCGTCAAGGGGGACGCGGTGCACGAGCCGTACGGACGCGGAGCGGGACCAGAGGCTAAGAAGAAGGGGTATCCGGAGCCGATCGTGGAGCACAAGGGGGCCAGGGAGAGGGCTCTTGCGGCGTACAAGAAGGGAATCAGTAGTGATTTGTAATTGGCGTTTGGTATCTGGGGGTGATGGTGATGAGCAGCATTTAGAATAACTCGAGAGCTGCGTGTGTACTGATCGTCATTCACTGTCAAGTAGTAATGTAGATTGTTACCCCGTAAGTCTATTCGATAAGTCTACGCTTAGTACAAAATCCCTTTGGTTTTGGGTTTCAAAAGCTGGTAGCCAGTAATATACCACTGAGCAGGCCAGAAACTCATCAAACCATGGGCCTGACCAGCATCTACCTCAGCATAGTGATATGCCATCGTATTGACTCCCGATCCTCAAGAGCCTATCGTGGACAGCATTCGACTTGAATAGCTATGGTAATAAACCTCTCTAAAGACCAACTTTGGAAGGATCCATCAAAGGGTGTTTCTTCCTAAAGTGCCGTCGAACGTTGTCTTTCCTGCCTCGATTGCCAGTTTTTCCACAGCCCTTGATGGGGCAGGTCCAGTATTCGTCGACCAGTCGGTGCTGAGTCTTGAGATGACGGTCCCGGTTGCTAGAAGTAGCGAAACTCTTGTTGCAGATCCCACACCAGGCCCTGGAGGTGCCACCGTCCGATGAGGGGGTGGGACCTTCCTTTGAAGTCGGTTGAGATATTTGCTGTTGGTCATCCAAAGAAAGAACAACTTCTGGAGAAGAAATAGAGGGTTGTTCCTGGGAAAGATGCTGGGTATACGGTAAGAAGTCACCAAACGACTGCCAAGGAATCCAAGCGTCGCCGGCATTCGGAAGAGGTGGGTAAGGCGTGGTGTAGCTGAGGGTAGGGCTGGTGCCCAAATCATTGACTGGCAGAGCATCAAAGGAGAGTCCTTGATCCGGATAGAAGCTTTCAGCGCACTCGTTCTCTGACAAGAGTGAAGACCCGGTAAGAGGCGCGAAGCTGTCGAACTTAATGAGAAGTTCATTGCTGCCACAGCCACTAAGACCGGCGTCCCCAAAGTACTCTAACGGGAGCGCTGAAGGATCATAGCAACCATAGCCGGGGTAAAAGGTTTCTTGACCAAATGCTCTGCGATGACAATGTAGCTCGTTGTTTGACAGATGTAAAGAAAAATGGATCTCCGATGTCACACACCGGAGGCCCGGCTTGATTAGATCAGGCGATGTTGCTGAATGAATCAGCAGTCCTGGGTTACCTGAAGCCGACACACCCAGGACTGTTTGAAAGAGGTGACATGGACAGGAGTCAGATCAGGGAAACTGGGCTGAACACCCAGGCGATATATACTGAAATATGACTTGCCTATTTTAACTTTGAGGAGCATTTACGACATTTCAGTCTCAAAGAGTAAAATTAAAGTTTGCGCTAAAGCATGTTGTAGCCTTAATATGTATTCGAAGCAGTGTTCGGGTTGATTCGGGTTGTGATGTGACTGGCTCTGAACCCGCCAGGAAGACAGAACAGAGCAAGGCCGAGAACCTAAGAGTAGCGACCTGAGGCCTCCCGTGCCGGTGGGCGGCACGTTCCGCAAGTAAGGCTGGCCATACATCCTCATTTTTGACCAATGCGAAGGGAAAGAGCGAGATGAGGGCCTCGAATCAACCAACCATGATAAGCACCCACAGCGGCTGGAGAGGCATCCATCATGGAACTCATCGTGTGGGGCTCGTCTGCAGCCTCAAAATCGACCAATCGGCAGCAAAGTGCACTACTCGCGCCTCAAAATGAGCCAGCCAGAGACGACTCTGAGAGAAATGTGCTTCTGCAAGCTCTAGCCGTGCCCACTCTGGGACAGCTCTCGAGCTTTCAACAAGAGAGACGTCGATCAGATGAGACACTGCTTGTGGCCAGCGATGCGGGCTTGCCGGAAACTAGCAAGCCTCAAAAAGAGCCAATCGAACGCTCTCGTTACAAAGAGGCATATGAATGGCATTCACGGTACTCGCCCTCTAATTCTCAGGCATCTGTGTGGCATCTTCGTCTATAAAGAGGGGATGATCAGACCTAAAAGACCATCTCACAATTCACAACCCAGCTTTCACTGCATTGGCATCCCAACCTGCAATTCTCTGACTTCTTGACTACACCCCACCCAAATCCTCACCACACTGTTATCTGATACGGGTTTCAAAACATGACGCTGAAGCAAGATACCACCTCTATCACCACCTCTATCTCGAACCCTACCTTGCTTGCAAAGGTTGATCAACTGCGTGACTTGAACATCGGTCAACACGTGCCTCTCCCGCAGGTGAGAAACGCATTCCCATTTGCCAATCCCATTTATCTAAACGGTGCATCGATCAGCTTGTTGTGGTTGGAGACCAAAGCTCTGGCAAATCCTCACTTTTGGAAAGCCTGAGCGGTGTTCCGTTTCCTAAGGACCAAAACCTCTGTACCCGGCATGCAACCCAGATCACCTCCCGCCGTGATAAGGACGAATGTGTTCACGTTCGAATCATTCCAGGTCCACGCGCCTCGGAAGATCATAAGAAGCAGGTGGAGGCTTTCCAGACCAAAGTGTCTTCGGCCTCGGAATTTCGCGATAAGTTTGTTGACATCTTGAAAAAGGTCTGTTCATCTCAAGTATCCCGCATCGGATTCAACTGCTTACGTGAAGTATCAGGCCAATGAGAAGATGGGCTTGCGGACCGATCTCTCAAGTGGTCACGGTGGTGCCATCTTCTCAGAGGACGTTCTCAAGATCGAGGTGCACGGGCCTAGGGAGGATTATCTCACCATCATCGATGTCCCTGGCATCTTTCGAACCACCGTTCACGGCACTACCAAAGATGACATGGTTATGGTCAAGAACCTCGTCAAAAGATACATCAGAGATGATCGCACTATCATCTTAGCTGTACTCCCCAGTAACGTCGACATTGCCACGCAAGAGATCCTTGAGCTTGCCGAAGAGTACGACAAGAATGGCAAACGAACTCTCGGTGTGCTCACCAAGCCCGACCTTGTCATGGAACCAACGATGCGGGCTTCTGTATGCGATCTCGTCATGGGACAGAAACGCCCTCTCACTCTCGGGTATTTTCTTGTCCAGAACCGGAGCTCTGACGATGGCGTCAAGACCGTGTCCGAATTGGACCAAGGCCTCCGGATACAGCCATGGTCTGATCTTCCCAAGGACCGAGTGGGTATTCTTGCCCTCAAAGAGCAGCTTCAGTCACTTTTACTTGATATCACCCGACGCGAGTTCCCTAAGCTGGTGCAGGATGTTGCCAGCCAGATACGACAATGCACAGTGGAACTGAATAAGCTTGGGCCCTCTCGTCAAGACGAACGTGAACAACGCAGCTTTCTGAGTCGAATGGCGGGAATTTTCCAAGATCGTGCAAGAGCAGGACTGGCCGCGGATTACAATGCCCATTCAAGCTTCAACCAAACCGACCTTCGTCTCATCACCCACGTGGTGAACCTTACCGATGTGTTCAATGCCGATTTCCAGCGACTGGCTCATTCGCGACACTTCAGTAGTCTTGAGGAGTCCCAACCGCTTGAATCACCTGAACCATCTGATGCTGGCGATCGTTCAGAAAGCCAGAGTGGTCTTTCAGTCGACACTCTACGAGTCCTGCTCGAGGAGAGTGGTGTCGACAAAATCTCTCCGAAAGAACAGATGGAACTCGCAGAAATACTCGTTCTTCCAAAGGATATACCTATGCCCAATGAAGGCTTCACTGATTGGATTAAGGAAGTGTATCTGCAGTTCAGGGGCCTGGAACTTGGGACCTTCAACCCAAACTTACTCTCCGTGGCATTCACTGAACAATCCAGAAAATGGGGGGACATGACCAGGATATACATGAGCAGAATCATCGTTACCGTTCACCGCTTCATTGCTGCAACACTACGCTCCATTTGCCCGGAGGAGCCAACACGAATACAGTTATGGGCCGAAATTCTCGAAGGCCTACTTGACTGCTACAGGAAAGCGATGGCACAAGCAGACATGCTTATCCAGGTACAACAGCGCAAACAACCGTACACTCTCAACAGACAGTTTGCTGCTGATCTCTCAAAGTCAAGGGGTCACCGCATCACTGCGCTTCTGCGGCCTAAGGCTAAGGAGGATCGGCGATTCGCAGAACCACAGTACATGGTCAATCTGGATGACATCGCCGAGGCTGCTGAGGGCAAGCACAACACAGAGCTGTTGCAGGAAGAGATTCACGATATCCTCCACGCGTACTACAACCTGGCGCTTGACCGGTATATCGACAACATCTTTCAACTCGCGGTCGATCATTCCTTGTTGCATGGACCCGACAGCCCCTTGAAGGTCTTCACCCAGGATTGGGTGCTAAATCTCGAAGCCAGGCAGCTCGAAGACATTGCTGGTGAGACAATCTCTGAGAAGAAGCGACGTTCACGGTTATCGAAGAAGATTACGGACCTGCACAACGCATTGAAGATTCTCAAATCCAGAGATAGCTATTGACTGCAGAGTATCACGGCTTGCTGGAAAGTTTCATTTGCATGTATTGGAAATTCCCCAAGATTGCTTAGCATGTACTGAACCCTAGGATAGCAGGCGTAAATAGGAACGAACAACGTCCATCCTGTTGGCTGCCTGCATTCCTTTGTAAGGAGGCACATCACCACAACTACAAGCAAGCACGGATAGAGTAGTTACTTTCCAGACTAGGTAAAATAGTTGTGCAGAATACAACTGCAACAATACCTGTTCAAACCGGAGGAGGCAAAAAGTGCCGAGTCCGACGGATTCGGGCTCAACGATGAAATACCAGATAAGCACTTTTCCGTCGGGTTTGTAGCAGAGTACCCATGAGAAGATTTAGGTCTGAGCGAGCATGTATACCTCATTCTGTCTAGTCGCGAATGCCTGGTTCTGTGATTATGCTAGTCGTCCAAGGTTGAACCAGCCAGCCCACAAAGAATGTGACTTAACTTGAATTTAACCTGGTACTTTCCGGCTCCGAGGATCCGTGCCGCCCAACACTCCAGAACCACGAGTATTGACCTGAAAGTTAGACCCGGGATACTGAGACCTGGACCAGGTCGATTCTACAAATGTTGGCTGCCGAGATCCACGATGGAACGATCCTACTAAGCCCAAGACTAACTTCATCGGTAGAATCAGCTAAGGGTATTATCGATGCGCAGACCGGACCGCTTCGGTCCTCAATTTATACATAATGGGTCGGATAATGTATCATAACCCCGCACGTCGGTCTTCAATTTGAAAGGCGCGACCCATCACCCGTGGATGTATAAACACGTTGATCAACGCTCACGCCATGAGCCCTCGACTGGGGTCACAGCTCCTTTCCATCAGCCACAGAACTGAAGCATGGCCTTGCATCAACGGCACGATAGCTGGTGCCTCTTCCAGCTAAGTATGCTCGGACTGCTTTTCCTACTTAGCAGTTCACTTGCCAGCGCAGTCGCCATTGCAAACGCGCGGCAAGATGACCCTGCAGCCAGTGCCCGCGAGCGGTCGAGCCTGAACGCAGGTTGGCGCTTCCGTCGAACAGTTGAGAACCCAGACGGTCTCTCTTATGCCAAGATGAAGCCCTGGATCATGCCATCCGCCAATGGCTTCATCAAGGACGCCGCCAGGCAACAGAAACGGCCTACAGGCCAGCCGGCCAACGTGACCTTCGCACAGTCGTCCTTTGATGACAGCGCATGGGACGCGGTTGACCTGCCGCACGACTGGGCTATCAAAGGCCCCTTCTACACGGGGAACAATCCGACTGTCGGGCCAGGCATGGGTCGCCTGCCCAGCCAGGGTGTAGGTTGGTACCGGAGGAAGTTCTCCATCGCGGATGCGGAGAGCGACAAGAGCATCTACCTAGACGTCGATGGTGCCATGTCGTACTCCATGGTCTGGCTAAATGGGCAATTCGTCGGAGGTTGGCCGTATGGTTACGCGTCGTGGCGAGTTGACCTGACACCGTACATTGTCAAGGGTGATAACGTCGTGGCTATCCGGCTCGACAATGCTCTTGATAACTCGCGTTGGTACCCCGGTGCGGGTATTTATCGTAACGTGTGGCTTACAAAAGTGCACACCACGCACGTTGGCCAGACTGGGACATACATCACCTCGCGGCAGGTCTCGGCAACTTCGGCGACTGTCGACCTGGTCGTACAGGTTGAGAATGCGGCGCCAAGCGGCACAGCTGAGGTGCAAGTGTCAACGGATGTTCACTTATACGATGCATCTACCGGGAAGACTGGTGACCAAGTAGCCGAGTTCCCAAAGGGTGTGGTCACTGTTGGTGCCAGCCAGGTCAAGTCATCCAATGCCACAGTTGTGCTGCAGAACCCACAGCTCTGGGGTCCTCCACCGTCACAAAAGCCGAATCTCTACGTTGCCGTGACGCGTCTGTCACTCGGGGACGAAGTGATCGATCAATACGAAACCCGCTTTGGCATCCGCTCAATCGAGTACAAAAATGACGGTCTGCGCGTGAACGGCGAAAAGATATACCTCCACGGCCTGTGCCAACATCACGATCTCGGATCCCTCGGCTCAGCATTCAACATCCATGCCGCAGAGCGACAGCTGGAGATGCTTCAAAACATGGGCGCCAACGCCGTCCGAACATCGCACAACCCACCAGCACCCGAACTGCTAGACCTGGCCGATAAGCTGGGAATCCTGATCCTCGACGAGATTTTCGACACCTGGAACAGTCACAAGACGCGCAACGACTTCCAGACCATCTTTTCAGACTGGCGCGAGCCAGATCTCCGCGCCTTTGTCCGCCGCGACCGCAATCACCCGTCCATCTTCGCTTGGAGCTTCGGCAACGAGGTCTCCGAGCAGGGCAGCGCCCAAGGGGCCAATACGGCTCGTGAGCTCAAGGGCATCATCCACGAGGAAGACCCTACCCGCCAGACCACCGTGGCCATGAACTCCGCGGGCCCTGACGCCGCATTGTATTCTGTCATTGACCTCATCGGCCTCAACTACCAGGGCGAGGGCTCCCGGCCCAACAACGCCAAGTTCCCGACTTTCCGGTCCAGGTTCCCAGATAGGATGCTCTACAGCACCGAGAGCGCGTCGGCCATCAGCTCTCGCGGCCAGTACATGTTCCCCGTCGACGCGAGCAACAATGCCAAGGTCCAGGGCAACCGCGGTGGGAATCCAGCCACGTCGCAGGTCAGCGCCTATGACATTTATGCTGTGGACTGGGGCGCAAGCCCGGATGGCGTGTTTGAGGCCCAGGACCGGTACCCGTATGTTGCGGGCGAGTTTGTCTGGACTGGCTGGGATTACATCGGCGAGCCAACGCCTTACAACACGCGGAGTAGCTACTTCGGTATCATTGATCTCGCTGGGTTTCCCAAAGACCGTTTCTACCTCTACCAATCCCGCTGGAGGCCCGACCTACAAATGGCGCACATCTTACCACATTGGAACTGGCCTGATCGTGTCGGCAAAGTAACGCCTGTGCATGTGTTTTCAGCGGGCTCCGAGGCTGAGCTCTTTCTGAACGGCAAGTCCCTCGGCCGCCAGAAGAAGAAGGACTACACCTATAGGTTCCGTTGGGATAATGTCTCATACGAGGCTGGTGAACTCCGGGTCGTCACATACAAAGACGGCAAGGAGTGGGCGAATGCGACAATGCGCACAACGGGAAATGCGGCGGGCGTGAAGCTCTCGACGTACAAGGACCGGACTACCATCAAGGCTGATGGTACGGACCTGTCTTTCATCACGGCTACAGTTGTCGATGACAAAGGAGAGTTTGTCGCCACAGCCACGGACAATCTCACCTTTTCTGTCGAGGGACCTGGTGAGATTGTATCCACTGACAATGGAGATGCCACTGATTACGTGGCGTTCCCTTCCAAGGAACGCAAAGCATTCGCAGGTCTGGCGCTCGGTATTGTGAAAGCTAAAGCAGGTGCTGCGGAGCCCATCACGGTTAGGGTGGAGGGTAAAGGGCTAAAGGCTGGCGAGATCACCATCAAGCCGGAGTAGGGAGTGGGGTAACACTTTCGAAAGCAATGCTGCTGACATTGAGAAGGAAGTTTGGATGTTGATGTTTCTTGAACTATCGAGTCATGCTCCACTATTCAAAGGGGACCAACACAGGCTTTATGAATCAAGAAAATCCAATATGAGAGCCTGCAGCTCCTCCACCGTCTCCTTATCCGTCTTTTGGCCACCCATGACGTAGAAGACGTTGCCCAGGACGCGCGTGTGTGCGTTCCATGAACCAGCTCCCTTGTGGAGAGCTGTCCTTAAGCTAACTGCGGCATTGCTCTTGTAACCGCTGCCCTTCTCGTCACGCATCGAGATGGCGAGGACGCTACCCAAGGCCCACACGCCGGAGACTTTATCCATCTTTTGCGAAACATTCTCGACGAAGTCCCGCGACCAGATGGACCAGACCAGACCCTTCGAATAATTGACGTCGGAAGAATCCCCGGAGCTCGAGCTATTTATGACTGACGCGGCTGTCATGGTAGTGTCTGGTGGAGTCTGGGCAGCAGACCACCCGTTCGCCTTGGCCCAGTCCCACGCTCCTCGCGCGTCCAGACTTTGCATCTCACTCAGCGACTCGAGTGCCACCTGGCACCCTACGGCGTGGGCGGTGTAACTGTGCCCGTGGAGTAGGGCGTCGCTCTTGTCGTCGCTCGCGAACGCGGCAAAGATCGGCTCCGAGGCCACGGTGGCGCACAGTGGGACCAACCCGCCGGTCAGCAGCTTGGCGTGGACGGAAATGTCCGGGTTGACACCGAGTAGAGAGGCGGCTGAGAAGCGGCCGAGACGATACAACCCCGTAAATACCTCGTCAAAAATAACGGGAAGACCTGACCAGGAGGAGGCATGTTCGTCGCTGGTTGGTGGGGACGAAGGGGCTGTTGTTTCGAAGAGGTGTGAGGAGGCTCGGACGACTTCTACTAGAGCTCTTTGGAACAGAGGATCGCTGTTACTCGGAAAAGACAGAAACGATTAGCACTTGCGTTGAGGGTTAGTTGAAGCGGGGGTTACTTACACCAAGAGCATCCCGCCAGCGCCCAGAACAACAGGCTCAAGCATCAGCGCTCCAAACCTGCGGCCTTGGTCATGGAGTTGCTCAAGGGTCTCGCTTATATATCGCTTGTAACCCTCGAATTGACCGTCTCGAGTACGGCTATCAAGGTCGAAAACGGAGGACAAAGAGGCAAACTGAGTGCTGTCGCCAAGGTCGTTCCGGAGCGCATCCGGCACAGCCACTGTCCACTTCCCGTTCGTGCACTGTACAGTCGGATAGTCGAACCAGAAGCCCTTGCCGTCGTACCACTCAACCTTCTCGTTGAATGCGCACGGCTGCGAACAATCCATAGCGCCCATCGTGTCACCGTGGTAGCTCCCCTTCAGACCGAGGATCTCGAGCCGCTCGCCCGGCGCCCACCCGTATCTGGTTCTTGCAGCGCGCAGGCCCATCTTGACGGCGACTTCGCAGCCCGTGCTTCCATTGTCGGAGTAGAAGACACGCGAGAGGCGAGGATTGCCCAACTCCTTCAGAAGCAGCTCGGCGAGGGCGAGGGCGGGCTCATGAATGGCCTCAGCAAACATGACATGGCCATACCGACCTGCCGCGTATGCGGCCGCCAGCGTCAACTGCGGATTGGCATGGCCGAGACCTTGCGTCCACCACGAAGCAGAGCCGTCGAATGCGGGCTTCAGAAGAGGCCTGTTAGAGGATGACTGGGATTCTGAATCAAGGACTTGGAAGTAGTCTCCGTGTGCCGAGTCAATGACGGAGATGCGATCTGGAGTAAGCAGCTTCTGCTGTGTGAACGGATACCATATAGTATTGCTTGCCTTGTCTCGCATGCTGTCAAGTCGGGCAATGCGATCCTTCGCACGCTGATCAAGCGCATGGAGAATGCCAGCCATCCCGTCCTCAGAGCTCGCCGAATCATAGTACGACAGCATGCTTGCTGTCTCGGAGCTATCGTCTTCGCATTGTGCAGGAGGCGGTGAGACCGTCTCGACAGGAACGTGGCCGCGTGTCTGAAAGTAGTCTCTCAAGTAGACGTAGTTCTTGTATTCGAGGTCGCGGAAGAGCAATACCGCCTCAATGTCGTGGCCCCGAATCTTCAGGGCCTCGAAAGCGGCGATTGTCTGGGAGATGCCACCAAGCTTGGCGTCGCCCACGAGAACCACAGGGGCCCGGAGCGGGGTGTAGAGATCGGCTTGCGTCGTCCCGGATGGGCCGGGAGAGTGCACCCCTCCGGCTGTCTCGAGGAAGAGCCAGCCCGGCCCATGCTCGGCGCGACGTGCAATATGCTCCGAGATGGCACTCAGGAGAGCTGAGTCAGAAGGTATAGCCTGTCCAGGGTCAGGAAATGATCGAGGTGACTGTAGGCTGCAGGGCTTAAAAACAAACCCTTCCAGATGATAGAGCGGCAGAATGAGGACTGCATGCCTCGTCGTACTGGAACAGAGTCTCTTGGGTTGTCAGAGGGGCATATTTGGTTATGTGACTGGTGATAAGAAAGAGTTAGTCCAACCTCTTTCCCGACACTTCCTTATATCTCAGAGTCTACAATCAAGGACTCCTAGTAATGAATGAGCGTTAGTCTTGATTCATTCACTGATTATCAGGTAGGGGCTTCCTTACACCAGCTGTCACTCTCTTGAGCCAGGCCTGTAGAGACGGGTTTCAGGAAGAAAGTCTGATCGCGCTTATAGCGTTTCGCAACCGCATTGCAAAGGATAGTCGTGAATACTGTCTTGCCAACGTCCGTATTGGCACCGTATATCTGGTGGACGCGAAGGTTGCGCCAAAGAATAGAGGAAGTCGGCGCCATGATGCCACCAGCTCTACATTATTCCATGCTCGAACTCGAATGAAGTTCACGTGTCCTGTTGAGACAATGGTTGAGGGACCTCGAGACGACGAGAATGAGCACGTAATCCCCATTTTGTGGTGGGGCCTAGATTTTGTTGAGCCAACCCGAGCTTCGAATCAGAATCCGTCCAATGTATTGACCTCGGGCCAATAAAGCGGAACCCCTGGACTCTAAACGCGCATTCTCTACAAGTTGACCTGAATGCCACTCTGACTCATCGATTCACATCTTAATTTCTGCACTCAAGAGAGCAGATGGGAGATGACGCAATCTCGAGAAACAAGTGGCCTTGAGAAGGTCCTGGCAGCTCGCCTCGCGGATCGGCAAGCACGGTCTCAGTTGCGGCGGTTGACTTCATTTCCATCGTCTACTGCTGACTTTTCCTCCAACTCATACCTTTCTCTGCAGCTAGTACCTGAGCTGCGCCAGGCTTACATCTCTTTACTCGAGAGGCATGCGAGTTCATCACCAACTGGGCCTCTATTTGGATCAGGTGGCTCCCGGCTGCTGGATGGCAATACTCCGTTCGCCGAGTCACTAGAAGCTCAGATAGCCGCGTTTCACCATGCTCCGGCCTCCCTGCTTTTCAATTCGGGGTTCGATGCAAATGTGGGACTGTTTAGCTGCGTACCACAGCCGGGAGACATCATCGTGTACGACGAGCTCATTCACGCCAGTGTCCACGATGGCATGAGAACGAGTCGTGCGGCACAGAGGATTCCCTTCCGGCACAACACCGTAATGAGCCGTGGATGCGACAAAGATCAAGGTCCAGGCAGTCTCGAACGCGTTATCACAGATCTGATACAAGGCGAGAGGGGCGAGGCGATAAAACGTGGTCGCAATGCGGTTTTCGTAGCTGTGGAAGGGGTCTACAGCATGGACGGAGATATTGCACCGCTAGAGCAAATCAACAGCTGCGTTACACGCCTTCTCCCAGCTGGAAATGGCCACATAATTGTCGACGAAGCGCATTCTACAGGCCTCTTTGGCGATCAGGGCCGTGGTCTTGTGTGCGAGTATGGACTCGAGGACAGCGTATTCGCGCGGGTCCACACGTTTGGGAAGGCCATGGGCGCGTCAGGAGGTACTCACCCGTCATATTGCCATCCTCGCATGTTTCTTGTTATAGAGCTAACACAAACAAGCTGCTGTACTATGTACGCCTGTCGTTCGAGAGTACCTCATCAACTACGCACGCACGTTGATCTACACCACTGCCATGCCACTGCCTGGCCTCGCTAGTATCAAGGTAACTTACGACTTCTTGGCCAGCGGCAAGGCAGACGTGCTCCGCGCTAACCTGCGCAACATTGTTACGCGCGCCCATGAACTGCTGCTCGCAATCTGCACGCGCCATAAGACGGCCCCCGAGCTGCTTCATGTAGACCCTGATGTTCCCCGATCGCCTATCATTGCGCTGCTGACTGGCCAGCCGCGGAGCCTTGCAACGTATTGCCAGCAGAGAGGACTCATAGTTCGGCCTATCGTGGCCCCTACAGTTCCCAAGGGGCGCGAAAGAGTGCGAGTGTGTCTGCATGCCGCTAACTCACTGGCTCAGGTCACTGCACTGGCACAAGCTGTGGAGGATTGGGTATGGCATCACAAAACCGCCGAAACGATCCCCACCAAGACTCGACTATAGAAGGAAGAGAGACGTTGACAGGTCTGGGCTGTATTCAAGTATCTTGCCGTCCAGATATCGAGCAGAATCAAAAGTCAGAAATGACATCACGGGATAGACAGGCCAGACTCAAGCTCACTACAACCCGTTTTCGGGTGTAGAGCCGAGTCCCTACCGCTTTAAGACCGACATGGCTACGGAGCTCGAGATCTTGGCCTGTTGGTGTATGAATATACTACATAGACTCTCACTATTCGGGGGCAAGACTGCCGTGTGACTTCTGGGATGGATGGTGGATATGAAGAGCAAGCTTGGCAAGTGTATGCAGCGTGCGTATTGGATTAAGAAGTCGCATTGACGGAGGGAGTATTTGGATAATTCCGCGCCAAGAACTCGCAGCATGGTAGTGCGTAACTCTTTATTTAGCAATTCCAAGCAGTCATTACCCCTTCCTTGGCACTCGGCAATGGCCTCATTTGATTGTAGGTATGACTCCCTGGATTCCTTCGTTCGTTAAATACTGCGTAGCACAACCTTTCGAAGGCTGGATCTCGGTGTGAGCCGCTCACCTCTATCATCGAGAAGGGCCACCATTTCCCTCATCAGACACCCCCAAAAGAAAAGAGTCGAAAACAATGGTGCGATTTAGACTTTTCGCCACCTGCGCCTTGGTTCTAGCCACGGGTTCGCCAGTATCATCAAGAGCGACGTCCCGCCAGGCTGCCCCATGGAAATCGACGGTGATTGGCAGCTTCGCCGAACCATGGGCTCTTGCCTTCCTGCCAAACAATCGGATCCTCGTCACCGAAAAACGAGGTAACCTGCGCATTATCGACCCGGCCACCAAAGCTACAGGCCAGGTCACCGGTGTGCCCACCGTCCGCTACGGAGGCCAGGGCGGATTTGCCGACATCGCCTTGCACCCAAACTATGCTGAGAACAACCTTGTATACGTCAGCTACGCCGAGCCAGGCACCGGCAACCAGGGCGGCGCCGCAGTCGCCCGTGCCAAGCTTGTACTGAACGCCAACGGAGGCGGCGCGCTGCAAGACCTCAAGGTCATCTGGCGCCATACCCAAATGTACAGCGAGACCGGTCAGTACGGCCAGCGTCTCCTCTTCGACGCTGACAACTCGACGCTGTGGATTTCGTCTGGCGAGAGACAGCGTTTCGACCCTGCCCAGGACATGAAGTCCAACCTGGGTAAGATTATCCGCTTGAAGGACGACGGGACGGTTCCCGAGGGCAACCCGTTCAACACCAGCGGCGGGGCCACGGCCCAGATCTGGGCGTCTGGAGTCCGCAACCCTCTCGGCATCGACTTTGACGCGGAGGGCCGTCTCTGGGAGATCGAGATGGGTCCACAGGGCGGCGATGAGCTCAACATCATCGAGAAGGGCGCCAACTACGGCTGGCCGATCGTATCCGAAGGCAGACACTACGACGGAAGGACGATCCCCAAGCACAGCGCGCGGCCCGAGTTCGCTGCCCCCAAAGTCGCGTGGGTCCCCGTCATCTCCCCCGCCGGCATGATCATCTACAAAGGCGACCTGTTCCCCAACTGGAAGGGCAACGCCCTCATCACGGCGCTTGGCGCGCAGGGGATAGTGCGCGTGGAGATTACCGGCACTACGGCGCGGGAGGCACAGCGCATCCCCATGGGCCGGCGCATGCGCTGCATCCGACAGACTGCCGACGGCGCGCTGTGGGTGCTGGAGGATGGTGCTGGCGGTCGGTTGCTGAAGCTTACCCCCTCTTGAAGCCGCCTTGGTAAGAATCCTGACGTTTTGAGCTTCATGTGTATATAATTTAAAGTTCAGAGGGTCTGGCTTCTATGTGTGATACAAGTTTTTGTCCTCCCATAAGACGTTTGTTTCAAATGTGTGCAGAGAAGCAGTCAATTTGAGAGACACAATACGTATAACTATGGAAGCTCGTAGGTTTTCGTGATTCTATATAGTCTTCATAAAAAGTGCGGGGTCAAAATCAAACACGCATGAACCTTCATGAGAATTATAGCAGAACGCGCAGTGGCCCGAGTTTGAGGCGTTCGTACTGACAGCGTCACCGATCCGGAGCTGCTGTCGTGTTGTGTCGACCTGTTCAAAACGGCCATCCACCTGCTGAGGCGTTCTGGTGATGTTTTCCGAGAATTGCGTCGATTCATGGTTGCAATCTTCGAATATGATGCCAGCAAACTGATCTTGTGCCTCGAAGTTTTGTAAGCTCGAGCCGGACTCTTCGAGAAGGCGAAGAGGGTCTGCATGTGCTTCCTGCACAGCATCCGACCTTGTTTTCAGCTCCTGCTGCTTCGGTACCACATGATTGGGTTCTGTGCCACGGCATCTTTTGAACTCTCGACATGCTTGCTCCACGCAGTCCTGCGTAATTTCATGGATGATACCGAGCATCTGGGCCTGGAGAGGCCTCTGGTGTTGACGTGCTTTCTCATCTAGGGTCGTGCTGACTAGCTGGGGAACTCGGCATCGAAGATAGCACTCTAAACCATCCAGATCGTCGGCACCGTGTGAGTAACGGCCAGGTTCCCGGATTGGCTCAAAGTCTGGAGCTCGTCAGCAACCGAGCACGGAATCTTCGTCATGGGGTTGATTGGAGGGTAGACATACAGCACGAAGGTGTGGCCTCTGTTGGGAATAGGAGACTGTAGATATTGTTCCACTTATCCTCCTCACTTTGACCAGGGCTTGACTTCTTCCGCGACTTAAGCTCCTTCTCTTGTTCAATAGTGATACCTGCTGGGGGTGGGCAGTCCCGTACTTCACAAACATCGGCCACCGCAATCATTAAGTGCTTGTCCAAAGCGGGCTTGGTCCTGAACAATGCTTTGCATCTTGGGCAGAAGATTGGCATGTGACAGCGATACAAATGCTCTCTGGAGATAATTATTAACAAGATCATATCTTTGAACGGTCGGCGAAGAAGCCACATACTTGAGCCGTGCTGTACTAGGCCAGCTTGATGCAGCGCAGATGGTATGATCAGCCAGACAATATGCCACAGGATCGTGCTTGCGGAATGGACAAGCGAATTTCTGTCCTCGTGCACCTGCCTGTCCAGAGGGTGGAGGTTTGGCATAATTCCCAGCGTCATCCTCATTCTCGTCCCTGTTGAATTCATCTTGCAGGCGCCTCTTTTTGCTCGAGGATGCTCCAGGTCGGTTCGAGGGGGTCGGGACCTCCCATCGACTTAGACTATCGTTAGGTGCAGTGGGCTTCCTGGCGAATGTGGTGTCTCTGGCCTTGAATCCAGGTTCTAGAACAACAGTATTTTGCAGGTCGCCCTCAACGCCAGTCACAAGGTCGGCGGCTGGTATGGATTCATCTTAGCGCAATGTGTGTCGGGCACAAGCATGAAGAGGCATGATCTACTTACGATCCATTTTGACCGTTTTGTAAGACCCGTCCTCCTACTTTAGGGACATGAACAGGGAACGCTTGGAGATGCTGCCGGAGAGGTCGTCCGGCTATCTCTTTGTCAAGCCCTTGTATTAAATAGTCAAGAAGCTTCTCCTCTTCGTCGATGCAACAGGGGGATGAAACCAACCTATTGATTGGGCAGTCCATGGTGTCCCTCGTTGCTCTCCTACTTCGTAGTCAATACCGAAGTGGGGGGTTGACGCCATGTCAGCTACGGCCAAATGTCAGCTACGGCCAAATGTCAGCTACGGCCAAAGGCCCACAGGTCAAAAAGTATGGATCCTGTGCAAGCATTGAACATGTGGCACCCCGTACATGCTCTCAATCCTGTCAAATTTCATAAACGTGATGACAAGGGCCGGGCTCACGAAAATTGGTCTTCCTGACGGTTGCTTAGGTAAGAAAGCTCGAGCCCTTATGAGATTGTACGCTAGAGCCCCAACAATAGGCGAAAATCCTAACTTTGAAGGCCTTCAGACAGACGGAAAGCGATTCAATTCTTAAACAAAGGTGATCTTACAGCAGTCGATGGAGGCAGGCAGCAAGGCAACCTGCGATTATGCTGCTCGAGATCATGTGAAGCATATGATGGGCGTAGTCACATCCTCGTTGGAAAGCACCCTTTCGGATGAGTACACCGTCACCGGATAACAGAGGCATTTTGTGTGGGCGTCCTTGTTCTATTGGGCCTCCAAGATTACCGTCGCGGTACTACCAGGCCGATTTTGGGTAAGCTAGGTTGGCCTGTGCAAATGAAGCTTCTACCAGGCGTGCAGTGACTGTCACGCCACATGCAGTCAGGACTCTGACCTGCGTACAGCATCAGCCTTCCATTGTATGGAACCCAGCCGAGGAAGGAGGCGGAAGTGGTAAGGAGCATATGAGTCGTGGACATACTCATCGAATATCTCAAGCCGAAAAAGACCAACTCAATAAACTGCTTTGAGGAGACCTTTGGCAATCGCAGTACTAATTCAACTCTTGCATAAAGCTCTTTAGCATTGTGCTAATAATTAGCTATGGCCATCCCTTCGCCGATCAGTACCATGAGCATTATCCCTATCTATCAAGTTGCTCATCACCTCTAAGTACTTTCTTTGCCAGGGTTAGTTTCTACGTCCAGCTTATCGTAAGCATCCTGACCACCCAAGTCCTTGTCCCAATCTGGACGGAGAATCTCAAAAGCCTCGGTGACTCGGCCGTACGTAATGCCACCCAAACGGCTCACGGGTCTTAAAACCTAGAAAAGGAGAACGAATTAGTGTCCGCTGTCCCTGGTCAACACTCTTGAGATAACACTCACGGTCGGATCCACCAGATTCCTATCCTCGTTCAGTGCATCCTCACGCACCCAGAACCGGGTACCCTCGAGCACAGCCATCACGCTCGTCTTCTTCCCAGGCGTCCGCCGGCTCTCAAACTCGCGCACACTCTCGAGCTTGGTCTCGACGCTGAAGATGGCCTCGCCCACGCGCGGGCACTTGACATCGACGCAGTCGTAGACCGGCGTCAGCCCACTGACGGCCCACTCGCTCGCGCCAAAGGGCGCGTTGACGCTCGCGGCGTTGGCCGCCTCGACAAAGTGCTCGCTGATGATGTTGACGACGCACTCGCCGCTGCTGACGAGGTTGCGCAGCGAGTCGCGCGCGGAGCTATCGTCGGCCAGCGCGCTGGCGAAGCCAACGACGAAGAGCGGCGGGTCGTGCCCGATCATCTGGAAGTAGCTGAACGGCGCGAGGTTCTCGGCCTTGCCGTCCCCGGAGCGCGTCGACACGAAGGCGATGGGCCGGGGCACTATGGCGCTGATGAGCAGCTTGTAGTTGAAGGCCGCGGGTCGGCCCTGCTCGTAGGGGTCGATGGCGACGTGCTTGGCGTCGCGCTGCTCAGGCGTCTCGAGGTCGTTGGCCCCGGTGCCGAACTTCCATGACGGCGCGGGGGTCTGGGTGTAGCGGAAGGTGCTGGAGGCGTCGAAGGGCGGGCGCGAGGCCTGGACAGTTTTGAAGTCCGGGTGCGGGTTGCGCTTGATCTCGGCTTCGGACCGGGCCTTGAGCTGCGCTTCGGAGGGAGACATTGTGGGCACAGAGACGGCGAAGTGGCGGCGGGATGAGGATCGGCGAGGAGTGAGCAGAAGCCGGAAGGGTAAGGGATCGTGCCGTTGTGCGAGTCTCAAGGTCATGAGAAGCAGGTTGTACAGGTCCGATTCGTTATGAGATGCTTTGTAATCGTATGGGAACCCAAGTGGCTCATTTTCTTTCACCATTGATAAGGGCCGGTGGGTTTGGGCTCGTAGTCGCTCGCCATCGATCGTCACCACTTGGGAAAAGTGGGCTCGATGTGGGGGTTGTTTATCGACCTGTCAAGCCCGTTTAAGCCTCAAGGATACGATGAGGCCTCAGCAAACCTGACAATCAACTTCTCTATTAGATCATCAACCCTTTCAAAAAGAAAACAGGGCTTAGCAATGGAGTCCGCAACTGGACCGACTCCCAATTTCTGTATGTTGGGTTTAATGTTGCCTATAGCCATCAATATTGAAGTTAAAAGTTTGCATCCATAACTCTGTGTGGTTGAGCTGCTATTTATAACATCTCTTCATATCTACTAGCATCTTTTCTTTCTTAGTGTTTTGATTATCGTCCGCATCATATAATTGCACCTGCAATATAACCAGCATATCATGCTAGTCAATCATATTCATACTTCCTTCTCAATTCCTCCCAAGCCTCCCACCAGACTTAGCGGGTTGAATCGCCATAGGCTTTGCTAAGGAAGAGACCTCAACGCCCACAGTTCCGGGTAGCACAGACCGTATTCTCATGGATATACCGAATCTTGCCACCCTCAAGCCGGAAGAAGTTGGAACTAGGCGCCCCATCAGGCTTCGTCTTGTCGATGAATGGGAAATCGTTGAAGATGCTTAGGCCGCCGAGCTCCTCGTCAATCACGTACCGCCTGTGTTTGATCGTGAACGCCTCCGGGAACTGCGGCATTGTGCACGTGTTGGTCTTGGTCGCCGTGGTGCCCGTGTACATGCCGCCCTCCAGCCGTGCGCAGGGCGAGCCGTACGGCACCTTCACTTTCCCGTCGGTCCAGCTGTCGAGGTACGCATCGCCCGCGGCCTGTATGACATCGCGCTTGTCGCGCTTGTCCTCGGGGATGGGATCCCACTTCTCCTGCTTGTTCCAGTACAAGTGCGCCGTGGCGTTGAACACCCAGTCGCCCGCGTCGGCCACGACCGACTGGACGGTGTCGATCTTGCCGTCGTCGCCGAACCGCATCTGTGTATGGATGACGTACGGGTGCTTGTTGGTGGCCGACGAGATCTCGGTGAAGGTGGCGCACTGGTTCGTGTCGAGCAGGCTGCGGTCAAAGTCGACGACGACGGGCTGCGCGAGCACGCCCTTGGATATGTCCATGACCACGTCGTTCTCGGTGTAGTTGACGGTCGCGGAGAGGGCCGGCATCTTGGGGTCGCCGGCGGCCTGGGCCTTGAGATACGCCGCCGTGGCGTCCTTGAGCATGGTGCGGTCGCATGCTGCCGAGGCGTGGCTGGCGAGGCCTGCGAGGACGAGAAGGAGCTGGTACATCTTGACTGCTGGAATAGCGGAGGCGTTAGATTCTGACCCTTGCAGGCGTGATGGCATTGCAGACTCGAAGTCTGTGTATCACACATGGCAGTGAGGGGAACCTTTTAAGAGCCTCTTCCAATGTCAGTAATCCTAGTCATCTCCGGCTTAAATCATCACTGCAATACTGGGCCCGGGAATCTCGGACTCAGAAGTACATCCATCCTAGTGGTTGTAAGCAGTCGCAGGACCCCCGAGTGATGGATGAGGGTGTATGCCCAGAACAAACCCGAAGAACATTCATTTGGGCCAAATATTCCAACCATGTCCAGCTCGTAAGCCTGGGCCGGCAGTTCTCGATTCCCGTGGCGGACCTTGCTTTCCCGGATCTGTGGTGCCAGAAAACGGGAATTTAGCCGTAATTTCGTATCTTACGACCCGCCCCGAGCCGAGGGGGTCAGAGACTGAGGAAAAGAAAAACAGAGACACCGTTTACATGAATGCGTTGTAGGACTGGCCATCTTCGTCAAAAACGGACCATTCCGTATTTGTTGGTTGTTGGTCGGCAAAGTCAAATAAGGCGTTGTCAGAGAAGCCTGACCAGGCTACCCCTTGTGCCATGCCAAACATATCGCCAGAGAGCATAGAGTACATGCTTTCCATGGAGAGGTTAATGTCTGGCTGTAGGATAGCCATCCCTGCCGAACTGTTCTCCGAAGTGTCGCCCTCTGTACTGCCGGTGAAGGCTTGGGGTTGTGATGAGAAAAGGGCTTTCACAGTAGCAGACACAAGCGTCTCAAGTGCATCGCGGCATCCTGCTGCTGATGGGAATCGCCCTGTGAGAACAGCGAGGGTTGTCGAGCAAGTTTGCGCTGTGTGGACAATCTCCTCAGGTGGGTTGGAGCGCCTCAGGTCGACCGAGTTCCAGACCGTATAGATGAAGGTCAGTCCGGCGACGAAGAGACGTTGCGCCCATATCCATGCCATTTCTAGTTGATGCTCCCTCTGTAGAATTTGCGCACATGCGATCAATTTCTTCGCTGCATCAAAGCAGATACGAAGAGAGTCGGGCCCCGGTTCTGGGATAGACGGATTGGGCCGGTGCAGCAGCATCAGGGTGTTGTAAAATGTGGCATCCCACCAACTGGAAAAGGCATAGATGCTCTCGTGGTATACATCCCGTATGGGAGGTATCGACGCCCGCCACTCTTCCAGGCGAGGTTGGATATCTTCCATCCATCGCGGAATGTCTGGGCTCGGGAAGGCGAGAGAGCCGCGTTTCTGATGACGATAAAGCACGTGTTTGATCTCAGACTCTAACCTTGACAGCTTTAGCAAGTGATTGACCACCAGCTGAGAGTGGAAGTCAGCTGGGGACGGCGCGTCAGGGTATCCAACGCTGACGCTTTGTTCTTCGATACTGAATGGCCTACCCAGCGTAACACCCAGAAGTCGTTCCAGGTTGTACGTGGCCCAAAACAGGCGTCGTCTCTTCTTCAGATGCCCAGGTTCCAACTGGAGAGCAGCGTCAGTCTCCCAGTGCAACCCTATATTGACGCAGATTCTTAGAGCAATTCCTGACAGCAGCCATAAATTGCCCTTCGACGGCGACAGTGAGATGTACTGAGCCAGTAACAGGATATTTCCCAGTGTCTCGGTGTCGCTGTCGGAACTGCCAATTGCTGAGTCAATGTATTGGAGTGCAGAATGAAAGCAGCCTTCACTCTCAACCGGCCGGCCCCCAGAACCTATCTGCAGTCCACAGAGGCTGACAGCAAAAAATATGAAAGTCACAAAGAGATCCCGTCGCGAAGACCTCGAGATGGTGGCAGGATCGTTGCTAAATACCCGATATGCCGTCTGAACAGATGCAAGAATCTCAGCTCGGTCCAGGACTGGGAAATGAGGTGTACGATACTGGAAGTAGACGTCCACAAGATGCGTGGCTGCGGCTGCTGGCGGGAGCGATGACTTGAACTCCGTAGAGCACATCTTCAAGGTCCGATTTATGGACGCCGGCTGCGGCGAGGATGTTGACTGGGGAAAGTCGCACCCTACAGAGGCCATGACCATCTTGACCAAGGAGACACCACTAGAGGTGCCCAGACATCTGGGTTGCTCAGATGGTTCTAGCACAACCATTGCCAGCGACTGGACAACTTCCTGCTGAAACCGCTTGCTCTGATCGGGTTGAAGAGACACTGATGAAGGAGAGTCCGTGTTGGGCGTGGCAGCGACTATCGGAGACCTCTGCCTGAGCTCTCTGTTCTCCTTCTTCAGCCGCTCAATCTGCGCTTCAAGGTTCTCGAAATAGTTCCGCGGGACTTCCTGCTTCTTCCCAGCATGGTAGCTGAGGCATTCCGCATTTGCAGCTTCGCAATTGGAGCATTGCGGGTATGCCAGGTCGCACTTTGAGGCTTGTTAATGGCTCTACGCTTGCTACATCTATGGGGTGGTGGACCTACCCTCTGTTTCCTCTTGCGGCACCGTTGACATGCCACGGCGCTTCTAGAAAGACGTGGGCCTCGCGGTCCCGGGCTCTCCATTATCAAGCTGAGGTTCTCTGCTGAGCTCTATGGGGTCTCACTCTGGTTGATGTCGTGGTTTGCTGCAGTAGCTGGTCGTGGCCTATGACAATGGATAAATAAAAAACCAGAGGAGAGAGCATCAGTACTAGGAGCGGGGAAATACTTGGGTTTGAGATGTTGAAACTAGACTTGACTTAGTAATAGTCGGCCAAGCTCCGCTTATCGCTACGAACCCGCTCGACTCTGGAGACAATGGACACAACTTCGCGAATAGGTAGTGTAATAGGCAAAGAGCCGTATAAACAGATAGAAGCATGCGGCTCTTCCTACTCATATGTGCTATTTATGGATTATCTAATTCGTAGCTCTCACATGAAGTTGCGTCAGAGCCAGCACCGCCGCCGGTCTTTCTTTTAGGGGTCATCCAGGTTGATCAACTACTTGGCACCTTAGATCGACCTAAATTTCTCATGCTTCTGAATGTTTGCAACTACGCGGACCCCAGCCTTACAATGTCTATAAGGTGTACTTGTAAAGAGGAGAGCGATCTCCCAGATCCGATAGCTCCTGCTCGGTGAACCTTGCGCGGATCTCCTCCTCAGGAACCTGGGCCTTCTTCTTGTTCAGGTACCAGTAAGCTCCCTCCAGGCCCAGCCCGATCAAGATGCCCACGGCCAGAACGCCTATCGAAGTCCCGTAGCCAGTGGGGTAGGCCGGCGCCTCCCTGGTCAAAAACATGAAGCTGCCAAGAATGCCACCAATGTTGCCGACGCCGCTGTAAAAGGCCAGGCCGACGGCGCGCTTGCTGGCGGGTGTAATGTTGTTGGCGGTCCAGGACGTGATGGCCGGGTTGACGGGGAACAGGCCGATGCAGACGAGAAAGACGGCAAAGTAGGCAGGGCCAACGTGCTGGTCCGTGTGAGCGCCGAAGCTCATGATGACGGCGTAGCCGATGATGAAGAGCATCCAGGGGATGACAATGAAGGGCATTCGCTTGTAGAACCGGTCAGAGAGCTTGGATGAGAGCACGGTCGCGATGGCACCGGCGATATACGGCGGCGCCGTCATGAGCTGGGCGGTCTTGTTCTTGAAACCCATGCCCTTGATGATGGATGGCATTGTCAGTTTGACACCTGTCAGGTGTTTCGGTCAGTACGAGTTCTGATTTCGCGCTAGCGTTGAAAATGGAGAAGACAAAGGAACGCACCATAGCCAGCAGTAATGTTGACAAAGAGCAACGCGGTGGTGCCGTAGATCTTCCAATCCGTGATGACAGAGCGGAACGCTTTCCAGCTAGTCCTAGATGACTTCTCCCCAAACTGGCCACCATCCTTGATAAAGTGCTGGATCTCCAGGTAACGTATCTCCCCAGGGGAAAGCCACCTGGAGAGCCTAGGGGAGTCAATGAGAAAGAAAAAGCACGAGACTCCGAGAAGCACAGTGAAGAGACCTTCAAGAATGAAGATCCATCTCCAGCCTTCGTAGCCTCCAACACCGTCCATGCTTGCAATTGCCGCTGCAAGAAGGCCAGAGAATGCGGAAGCAAGGGCGCTTGTTAGGTATAGGTATGCGATGCGGGTCGAGATCTCATTGGGCATGTACCACTGTGTGCAGATGTAAATGGCGCCAGGGAAAAAGCCGGCCCTGTTGGCTTTGTCAGTTCCGCTGATCCCCGGCTTTCCGTTTTAGTTAGAGTGACATGGCTTACTCAAACAGACCCAAAAGGATCCGAACAGCCACGAGGCCTCCGAAGCCCTGAACAACTCCATGTAAAGTCATGATAATGCCCCAGCAGGTGACAATGATTCCGATGTAGTAAGATGGTCGCTTGAACTTCTTCAAGATGATGTTGCTTGGGATCTCTTTGGCACGGTCAGAACTGGTATATTCCTGATATTAGACAAGAAGTCATATGTAGATAGCTTACCAAATCCGACATAGGTGATGAAAAGAATGGACAGGGCAATGTTGTATTGCACTCCTGTCAAGCCAAGGTCCGCTGAGAGGCCTTCGATGGCCGCGTTGCCAATATTGGTACGGTCCAGGTTAGATATGAGGTAGAGGATAGCCAGCATAGGAGCGAGGCGGATATCGATCTAGAGATAAACAACCTATTAACTTTGGTCTAGCAAAAGTGTCAGAGGTCATGTTGCACGTACTCGGTGAACAAGCTTCTTTCGCTGCTCGGGAGGGTAGTTGAGGTAGAACTCCTCATCCTCGGGAGGCAAGCCCAGAACACGTATCTCGCCAATCTGAACGACTTTTTCGACCTTCTCGTCGGCCATCGAAGCCGCATCAGGAGCAGGCTGGATCTGGTCCATCTCGCCCTGGTCTTTGTGGAGCGTAGCCATCGCGAGTATCGAAGAAGACAGGGCACAATTGATGAACAATACTATCCAGGGGAGCCGGTGAGCATTATTGGGGATGGGACCCTGATCTTATACCACCCCAGATCTGCTGGTAAATCAAGGAGTCCAGAATCCCGTCTCGTGAGCTGGGGAGATTCTCGTTCCCAACGAAGGGTCTCTGGAGACAGATCCTGGGGAAGTGGGAACAAGATAAGACCCACTGTCGGCTGAGGCCGACAGAGATGTTCGGACTCGTGCGACGGAATGGCGAAGGTAACAAGAGATAGACGAACAATGTTTAGCTGGTAGCGCATTGCTCCGAGGGCGGATCTTAGTCAAACCCCCGTCTTAACGAGGACGGGGCGCCTATCTCTACCTCCTGAGCTTGATTTATGGTGTGTTCTTCAGTCACCAGGCCCAGTTGAAGAGAAAGACCCATACATTAGAATGTGCCATTGAGATTAGGCACTCAAGCTCTTAGCCATCCTCGTAACTTGCCACTACGGACTATTATTCATTGTACGAGGAAATACTGAACGAGTGTTGACTTTTTGCTCTGCCTAGCTACTTTCTTGGCACTTGCCAGTCTTCCTCAACCTGAGATCGGGATTTACAACTCCTTTCCATATTTTCATCTTACCGTGATGAATTCTTTCTGATCTATAGCCGCGACAGCTTCTTGGCGTCTTTGGATCTATCACTACGCCTAGCTGATCGAGCTAGACGCTCCTTGCTATACTGAAAACACTCAGGCAGCCCAGTATCGTGCCAAGAACCGCCACAAACCAACTTGGCAATGCCAGGGGCACATGTAAAGATTCTTGCCATCCCTTGCATTTGAGTTAATAAATGAGACAGATTATTGTGGTGAGAATGAGAAGGAACTCACCATGGCCGTTGAATCCGGCACACACCCATTGTCCTTCAAAGCCGTCAAGCTCTCCAACCCATGGCACCAAGTCAACCGACTTTGCAATGATACCAGTCCAAGCTTGGTCAAGACCTTCGCCTTGGCGCTTTTGGCCCAGCCTCGCAGATTCTGGAAATAAAGCGTTGAACGTGTGAAGGGCGTCTTCTACAATCTCCTCTTGACAACCGCTATCATCAAAATCCACCAAACTATCTCGCGTTTTCTGACTCAATTTGGGATTTGTTCTGGATGCACCCAGTACCAGTGTTCCATCCCCTTGCCTTTGGATGAGAGAGTAAAAATGGTGGAGGGAATATCGAAGGGAGTACGTATTGTGCAAAGCATTCTCCCCGGCCAGCCCAGCGCTGGGAATGATTGAGTGTGCTTGTGCTATATTGGGAGTGATGGATTCTTGTAATTGCGGGAGGAGGTACGATGCATATGCATTCGTGCAATGAATGACTTGCTCGGCCGCAATAGATCCCCGGGGGGTGTGAATGTCCCATCCTGATGTTGGTGAGGAACGCGCGATTGAGGTTGCCGGACAATGCGTCCACAGTCTGGCTCCCTTTTCTATGACAGATGAGAGCAGCCATTGTGCCAACTTGGCAGGGTGTATAGAACCGGCCGGCCATTCGTAAGCAGCCACCGTACTCTGTACTCCAGTCTTCGTCTTGGCCTTATCTCCCTCATAGAAGCGAACGTGGCTCAAGTCACCGCCTGCCTTTTCATATTCCTGAAAGCTCTTTAGTTCCAGAGCGGCGAATTCAGGAGTTAAACAGACGTCAAATGTAGTTGTGTGATGAAAGTCGCAAGGGACATCGTTGTTCTTGACAAAAGCGGCCACCCGCTCAAAAACGAGCTTCTCATTCTCAATGATTTTCAGTGCCTGTTCAGGGCCGTGCACAGTAGCGTACATGGAGAAGCCGCGGAATGCATCAGGCCGAACATGCCCAGCATTCTTGCCGCTAGGCCCTGATACGGCTTCACGCGCCTCGAGTATGAGGATATCGTTGGCGGGAATACCCTGCTCTTTGATGAGGGAGAAGGTGGTGAGAGCGCCTGCGATGCCTGAGCCGATGACTACATATTTCGAAGACGGCGGAACAGCAGCTGTGCTATTGGAGTTCAGGTAGGGAAAAGCGCGTGTTGTGCGATGCCAAAACGATAGGCCAGGCGTAGGATGTGGTAGCGAAGGCCGAGGGGAAAGCGTTGGTTGTGACATCTTCATTTAAAGGGCTAGGGGTCTAATTCGCATGGCTGAACGGATTACAAAAAGAGAAAATGATCAGGCAACCAGATCTAAAGAGCAGCAAGAGAAGATCGACTGGGAGAAAGTTTGGTTGTGTGGTATCATCCTTCTGATTCAAAGGACTCTATCCCCGAGCGCCACACTAAAAGCTGTTGGTCGTGCTCGACAGATATGCACAGAGATTCATGTGCTAACCATCAGAACCCAGCCACAGCAAATTATCCTAGCAATCTCCTCTGTACTGGTGAAAGAGACGTAAATCCGGTTTGTACCCGACAGGTTGGTGGTCGGCGTCATGTCCGACAGCCCTTGTCATGGCCCCGCATCGGACTCGTGCGATACAGATCGGACTCGTGCGAACAATTATCGGCGCGCTTCGGATCATCATCGACCAAAGGCAGGCGATGATGGGTAACACGGATTCACCAGAGACGATTTATGGAACGAAGGAGGACTTGGGAGAACATTGTCCGTCGATGCTTAAAGAACCCCGTCGTCCCGCGCCTACATCCGATAACAGTAGATACACTTATCGCTGTTCCAAACCCCGTCACTCTTTAAACAGGCACCATGGCTATAGGGGCTGCGTTTGGTGCGGTCGAACCGAAAAGCATTGAGATTGCCATAGATCGTGGCGGGACATTCACCGATGTTTGGGCCAAGATCCCCGGGCGCAAAGACCTGGTCATCAAGTTGCTCTCAGTGAACCCGGAGAGCTACGATGACGCGCCAGCAGAAGGTACGTGTCTGTCATAATCCTTATCTAACAACTAATATCTGACGTGCGACAGGAATTCGACGTGTATTAGAAACCGTCACGGGACGCAGCCTGCCACGTTCAGAGCTGCTCCCAAAGGACCTGCTTCGTTCCATACGCATGGGAACAACAGTAGCGACTAATGGTAAGCTCCCTTGGCACTTCTATCTTTCTAGGGCGATGGAAACATCTGCAATCATCTTATTAGACTCTATCTGACACCGCTCAGCTCTGCTCGAACGTAAAGGAACGCAGCATGCACTCGTTGTCACTGAAGGGTTTCGCGATGTACTCGAAATTGGCTATCAGTCTCGTCCGAAGCTTTTCGAGATTGCCATCAAAAAGCCAGATCTTCTCTATGACGAAGTCTGTGAGATCTCAGAGCGGATTGCCTTTGAAGGCTTTCCCGAAGACCCCAGGTTTGGTCTTGCTGAGACACCTGGGGTTCTGGTGAAGGGCATCACGGGAGATCTTCTCCGAATTCTGAAGCCCCTTGATGAAAATGAGGTTCGAGAGAAGTTGTCAGCCATCCGTGCAAAGGGTATTGATGTTATTGCCATCTGCCTGGCGCATTCCTACCTGTACCCGAACCATGAAACCCGTGTGGCTGAGATTGCTGCTGAGCTTGGCTTCAGTCACATCTCCGTGTCGTCCACCGTTGCTGGCGGCATGGTCAAAATGATCCCACGTGGTAGCTCTGCTACAGCAGATGCCTATCTGACCCCCAAGATCAAGGAAGTACGTTGAAGGCTCCCCAGAGCGAGTCTGATCAGCTGAATTAACCGAGTCTAGTACGTATACGGATTTGCTCGCAGATTCAAAGACAACAATCTCGATAGTGTGAACTGCCAGTTCATGCAGAGTGATGGTGGTCTCACGAGTTACGACAAGTTTAATGGTCTTGGTGGTATTCTGAGCGGCCCCGCCGGCGGCGTTGTTGGTTATGGCAGAACATCCTATGATGGCAGTACTCCCCTTATCGGCTTCGACATGGGCGGTACCAGCACCGACGTCTCACGTTTCGGTGGTAATTTCGAGCATGTGTTCGAGACGACAACGGCAGGCGTGTCGATTCAGAGTCCCCAGCTAGACATCAACACTGTTGCTGCGGGCGGCGGCAGCATGCTCTTCTGGACGAACGGTCTGTTCAAGGTGGGACCAGAGGTAAACAAACCCCGTGTGTCGTCATTGATCTATATGCAATACGTGTTTCCTAACTCCTTGACAGAGCGCTGGTGCCCATCCTGGCCCTGCCGCGTATCGCAAAGGCGGGCCGTTGACCGTGACAGATGCTAATCTCTTCCTCGGCCGCATCCTGCCATCATTCTTTCCCGCCATCTTTGGCCCTAATGAGGATCTGCCTCTCGACACCGAGGTCGTCGCTCAAAAGTTCGAGGAGCTGACGAAGGTTATCAACGCCGAGACTGGACGTTCCATGACACCTCAGGAAGTAGCTTACGGTTTTCTCACCGTTGCCAACGAGTCGATGTGCCGGCCCATCCGCGCCATTACAGAGGCCCGTGGCTTTGAAACAAGACAGCACAATCTTGCTGTCTTTGGAGGGGCTGGCGGCCAGCACGCTTGCGAAATCGCAGCCAAGCTCGGTATTCAACGGGTGATCATCCACAAGTACTCCAGTATTCTATCTGCCTATGGAATAGCCCTTGCCGAGGTGGTTCAGGAGGCGCAAGAGCCGAGCAGTGAGAATCTGTCAGATGAAGCGCTTGTCAAACTCGATGGCAGAATCAGCGTGCTCAAGAAGTCTGTCATGGGAAGCCTGTTGTCTCAAGGAGTCTCCCCTGAGGCCATCGAACACGAATTATACCTGAACCTGAGATACCACGGCACAAACACCAACTTTATGATACAGCAGCCCGAAGATGGCGATTGGCGTGCTGCGCTCGAGTCGACCCACCTACGGGAGCTGTCCTTCTCCTTCCCTCACGACCACAGAGTCGTCGTAGATGATGTGCGAGTCCGTGGCGTCGGGAAGGGTGGTAATACTACGACAGACTCCGATGTCCTCGTGAAGGAATTGGCCAACGTCAAATTCTCAGAATCGACGATTGAGAGCGCTGCAATGGTAAGTCTGCCCTCTCGTGCCAGGATAGTATTCTACTAATCTTCTTCCTAGACACCCGTGTTCTTCTCTGGGGAGCTTTTAGACTCCAAGGTTTATAAATTAGATCGAATTCCCAACGGCAGTGCGATATCCGGGCCCGCTATCGTGATCGACAACACCCAGACCATTGTTGTGGTGCCTGGTGCTGTGGCCAAGATTTTGTCCTCCCACGTGGTCATCGAGATGCCTTCAGCTCCTGTTCAGGACGCAGGCGACGAAACCACCAGGTTTGTCGATCCGATCAAGCTCAGTGTCTTTTCGCACCGTTTCATGAGCATTGCCGAGCAAATGGGTATGGCCCTCCAGAAGACCAGCATCTCATTGAACATCAAAGAGAGGCTGGACTTTTCTTGCGCCATCTTCGGCCCCGGTGGAGACTTGGTTGCCAATGCACCACGTAAGTATGTCTTTCTTGAATCTCGCAGCAGAACGTTTGCCTAATTCAACTGTTTAGATGTCCCTGTTCATCTCGGCAGTATGAGCTATGCAGTCAAGTACCAACATGAACTACACAAGGGCAACCTCAAACCAGGAGATGTTCTCGTAACCAATCATCCAGAGGCCGGAGGCACCCATCTGCCCGATATTACCGTCATTACCCCAGTTTTTGAGAATGATGGCAAGACTATCTGCTTCTATACCGCCTCTCGTGGCCATCACACAGACATTGGTGGTCTGGAAGGGACATCTATGCCTCCTAATTCCACTTTCCTGTGGCAGGAAGGTGCCTTGATCAAGTCCTTCTTCCTTGTCCGTGATGGGCACTTTGATGAAGAGGGCATCTGCAAGATCCTGACCGAGCCAGGCAAATACCGTCGGGTCACGCCCAGCCGCAAGATCAACGAGAATCTATCAGACCTCAAGGCTCAGATCGCGGCCAACGCCAAGGGAAGCCAGCTTATTGCCACGCTAATGGCAGAGTACGGCCGGCCTACCGTTCATTTCTACATGGCAGAGATCCAGCGCAATGCTGAAATGGCTGTGCGCTCGTTCCTCAAGCAGACCCGCGAGAGGAGGGGGCCCGTCGTCCTCCATGCCGAAGAAGGTATGGATAATGGCGCCATCATGAAGGTCGCCATCACTATCGAGGAGGATGGCGGTGCCACCTTTGACTTCACCGGCACGTCGAACGAGATGTACGGCAACTTCAACGCCCCTCCTGCGATCACAAACTCGGCCATCATTTACATCCTCCGGCTCCTCATTGGCGTCGACATTCCTTTGAATCAGGGATGCCTGGCTCCTGTCAACGTGATCATTCCAAAGGGCTGCTTCTTGAACCCGTCGGCAGGAGCAGCCGTGTGCTGCGGAAATACGCATACGTCCCAGCGCCTAGCTGAGCTTCTGATCAAGGCCTTTGATGCAGCGGCTGCATCGCAGGGAGACAGTAAGGTTTCCGTCGATAAGAAATTACGGTTGTTCAAATAGGCAACTAACACGGCTCTGCAGTGAACTGCGTGGCATTCTTTGGGGTTTCTGGATACGACAGCGACGGAACTCCGCAGTTGGCTTACGGTTACAAATGTGAGTGACCTTGCTTGTATGGCTCAAAGTCAACTCCCGCTAACACAGACTAGATGGTGAGACGATCTGCGGAGGAGAAGGAGCTTCAGAGGTATTAAACACAACCTCGTTCTTCTAGACTACCCCGTGCACTAACATCTGTATGCTAAACAGGGCCACCATGGTGTCTCTGCTGTTCAAATCCACATGACTGTAAGTGCCCAAGCCCCGTTTGGCAGATTTGCCTCTGTTAACAGCGATGCCAGAACACTCGGACAACGGATATCGAGTTGTTGGAAAGACGTCTGCCCATTCTCATTCGAGAGTTCTCTATCCGACGAGGCAGTGGGGGACGGGGCAAATGGAATGGGGGCGACGGAATCGTCCGCTCGTTCGAGTGCCGCGTTCCCTTGACATTCTCCATCATCACCGAACACAGAGTTCGAAAGCCGTTCGGGATGAAAGGAGGTGAAGATGGCTCCCTCGGTGTAAACTTTTGGGCACGGGGAGAACCGGACGGCAGCTACAAGTGGATCCAGTGTGGTCCCCGGGGTCTCATTGAGATGGAGACTGGTGACAGGTTTGTTATTCACACGCCTGGCGGCGGCGGCTGGGGCAAGCCGGTAGAGCAAGTCACGAACGGCCATGCTGATAGAGTTGCTCTGACGAATGGGCATACAAATGGGCATACGGGAGGAGATGGCGGTGCCGAGCCATACCCTCGTGCCTCAGGGAGCTACCACAATTTCCTCTCGGAGCAATTGGCAGCATCGTGAGGGGAAATCAAGGAACAATCCCGGATTATTACAATGGATGCGTCGGCTGCTACAGTATATCGAACTTTCCGATAAGCAACCAATTGCAATATGGTTCGGTTCGATCAGAACGTCATGTTGCTTGCCGGCGTTGCTTCCCGGGATTTGAGGCGGGCAGGCAGTGTGAATTGCCCGAGAGTTCGGCCTCGGCGATGGGTCAACAGACCGGCCGGGAATCTCTGTGGGGCGGGATCTACAGGCGTGAAAGGCCGACAACAGAAGCAATTGGGTGATCTGACCAGCATTGAACGTGAAGAAGTTGAATGTGCCGCGTCTCGCTCAGCCAGCCCTTCAGCCCACAGAGCTCCCCGCCGCTGTCCATCGGCTTCACCAACCATTGGCAATCAAGCTGAGTAATCGCAACTTTCCAAAAACAAGGTTATTGCTGTAGGGCTGCCGGTCGCGGAGTGGAAAGGTGCTTACTTGACACGTATCCTTGGCAAGGATCGTTCAACGTTATGGGTGTATATTGCATTTGCTAGATGCAGTCCTTCCTTAGTCTGCAGATTCGGAGACGGATAGACTGCCAGGAACAAAAACAGGTGTACCATCCTTGCTTCGGGCCAGCATACAACGGTAAATCCGACTAAGCAGGGCAAAGCAGCGCAAAGCAGGGCAAAGCAGGGCGCCGGTTGACTCGTGATGCCCTTTTCTCTGGAGCTAGGCATTGGCCTCGGTGCGGGCGGAGTTATCGGCGTGGTCCTGGTCGATGCACTAACCCGCACCTCTCGTGCTGGTGCCAGACTTTTTCCCTCACAGAGTGGGCAGAGTGGGCAGAGTGGGATCGAGGGGTTTTCCCTTGCAGGGCAGCCTACCGAAGGTCCACTTGCCCAGCGTGATGGATGATGGCATCTTCCGCCTTGGCTTCACTAGGAGGCCATGGACAATGGAGCTTCCGCGGAGACCCTGCGGCCGCAGTGTTTTATCACCGTCTCTCCCCATGAATCTCAGTGCTCGTTTTGTCACTCTGGACCGACATGTCCTCCCGTAGGTCCTGTAGTTAGTTCCCTCCGCCAGCAAGAGCCGTGACGAAAGCCGGGTTGGGTGGCTTGGCCGTGAGACATAGAGAGCGGCCAGAGTCGGTTCTGGCCGTCTGACACGCATCCACCGCCTCGCGCCCACCTGTGAATAGCGTTCTGGGGTGATCATATATAAGCTTTTTCGTCCTAGGATCGGCCAACGGCCCCAAGCCGTCCCGACTTCGCACCACCACATCGCACTTCCGAGGAGGCTGCCAGACAGACCTCTGCAATTCCAGCCTGCAAAACATTTGCTACTGGAGGTTGAAGCGCATCGTCAGCCAGTTCTCGAGGCTCAGATGGGCGCAATCGGCACGAGGAGTGCGTGAAAAGCAGACATTCGACATCGCATTGGCGGGCGAGTCAGCTCTCAATCCAACCACCGATCGCCTCGATTCAGCGACGACCGGAATTCCGTTACTGCGACACAAGACCTAAAATTTCGTCCTCTCTCCCTCTCTCCCTCTCTCCCTCTCTCCCTCTCTCCCTCTCTCTCAATATCCGTAGACGATATAATCCGCGCCTCGATCCATAGCCAGCCGGCCGGCCGCACCCCAGCGCCATGACCGAGAGCATCGGCGCTGACTCCCCCGGGAGCACGCACGACCACGACGACAATGCCTCGGACCACGAACCGGGGCCCATCCCCTCGACCGCCAGCGTCAACCAGCTCGTGCAGTCGCTGCCCCGCGGCGCCTCGGTCTACACGCCCAACACCGTGCCCAGCGGCGACATGAACCCGCGCAGCTGCGTCACCTGCCGCCGCCGCAAGGTCCGCTGCGACAAGACCATGCCCTGCGCCAACTGCCGCCGCGCCCAGATCCCCTGCGTCTTCCCGCCCCCCGAGCGCGCGCCCCGCCGGCCCAGGCGCAGGGACCCCAACGCCGCGGCCGGCGGCAGCAAGGCGCAGTCGAGCGAGCGCGAGGTCGAGCTGCTCAAGCGCCTGCGCAAGCTCGAGGGCATCGTCGAGGAGCTGAGCGGCCAGATCGAGGTCGAGACGTCGAGGCACCAGTCCAGCAGCGGCAACTCGCCCGAGGCCATGTACGGCTTCGGCGAAGCAGGGTCCGCGACGGCGGTCGCGGATCGCACGATGGGCAGCGTCAGCGGCGGGAGCAACAGGAGCCATGACTCGCCTCGTCCGGGGCAGGAGGGAAATAGCCCCTCAGGTCCGCCCAATTCGGGCATCTTTACCACCGGGTACAACCCGACATTCCCGCCGCCGAAGCGGACATCGACCGGCGAGGTGCGGAAGAAGTTTGGACGGCTGGTCATCAATGATGCCGGCAGGACGCGATATGTTTCCAGCGCGTTTTGGTCCAAGATCAATGACGAGGTACGTCGACCTATACAGCTCATAATTGTCGGACCAAACTGACCTTTGCATTTAGCTGGATGAACTGCGCGCCAGTGCCGAGCTGGGCCTGACCTCAGACGACACCGAGCAGTCAGAGGCCGGAAGCGACGTAGACGAGCCCGCCGACAACTCCTCCCAGGCCGTTCACCACGCGTTCCTGTTCGGCTACCGCTCCTCCGATCTCGATCTCAAGAAATACCACCCGCTGCCCTCGCAAGCGGCTTACATGTGGCAGATATATCAGGAGAATGTCGATCCGCTCGTCAAAGTCCTGCACATCCCTACCATGGACAAGCTGGTGCGCGCGTCGAGGAATCCTGAGAGCTTGGTGCCCCAGACCGAGGCGCTCATGTTTGCCATGTATTTCGGTGCTCTCACGTCCATGGATGACGAAGATGTGAGTATCAGACGCGCACGCGCTCTTCACGCTGCAATTGCAATTTGTTGCTAACAGACAGCGCTTTTAGGTGATGAAGAACTTCAACGCCGACCGCACAAAGCTCCTCGCGCAACACCGATTCGCCCTCGAGCAAGCACTGGCCAGGGCACAATTCCTGACCTCTTCCGACCTGACTACCCTACAGGCCTTCGTTCTGTACCTCGCCTTCGTCAGGCGCAACGACGACGCCAGGGCTGCCTGGACCTTGACCGGGCTGGGCATCCGCATCGCGCAGTCGATGGGCCTGCAGCGCGACGGCACGAACTTCGACAACCTCACCCCCTTCGAGATCGAGATGCGCCGCCGCCTCTGGTGGGCCATCTGCATGATCGACCTGCGGTCTGCCGAAGACCAGGGCACCGACCTGACGATCCTCGAGTCGACGCACGACACGCGCATCCCCCTCAACATCAACGACAAGGACATCAGCCCGGAGAGCAAGGAGCTGCCGCCGGAGCGCTCCGGGTCGACCGACACCACCTTCACCGTCATCCGGTGCGAGATCTGCCAGGTCGGCCGCCGCCTGCACACGGCCACGGCGGCCGGCTCCAACGAGCAGTGCCCCGAGGAGGCGCTCAAGTCGCTCGAGCTGCGCGAGTCGGTGCTGCGAGGCGTCTACGAGCGCATCGAGAACCAGTACTTCCGCGACTCGTCGCGCGAGACCAACCCCTTCTTCTGGATCGCCGCCAACGTCGCGCGCGTCATCATCGCCAAGCTCGTCCTCGTGCTCTACCAGCCCTTCCTGTTCCGCGGGCCGGGCAACGAGGACCTGTCGAGCGACGTGCGCGACCGCCTCTTCGCCGCCGCGACCGAGATCTTCGAGTGCAACCACCTGCTCAACAACGACCCGCGCACCAAGCAGTACCGCTGGATCTTCCAGACGTACACGCAGTGGCACGCCGTCGCCTACGTCATGATGGAGGTCGCGCACCGCGAGTGGAGCTCGAGCGTCGAGCGCGCCTGGGCCGCCCTCAACGCCGCCTTCCTCGCGCCCAACTCGACCCTCGACATCGAGAAGATGGCCGAGCACTCGGCCATCTGGCTGCCCTTCAAGAAGCTGTACGCCAAGGCCCGCCGCCACCGCGAGACCGAGATCGCGCGCCTCAAGGCCAGCCCGCAGGCCGCCGTCGAGCTGGACCGCGAGGACCGCGTCAAGGCCAAGCCCGAGTCCATGGACGCGATCCGCGGCGGCATGAAGGCCCTGGCTGCGCGGCAGCGGTGGCGGGTGCTCGTCGGCGACCCGCCGCTCGACAAGATTGGTGTCCCGCCGCCTCATCTGCAGAAGAAGTGGCAGGAGGAGCAGGAGGCTGAGGTCAAGACCAAGGCCGAGTCGGACTCGGGCAAGTCCGCGGCGTCGACTGCCAAACCCGCCGCTCCGTCCCCGTGGGCGGAATCTCCCGCCGCAGGCTTACCAGCGAGTCGTCCTTCACCAAGTGGGAACCAGGACGTTGCCGGGGCGCGAGAGGCGCAAGGACAGTCGATGGAGCAGAACATGCACACGCGCGCTGTCTACTCGTTCATGGACTCGATCATGTCGCAGCCCGCCTTTGAGCCGCACGAATGGATTCCCATGCTCTACTCGTCCAACCTCGGCGACGACGTCCAGCAGATGAGCGACTTCAGGAATTTCCCGAACGTGCCGCAGCAACAGCACCAGCAGGCGGGCAACAGCAATGACAATAACAGCGACACCACCGCAATGTCGGGTCTGACCCCCACCGGGAGCAGCGGCACCAGCATGAGCGGCAACACGCCCTCCACGACGCGGGCCACGACCTGGCCCATCGACATGCCCACCACGAGCGTGCCACCTCAGCAGCAGCAGCAGCAACAACAGCAACAGCAGGCGCCGGTAGTCAATAAGAATGACCTCCCGCCGTGGCTGTGGCCCAGCGCGCCGTACTTTGACAACTCGCCCTACGCGGCCGCAGGCCTCGCGGCGGGCGATCCTGCCGCCGCAGCCTACCTGCCTGGCGTCGTGGTGCCTGGGGCCAGCGGTCTGGGCACGGACGCGAATACCGTCTTGCCGACGACGCTGTCGGGCGAGGATGTCAACATGGACGACAACTTTGACTGGCAGAACTTTGGGGAGAACATCAGGGGGTTCGAGCTCGAGACGAATGGCGGGATGTCGGGCAGTGTCTGGGCTTCGCATGTGTAGTCCATGGGGGGAAATGGATGATATTTGAGCGGCAAACTTTGGGTAAACCTGTCCTTTTGCGTGCTTTTAATAACTGTTTGGCATTTTCTCTGTTTCCATGGTTTTGATACCCGTTCGCTCGCAAAACGGCGCGCTGGTGGATCTGTGACCCTGTTTTTGGTGAGAGTTGGGACGCGCCTAGTAGATATAAGAGGGACGTTGTTAAATAGACATTTGGGCTGTATCGCACCTTTTTTTGGACATCACAATGAAGATCTCCTCATTTTATTTCCCAGCTTTCCTATATGGACCATACGTGCATGCACGGAGGACGAGTTGAAATGTGACTTCGTCACGCATATTATGAGCAGCACATCAGATTCAGTGGACTACGCTATATGCAGTGTCCTCCTAGAGACATTCCAAGCCTTTCTCCAGTGTTCTGGTGTTCGATAATTGCCGAGCCTGATAGTTCCTAACCTTTCATAGAGCGAAGCAGTTTCGTACACGGGCTGCAATACAATGCAGTGCCAACAGATCGACTTGTCCCATCCATTTGCGTAACTTTCCGATTGCAATGGAGTCTTGATATCCTCGCAGGGCCTAGTCACCAAGCATAGCACTGGGATCTTGCGTGCCATCCGTTCGTGGGGGGTCAAATAATCCGGGTTGAAGTTGACCACGCAATCACCAAAAATGAGTACCTTTGCCCATGGACCGCCCACCGTGTTATACATGAAACTGTTGACGCTCTTCAACTTTCCTATGCTCTCTGAAGGCTGTGTAATGTCCAAGCCTATCAGAGAAGCCGGAAAAGTGTCACCTTCGACGGTAAGAATTGCTCGCTCGATATCGCCAAGGTAGGGATCTGTTACCCTACGGTAGGTGATGTCACAGCCCTTGAATATTATATTATCGGCCGGGGCATCGAAAGAGGAAATCTGGACTGGGGAAGCAATGGATGCCCACGACCAGCTCGGAAGAGTCGTCCTGGGCCTCTCTTTCAACGATACATGTGGTACGTAAGTGGCTCCAGGACACCAAAATAAAGAGCGAGCAAGATCCTCTTTCCACAGCCCGCACCAATATGTCCAGCCGTTAGCGGTCCCAAATTGCCTCGCGATACCGGCCAGAGCATCCAGTTTGTCCCCCTCCTTGGTCAGTCGGCGATGTGAGTAAATACTGACAACGTTCATCCAGTTCTCGAATAGGGACCAGTTTAAATGCTCCTCCATTAACTCGGTTTCGATATATGGCGGGCGCTTGAGCAGGTGCAAGCGATTTGTGCGAACGTCTCGCTTCCCACTACGGCGAGAAGACTCATAACGCGCGATGCTCCGGAGATCAGCGACTGGCTGTGTACTTGTTGATTGATGTTTGGGCTCGTCAAATACGTAGGCTCCGCATTGACAGCCTGCAACCTCATTACACTGCCACATGACTTCATCTTGAAGGAAGTAGAGTGTACGTGGTGCGAGAAGCTCCTCTTGTAGCACCCATCCTCGACGATGTAAGGGCCACTCGAAATGCCCAGTCTCACGCCATATCTCTGCGATGGGATGAGGGAATTCTCGTGGAGAAAGACCGGAGTATCGCCTACCGTTGTTAACCGGCACGCTTCTGCCGTTCCGATACCAAAGAGGGTGTCCTCGCAGCCTGAACTTCGACTTGCAGAAATGGTGATCTTTGAGTTCCTATAAATTGACGCCATAGAGGAAGCTTCTCGGTTCCAGTCGTCAATATCGTCCTGGATGATACACATGCAATCAATCCAGACAAATCTGATCCCCAATCTGCAGGGTACTTCAATCACATCCTGGACTTTTTAGAGTTGTTACTTGCTGATGTGACTTGCAGACTTAGCATATTTCACTCACAAAGTCGTGGAAGCACCTCGGCGGAAGCATCCGTCATAAGCTTGCTCTGGTAGTTCGATAGAAGCAACCTTGTTGTCTCGGTTTCAGAGCTCCATCGATGACTCAGAGCCGCGTATTCGATCTGCCCCTTCCAGGTCATTGTCTCTAATAAGCGAACGGTTGCAGGAGACGTGCTAGAGTCGAGATGGAGAAGTCGGGTGGGCCTGAAGTGGTTGTCGTCAACATCGCATCGGCGGTGGTTCCTCACACACCTTTCGAGCCATGTCGCCGCCTGGTTGAGAGCCACCTCGCCATTCGTGTTGCCCTGAACACACATCCTCTTTCTTATTCCTAATAATCTTCCATCTTCGGGGACCTCAGGCCAGGCAACGAACTGGAAGTCAAACCTCCGACCGACACGAGTGGCTTGGGCCTCGCAGTCCTGGGTATCCTCTTCGTAAATAGCCAAAGACATGGCAGGGCCCTGTCGAAAGAGTACTTTCTCATTCCAGGTTCTCGGTCGCCCATAATCAAGGATATACTTGAGAATGGCTTCACAAATATGGCAACCTCGATAAGCAGAGATCTCAAGCGCTCGGCGTCCAAAGTGAAGAAATGAAATTGAGTTGTCACCTTCACCGGAGACGTCATCCGCATCGAGATTTGAAGGTGCTGCATCTTCATCCAGCCTGAAGAGGCAAACGCCGCACCTTGGCTTGCCTGGGCCTCGATGGTTGAGATTGAGAGGGAAATGGACCTCAAGCTCGCTGAGCGAGGCGGCGATATCAATGATTTCTTCCGACATCTTGCAAGCTTGCAAACAAGCTGTTAATCCAGATCCTCGTGAGGATTCAACTTGATTTTCGACGGCGTTTACGGTATGGAATCAGTCTCGCTGAGAGGTTAGGCTTGAGCGCGGGGTTTTGCCCATGCCTCACATGCACGTACGACAACCAACATGATTTGTGCAAATTCTCCAGGGTTGCATTGGTCGATTCTCTGTAGCGAACCAATTCTGCCACCAAAGAGGCAGATGTTCGATTGTGTGATTCTGGGTGCTGCCAAGCCATCACTCCCGAAAGGCATCCCTGCACAAATCTCTTCAAACACGTACATAGTGTGTTACCAGGCCTTTTCCCTGAACCCATCTGCTCGTAGGCTTTCATAAAACTGTCCAATGGAGTTGACCTGAACAGTGTGCTTCAACGAACGCTCCACCCCCGATCTCTCCGTTCGTACCGATTACACAGTTCGTACCGTCTGAGCGAGTCTCTTGTATGCCTCCAAACCGTAGCGACATGAAGCCCAGCGTGCGCTCACCAATCTCATCCGGCTTGATAGAGAAGAGCCTTGCGACGGGAGACACTACCTTCTAGGTGAACCTGAACCACAAAGGCAACGTCTTGTCACCAAAGCTCTGGGTAATGACTAGACTCGGATAGACGTGTCCCAGACCGACGTTGGGGTGTTGCTCGGCAATTATTTCGAAAGACATAGTTTTCAAATGTATAGTGTGGTTTCGAACAGCAGCAAGCTGTAATACGCAGGGTTTTGCAACGACAAGTCATCTAGATAGCGGCTCTTTGATGCTGTTCCCAGGCCGCCCGCATGCACAGAAATGACCCGAGAGGATGCGAGGGCGTGATATCTAGCAACGGCAAGAGCTGGATCATGAAACGTAGGCGGGAGTAGTAAAGCAGTGAGAATGACTTGTCTAAGCCTTCAGCCGTGTCTAAAGGAATACTGTGAACGACTGCCTTCTATCTCAGCAGCAGCTGCTTGAAGGTAAGAGAAGTGGACTGACCATATGGCGCGTATCATCGAGATACAAGCATGCGTGGGACATGACGAGCAGGTCGATTAGTTCCTGGCCATCTTCGCTTGCCTGCTGTTCGAGCTGGATGATCTCTTGGCAACATCGGTCTACATCGTTGAGCAATGATAGGTCATCTACTTTGACAAAATGCAACTAGGCCTTGCTCTCAGATGAACAGTCGGTGGCGACAGCATCCGCAGCCCTCTGATTTCTACCCACGAGGTAGATTCGCGCACCTTTGCCATTGGCGGCGTGGCGAGCCAGAGCTCGAAGGGTATACTCTCCTATGCCAGACGTGCCACCGGTGAATACTGCCACCAAAGGCTGCTTAGAAAGGAGATCCCCATTGGCAGAACGGACTGTGTCCAGAGTTAGCCCGGTTGACGACATTGTTGTGGATGGAGAAAGAACTACGTAGTCTTACTCGTCAGTCATGTCTACGTTCTATTTTTTTCAAGACTGATTTGGATTGTATATGCTTCCTGAGCTCAGATGAGAGAGGTGACGTCTGCGATGTTGGTCTGGCACATTTTGGCTGCTATTCTGGTAGATTGCACTCGCATTCACTTGTGGCGCCGGCTGGAAGAGCTTGGAGGGCATCTAGTACTAGGTGTAGTGTAATACATGGATAGCTTCCTAACAAGAATCATTTCTGAGGACGTGGACCCCGGTATGATGACAAGACCAAAGTAAGCATCAGAAAGAAGAGACCCGAGCGGCAATTGCTGCTTATGGATCCCTGGATGTCAAAAATCCATGCGAAACATCCAATTCAAGGTTCCAGGTTGGGTTGATCCAATGTGACAGCAACAGTGTTGGTCCCCTGAGTGACATCACGTGGGGCATTTTCCGCCTAAAGTTTTAGGCGGCTCATCACCTGGAGGCCCGACAGAACAGTGGAAAAAATATCAACATCTCGCGGAGACAGAACAAGCAAAAGCAGACCAGTGCTTCTCATCCGCGCCGCAACACCTGCTCACCATGGACCCCGGGCGCAAGGCTATGATCGCGGGCATGCGATCCCCGACCCGCCGCGACAGAGACGTCACCGGGCCCCGCCGCGACCCAAACAGCCGCATCACCAAGCCCTCTTCCGCCCGCGCGACACCCCCCGCGGCCGTCGCCGCCGCCGCCGCCGCCTCGGCCAACAGGCCCTCGAGCAACCCCAAGTACCTGACGGCCGACGAGCAGTCGCAAAAGTTCGTCGCCGACGAGGACAAGTTCGTGCTCAAGCAGGCCAAGAAGAAGGCCGACATCCGCGTGCGGGAAGGGCGGGCCAAGCCCATCGACTACCTCGCCTTTGCGCTGCGCTTCGTCGACACCGACCGCGACGTGTTTGACGACGACGAAGACGATGTCGAGATCGAGGTGCCGCCGCCGGAGAAGGTGCTCGAGGGCCTCGGGGAGGAGCAGCTGAAGGAGCTCGATGGGGATATCTCGTCGTACAAGACGCTCGAGGCCAACGAGCGCAACCGCGAGTACTGGAAGGCGCTGCTGGCGCTGTGCGATGACAGGAGGGCGAACCTGAAGGGACAAGGTCCGGAGGGCAGGGCGGTCAGCTCGGTGGCGGCGGACATCGACAAGATCCTCGAGCCCAAGACGTTTGAGCAGCTCGAGGCGCTGGAGAAGCAGATCCGGGCCAAGCTGCGGTCCAACGAGCCGATTGATACAGACTACTGGGAGTCGCTGCTGCAGAGACTGCTGGTGTGGAAGGCCAAGGCCAAGCTGAAGAAGGTGTGCAAGGAGATCAAGGCGGCGCGTATAGAGCTGCTCAAGGAGTCGAACCCGGCCAAGGCAAAGCTTCTGGAAGAACAGGATGCCGCCTTTGTTGCCACTCGAGGGTCTGTGGCCGTATCTGGCACCTCCTCGAAGAACAGGGCGACAACGTTTTCCGCTGCTGCCGCCAGCAACGCTGCTGCTGCTGCTGCGCCCCCTCCGGGCACGGAACGCTTTGCGCAGACGGGTCAGGAGGACTTCTCGCAGGCCACCAAGGCCCTCTACGAGCGCGAGGTCGCCCGCGGCATAGGCGAGGACGAGGAGATCTTCATGGCGGAGGAGGCGGTGGCTGGCGGCGGTGCCAGGCCTCAGTGGGCAGACAAGTACCGGCCGCGCAAGCCGCGCTACTTCAACCGGGTGCAGATGGGCTACGAGTGGAACAAGTACAACCAGACGCACTACGACCACGACAACCCGCCGCCCAAGGTCGTGCAGGGCTACAAGTTCAACATCTTCTACCCTGACCTCATCGACAAGACCAAGGCGCCGACGTACAAGATTGTGCGCGAGGGGGGCAGGCGTCGGGGTGAGTCGTTTGCCCCCGCGGGCGAGGAGGATACGTGCCTGATCCGGTTCGTGGCGGGCCCGCCGTATGAGGACATTGCCTTTAGGATCGTCGACCGGGAGTGGGATTATAGTGCCAAGAAGGAGAGGGGGTTCAAGAGCAGCTTCGACAAGGTGAGTTCCAGACACACACAAACTTTTTCCAGTGCGGGATTTCTTTTCTTTCCTCGCAGAGATTTGCTCCTGCACCTTCAACCGGTCAGCAAGCCACGATGCCGGGTTCGCTGGCCATGCCTCCGACGAGCAGGGGCCGTAGCCGACGCCATCCGTGTTGATCAGCCGCCCAGTTCTTGATACGTGGCCATGCGAGAGACCAATGCTGACCCTTCTTCGCGCAATCTGCAGGGTATCCTTCAGCTTCATTTCCAGTTCAAAAAGGTGAGCGTTCCGGGGTTGAGGATGCCGAGTCCACGGAACAAGTCCAGAAAACTGACAGGTCATGGCGTACAGATTTATTACCGCAAGTAGAGTAACGGGCCAGGGTGCAAACCTGGTTTCTGGTGCCTACGTCGTATGCAGAACCCCTGGCTATGCAGTCATCATGGAGTGTGGGCTCGCGGGATCGCAGCCGGCTGGGCTGCCAACGACCCAAAGGGGAAGTCTGGATATGTCATGGCGGGGTGGCTGGCGGGACGGAAGGGAACAGTCTGCTCTGATCAGCGGCAAGGAGGGCGGGATGCATCGCCCACACCACACACCAGGCGAGAGAGAGATAGAGATGAGACGAAGCGAACGGACGGGCCGTGGTTCGAACGATTCGTGCGACCTTGCGGCATGTCACGACTACCGTTGTTGCAGGTCACCACACAAGGGCCTTTTTTCTTTTTCCTACTTCCCTTTCCTGTTGTGCCACCTACCGGGGCGAGAGCTGTCGTGTCGCCTGACCGCTGGTGATGGGCGTCACCCCTTCACCTTTGTCCGCCCTCCCCGGCAGACTGCCAGCCTGCATGCAGCTGTATCTCGCGTGGTCTGGCGGCGGGCGGCATCTGGACATCGGGCTTATTAGGGTTTCCTGGCTCGCTTAACATTTTTTTTTCTTCTTGTTTAGAGGGAGGAGGAACACGACCTACGCACACCCACGCAGGAACGGACACACGGGTATCCCGAGCATTTACACAACCGCAATGCGGCTCTGGCGAGGGAACAGCGGTTGCCAGCGGTCGCAGTAGCCAAGCCTGGCATGAGGAAGCGAGGAGAGGAGGAAGCCAGCGTGTCCTGCAGCACCCGAAGAAAGGGAGGGGGGAGGAACCTTCACGTAGCAACATAGATCATGCAAGCAAGCAGTGGGACGGCGGTCGGGCTTGTCCATTGTCCACGGCTATGGGCACGCCGCACGACTTGCCTCGCTGCACAACGACAACGAGCGTCGAATTGGAGCAATCGGAATAGACAACATGGGAGATCAAAGGAGGGCAGGAAAAAAAAAGAAGCAATGTTTCATCTCCACTGCCACGAACCCCCCACTACCTGCCACTGCCTGCATGGCATGGCGTCTGCCCTTTTCCTCGTGCTGGCGTGCCTTTCCCTTCCGCTGTCTGCTCGGCCCGCGATGTCGCCATGCAGAGCAGTGGATGCTCCCCTTGTTTTTTTTTTCATTGTTGTTTTCCCACGACGGCCTTTCTGTGGGCCTTCTAGAAGATGCAGCGTTTCAATGATCATGCATGAGGTAGATGCTCGGCAGTCAGCCGCCGCTTTCTGATGCCGCCCTCTGGAAAGGGGGGCCGGCGATGCCGCTGGCAACGAGATTCGCCAATGGCCGCGCCACCGAGAGCAACCTGCAACCAACCGGATCTTCTGAGATGTCGCAGATAGGTACACAAGGCAGCAGAGAGAGAGTGAGAGAGAGAGAGAGCACGTCCGGATCCCCCCTGCCCTTGTCCCCCCTCGCCCACTGCCTGCTCCACCAAATTCTTCAACCATTTTCTGTGTGTGTGCTGCGTGTTCTGCCCTACGCCTCCCACCTTTCCGTTGAGACCTGTCTCTGACGGGGCCCGTCATCCGCTGCCCTTGTGCCATCTCGGCTTGCTCCTATGAGCAGGAGGGAGGCACAATCAACTTGTAACGCCGAAAGGCACCAAGCAGGGCCAACAGACAGACACATGGTCTGCCAGCCGAGGAGCCCTGACTGGATGGCAGCGAGCGGAGAAAACGATACGTACAGTACCTGGCTAGCTAGCTGCTACCTACCTAGGTCAGGTAGCGTAGTCCATGCAATGACTGAAGTAATTTGCAAACAAAGATAGTTGCCGCCAATGACAGTTCAGCCCGCCACGGCGCCACGATCAAAGGCTAAAGACGGTCCCGACCAGCAATCGCCGTCTGCTGGGACTGGACTGACTCCGTTTCTGCTCTGATGTCACTTTTTTTCTTTGGGCGGCCCGGACTGGACATTTCTGTTATGCCGACCTCCGACGATCTGGAATGCGTGTTCTCTCTCTTCCCGGTAGAAACGCATCCTCGGTGCCTCGGTGACCTGCGTAGGAGAAAAGTGTGGTTGTTGGTGGCGGGACCGGCACGAGAGAGACCCCGGTTGACGAGAGCAGGTAGCTCTTGACAGTGAAGAATCTTACTCGCGCTGCTCATGTGGTCCGCCATCCACTTCCTCTAGTCTTTTGCTCTCAGCAGAGCAGAACTGCCAGGGCTGTCATATGAGTTCTAACTTGGCCTCATTCTAAATCTAGTAGCTTACACTTAACTACGAAGAGAAGAGAGGGCACTCCCACCTGCAGCACCACCCTCCATCACAGCTCCATCCCCCCCAAATCGGTCCATCCATTCCACCCATCCATCCTATCCTTCGAGGCCAGACTACCCTGACGGACGCAGGCCCTGAAACCCACTCCCATCGCTCCACTGACTAGTCTCAACGTACGTTATGGAGCCCGGAGCCAGCCCGTGTTGGCCCACTGGCCGGGTTCGCTTACAACCTTGGAACTCGGCTATCTCATTTCCTCGAGCTCTATCTCTACCCCGAGCACTGCTCTCCAGCGCATTGGATGAGACCCGGTTTGGGGGACGGGCGGTGGATGGAGTCCTTCCCAGACCCTTGCAATGGGAACCTTGCCTAAAACCAGCCCCGTCCGTCGCCCAAACCAGCACATTACAGAAGCTCTCCAGTGCCTGGTTTGGCCTCTTCGGCCTCTTGGGTGGGTATCTCTGGGTCTGGCCAGGCCCGTCCGTGGGGAAGGAGGCTCTTTAGGAGGAGAAACATGCAGATGTGCAGATGTGCATCTTCAAGCTCAGCCAGCTCAAATTAGCTCTGTTGGATGCGCACCCGCCGCACATGCTTCTACTGCACCACCATGCTCTCCCTCACGTATGCAGTACCCTTTCTGTAGCGCAGTCTCGTCTGGCGAATGACTTGGACGTTGGAGACCGTTCTGCCTCGCTCCGAGCGCCAGAGTGATGCCATGGATCCCTCATACGGTGGGAAGGGTGCCTCGTTCAGGTGAGGTCCGGTGAGGAGAAGATGGAGAGGGATGGGTGGATGGGCTAGTGGGAAACCGTTTCTGTCAAACAGAGGCTCCGCTTGCGACCAGGATGTGAGAGGTTGGGACCTGGGATCAAAGACGGAACTTGCCATGTCCTCTCCGCTCACTCGATCGCATTCGATGCTCCCCATTCAGTCCCTTCTCTTTCCTCTTCCTAGCCCTTCCCGTGTCTACCTGATTACCTATGCCTACCTCACTTGGCTGACGGGCCGTTTAGTACCAAAGTCGCAACACCAACATTACATATGCACCCACACACACACGCGCGCGCGCCCCCGGCGCTCTCTTGCTAACACTTGACACGCACACACTCACACATGCACAGGGTGTTTTCCTTACGCACGATGGCACAAACGAGGGAGGGGGGTGGCAGACGCTCCTCTTCTTGCATGGCCCCCTTTCATCATACCCAGACCGGTCTCATGTTGGATACGATGCGCACAAACGGGCGCACAGGCAGCCAGGCAGTGCAGGCCTGTGCAGTGCGTGCTGCTTCCACGTAGTCTGGAGAAAGCCCACATGATAGGACGGCCTCTGCCTCTTCTTTCCCCCACGCCTCTCCTTTTGTCCCTCTCTGGACCACTGCTGATCTCTCACTGGCTGCAACGCCCAACAGCATTGCGCAGGAGACAGCACCAGAGGCCCGAGGACAAGCCCCAGATTGGCAGGAGATCGAGAGTGACGTTGTGCGGTGGGTGTTGGTCGCAGCCTCTTTTCCGTTTTGGGAAGAGGCAGAAAAGACGGAGAGGGAGTGTGGTGTACCTCTCCTCTACCTCACACACTCAATCCTATCCTGCAATGCTAGGCCTGCATGAGTCCATGTACTTCCTCGGCCAACATGCTAGTCCTGCTCTCACCCTCCCTCCAGCTATGTAGGTAGCAAGGTAGGTACGGAGCTTGACTGCATGCCGAAATTGTGGTGCCCTTCACCGGGAAGGTCTCTTCCCATGATGCTCTTCCTGAGCTAGCCCGTGTCTTAGTACTCACTGTACATCCCACATGTATCTTGAGATGGGCGGCGCTGGCGGCTTCGCCTGGCATCTACCTAGTACATTCCACATGCCACGCCCCCCTCCACTTGACGCTCGATGTACACACACCCTCTCTCTCTCTCTCTCGCCCAATGTATTGGCCTAGTGCCGCTCCTGGTTGACCTGCCCTTGCTGGGCTCGGCCGTTAACCATTGCGCCTAGTCTTGTAAGTCGAGCGAATGGCTACCGCTACGCCAACCTTAATCCCAAATATCAAGAAGGGTCCCCGGTTCTTGGGACCACAACGCCATCCCGTTCTCGCATGCTTGTCTCCTCTTGTCTTGCCCCTTCTCGATCTTGCTAATACGACTTTGGCCACAAGACTGACTGGGCCAAAAGGCAAGGTGACCGAACCTCGTTCTCTTTCCTCTTTTGCTCCTAGCTCCTCTCTGCTTAATTCCCACCAGCACGAAAGCTAAACCTTCTCACTCGTGGCTCTTGGCAGAAGGGAAGATACATTCACGTCGACTCTCTCTCGAGGCCCAAGGGTCTTTGAATATTAGACCGCACCGACCTCCCTGCACATTGCCTATTTTGCTTCCTTTGGGAAAAGTGCCATATACCGAGCAACACCCGCTTCCCCCCTTTTCACTCTTACACTGCGACTGCACTCATCCATCTTGCCTCTCCTGCCCCATTGTAATATCCATCCCTCGGAGGCAGAACACCTTGTATATCCCTTGATACACAGAGACATCCTGCAAGGCACGGTCTCCCCGGGAGCACTTCAGACAATCAATCACCTTGCCTCTCGCTTCGGCAGTGTCACTCTGCCCAAAATAGGAAAATACTCTTGACCTCATTGAGTCGGCAAGAGAGAGAGAGAGAGAGAGAGGCACAGAAGCAAAAGGAAAGACCAGCGCAAAAGTTCCCGACAGAGAATGACTCTCGTCCATCTCGGAGGTTTGTCATCTGAAACCAGCAGCAGAAGCAACAGTATCGACAAATACAACTTTGTCACCTCCACGACCCCCGGCGCGACATCCTCTTGCACGACGCAATCAACCTTCCCCGGGACCATGCCCTTCTTCGCAAACCACCACAGCCACGTGGAAACATCAAGCGCCGCCGGTAACACGCCGCAGACCCTCCTCCGCGGCCGCACAAGCATCAGCAGCAGCAGTAGCAGCCGGAGCTTCTCCGGGGTCAAGCAGCCGTCCATGATGACTCCTCTCTCGCGCAGCCCCTTGCCGCCCTCTCCGCTGAGCCGGCAAAGACAGCTCCAGCAAGCGAGTCGGCCCATGGCTAGGAGCAGCACAGCGACCACGACCAGCAGCATTGGCGCGAGGTCCACCACCACAACCGCCACGGCTGAGGGCAGCATCTGGACCCCTCCCCTATCGGCCTTCTCCTCGTCGCCAACTCAGGCAGGGATCCCCGCGGACAGTTATGAAAACTACTCCGTCCACAGCTCTTCTTCCCCTTCGTTGCTCAGAGAAGAAGACCTCACGCCAGCCAGCAGCAGCCTCCTCTCGTCCGGCCGCTCCAACACCCTCAAGGCCCAGACCTTCTCCCCCTGCTGCTCCCCGCCGGCGTCCTCTTCCTCTTCTGCATCCTCGCCCTTGCACAACCACCGACACCACCACCTCCTCCTCCAGCAGCAGCAAGCCGCGCTGGCCTCCTCGCTCCAGCGCTCGTGCTCCTCTCCTTACTCGTGGGCCGCGACACCGCTCTCCTCGTCGGTCATGATGGACCACCAGCAAGATGCGAAGAACGACCGCACCGAGATGTGGCTGTCGGACAACATGCCCTGCTGCGAGGACGAGGACAGCAGCGTCGTCATCGACGGCCTGCCCTCCGCGACCCAGCCGTCGGTCTATCCCATGCCCGTCCCCTACGCAGGCGCCTCCTACGACGCCGGCTCCTCCGCCGGCGGCGCCAACTACGACGCCGGTGCGGCGCCGCCGCCGTCGGCCTACCACTCCCCGACAAGCTACCTCGTCGCCGGCGACCCCTACGACATGGGCATGCACAACCCGCTCCCGCAGGACGACATGATGAGCAACTCGGAGTACGACATGGCGGCCGGGCAGAGCTACCACCACCACCACCTCGTCAAGGTCGAGGACGGCCTGCCCCGCGAGCGCTACGCCGTGCACTACCCGGAGCACCACCTCGACATGCACAGCGGCGGCCACAACGCCCATCCCATGATGATGGGCCCGGCCCCGCCGTTTGACACGCGCGCGGGTTCCGTCGCGGGCACGGCGTCAGCAGCAGCAGAGGCCGACGAGCCGTACGCGCAGCTCATCTTCAAGGCGTTCATGAGCGTGCCGACGCACGCCATGACCATCCAGGAGCTGTACCAGTGGTTCCGGGACAACACCAACAAGGCCAAGGGCCAGGGCCAGGGGTGGCAGAACAGCATACGGCATAACCTCAGCATGAACGATGTGAGTTGGTCTTTTCTGTCAGTTTCTTGTTCGCACACCACACCACCCTCAGTAGCAACAGCAGTGCTCCTCTCCTCTATGCTTTCTCGAGACATTCGTGTAGTACACGGTTCTCGGAGAGTTAGACCCGGTGTCTCTGCGCTAGCAGGGCACATGGCTCTGACACAGGATTGTGTGTGTGTGTGTGTGTGTGTGTGTGTGTGTGTGTGTGTGTGTGTGTTGTGTGGTGGTGGTGGGCTCCAGTGTCTCTCCAATTACACGCCCCGGACGTTGTCTGTCAAAAAAAAGACCGAGCTACGAAACGACACAGCGAGAAGAAGACAAGAAAACACAGACACATACTACTTACTACACACTTTAAGCTTGCACAGTACCTACACACCTCTCAAATCCGTTCCCCCCCACCTCACCCCCAAAGGCTTGATTGCTGTTACTTTCAGTCGAGATCACTACAGGGGCAACCCCAGCCGCTCCAGCTAGTCAAGTCGCTAGCACAGTCCGGGGAAGCAAGGCCTAGGGTCGATCGTCCCCCCAGCTAGGCGGTGTTGGTTCACTGGAGTCAAGTCAAGCAACGTGCCAAGCCCTGAAGAGGCCGGCTCACTTGGTCCCCGAAACAGCTCCTTTCCCAACAGAGTCAAGCCTCCCACTCCCCTGGAGTTAAAATCCTAGCGGTACATTGATACTTACTTTCACTCCACTACCAGGCCTTCATCAAGCGCGAGCGCAAAGTACCGCCGCCGCCGCAGACTACGACCAAGCAGTCCTCGTCGGGGACCTCCGTCACCACGACGCAGGAGGATGACGACGTCGCTGTCGCTATCGATGCTCCTGCTGCTGCCGCCGCCGCCGGAGCCGGAACAACAACGAGAAGCAAGACATCGTCAAACAGCACGGGGAGGCATAACTCCAGGAAGAACGGCGGCGCCGCGGCGCAGCCCAAGCCGCCTTCGGAATGGGTCCTGGCTCCCTTCGCCATCCAGCAGGGCTACGTCATCAGCACGACGCGCTACCGCAAGCAGGCCGCCAGCAAGAGCAAGGCCGCCGCCGCTGCTGCTGCCGCTGCTGCCCATCACCATCAGCAGCACCACTACCTGCCCGCGCGCGCCGTGTCCGGCCGCAAGGGCGGCCTCTCGAGCCATAGGTCCCGCGCCAAGATGATGGCCCAGCAGCAGCAGCAGCAGCAGCCGCGGAGCGCCGGCGGCGCAGAGGGCTACTACATGCGCGGCCAGCCCGCCGGCGTGTACCCGCAGGTCCGCGCCGCCTACGCGGGGGGCCACTACGGCAGCCTCGACAGCAGCGGCGCGTACGGCACCGCCCCGGAGATGGAGATGCTCGGCCTCGAGACCGCGGCGCACTACGGAACTTACCCTCCCCCGGCGGCGGCCTCGCATCAGTACCACCGGCTGTACGACTACATCTCCCCCACGGACGCTGCGCCGGAGTACCATCAGCAGCAGCAACAGCAGCAGCACTACGACGGCGGTGTGGTCGTCCCGCCGCCCGGCCTGATGATGGCCCGCGCGCCGACCGTCAAGAGCGAGTCCCTGGCCGACGAGCCCCTGACGCCCACCGACGGCGGCGGCAGCGACTTGGCGGCGCCCTTCCTGACGCAGTCGCAGTCGCAGCAGTCGTGTGCCGAGGGCGCCAGCGCCAGCGGTATGCTCTTTTCGCAGGGCAGCGCCGGCAGCGGCGGCGGTTTCCCCTACGGCCTGGGCGACGTGGTCGACGTCTACGAGGCGGGCTCGTCGCCTGAGGGCAACCTACCCCTGTTTGCGGGCGCTTCCTCTGCGGAGGACGTGGCCCAGCTGCTTGATGGCAGCAGCTGCCAGTACCCCCGGGAGTGGACGCAGACTACTCCTGGCTCTGAGGCCGGTGCTGGCAGTGTCGATGGCGGGAGCGACGGTGGTTTCTCTTTCCAGTGACCAACTGCAGTTTGTCGCTGATCCCTTTTGGCGCCGCTTGCTTGTTGTGGAGGCTGGCACATGAGAGAAGAGACTGTGTACGAGTTAGGCATAGATTGTGGTGGTGGTGGTGGTAGTGTGTTTTCTTCTGGTTATTGAATGAGGCCACTGTTCTTTTTTTTCCTTTTGCATTTACCTTTTTTTTTTCTTATCCGTCTTTCTCTTTTCCCATTCTAGCTGGCTGGCTATGTGTCTGCGTGTTCTAATCGGTCTGACTGTCTGTTTCTTTTCCTTGGTCCTGGTCTGTTCTGGTCTGTTCTGGTCTGTTTACGGGAAATCACGGCGAAACGCAAAGCCCAAGAGAGGCAAAATTGATACCTCGGCCTACCCGCATTGTACAACCTACGTGCTTTTCTTGTCTCTTTCCCTGTCAGTCTGTCTCTACCTTTGAATTACTTCTGGGAATACTTGTGTGCGGCCCACATAGACTTTCACACTGTTCACATGCAGCGAGCGAAAAGACATTTGACCTCATCGTACGCACCGTACGTCTAATGCGACAAAGCTCTCTTCTATCTTAGGTAGCTAGCTAGTCGGTCAATCAGAAATGCTAATGATACCACTCATCTCGTTTGCCATTTGCCAAGGCGCCATATGATGTCTCGTTTGGCAAGAGAAGCGAGGTACCTCAAGTTTGAGTTACCTGGGTTTGGGTAGGCCGGCAAGATGAAACGCTCTTTTCGAGAGGAACACTAGCCTCAGGGCACAATATGCACTTACAACAACCGCTGTCAAACAGGTCTCCGGCCTGAGCAACAGCAGGGTCCAGGCCTGTGCCGATTTAGCGTCTACTACCGTACTGGACTTGCGATGTGGCGCACTTTAGGGCAACAGGGATGTGGACTCGAGCTTCGACCGCCGTGCATTCAAAACTCCGAAGGGAGCCAACAACCCCAGGCCAGACGCAAATGTGACATCTGATCTTGATATCTAGGTATCTGCTTGATCGCCGATTGTAGCTTGAGAGACTGCAAAGCTAATCAAGTTGTGATCGCCAACCCTTCCCTCTTCTACATAGCTACTACACACACCATCGCTTCCTTGTAGCAACCACAACCTTACTTATGTACTTTCTTAGTCGTAACGAATTTGTTTAGGTCCCTGCTTGGAAAGCTACAAACCAAAGCAGACCAGTCAACCTCTTCCACTTATTCGCTGCCCCCCCCCCCCCCCCCCCCCCCCCCGCAGGGAAAGCCACGAGGGCTTCCTTTGTCATGTCTCGTCCCGAGACGTTGGGATCTCGCTCTAGATAGAGATACGGGGTATAGCTCGCTTCACTTTCCGTTTTCATACTAGCCATTGCCTCCTTCGCTCTCGAGATCGTCACCCTCTGATACGTCGTGCACTTCCAACGTCCACACCACTGTGCACATCCCCCCTCCTCTCAGCCCAACAGGAGCAACAAGTAGGCCCGGCAGTTCAGCATCTCCCGTCGTGTGGTCCGGGCCAGAGAGGGGCCCCTTTGCCCTACAGTAACGTAACAGAGCCTTCGCTGTCAAAGAACAGACAAGAACAACAAAGTCAAATCCACAGATGAACAAAGCCTGTAAGTCGAAGACCACACTCCGTCCTCCGGTGACATCCCCACCTCCCCCTTCCGCCCGCCCCCGGCCGTGGAATACCCAGCTGGGAACGGTTCCCGCCGCACGAGCCTACAGGGTAATGAGAGGAAGCAAGAAAAAAAAAAAGAGGGTGGCTGTTTAAGGCGCGCGCGCGCTGTGGCGCTAACCTGCCGGCCCCCCCTCGGAACCGAAAACACGCCGTGAACGGGAACGAAATAAGTTGGATTCATTAGACTTTGGCGCCGTCTCATTGCACCATGTGAAGTGTCAGAAAGGTCGCTAGCGCCCACTTGTCCCTTCTTGTGCCTACTCTACGTAGCCGGTTGGCTTGTGCAAAAATGGGGGGAAAGTCGGTGTGCCTAGGAGGTAGGTAGGTAGGTAAGTAGTAGGGGTTCTTGATGGGGAGATCTAGCATGCGACCAAGCCACCTGCCTCATACTGAGTAGAGCATGCATTGCATATGTGTGCGTCGTCTGTTGGATGCAAGAGATCGACACCAAAAACGCACATGGTTATCGTGAGCGAGCACCCACGATAGCTCAAAGGGTGGTTCACCGGCTTTCCTATGTCGTGTCGTCACACTCTCAGCGACCTTCCTTTTGCGTTTGCCACGAAGAAAAAGTGCCTTCCTGCAAGAAGCAAAAGAGTAGAGCTTCTGGCGCGCGCGTGTGCGGTGGCGGCTGAAGCGTGTGTATGGCCTCTATTTTCGGCTCCTTGCGTCTAACACGCATGTGCATCGTGGCTCATGTGACAAGAGAACGACGAATAAGGGGGCAGCCCAAAACCAATCCATCCATATCCCCTGGCGCACGAGCTACACGCAACACACGATATGCCATGCCAAGATCTCTGATCTCAAACGCTCGCAGCTAGGGACCGGGCTTGGTTCGATGCACTTCGTAGGGTTTTCCCAAAAGGGAAAACAGCACGAGGTATGGGGGGCGAGATGCTAGGGGGAAATAGGCGTGGGTGTGGGAGGGGGGGTGGATGCAATAAAGACTGGCGGCGATGATGATGTTGCGTTTATTAGCCTCTCTTTTCCCATCTGGTCTTTAAAAACAAAAAAGCAGGCGCCCATCGAAACCCTCAGCCTCTGGCCTCGGTTTCTTCCATCAATCTGGGGGACGGAGGGAAATTGGGCTGTCTTGGCAATGGGAAAGCGCAAATCCCGTTCGGAATGCTAATCTGGATGAGGCAAAAGGCGCGCTGAGAACTGAGTTGGACTTCGCCGACCTGGGAAGGTCTCATGGCCGCATGGAGTCATCATCCTGGACCGCAGGCGAGATGGCATTGGGTACCGTCCAGGTGGTAACGAGGCTGATTGGAGCCCGCAAGGCTGCAATTCCCAGTTCCCTGGTCCAGTTATGACTCTAGATGTAATAGTCTGGAACGCACAGCGAGGGCTAGGAGATTTGCGGGGTCGAACTGTGTTTCGGACAGTGGGAGAGGCGGAGTCTATTTCGAGTTGGGCCAGAACACTCTCGCCCCCTGGTGGAGGGTCACTGTGCCGTCTGACTGGCCCGGATACGGGGAGAGCTAGCCATCTGTTTCTCTGCCCTCTGCTGTGTCCTCTCTTCCCCTTTCACTCTTCAACCTGACTCGACTTGGGTCAATGAAGTGCTCGGGTTTTTGGGTCCAAATTCGCAACCCAGCTCTGGAAGTTGGCGGTCTAGGGAGAAATAGACTCCTGACTCCGCCAATACGAGGTCTGTTGGCACACCAGCGAGAGCGTTGGGTTGGGAACGAGGACCCTGCCAGCCTGTCGATACTCGATAGACACACTGATCCCCAGGCATTTCCAACACTCAGAGACCCCGGGTAGCCCGTCGGAACCGTGGGCAGGGGTTCAACGGCCGAAGGATGCCCAGAGGTGTCCGTTGTTGGGTGCTGAACCTTCACAATGCGGTGTCTTCGGGGACCGAGCATTGAAGGACATGGATGATGTGAAGGTGTCGAGCATCGAGACTCGACGTTTGAGCACTCCAGTCCAACCCCTGAGTCTCCCATGGGGCGATTCTGTTGAGCGAGGAGAAAGTCGTTCGAGAAGTCAAGAAAACGTCACCATCTCGCGGACAGGTGTCGTCAAATGGTGCAACCTTGTTGACAGGCCTTGACGTTGCCTGCGACGAGACAGGTGCCAGTGAGGCCCATGTCGTGTCACCTGTCAAAAAGGCAGTGCCAACGGCTAGAGCAGCCTGGCTCGCTCGCTGTCTTCGGAAGTCGGCTGTCATTGTCGCTCACGCTGCCTCTCCCTGCGAAACAAGGCTCAGCCTCCAGGTCACCTGCCCAAGACAGCGACATGGAGACACGGGGCAGTTGGTGCGACCTGGAGCTGGTCGTGGCTGATCACCGTGAATAGCAGCAAGACTTGCTGCCTATTCAAACAGCAGGATCATGCTAGACTGTAGACAGTCAAACTCCGGAGTGTGCGGACAAGTTCAATACACAAGTTCAATACGAGAAAGGATGACCTGGTTCATCTACCTAGTAGAACAGGCATTATTTGCACATTGGGTGGGCTTCTTACAAAGCTGCCCCGGCACATGGTCGCAGAGGCCTGGCCATCGAGAGATTTTCTGGTACGACCTCGGCGTGTCAGAGAAATGTGTCACAGGAGAGGCCGTGACGGCTATGCACACTTCTTTTTTTCCTCCCGCAGGCTTGGTGAAACAACGTTCATGTATGGCAACAGGCTGCCAAAATGACCCCTTGTGCACCTCCCCGACCTGTTAACTTCTTTGCTGGCCAGCCCCAGTTGCCCCATTGGGCCGAGGACATATGCTTCCCGCTCGAGTCTCAACAATCATTGCCAGGTTAAGTAGAGTGGGCATGCCCGGAGAGAGGTAGGGAACATGTTGCAACAGGGTTCATGAAGAGTGTGGTCCGCGGATCGGGAACGGGGTGCAGGCATGGGGGTCGTGAATGCTCAGGCATTGCCAACACAGCGATGCATGTCGACAGAACGGGACTGGGGCGCCGCCAAGAGAGTGCTGGATCTTTGCCATCATGAGCGCATCATATGGCCAATGTTTCTGCTGAATGCTAGGCCGAGACGTAATAGAAAATCTTGAGTGGCTCGAATCCCATCTTCTTGCTGCCGGTTCCCTGATAAGCGAAGGCAGGTCGACCCGGTACGCGGTAGCGACACCGCTCTCTTGCATGAAGTCCACTCGTTCCCATGCCTGGTGGCAGGGCTAGCTTCTCCCACATCAAAAACCAAGTGGTTGGAATTGGGCCGAATGGTCAAATGGGAAATGAAAAGTGCTGCTGGTCCCAGTCCCGGCCCCGCCGGGCATCGCCATGTCCGCCACGATGGAAATGTTCCTTCACTAAGATCATGAGATCGAGGCATAGCTCCCCTCATTTCGTATCCAGGTCAATGTCGGCTGTACGCATCCCAGTCCGGCACCATTTCCGAGCTACAAATGATGACGAGATGCGCTAAAGAGCGAGCGACGGCACGCGGAACACCAGCACGCATCCGGAAGAACGCATCGATGCAGACGCAGTTCAAGATAGATCAGGCGTAGACCCGCCTCGCCCTTTGCCCTTGCCCTTGTCGGGGCTTGTCGATCGCCCGTTGGTCGAGTCCGAGTCAACCCTGCTCCGGAGACAAAGGCGCTGGAGGTAGGCAGCTGAAGAATGCAGGGAAGCAGCAAAACGGAGGACGGAGGCTGCTGCGCAGGAGCTGCATTAGCCTGCAGCAGCTGTCAGTGTCCGAAGTTGAGAACTCGTAGCGGCTTCTAGGCCATATTGCCCCCTGCAAACGGTCACAGTATCCTTGGCCATTGGTTGGTGATCCTTGTGCATGGCGAGAGACACTCTCGTTCTGTCGCATTCACCGGTTTGGTCGACGCAGGCCGAGGACAGGCGAGAAGCTGAGCTGTCTGGGGGAAAAAAATGACAGGTCTCTTGCGTCTGTTTGGGGCTCTAGCAAGGGGGTGAACAGCGAATAGGAAGCTTCCGTAACGCAGAGAGAGACAAGGGCAACTTCCGATGCATCATCGGATGAGGGACTCGACCACGCCCTCGAGGCGTCACGATGACAATCGGCCGGGAGTGGTTTGTCGCGGCATGGGTGCTCTCTAGCTCTCGGAGCGACTTTGACACATCCTCAATGTCACAGAGACTTCCCTGGCCGAGTAGCCCTGCCTGCAGGAAATGCTGGTTTCGGCTCCCCGAAGTGTGCTCCTGCAAGGCGCCGTGATCCCGGATGCAGTCAGCGGTTTTTGTCGGCATACTCTCGACGTCGTCGGCATTGGTCAGCTGCCGGCGGTTATTATTGATCAGCACCAGGCAAACCGGTTGACGGGTGCGCCCACGTTGTTTGTCCTGTATGACGCCTCTTCCCTGAGTCGATCATCGTGTCGATGGCTATTGGCAGCCTGGACGAGGCGACACAGTTCCGTTCCGGACTAATGACGCACCAGACGTGGCGGAAGCCGAAAGAAGACCGACCCTTGTTGTCAGGCGAGATTACTCTAGGAGACAAGCGCATGTTCTTGGGGACGAGAAGGGCTCCTTGTGACGGGAAATCCTCATGAGACGGTTGGGGATGATAGAAAGGATTTCGCGATCTGGACGGGGCAGTCTGGAGTGTTGGAGGTGACCATATGTTAAGTCAGGGGTTCTTTCCAGTGTAGCTTAGGCAAATGTAGCGCTATTATGGAGTAGCTGTCCCCTGAAGAGGCAGCTAAAAAATAGAAGAAAATAACAGTGAACCACCATGACGCAGTGCAAATCGTGCAAGACTGGAAAATGCTTCTCAGGATAACGAACTTCACTCAAGTCTGAGAGGGTTTCTAGTGATCAAAAGCAATTGAATTAGAGTTCGATATCTATGAAGTCTATGGGCTTGCATGGCATGCTTTACTCGTCATTGTGGTACTCAAACATCGCACAGCATGTCGAGATGTCACAGAGATCACCTCGCCTTCTCTCTATCTAACCCTCAGCAAGTACAATCTCTTGCCGTTGCGCCAAAATGCCAACAGTAAGGAATGGTTGATACGATCGCCATAACATTCACGACGGTGTGCAAATGTCATGATACTAAAACAGCTCACCCCCTCAGAACTTGCGCTTCTTCTTCGCAGGTCCAGCAGCCGCCTTCCTCTGGAGCTCCTTCTCCAGCTCCTCCCGCTTCCGGTTCGCCCTCTCCTCCGACGTCTCTCGCGGCTTCTCCTCCTTGGCCCCGTCGCCGGCCGGCGTCCGGCCGCGACCCCTGGACGACTCTTCTCCGCCTCTTGCGGGCTCTCCAGCCGGCGCGGTTTCCTTTTTCTTTCCTATCTGGCCCAGCTTCTTCGGCGCAGGCTTGCTCGTGCTCTGCGATGCTGGCGGTAGCTCTGGTGATGGCGACTTTGATTTTGTCTTCTCAGCCGCTTTGGCCTTGCCGCCGCCTATCCGCCCTAAGCCTCCCTTCTTCGGTTGCGAAGACTTTGGGGGTGGAGGCGGCGGCGGGCTAGATTCTGGGTTCGCGTCATGCTCCGAGGCTGTGGCAGATGCTGCGTCGTCCATTGCGACGTCTTCAGCAGCTGGCTCCTCGGGAGCAGGCGAAGGTGACTTGGGCGGAGGAGGCGGCGGCGTGGCCTGCTTCTTCTTGCCAATGGCTCCCAACTTGGACTTCTTGGGCGCCGGGGACGACGGCTTGGGAGGCGGATTGCTGTCCGGTATCGCTGCCTCATCATCAGTGGTGCCATCGTCATCTCCAGGGACAGCCCGCTTGTTGCCTGCCTCGCGCTTTTTGGCCGACATGAGGTGAGGCGGAGTCGCCTGCACCTGAAAGTCATCATCGTCATCGGCCGGTTTTGTAGGCGTCGGCGGTGCAGCTTCGGCAGCCGCTGGAGACTTCTCCTTCTTGCGCTCGACGAGCTGCACTCCAGCGCCGCTGTCCAGGTTCTTCCACCACGTATCCAGGTCGGCCGACGCCGCAATATCCAGGTCTGACCGGTATCGCAGCCCCTTGCCCCCGAAGGCTTCTTGTATCAGCCCCTTCACATCCACCGAGTCACCACCGTGAGCCCTCTCGAGCCTTACCCTGAGCTCTGACTCCCGGAACGGCGCGAGCCCCTTGATACGGTCCTCAGCGGCCGCCCTCGTGACCTTGCGCTTGCTGGAGAGTGCGGTGAAGATGTTCTCAAGCCCGGTTCCCATAGATTCGTGCTTGTCTAGCAACTTGGCAATCACCGCGTCCTTCTCCTTTAGTAGCGACACGAGGGAGTCCGTCTCTTCCACTCTCGTGTGGTGCGCCTGGATCAGGGGAAGCACCAACTCCGTGGCGATCGCCGAGCCAGGGCTCTTCTTCAGATACACCGGCCACTTGAGGGGCTTCAGCGGCTTGGGCAGCACGCAGGTGATTCGCAGGACGAGATCGCCGTCTGCGCTGCCCGCAACCGCCAAGCTGGTACTCTCGTGGTCCGGCGCGTCCTGCTCAAACGTGGCCCGGATCTTGCCGAGGAACAGGCCCATCTGCTCGCTGTCCTCGCTCGGGTCGATGCTGGTGTCCTCCTTAAAGCCGCGCATGCAGATGGCCTTCCTCTCAAGGCTCTCCGACCAGATGTTGGCCATGTCGGTGATGTGCACCGTGTACGACGACTGGGTGAACGACGTCGACACCAGCAGCGTGGGGATGTCATGGTGCGCCACCGGCAGGGGGTGCCATGACGGGCCCGACATGGCGACGGCGCCCGTCGTTGAGATGAACAGGGTTGCCTGCGCGACTGTCGGTGCCAGATATAGAGCACGGAGAGGCGAGGCACTTGGTGGTCAGCGGTGCGACGTGACAGCGCCGGAGGGTGTGTGCCCGTGATACAGAGGGGTACCTTGCCCAGAAGTCAGCGCGACAAGGGCGAACTTGGCACGCCGTGGCACACCAGAAGCAGACTCGGGCCTTTTCACAATGCTCTGGCTGGCGGGCGGGCTGCTCTGAATCAGGCCAGGTCGGCAGCGCTCGCGGGAGAAACGTTGCCAAGATGGCACAAGCGCGCGCCACCCCGATCAAGCTCGCGTAAAACGGCCCGAAGCTTGGACGATGAGGTCGCACGTTGCCGTCTGTGTCATTGTACTGCACCCCCAATTTAGGTGCATGTCTCCTTGAGGCTATTCCCCTGCTGCACCAGAACCGGATCCGATCCGCAGTCGGAGAATACGCGAGATCGCCCTGACCAGCTTTCTTGTCACTGCGAACCAGACATAAGCACTGATGTGAGACGTCGAGGGACACAGAGCATCAAAAGGCAACTCAAGTTCGCACAAGGAGAGTGCTTTCGTTATGCTGGAAAGGCTTCCGCTATGGCAGCCTAAGTCGCGTCGAGACGAGGATCAGGAAGAGCTGAGGTGCGGTAGATAAGGTCTGCTATCACCACGTGACTCCCAGGTTTGTTTACTTCGTTTACTTCACGATGCCCCCAAAACAGCCCTGATAGGTGAGTGAGGTTAACGCAGTCGGCTATCGGGGAGGAAGATAAAATTTGGCAATATGGTCAGGTTGGAAAGTGGCGAGATTAAGCGGCAAAGGCAGGCCGAGGTGGTTGGGGTTTCGATCCCCGATGACGAAACAATACCTTCCGACAAAAAACCGGACGACAACACAGGCCACTACTCGGCGGCAGTGCGACCATGTGCGGCAGTAAATCCATTTCGTAGAAGACTCTCCTCCGGGTGGGTCTGTGAGCTTTTTGCTCTTTTGGGTTTGTTATGTATTTCTGTACGCTGGCAATTCGACAGCTTGTTTTGCCGAAAAACGAGATATGGGTCATGTTAACAACCACAACCATAACTTGACAGTTTGATCATAGATGGTAGGTATAGATGACAGGAAAATCTATGAAGAGTCTAAGCTGCTTGTGTTGTAAAATCGAATGGGTGTATACTAACAAAGTCTCTCATTAATAGAAGCAGTTGACTGGACACTAAGTCAAATAAAAGAATAGAGAGAAGAATAAATTCGTCTGCATCTTGAAATGCTATCAGCATTTCCGGGATACTATTCAACAGCACCTAAATATATCAGTTTTGTCTATCAAACCTATGAATCAAACAGCAGGATAGGTTGTCTGATAATAGTACCAAGAATGCAATATTGATTTCTCGTTGCTGGACGGTGCTACTGGACGGGCACGAATCTATCCGGCTTCAACGCCGAGGTAGATATCTGAGCACACAAAATGATGACAAACACATCTTCAGTACATTCATCTGCCCCGAATTAACCTCAGTCCATAAACAATACACTTCCATCTTACAATACCGCCAAAAGAAATGCAAGGGTATCATCCACCATCACTCCCCCCATCCAACCTACACCCAAGACCATAGCAACTCAACAGGACTCTCGTCCGGTTATCTCCTATCCTCCGTCCCAGCAAACTTGACGATCTTCCTCCTCTCCCTCTCCCGCTGCTCCCCGACCCCGACGCCGCCGGTAATCCCGACACCGCCACCCCGACCAGGACTACTCCCCATCGCGACACCCCTGCTGCCGCCTCCCATCCCGTCCCGATCACCGCCCAGCACCTCCCTCACACTCTCCACCGCCCGGCTCTGCAAGACATCGTTCCCATCGCCCCTGATCCCCGCGCCGAGAGGCAACATCCCAGACCCCCCGCTCACCCTCCGATCCCCAACAGCACCCCTATCCCCGCCCACAGAGCCCAGAGGCGACCCCTTGAACCCTCCTCCGGGAGCCGACGCGGCCCCTCCCGCGCCGGCACCCACCACCGCGCCACCACCGCGCGCCACCTCGCGCATAGACCTCGTGAGCTCCTCGCTCCGCGTCGCCGCGCTCTCGGTGCGCCACCGGCCCGGCAGGCACGGGTGCCCGCACCCGTCGAGCGGGCAGCACCCGTCCGAGAACTCGGCGCCCGTGCCGGACTCGGGGATGTGCTGCGGGTCCGTGCCGCCGCTGCCGATGAGCGGGCTGCCGCCGGACGCGCCGTCGGCGGCCGACGAGTGCCACGCCTCGAGGCAGGTCGCGTGCCCGCCGTGGCCGCAGCCGGGGCAGTACCACCACGTCGACAGCACGTTGCGGAGGTCTTCTTGTCTGTCGTCGGTGCTGTGCGGGTGGTGAGGCCCGCCGCCGCCGTGGAGCGGCGTCTGGTCGAGCGGGAAGATGTTGGACGTGGTGTCTCTGTGCTTGCAGACCGCGCAGGGCCCCATGGTCCCGCGGCACCGGTCGCATACCCAGACGGTGTCGTTCGACCTGGACGTGCGGTCGATGTCCCGGGGCTTGCGGCACTTGGAGCACAGGAACCCGACCGACACGCCCGTCTGGGCCAGGGTGAAGATGGCGCTGTAGCTCTCGCCCCAGTCGGACAGGAGGCCGCCGGGCCACCCCTTGACGCAGAGCTTGCGGAGCAGTGCAGCCTCTACAAAGAGCTTCATGCCCATGAGCCGGCTGTGGTGCTGTCGCAGAATACCACCGGCTTGGAAAGTGTCGATCACGTCATTGGGCACCAGGGGCTTGAGGAGCAGGACGATTGCGGCTGCATTGAGCGCCGAAGAGCGTGTCTCAAATGCCAAAGCTCGCGAGATGAGTGTATAAGGCTGCAGAGGTACTGGCCGCCGCTTGTGAACTTCCTTGTCGTTGCTTGTCGGATATGGAAACGCTGGGTCCGAGGGCCAGATGTAATAGTCTGACTCGATGACAAAAGGTGAGTTTTCATCTTCGATGGGACCAGAATCCTGCAGGCTTGCTGCGACAGACTCCGCATCGGCCACTTCGATTTGTGGGACGCCGCTGTTGAAGTCTTCATCGTATCTGCTAGAGAAGCCTTGGGAGGGGATGCTGCCGCTCGTTGTCTGCGTGATCATCCTGTAATCTTCATCTGTCGTATCCGTCATGCTGGTACTCGTTCGCCGTAGCGTTCTTCGTAGCAGCTGCGACGAGCCCGGCGAGTTTTGTAGCTGCTTGCCTCGTATGCGGCTCTGGTATTCGCCATCCATGGCCTCGCTGGCACTTGAGCGGCGGTGTACTGGGATGCGCTCGGGGTTCGTGATCCTTCGTGAGAGACTGCTACCCGAGGAGCTGGTCTGACCAGACTGGCCAGACGCCTGCGAGATGGAGAACAGCTGAGCGAAGCTCTCGTCAGAGTCGTGTCGCAAGGGAAGAGGTTTCTCCCTGCTCGGTGATCGAGGCTGGATCTGGTCCGAGACCTCGGGGTCTCTCCTCGTCTGCGGCACATCAATCGCGTGAACAATGGTGTCCATGTCGTAAAAGTCGTATCCCTCTGTGCTCGAGATCTTTGTACCGTCGCTGGCAAAGCTCGTGTCAGACAAGGGCATGGAATCTAGACGTTTCCGAGGCTCGATTGCCTGCGAGTGTACCGCAGCAGGCAGGTTGAAATCCTCGCTCTCCGGCACCGGCGGAAGGTCTGTGTGCGAGCCGATGAGATGTACTGGATCCGACCTCGTGCGGTTCTCGGCGTAGTTATCGACGGGCCGGGCGATGGGGGTAGGCATGTTGGACGTGCTCTCAAACTCTTCAGCCAGCAGCGATCTCAACGGTGCATGTTTGTCCAGCAGGCTTGACGACGAGTGCGCCTTGCGAGGGGTATCGTCTGCTTCGGGTATGGGGACCATCGAACCAAGCCTTGGCCTCTCCTGAGCCTGGGATTCCTTCCATGCTCTCCATGCCGGAGATTGGTTCTTTTGCCTGGACATGCGCCGTTCCAGATGGTACTGGGCGCGCCTGGAGAGCAGACGTTCCACGGCAAAGGCCAGGATACGCCAGGTCTGCGCCAGCCTAAACTGTCCCGCGTTCTCAGCAGCTCTTGCATAGTGTTCTATGATGCCTGCGACTCGTTCCGCCATGAGCGGACCATCGCGAACGTATGGTAGGCCGCTCTTGAGCGTCTCTAGGTAATGCATGGTCAGGTACTGGTAGACATTGGGCTTTGCGCCAGACGGCACGGGTCCTATGGCCATCGCCTGCTGGGACTTGAATTGCCCAGTCATCTTGAGGGTCTGTTCCAACGAGAAGACATGGTCGTCTGAGGTTGGTCCAGTCGGCGGTGTAGTGCTCAACGTGTGTACTGATCTGACGCTCGGCCTCCGCCTTCGTCCAGGTCGTTTGCGTGGGCCGAGGAAGCTGCCCACGACGTCGTCTTCCGAATCACTCCGGCTGACGCTCAGCATGGGCGCTGTAGGACTCGAGTTCTGTGGCGTCGATGGCACCGTCTCGGCTTCGCGAAGAGTAGCAAGCCGGGGCCGGCGAGCCTGAGGACGTTCATCCAAGAACATCAGGACCTCGCCTCGAGCCGAGAAAGCCATACTAGAGACAGACGTGCGGTCGAGGACCTTGGGCGCAAAGGCAACATCGCACTGATTGAACAGGCCATCCTGCCCCACGGTCCAGAGCAGATCCTGGTCGTGCCACAGTATGCCGGAGGGCGAGAAGTCGAACCTGTCGATCTCCTTGTATGGCATGGTCGGTCTCGCCAGATCCCAAATATGGACAGTGTTGATGCCGAACCGCTTCTGGCTCGTCTCATCATACGTCACTGCGACCTGCGCAGCCCGCTTGCCTTGCGCAGTCGCGGACCACTGGCCCGGGCGCCAAGCAAGATCTGCCACCAGCCCCGGGGTCGAGATCGTGTACTTTGGTTTCTGCCTCTTATCCCTCGACATATCCCACACATGACACTTGTTATCCCACCCGCCGCTGATCAGGTGCTCTCCGTCGGGATGCCACGACACCGACGTGCACGTCTTTTCGTGCGCATTGATGCGCAGTAGCGGCGCAGCGGCTTTGCGGATATCCCACTTGAGCACCACGCCTTGCTCTGTGCCACAGGCGAAAAAGAAGGCCTCCTTGGGCGACCACTTGACATGGCGCACACCCTCAGCATTGCACTTGAAGGCCTGAGACGTCCTAAAGCTCGGTCCCCTGCGCGTCTGTACCGGCTCCCTAATGTCGAACAGCCGCACGACGCCGTCCTGGCTACCAGACAGCAAGAAGGAGCCGCGGTGCGGGTTGACGTCGAGCGTGTTGACCTGGCGCGAGTCTTCGGCCATCTGTATCGTGTCTAGCGGAGTGCCGCCGGGCGTCGCGGTGCCCACGCGCGATATGTCGTAGCGGAATATCTTGCCATTCGCACAGGCCGTGAAGATCTTGCCCTCGTGGCCCTTGGCCCACTTGACATCGCGAATGGAGAGCTGGTCGGCGGTCGAGGCGGAGGACGCAGACGCGGCGCGCTGCGAGGTGATGAGGGCACGGATGTCAAGTCCCTCCTTCACGGTGAGCCCGTCGATCTTGACGATCTTGAGGATGTGGCGGCCGGCGAGGACCGCCGACTTGCCGTCCGGGGAGGCATCGATGCGGGCGATGGGGACACCGGCGTGATAGACGGCGTTCTGTGAGGCATTGGGGCGGTAGGCGGCGACGGCGGGAGAGGAGGTAATGCCGGCGGTGTTTTCGTTGGAGGTGTCGACGGTCGGTGGCTTGCCTAGTAGCTTGCGCATGATCTTGGTTTGATTGCCGATGTACATGTCAGCCGGGGAGGGAGGGAGGGAGGAGGAGAAGGAGACGAGTGAGCCGGCGATGCTGGGCGCAGCGCGGCCGTGGCCACAGACGGGAGGGTGTCGGGTTGAGTTCAGCCGGGACGGCGCTGCATCGTGATGCTCCCGTGTAGTATATGGATCAAAAGGTCGACCTTCTGTTGCAAACGACTGCGGTCTGTTTGCAGGTGGTTACACGCTTCGCGATGCTAAGGTTATCTAGCACCGACTGTGCCATCCATCAATGGATGCTGGAAGAAGGATCCAATTGAGGTTCCGGTGGGAATGACGGCCAAAGATCCAGAAGCTCCCCACTGTAGACCCCCGCTAACAAGCTCTTGGCTGGTGGAGCTATCACTCTCCACCGCATAACTACATGGATCTCGTGGCTCAAAACTTCGAAGGTATGACGCTCAAAACCACAACCCTTTCGAGATCCCGGTTGTAAAACTGAGATACAGATATACGGAAGGGAATTTTCGCGGAGGGCAGTCAATTTCAACACTTACCTTATGTATGACAGTACGCGCAAAAAAGAAGACATTCTCTGGCGCACAGTAAGGCCAAGAGAAGAGCAAAAAACGAAATCATCTGACCACGCTGGGGGTCGAACCCAGAACCTCTTGATTCGTAGTCAAGCACTCTGCCATTGAGCCACGCGGCCGTTGATGAAATGCTTTCTGGTATCTCTATTTATACAGCTCAGAACACAGCGTGCACTAGGACTGATGAACTCCTCCTGGCACAGTAGAAGAATGTTCAGCTAACATCTTTCCTGATGTTGGCTCCTAGTAGAACTGACAATTATGCTGACATGAAAGAGTGAATCTCTTATTTTACTGTTCTGAGAATGAAGGCTTTTTCACATGATTTTCTTCAACTGTGCTGCCATTTCACTTTCCAATCCTCATGTAATTTGGCCCACGCCACTACAGCCATTCAACCAGGACAGAGGGCTAAATCAGCAACGATTACATCTCACAGAGCACCAATAACATGTGTGAGCACTTCTTTGACATCAATAGACTTCAGAAGCCCTTGAAACAGACAGTTCAGAAGGTGTAGTAGTATCATCAGATGTCCCCGGTGCGCATTACTCTATGAGGCGATGGGCCAGTATCTCTTCCACCAATCACAGGCCGCGTGGCTCAATGGCAGAGTGCTTGACTACGAATCAAGAGGTTCTGGGTTCGACCCCCAGCGTGGTCAGATTGTTTCATTTTTTTGAACTCATCTCAGATGAAGTTTCTTTTTCCTACTTTTCATTTTTGTATGATTCTCTCTTCCCCCTTTGCGTCTAATCACAAGTTTCTGGACCAAGGGTTATATAATTTCAATTTTCTTATTCTCACTCCCTAACAAAATAATAACAGGTCCTGGTTGAGCAGGGAAACCGTTCCTTACAGTGTGGAGAGAAAACCTTTCCCAAGCTCTCCACCACTTCCAGCCGGATAAAAAACCTACAACGCCAGTCCCTCCCTACCTTCATTCTTCTGCTCAACTTCTGCGGAACATTTAGATTAGCGTCACTGTTCAGGACATGCCTAGAAGAAGTGGCGTACCTACTTGATTCAGCACTTCACCGCGGGTGCCTCCAGCAGAGTCACGCAATCAAGCAGCCTCAACCTCCGCACATACATGTCGTGGAGCTCCAGACGCCGACGGGAGTCGGAGATGTTGTGGAAGGTAATGAGGATCAGCATGAAAAAGGACTCGATGAGGCTGGGCGGCACGTTGCAAAGCAGCTGCCCTGTCGTCGTCCACTTCATGGCACTCGCTCCGGCGATGAGACCAAAGATCAAGATGACACCGAGCACGACCGTGACCTCATGGGCGCAGATGATACCCATCTTGACAGAAGCACGGTGAGTGATCGAAGTCTTGGGGATGTGCTCTTCCTTCGGGTCCGGGATGCCAGCGTCCATGAGGACATTCATGTCCTCCATGGCAACCTCGGCGAACGCCGCGTCCTCATACTCGTTCAGGCGAGCCTGGACATTGCGCAGCACGAAGCCGTCGTTGAGGCCTACCAGGCCCGCATACGTCCCGATCAGCAGCCACCAGTTCGAGTTGAACTGCATCAGGGGGCCGATGGCAATCCACACCACCATGACGACAATCAGGATGGCGATGCCCACCAGCGTTCCGACCACGTCGGCGTAGTAGAAGATCGCCCTCTGGAGCCGGCCGACTTTCGGTGCCGGAATGGTAACGCTGGGGTTGGGATCGATGTTGCCGGTCATGGTGCGAAGCTTGAACTCGATCGTCGAATCGACTTCGAAGATGTGGTTCAGACACTTTGCGGCGTAGGCCGAATGCCGTTCGCGGATGTTTGCCAGGAAGGCAAAGATCAGAACCATCAGCGCCGAGGTCGCCGAGTTGATGTAGAGCTGCCACTGGTCGCTCCAGTCCATGTATGAGCCGAACCCTATCCAGATGAAGATGCCGACCCAGTACAGGAAGACCGAGACGATGTGCCCCATGTATTTTGCCGCCAGTGTAGAAACCCGCCCGACGATGCTCTCTGCGGGCAGCTCGGCCGAGTGACTACCCTGCAGTGTGGCCAGCTGTGACCAGTCGACGACACGGCGGCTCAAGACCTCGCGAAGCATCCTTCGTTGACTAATGCTTCGTGATCGGAGACAGCATGCCACGCGGAGGATCTCATCGTAGCCGTTCAGCTGTTGCCGCATGAGAAGGGAGTCGAACAGATAGCTGACGATAGCCTGGACGTCCGAAATGATCACCGCCCAGTCGGTCGAGGAGCCATAGGGGATGCCAAGGAACGCCCAGGCCAGGAGGCTGAGCGAGATCAACAGGAAGACGGGCTCGGACCCGGAAGCCTGTACAAGCCAGTCGAGCCACCTGTCCAAACGACGCTCCTTTGCGAGTCTCGAATATCCCGTGACGTTCAGGGCAGGCCTAGGAGCGGTCGTGGTGATCGTGGTCACTCCCTTCCCGTCGTCGCTGGGAATCTCCGTCAAGACCTGCTGCGTTGGTGCAGCGGCCTCCACGGGCCCTTTGGCCCCAGGCCCTCTGAGAGCCTCGACACAGTAAGCCAAGATCCCCATGGTGATCAATTTTCTTTCTCGACAGGATTTCTATCTGGAACCGGAGCGGTGTTCTCATAGCTGGTCGCGTTGTCTCTGGAGTCGGTCGGAGCGTTTCACCATGCCTTGAAGCAGAGTGACGTGTTTGTTGGATATTTCCCCATCAACCTATGGAGGCCAGATTTCTTCTGCCGCAGGGCAAGCAATCATGCCGGTGCAGCTGAGTTGAGTAGTTGGCTTGATGGTCGCCAGTGTTACGAAGTTGCAAGCGAAACGGTAAGCTTGTTGGTAAGAAAATGACAATGACAAAGAACTCTCACGAATTCTTACGTGCAACACCTGATATTTGAGTATGTAGTACGAAGTATGACGATACGAGGTGAGAGAGTTGGAAATATCTCATTTATGGCTACAGAGGTATATAGTTTCTCGTTTTCACAACAGCTGAAATCGGGCTTTGCAAGCAAATCGATGGAGACCTGAAGGGCTTTTCTCTTTTTGGTTCATCCGGCCTGTAGTCACTTCCAAATAATCGCTCATAGCAGTAAAGGGGCCCCAAGATGGCCTGCCACCTCGTATATGGCGTTGGCTGCAACATGAATAAACGGGGCAGCCCGGGCAGCCCCGGGCCAAAAATTGACTCAACTCACCGGAGTCTTCACACGGAGTTTGCCGATGTGCAGAATCAAATGGCTCCCTTGAAAAGTCAGCATGGCAGGAGTTGGGCGAGGACGGTCTAGACCGCTCAGCCCTGCCCGAGAGAACCCTGATGGCTGTTGGCATAGCCACCGGCCCCTGGCTATGAATTTACGAATTCTCCAATGGTGTCAAGGATAAAGTTTTTATTCTGCCCCAGCCGAAGAAACGGCTGCCTGGATGATGAGCTCGTTAGCTCCGAGCAACTCAGCCACGGACGGGACGGTAGTTGGCAAGCCCCCGTTACGGGGGCCTTGGCGCCCGCTGTCATTTCACTTTCACCGCCATGAAGGAGGAATACCTTATCGGGCAGGTCAGTTTGACTGCATTGAAGATCTCTGCACTCCGAATGTAATATCGTCTGCATATCAATATCTACAAGCCGCGATCAGGCTATCGGGCCTTCGTGCTCCACTCTGTTGCATGCAAGTCCTTCCTGGTAGAGCATTGAGTCTTTTCACAAGACGACAATCCATTCAGCTGATGCTGCTTGCTTGCTCGGCTTGTAACTTAGGTTCTTTTGCACAGCCGAGGAGAAAATTTCGAGTCGGCGGGTGCCACATATCCTCGTCCTTGTCTTTTTAAGCTATTAGGCCCAACACTCCAATACCCATCTCGGCTGTGCTCACGCTAACTCCCCATAGACGATGAGTGCGTACCTCCACGTGGGACGTGGATGTACCTCCTTCGTGATGTGATCGGTAGAGATTCTTCCTGCATACATGCTGATGAGTTTACGCAAGGAACATCGAGTACCATAACTTTGAGAGAAGGAAGATATAGTGTTCCGACTAAGTGGTGTCCTCGCAGCAAGCCAATCTATCTTGTGACGGGCCAACTTTGAGCAACGAGAACAGGGCAGCCCCATTGAGGGCATTCCGCGGCCACTATATACCTCAATGTTGGTGGTTGTGCGTGCGGCTCTGGCTTCGTGTATTTGACTAGCTTCACATTCTTAGATTAGATCAGAGATCAAATGGCCCCCATCTCTACATGTAATGTTTTCACTCGAACTGTCCTGGGAAGGATCTTAGTTAACCCGCCAAGCATGGCATCCTGCAGTACCCCAGACTTCCCGCACAGGCCTCGCGGGTGTCAACAAGGGGCAGCCCAAGTCTGGGCCAGATCCGGCACCCGCCGGCGGGAAAACAAGCAAACAAAGTACCCACTTGGGGCGGTTTCAGCGTGATGCCGTCACTGAGTCGTCTCTCCGCGAGCTTTGCTCCGGGTCTGGGGGAGTCCTTTACGTCAGCGAGAATGCCGAGACATGGAGAGATGTCATAATGGAGTAACAGATCAACCTCTGTCTTTTTTGGCGGGACAGAAAAATATCATCAGTAGGGTCTCGAAAGCGGCCATTTGTTCGTTTGTTAACAGGTAGAGTGAATTTCTCACACAGATCGAAGCCTCAATTGCTCAGGGCTCCGTATCCTAACATCCATCGCTTTTCTCATTGGTCATGCATCTCGAACACCAGTCAAATGGGGTGTGTAAGTCGCCAGATCCCGCATCACAGACAGGAGGCGAAGGAGACAAGAACACGGTGCGCTCGCTGCGGAGGAAGCCGAAAGGGCAGGGAGAGACACCAGAACGATTTGCTCTCCCCAGACTCAATGGCCATGACTTGTTCGAGGTCACCATCTCGGAGCTCCAGCGGCACTACACAGAGGGCCACTTCACCGCGACCGACTACGTCTCGCACTGCCTCAATTACCTCTTGATCGTTAACCCCTACATCGAGGCAGTGATTGAGATGAATCCCGATGCCATCTCAATAGCCGAGAAACTCGACCAAGAGCGATCAAATGGCCATATCCGCGGTCCCATGCATGGCGTCCCAGTCCTGGTCAAGGACACCATGGCCACCAAGGACAAGATGCAGACGACGGCAGGGTCGTGGGCACTACTAGGCAGCATCGTCCCCAGGGATGCATTCGTGGTCAAGAGGTTGCGCGACGCTGGCGCGATCATCCTCGGCCATTCGAACATGAGCGAGTGGTCATGTTTGAGGTCAAAGAGCTTCTCCAATGGGTACAGCCCCCGTGGCGGACAGTGCCGGAACCCGTATAACCTCAAGAGAAGCCCGGCTGGCTCAAGCTCCGGCTCCGCAGCCGCAGTGTCAGCTAACATTGTCCCGCTGGCGCTCGGAGCCGAGACTGACACGTCCATCATTGGGCCCGCGGGCATGAACGGTGTTGTGGGAATCAAGCCGACCGTCGGCCTCACCTCGCGTTCTGGAGTCATCCCCATTAGCATCAATCTCGACTCTGTCGGCCCGCTGGGCCGAACCGTCTCGGATGCCGTCGCTGGATTGGATGTAATGGCTGCTCCCGATGAGGAAGACTCTTTCACCACGGTCCCCGAGCGAACGCAGCCCAAGTCCTACCTGTCCTACATCTCGACCATGGACGTCTTGAAAGGTGCGCGCTTTGGCCTGCCTCTCAAGGGCTGCTGGAACCTGGTCGACCCTGCCGGCAAGAAAGTGGCCGCCTCGGTGCTGGACGCGATGAAGCGAGCCGGGGCCGAAATTGTCGAAGTCGACTTCCCCAGTGTTGAGGAGCGGGTCAACGAGGAGGCCGGCTGGAACTGGGAGCACGGCGAGCCTTCCACGTCCGAGTGGACCGTCACCAAGATCGACGCCTACAACGACATGAACAAATACTTTGCTACACTCGAGGGCGGCGTGGTGCACTCGGTCGAGGACCTGATCCAATACAACAAGGACAACAGCGGCACAGAGGGTGCCGGGCCCGGAGATGTACCCGCGTTCATGGACGGCCAGACCAACTTGGAGGAAATCGCCCAGAGCAAGGGCATCAAGGACGAGACTTACTACGCCGCGCTCAAGCACATCCGCTCTCAGACGCGCGAGAACGGAATCGACGCGGCCTTGACCTACAGGGATCCCGAGACGGGCGAGACGTCCCAGCTGGACGCGCTCATCTTCTGCGACCGCGCGGGGATCGGCCAGCAGTACGCCGCACAGGCCGGGTATCCAGTCATGTGCATCCCGATCGGCGTCGACGACGATATGATGCCTGTCAGCCTGTCGGTGCAGCACTCGGCCTGGCGCGAGCCGGATATTATCAAATGGGCGAGCGCCATTGAGGACCTGTGGAATAGGGAGAAGGGGTGGCGGACGACTCCGACTTTTAAGAACCTGCATGCAAAGAACATTCCGGTGCTCAAGGTCTAGAATGATAAGAAAGCTGACTTGTATTTAGAGGAAGAAGAGGCTACAATGTAAGATATAAGATCCATAAGATACAATCGCACCAATATTGACTGACTACTCTATGCGAACGGCTTGTGACAAATCCTCGATACCGCGTCCTTCCTCAATCTTGGCCTCGACAATCTCGTAGATGGGCACCTCGGCCAGCGCAGTCGCCACATGGTGCAGCGTCGGCAAGGTTCTCCAGTCTCCTGCCTGTGTAGTGACGCGTGCCTCTCGTGCGGTCAGCGTCTTCTCGACGACGCGCTCAGTTGTAGCTCCTTCTTTGCTGATGAAGACTGCATAGTTCGCATCCGCAGTACCCTTCTGACCTACAGCAGGGACGTATCGGTGTACCAGAACACCATTCTCCGGAGGTGGTGGAGGACCCATCGCCGCAGGCACGACTACTTCGGTAGTGTTAGTGACGCCAGCCGACCGGTCTTCGGGTTTCTCGGACAAATCATCCATCTCCCAGCTAAAGAATTGGGCTCCCCTCCACCCGGCCGTCATCTTGACAGATTTCTCATCACGAACGACATCGATATCACAGAACAGCTTCGGCATGGCCACTTCCTCCCTGCCGGTGATGACTGGGTCAGCCAGATTCTCAAACAGCACCGGCAAGAAAGACCCAAAGAGCTCCCATTTGTCCCTCCTGGTGTACTTAACACCGTGGATCCATAGGCCAAACAAGGTATACCCGCCGCCGGCCAGCCAGTCCAGGTTGCTCAGCTCGGTGCAGACGAACGTGGCGTTGACGAGAGTCCCTGGGTTTGTGAAGCTGTAACTCGGGCTTGGGAAGAGCGTGCGCAGGTAAGTGACAGACGACTTGAACTTGATCGAGTATGTCCTGAACCTTGCGTTCTTTGAAGGTATTGGTCTGCCGTAGTGATCCTGGCGGGGGCTGATCATGGGCCCGAAAGACGTGGGCTGACGCATATATGTGTTTCCGTTGCGACACCAGAGCCACTTGCGAAGTTCATGAGTGGAGTTGTGCCACTCGTCATGTCCAAAGTTGTAGTTGGTGAACTCGTTGACTGTCATATGTCAGTGGACCTTTCCGTCTCCGTAAATACGAGACGTTACTGACTGTTGAGCTTGTCGTTCCTGACGTCGATATCAGCACCGGCCAGTCGAGTAAAATACTGAACCTTATGGGCACGCTGCATTCGTATCTTCTCGAACAGGGCGAGCCGTTCTGAAATCTCATTCTTTGGCGTGTTGGGCGGAAAGAGTACACTTATGCAGGCAGCGTCTTCGATCGCAATGCCTCCTGTGATTCTTTTAGTGCTTTGGTCAATTTTGATCCAGTCGAGATTGTCTTACCGCCTTGCCCTTGGTCTAAGATATTCTTAGCTTCAGCACAAGTCCTTCAACATTGGGGAATCACTTACAAGGTAGAAAAGGGTGAGCAGCGTCTCCAAGTAATGCCACCTTATTCTTCACCCAGTGTGATAATTCCTCCATATCAAGCAATGTCCAGACCATTAGCGTGCTAGGGTCTGCAAGCGAAAGTAGTGATTGAACGACATGCCCAGAGTCTTGATAGACACTTAAGAGCAACTCCTTGTTACTGCTTCTTTCCCATCCTACATTGTATTCGAGAAGTGGTCAATATCAAGGGTCTGCAGACGCGATTCAGTTCATGGAAGGACTCACCCTCCCCCTTGGAAGCGGCTGAAAGGTGGCTTGGATGGATTCCCACGAAATTCATGGTCGTATTATTGGAGCACGGATACATGATCAGACGCCGGTCTGAGCCGTACCAGATGACCATGTAGCCTTCCTTTTCAACCAAATGCCTAACGTCAGGGTTGGCGAGGACTTTATCCTTGGGTACAAGGAATCGGAATGCGCTCTTCCCGGACGAAAAGGGTTTGGTAGTGTCACCGGCCACCGCACGCCTTGTAGCAGACTGTTTCTCGTTGAATGCCTGGCTTGTGAGAGCTTGTTGGCGGAGCTCTGACTTACACTGACACCATCGGCCCCAATGACAAAATCTCCTCTGATCTCGGAGCCGTTTTCCAGCGTTACGGTCGCGGTCTCGGTATCAACGTCAACCACGCGAGCGTCAAGTCGTAGCTCTGCTGGCATCCCCTCACCATCTGGGCCAGTAGCAAGTCGTTTGAGTTCATTATGTAGTGAAACTCTGTGACCGAGAAGCCAGGGCTTGGAGGATGATTAGCTGATTTCACTCTTCGCTGCGTCCTGCCGCCGAGGACTCACATTTTCCCACATCTTGGCAGCTCCAACGAACTCAATCTCCAAGCGCTTCACTCCTTGAAAGTCGTATTCCGCCATCTGCCCACACAATTCTGTGAGTACTTCTGTCTCGGTTTTACTTAGACTTTTAAGGATGGGCACGAACCCCGTTGGTTGGATTCGCGCCAACGCTCTCATAAGACACCCCAAGCCGCTTCAGGATCCCGCTACAATTCGGGGCAAGATGAATTGCGGCCCCGACTTCCTGGACCAAGGAAGATCTCTCGAGTAGCTGTGAGAGTTTTAGCATTTCACGTGAGTCAAGATGGTTTTGCAATACTCACAGTCACTTTGTGACCGCTCTTACGTAGGCCGACGGCTGCGGTCAGGCCAGCAATCCCTACGATGAAGTGAGCAGAGGCGATGGCTATCGAATACATGCTGCGACTTACCTGCCCCTACTATGACGATATTCAGGCCTCCTGTTGACATGATTGCTATCGGCACCAGGCCCGTTAGACCTGGAGGCGAATGTGGCAATAGCTCAATGACCCTTCGGCCCACGAATTGCTCGAACGATCGAGACCACGTAGCAGAGCTGTGATCAATCAATAGCTACTCACGAGATACCCTGAGATTGACCCCATAACACACATTATTCTTGTTTGCAAGGGCCGCTGGCCGTGGTCGCTCATTCACGGGAAGTCGGGATCTCTCCTCCACTTGCCGACAGGGCGGGCACACTGCACATCATTGATGTGTCTCACTCGGCACCGGACATTGCTGGTGCAACCGTTAGCCAGTGAAAAGGCCTCAATATCGGTCAATACTTAAAGCAGTCCCTGACAATTTTCACAGATTGAGGCCGTATCTTTACACCTGGAGAAGAGCTTGACTCTTGCCATTTAACCTCGCCCGCCATGCCGAATGAAACTAGGCATATCCACAGCGTCGACGAGACCTCATATCCTTACATTTTTGAACAAAATGCGACGGTTGAAGTCAAGTCTGGAGACGGCCTAGTCCGGTGCAATGTGTACCGGCCCAAGAACCCCGAGCCTGTTCCGGTCCTGGTCACCTACGGGCCATACGGCAAAGACATCCACTACAAGGAGTAAGTCGTTTGGCATTTTACCGAACATCGGCTGCATACGATGACGCTTACTTTCTCACTAGCTTTCATGCCAAGTCATTCTCGGAAGTGAACCCCCAGCACAAGTCTGACCACTCAGCGTGGGAGACGCCGGACCCCGGGTTCTGGACCAAGCATGGCTACGCCGTCGTGCGTGCCGACGAGCGCGGTTTGGGCCAATCGCCGGGCACTCTGGACACCATGTCTCGCAGTACCAGCGAGGCGTTCTGCGACGTCGTTGAGTGGGCGGCCGAGCAGCCCTGGTCGTCCGGCAAGGTCGGCCTGCTTGGCATCAGCTACTACGCCGGGAGCCAGTGGCGCGTCGCGGCCCGAAAGCCAAAGGGCCTATCCGCCATCGTGCCGTGGGAGGGCATGTCGGACTACTACCGCGACAGATGCCGCCACGGCGGAATCCTCAGCAACGGATTCATCAAGTTCTGGTGGAACAGGCAGGTCATCACCAACCAATACGGCCGTCCTGGACGACAGGCGAGTAAGTGGGGTCCAGACTCCATCGAGGGCGATCTGTCCGAGGATGAGCTGCTACAGAACCGCAATGATCAGACCGTGGATAACCAAACACATCGTTTCCGAGACGAGGACTACTATGCCTCCAAGGAGTATGACATGGGCGATATCGAGGTGCCTCTGCTCTCTGTGGGCAACTGGGGTGGAATCCTACTCCACCTCAGAGGCAACGTTGAGGGTTTCACCCACGCTGGATCCAAGCTGAAGTACCTTCGGATGATCACTGGCCGGCACGATCTCCCTTTCTACTACGAAGAAGAAGTCGAGATCCAGCGTAGTTTTCTCGATGCGTTCTTGAAGGGAGAGGACCGTGTCGGTTGGTCCGAGCCTGGCAAAGTGGCCCCAGTCAGTCTTGTCTTGCGAAAAGGTGACGTAGGCTTCAATGATGCCGAGAAGGAGAAGGCCTACCCGAGAAGAGAGGAGAGCGAATGGCCGATTGCACGGGCACAATACACCATGTTCTTTCTCACGCCAGACCTTGGCTTAACGCGTGATGAGGAAAAGGCTTCGGAACGCGGGAAGCTCGGATATCCGGCCCTAGGGACATTGGAGAAGCCAGAGTGTCTGCAGTTCGCAACCGAACCGTTCGACGACGAGACGGAGATCACGGGCCATGTCACGGCTCACCTCAACGTTTCCGTGACACCTGATCCTGCAGGCCCGACGCCCAAGGATATCGACCTCTTTGTGACACTACGGCACATCAGTCCGAACGGCAAAGAGATCTTCTACACCGGCACTGCCGGCGACCCTGTCCCTCTGACCAAGGGCTGGCTCCGGGTGTCCCTCCGCAAGGTGAACAAAGAGCACCCGAAACACCGCGAGTGGTTGCCTCACCGGGACTACACCAGCGCCGATGTGCTTCCAGTCATCCAAGGCGAGATCTACGCTGTCGACCTCGAGATCTGGCCCACTAATGTCGTCGTTGACAAAGGTGGGAAAATTGTGTTCGAGGTCAGCTCTGGTGACACACAGGGCTCTGGTATCTTCCTTCACAATGACCCTGTGGATAGGTAAGTCTTGAAGATTTGACCCTAGTAGAAGTCAACTGACTGAAAACTTTTCCAGGTCTCCTGAACGTTTCCAAGGGACGAATCACATTCACTTTGGTCCTCAACTCAAGAACTATGTGACCCTCCCTGTGATTCCGAGCAAAGTGTAGACACAAATAGTAGACAGCTAGCTTTAGACAAAACAGGATTTATCCTGGAACTCTTCAAATCTATTCTGCCAAACCTGCTGTCTCATTTATGATCCATGACACTGCCAAAGGGTTTGTAGGATCCTGCCTTCTCGGCCAGTTTCTATGTTTATTGTAGATGAATGAAGTAATGCGTGTAAAATGAAGCACAGTCAACTACCCGGCCGTCGCTAGCGTGCGAGGCCATGCCCCAATAGTGAACTGGCTGTTGCACATGTTTGTCAATTCCCAGTCCTCCGCTTTAAGCTCTGCATAAACGCCCCTGTCTTCCTCATCACCTGCAGCGCCAGCAACAAACATGGCGGCCATGAAGTGGTCGTCCGTGGCATGCGCATCCCTGTAGAGAGGATGCTTCATGAGTCGCGTCATCGCCCTTCGCAGCTCCGGGCCGCTGTTGTGGGTGATGACATCCTCAAAGGCCTGGCGGAACTCGAGTGCCCACGGCTCCGGCGGCTTCTCCATCGCGAAATTGTCGCCGTACCGCAGCATCGGAGCCCAATAATTGCGGTAGAGGTTGTGAACTGCCCCGCCGGAGCCGATGATGAGGTATCCCTCCTTTCGAAGAGGCCGTAGCGCTGCACCGACCTTCATGTGGTAGTGCGGGTCGAAGCGTGTGTTCATCGAGATGAGCACGGTGGGCGGACAGCCGTCGGGGAACATCCGGATGAGGATCAGGTAGGTGTCGTGAATCCAGTCAAAGGTTGGGTTTCCGCTCACATCAAACCCGGCTTCTGTGAGCATCGAGATGCACCGCTCGCCAGTCTCGAGGTCCGGGTTGAGCTTGTAGTCGACGTATTTGGAGGGCTGGACGTAGGCGACTGGCGACTTGGACGGTTTGGGGTTCATCGCGACCTCCATCTTGTCGTCGAGCGCGTCCCAATGAGCGCCCTGAGGCCGTTTGTGTGAGCGTCTTACACACCTGGAGAGTACGAAAATTGGAAATACTTACCATCATGACGACTCCCTTGATTTTGTGTGCCAGCGCCTCGTCACCGGCCTTTTTCCAGTAGCTGGCCGAGTCCGAAGGCTCGCCGAGCATCATGGTCGAGCCATGGGAGAAGAAATGGACAGGAGTCAGAGCTACTAGAAAAGAACATCGATATCGATTAGTCAAGTTGATATGCAATAGTTTCCTTCAAGGACTTACCCATGGTATTAAGATGGCTTCTGTTGCGTGTCTGTCTGGTTAAATCATTGCTAACACGAGGATTTCGGTACCAACGTTGGCCAAGTCAGTCGTTGATCCACTCGTGATATCTCACCTACATATGAGCCGGACATGCCATGCCCAAGCCCATCGGGCGAACTTCGACGTGCTGGTTCGGGATGTGGAGGAGATTAATCTCCCCGTACTCTCGGTCTCTGCCACCTCGCTCCACTCACACCCATGCATTCCCCGCAATACGCGGATGAGGGGGAATATCCGGAGAAGAGCAAAAACGTGGGGAAACGAACCGACAACTCGTTCATCACTTTGGCCGCTCTTCCTCCACGTTTGTTTCCGATAGGAATCCCGGCACAGACGATCCGGGAGTATCACAAGCAACGACCAGCATGTCGTCACCAACGACTGATACTGGTGCCGATGTTGTATTCAACCACACCACAGGAGCAGCCGGTGGAGCTGCGAACGACAATGCCATCTTCCAGTGTGGCATGTGCAAACGTCAATACAAGAGATTGGATCACCTCTCCCGGCACGTACGATCACGTCAGTATACGCGAATCAGGATCGGTCCATTAGTAATTAGAGTTGAGCTGAAGATGAGCACCTACAGACACGCAGTCTCGGCCATATCGTTGTCACGTCTGCCCTAAAGGTTTTGCCAGGGCGTAAGTATCTGTGTCCAAAGTGCCTTTTTCGGGTCGATGAGGCTAACAAGTACATGAAGAGACCTTCTCAAGAGGCACGTTCTAGGCCACGATGCCGCAAGCCGTAGTGGCAAGGAAGACAAATCGTTGTCAGGGAGCGCATCGGCTACCGCCGGACGGGTGACGCAAGCCTGTCAGACTTGTGCTAGCAATCATCTGCGCTGCTCTGAACGGAAGCCATGTCTCCGTTGTCGAAAGAAGGGCTTTGATTGTGTCTGGGATCGTTCAATGGACTTGTTACCAACCCCTACTCCCACGACCGTGCGGGTCGAAGAGTCGAGAGAGTCACTATCAAGTTTAGACGCGACCGAAGCGGATATCTCGAGCAGCATGGTCCAGCAAGTTGAACAGTTCGACCAAGCCAATATGGATCCGGCTGATATGGTGCAGCCTTTGTTTGCAGGAGGTATATTTATCATTGTCAATGCCTGTGGCCTTGCTTGAGCTAACCGCCAGTCAGGGTTTGGTGACATAAACTTCACCTCGGGGCAGTGGACCCCGATTGGTCCGCTGGACTTTGACATGGGTGCGGCAATGGAACTTGACGACATCGACCTACGTTTCTTGGACGCTTACAACACCAATGTCCCTTTCGAGTTCGGAGATAGCCCACAGAATGCACAGCCGACACCAAACCTGGAACCGGGTGTCTCTCCACACCTACACCAGCCAGCGGCAGTATATACTGAAGTGTTCAAGAACTCTTACTGGAGGTTCAGGCCCAATGCGCAAGATCACGGTGCCGCGGAAGAGCACAATTTATCTCTTCCCGCAGCCACTGATCACCAAGCGTCGCCAGAGTCACGCATTCCCCTCGACAGACGTATCACATGCAAACCGCTGAGCGTTGCAGCACGCGATAGAATTCTGGCCATGATTGTACAGACGTGCCGTCCCGAGAACTTGTCGAAAGCCGTGGTGTCCTTCCCATCAGCCGAGCTTCTGGATATGCTGCTGCAGTACTACCTTAGCTCACCAGTAGCTCGTGCAGAATCCTTCCTTCACACAGCAACCTTTGACCCCAACGAGAAGCGCCCCGAGCTTCTTGCTGCTATGGCAGCCTATGGGGCGGTATTGACCTCCGACCCGGCCCTCTCAAAGCTTGGCTTTGCTATTCAGGAGTGTGTACGCATTGCCGTGCCGAGACTCGTAAGTAGCGAAAGAACTTGTCGACTCTGCTACCGTACTAATAAAGGGGTGTACAGTGGGAACGAGAGAATATGCTTACTAGGGACCTAGAACTAGGACAGGCATTTCTGATCTATCTAGAAATTGGCCTATGGAGTGGCCGAAGCCGGAAAGTGGAGATCGCAGAAAGCTTCCTCCAGCCCCTGCTCACCATACTGAGACGCGACGGGAGGTTTAAGCGCTCGAGATACCCCAAGGCTGTCATCCGCGAAGGCGACACTGGCGAGAGCCTCGACTCTGCCTGGAAGAAGTGGGTTGAACAAGAGTCGTTTAAACGACTTGCCTTCAGAGTGCTTCAACATGATACGAATGCGTCCATGGCTCTTTTGACCAACCCACTCATTTCTTACGCGGAGGCTCAGATGCCTTTCCCAGACCCACGGGAGCTTTGGACCGCAAGCAATTCTGAACAGTGGAAAGCTGCTTTCTTTGAACACGCTGGATTCAACTCGGACCATTTAAGGAGCCCTATCGACTACTTGAACAACCCAGAAGAGTTTCACAATCAACACAGGGCAGCGGATCCCGCATACCTCGCGTTAGCATTTCTCTCCTGCGCGTGGAGCTTGTCCTGGGAATACATCCAGCTCAAGGCTTTCCAAAGGTCGGGGCCCCGCCGCTGGAACGCCCTGCTCATGGCTTCACGCCACGACGAACTGCTCAAGATGCTCAGTGGGTTCCGGCTCGGTGCAGAGTTCCCACTCCATTGCGCTCAGGAGATATCGATGAGACTGGAGATTATCCACATGCACCTCCAGACGCCCTTTGACGAGATCCAGCTCTTTGCCGGCATGGAAGGGCCCGAGCAGGCCAGCCTTGCATATCCTGCCGTTCTGGAGTGGGTGCGATCAGACGCTGCTAGAAAGGCTGTTTGGCACGCCGGCCAGATCATCAAGGCCGCCAAAGCGATCCCTCGCGGCTTCATATGGGGCCCCATTGCTGTGATTCTGTATCACGCCGCACTACTGCTCTGGGTATACGGCTCCGTATGTGAGACCTCTGTACCAACCAATGTCTGGGCCGTCATGGGCTCATCAATCGCCGCTGGAGCTCCTGAGGATGTTGAAGTCGACAATTTTGATGGCATTCCAGTGCAGAGATTTATCCAGCTTGGAAGCGGGAGTCCTTGTATTAAAGGGGTGGACGAAAACCTCGTGGCATTGTCGCAGCCTGACAAAGTTCTGGCAACTGTAGCGCGGATCTTGGAACATAACCATGAGGACAGGCCCAAGCCCTACCTCGTTGATAACTTGATCCAACTGATGGGGGGCCTGCAGAAGATGACGACGAGGGCACGGGCCGTTCCACAGTCGATATAGATGATATCTTCGAGAAGCAAATGAGCTGCTATGGCACGGACTATCCCATTTCTTTCAAGTCTCCCCAATTTAATTTACTTGCTAATATGCCATCCCACACACCCTAGATGGTCAGTGAGTACACTATGGGCCTCTGGTAGGAGGCATCGGCTCCACTCCCAAGCATCATCCGGATAGGTGTTGCCGATACAATAAACAGAGCTGCCCACTTGCCGTAACACTATCTTAGTCACCACAAAGACCTTGAGCATTCGAATCAAACCCATCAAGGTGACTTGGTTGTCTCTAGACAACATATCAGATTACACCTCATTCGTGTCGCAATTGTCACACACCCTATCAGAAACCATGGCTCTCCAAGGCAAGCTCCACCACCCAAAGCGCTTCATCACAACGCACAATGACAAGGGTGAGGCCGTCATCGACACCTCACTACCGGAGGACGCACCGTTTTACCCGATTCCCGGCGGCGCAGGCTTCGCGCAGGCCTACGTGACCAAGGGCTTCCCCACACAGCTCAACGACGGCGCCGACATGGCCGTCTACAAGCAATACCTCGACAGCGCGCCGGGACTGACCGTCTCGGACGGCACTGTCCTGCGGTACGTCGACATCCCGCCGGCCTCGCTGTCTCCCATGCACCGCACCGTCAGCCTGGACTATGGCGTCGTGCTGGACGGCGAGGTCGAGCTCATCCTGGACTCGGGGGAGACGAGGGTCTTGCAGAAGGGCGACGTGTGCATCCAGAGGGCTACAATGCACGCTTGGAGAAACCTCAGCGACACGGAGTGGGCGCGGATGTTGTACATTCTGCAGCCGGCGCAGCCGCTCCAGGTCGTGGGCAAGGAGTTCAAGGAGGACCTTGCTGATATGCAGGGCGTGAGATCGTCGACATAGATCAGAGTATTGGATTAGACATTGCATGCCCATCATGGGATGCTTCTCCAAGGATAGAGAGCAATGAGTATCTTGTATCAATCATTGTACTTTGAGTGACTAAGCGCATATCTATTGTATTGCTCTATCTCAGCCATATCACATCTCCCCGCCGATGTGATACTGAAAGATCTTGTCGTTCAGTCTGCCCACAGTGCTGTGCCATGCCTTCGCCAGCGTCTATCAATGTTCTCGTCAGTGTGTGCCGGGCTTGGGGCAGTGATACGTCGGGTCTTACCGCGTTGATGGAAACCCCCGTGAACATCATCGTCACGAATACCTGTTCTGCCCTACTGAGATACACGCCCGTCTCCGCAGGGTCTCTGTCCCTATTTGTCGGCCTGTAAGGTGGCACGCGACGGTGCGTTGTATCCCATGGCGGTGTCTCTGGTCTTTGCTGTTGTTGCTGCGGGGACCTTGAAGCTTGCGCATCGCTGGGTTGTGGTTGCTGGGAGTGATGTAGGGCGTAGTCCGACAGTATCGTTTCAGCGGTCCGCGTCGGTGCCGCGCCTGTTCTCGTCGTGGTCGCTGTCGAGGACATTTTGCAGAGTCTCCTGGTGCTATGCAAGTCCGAATGCAGGTCCAGAGTGTCCAGTAGGTTACGGCTACAGGAATGGGCACGGCATCAAATGTGATGACGGACCGTCCCTAAGCCCCGCGCATCAGGTCGCGTAGTCATCGAGCATGAGGTCTGGAGCCGCCTCTGGAGGGCATGTCCCAGTCTCAGGGGCGGCATGTGGAGACTCGGGACCGAACCGAGGGGGCCGCTGGAAGCATCGTTTTCGATGCAAGATCGGGATGTGGGGGAAGGTCATCTATGAGCGGCGATTGAACCACCATCCACTGACGCGTTGCGATAACAGATTATGATTATGTACTGATGATTCGTCTCCTGTAAGTGCTTGAGGTCATCAAGCTTCTTTACACGGTCCTTCAGCTTTCCAAGATCGCTATGCCGTGTTCTTTGGCCGACGTGAGGTCGGCCGCCATTGACGGCAGGGCGCAGAACGCGTTCTTCAAGAAAGAGCAGCTGAAGAAGCTTCACGAAACGCTAGTGGAGAACGTGTCGCAGATTCAAGATGCAATCTCCAGTGATACCGGGCATCGACTCTCGGAGGTGAAGCTTGAGTACTGCCTTGCGCTAGAGTGCGTGGCGAAGTGCTTCGGTGCGATCGACCCAAAGAGCTCACTACACGACGAGTATGCTGTTGCGCGATCCGAGGACGCACCTGATGCACGAGAGGCAGTGGGCATCATTGTTATCGAGCCCACGACGCACACCTTTCTTTTCAGTCTCGTCTCAGCACTCGCGCCGGCGCTCGCTGCTGGAAACTGCATCATTGTACAGGCATGTAGAGAACTGCGACCAAAGCTGTGCACCAACCCCTAGGCTAACTCCAGCGTGCGTGTAGGTGGAGCAGACGATGCTCAAGACTCCCCGAGTTGTTCTTGACATCATTAGTCGAGCGCTGGATAGGGACATCTTCCACGTCACGAGCAAGCAACTGTCTGATGCCGAGATCGACCACCGACACATTCGGGTCCTCCAGAGTGGCACGAGCAATGCAAGCCTGGGTGGCCAAATCGTTTCGCAAGCTGAATCGCGAGTAGTTGCAGTCATCGAGCGAGATGCCGACCTTCAGGCTGCAGCGGAAGCCATCGTCAGAGCACGATTCAGCCTTGGAGGACGATCGCCATACGCTCCGGACCTGGTGCTTGTCAACGAGTGGGTCAAGAAGAAGTTCTTGACCGCTGTCACGCAATGCGCTGTCCGATTTGCCCCTGACACGACAGAAACGCTTTCAAAGGCCGATCAGCATAAGCACGGACTTGCCAACAAAGTTGTCGAGGAAAGACGTTGCCGTGTCATCAGCTCAGATGGGTCTGGGCTGATCGTCGATGTCGAAGACAGGTATGTTTCTGCTTCGAGACAAGGGGGCTTGGCCCATGTGTCACTTGGCATGTTCTGATTTCGCAAGATAGAGCAACGTTTCTCCTGCAAAGCAAAGTGAAGGAGGCTTGCATAGCAGTTTACGGCATTCGCAGTATGGATGATGCTATTGACATCGCCAGCAGGTACTTTTCGTCAGGATCACCCCAACAATGAGTATGGTGGCTAACAATGACCCAGCCATGGCCGACACTTAGCTTTATATGTCTTCACTGCAATGCCAGCTGCAGCAAAGTACATCGCCCAGTTTATCGACACGGATGTCGCCTTTATCAACCAGATTCCTGTCGAGATCCTCTGTATGTATCGGCTCGATGATTGCTATTTGCGCTGTTGAAAACTCACACATACCAGTTGGACCAGCAAACCCCGGAGGCAAAGTTCTGCTCCGGACCCATGCCGAGCGGTACGATGCGACCCAGTTCTCGCTACCCAGTCCTCAATACGCGTCTCATACGAAGGACGGCCAAATGTTAAGCTCTCTGCTATCGGACGTTTCGTCACGCGAGCTGCGCAAGCTCGAGCAAAAGGCCATGGCCCCACTGCCAGAGGTCAAGCGTAAGAACTGGAGGACCATCGGCTTCTTTGAGCAGGGGATCTTGATCGGTGGTTCACTTCTCCTCACCACTGTCATTACATGCACTGTTGTCCTCTGCTATTACACCGTCAAATTCGTCAGGCCGGGTCATTAGAAAGACGATCCCCAGCACTTTGTTGAATGTTTAGGAGACATTCCCGAAGGAGAGTTTGGTTTAGGGCGCCAGACGTGTGGGTGTGGGGCTGATGTTGAGCGAAGGGCGCGGCTCAGGAGATGGACGCTGGGGACATGCAGAGCACGAGCTGTCGTAATGCGCAGAGGCGAGCAAATTGAGAAAGCTACGAATCACATAGCGGCCAGCGCCATAATAGTTGAGGTTTCCGGAGTTTGCGAGGTCATCTCCGGAAGGCGGTCCGTAGCATCAGCTTTGGAGACGGCTAGAGTCGGATGTCCATCCTCGTTTAAGCCGCTCCAGTCCTTTATCTGCTCTGCCTCTGCAACCCCTACAGCAACTAGTAACTGGTAGAATTCGATAACAAATCTGGTGTCTTCCCAGAAGCAGCCTAAGGAACGTAAGACCTGAACGGATGAAGGACCCTGCGAACATGCGGCTCGGGTTCCTCGGCCTCGGCGTCATGGGAACGCCCATGGCCCTCAACCTAGCACGGGCGTTTCGTCTTATTGTCTGGAACAGGAGCTCGTCGAAATACCCGCTCCTAAAGCAGGCCGGTGCTCAAATCGCCCAATCGCCGTCTGAAGTCACAGCAACGTCTAATGTCATATTCACGATGCTGTTCGACGAGAACGCGATCCGGGCGACCATCACCGACGATGTTAAACAGGCGCTCGGGGGCAAAGTGCTGGTCAACTGCGGCTCGGTATCAGTCGACTTCAACCAGTTCTTAGCCGAGCAAGTCCGCCAAGCCGGCGGTGACTTTGTCGAGATGCCTGTGAGCGGCAGCAAGATACCCGCTGAACAGGGGAACCTCGTCGGTATGATGGCAGGTGATCGGGCCGCCACCGAGCGAATTAGGCCCTTCATCGAGCCGATGACGAAGGCCGCGATCTACTGCGGCCCGGTCGGATGCGGTCTCAAGATGAAATACGCCGTAAACTCCTTCCTCATCAGCATGACTGCCGGACTCGCCGAGGCAACGAACCTTGCCCAAGCACAGGGGCTAGATCTCGAGTCGTTTGGGCAGGTGCTCGAGGCCGGCCCCATGGCGTCGGCCTATTCCAAACTAAAGGTCACCAAAATGCTAAATCAAGACTGGGCGGCGCAAGCGACCCTGAAGGACTGCTACAACATCACCAAGCTGGTACGCGCGGCTGCAGAGGAAGCGAACACTCGCGCGCCAATCATGCAGCTGTGTAATGCCCTGTATGCAGAGGCGAACGATTCAGGGCTCGGAGAAGAGGACATGATTGCTGTGATGAAGTTGTTTCAGCCTCGACAGCATGACAACGAGTGAATGCAAACGAGACACTAGGCATCTTGCATCTTCCGGGGTTGTCCGAGCGGCCCGTGATAGAAGAACGCCGCTCGGCAGCAATTAGATTTTCGCCTTTGGCCAAATGAAGGTTGTCTATCAAAATGATTCAAACAGTTATCTCTGTTTCCAAAATGTCTAGAGGTCATTTCTGTAGTAGTGCTTGACATAGTCTACCCTGCATTGGATTCCTCGGATCTACTCCGACTCCTTACTTGGCCTGGCTTGACCATCGGGGCTCGGCTCCACCTCTCTTTAATAGTTACATAGTCGGACCCGAATCGGCTGTAATTCTGCAATCCTACCCAAGCTCCCCGTCTGGTAAACTCCGGACCAGTCATTTTGTTTATCGCTTAAGAAGGACTCCCTTCATTCCCAGAGAGGTAGTATCACACCTTGCTACCTGTCATTACCCCAAGTGCAAGGTGGTAGTTCATCGATGAAAATGACCTCGCACGACTACGCTCATCACTTTTCGTCGAAGAACGTCCCTTTTGGGATTGCTTCTTCGGTCGAGCATTCGAATCCTAGTGCGGTTACAAGGATCGAAAACACCATCATCTTCTTGGAAGACCTGGCACATGCAGGGTACTTCAAAGACCTGAATCTACCCGAGCATGTGTTCGCGCAACCAACATTGAATAATTTTGCTGCCCTTCCTCGGCAGACAGTGAATGAAGTTCGAAGAGTAGTAAGGGAGGCGGTGGAGGAGAAAGGATTGTCATCTCTGCCGACCGAGAGCGTAGAAGACCTCTCGCAAGTGACGATGCGCATGCCGGTTGAGGTAAAAGACTTCACGGGTACGCAAGCCTTCGCAAGCAAAGTTTATGGACATCCAGTTCACCACACAGATCAGACTTCTCCTGCAGCCTCCACCACAACGCGAACATGGGTCGCCTCTTCCAGAATGACCCTACACCACCTCCGAGTTTCTACCACTATCCAGGAGGTTATGGCGGCAGGGCGGCGTCGGTCGCCATATCCGGTGCTCCCGTCGAGCGCCCGGTGGCCAACTACTACGACATGTCGGCGCAGACCGAGCCGGGCAAGCCAAAGCCGGTAGTCTTCGGCCCGTCGCAGATGATGGACTACGAGCTGGAGTTTGCGGCCATCATCGGCAAGCCGCTGGCCATGCGCCAGAGGCTGAACGCAGTAGACGCCGACGAGCACATCTTTGGCTTTGTTCTCTTGAACGACTGGAGTGGTGAGTGCTCGTCCAGGATCACCTACAGAGTTGTATGGCTAATGCACGGCACAAAAAGCCCGTGACGTCCAAATCCTGGAGATGCGGCCCCTCGGCCCCTTCAACAGCAAGAACCTGGGCACCTCCATCTCGCCCTGGGTCGTGACCCCGGGCGCGCTCGAAGCGTTCCAGGCCCGCGGACCGGAGCGCGCGCAGCCCGTCGCCAGCTACCTGCAGGACCCGGAGGAGAAGACCTACGACGTCACCATGCAGGTCGAGATCCTGCCGCGGGGCCAGAAGCATGGCGCGGTCACGGGGACGGCGAACGTGCAGAGCCTGTACTGGTCGGCGCGGCAGATGATCGCGCACGTCGTCAGCGCCGGGAGCGCGCTGCGCACGGGCGACCTGATGGCCACGGGGACGGTGAGCGGGCCCGGCGCCGGCTCGCACGGGTGCCTGGCCGAGGCGACGCAAGGGGGTGCCGTGAGCGTGTCGGTCGGCGACGGGATGGAGAGGCGGTTCTTGTTGGACGGGGACGTTGTGCGGATGACGGCTGTGGCGGGCGGGCCGGACTCGGGTGTTGGGTTTGGGGAGTGCGTTGGCGAGGTGTTGCCTGCGAGGCCTTTTGCTTGATGGACGGTGGTTGTCCTACAGTATGTCTTACCTAGTGTCTACGTAGGACGGTATTACTTTTAGTCAGGGCACCTACTGAGATCGGGCGGCTTGATCATACCAAGATAGCTTTTCTGTGGTTGAGTAGATGGATGAGAGGTGGTGAAAAAGACGCTTCTCACGAACACTGTAGTAGCAGCCAGACCCCCAGTACTGGCAATATTGGGTGTGTTTTACACTCAATCATGACAGGCATCGATCGACTGTGGCTTATTTTGCTACCATAAGGTTCTAAGCTTTTAATGGCCACCCAGACGTGCTGGGGATCGACATTGATGTAATGTGTAACAGAGCTGAGCAGCACCGCCCAGTGATCGACCTGCAGCGCTGCATCACAGGCTGACGACCCGGATGGTCGCTTCGAGTCTCAGCCTATTGGCAGCGCGGGTCATCCCGAGCGTAAGCTCGATGTCGCCGATGGTTCAATGTCGATCTGATTACACTGGAGAAAGAAATCCATGCATAAGAGTCCATAGCGAACTTCTTTTCTTTCTCGTCAAGTCTTGAGTCCTCCGTAGCCTACTCGCACCCAGACTGGCATCTCGCCAGTATTGAACTCATGGAAGCATGGCAAAGAACTATTCCAGCTACGACTTCTCAGCATGCCTGGCCACGGTCTCGAGGAAAGTGACAGCGCCAGGCGAGCGGAACCCATGTGTACCTCCTCCATCCTCTTTGAATCCATACAATGTCACAGAGCTACCTGATTTCAAGATTGACATGCTGCGCGAGATCCTCGACAATCCGTTCTTTGGCAGAAACATTGGGGCTTGCTATTACGCAGCTATGCTGATGCCCCCGACATTCATAGCCATCGACAGTGCAATGTCCGACCCTCGAAAGCTCGACATGCCAATGCTGCGGCTACACGAGTTCACTCGCATGGCGTTCCCGGCGCCAATCAACGAGTCAAGCCCGGGTCAGGTTGTCGGCTGGTGGTGGGACAGTGTCGTCAACCAGAAGGACGCCACAGAGAACTTCATCAGCGCCATTCGAGACAACTGCACCTACGCGATCTGCCACACGAGGGGTGGTATTGGGGACTCTGATATCACGGGAATTGGGGTATGCTACATGAACGAGCCCGAGTCCGACTCTTGAGGTGATTTGATGCTGAATTGAACATGCAGATGTTGATCTCGACCGGCATGCTCATTATTCTCGCCGTCATCTTCGCGATCCCAGTTCTATTCCGCCGAACGGGAGCCAACTGGCCCCCAACGACCGAAAAGCACAGAACACCATCTCTTGCAGATGGGGCAACACGCAGTAAGCGTCTGGTTGTGCGCGACGCCCTGACAGGGACCCTCGACGACCTCTTCTCCGCGATCATTTTCTTCACGCTGTCCGTGCAGGTCTCGTCGCTCGTCTACCGCTTCTGGAACAACTCGATCTACGACATCTACATGGCCGAGGTCTTGAGCCTCATCGCCGCCACGGCCGGGGTCATGATCTCGGCGGCCTACTGGCGCCACAACCGCATTCGCCTACCTCTGCTCGTGGGCAGCGGCGTATGCGCGTTGCTCACGGTCATATTGTTCTCGGCCGAGTTCTACTACCAGCACGACGTAATGGAGGCGGAGGGCTTGCTGATGGAGCGGGCGTGTCTGAAGCATACAATTGGCGGGACCAACCTGAACAACCTGGGTGGCAAGCGTGTGCACCTGCCTGTTTGCTTTGCCCTGTGGTGTCTCACCCTGCTGACCAGCCTCTTCCATCTGCGGTGGGTTCGTGACCGGCTGCCCGTCAGGCGTTCCGAGGCCAGGAGCGGCATGAGGTACTTTGCATCGCGGCTGGCGGCGGCGAGTCCGCTCCTGTTCGGCATCGCGACACTGACGTGGCTCTGCGTGCTCTTCTACAAGACGTGGATGGACATGGAAAGGGCGTTTGGCGCCGTCTTTGTCAACACGGCGAGTGATTGGGGGTTCGGGCAGTTCCTGGCGCTGGCGACATGGTTTCCGCCGATTTTGCAGTGCGCGGACTTGTACCTCAGTAAGTTTCTCTTTATGAATTCCGGTTTTACTAATTCAAATTCGAGACTAATCTGCATTGTAGCTGGGATGACGAGTGCCTTGACCAAGCGATTGCCTTGGCCTTGGGTGGCTTGGTTGCCGGGGTCCGCGTCAAGAGAGGAGGCACCTGAGGCCAGCTCGGCTGTATCTCCGGCTTGATTAACTGGCACATTGAGAACGAGGATGACTTTGGGCTAGAAGAGGACAACTAATAACTGAGTTAACCTTATAAAAAAGGTTGACGCCAGCGATGTCAGCACTTGATGGAGACGGATTGCGTTCAACCACGGCGCCGCATCGTACGCGCCATTAGAAGCATTTGCCGGGCAGTAATAATGCATTTGGAAATGTAATGATGTTATAAACCAGGATAGAATGTGTTGGCTGCTCAAATTGGCCACGTCCAAGGTAGGATGCGGTCGTCAAAATAACACGTTCGAGCAAGCTCTTGAGTTCAAATGCGAAATGATGTGGGGTCGTATTCGTACCTCATGGTTTCTCCGATCCGAAAGCGGCTCAACGAAACGAAATTAGACACGCACGGAGCATCAAATCAATCTCGAAACGCGTCTCCTGATCACGGGCCAACATTGAAGTATATGTGCAAATCCCACACCGACATTTCACATAGCGCAAGATAGCAGGACAAAACAGAAAGATGGTCAGCTACGGTGTCCTCGGCGGCGTCGCCGTCGTTGTCATCGCCCTCCTGACCTTCGGCATCCCCTGGGTCATCGCCGAGTACTTCCCCTACAAGAGTCTCACCGCCCAGCGCACCGGCAAGCCCGATGTCCGCACCAAGTCGTACAAGGGCCGGACTGCCCTCATCACCGGCGCCAACGGTGCGTTCGGCTCCAGGGCCGCCAAGATCTTTGCCCACCGGGATGTCGAGACGCTCATCTTGGTTGATGTCATGGACACCTCTGGTGTCAAGGAGCAGATCGAGAAGGAGCTCGCCGAGCAGGGCAAGTCGGTGCCCAAGATCCTGCTCTGGCAGATTGACATGATGAGCTTCAAGGGCTGCCAAGAGCTCGGACGCAAGGCCCGCGAGCTCAAGAGCCTCGACCACGCCCTGCTGACCGCCGGTATCCTGTCCTTCGCCCGCCGCGAATCGCCCGAGGGCTGGGAAACTTGTGAGTCCTCTCATCTCACTCGCGGTGTGAGTGAGGCACTGACTCCTAACTTGCTTGACGACAGCCGTCCAGGTCAACTACCTCTCGAGCGCCCTCATCGGCCTCCTGCTGCTGCCCGTGCTCAAGTCGTCCCCTGGGAACCCCAACCCGCCCGTGCTGACCTTTGTCACCACCTTTGGCATCTACCCGTCCTCCTTCACCATGGGCGTGCCTAGCCGCGGCTCCTACCTCAAGAAGCTGAGCAACAACAGCGAGCTCATGCAGCCTCACCAGTACGGCCGCTCCAAGGGCCTCCTGCTCTACTTTGCCCGCGAGCTCGCCGCCCGCGTCGACGAGACCATGACCACCGCCAAGGGCCGCAAGGTGACCGTCAACAGCGCGGACCCGGGCTCCGCGTGGACGGCGCTCACGAACCCGAACCAGGCCAAGCTGATCCCCCGGCTGATCATGAACCTGGGCGCCCGAGACCCGCAGATCTGCGCCACCGCGCTCGTCAACGGTGTTTCTTCGCCCGCCGACGCCCACGGCAAGATCATGCAGGACTTTGATACTGCCTCGTAAGTCTCCCTCCAAGAAGACTTTACTTCTGGAAGAAAAAAGATGTGAATATTGACGCCGTGCACAGATATCCGCCCTTCATGAGCAGGAAGAGCGGACGCGAGGCGCAGGAGCAGGTCTGGCGGGAGACGCGAGCTGAGTTCGAGGCCAAGGTCCCCGAGATCAAGGCCGTGTATGAGATGCTCGAGAAATGAGTGAGAGACTCATGTGATCTGAGAAGCACAAGCTTCGGTCTAGGTATCCGGATCCATAGTTTAGACAGATGACACTGCTGCATGTATACGGCGCACGCAACGCTAGTACCTGCGCCATGGCTGTCTTTGGGACTTCCATCCCAGGGGAGCCTATGTAACAAAAAGAAACACGTAATTACCTAATTGAAGCAACAAGCCTCTACCCTGTAGGGGATCATGAATAATTACGCCACCTAGCTCATACCGAACCAAAGGTCATTTAGAAAAGCAACCGAAAGACAATAGTTAGGTCGCCGATATATACCCCGGCCTAATAAAACTCTTTCGATATAGCTAGGCACAGAGAATTAGCACCGTATAGGGAAAGTTGGACTCGCGCTGCCCTGGCCAAAGCCAAAATCCATCGCGGGACTATGGCCGTCCCCTCCTGATTGGGTATCTCGCCATGTCCGAGCACAAGCGCAATATTCCCATTGGAGGAGCTGGGCAGGATGCCCAGTGACGCTATCGTCTGGAGCTGGAGAACCCTCAGGATAATTCCTGTTTAGCGTGCGGAGATGTGGAATTTCGGGGCCACGGAATACGGGTTGAGGCGCGCGTCCGGCGTGTCTATGTCTTACCTAGCCTTGGTCTTAGTCTTAGTCTGGGGCCTCTGCCCTCGACTCGGAGGCCAGACTTTAGACTACTCGGGTAGCTCAAAGCATCCCGAAGAGTTTTCAGACCGTTGTGCTACGCGGTGCCGTCGCACTAGAGGACAGGAGCCGGCGGGGGTGTGGTAGGAATCGCCATCCCCTCGGTGAGACTTGGCAGGCTTAAACGGGCACCGCCACCGGGTAGGGTGGCAGTTCCCACACGAGGACCAAGTTCGAGGCCTCAAGCTTCGTCAAGGGTCATTCGAAGAGCGGGTCTCGGTCCGAACGCAATTTTGGGCTGGCTGTGTTTGATGTATTGAACTGGACATGGACTCGAAGCGAAACCACAAGTCATACTGCTAATAAAATACACTATCAACTTTTCTGGTGCAGTTGACGGAATCGGAGGAAGAAAAAAAGGAGAAATTTGTGTTGAACAAGTCAAGGCATAAGGATGAAAAAAAAAAAAACTCCCATATCCTGAAGAATAGCAAAAAAAGATGCCGTATCATCGTGAATCGTGCTCCAATCCTCATATCGAACACCCACATCCACCAAAAGAACAGCCACCCTCCTTTCCTTCCGAACAATGAAAGCAGGTCCCTATCACCGCTTGATCGACGTCTCCGTAGTAACCATGATCCGTGACTTGTCGCTCCAGTCAATGTCGTGCTGCCTACTCGTCGAGATCTGGGTGTAGGCGGAGGGGATGCTCTCGCCGGGGCTGGGCGCCATCTCCTTGAGCGCGAGCTCCTCGGTGCTGATGCTGCGCGTGACCCTCTTCTTGTTGGTGTTGTTGTCACGGGTGCGCTGGGCAGCCGAGGCCGAGCCGTACCGCATATATGTGCTGCGGTCGTTGCGAGCCGATGAGAGACCAGCGCCGGGCAGCAGCTTGGCGAGCAAAGGGCGCAGGGTGGGCAGGCACGAGGCGATGATGGCGACGTTGAGCTCGATGGAAGACCAGATCGCCGCGCCGATGTTCTCCCAGGACGGGTCCGTGCTCTCGACGGCGGACTTGAGGGTGAACATGCGGTAGATGGAGATGACGCAGACGCTGTTGGGTTCACTATTGTTAGTCCATGTTCGTGGTGTCGCTCAGACCTGAGGGTTTGGGACTCACAAGAAGCCGAGACTGAAAATACCGAGGACCATGATCTTCTGCTTGAACGGCAGCTGCAGCTTGAGCACGGCTGGCAGCGGAATGGCAAAGATGGCAATGTCCAACAACATGCTCATGCCGGACGAAAAGTACCAAATAGGGAGCGTGTCCAGACAGATGCCTGCTGTCTTGGGCTGGATGAAGCTGATGGGCAGGCAGGAGAGGCCCAGGAGGATGGCCTGGACGATACACCAGGCTCCCACGTAGAGCATCGTCCAGAAGCAGATCCTCTGCACCCATTTGAGGTTGAAGATGCGGCGGTACTGGAACAGGAACGAGATCTTGATCACGTTCATGCCTACATTGTAACAGATGACGCTGACCAGCAGGAACTGTGGCATCATGAACTTTTAGCAACTGGGCTGTATGCAGGAGAGAGTCATAGTCAACGTTTGGTGATGAGAGCATACCTTGAGTTGTTCAATTCCTTCTTCCGCTCCCACATTCTCCTGATGTCTGCCCATGCCATTCTTGACCTCTGTCATCTTGTCAGCACATTTTGATCCGAAACAATCTCTGAGATTGTGGAAAAACATACCGTAACCTGTCGAAATAGTGACGATAATAGAGAGAACCTGATATCACCTGTTAGCATACTAGGGGTCTCACGCAATGCACCACATTGTACGTACGGTCGCCGCGAGAATCGTCCAGTCGTCGTTTCCCGTATTCTTCAGCATAAACAGTCTGGTGTAGAATCGAAAGAGCAGCGCCACAAACGCAGCAACCGTGAACCCAATGGCGATGCCGCTCACCATGGGCCCGCGGGTCTCGGTGCGGATGACTTTGTTGGCGTCCATTGTCGAACAAGCAGAACGTCTTGCACTTGAAGTCTCAACGGAGTCAGTGAGGCGCAAGGTAAGCTTCGCGCTTGGGGGGAGGGAAGGGGTTCCTGGAATCGATCGCGGGGGGGCCTGAACGATGATCGCGGGAGTGATGGGCGGATCGGTTGATCTTTATGATCTCGACTTGCCCTGATCAAGGAGGGATCACCACTCGCGCACGTTGCTGCCCATGCTCTCTCTGACCAGGCGTTGACGAAGCAGATCTGATGTGCAGCGTTTGTGTGAGGATCCAAACGTGGCAGGGCAGGGTCTCATCCCTCGGCCGGGCGTGCGTGCGTGCAGGTATGTGTGTGTGCGTGCTTGACCAGGTTCCTGGGGCTTGGGGGAGTGTGTGTGGCATGCCTGCCACCCTCCTCGGTACAAGTAGCTCGCTTGCAGGGGATCGACATGACTAGTGTTCTTGCTTTCCCCCTCCACGGCCACACTCCCGCGGCCACCACCATCACCACCACCACCGCCGCTTCTCTCGCCCCCTTTTCCCGGGTTATGGAGCCCATTACAACAGCAAGTGTAACCGTGCGCTACGAGACCTAACCGTCAAGAATTTCTTTGGGGAAAGTTCTCCTTCCAAGTTGGTAGGTGTCTTCGGCGTGGGGGTGTGCTCGGACCGCCCCGGTCGTGTCTCCCTGCAGGAATGTGTCTTACTCTTCCTGCGGATAAGCCCAGAGGCATCGCTTCCCTTTTAGTGAAGTGACTCTATTCCCTGTTTTTTGCCCTCTCTTTTGTTTATCTAAATGTCAACTTCGTGCAGTTAGACAGGGTTCATCCACTTGTCTATCCTCGGCCAATGACTCGTGTAGTATCGGCTGGGATGGCATCCTCTCTTGTGCTGCGATAGAGGTCTCGAACTCCAGAACGGGACTTCGGGAAGGACGATTCTGCTACTTTGTGCGTAACCAGTTCGTCCGTGGTTCGTCTGTGCTTGCAAAACTAGTCTACGCATAAGGGAGTTATTTTGGGCGGAGATTGCCGTGCTAAAAGTCACGGGTCTGGCGTTTGATTCAGGTAAAGTGGAAAGTCGGTGGCTGTGCGTCTAGCAAAGGGAATTCTTCCGCAAAAACGAAACAGAGTGACACAGTGGCATCGAGTGGCGTTGCTGACAACGTTCGTTTCAGGAGTGTGTTGGACACATGAAAGGGGGACATCGGGTAGTGTCTGGACTAGTCCACAGAATGGGAAGAGAAGAGCACTTGGCAATAGACAACGATGAGTCGGAGATGAGAGCCCATCGTGGAAATCTCTGGACAGTAGGGGCAGCACGTGAAAGGAAAACAATGCAGATCCGAAGCCAAGGATGATTGTCTAATGTCACTCCGATATACAAGTAAGTATTATAGTTCGTGTCACAAGTCTTGCGTGATCTTATCGGGACAGAAACAAAGCATACAGATGCTGATGTCGTAGTCGGTTATCAATTTGCTGCAGGGGCCAAGATTGGCTAACCAATGTCTTGTAAATCACGGCATGCCGGCAGCCGCAGTCGGCTATCGATTTGCTCCTGGGGAGGAGATTGGTCAACCAATATGCAGCTCATGACATCCCGGTAGCAGGGAAGACAAACCCTATTGGCATTACAGTTACTGTGACATGCGCAAAGGCCATTGAGGTTGCTGCACAATTTGCCTGACTCGGTGTGTTCTCCGTACGTACTTCGTATGTTTTGCCTTCCATATTTCCAGAAGCTCGCTTGCGGCCCGGCCATGGAGGATGCAGAGAGGATTCAGCGACCTCCGCAGATTCCGGTGGAATTAACATACTGGCATTATTTCTTCACTTACTGGGTTGTCTTCTCCTTCCTGAACAGGTGTAAAAAATACTTCGAAAAGCCCATGCTCAAGCCCCGGCTTTGCCCCTGTCGGTCTCAGTTAAGTTAGCGCTGACGGAGGAGTGGCCATAATGAGGGGATAAAGCGTAAAAGGTCTAGGAATTCTGCCCCGACCCTTGCAAGCAGTGACCCTTGCCCCATAACTCTTTCTGAACGTTCCTTGCAAGTTTTCAGCAAGGTGTGTTAGGGTCAATGCGCATTGGCTTGGCAGACGCGATGTTCCGAACACGGTCCACGGCTGAAGTCCGGGCCAGGACCCCGGGCAGGATCAGGAACACAAATGGAGGCATCATCTTGAATCGAGAGAAATGCTACGGCACAGGACAGCGAGAAAGCTAAAGCCGTAACGGTGGCCGAATCGAACCGGCCCGCAAAGACTTGAGATCCCGTCTGAGCGCACTATCCGTGCCCAGGTTAGTGGGACACTCACGTACAAGTACAAGTAGTTCGAATGCAGTCATAAGTAAACCAGATCCCCTCGACCTTGATTTTGCAGGATGGACGCAAATTTGACTCGCGGGAGACCCCCTCAAACCCACCACCCGGCTGTTCCGCGCGTCTCGCGGTGCCCACCCCCGGTTAAGGGCTGTCCCTCGCCCCAAGCGCCCCAAGCCTCATTCAGGCTAGCCTGGTCCGGACCTCGATGTAACCCTGGGGATTAGGCTTCTAGGGCAAGTTTTCCTTGCGTCGATTCCGGGGAACGCCACCGCTCATCCTGGTGCTGCTCAAGGTCCCTCTTGCTCTGGGCCCCCTGCCCCCTGCCCCTGGCCGGCTGCGACATCGAAAGCGGGACAGAACGCCAAAAGCAGTCCATGTTGCCGTGTAAGGAACCCTTGAGGAGTTATTACCAGAGTGGCTTCTTGCCTGTGCTGCAGGAGCAAAGGAGGTGAGATGTCTCTTCCTACGGAGTAGACGGAAAGGAGAAGGACAGCAGTTCCACCCATCCAGGTGAGTCTTCTTCGGTCACCTTGTCTCTCGACACAGAGACTGCCCAATTACCCCATCACCCGAGGCATTCGTGCCTCAATTGGGGAGCCCGCCGGTTTGCAATATCGGCAGACATACTTATTTACCCGATTGCCAACCTCTTACTCAGACAATCGAACCCAAGCTGGCGGCTTCATCTAATCTCGTCTACGCTCTAACATAGTCTTGTCCCCTGCCAGTGAGCCCACGCTGTTTACTTGCTTGTCATGCCATGATTTGATGGCCATGGGTGTTATCCCCAGGGAGCGGGGCGCCAATGATGTGCACCACACAGCCATGATCGCGTAGAGACCCTTTACCCAGAAATAAGAAATCCCCTGGCGTCCCGGTCTTTGTCAACCATGCATCATCGTACCACGGCAATTCACCACGTGGGAGCGCCGGCATCGACTCGCAGGCCATAAAATCTCGCGCCTCCCAGCGGCACGGTAGCTTACATTGACCTTCAGCCATCCTCATCCAAGGTCTTATTACCAAGGAACAGGCAGTCACTCTTTTTGTTCGGAACGGGCCATCCCTCTTTTCCCGACTACTTCACCATGTTGTTCCTCAAGACTTGGACGGCTCTTGCCCTCGTCACCGGCGCCACTGCGGCGCCGGCCAAGGAGACTTACGATTATGTATGTTGACCTGACTGTTCTTTCAGCAGAGCCCACGCCGCGCAAAGACTAAACCCCAGTGAACAGATCGTTGTCGGCGGCGGTACTGCCGGCTCGGCTCTGGCCACGCGCCTGAGTCTCGGCCTTCCTCGCGCCTCCATCCTGCTCATCGAAGCCGGCCCCTCCGCCCTCGACGAGCTGAGGATCAACGTCCCCGGCCTCCGTGGCTCCATCCTCGGGACCAACTATGACTGGAACTTCACCACGGTCGAGCAGGCCAACGCTGCTGGTCGCAAGATCGGCGTCAACCGCGGCAGGGTCCTCGGCGGTTCCTCGGCGATGAACTACCTGTGCTACGACCGCGCTGCTGCGGGCGAGTACGACGCCTGGGCCCAGCTCGGAAACCCCAACTGGGACTGGAACACCATGATCGCGGCCATGACCAAGTCGGAGAACTTCACCGGTAACGACCAGGACGTCCACGGCTACACCGGCCCGATCAAGAACACGTACAACCGTGTCATCTTCCCCGTCCTCAACACTTGGCAGCCCACCGTCAGCAAGCTCGGCGTCAACGTCAATGACGGCAGCAACATGGGCGGTAAGCCCATCGGCGTCATGTTCCAGCCCACCAACATCGACGTCACCCACCACACCCGCTCCTACTCGGCCAACAGCTACCTGCCCCTCGCCGGCAAGAACCTTGTCGTCAAGACCAACACCCAGGTCGCCAACGTCGTCTTCCAGAAGTGCGGCCCGGCCTACGAGGCCACCGGCGTCAAGCTGTCCGACGGCACCATAATCAATGCCCGGAAGGAAGTCGTCCTGTCTGCCGGCTCCGTCCAGAGCCCCGGCCTGCTTGAGAACTCTGGCATCGGTCAGGGCCCCGTCCTCCAGGCTGCGCGAGTCAAGCAGATTATCGACCTTCCCGGCGTCGGGGAGAACTACCAGGACCACATCCGCGTCTCCAACACCTACCGCCTGAAGGAGGGCGTCGAGTCCTATGACAACCTCATCTACGACAACAAGGGCGCCAACGCCACCGGCGAGCTCCAGAAGTGGCTCAACGGCGAGCGCTCGCTGTACGAGTACACCAGCGCGGCCTACGGCTTCATGAACTGGGACCAGATCGGCGCCGACTCCAAGGCCCAGGTCATGGCCGCCGCCACCGCCGACATCGGCTCCAGCCCCAACGTCATCGACAAGCTCAAGCTCCAGTTCCTCAACGACAACTCCATCCCGGACATTGAGCTCATCATGGAGGCCAACTACGTCGGCGCCGCCGGGTACCCAGGCGGCCGCTTCGTCACCCTCTTCTCGACTGTCATGCACGCCCTGAGCCGCGGCAGCGTTCACATCGACCCGGCCAACCCGCAGGGCAAGCCCGTCATCGACCCCAAGTTCCTGAGCCACGAGCACGATCTGCGCGCCATCGTCGAGGCCTCCAAGTTCTCGCGCCGCATCGCCCAGACCGAGCCCATGGCCTCCATGTTCGAGGTCGAGACCGAGCCCGGCCTGGCCATCCAGGACGACGACGCCTGGCGCCAGTGGGCGACCAAGTCGGTCGACAGCTTCTACCACCCCGTCGGCACCTGCGCCATGCTCCCGCGCAAGGACGGCGGCGTCGTCGACGCCAACCTCAAGGTCTACGGCACCACCAACCTGCGCGTCGTCGACAACAGCATCATCCCCGCCATCCTGTCTGCTCACATCCAGACCGCGGCGTACGGCATTGCCGAGGTTGCCGCCGCGAGGATCATTGCTGACGCGCGACCCTGATTTTGATGATGATGCTGACGACGGGTGTTTCTTGGAACATGATGGCATGATCGTATACTACTTTTAATACCTAGAGAGCAATCTTCCATACCTGCATAAATACACCTCCTCTTGTGTAGTACTGGCTTGGCTTGTCATGATTCCTAGTGACTTTCAGTTTCATCGCTGCAATGTTCAATTTGCGAAACAAACGAGTGGCCTGAAACGAGACGAAACGAACTGATCCACTTTAGTGAATCCTTGATGACTGTTTGCCATGAAAGTGATAAACTCATGCTGTCTGCATTAGTAGCGATCATTCTTGAACAGATTGCCCAGGCCAGTGGAATGGATGGCATGATATGAGATGGACTTTACCCAGATAGCACACCAATGAAACAAGGTACTTTGGTCGTCTCGTTGACATCAATAATACTTCATTAGGCTTTCCACTGGTTACTGTTATAATCAAATACGTATTATTTCAAAGAATCAAAGTAATTGAGAATAATCAGACAAATGTTTCAGCAATGACCGTAATGCTTGTTTCTCTCGGCACTACAGCAACACTCCCCTCAAGACCTGAAAAAGCCATACGCACTCCAAAGATTTCCATGTCATAGCCCCGAATCAAGCTTTGGCAACCAGTAAGACGTGGGAACATAGGCCCTCCACGCATCGCAGTTGGGCTGCATCTGATTCAGATGCATCAAGGACTTGATCTCCGACTTTCGCTCAAGGAACTGAATCCCCAACCCCTGACTGACGTGCCAGGCGATATGGCAATGCAAGAGCCAACACCCAGGATTATCCGTCTTGAACGCTATGACAAGCCAGCCGCTGCCAGGCATCTGCGCCACGTCGCGGCGGGTCGGGTTGTTGAAGTCGAGCTGGTTGGTCATTGTCGCCGCGTCGAATGTCCCGGCGCCCGTGCCGAGCACCAGGACGTCGTGGCCGTGGAGATGCACCGGGTGCGGCAGGACAAACTGGTTCTGGATGACCCAGAAGGACCAGACATTGGCCTGCGAGACCTCGACAACGTTGGCCTTGGGCGGATACGAGTTGTTGTTGCGGTCGACGTACTCGAGGATCGGGTGGCTCCAGTCGACGTCGATATCGACGTTGCGCACGAGCCATCGGAAGACGGGCCCGCGGAAGTCTACAGTCGGGGTGGTGAACTGGACGGCAAACGAGTTGGGGTTGAACTGGGATGGGGGGATGGAGTGGTCGATGACGGGGACGAAGCCCGTCTCGTCCGCGCAGCCGGCGGTGATGGGGGTTCCCCGATTGGTTGGGTTCGTGTTTGGCGCGCCGTCATAATGCACGATGGCAGCAGGGAACTTGTTGACGGACCTACCGCAGTTGTTGGCCGCCTCGAGGGTCACGTTGAGCCAGTAATTACCGACAGCCTGACTAGCGTCAATGATTACATCGTATCGCTGGCCGACGCCCATGAAAAGCTGGCTCTTGACAATGGGGGTGACTGGGACCAGGTCAGTCGCGATGACGGTGAAGTTGTGACCCACGAGCGAGACTGTCAAGCTGTTGTCGACGCTGGGGTTGATCAGGCGGAGAAGGTGCTTCTTGCCCGGGGTCAGAGTGAGTCTGTCGTATTGACCACCGGCACCAAGGGGGTTGATGTTCTTTCCTCGGAAGAGGATGTTGTCACTGTCTGGAGGACCCCCATTGACAAGCTCAGCACGTCGCTGCAGGACGTCAGCTGTCTCGTGGTAGTAGTCTGTGATCGTGTAAGGCCCGAGATCAATGTCATAGTTGGCGGAAGCAGGTCCGTGGACAACCAGAGCCCCGACTATCCCATTGCCGTACTGGGCAGAGAAGTGACTATGGTACCTGGAATTGGAAGGTAAGTAATTGTGAATTTGAATTTTGTTGTTCATCGGGAACGTACCAGGATGTACCATATTGTATCACATGGAAAGAGTAGGTCTTGCTAGCTCCCGGCGGAATGGGGCATTCGGTCACGCCATTGACACCATCTTGGTCGCTCTCACCGAGTTGTCGGATGCCGTGCCAGTGAATGGAGGTTCTGAGACTGTATTAGCTCACCGCGGCACATGCATATAGGGCATTCCTCATCTCGCCTCACCCATTGTCTTGAAGTTGATTGTGCACAGTCACAGTGATGTAATCACCCCAGTCTAAGCAGTAGTTAGAGAAGAGTATGAAATAGAGGTGGCGTTCGAGAGAGTCATCGTACCAGCCTCAATAGTGGGCCCAGGGAACTGGTCTGTTTTGTATTCTCAGCAACCCTATACTTTGAAGGCGTGAGTGGTCGAGACTTACTGTTGATCAGCATGGCAGGCTTGACTACGCCGTCTGGTCCCGTCCAGGAGGTAATATTGGTGATAAACAAGTCATACTTGGGAGAATATGAGCGACTGACCAACTTGTCAGAAGTTCAGAACGAGTGTCTTACATTGCGATTGTTGAACGCAGGCGGGTGGTCAACGTCAGGATCAGTGTTGATGTTCCAGAGGTTCTTCCAGCAGCGCCTGTTAGTGGCGTTGTTCTGACCACAAGGCGGGCCACCTGGACTGATGGTTTGCCTGGGTGCAAGATTCACGACGGGGTCTGGCAGAGGGTTGGCTATGGCGATGATAACCAGTGACAGGGCGGCAATGCCCCTGATGACCCTGGTAAGAACCATGATGCATAGATCAACGACTAGAGTTACACTGCAAAATAGTGGTCGCTCAAACACTTCAACAGACCTGACCTCTTCTTCATGGGACGAGTACCATATTTATAGGCAGATATTTGGTCCCCTGGTCACCTGGCATGGATTTTCCTGCATCACGATCCCTCATCTCGAGGGCCGAACCTTGCATTCAATAGTCTCTTCACCTGCAGGGTGGCTAAGTCTTTTCCGGGAAACTGACATCCCATCTCTGACCAGTCAATCCAGGTCTGAAGGACGGGAAGGACTGCAGGAGCGGCAGGAGCGGCAAGAATGCATCTCTTGGGACCTTTGCCCAACGGCCTTGAGTCCTTACGTGGATGTCTCACATAGGAAGGTGTGGCTGTAAACGAAAACTTTGCGGATTGTGTAAGATGCCTTGAAAGCTGAAACCTGAGTTTCCGCCTTGGGAGACACGCCCGAGCCGTCATCGCACGGACATGGCGTGGCTGGCGACTCGGCACCTGCATGAACGTCAGCAACATACCGAAGTGAGCAGGGCCGTACGGTTGTCACGGTTCATGGGTGCAATGCAAGATAGCTATGTGCATGCGTACGTTCTGGAAATCTCGCTAAATATTCCTGAGTTGGTCCTTCTCTGATGTGAGGCAGGCAAGTCATGTGTGTAAGTCAACCAGTCGGTGTCTTCGGAAAGTTCATGACCTCCCCTCTCTTTCACGCAACCTCGTTTGGTAACCTGTGCAGACGAGATGCCGGCCGAGGCCGAGGTATAATTATGCACCTTGCCATGCGGCCACCCTGCCCTTGCATTCTACACAGGGCCATCTATCTGCCGACATCAACCTTTCACGGTGCGTAAACCATGTCTCACCGCTGGCCGGCCCTACACATACGAGGCTAGGGCGCAACATCCAACCAGACCCCGGACCTAGTCCCGGTAGCTTCGGGAAGCTCTCGGAACCGACCGGTATTGCAGTGGCAGACTGCAGTTCCAGCATCCTGGTTTGAAAGTCAGCTCAATATAGGGAATGCGGCAGGACCTGGTTCTGATCAGTTATATTTAGATAGCAAAGACCTAACCTGATCCTGAACTGTCGTCTGATTTGATCGGTTCAGGGTTACATTAGAATCCCTTCTGAACTGGCAAGGCATTACGCAAGATGCAGGCAGAAGCGAGCCGGGGGGTGCTTAGGCCCAGTCCGTAATGTAGCCAGTGACTAGCGGTCGGCAGGCAAGCTGGGCGAGGAGGGACGGATGCGATCCATGCGGCAACCATGTGCTCATGCTCTGCACCTATCATTTATATCCATTGTCTTGGGTGAGGGAATGGTGCACAGGGAGTTTAGCCGGAATGAAAAGCGGCTAATATATTAATTGCAGGTGTCAAGGAGGCCATGGCGACGAACCGCAGCAGAGATTCGACCACAACCTGCAGGCGCGTGCCGCCCCTGGGTGGGAAGCAATGTGAGTTGTGATAGGCTACGCGACTTGGAGTTGCAGTTGATCGTCCCGTCTTTGGGGCTTTGCTGGTAACGTGGTAGACGACACACGAACTTACCGAACGGTGCGGGGTGCTCAGCCGCTCTTCAACTGATCTGACATGACCTTGCGTGAGACCTGAGAACCCACGAAAAGACGTCATCTTACTGGCCGTTCCCTGAATCTCGTAGTTCCTTCAGCGTCAAAAGCGGCTTTGCTTCGTAAACGAAGAGATTGATAGTCAGGCGGTCTATCTCAGCTTCGGGTACTCTTGGCTAGGACTAGTGGCTGAGACCATCTCGTACTCGCTCTGGTGGCGATAAGGTGCATTTGTTACGCATACAAGCTGGCTGTTGCCCCTTTTCGAGATCGCGATTCCGACCTCTCTTAATCGCTAACATCAAGCCGATACTGGGCAAGTCACTGCCAGACGTGGTCGATCACTTGTCCTGGAAATTCCAACTTCCAGAAAAGTGGTCAAATTGGCAACGCCGAGCATTAAGAGCAAGAGGGCTTTTTGCAATCCACTTACTCATCACAGATCGGTTTCGAAAGCCAGACCTGGGACTACATTCAGAATGAAGGGCCCATGTCGAGTCAAAAACAACCATGCTAGATCTGTCTCGATGTCTTCGAGCATGTATCGAAGGCTGGCCTGATATCTCACCGCGACTAGCACGTCGACTGAGTGTAGAGCATGGTATCATGCGGGATTTCCTTCCTAGCTCGTGTATCTCAGCTGAGTTAGGTGTGGCCAAATTTGCTTTAGCTTGAACACGGTCCTACATTTGTCTTGATCACACTAAAACTACAGACTCTGGGCAATTTTCAGCTGCAAACTGACCTATGAGCCTCCATCCTGCTGGATCGATAATAGGCGAGAAACTGATCGATTACACGGCTATCTCATTGGACTTTTAAACAAGATTAGACCGGCAATTTCGGGCCGTCCAAGAGTAATGGACGCCACCATCGTAGATATTATGACGTCCTGTGCAGCTTTTTCAACATGATGAATGCTCGTGGTAAAGGACTTGTGAACAACCAGGCACTGATTTGATGAAGTACGCTTTTCAAAGAGACCAGAAAGATAGAATGCTAAATCGTATCCTAGCTGTCTGTTGTCTGAGTAGACGTGTATACGTGTCTTTTAGCCAGTTCACCGCCTTACACGTGTATAGGCAACATCAGGAACCTCTAAGGCCTACAGGCAGTATCGAAGCACCACCAATGACTCCCTATTGACCGTCCTTGACACACAAATACCGTCCTTGACACCCTAAACTTAACAATTCCTCCATAGGAAGGCTCTCAACTCACTTGCTTTGTCTATTCTTCACCATTAGCATAAACTGCACGACTGCTCATTGCTAGGCGTGGTACTCACCCGAGCTTTTTCGGATCAACCTCCCATCTCCGAGGCTGTAGGTAAGATGCTTCGGCAAAGAGCCTGTAATTGTCGGCGTTCGCCATGGCACGATTCGAGTCGTCACCAAGTGCAGCACATCCGGCCGAGCCGTAAAAGTGATCATCCTTTGTCATACTCCCTATCCTTCCATAATAATCGGTCACTACTCATTCTGTCAGCAGCAGCAAGGCCAGTCTGGGATATTGAGTTCATCTTACCATCTGACCAGCGAAAGTGCATCACTGTTGCTTTATCAGTAAAGTAGCCCAGACTACCTGCGCGAAGAGGGTTACTCACACTCGTGAAGTAGCTGGGAAGCTTGGCTCTTGTAGATATCAAGGTTGAATGCGTCATCCGGAAGGTTGGGACCGACAGTCGCGGGAGAATTGTAAAAGACGTTGCATAATGCCATCCAATGAGTCGTCGAATCATGCTCCTGCAGATAGATGAAAGCTGCAGGCGAATCGGCCACATTGCACACATTTGGGTCCGAGCCTATCAGTCCAATTCTCCTTCTCCCATTCTGTGAAGGGTCATTCGCGTTGATTGAGAAGCCGGCATCGGGGTAGTAAACATTATCGGGAATATTGACTACATGTACCACACGTCAGGGGGAACCAAAGATGATTAAAGAGAGTTCAACTTACAGTCGCTGAGCGGCTTGTCTTGGATATCAGCAGGCATGTTATTGACAAAGTCTTTCACGACGGTTGCCTTGACAAATGGGTATGGTTGCTGATCAGGCTTGCAGAAGACCCAGTTGTAATTTGGGCTCCAGTATCCGCCCAAAAGAGCAGATACTATGCCTTGATACTTGTCTGCGACGTGATCATCAGAACCCAGACTTTCAAACAATGAATAGGTGCCAGTCATAGCTACCCTTGACCTTGTTCAAGATCGCCAGATCGTTCCCCTCGAAGTGAAGTTGCTTTTGGTCATCTGAAAAAGTTCCCAACAGACCCCAAAAGATCATGGCGTTCCTCGCATGGAACCACGCGGTCGAGCCATCGTCCGCGCCAATGACCGCACCATCCACAATATTGTTGATGGATGAGATAGCCGCATCTGCCAATTTGGTGACATCGGAGATCAGACTGTCCAGGTCGACATTGTCGCATCCGACGAGAGTCCACAGTTTCGACGATAAAGGGTTGGCTGCTCGCACGGCGGTCGTTGCAAGGACAATGCCCAACGACAGCGTTCTGGAAAGCCAAAACCGACGCATCGTGCTCAACGTAAACGAAGGTGGGCAGATTGTACGAGAACCAAGATCCTCTCGTTTCTATCCGCGTGGTGTCCTGGCAGGCGCTCACTCTGATCAAGTAGGAAATTGCCCTCCGGATGGGACGGCAACGTGCTACCAGTCCTTCGATACCTCGGGAATGCCGCGTGTGAATAAGTCCGAGAAGGAAAAGTGGCAACGAAGCCAGCCTCATGCCGCTGACGATCGGAGTTTATCTCATCAGTCGATACGCGTGTTTGGAGAACATCCATGTCGTAGTGTCATGAACAATAACACACGGCTATTGCAACCCACAAAGAACACAAGGACGTCAGCTGAGTGACAGCCCGAAAAAACGCCGTGATTACTGGTAGTCTAGATGACAATAGACCCGTTCACCTCATGATCAAAGTTCCGGAACTGGACAAACGTAATTTCTTTCTTTGGCAAGACTCGGAGGTATAGATTACATAAGGAGTTAAAGAATGACAGATTTGCCATAGCGTCAAAAATGCCATGTGCGAAGACTGGGATGAAGCATGAACACCTAGCTTGGGACGGGCCTTGATGCTGTTATGTCTGTTTCTACAGCGCGGCTAACTTACCGGAATAGGCAGGTATCAGTCGCCCGATCCATGTCAAGAATGAGTTAGCTTCGCCAAAGAAAATAAGCTTCGTCGTTAAAAGTCTTAACGGAGATAAGAGTTCAAATGTGTGTCCACATGTTAGGCACAACAACCCTGGGCTGGCCACTCGGATTGAGGCCTGGACTTCTATTGCTTACCATTCGGAGTCAGCTGGCAAGGCTGGTCTGGTTCACGACGTGTTTGCATTGAAGAGTCTTACGACCTCCCCACAAGGTATTTCCAAGCTCGCATTTGAATCCGGAATCACCGGCCGGATACAATCCCCAGTTGGGGGCGCTGTGATCCGGGCAGCCGACTAGGATGCACATAATTACCAAACCACAAGTATACATAGCGATGTCTTGTTCATAAGGCAATAGTTTTTCACCCTCTAGATTAATGCTCAGTGATCCAGACTTCCAGTGGTTCTGAGCATTTGCGCTATGGATTCTACCTGGGCGGGTTCAACGGGGCGGCCTTGCCGACCGCGTCCCGGCTCGAGGCCAAGCCTTCTCCTCCCACTCCTTGTTTTTGCCGCTGTCTTCTTTTCTGGCTCCGTGTCGGCCAACCTCGTCAGGATCTCTAGGCGAGCAACTGAAATTGTTGCTCATCACCACAACCTTGGTCTCAAGCGTCGGGTAGACACCAATTCGGTAGCGCAAGGTGCTATTCTGGCTTCCCCAGGACACCAGAGTCCAGAAAAGGCACCTCCGGTCCCATTGCAAGCGCCGAGCTTCTCCTCGCCTCTGCAGCGACGTGATGCCTTAAAATGCGGCCCAACAGCACCCTGTCCTGACGAAAGGTATCCCCCTCGAGCAAATTAACATAGTTATTGAATACTATGCTGACACGCTTTCTAGCTGCTGCGGTACCAACAACAAGTGTGGCTACGGCCCGGACTTTTGTGGCAGTGGCAACTGCATCTCAAATTGCAATGCCACCGGTATGTGACGAAATTCGAGCGAGTTCTCGGCATGCTGCTAACCGGACTGCTATAGCCATGTGTGGCAAATACAGCGCAGGTGGGAACATCAAGTGCGGCATGAATCTCTGTTGCTCTGCATATGGGTGGTGTGGAACAGATGACCTTCACTGCAACCCCAATCCCACGGAGGCCAACGGCAAAGCGCCGTGTCAGCAAGGCTTTGGTCTGTGCCAGACCGTCCCTCCTCCATCGTGTGGCGTGGGCTCCGGTACTACCAATGGGAGAACTATAGGATACTACCAGGCGTCTAACACGCGTGATCGCCTTTGCAACCGCATCTCGCCATCTCAGATCAATCTGGATGGCCTGACACATCTCTATTTTGCATTTGCCAAGTTCGACCCGAGCACATTTGCGATCGTGCCCGGAGATGCTGCCGATGAGCAGCTGTATCCTCCGTTCAATGCTTTGCAATCCAAAGGAGTTAAGACGTGGGTCGCCGTTGGTGGGTTCGACTTCTCTGACCCAGGTACTGCGACTCATACAGCTTGGTCCGATATGGTATCCACGGCCTCCAACCGTGGAGCATTCATACAGTCTCTCAAGGGGTTCATGAGCAAGTGGGGGTTCCAAGGGGTAGATCTAGACTGGTAAGGCCTAATCCCTGCAAGCAGTCGTTGGCCCCAGTCATTGACGGCACCATCTAGGGAGTATCCGGTCGACGCCAAACGTGGTGGTAGATCTGCCGATACGGCCAACTTCGTCGAGCTGGTGAAGGAGATGAAGGCTGCTTTCGGTGGTCAATATGGTATTAGTCTAACCTTGGCGCCTGATTACTGGTACCTTAGAGGATTTGATGCCAAAGCAATGGAGCCGTATGTCGACTTCTTCGGTTTCATGGCATACGTAAGTCCATACGCCTACCGCCGGCATGGCAGATACTAACAACTCCAGGACTTGCACGGATACTGGGATACAGATGTCAAGACACTAGGATCCGTTGTCCGCGGCCAGGCCGATATCAGGGACATCAGCAACGATACCATGCCCTTGTGGTTCGACGCCTTGAACCCTTCAAAGATCAACTTCGGACTCGCCTACTATGGCCGTGGCTACACTCTAAGCGATCCGAGTTGCAACACACTAGAATGCCGCTTCAAGGGCCCCAGCAAGCCCGGCATCTGCACCAACTATCCCGGAGTCATGTCTCTGGTAGAGATTGAGCATCTGATCCAACAAAAGGGCCTCAAGCCAACCCTCCTTCCCCAGGCTCTGATGAAGCAAATCACGTGGGACGATCAATGGATAGGGTACGATGACGCCGAGACCGTCAAGATGAAGAAGGCATGGGCCGATGGCCAATGCTTCGGCGGCACCATGATCTGGTCAGTGGATTTCAACTCCGGCAGCGGAAGCGGCGATCTTCCCACCAACACCACGGACGGAACTTGCGGCCCCAAGTTTGGCAACACCGTCTGCGGCGACTGGTCGGCCGGAAGCTGCTGTTCGCCGTCTGGCTACTGCGGCAACACCGCCGCGCACTGCGGCAACGGCTGCAGCAGCGGTCCTTGTACCATCGGCGGCGAAACCACCGACGGCACCTGCGGCGCGTCGTTCAGCTCCTCGTTCTGCGGCAGCTTCGCCGGCGGGAGCTGCTGCTCCCTGGCGGGCTACTGCGGCAGCGACGACGCGCACTGCGCCAAGGGCAACTGCCAGTCCGGGTGTCCCACCGCCGACGGGACGTGCGGCAGGCAGAGCACGCACAACACCTGCAAGGGCTCGGCCTACGGCAACTGCTGCTCCAAGGACGGGTTCTGCGGCAGCACCGACGCCCACTGCGGTGCAGGCTGCCAGAATGGCGACTGCGTCCCGGGCGCGGGCAACATGACGACTGATGGCAGGTGCAGCGCCTTGACGGGCATCAACTGCCTCAACTGGCCGCAGGGAGAGTGCTGCTCGTCGGGGGGCTGGTGCGGCAACGAAGAAGGACATTGCGGGTGAGTGAACTGCCCAGGCTTCTCGATTGTACCTCTTCTCGTGGTGCTGACGTGACTTTTCGTACCAGTGCTGGGTGTCAGTCTGGTCCGTGTGAATTCCCTACTGTGGTGACGGGCTTCTGCGAAGGTCCAGACTGCAAGGGCGGGATCTGTGTTGGCCCTTTATGTGTGTCGGTCGGGTGCTCGGGGCCGGGATGCAATCATGGGAAGTGCCTCATACCATCCCTCTGCATCCCCTTGGGTTGTATCGGTACGTCTGCAAAGAAATACTCCGTATGGTTGTCCACTCCTGACCTTACTCCCAGGTCCTGGCTGCACTGATGGTGTCTGTGTGGGATCCAAGTGTGGGAGCAAGGGCTGCCATGGTGACGATTGCGATAGTGGTTCCAAAAGGTGCAAGGGGGACAAGTGCATCAGCACCGGCTGCGAAGGGAGCGACTGTGACGGCGGTAGCGGCAAATGTGAGTACTCCATTCCGATCACGTTGCACAGCTGTGCTAACTCTTGTGGTCAGGCCGGGGCCCGCATTGCAACCGCCATTCCTGCACCGGAGAGGATTGTGTGGACGGCGTGTGCGTTGGCCCTCACTGTTCCAACCAGTCGAATGATTACGGAGGTGGTTGTGAGGGCAATGGATGTCCAGGTGGTGGTGGAGATGGCGAGAACTGCCAAGAGAAAAAGACGGCCTCGACCTGCATCACCACTACAACGAGTACGATATTCAAGCCGGCGACGACCTGGACAACCTGGAGCTTCAGCGAGTGCAGGACCAACATTGGCTGCAGTGTCACGGACTCTTCCTCGTCAACGACCGCGACAGGCACCTTCGCTTTCCCCACCTACCTACCTGTCTTTACAGATTATGAGGTCTTGGTACCCGGGGGAGTCATGATGAACCCTTCGAGGTACTCTCACATCGGGGGCAATGGCCCAATCACAGCAGCCCCAACGAGAACCTCCAGCAGCTCCAGCAGCTCCTCTACTTCGCAGACGTCAGCCTTCATCAGCTGCTCGCACCACAACATGGACCCCGGGGACGGCATCACCGTGCCGTACTGCGTCTGCTCGGGATCGACGTTCGCCGAGTCGGTCGCGACATACGTCACTCCGTACAACAGCTGCGGATACACCGACAAGCCGACAAGCACGATCGACATCGGCTCGCCGCCCAAGACCACCGACATCGACAAGTGCCAGGTGTGCTCCGTGGTCGGGCACAACAACCAAGAGTGCACCAGCATCGACAACTGCACGCCCAAGCCGACCGACCCGCCCAAGCCGACGGGGAGCCTGTGCCTTTCGCTGTGGGGTGACGCATTCATCGGCGGCAGTGACCAGTCCTATGGAGTCTTCAAGCCGGGCGCCGCGTGCACCAACAAACAGTCTGTGCTGATTGGTGGCTTCAAGGTCAATAATGTTTGCGACCTAGGCAAACACGATGCGTTCTTGGTCTGCGGGAAGAAGGCAAGGTTTGTGAATGAGGGGCCCGTCTTCAAGGGCATCGAGAAAGGACATGATTGCGCTCTGCAATTGCAGATTGATGGCGTCAATTATTCTGGATCCATGGTCGATCCGGTCGATAAACCTTGTTCGGATTTCTGCAAGGCAGGACCCGCGTTCGGAACCGCCCTCGGGAGGTTGAAGTTTGACAATGTACCTATATGTGATTAGTGTAGGATGAATCAAAACGTTCCGGTTCATGTGAAGGGAAAGCAACGATTAGTCAGTCATGCTATAATGCATGTACAGCGAGCACATCCAAGACGTGCCCCTTGTATGAAGCTCATCACTATTTCATTATCCACGTCTCTGAGTGCTCATTCTTGACATGGGTTACTGCTTCTCAGCAAAAGCCTTCTCCACCGCCTCAGCCATCGCTCCGAGAGTGGGATAGACGGCTCCCAGCTCAAGCAGGCCCTTGGACTCGAGCTCTTCCCGGTGACCACCCATATCAGACCCACTCCTGGCGATCCAGACTCCCGGCCTGAATCCAAGCTCCGTGCACGTCACATGGTCGATATCCAGGCTCTGCGCAACCATGACGATCTCGTCCTTGGCGATGCCAAAGTCCTCCCGGAAGCGGTCGACCACAAAGTTGTAGTTCCTGTGGTCGGGCTTGTACGAGCCGATCTGCTCGGCCGTGTAGACGCCGTCCCAGTGCACGCCCTTGAGCGGGCCGGCGCAGGTGCGCGCAAAGGAGGCGTCGTCGACGTTGCTCAGCACGCAGAGCTTGTAGTGCCGGGCGAGCACCTGCATCGCGGCCACCGTGTCCGGGTACGCGGGCCAGTCGCCGATGCTCCGGCCGAAGGCGGCCTGGGCGTGGATGTCGATAAAGAGACCCAGCTCAATGGCGATTCGCTCGTACACCTCCTCCAGGACCTGGGAGTACTTCATCGTGGGGTTCTCGTGCTCGACGGTCTTCTCGGTGGCTGCGAACATGCGCAGCAGCTTCTGCCGGGTCTCTGGTGTATCCGCATGAAGCGGGTTGAACGACGGCAGGTGCCACGCCAGCTCGTAGAGGGATTTGTAGATGCCATCTTCCCAGTTGATGAGGGTGGCGTATATATCGAAGAAAAGGCCTTTGACTTTGGTGGGATCGAACGCCATCTTCACAGATTCCTTTCGCGGACTATTTGGTGAGTTTCAAAGTTGCTTCTTCTGCCAAGCCAATGTTGTGGTATGTCGAAAGGGTGTTGCTGATGCGGGGTAATGTAGTGCCTACCGAATGAGGAGTAGTCCTCGAACGAGACGTCGCTATTCGCTGCTACGGAGTCGATGATTTGTCATGCCGGGCGGAGAAGTTCAAATACGGCAACAGTGACAATACGAGTGATAGACAATGCACCAAAAGATGAGCCGAGAAAGAGTATCAGATTTGTGTCTAGCAATCCCACTGTTGTGCGGTTTAGAGATCGAGGGCCAAATGCCGGCTGGCCCGCTGATGCGAGATTTGGACGAGCGAGTATCCCACTACCTAATTGAGAGCGCGTTCTCGCTCGTCTCTCAAAAGAGATACCCTGCTTCTCCCCCAATAGCCCGAGGCACAGCTTTGCGATATCAACTCCATCCACCCGCTTCCTCTCCTCGTCCCTGTTCCATTTCTTTGAACAGAAGCAATGTTGATTAGAGGCAGGTACACGAAGAGTAAGCGGTTGCCCTCCGCCTCAATATGTGTAGTGGAGCTGGTGGCGATGAATGCATGCACGGATGGCTCCTCCCCTCACCTCTTGGGTCACTCACTATGTAGGTAGGTAGGCGCTCCCCAGGGCGCGGGCCTCTTTGGTCCTTGTGACGGCTTCTTTTCTCCTTCTTCTCCTCCATCCGCGTACCAGATGGCAAACTGGGCAAGCCACCTTTGTGTGTTTACAACCGATCTGGGTCCTCTTTTCCTCGTGATTGTGCTCCTTTCCTGATACCACTTCTACAAGTGGCCCCCTGGGCAGAGGCAAGTTCAAAACCCAACCTTGAATGGGTGGCAAAGACCCTTTGACGGCTCAGAGTCGTAAGTACATCTCACTGTACGACGTGAACGACAAGTGCAGGCAACCCTAAGAATTTGATACCGAGCAGATTTAAAGCCCTGAAGTGTGCGAGAAGGGCACTCCCGACGACAAGCGTCCTGCTGCCGACGAGCAGTCTTCCGGGGTCAGACGTTCCACCTATCTCGAGGAACTCCCGGCGGACCGCAAAACTCGTACTATCGACCGCCACGTTACCGGCGACCGGTCGAGGGATCGGTTAGGACGGCGAAATAGTGACCGAGATCGCGATTGCTCAAAGGACTGTTATTGGGATGAGGACTAGGACTAGGACAGAGAAAGACGGCGTTATCAGACGAGGAGCTGCAGCCGCAGCCTGTGCTATGAGAGAACTTCTTACCGAGAACACGACCGAGATGCAGACCGGGCTAGAGACAGAGATAGGGGCTATGATCACGACTGTGATCAAGATAGGGATTGCGAATACCATCGAGAGGATAGGGATAGGTCATGAGACCGGGGTCGGGATAGTCGTGGCTAAGGCGTGATAGGAGCGCCTAGGAGACGTGATAGGTCACGTAGTTGACGATGCAGTAGAAGCCGCTAGGAGCCGGGCGTGGTAGTTGTGAAGATAGATGTACTACTAGTAGAAGAAGTCCTCGTGTAGTTTGGAGCACCGAGGTGAATGCAGACGCAGCAGAAGGAACTCAAGTAGACAATACCAATAGATTTGTACTTCTAATAATAGATCCCCCCTCTATCAACCCCCATCTACAACTTGTTCCTGAGCTGCTGGCCCGCGATGAACCGCCGCAGGTTGTCCGCGATCAGCGCCTCGGCGCCCTGCGGCCTGCCGCCGGCGGCGTGCGGCGACAGCACGAGGTTCTTGGTCCGGTACAGCCGGTCGCCCTCGGGCAGCGGCTCCGTCTCAAAGACGTCGAGCGCCGCGCCGCCGATGCGGCCCTCGTCCAGCGCGTCCGCCAGCGCCGCCTCGTCGACCGACGAGCCGCGCCCGACGTTGACGACCCACGCGTGCCGGGGGAGCAGCCGCAGGCGCTCGGCGCTGAGCGCGTGCCGCGTGCTCTCCGACCCGGGCAGGATCATGACGAGCGCGTCAGTCTGTGGCAGCAGCTCGGGCAGCCGGTCCTCGCTGTAGACCTCGGTGCCCTCACGCACGCCCGCGTGGCGCGCGACGCCCTTGACCGTGGCGCCGAGCAGGGTCAGGTGCGGCGCGAGCTTCTTGGCGATGTTGCCGTAGCCCCAGATCAGCACGCGGGCGTCGCGCAGCGTCGCGAAGCGGTCGGCGGGGCGGTCGGGCTGCGGCCCGCCGAGGTGGCCCGGCCACTGGCCGCGGACCTGGTACTCGCGCATCTCGTAGAAGCGGCGCGCGGCGTTGAGCAGCATGCCCAGCGCGTGCTCGGCGACGGTGAAGTCGTGCAGCCCCGACCCCGTGGTCAGCAGGACGGACTTGCCGACGTCGAAGCCGGCGTTGATGACGTCGTTGGGGCCGGCGGCCAGGGACTGGATCCAGCGCAGCTTCTTCATGCGGCCGGCGGCGTCCTTGAGGGGCCCGGGCTTGTTGGCCCAGGTGACGAGGATCTCGGCGTCGATGTGCTCCTCGGGGATGGGCTCGGCCACGTCGTAGGCCTGCAGCTCGACCGAGAACCCTTCGATGCTCTGGGTGTCGAGCTTGAGGGAGGTGGGGTAGAGCAGCTTCATCTTGGTGGCTGCTGTAGGCGAGGAAGAGGAATGGCTGTAGTGTCTCCTGGCCAGGGCGGTTCGAGTGTAGCGGAACTGGCTGCGGCTTGGTCTTCTCGAATGAATTGGAACGAGAGAGAGAGTTAAGAAGGAAGTATGTGAAGATTGCAAAAGAGTAGTAGGACGGCAAGGTAGGGTCATGCCGCACCGGCGGGCGGACATCCTTTTTTTCCCCCTTGTTTATTGCCAACCCGCGGGCGGAGGAGGGCTCGGGCAAAGCTGTAGCGATGCCGGAGAGTGTGTGGGAACAGCGTGGGGCAGGGGCCTGCCAGAGAGGGTTCGGTAGCGGTCTCCGTCTCCTGTGGGCGGGCTTGGGGTGGCAATTGGGGGTCAATTGAGAGGGAGGACTGGAGAAGGAGGAGCTCCTCTCTTCTGCTAGTCAAGACGAGAGAGGGTGGGGGTGGAGCACAGTACAGTTGGGTGTGGTGGGATGGGGATGTGAGGGATGACGATGCTCCGGCTACCTGGACGGAGGCGGCTATTGATCGATTGGATTTGGTTCTTCCGATCGGCTTTTGACCGGCGTGCCGCTGTTTTGAAGCCCGTACCTCGAGATTGAAGTGCAAGTGCTCCAGAAGATACATATTCAGAGAGATGTTCATCACTCGACCGCAACGATGACCTCAATGCCTGGATCGGGTCTCTTGTCCTTGGCCTTTCCAAAGACTCTCTGTTGTCGGGCACTCGCTCTGGACTCCGACGCCGGGATCCACTAGTACATCCGACCCCCTTGATCTTCAATTGCCGGCCTGAGCACGGCATCTCCGTCGTCGCTGATGCGGCGTTTGTGAGAGATGTGATGGATGAGATGCGCTACCCGTAAACTGACCTGCCCCTTGCTCTCCCAAGTTCAACGCGTTCACCAACGCGTTCACTCCTTGACTTCCTTGTTCACATATTGACATGATTGATCAATCGCAATTCGAAACGCACTGATAGGCTCAACAGCGTGCTGGCTTCAAGGCACGGAAATGCTGGGGCGGATATTTTCACCGGCCAAGCTCTAATACTTGCTAGTGCCGAACCCCCCCGAAGAGCACCATTCACTAGCAAACAACGGTGGCATTGGAAAGGGGACTAATGTCCTTGTGCGAAAGCTATCCATACGTTGGATTGGACAACGAAACCATCATGTCGTAAATCATGTCCCATACGTAGCATTCAGCAAGGTGCATTGGTAACTACTTGTACATTGCCCATCTCTCAAGGCATGCCACCTCCTTGGTCTGCTCGACATTGGCCCTCGTCAGACATTTGTCGACCCTTGGCGCGCCGAGTCCGCCCTCGCGGGAATGTTCACTCACTCAAGATAGCTCTGAGCACGCATTTCGATCTGTTCTACGACCAACTGCCCGCCAGTGCCTGACCGCAACCGGAGAAGTGTGTGGACTTGAATAGGGGATCATATGCGCCTTCAAAACCCAACTACAGCAACAGTCTCGACACTTAGAGTTGGATGAGTTTAGTATCTGGTATAAACTGATTTAGGTGGAAGTTGAAACATGTCAGATATCAAGGACCCTGGTCTAAACTCTACCAAGAAACACTCAAGTCATCTGATACTGACTTGAGCACGATGTCTATCGTCTAGTCTTTGTCATTTCTATTCTCCAGAACCTTCTAAACCTTGACTAGCTCCTCGATATTTGGGTTCTCCCTCAAGAAATTGATGATGGGCCGGAACGCTTTCTGAGGTGAATCCTCTTCAGCCATAGCTCTGAGATCTTTCCAAGTAAGCCAAGACCAGCCTTCGCACTTCTCGGGCTCCAAGAGCTATCCGTATAGTTCATAAGTCAGCACCTAGTTAAGCCATCATATCAGTTATTTTAAGATGCCTACCTCTGGTTCCTGTTTCTCGTCCTCCCTCTCACATAGTACAAAAAGCGTGATGTAGTGCTTCTGCAGCTCCGGAAAGACAGTACTCGTTACGCCTATGGTCTTGACTCCCTTGACCTTGAGCCCTGTCTCCTCTAGGGTCTCCCGTTCCGCGCACTCGAAGATGCTCTCGCCGTACTCGAGGTGGCCGCCTGGGAAGCCCCACTCGCCTTATGCTAACTTAGCAATCCGTTCATCTAGGTAGATCAATCGCGACGCGTCAATATTTACCCTTTCCAATACTGGCCTTGCGTTTGCCCAGGACCACTCTGCCCTCACAGTCTCTCACCAGGACGCCGATACCGACGGCTGGACGCGCGGAATTTACGGACGGAGTCATTGGTATTCAATGTGGCCTGTGAGAAAAGGTTGTGGTGTTTTTGGTGAAGTTCGGCTTGGGCCGCGAAAACGGGCGCATACCAGAAATGAGTCACAGGTGTGTTGGTCGACACAGTGTGGATGCCAACGAACCACTGCCAATCGCGTCGGAACAGCAGTAGCTTCCGATAACAGATCAATTAGATGATGAATATGGTATTATTCTATCGAATCAAACAAAATAGAATGCCGCCTCGCTCACTGGGGGTAAAAAAGCGAATCGTAGCCAGCAGCGTTACGCTGCGTGCTGACTGCGCCCTTGAAGAATTGGCAGTTGTCCACGAGCGAGATGGACGAGCCGGCAAACGTCATGTAATCGCAATGGTTGTTTTTCTACATACACGCTCAAATGTCAGTCACAAACTGCGCTCCTGAAAAGGAATCTAGAGAAGAAAAAAAAAGGAATGGAATTTGGTAACTCACGTCACAGGCATCGAAGCACTGCGCATATGTGTTGACAGTAAGCGTGCACACGCCGGTGCCCGCGTCCTTGGGCGTGTACCGGACGCCGCACGCCGCAGTGTACGAGTAGCCGGTGGGGTGCAGCGGCGTCTTGTTGTCGCCGCGCGAGCAGGCTGCCGCTCCCGCGGCGCCGCCGCCGTAGGCCGGGCACTGCGAGGCGTCGGCGGCCACGAGCTCGACGCCCGCGGGGCCCTGGTTGTTGACCAGCGCCTTGGCCGAGTCGACGGAAGGGCTGCTGGCCAGGACGTCGCTGCTGACGCCGCCGCGGGAGAACATGGCGCAGTTACCGGAGAACTTGGACGAGTCGAAGGACATGTAGTTGCAGCCGTAGATGTTGTCGCACTGGCGCAGACAGTCGAGGAAGCTGGTGGCCGTGAAGGGCGAGCCGGCGACGTCGCTGCCCTGGGCGAAGCTGTAGGAGGAACTGGAGAGGGGAAGAGGTGGTCAGCACAATGGCCCAGCGGGAGAAGGATATCGAGAAGAAGGCACGCACCGGCAAGCAACTAGGTAGCTGTCCTGGTAACTGGTTCCTCCGAGCACAGCCGCACCGCAAATGCCCGTGCCGCAGGTGCCGTCCCGCGCCGTGCCGGGCGTGAAACCAGAGTTGGCGGTGTCGCTGCTGACCACCGTTGTTGCGTCGTAGACGCCAAAGAGCTGGCAGTTGTTGGTGCACTGCGCCGAGTCAAAGGTGAATGAACCGCAGGCGGAGCTGCCGGCGCAGGCGTTGAAGCACTCCTGGTAGGAACCGACGGTGCCGGAAGACAGCGACGACGAGCCCGTGTAGGCGAGGCCGCACTCAACCTGGTACTGGCGCGAGTTGGGTCCCGTCATGACCGTGCCGCACGCCTCGGCGGTCGGGGAGGGGAGCGTGCATGCTGTAACGTAAACGGTCGTGGTCGGGGTCGCGACGGTGATGGTGCTCTGGCTGACGCCGACGCAGGAGCACGCGCTCGAGTACCTGACGCTGCCGGAGCAAGCAGAGGCGTACGTGGGAATCGAGGTGGGATAGACCGTCACCGGCGTGGCGGGAGGAACGTCGATGTTTCCAGTTACAACCGAGACCGTGGGGAGAGAGCCCGCGACGACGGTGGAATAGATCGTGCTGTATTCACTCCGGATCAGTCTCTCGCTCTGTTCGACTGCACCGACCAGACCATGTGCTTACCTCGTTCCTGGCGTGACAGTTGCCGCGAGATATGAACCGCAGTCGGCTACACCTGACCGAGTGGGAAAGGACGATGCGCGGATAGCTTCAAAGAGAACACTATGTCAACAAACTGTTCTGAATACACCTCAATCCAGAGTCGACGAGAAATCGTAAACTTACCGCGCAGACAGTTGTCAGCATTGCAACCGTCGGATCCGGTAGCCGATACAGAGCCCAGAAAGCAGCTGAGAGCTGCAGCATAAACGAAGCGCATCTTGTCAGTACCTTCTGCCACGTTCGTGATGTCAAGTGAAATGGGGAGCAAACCGGACTGTTCTTTTTTTTCGTCTACTATTGACCGCTGGTTAGATCTCTTTAAATATATGCGGCATCTTTATCCCCCTGGGACCATAAGGCCGTAGTGGAAGAACTACCAACCTAGATCGTGAAGATTGACTTATAGCAGCTACCTAGAATCAATAGTCCGGAACCCACATCCTAAATTGGTACATCGCCTGGGCCTAGCCACATGGCTGGCGGCCGCTAATAGCCTTAGCCTAGTGAGCTGAAGCTGCGTTTGCACGGCCGGATGCCAGCCATGGTTGCGCGCTATGCTGGTCTGGATCACCATCAGGGATTCTCAATACGCTTGACCACACTGGCTGAACTGACAAACACGCGTCGCATCGTGGGGTGTTTGCAGCTAGTTAGGGGAGAACCGAAGGAATGGTACGGCCCTTTCGGTCAAGAGTTCCGAGCCAAAGCGGAGATAAGCTCCAACATTGGAAGTCCCGCGACACGAGGGTATCCTATTATCATTCCTATCTCTCGCTCCGTCTCAGACAGAGCCTGTCGAGGTTCGAGAGTAATGGCTCGCTTCGGGTAGGGCTGTGTAGACTTCGAATCCCCGGCCAGCATCCTGAATCCCTTTCATGGTCGCCTCAGCTTCGCCGAAGACCATCTACTGTTTTCCCTCCAGCAACTTCACGAATCCTCTCCATTGGCGAACCTGACCCACGCCGCCCCTGTCATTGTCATGGGGATCTTTTGCTGCGGTTCGGGGAGCATTTGTTTGAGCAGGCTCCTCAGCCGAGATCGAAACAGTTGACAGAAGTTCGTCAGGAAATACCTTCAATTGTAACAATGCGTACCCTTGCTCTGGAACTCGGCAGGGCTATCCCACTACCTAAAACCGACTGGGCAGGATGGATACTCAGTCAAGGACTCGTGTTAACAGCCCGCCAACTTTCTGACCATCACTTGGCTCCAGATCAACACATCGTCGTGCGAGTGGAGAGCATACCCAATTCACGCATAATTGAGGAGGGAAGAGACGTCTCAATGATACGCAATACCAATCAGAGACTCGACCTCTGGCAAAGGTAGATCGATGATGCTGTCCAAGACCATCGTCTGACAACCTGGAAGGTGTTCTCGGAATGGCTATTCCCGTGTAGACTGTACAGGTCCGCAATCGTCTTTGCAGCTGTAGCACACAAGGCAGAAAGTGGCCATTTTGCCCGCACTAGAGGAGCGGCCGGCATGGACAGAACGGCCTCCTCGGCAATTGATTACATGAGGTTGGAGGAGATGCATCTCAGTTACAGCTGGGCCGCATCAACAATGTCCAAGTAGGTGCCAGCGAAACACCAGACCCCTGGAAAACGCAATGCTGCCGACCTGGAACCCCGCAATCATCAGCAATGGTTGATAGATCCAGTGGGTGGTCAGTCACATATGAATATTCCTGCAGTCCCTTGTGACATCTGACAGGGCGATATCGTGGCGAATGTTCAAGTGATATGTCGTTCTCTCTGAATCGAGACACGCAATTCCAACACAAGAACTTAATAACATGTAGTCTCTCGCAATCATCCTGACGCCATTCAATGTCCAAGCCAGCTCCTAGAGGTATTATACAGGGTTATGCAAAAGCGAAACACGGCGGCTGCCCCTGGCTCAACGCACTCACTCACGCGCACCAATGGTAGCGGTTGGCCCTCCCGACACGGGCCGTCTTCTTCGTGACCCAGTGCTGTCTGCTTCATCGGCAGAGCAGGGCGTGGTAAAACGGCTACCCTGCGCGCGAGATGTCTAGCGCTGCTGGTCCGTCCAATCGGAGTGATATCAGAAAGCGAGTAATGGCAGAGGCAGCTCTGCCTCTCCGGTAACCCAAAAGGCCTGCACCAAAACCAAACAAGCCCTCATGATCCAAGACCGCACACGCCAAAGTTGCAGTTCATCCCCTCCGCGCCGTGGCAGCAGATCGAGCCGCCGGCGCAGAAGCACGCCTTGGGGTCCTCTCTCATCTTCCTCGCGAGCTCGTCCTTGATCGCCTGCACCCTGATCCACGAAGACGTTTTCCTCCCCGGGATGAGCGGTTGTGACACGGGCCTGTTTGCCGCCGTTGCCGCCAGCACCTTGGCCTTGAACTCCTCGAGGCTAGGGTTCTTCACCACGAGCGGTCTGCTGAATTCGTCGGGGGAGATCTTGGGCTGCTCGAGGACGTGTTCTAGCTTCGCTGGCATGGGCACCTGCTGTCGTTCTAGAGGTATCGCGTTGGTGGAAGCTGCCAGCATGGCGAGGAGAGCGGAGAGGAGGAAGAGCCTCATTTTGCAGGATCTCTCTGTGCGTGTCGGTAGGATGAGAAGGGCCGCCTTCCGGATGGAAGCTCGCCGCGCCTTTTTATGCCCCAGGTCGCGGTTATCTAAGCAACCTCCTCCAAGGTTGCCAGAACAGAATGATCGTGAGATAGTAGAGCGATAATGACAGCAAAGCGATTGTTTTCGAAGGCGTTCACAACTACCACCGGTCGACTTTTGTCGTCGCGAGCGCGCAAACGAGACGTTGAAAGGGCGCAGAAAGAGGAATGGATCAGCCAGGACGTCACCGAAGGAGCACCGGGTTGGAGAAGAAGTGAGATTTAAGCAACGCGTGCATATGAACGACGCCTACCGCACGATAGTAGCCTCATATGGATGAATGCAAGGAAGGTCTGGACCATAGATTAGAGCTCCATGCCTGCGAACCCGCCGACTGAACCCTTCCGGGACGGAGATGAGGGGAGGTGCATGCGAACAGGCAGGATGGTAGCTGCCGGACAACTCGTGGGGGCCAATCCAGCTTTCCAGGGTCGCTCTTTTGGACCCGAGGGGAAAATGTCCAAGAGGAGAGGGAGAAAGAGACCGAGCTCTCTCAAGCTGGTCCCGTAGGGGACTCGCCTAAGCGGAGAGGATGCGACGCAAGTCGACGCAAGTCGGCTGTTGGGTCCCGGCAAAATACCATGGTTGTATCGAGAGGGCGGCGCGACTGGTGCCGCAAATTGCCCTGGATATTAACCTGGCCCGGCCGAGGACAAGAAAGGCATTGCTTCACCTTGGCTGTGGCCGACCGCGATAGAAAAACAAAACCTACCAGCAGCCATGAAGAAGACAGATAGACACTTGTCAAAGCTGGTCGTCAAGTTGGTGGAATGTGAACATTCGCGTAAAGACAGGAGCCAATAACACGACGCAAGTTTTGCAAGCAAGTTGGCTTCAGAAGGGCTCGACATCGCCATCAGGTCGAGGCAGCTGCGATTGGCATGATCGTCGGCCGGCATCTTGGACGGCCGGACATCCTGAGCTGGCTGGCTACGGTGCCCGCCTATGAAAGAGACGATAGGTTGTTGGGCCACACGCGCGTTTGACGCTAATTGTGGAAGTCTGTGTCGAAGATGGAAGCGGCTCGCAAAATACCAGCTCCTGAATTCATCCCGCGATGTACGGCAGACCAGCCGCCTTGCATATTTAGAACTCGTGGCTTAGATAATCGGAGGACTTGCCCGTTCGGAAAGCGCAGAAGGACTGGTAAAACTACGACCACCACGATGTGAGCCGATCCATTGATGTTGACAAAGCCGTCCGAGGCTGCCCGCGGGCTGGAGGTAAAGATCCAAATTGGCCTACTAACTCCAGTCTCTCCAGCGAGCCTGACAGCGCTGAAAAGTCAGCGTCCGGCGAGACCGTTGTCCGCTTTTTAGTGGCTGCTCAAAGCAATTCCAGTGACAAAGAGCTTCTAAGTACTCCTTCGCCAAAATGCCATATACAAATACCTCTCGGGCGACCCGCCGCCAACCAGAAGCTTGGGCATTTCCAGCATCTTCCAATCGCCCATAGAATCCCCACGTGATGAAGAAGGCGGGGAGTGCTATTGGCCCGGCCCTTACCTAAGCCGCATTCTCCGAGAGCTCCAGCCAAACGTCATTCTCCTGCATCGCAACCTCTTTTTCTTTGCGCTCCATCCTCCACCAAGCCTCATCTTCTCCTTCCTTCCTCTTCATCGATTTCCTTTGTACGCATAGCATCTCGACTCTCACCATCGAGCATCGAACATGTCGTTCACCTTCACGGTCCGCCAGGGCCCGGCCCGCCTGGCCTCGAGACTCCCGCAGCTCGCAAAGAGCACGACTCGGTCCGCCACCGGGCCCTCCGTGGCCATCCGGGCCTTCCACCGGTCGGCGCCCAAGAACAACTTCTTCTCGTCGCGCACCTCGCTCCTGGCCGCGTCAGTCCTGCGGTCCGGCCCCAAGCCCGCCCAGAGCCTCGTCTCCCGCCTCGCCGGCTCCAGCCGGACCTACTACCAGCAGACACAGCAGCAGACGACCGACCAGGCCTCCCTGCTGCGCAAGCTGCTCGTCGGCGGCGCCATCTTCGGCGGCACCCTCGTCGCGGTCAACGTCGTCTTCAACCGCGAGACGAGGGACGACGGCGGCATGCCCGTCTACGAGCGCGAGTACCTGAACAACACTTTCCTGCACACCGGCCTGGGCGTCGGCATCATCGCCCTCACGGCCCGCCAGATGGTCCGCAGCGGCTTCGTCTACCGGCTCATGGTCACCAACCCGTGGGTCGTCGGCATCGGCGGCCTGGCGCTCAGCTTCGCCACCATGATCGGTACCCGGTCCATCTCGCCTGACAAGTAAGTCTCTTCTCTGCAACGCCTGGTTTTCTTTTCAAGCGACGAGCACGTTCCGCTGACTCATATCTCTCTCCCTCTAGCTACGTCCCCAAGTACGCCCTCTGGACCGCCTTCAACGCCACCCAGGCCGCCTTCATCGCTCCCCTGATCGCCTTCGTCCCCGGCGCCCTGATCGCCCGCGCCGGTCTGTACACCGTCGCCATGATGGGCTCGCTGTCCTTCATCGGCGCCACGGCCAAGCAGGAGAAGTACCTCTACATCGGCGGCCCTCTGCTGGCCGGCGCCGCCATCGTCGCCGTCTCGGGCCTGGCCCCCCTCGTCATCCCCGTCACAGCGGCCCGCACGCTGGCCCTGACGGAGAACATCTGGCTGTACGGAGGCCTGGCGCTGTTCGGCGGCTTCACGCTGTACGACGTGCAGAAGGTGCTGCACCACGCGCGCATGGCCGAGCGCGGCATCATCAAGCGGGACCCGGTCAACGAGAGCATCAGCCTCGAGCTCGACTTCCTCAACATCTTTATCCGCATGGTGCAGATCCTGATGATGCAACAGAACCGGAGGAAGTAGAGGGTCACGAAAAGTAGTTGGTGGGATGTGAAAGATGATGGACAATCGAACTTTTGATACCTATGAATGAGTCTGAGAAGATAGATGGTGGGTGAAGACAGTAGTGGGAAGTCGGGCGGATAGAAGAAACTCCTCTCTGCAGCGTAGAGCTTGGACAGAAGCAGCAAGACCAGATGCTGCGTGTATTGCATAACAATCAATATATTTACTAGTTAATACCACGACAAGTGGCTGAGCCGTAACTACAAAGTCCCCGCGTGATTTGTAATTGCGGTTTGCATTGTACCATTGTAACATTGAAGCAAACTTTGACAATGAACAATTCCCACTCCTGCTTGCATGATAGACTGAGACAGGTTGGTCTCTATACATCACTGAAAAGCACTGCCTAAAAACTCCCACGCTTACTCCTGAAACCAAATTCTGGTTTTCCCAATCCTTTGTACTTTTTACTTGCCCCCGACCGCCCTCGGTTCAATACTTGAGGTCCGGCAGCGGGCGGACGTAGTGGCTCGCGCACACGTAGCCGTAGGGGTTCTTCTCGAGGTACAGCTGGTGGTAGTCCTCGGCGTCCCACCACTGGCTGGCGGGCAGGATCTCGGTCGCGATCTTGCCGTGCCACCACTGCTCGTCGGCGAGCCGCGTGACCTCTCTCGCGACGCGCTCCTGCTCGGCGTCGTGGAAGAAGATGCCGCTGCGGTACTGGGTGCCGCGGTCGTTGCCCTGGCGGTCCCGGGTAGTGGGGTCGTGGAAGCGGTAGAAGAACTCGACGAGCTGGCGGTAGGTGATCTTGTCCGGGTCGAAGGTGAGCTGCGTGGCTTCGGCGTCTGCGCTCTCATCATGTGCGTGTCAGCAGATTTGGAACTGTAGACATTGGTTTCTAGGGGAATATCGGGGAATATCGAAGAGAAGACTGTGCGGAAGAGAGAGAGAGAGAGAGATGGAGGGAGATAGGAAAAAGAGAAATGTTCCACGTACGGCCCGTCTCGCCGGAGCACACGGCGCGGTAGCTAGGGCTACTCACGTCGCCGCCGATGTAGCCCACGCGCGCGTCGTACAGGCCCCTCTCGGCGCCGCCAAAGTGCTTGCGGAACTCGTGCTCGACGCCCCAGAAGCAGCCCGCGGCAAAGGTGGCGCGCTGGGCGCCCGAGGGCAGGGCGGCGGCCTCGGAGGGGTTGAGGGAGAGGCGCGCGGAGGAGGTGAAGGGCCGGGCGAGGCGGTGGATGAAGGAGGGCATGGCGCCGAGGAAGCTGGCGGAGGAGTACATTGCTAGTAGGCAGGCGAGGGTGAGGACGAAGAGCGAGGAGGGGAGGAGGGAGGCTGTTGTGGAGGTGCGGTGCGCCGTGGTCGTGGTCGTGGTCGTGTTGGATGGAGATGCCGGGGTTTGATGGCGGGGTTCGATTGTACGGTCTCGCAGCTCGGTTTTGCGACGGTTCGAATTGAAGGCGATGGGGTTGTAGGGGCTGAGGGTTGGGTGTCAGGTTGTAGAAGGGAATCTATCCGTCCGTTATATATCTATTATAGTCGGCGCAGGCGATCCGGATGATTCAACAATGTCAAAGCCAGCGACACCGTTGATACAGACAGCCGGGTAGGATAGGTCGATCCAGGGACCAAGAGGCGTTTTTTAGTGGGGGGGATCCCTGACGTTACCTTATGCACCAACATCGATGATGCGATCAGAAATCGCCGTTTTAGGTTATGACAAATCCTGACGGGAACACATCGAGAGACCACCAGAAATAAGAACGATAAACATTTCAACTTTGACTTCGACTCTTGAGCGGCCTGTACTCGCTCTGGCCCACGAATAGGCCGGATTCCCAGGCAACCCCACGTGGAGTTTGCAGTGTTCTCGGGAGGGTGTGCTATTCCGGGAGACTGGTTCGGTCCGCAATCTTCTCTGTGGCCGGAGCTCGGAAGTCATCTCTACCAGCACTGGGGGAGCGGTCGGCGTCGACAGACCAGAGCCCAAGACCACGGGAATTTATACTTTGAGGGGGACCTGGAAGCTTCCTGATAATCCGTACAGAGACACTAAAGCGCCTAGCAGACAACACTCTTGTGTTAAATACATGCATGTACTTTGAACATCGGTATCTTGACCCCCCCCTACCACCAGCGCCGATACAAACAGACCCATGTGAGAACGGCTATGCTTATCAGAATACGGGGTTTTTGTTCTCCGATCAACTCCTTTTCTCAGCATTTGAGATCCGGTCATTAGCACCAGCCTGATGGGTAGCGATGCACGATGCTTATCTTACATGGAATGGCATATATGAGCCATGGTGATGATTTCTGACTTATCTCCTGGGCCGCGACAAGGCAGTTGACTGATAAGTAAACGCACAGAACGATTCTCAGGCTTGGTGGTAGCAACTTTCGCCATACATGCAACCACACTGGACAATCGAATAAGAGTCCTGGTTCTAAAAGAACGGTCATGCAGACAGCTGAAGCTTCAGTCTGAACTATGTTGCTGAGGAAGTCTAATTGTCTTCATACTAGTCTTTCTAGTTTTGGGGTGCACGCCTCTCACCTGAGACCGTTGAACCAGAGAGAATGGTATTATCCAATGGTCCACTGTCGCTCTTTGGGAATCATGCCTAAGTATGGTAATGTCCCTATGATCATCGGCGAAGCCCAAATCAACCGAACACCTGGTCCTTCACGGTCTCCCTAACAAGGAGCATTTGAAAATGTAACATGTTAACACTAAATTCCTTAACGACCTGGTTGCTAAGAGCTTGGTGGCGGCCAAGGACTGCATTGGTCTCAATATCAACGATCCCGATGATGTCGACCAGCATGCCTTGACCATCACCGGCCCTGGTGCCGGGCTCAAACATCACTAGGCGCTCTGTGCGATCCCTTGGGTGCGTCAATATTCTGTCACAAATCGACGGAGCAGATATGTGATGAACTGCGCGCACGCATCAAATGGCTCTTTGACAACAAGATCGATGAGTACCAACTCCACATCTTGTGGCGAGATCTTCGGCTTCCAGAGCAACATGGCTTCCTACAGCGAGTCAATGAGAGACTTTGAGAATGCAAGTACAACCGGGGTAAAGCAACAGACGGCTTGCATGCTCAAGATGAAGCATTGCGTTCTTCAGCGTAATCATGGTCGGGAAACCTGGATATCAGGTCGCCAACTTTGCCATACACTCCCTCCCCTTGTTCAGCCTCAAGGCCACGTTGCACATCTCGCTGTTGGTGGATGGCACCAAGACGAGCAAGCGGTGGGGTCACTCAGACGCGGACATCGCAACCTGGCAGTCTCACTTCAAGGCCAAGACAACCCCTCGACTGGATCAGCCATCCATGACACCCTGCCCCTCCTCAAGGATGCTAACGCAAACCTGGCAGGCGAGCTCCTGGACACGTGGAAGGAAGCCCACAAAACCCCCCATTACAGCAACTATGACACAAGCATGATTCTCGACGTCATCAACTACGGCGAGCTCTCGCGCTTCATGGTAGGCAAGTCAGTGACGGAATCTGCCATCCGCAGCGTCGACTATGAGATCTTCTACGGTCCTTTTGGCCGCTGGGCGGAAGGCGCAGCAGAGAAGCCGTCAAACCCTCCCTTCCCCCCCCCGGGCCGCGGTCTCCCAATCACATCAATGCGAGGGATTGGGATGAAAGACGTGGCCCCGAGGTCAAGTATGGCTCGTCGTGGGATGGCTCCCAGGGAAACCGGGGTGGTGGTACGCCGAAAGCATTTGCCATAGGGGAGGATGAGTACGTCACTTTTGTCAACGTCACTAATGGCTTCAAGCTCAAGAATGACCAGCTGCAGAATGGAGACGCCCGTGGCGTTAATCGTGCTATGGGTTGACGGTCACCCGCTGATGATAAACCTCACATAGACTGAAGAGTTTTAGCAAGTGCTCTGCCCTAATCTTGCTCTTGGGTGCTCTGGGTGACAAGAACACCACCTCTGTCACTGCTGCCCTGTGAAAAGGCTATCTGCACTGTATAATGTCGACAATGAACAACAGAAGCACTACGCTTACGCTTCCTGAGTGCTTGGATTTCTCCATGGTAGGATACACAGCAATGATGATGTAACCTCACGTTGAATCAATGTATTGAGACACTAAATGCTTGTTCAAGTGCCAAGGTCAAGGGTGTGTGTAAAAGCCAGTTGACAACAATGACAGGGTAATAACGATAGATGTGCCGTTCTTGTCAATTGTCACTTCGAGGCCCCGTAGGCAAGATCGGCACCTAGCGAATCCCAGGCCCATGGCGTTCCAGTAGCGAACAACAGAAACACCTCCTCACGCTCTTGCTAAACGGTAAGAGCAATCGCCATGTACATACGGCAAATGGAGCGCACAAGACAGTAATCACAAAGCACACCGCAGCTTTGTTGTGGTGTTACGTAGCCTCCGGTCTCAGAACACTTGCCACTTGGTAATCGCCCTTCAGTACGGAACAACCGGAGAATTAGGTATTGCACCTGACCTTACCGGAATGCAGAGATTTTGCGTACGCGCTTGCAGGAACTGTGCAACTAGGTGCTTGATCATGCAAGTTCAATGGTAGGTCGTTTCGATGAAGAGCATGCAAAACTCAGATGGCAAAACTATTCCTAAGGCAACCAAACACCAATCGCCCTGCCGTCCGGCACCTTCCCGTGCCTGGGTGTCCCCTGCCCACATCAGCAGGTAACCGTCAACTCATAGCACGATTAACACCGAGCACTTGCTAAAACTCTTCAGTCTATGTGAGGTTCTCATTCCAGATCTGACCCAATGCATGTAGCTTCTGCAGAGGGAAATAGTGTTGGAGATATCATTCTTGTCAGTCAGAGCTCCCAAGAAGGCAAGACGGAACTTAGTGATTGCCAAGATCAAGAGGTTACGGGGTTTCACAAGCATTTGGCCCACTGTTCGTTGTTGACATAATGTAGACAGCATTTCCAAAAGGTAGCAGTGTCCAAGGTATCGCCCTTCTGACTCAGAGCATTTGAGGCAAGATCGGAACTTTGCAATTGCCAAATTGAGAGTGTGTGGAAGGTTCGCAATCTCTTGGCTCATCGTCTGTTGTGGACGCACTTCAAACAGCTTTCTACACACACATTGATCTTGGCACTTCAACAAGCAGTTTCGGTTTTCAATACATTGATTCAACGTGAGGTCCATTATCATTGCGGTGTATGCTAACATGGAGAAATCCGTAGAGTCCCTGACACTCAAGCGAAAGCGTGATGCCACGCCGGCTGAGATGCTGGAGGAGCTGGAGGAGCTGGATCGAGCTGAGCTCAGCGATGACAGCAAGGATCTCGTGGACGAGCTTCAGGCGAAGGCAAAAGCGGCTTTCGACGACCCGGAACTGGACCAGGATAGCCTGAAAGCGTCTTGGACAGTTTTCGATCGGCTGTATAAGAAGGTTTTGAAGGGGAAGCGGGAAGTTGTCCGTCTCAAGGAAGAGAAGAACCAGTTGAGTGAGAAGCTCTCCGAGGCCGAACAGGACCTTGGTGAGGCTGCCAGCCAACTCAACCGGTTCGGCTTCTTGTTCAAGATTGGCGACTGGTGTGAGGCAATTCACGACGCCATCAAATATTACGAGGAGAGAGACGCCAAGACCAATCATTCTTCGAATAATAACGTCATTAAGCGCGCTGAAGATGCCTGCAAGTTCCACCACCTCACCGTCGATAAATTCCCACCAAACAAAGCCCAAGGCTATGCCACAAACTCGAGGCAATGGTCAGCAGCGAGAGGAAAGTGGTGCACCTCTGTTGTTGCCAATGTCGAGCCCGAGCTAAAGGACGTCGGGAAATGGAAAGGTTTGCATTATACCACAGTCCAACCTATATTGCATTGTATTAACTATGTGTGGTCAGAGTCTGGGGAGGACCCATCCCAAGCACCTTTCACGCCATACCTAGATCGACTTGATCTGCTATGCCAAGATGCTGGCCTCTCGAGGACTAGTTACCTGGCCACAGCCAGGGTCTACTCGGAGCGGAATGAGGCCGCCCATAACCCTTGCATCAAACTTGTCGACCATGTTGATCCGGCTACCAAAATAGTAGACTGGCATGAGGTCAAGAAGGCTTGTGAGAGCATCAAAGAAGGGAGCAAGAAGGAATTGGACGAAGGTCGATTCACTGCAGAGAATCACTCCTTCTTTGTGGACACGGTCAATCACTGGCTGCGGATGCACGTCTCCTCCTGGCCAGCAGGATCAGCCCCTGTGTTAACGACGTTTGGGGAATTTGAGCGAGACAAGGCTGAAAGGGCGGCCTCGAAGAGGTTGAATCCGGCGGCACACAATCCTCATCATGGCCCTTCATACAAGAAGGGCAAGTATGACGATCTTTGAGTGTTGGCAGGCGGTTGGTGGGGTGTTTCCAGCACTTGAAGTTCATTCTTGATGGATGCTTCTTGTCCTGGGCTCAGGTCTGCCCTATGGGTGGTAACCAACTTGAAGTTCATTCTTGATGGATGCTTCTTGTCTGGAACCTGAGTTGTGTTGTGGGTGTTACCAGACTCGAAGTTCATTCTTGATGGATGCTTCTTGTCCTGGGCTCAGGTCTGCCCTATGGGTGGTAACCAACTCGAAGTTCATTCTTGATGGATGCTTCTTGTCTGGAACCTGAGTTGTGGATGGAGTTTGATTTGGTAGTACTAGGCTTGAAGCGTATCAGTTTAGAGGAAGTCTCGGCCTTATGCCGGGGCCGGGCCTCGCCACTAGGTGGTGAGGTCCGGCGGGCAACGAAGACGGACCTGCAACCTCCACGTGGTGTTGCCTGGGAACCTGGCCTATTCATGGGCCAGAGCCAATGCAGGACGCTCATGTATCTAGGTAGTCAAGTTGAAACATTTATCACGTCGCTGTCGCTGTTCTTAGTCGCCACGCGTTCCCGTCGGGACGAAGAGACTCTTCTGCACTGCCGTCATGACTTGGACAATGTCCCCATCGACAGAGGCAAGAAAATGCTCGTCGCCGACCGTGGCATGCGTCGCTTGCGTGACTAGTTGGCCCAAGAGCGGAAGGCTCTCGAAGCACAGCCCGGACCCGGCCATGCAGCGGACCAGGTTCTCGGTCTGGTGTGTCTGCTTTGCCCTTATCATCAATCACCCTTTCTACCTACCGTGCGTGTGGCGACACGCATCCACCAACCTAAGTGGGTCCGACCACAGATTGAAAATGATTGGAGCTTGTGTTCAAGTCGTGTTGGCATCATGGGTGGACAACAATCATCGCTTTACTTGCGCACAGAGCTTACGTCCTATCACAACAACTTTGGTACTGCCATTTCTCATTTTGAGGGGGTAAAAGCAGCATCAGCACTTGAACCAGACATCCCGAGATGCGGTTCAATGTCCGGTGGCTGATGAGTCACTGACCAGCAATCTTTCGACTTTCTCTGGAACCTGGAGAGCAAATTACCTTGCCTCCTCTCGAGGTCTTCGCCTGATATAAACAATCTGCACAAGTCCAACCTGGCCGCCGTCCTCTTCCCGACATTTGCAACCGCGAAGCACATTGATATTGGATAGCGATCCTACTTTTGTTCAATCACGACCCAACTCATTCTGAGGCAAAATCGCAACGATGCAAGCCCAATCCGCGGAGGGCTTTAACAGGCTCCCGAAAGAGCTTAGAGACATGATCTGGGACGCTGCTATTCGAGACGACCGGCCGGCTGCCCACTTCTTCTCTCCCAGTCGCCTGAAAAATGGCTTGGAATTTTCCGACGAGTGTGTCGTCTTTGGCTTCAGCGACGGTCCGTCCTTGGAGGAGCGCCGATACATTGGACGGTGGTTGTCGGTAACAACTCAGCAGGCCCTGAGACAGCGATTCGGCCAGCCGGCGGTCAACCCGTCAGCATATCTAGAAGACGGCGGGCTCTGGACGGCTTGCAAGGAATCCCACGAAGCTGTCAGAAGGAGGAGGAAGAGACAAGCTGGCGGCATAGCTATGGCTTGGCCGACGACAATGTGGCGGTGGCCTCGCACAGCCATCCATCATGCGACCATGACTGGCTATTTCGACAACAAGGGAACCCGTCAATACTTCGCCATCGGTGTGGATGACCTTATCTGTTGGCAGCCGCTCGATTTCAATCGTTGCTTCCAGCTCGACGATGTACCATTCTCCAACTTCAATCTTGGTAAGCCCTTCGCTCTGCGCAACGTCGCCTTCGAATTCGACCCGGACTGGGAACACCCGGAGGACGTGCATAAGTACGAGGACTTTTGGCATCAAGAAAGCTCCCTTGGCGCCATAGCCGATATCGTCTCACAGCCGGAGATCCATCTCTGGTTCATTGACTACGGCATCCAGCGAGACGCTGCATCGACGGCCGTTGTCAACGACGCCCGTGACGAACGCAAGATATTCTACGGCAACGGGTGCAGGTTTGTCGAGGTCCGGGGCTCGGACGATGGATGGGTCTATCCCAGGCTTGAGAGCGGCGAGCCTGCCCGGGGCACCGCACTTTATTTCGCCCGGCAATTGGATGAAGGCATGAAGGACTATGAAAGAGTGCGCAATTACGAAAGGATCATGGACAGGAGCCAGGCGTCAGACGCGTTAACAGAGGAGATTGAGGAGCGAGACGGTGCCGTCCTGGGGGTGCTGGCGTGCGAGTACAGTTGGTCGAGCTAGCGGGCACCACCACTCGATCACCCTACAGCACAGCCCTGTGGCGGCTCCTACCTGGGGGATTCAGGGCTCCGACTGGAGCTTGAAATATCTCCAGCTCGGGCTGCCACCCTGCAAAGAAAAGATCATGGTTCTGTGCTTGCGCCCGTCGTTCAAATTGACGAATGGAGGAGATCAATCCACCTCTAGGCCACCAAAGGCATTTTCCGTCCATTCCTAGACAGGTCTCGACTCGCCGTTGTCAGAGGGGCCACCGGTTCGAGTGAGGAGCCATGCCTCAAGCGCGACCAAGCCAACAACACTTCTTGACGCAGAAAACAACTATCCCATTCCTGTACCTAGACGTTACCTCACTTTCCCTACAATGTCAAGTGCAACAGGCCAGCAGATTCAATTCAGCATCGTGTCAAACATCAATCGCCTCTAATCCATCGACCGAACAAGTCCTTTCATCACCTTGATAGCAAAAACTTCTGACGAACACCATGTTCGTCAGCCGCACTACTGAACAAAGCCGGCACAATCCGCGTTGGGTGCGTTGGAGCTTTGTCTTGGGCAGGTTACATCCCCGGGGACACGATCGTGAGAAAATTCCTTGCGAACCTCTAGGGACCTTCCTCACAGGGACATCACCTCTCTCGGAATCGGGATCGCCAAGAAGGAGTGACAACCTCATGTAGGCGCCCTATGCACTTACTTGGGACACAGTGCATGAACAGTCGTGCTCACATTCGAATGTTCTTGAAAGAAGTTCCTCGCCCGCACCACCAGATCCCTCCTGCTCTAGCATGGTCCGCGTGCCCTGGAGCCAGGCAAACATTCTTTCTTCCCACGATCTCTGCCTAGGAATGAATACGAAGAAGAGCGGCTCAAGAAGAAGGCGGCGGGAGGTGATGGAAGCGGGGAGTGGGCCGGGGCGAGGGTCACAAGTTACAAGCAGCAGGGACAACGTTAACTCCCCCAGTCGGAGGAGCTTGACCTGCTTGTCATGGAACAAGCCAGGCTCTACTCAAGTCTCAGGGCGAAAAGGAGACGCGGACGGGTATTGCCAAGTTGGACTATGGATTTGCGGAGAAGGCAAGGCTGGGACATCAAGGAAGGTCACCAGGAGTAGGAGTAGATTAGAGTTGCGCCTAAAATTAGAGTTGAGCGGATACTTAGAGTTGCGCGGATACTTAGAGTTGCGCGGATATTTAGAGTTGTGCTTTTATTCACTGCACCTACTTCCGTAACTCGGCAGTATTACGTCCCTGGGTTTGAAGAAGGGAAAACAAGTGCTAACTGTCCTACCTTGCAGTTGCTTTGTGCTATTGCACACAGGAACCTGATGATATCCCAGTCTAGCCAGGTAGTTGTGCTTTACAGCCAGTACATGTTCGGGAGGTGCGCACCTCCACCTAAGGAAGGACGGTCCATAGCGTGGGCTTGATGGAATTACTATATATAACGTAGTTCTGTCCCAGCTCTTCTCTTCTCTTCTCCTCTTCGTCTTCAGTCTCTCTCGGTAAGCGGTATGATTCCCCCCCAACCCGGCTCTGTTCCCTCTGCTTTACTCTTCAGTTTCGCTCCCTAATCCATGAGTCTCTGCTAACATCCAAGATTAGAGCTCTTCACCATCTGTATGTACGATTCCACGTTCACCCACTCTCTCGATGCGTTTGCTGACAGGTGCTCACACTCGACGATCTTCGTATCAGACGTTGGTATGTCCATGTGATGCGGCTTGTTCTCTCATGCAGTCAGGTTTTGCAAATTCAAATACTAATGTGTTTTCTAGTTGTCTCTCTCTCTCTGTGTCTCTCTCTCTCTCTCTCTCTCTCTCTCTCTGTGTGTGTGTGTAAGTGCCAAAATGCCTGCTTCACTCTGCGTTTCCTTACATTCGCTAATGCGTTCTTCAAGGCGAAAAGACGTGTGAGTCCTGCTCTGATCCCCTTACACATCCTGCGCCCTTCTCACGGGCTTCCACTTCTTTGCTGGGACGAACAAGGCTTATCTGTGCCTGTTTTGGACTTCTTGTTGAGTCGTGCGAAATCTCTATCATAACACTGTGCTAACTACTTGCAAGTCAACATGCCGAATAAGGTTAGTACTTCCTCTTCACCTCTTCATTTGGTCCCTGACTAACAGCATGACAGCAGTACAACCTTCCGGTAAGAGCTCTTCCCAGAACGACTTGACCACACCTCTCGACCTATTTCCTTTTTGTCTTCTTGGCATACTCCTTGAGTTGAACGCGCTTGACTGACAAGTCGTCATGCTCTAGCGTGGGCAGCGGGCCCAGGTACCGGTAAGTACAGTCCGTTTGGGAGATCCCAAGCATTTGAAACGCAGCCCCAGGGCTGGAATGGTGGCTTACTCATTATGCTGCAGCAGAAACGCTCGGTACGTATCTGTCTGTGTGTGCGGGCGCACCAATGCCGAGCAGTACTCTGACGCTTTCTTGCGTTCAAGTTTTCCTCTCCTGCCGGGCCGGTATGTCATCCCCCAAATACATGCGGCCGGAGTCGACAACTAACGGAATTCCATAGGGACAAAAATCAAACCAAGAGCCGCAAGCCAAGCCGGTAAGCATTAACCCCAGATCTAGACATCATGTCTCCTCCTCCCCATCTCTTTCTAGCAAGGTCATACACTGACTTTGTGTTACTTAGGCGAAAGATGTATGGTTTGCTAAACAAGATTTCCAAAGAAATCGCGTTGATGAAGCTGACAACTGTACCTTAGGATGGGAGCAAAAAAGTAAGTAGTCCGTTCAGTAAAGGCACACAGTTGCTTATTACCTGACATGGCTCAGTGGGCAGAAGAAAAGGCCCAGGTAAGTCTCCTACCTCCAGTTGACTAGGTATTCTGCTAAGACATTTCTAGGCCTGTTTTGACCTCGGTCAAGTGAGTATTGTCTCGCTGTCCCTGCATTGTGCTGGACTAAGCAGTGTGATGATCAGAAATTTCTCGCAGAAATCGAGGTAAGTTCAACAAAATCTTACGCCAAGTGGTGGTATGCTTTCAAAGCTAACAACTGCGCAAATACAGAAACTGGAACGTCTTGCAGCAGTGAGTACATCTCTACATTGTTCTGCCTTGTGTTGACTGGTTCAATGAAACTAATGATTTGGACAGGACCAAGCAAAGCAGTATCACGTATGCTACACTATGTCTGCCCCGAGTTGTGGTTTCTTGATCATTGACTTTGCTTCTCTCCAAAGAAATGGAAGAAGGAGGAACTTATTCAGTCTAAGTGTTACGCCAGTGGCACTGACAAGTTGATGTAGGAGGATGTAGAGGCCGAGGAGGCCGGGAAGGAGAAGGAGTAGGCCTTTGGCGGCAGCGAGAACTCGGCCGTGGCTGGGGCCTGGGGCTGGGCGTCGTTGGGCGCGCCATCACGGAGCTCGATTGAGGTCTGAGTCATTCTCACGGAAGAACTAGATGCTTGCTCGGAGCAATTGAATGACGGTTCAATGTCAGATCTGTCTCTGCTGAGACCAAGGACCGTTCAGTGACTGATGGGACCATTTATTACTTGTCTTCGACGGGCTCATCGATCATTCTGTCACTGGCAGGGCGTCCGTCTTACCCCTCCATCGTCGCTCGGAGCTCACGATGTCAGTCAGCTAGTCTCGTCCGAGCCCAGCCGAAGCCGAAGCCGGAGCCGGTCAGTACGTAATCCGGAGCTACTCGGCCAAGGAGCTGGAGCTGGACCTTGAGCTCCAACTCTAGCTATCTGACTAATAAATACTGGGCATGTCAGCTTGTCAACAAATGAACGACAAACCAACAGGCTCATGCACTCCCACAGCGCAGCTCAGACCGAAAGAGAGGCAAACTGCGCACCCAGCCATCGAATGTCCATCCTCCCACCGACTTTCTGCGGCCTTTCCACCTTCAGAGCTCTGCAGCTCCTGCTTTGCGAGATGATTGACCATCAGCCGGAGATTCAATCGCGCAACACGCGCGCATCTGCCAACCAGATCGTCCCAGCCCAAACGCAGACTCGCGACCTGCCGCACTAGCACGGCCGACTGGCTGCCTTCACCGCCGTTTGACACGCCACCTAATACATGCAAGGTCGTCTAGTGGGCATAACGCAGAACAGGGTAAATGCTACACCAGGGCGGAGGCGGTGTGGACCCAATGAGGGTCGGGCCTTGGCCGCGGTGCATGTGGCCAACGGGGATAGGGTCTCGCAGGGCCCAGCATCTCCAACGACATGCATGAGATCCGTCCACCAGGCGATACGCTAGACCCCTCTTTCCACATCCTGAGCCTGCGATCATGCTGGTCACGCTGCCCGATTCGTCTGCTGTTCTACCCTCGCCTGCCTGTCGTGTGTACACGCTTGCTGCTTGCGTGTGACTTGCTGCCGCCGTGCCCGACGGACGAACGCCATCTGCGGGAAAATAAGGTACAGCACGTACATGAAACTGGGACCGGAAAGGGAAACTTGTCCCATGGCGAACATCGGAGTCTGGAACTGGCGGGGGGGCTTGGGGCCCTGGTTCGTCCTCGAAAGGGAATCCTTTATTATCAACCACCCATACGGCCTGCCTCGTTCCCCCCGGTCTGCCTGCCTACCTCTACCGTATCCTCTCTTCTCTTACACTCTGCTTGCTCCCTTGATACCCTCGTCTTGACAGACACCAACAAAACAACAAACTCGCTCTGCTTGCTTGCTTGCTTGCTTGAACACCACCTTCAGGCAACAAACCACAGCACCCTCAAAGTACCACCCCAAGGAACTATGTCTGCTGCCGTCCTCGTCCCCCTCTCCCAAATCAACCTCAACGGCGGCGTTCTGCCCCCGAGCGCCATCACAACACAGCAATCGCCCCGGCACGGCCGCAGCAGGGGCGCCAGCATCGCCAAGGGCAAGAACAACCGCGGCCGCGGCTACAGCTTGGTCGACGACCGGCACACACAGGTCTCCAAGGCCGTAGTATTCGTGCTCAAGCGCACGGCGCAGGACGAGGAGAGCAGCGAAGATGGCAAGGTAGTAGCCGACGCCGACGGCTGGGTCGGCGTGGAGGACGTGGTATGTTGTCAAACCCGGGTCCCCCCGCAGGAAGAACGCGAGAACATGCCAATACTGACAACCCAACAGCTCGCACACCCCAAGGTCTCAGCCCTCGGCGTCGCGCTCTCCGAGCTGAAGGAGGTCGTCGCCTCCGCCGCCGGCAAGGGCCGCCTCGCCCTCCGCCAGCTCGAGGACGCCAAGGACGCCGAGGCCCCGGCCTCATACGAGATCCGCCGCGCCGCCGCGCCGGCCCAGCCGGCCCACGAGGTGCTCTCGAGCCCCTCGCCCGTCTGGCCGCAGATCGCGGCCGGCGCCGAGGACCTGCCCGAGTTCATCGTCCACGAGACCTCGTACCCAAAGTACCACCTGATCCTGACCTCGGGCAGCATCAAGCGCGCCGGGGGCCAGCCGTACCTGTCCTTCGCGCCCGCCGACGACGAGACCGCCAACAGGTCGTCGTCGGCCGACGTCAGCATCTGGATCAAGCTCGCCGACGCCATGGCCGCCCGCCCGGAGTCGGTCTGGCGCCGCGCCGACAACGGCCACATCGTGACCTCGGACGAGGTCCCCAGGGCCCTGTGGACCAAGGCCGTCGCCCGCCGCGGCGACCTGGGCGTGCTGTACGAGAACGGCGAGGTGCGCAAGGAGGTGCCCGTCGGGCTCCGGGGCAAGGGCGCCAAGGCCAAGAAGGGCAAGGGCGTGCTCAAGAGCGGCCGCACCGGCGACGACGACGGCTCCGGCAGCGCCAGCGACGAGTAACGTGAGCGCAGTAAGCACTCTGGCCTGCAGGCTTGCGGGGCTTTTTCGTTTCATGAGAAAGACCCTTTTGTGTATATGCGGCCCAAAGCATACAGACCTTAGTTAGATTAGACTTGGAGGCGGTTTAGTGCTCTTGTCTTGCATCGATTGCGCAATCTACTCATTCGTGAGGATTCGATGGTATACCACGACCTCAAAACCAACATTCTGAGTTCCAAGTGGTTCATGTGAAAAGCCTAAATTTCTTAGACTGTGTTCTAAGCTGACTCACTTGCAATTCCATCGATACGATTCACCCAACCCGCACTTGAAGCAGAGTGCTTGAAGACCAGATCACGCCCTTCATTGAAGTCTGTTCAGTATGTCCCATCGCCAGAAAAACGTCTGAGGTCTACAGCATTCTGACTGAACTCCTACCCCGGAATGTTCCAGCTCTTACATCTTATGAATGAGATTTGCTAGGTTTATGAACATATCGTTGATGACTTTCTAGGAATAGTTGTAGTTCTAAAGGTGAACGACTAGTGATCCTAGAGCTATGCCCTTCGTAATAGAGATATCCTGCGAAAGAGTTATAACCTTAACTAAGTATAGAGTGATAATATACTATCTCTAGTCATGAGTGATTCTCTCAGTATTAAGTAGAAGTTGGTCTTGTTCAAATTCATCAGTACCTAGCTTTTAGAAGTCTAAGTCTTGAATAGGAAGTCCCAATGATGTATAATATATCTACGTAGATCGTTGCCACGCTTTCTTCCGTTACAAGTTGCAATACCTACATAACGATAAACTTCCATCAAATCTAGAGGACTGCGCTTAGAAGTGAGCGTGTATACTCAGACGGCACCTTGTAACAGGGTAGAATGGCCATACACAGCCACGTTTTGATTCAGTGTTCATCATATGAAGTGGCCGCTCAAGTCCACTCTACAAAGAATTTACGGGATGACGAGTTCACGAAAAAAGAAAAAGCCATTGATGATAGATCAGCTATTGTAGATTTCCTTACATCTTGATTTCATCTCATCCTCATCATTGTTTCAATATTGTAAACAGTAACGTTCATTTAATATGTTCCACCGTGGTACCGCATAAGTAAAAGGGGTATCGACCAAATCACCAGCCATCACCACACAACACCAGACAAACCATATCCTCGCCATATGCCAAAGTAACGACACATTCATCAACAGTTTGTTGAGAACATCCCTCCAACATGCTAGTAGCAGTAACAATAACCGTCCCCATCTGCCACGACGAAGAACCATCCTCCTCGATAAAGATCCCCCCCCTCTGTCCAGTCCTTCCGAAATCCCTTCCCCCCTTTCAAATGTTTATCCAGTATGATGACATGACATGAACAATGACATCCACCCTCCCAGCCAGCCAGCAACAGCCCCATAGCCCCCATTATATTAAAATGCAAACAACAAAATATGCAAATGTAAGTTCCTTCATATCATCATCGTCAAATCATTCCCGAATGGTCAGTCACGGATATCACACCACATACACACGCCCACCCACCCATCTGTCCACCCGTCCGTCCCCCACTGTCCACCCCTCCACCCTTTCAGTCATCCCTCCCTCCCGGGGTCACCGCAGCCCCGTATCCCCCTTCTCAACCACGAACCGCACCGCCGGCCGCACCCGCCTCCTGCTGACCCCCCTCGGCGGGATAATAGGCCTCATCACCGGCCCCTGACCGGGCGGCACAGCTCCCAACCCGCTCGCTCCTCCTCCTCCCCTCGCTGGCCTCCCTCCTGCAGCGCCAGCACCAGCAGCGCCAGCAGTAGGCGTCCTCAAGCTCCTCACACCACCCCCCTCCTCCGCACCAGCATCCACGACCGCCCCCCTCTCGTCAACCCCCCACCTCGAAACCCCGCCGCCAGCAAGCCACCCGGCCAGGTTCTTACACTGGCTGACGTCAAGCCACTCGAGCCGCCCGCACCCCTCGAGCACGTTCTCGACGCCCACGCCCGTGACCCGCACGCAGCCGCGGACGCTCAGGCCCCTCAGCTCGTGGAGATGCAGCGCCACGCAGCCGAGGCTGGCGTCGCTGACCGCGCTCCCGCAGAACGCGAGCCGCAGCTCCCGGAGCCGCTGCAGGCCCAGCGCGACGACCTCGGTCGCCGTGTCCGACAGCGCGCAGCAGAAGCTCAGGTCCAGGTGCGTCAGGTTCTTGGCCGCGTTGACGAGCGCCACGACGGCGTTGTCCGACAGGTACGTGCAGTCGGCGAGGCACAGTCTCCGCAGCTGCGAGAAGTGGTGCGGCGCCCAGGCCTGGAACCCGGCGTCCGTGATGGACGTGCAGCGCGTCAGCGACAGCGACGTCAGCCGCGGCGACGCGTGCGCCGCCAGGTGCGCCATCGACCGGTCCGTGATGTGCTTGCAGTACGAGAGGTTGAGCCGCTTCAGGTTGGGGCACCCGACGACGCTGCCCGGGGCCGGACCCGCCGCCGTCGTCGTCGTCGTCGGCGACGTCGAGGCCGGCTTTTTCGCTGCCTTGGCGCTCTTCCTGGCCGCCGAGCTGGATATGACGACGTTCTTCGACGGCGCCGGGGCAGGGGCCGGCTCGGGGACGACCCACCCGACCACGCGGGCGAGGAGGTTATCGCCCACCTTGCGGCAGTTGCTCCAGTCGATCTCCTCCAGGCCCTTGGCGTTCTCGCTCATGTCGAGGATCTGGGTAGCAGAGACCTCCCAGACCGACTTCATACGCCAGACCTTGACGTTCTGGCCGCAGCGCTTCCACAGCGCCTGGAACCCTTCGTCGCTCACGTGGAAGCAGTTGCTGATGTCGATCTCGACAGGCCGGGTGCCGATGAAGGGGGCGACGATGTTGACCAGCGCCCAGTCTGAGATCTGGCGATTGAACGGGCTGAGGTCGACGTGCGTGCAGAGCTTGGGCGACTCTGAGAGGAGCTGCCGCCAGTGTCGTGAGACGGCGCGCATGCGGATGAGCTCCATAAAGTTCAATTGTTGGAAGATGCCGACGAGCACCTCATCGGTAAGCTGCGGGATCTCCGACGTCGCTGTTCGAGGCCGCGAAGGGAGTATGCGTGCCTTCTTGTAAGGTCCCGCCTCGTCCTCGGTCGGGGTGGGAGGAGGGAACGTGAAAAACTTGAGAGGACTGCTGTCTATCGAGTTGACCCTGCTCCCGTGAATTGAGGATGGGGGTGAGCTAGGTTCCGATTGAGGCGTTGGCGGTGCCAGGGAGTTTCTCCGCCTGTTGCGCAGGTTCTCCATGTCAACGCTGAGGAAGGGGTCAGGATCGCTCGGTTGCCGCGTCTCGGACTCGTCGTTGGCGGGAGATGCGGGCTTCGAGGGCGTCGTGAAGACTACTTGAGGCAGTGAGAGCCTCCGCTGGGGGGTGGCTGGCCGTTGAGCATCAGCCGTTGACTCCCTGTGTCCAACATCTTCCATCTCTAGGTCGCCGTCATCTGACTTCTGGTAGCGCGTTTTAGCTGTCTGCTCGACCTGTTGTCTCAGGTCGGGCGGGCACCGGCGCCATAGTTCGTCCAGCGCATCGCCTCCGATCATCAGACACTCAACCGTGGTAATCGAACGGACGGTAGCGGTGCGGCCCTGTGACAGGCCAAGGCTAGCAACCTCACCAAAGTACTGCCCCTGCATTAGTCGTGGCCGGATGCCAGAGGGGCTGGTGGTCCGCGTCGGACTCAATTCTTCTGGCTCCTCATGTATTACCTCGGCCTCGCCCCTGACAATAAAGTATATTTCCTGCCCGGAGCTGCCCTGCTGCACGATGTCTGTGAAGGGTGGGTAGGTCTTGAGCTGTGCGCTCAGCCCGAGGAAGTGGAGGATGTCGGTCGGCAACGTCGAGAAAAGGGGCAGCTCCTTGAGGGTCTTGCGCACGTTGAAGTAGCCGCTGGTCAACGCACTGCCTCCTACGGCCGGGTCTTCGATGATGCCTGGACTGGGCGACTTGCGCTTCTTGCTCTTGATGACCGCGCCGTCGGAGATGGTGCCGACCTCTCCCGTCGACACCTGGCCCGGAGCAGCTTCGCGGGCCTTTGCGCTAGTGCTGTCAACAGCCTTGCCAAAGGAGGAGCCCCTCTCCTGCTGCTTCTTCTTGAGGATGGTCAGCCTCTCTTGTGCCTCCTGCCGGATGGCCTTCTCCATGTCGGGAAAGTTGGGAAGCTCGGCCTGCAGGTCTTCCTTTTTCAGCACGGCGAGCATGCACTTTGAGCGGGCAATGATGGTCGCGGTCCTGGGCACGTCCATGAGGACACCGATCTCGCCAAAGAAGGCGCCGGGCTTGAGCTCGGCGTAGACAGCCTCGCCGTCACGCGAGGTGACGGCAACGAAACCACGGACCAGCCAATACATTGCTCGAGCGTCGTCACCCTCGTTGAGGATGTGGTCGTGGGCGGAGTGGACCTGGATTCTTAAATGCTTGCCGATGGCAGCGAGGAACTCGTCCGGGGCAGACATAAAGAGGGGGAAGGAGCGTATGCGGTCGACCAGCTCGAGCGGCATGTCCGCAATAGTCGAAGCCGTGAGAGGGCTCGGCCGCATGGGCCGGGTCGGGTTCGTCTCGCCATTGAATGACCTGATCAGGGACGAGACAGACTCGGGGGCCTGCTGACCACCACCACTGGCGTGATGGTGGGCGAGGGCCCTATAGGGAGACGACGGCGAGGACGGGACTCGACTCCGCCGCATGGTCTCAAGTGGCCCCTCTCGGGCGGTGGTTCGTGGAGAGGGGCAGGAGGTGGGAGGACGGAAGAGCTATAGCAGGTGAAGCTACGCACCCAGCTGACAGCTTCCGAGGTGTCGCGAACTGCTGGGCAAGCGCGGCGCAGCTCGATAGCTCCCCTCCGATATTACTATTAGGGGATGACGTGGAAGCGTCCCGCCGTAGTAGGTAGATTGCGGAGGAGGGGCCGTGGACAAGAGTTTAGGCGAGGACGGTTCATGCTATAGCCTGGCGAAGGGGAGGGCGGGTGGCCGACGCAGGAACCCTCCAGGCACAGGCACAAGCACGGGGTAAATGAACCGTTGGAGAAAGGCGAGTTTATGCCTCAAGTGCCTGGGCGAACGCCTGGTTCGCTCAGCGCGGTTTCCGATCGATCGTGCGGAGAGCCGATCGCAAATCCTGGAACAGCAGACAGCGGGTGCAATTGGAGTAGCTCCAAGGCCCTTGTCTTCTTTTTGCGTAGCTTATTCCTTCCCGGAAACTCGGTGACGAGCTGTCAAACGCAAATGAACACCCTGCCCTGCGTATGTAACGATGTAACAGTCGAGCCCCGGGGTAGCTTCCTCCGATCCTCCGCGGTATCACAGTCTCACGTAGTCAAGTGTACTGTCAGAAGGAAACTTGGAGACCCATGGCGAAAGCTAGATTCGGGAGCTGGCAGGTCGGTGGTGTGCGGGAGGGTGCTGAGCGTTCGAGATAGATGGGCAGCTGTTGTTGGAAAACCTTGGTCAGCTGTCAATGCCTCTGATCACCCCTCCGGACGGACGAACAGTCGTCCAGCCTGGTGGGGAAAGTTGGAGAAAGCTTGAAACGCACCACGAGGAGCGGCTGTGCACGCGCGTGTGGTGTTGCCGACGAGGAGAGGTGCGCCGCGAGCCACCACTCAATCGCGTGGAGCAATAGCTCGGAAGGGCTGGGTCGAGCCGGATCTGGGAGCCGCGCCTCGCTGTGGCTGTAGAGCTCCGGAGCTTGTGTTTGGGGGGGGAGGGAGAGACGAAGAAGACCCGGAGCCAAGGACGGCAAATCGAGAGGATATTCTTGGAAGTTGGAGTGTCAGGTTGTTCTGGCGATCGTCTCGGCTTTGTGGAGGGCGTGGGGCGATGCAGCTAGAGGAACGGCGGCATGACAAACGAAGGCGGCAGGCGAGGGACAAACAGAGGGGGAGCAGCGAGAGCCAAGGGATCGGGAGATCGTAAACAGCGCGCGAGCTTCTCACCACCTGGAAGTGGTATCCGGCGATCGGTGTCGTGTGAGCATGCGAGTGATCGAGAGTGTGTGGTCGACCGGATCGCGAGCACCAAGGACGAATTGTGTCAGGATGGTGCCGGTGTGACGTACCCGAAAAGCACGGGGAACAGCCGGGGCTCTCCTGGGAATGCAAGAGGCGCCAAGTCTAGCTCAGAGACCGGTGAGCTACCGAGGCCAGTAACTAATTGGGCAAGAGAAAGGCGTTCTGGTGCGTGCAATGTATGTGTCTCCCGTCTCCTGGGTGTGTTTGGTTTGAGATGGGAGAGTTAGAGGCAGGATGGGATTCTGGTACAATGGTCGGCGGTGGATGACGGGTACCAATGGAACCTGGAACCAAGCCCGAATAGCGGAAGCCCATGCTGCTGGAGCAAAGGATAGCTCGCTACTGGCCAGGCAGAGCAGTGAGACCAGGCCCCAGCTACAGCAGCTAAAGAAAAAGAAGATGTGACCTGTGCTTCCTCGTTCCCGTCCACCGCGCTGCGCTTCCATGTGGGGTCCCAATCCCAATGACGCTCGTCCCCTTGTTTCTCATCCCTACCCCACCTGCACCCACACCACTAACTACCTACCCCTCTGCTAAGAATCTGAAGCTCACGAGCGCGCTATCGGCGATGGCTAGGAAATACAGACAATACAAGTAGAGGTCCCGAAGGAGGGGCTGCAAGATCGAGGTCGCGACAGCGGGTGGGTGGTCGGCCCTGAGGAGGGAATGTACCACCACGCACCATCGATGAGTAAGACGGATGGATGGAGGGGCGGACGTAACGATGACCGCTGGAATCCTCTACTTGTATGATCATATCTTGTTCCTCTGTTGTCTACCTCATGTGTCCATATGCTCAAGGACTGGATGACAGTTGCTGCATTCCTGCGTCAGTCGCATAAAAACGGGTCGCCCTAGCAGCGAAAACGGCATTCTCTCCCACTGAAGCCGATTCCATTCCTCCCTCCCTCCCTCCCTGGAATCCCAAATGCTGGTCTACTTTAGGCAGTGGAGCGACGTCAGTCCGGTGCAGCGATGGGCCCATGGATGACATCTCGGCGGCGGGGGTTATCCTTGACGGTTCGAAGAGCTTGTTCCGTTGAATAGTGGTTCAGCATGTAGCTTACGCTCTCTAGCTCACGATATCCTCGAGGTGTGATCCCCTTTTCCGCGCTGACAGCATGGTACTCCGAGCCAACCGAGTCCAAAGAGACTCAATACAAGCTTATTCTTCTTTTTCAGCGTCACACACTGTCAGCACGGCTGTGCAGGAATGCGGGGGGTGCATCCGCAATCTCACGCGACGCCTGCCGGCGACTATCAACGAATCGCGCTTCTGGCTCGGCGAGTACAAGGCCGAATGCAAGATGAATTTCGACATCCCGAAGGGATCACATTTTGCTGGTGTTCTGGAATCCTTCTATGCGTCCATGGGTTCTTCCAGAGGCACAGCGTGACAGGGTCACTCCTGTCCTGCCGCCGCACGCCCAAGCCCCAAGCACAAGCTCTGGCCACCGCCATCCCACAGGGGTCCCCCCCCCACCTGTCACGGCCGCTAAGCGTCTGCCCCGCATCCACCGCAACGGTCCAGGTGGCGCTTCTGCCCCCTCAAGTGCGAACCGAATTGGCAGAATGGACAGGGATGCCCGGCATCTTCAGCGATGCCCTGACAGAGGCAAGCGCAAGTACACCGAGGCCCGTCTGTGGGTTTTGGCGTAATATCGCCATCGAGTCCGTGTGGACCAGGATCTTCAGAGTGGACTGCATCCCAGCACTGAGCACAGAGTAACTGCGCAGACACCTCGGGACAACCGCAGCTGCAGACGCATATGAAGTTCGGCTGCTCGCACAGGCCGTTTCGGCATGGGAGGCAAATCTTCATCGGGTCATTGACGTTGATGACAAGGGTGCTGCAGTTACCGCAAGCCGCACACTGGCACACCACGAACGATGGGCACCACAGTCGATTGCAAGCCTTGCAGTGCGTCAAATCCTCGGGCAAGAGCCTGCTTCTGCAGTCGCACCTTTGGCACTCACAGGTCCTCTTGGGGTTGTTGTGATCGGGGTTCTGTGAGGCCTTTGAGCTATCTGCGCCAGTTGAAGACATTGTGGATGACGGTTACCAGGCGGTGCCGCCGAATATAAGTATCTGCGAAAGGTTTGCGTGACAGTGGTGACTTCGTATTTGGGGAAAATCAGTAGAATGTTCCAAGACGGGGAGAGGGTCTCCCTCCGGCTTTATACCCTCAGCAAGACTCAAAGTCGCTCGAAAGAGCTCGTCATAGCGTCCCGCCAGACATATCCAGATCTAGTATCACCTGTCATGAATATGCAGTGTCAGGAACTTGGATGGCTAGTCACGGCATCCCCGGAAGGAGATCAGACTCGGATCACTTGCATCCTTATTCTGCTCGGTGACGATAGGAAATTTACTCATATATAGAGTCACTCACTAGCTTGGTCTACCCCAGTGACACCACCGGATATCAGACGACATATACAGCGCTTCGGTACCTTTCTTGCTTACTGATATTCCGCCTCAGGTTACTATCATTCCTTCCATGTACCAAATCCTGAGCCGATCCCGAAGTGCGGCTTCATGCTCACCAACGCCCGAGCCCGTCCACCGGTGCTCCGGCCCCATGGTCTGGAGCCGCAGCCAAGGCGCCAAGGTCATCCCCTGGTAGCTACCTGCGCATCCTGCGCATCCTAGGCAGCTCCAAGCAAAGGCCATTTCCGCACCAGTAACATGTACCAGGGCCCATGCAACCTTCTGTGCAGCCACACTCGCATTGGCATAAATATGGGAGCTGGTACGGGGCGTGACTTTCAGAGATTCTGCCCTCTATACGCCTTCCGATACAGGCGCCGCCCTGGCATATATCGCACCTCCCCCCCTCCACGCGGGTTGTCATGCAGCCGCACCTGCAGTCACACCGGGGCCCCGGGAACGCAGTGCTCTCGATTGGCAAACACTGGCCGGCAGAGCAGGTGTCGCACAGTATTTGAGACCTGGCAGACCTGCCTTCGCTCCAGATCTTGGCGTCACAGTCGCCGCACAGGTCGCATTCGCAATCCTGAGGTACAAGTAGGCTTACTGGTTTTATTCCTTTCCTCGAGTGATTGGGATTCTTCCCGCCGCCGCCGCCTCCTTTATCGTCTCCATCACCTTTTCCACCATGCGTGCCTTTGCTGCTTTTGGTGCCTTTGCTGCTTGTGGCGCCTTTGCTACCTCTGGCACCTTCGGCAACTTGGGTGCCTCCTGAGGGACTCTCAGTATGTGAGCTGGACATTATGTTCGGGAGGTTCTTGGTATGTGTATGGTTCTGCTTTTTGACTGAGGATATTCCATTCATAATTATGGGAATTCTTTCCTACTTATAAAGCCTGGAACACCTTGAAAGATTTGGAATGAGTGTGCCCTGTCACTCATCAACACTGGACAATTCATGTCCAGTAGGGGCTTCATTAACTCTCGTGTCTCGCTTAGACTATCGAATGTGTGCTCAGATCAGGAAACTAAAGTGAGATGAACGACGGCTCACTGTGTGGTGATCCTCAAGCATATCCGACACCAATCACGGAAGCTCAGGTGTCACTAGGCATGAATGATCTCTGAATTTCTTGTTATTGCTTTATGGGAATCGACAAGATATCTCGTGCTGATGATGGATAATGAGTAGTTGATCTATGTGATCATATTCCAAAAAAAAAAAAAGCCTTTGCAGTCCTTGTTGGGACGTCCTCATTTGCCACCGTATCCTCCATGCCTGCCGTTGGCACACTCGTCGCAGACAAAGCCCTGCTCAGCAACCAGAGTGCTACAGAAGCAGGAGTCACACACACATGTGTGGAGGGCCAGGCACTCTCCCCTGCCACATGCATCGCACAAGCCCCCATTGGCCTTGGCATGGTAGCCGCATGCGCCGCGACAAACGAAGCAGCTGCAGTGATTCTTGGGCTCCTTGTCCGCGACCTGTCCACTAGGCTGACTCGTGGTGCCGCTGCTGCCGGTGCCTGTGCTGGACCCGGAGATTGAAGGCAGGCACTGTCCCTGGACACATGTGGCACATATCCCCCCTTTGGCAGCAGTCCAGAAGCCGCATATGCCACGACAAAGAAAGCAGCTGCAGAAGTAGTACCCTGTCTCCTTCTCCTCCGCACCTGTGTTGTTTCCCGTCGCAGCTTGTCCGTTTGCGCTATTCAGATTCGCAGCGGCAGTGCCGTGCGTGCCACTTTGACAGGGACTGCAGTGCGAGCCGTGTGTGAGGGCATCACCGCCACAATCGCAACCACACGCGCAGGCGTAAGACTCCTTGCATGATTTGCGGCAATACGCGCATCTTGTATGCTGCCGCCTCTTGAGCGCTAGGCTGCACCTGCAGGCACAGGAACAGCGCCGTTTCTTGCATCGCCCGGTGCGACAAACTAGACATCTTTCGGGCCCTCTCAGAGGGGTAGTTTCCTCACACCCGCAGGTACAGGTGCATGGCCGTACTGGAATCTCTGCCATATCTCATAATTGATTGCTGTGATGGCAGTCTGAGTCGGATTTCAGATCTGTACTTGACGGATGGGAGATGGGTGACTTGGGCGTTCTTTCCTTTCTGTTTTTCTTGGAACAGAATATTGCTATCCTTCCTTGAGGTTTCTCAGCATTATATAGACCAGAGTCTCATGAGAGCTATCGGTCAGCTAGTCACAAGAGATCCCAAGCAAGGCTTGTATACAGTGTCATCTGTAGTACGGCCGGAAGCAAAGGGCTATACTAGCATAATGAACAGGTAATCACGCTATTAGGGCTGTCATATGGATTTCAACAAAAGGCATACGCCATGGATCGACACAATGAACACTGGCGCGTGCTTCCGACCTTAACCCCATCCCTTCACTATACTATCACCAAGCTATCACAAGGCTATGCTTCGACTAACTGAGGAAGAATAATACTATCCAAATCATGTAAGTTCAGAATCACGTACCTACCACATAGCCCTGTTTCTCTCTATGATATGGCCTGATTAGGTTCATGCCTGTCGCTGGATGATTGTGGAACATCTCCTTCATACATACACACTCGATGGGCAGATTTGACGTGGCGACCCAAGACGATAATCGAAGCTCCCAATCAGATCTCAGTCCGGATTGTATGGCCTTGGCATATTAGATCCGGAGACTCTCGAGACCTCGTGAGTCATAGAGGCGACCCGTGAACAACTTGTCACCCATGTGGTCTCACTGATCTATAACCCCAAGTATAGATGGCTGCCTACATTAAGCAGGTGTATCTCCTTTGGTGTCTGTCTTGCTGCTTCTCATGCCAGTCACTGACTTCAGTGGTGCCTAGTAGAGCAACCTCTTGGGTCCTCAGAGCTAGGCCCGTTGATAGGTAAGGAAGTGATCGAGTCAAAAACTCTTTCGCAAGTACTAATTTTTGCACGTGGTATATAGAGGGAAACCAAGCCGAGTACAAAGCTCATCTCATCTGTCCTCTTATCTCGAATTTCTTGGCAATGGTGATGCTTAGGTGTCGGAGATGGACGCCTTATCTCAGGGGTATTATCCGACTGCTTTGTGTTTGCCCCAGCCTCTTTCAAACCGCTGACCATGGTCATTGGTACCTATTGTTTGAACACTAGACAGGGAGACAGATCGGAACTTCCGCGCCAAGAGAATTCATCACCACAACTATGGGTCCATCGTCCCCAGACCGTCAACCGTCCTATTACAATAGCAAGAAAGTAACACAATGATTCAGAATTATGATAACAACATTTTTCATGAAAATCCCCATACTCTTGGGTAGGTACTAGTAAGCAAAATTGTCGAGTTGTTGATTCAGGTTATCCGGTATATATCAGAGGTAGCCTCCATGGAAAACAGTGCCTAACTGATTCTGTATGTTTAAATAGCATGTCTGGTCAATCTTAGGGCACCGGCGGGTGAATGCAGCAGAGCTCGCCGTGGTGAGTCGGACATAGCCAAAAGGAAGCCCTCGAGGAAGGTATTTGTAAACCAACTGCTGGTTCGCACACCATTAGTCGGTATCTCGAGACATGAAACAGATCCATAGAGCAAGCCACCCCACCCTAGCCTTCTTCTCATCATCTCCCTTCTACTATCATGAAACTCAGACTCTTGGGAACCTATCTTGACCCAGCAACGTGTTGGCGGCTTCGTCCCCTGTCAGCTTCCCCGCACCCGCCCCAGTCATCCGCCCCGCCCCCAGATCCGCTTGTCCCAAGCTAGCCTTGGCGTTGTTCGAATCGTGGCCTTACTCGGACGTCGAAGGCCTCGATCCAAGACGATTCTGCACCGACATGGGGATGTTTCTGTATCTGGAATACATACATAAGTTCCTCGTGTTACAGTAGAGGCTGTATTTGAGCAACTGTTGTAAAGAGTTCCCATAGTCGTGCCCGGCCTTGCCTTATCATCAAAAGACATCAGTTTGGGACTAGCCTTATCTTCGGAACTTCCGATCCAGATACCGGACCTTCCTTAGTCAATGCTGCTGGCGTAGATAGTCTAGATAAGAGGCTTTCGGGGCTCTCAAGGGGGATCTAGGTCTGGCCTTGTCCTCAGCCACCCTCGGCTCTGGCCGGCGCGTACCTGCATCGCCATCTGAGTGCTTCGAAGCCGTCAACCGGAGCAAAAACGTGGCCTTGGGGGATGTCTATGTAGTAGCAGGGGTGCCCCATGCAGCCCAGCTCTCTTGGGCAGAGGGCAGGCGGTGATCTCTCGTAGTCGATCTGCACTCTTGCGTTGTCGATGCTGCATGTCGCTGACTGGCCGTTGGTCAATCAGACCGTGCCGTGTCTGGTGTGCTGGCTTACGGGCATGCAAGTCTCGTCTCGCCTCGTCTTGTATCGATCCCCTTGTGATTTCCCCGCGAGAATGCAACTAGATGTGCCGCAGCGACCGTCGAAAAGGCTATCTGGACTAGCGGCCTACGGTAGATTACTGGAAAAGTCCAGGCTCGGCAAACGCTAAACGACATTCGCCCTGTTGTGCGATACCTTTACTTGTACATGTGTCGGATATGCGTCGGATTGGTTCTTCTTGGCACCGAGATAAATGTCACCCTGTCCCCCGCGGGGGCGAAGTGATCAACACATTGCGGATTCATCACTCGCTCTGCAAAACCCTGGCCGAGACACCTCAGAGCTGACCTGTTCAATCATCACTATGGCGGAACCCCAAGCCCACCGCCACATCCCCGTCGAGAAGCTGCCCCAGGACGACGCCGAGGCCGCGCAGGAGGCCGTCGCGATCGCCGAGTATGCGCACGAGTACGTCATCGACCCTGTGGCCGAGGCCAAGCTCGTGCGCAAGCAGGACCTGCGCGTGGTGCCCATGGTCTTCCTCATGTACTTCTTCACCTTCCTCGACCGCACCAACCTGGGCAACGCGCGCGTCGCCGGCATGGAGGCCGACCTCGGCCTCGGCACCTACGGCTTCAACATCGGCGCCTGCCTGTACTACGCCATCTACTTCTTCGCCGACATCCCCGCCTCGCTGAGCGTCAAGAAGTTCGGCTTCATCGTGCTGCCGCTGAGCTGCGTCGCCTTCGGCGCCGTCACGCTGGCCACGGCCTTCATCAAGAACGAGGCCAGCTTCTACGCCATCCGCCTGCTGCTCGGCCTCACCGAGTCGTTCCAGTTCCCCGGCCTGAGCTACGTCGTCTCGCGGTACTACCGCCGCAGCGAGGTCACCACGCGCATCACGTTCTTCATGGTGCTCTCCGCGGGTCTCGCCAGCGGTTTCGGTGGCCTGCTCGCCTCTGGCTTCCTGTCCTTGGGCAGTATCGGAACGGTCCACTCGTGGAGGAACATCTTCCTGGTCGAGGGGTACGTCGCATTTTGTAATAGTTCATACGTTGACTGTTCGCACACTGACATGGCGTAAAAACAGCATCATCACAGTTGGTGTCGGCATCCTCGCATTGTGGTTCTTCCCGGCGGACCCGTCCAAGACGCGCATTTTCAACGAGAAGGAGCGCGAGCTGGCCATGGCTCGCATCTTCCATGACCAGCCCGCCATCGTCGAGCACAAGGAGCGCATCACGTGGAGGCTGATCAAGAGGGGCATCTTCAACGTGAACGTCATGGTCGGCTCCTGGCTCTACATCTGCAACCAGATCACCGTCCAGGGCCTGTCCATCTTCACGCCCACGATCCTGCGCCTGAACTACCCCGGCCGCTCCACGGTCCAGATCCAGCTCCTGTCGGTGCCGCCCCCCATCGTCGCCATGATCTACGCCCTTGGGGTGGCCTACCTTAGTATGAAGACTCGTACGCACGGCTACGCCATTGCCTCGTCGGCCATGCTCTGCGTCATTGGCTACAGCATCTGGCTGAGCACCAATAATGTCCAGGCTCGCTACGCAGCCATCTTTCTCAATACCATGGGAGGCTATAGCTTTGGCTCGCTCACAGTCGGTTGGACGCTAGCAAACGCGGCGCCCGACACAGTGCGCAACGTTGCGAATGCTGGCGTTTCCATGCTGGCCAATATCGGTAAGTTATTGGATGCTGTCACAGTGTCATCGTCCATATAGCCCGCTAATGAATGTACAAAAGGGTCGATCACCGCCACGTGGAGTTATATCAACACCGATGCCAAGAACAACTACCGCATCGGCAACAGCTTGAACACAGCTACCGCATGTTCCGTCATCATCGCCACGATCAGCCTCGTCTTGTATCAGAAGTGGGAGAACAAGAAGCGCGCTGCTGGAGGCCGGGACTATCGATTAAATGTGCCGCCCGAGCAGGTGGCTACTTTGGGAAATATGCATCCTCAGTTCAGGTACATTCACTGAGCGTCAGGCTTGAAACGTGGCTTCGGGTTCTTTTCCTGTCGCTTCAATGCATTAGGCACAGGAGCAACACATGGAGGAGTTATATATAAATGGATAGAATGGTGTCTTTTTAGAGTGTGCCAAGATACTAGGCCTATACATCTCTCTGAACTTCCTCGGAATTCTTCAGGCCTTGGAAACTACCTCTGGTATTATTGGAATCCCATCCTTTCTCCTCGAGTGATGTGGTCAGCAAATCTTTTAGCCCTATGGCCAGTTCTACCCTTCTACATATAAACAACAGCCTATCTTCCTCAGAACGATGGAAATCCTGCTTTGTGGAGTTTCTAAGGTTCCGATTTGGAGAGTGCGGTGCCTATTGAGAATATCGCGTTCCTTGTGAGAACTTCACAACCTTTCTTCCCCAGAAAGGCTCATCTGGAGATCGACACTCCACAAAGAGGAGAACTCAGCATTCAGCTTGGCCCACCCGAATCTGGACTCCACTCCATGCGATCGGCATGAAACTGGGCGATGAGGGGACCTGGAAGCAACCGAGAAGTGCCGCGGCTGTCATGGCGGCACCGTCCTGCAACACATGATGGCGAACAAAGGCTACGACCAGATGGTCTCCCTGTGGGGGTTTGCCGACTCCATCACACATACCTTATTCAAGCTAGTGCCTTGCGCATTTGTGAGCGAGCATTGAAGCAGTGACTACTAGACCTCCGACGTACTTCTTGGCGATCTTGCTGGATTAGTACGTGCCGCCGATCGAGAGAGGCTGGAGCTGCATGTCGAGGGCGAGCTGGACATACTACGTACCCAGACTTGAAGATCTTTCACTAGAGGCCGGAGGAGTGATAGGTGTCAGAGCACGCGCGCATCATGGGTCCTGAAGCCTCTCTGCAGAACGGCAGCGCCATGCACCGGGCGCATGATCAGATTCAACATCCCTTGAGGCGGCCCTCGTCTTCGCGCTACTCCTTCCCCGAAGTGAATTTAGCTTTTCGTCGGGGAATGCTTGATTGGGTAGAGAGGAGTGTTGCTACCCAGCCTTACCCCCTTCGGCTGACAAGGATTTGACTCTCACATCTCTGCTGCAGGCTGGCGTCAGAGACTTCAAATTGAGCACAGACGAAGGCAAGCGGCAGAATGATGCTGCATTTCACATAGAGTGATGATGACGGGCAAGCTCTCTAGATTTTCGGGATCTCGAGTATGACTCAAATCCCGAATCCCCCTCGATAGGGCCCACGGGAATCGACGGGCTAAGCAAACCGTTTTAAGTGCACCATAAATTTCGTCACTCCCACCACTTCTACCAAACCGATCCCGCACATTCCGTACCGTTTGGGGTTTGGGCAAACATATCGTCATGTCAGCTCCGACTGCATCCGCTCACCTTCGCGTCGCGCGCCCGACGAACAACATCGAGGCGCTGCTGCCTTTCTACGTCGACGGGCTCGGCTTCAAGAAGATCGGCGAGTTCCACGACCATGCCGGCTTCGACGGCGTGATGCTCGGCCACGACGGCGCGGGGTACCACCTCGAGTTCACGCGGAAGCACGGGCACGACGCTGGCAGCGCGCCGACCCAGGACAACCTGATGGTGTTCTATCTCCCCGAGGAGGGCCAGTTCAAAGAGGCCGTAGCGCGGATGGAGAAGGCCGGTGTCAGCGCTGTCGCGAGCTTCAACCCATACTGGGATAATTGCGGCAAGACTTTTGAGGATCCGGACGGGTACCGCGTCGTGCTAGCAAATATGAAGTGGCTACTGTAGCTACACAACGGCTCCTAGCCAGTCACCAGTCCAGTGGAAAGGAGGGTTGTCGGCTGTCAATCTCGTCTACATGCATGTTGATGTCGCGCTCTGTGTGATGGGCTGGCTGGTGGAAGGGATTTCTCTGTTGGATGAGGCACCAATAGGCCTGGTCCAAAGGAGGGATATGTACAATAATGTCCGTCCAACTTGGCACAGCTAGTCTTTGATTTTCGAGTAAAGAAATCCGACTCCCGTCTTGGCTAAATGGGCGCTCACCGACTACCGACTTGGCGATCTGCACTGTTCATTGTTCACGACGCTAAACCTCGGTCATTGGCGCATCGAGCCCAGCATGAACCAACACCAGATTTTTAGCCCCTATGGGATCTTCCCCGAGATGGGTCACAAGGGCGAGATCAAGGCCAACCAGAAGGAGCACCATGAGGGAGGTTCGGGGTTCTGGGGAAAGAGGCCAAGCGAGATGCGGAGAAGTTGTGGAGTGAACACGGTCAGAGTCTCTGTACTCTCCACGTGTTTTGGGGAAAGCCTCCAGGAGAGATGACTCTTGGCCCCCGAGCCCATGAACACCGCTAGCTGCAATCGTCCTTGTTGCCAACCGGACCTTCGGGGGCCAAGAGTTTTCCCTCCTTCCTGGACACAATGGCCTCCCCGAGGCACTTATGCATGCATGGTTCAAGACGTTGTCGCTAAGCTTCGTTCATCCTGTCGCAAGTCTTGGCAGCAATTCCGTGAGAGGGGGGGATCCGCTCGCGATGGCAAAATGAATATTTATTTCCAGCCGTCATCTTGCCAGGGCTCCTGACCATCCCCAGACGACATCCCTCCTCATCCAACCGTTCATCACCACAACAGAGGATCCGACCTCAAGCCGACCGTCACCATGTGGAAATTCCTTGGGAGCCACAACTACCTGCTGTCGAAGTTTATGACTTCGAATGTGCTGATGTGCATCATCCTGCTCGGCACCAGTGTCTTTACCTATGGCTTCGAGACGGCCGTCATCGCGACGGTGCAGGCCATGGACCGTGGGTTTCTCCGTGCGATGAACAATGCGTTGATGCATCTCCCCTGACAAGAATTGGTTTCGCAGACTATGAGAAGCAGTTCGGCGAGTTCAACTCCAAGACCAAGAAATGGGAACTTTCCGCGGGCCGCCTGGCATACCTCAACTCCTTCCCGCTCATCACCTACGGGCTGGGAGTCGTCGGGGCCTCGCTGATCAGTCAACGCTGGGGACGTCGCATCGTGGTGGGCATCATGAACATCATCTGCATCGCCGGCGTCCTGCTGAGTCTCCTTGCCACCAACTACGGGGCGGCGCTCGGTGGGCGTCTGATCCTGTACATCCACGTCGGAATGGAGGCTGTCCTCGTCCCCATGTATCTGGCCGAGATCGTCCCTGCTGCCATTCGTGGCTCCGGTATGCACAAACTTGCCCTAGTCGTCTTTCCACTTTGCGTGAATGAGGATTTCTTCTAAACTCTGTTTTGGACAGTCGTCGCCACGTACGCGTTCAGCCACATGTTTGCCGCCTTCATCGCCTCCATCATCACCAACTTCACCAGCAGGATCGACAGCAACCTCAGCTGGCAGCTGCCCATCGGCCTGGTGCTGATCTTCCCCGTCTTCGTGCTGCTGACCATCACCCTGCTCCCCGAGTCGCCGCGCTGGCTCCTGCGCCAGGAGCGGTACCAGAAGGCCGTCGACACCCTCTACTACCTGCACGGCGCCCGGCCCGAGTACAGCGCCGAGCAGGAGGCCAACCTGATCATGGAGGCGATCCGCACCGCTACGACGCAGGGCAAGTGGAGCGAGCTCCTCAAGGGCTCCAACGCCCGCCGGACGTGGATCGGCATCCTCTGCGCCGCCGCGACCCAGCTGACGGGCCAGACCTTCGCGAGCAACTACGGCGCCGTCTTCCTCAAGCAGCTCAACATCATGGACCCCTTCACGGGAACCATGATCAAGCGCTCCCTGCTCGTCGTCGCCTGCCTGTTCGTCATCTTCTTCGTCGAGTACACCGGCCGGCGGCGGCTGGCGCTCGTCTCGGGCTCCATCTCGGCGACCTGCCTGCTCATCATGGGCGGGCTGGGCACCATCACCAAGCGCAACAACGACCAGTCGCTCACCATCCTCGCCATGACCATCATGTTCCCGGCCTTCTACACCGCCGGCTTCGGCTCCAACATGCAGGTCGTCAAGTCCGAGATCCCCCACACCAGCCTGCGCGACAAGTCCATCATGGTCCACTGGAGCGCCGCCAACCTCTGCAACTTTGTCGCCACCTTCACGACCCCGTACCTCCTCAAGGCCCCCTACGCCAACCTGGGCCCCAAGGTCGGCCTGATCTACGGCAGCATCTCCGCCGTCTTTATCGTCCTCCTCTTCTTCTTTATGCCGGAGATGACCAACAGGTACAGTCACTTCTTGTCTCTGATTGTCTGCTGATTTGGGCCTGCATGCTGACAAGCTTGATAAATTAGATCCCTGGAAGAGGTCGACGAGATGATGGAGGCGAGGGTTCCTGCCTGGAGAACGAGAGGTAAGAGCCACGAGCCGTACGATTTGATCATTGTGGCATGTGCTAACATTCCGCGTCCGTACAGAATGGCAGGCAACTGGTCTGGGCTCGATGCTGACCCGCCTCGGCAACGGCGACAGGTTGGAGAAGGGCGAGGAAGCCGGCGTCGAGGCTCATGTCACCACCACCGAGGTCAAATAGGTCTTCGTGCTACTAGAAACTCGTACAAATGTGCAATCACAAGCATGTTGAGTGGGAACCTCTGCAGACAGTCAAGGCGCGAGATCGATGGCTGTAATTAGGTTCTCGCTAGAGATCAAAGGGATGATCATCATTGGACCCAAGTCTAGAGAGATCGAAACAAAGATGGAGAAATTTTTCTACTACCACCGGGCCCTTGTGAGCTTTGTTATGCTGTAAGTATGTTAATGCTGCCGTGTTGTGCCCAACGTCCGGCTGGTTTTGGCCGCGCATGAGAGAAGAGATGGCCCTCCCATTTGTACTTGTGTTGGCACAGGCCAAGTCTCTGAACTCTCAAAAGCCGAAAGCCAGGTGATGGCCTCACGGTTCTCGCGCATGGCGCAGAGACAGGAGCCATAGGTGTGGGTGGCCCCGGCCAAGGCCCACACAAGGCGAGAACGGGATGGCAGCATCGCTATCGCCATCTGGCTCTTCTTGGAGCACAAGATACTGGTACGTGAGAGACGCGGCGGATCAGGGATGCAGACGTCATTATGGAAAGGAGCGTCGATCACGTTGATCATTGCGGGCAGTTAGCCATGCCTGAGAAGGTTGGCGATGTGTTGTTGATCAAGGCCAACGTGCTCATGAGCTCGGGTGGGCTAGGCTCAAGCCTGCATCGTGGAGCATGAGCTGTGCGACTGTGACGTTGCATTTACCCCCCTGAGATGCGTTGCTCTTCCGGCCAGGTACCTAGTACTCGAGGCTTCTGATCCTTGATTCGCAGCACTACTATGTCCGGATGTTTGCAACGGCGCATGCGCGATCAAACGCCTCACGATATGCCAAGGGCAACAAGGCAGCAAGAAGGAAGGCAAAAGGACCGCGGGTAGACAAGGCATATGGCATGACATCTTAATGGCCAGAGAGAGACTCTGCTTTTGTATAAAGCCCCCGATCAGCCGTGGCCCACCTGTCCTATTGGCAACCATTAATCACACAACCTTATTACCACCACTCGCTCGCATCTTCTCCCCTGCTCGGCTATCAACACAGCACTTGCAATGTCGGATTCGACTCCAGCCCAGTATGTCGTCGATCCCTCCGCCAATCCGCACCTCTGGCCTGGACCCGATCAGGCGCGTGAGAACATCGTCGTCAACAGGGTTGACGTGGTCTATATCAACATCAACGGCGAATCCGATTTCATGTGGCTACGCACGGGCACAGACGAGCATGTCCATCACGCTGTACTGCAGGTAGCCAAGCATGTAGCCCGCGGGCTCTATCGGATCGTGAGCATGAATGTCTCCGACTTCTCCTGTATGGTGATCATATCAACGGGGAAGAAGAGAGAGGAGCTCAAGTGGAAGCATGGGTTTCCGTGGGATAGGGAGGACGATCCTCAGCCAGACGTGGTGCTGAAGTCAGGAAAGTGCCACGATGCTGTGAATGCAGGACGGGACAGCCTCAGGGAGATCATGAGATGAAGGTCGGATAGCTACGGTACAGATTGGCATCACGATTGAGGAATACAAACACTCGCCGGTCAAGATCCTTTCACATGAAATGAATGTAACATGGGGTTGACCACGAAAGGGCGGAACATGCCGCTCTGGTCTGCTCGAGTCCTAGTTCATACAAGGAAGGTAGTTGGTCATGAAGCATCCAGACAGCCAGCAAAGACACTTGTAGCAAACAGCATTGCTTTCGATACGTGTAACGGAGCTAATTGTCCGGCTTAGTCGGAGGAGATTTGGGGCTACAAGTGGAGCATCGTTGCCGTTGGTTCTCAGGGCACGCAAACAATGCAGGGATTCTTGAACGAAAAGATCGCCCCGGGCGAAACCTCCAACGGCGGAGTCACGGATGGTGGTAGGCCTGTCAAGCACTTTTATCTGTTGCTACCTTTATTGACCAGCGGGGATATGCTGGGTACCTACACATCCATACAATTCTGGTCTCAGTACAGATGGTGTGGGATGGTCATGAACAACGTCTGCCCAAGGTTTAGTCAGGCCAGAGGTACTGTCGTCCGTACGGCGGCCAATCAGGTTTTGCTGTTCTCTGGAAGCGCCCTCGCCGATAGTGGCTACCAGAGTTTGGAATCATGTTGTTGGCAACTTAGAATCCATGCTGGTCAGGCGTCTGAGCCGATGTGTGTGCATTCGCTAATGATAGACTCACATGAAAATACCATCTGTTAGCAAGACATTCTTAGCACTGTCTGGATCTAGGACACAACAGGTAGGTGCTCATGCCTGCAACCTCTTATTCGGAGCGGAGAGTCCCAGAGGTGTCTTATTGTTGGTGTCACCATCCGACAAGATGTGTACGAATGCGTTGAACTTGAGGGAAGCGTAAGAGTACATAAAAGGGGGCTCTTCCCGGACCACAATATTGTTTGGAAATCCAGCCCTGGCACTTCTCGCCGAATAAACCTTGAGCGAATTGGTTGAATAGGGTCCTCGACTTATCTTGCACCTATTATCTTATGCCCTTCACAAGATGCGAGCCTCACAAGGTAATGACCAATCTTCCCTCTCCCAGTAGCACTGATTAACTTACACCTTCCCAGTGCTTCTACTCTTTTTGACCACCAACATGGGTGCTGCCAATCCCGTCCCCGAGGAGAAGACAAACGCAACATCTCCTGCCCCCTTGTCGAAGCCCGTCTTCCTCTGCAATGACAATGATCTCGCCAAGAAATGCATGGGCGCACCGTACAATTTCCGTTGCGACATCAGTGGAAACGTGGTATACGACGTGCCCGACTTTCAATGCAGGGATAGAGCAAAGTGCAGATGTGAAAAGCCCTGCGACAATCCCAGAATCTGTTGACAATTTTGCAAGGTTTGAGGGCTGGGTTGAGTTGAAAGGCCCGAGCAAGAGAACAAAAGGGTGCTCGAAATGTATTCACAACCGGGTCTTATCCGCCGTCGTGGTCGAGATGCATTAGTTATGTCATGCAGGTACTAGTATCAACAGCGTGAGAGGAATAGTAACATCTTCCAGTGCCCGTTAGACTTTCCTGCCTACCTCGTGAGATCAGATGCTCCTTCGTCCTTCAATGTCGATGAATTTCCCGAGGCTGAATTTTGCCTAATGTGTACGAGAACTTCGCCTTTCTGACTGCATGCCATGCTGCAAGGTCTTATGCTAGGCACCATGGCGAAATCCAGGTCCTTTGAGAGGATAATCAATTCGCATCACGACCTCTGAAGGCGAGTAACAGGTCCATTACGCGATCCAATGCTGCTCCAAGCAGGATCGCCTGGTTTTGACAAGCACCACTGTTTCCCTGCGCCGTCTCCGCTTTGCGTTGCCCTTCCTCTCGTCTCGTTATTGGGCAGACAGACAGATTCTCCGTCTGTGCTTGTGGTTATTGTCGCATTTCGTGCGTTGGATGTATTAAGCGCAGCGCGCCCGCTTCGACAAACCGGGGCGGGTGGGCAGCGGTCCGTGTGTGCGCCTCCGCCCGTCCTCCTGCGGTGCATCATGAGGATCCTCCGCCGGAGCATTCATGAGTTCGTTTTAGGTACGTCTCTGTTGGAAAGCACGTAGAGGTTTAGGTAGCTTCAGAGTCCAAGTCACGACAAGTACTGCACGGAAGGGACATCACGAGCAGTCTGTATGTACGTTTGGAATAGGCGATCAAAGCGGAATGATGGTGAGCTAATTGATAATAACGGTAATGATAATGATACACCAATAGACATTAATATAACTTGCTAGGTCCCGCCAACTTATCAACTTGTCCTTGTCAATGATGGTGTTGAGTGATGGTTAAAGTCGTCGCGCTGTAGAGTCAAATACGCCATCACCAGGTCTCAACAGCGACACAAACGAGACAAATGAAAAGGACACTTATCATGGATACAAATAATACCTTTACACCATTCATGAATGCATCGCAACAGTGGCACGCATCGAGGTGCAAGTCGAGAGTGGAGCCCAAAATGTCGGGGACCGAAAAGCGCCCGGCCAGCAAAACACCAGAAGCCGAGGCCACGATGATCGAAACTAGCAACGTCAGCAATCACAACACACATAAAAGAACAACACAGGAAGAGCTTGAACTATTAGTATCATCATCATTGCGGTATGTACAATGGTATGGAGACATATGTACAAGGGGGGGATCCATATCCACATAACAAGCCCGCCTGGCAGTAGTAGTAGTAGTACCAATAAACATCCACCACCTCCACCAAGGCTAGCTCCGGCCAGCCTCATCACGATCGACGCGCTGACGCCCCCTCGTCCTCGAGGGGACGGCGTCGGGTACTGACTTTTGTATACGGGTGCTGGACACCTGTCCAAGTACCCTCCTGCCTCTACCGACAGGGCTGTGATCTCGGCGCTTCTTGCGCGGTGATCGCGACCGTCGACAATCGGCGATGGGGTGCGTAGAGAGAGGATGCAGCCTTGATGGCGACAAGCTCCGGTGTCGTATGGAGGATGAAAGCGGCGAAGGCTTCGCTTCGAAGAATGACAAGGCAGAGAACTCTGGCTTGGGTGTGGGCGTGTCCGACTCCATGTTTTCGGGCGTCGTCTCGTCGACGGATTCTTGCTGCGACTCCTTGTCTGCAGTATTGTGATCATCGTCGGCGAGGGCCAGAAACTCCTTCTGGTGAGTCTCTGATGCGTCAGAGATGGACGAGTCGGGTGTCTCCGCGCCGGCCTGCACGGCCAGTTGGGAGAACCCTTCGTCGTCACGAAGATGGTATATGTCGGCGGGGTGGAAATGGTCGGGTTCAGACTCGGAGAAGGATGCACTCGTGACCGGGGAGAGGTGCTCAAGATAAGGATGGTCTTCATGAGCATCACGCTCAATTGGAGAGGCAGCCGAAGAATCAGAGTACATGGTCATCGAGCGCGGAGAGGGAGGAAGATGGGAGGAGACGCAGGTGGAAATGGAGAGGGGCTCGCGAGTCAGGGCCTTCTCGCCGTCGTCAAACAAGGAAGGCTCGTCTGGCCGGTGCCAAGGGTGGTTCAGAGGAAGGTAGGAGGAGAAGTAGCGGACGAGCGAGTCGAGAGACTTGGTTCGGAAGAGCTGGACAGCATGTTGCCATTGCTCGGTGCCGATGAGAGAAGGGTTGGCGATGATCTCGAGAGCGGCAGATTCGAGCGAATCGTTGAGCTCACGGATGCGCTGCTCCTTGCGCTCGGCCATCAGGCGGTGGAACTCATCGGGGGAGGAAGCCTCGTGGGAGATCTCGTAGACGTCGTGGTGGAAGGCCTCGGGGTCCTGGATGGAAGAGGGAATGGTATTGTACTGGTCCTGGAGGGTGGTGAAGAGGTCATCCCTCTTCATGCCGAACTTCCAGGAGGGCCATGCTAAGCCAGGTTCATCCATCCTGTGCCTGGGGAGAAATGGGATATCGAGAGAACGTCGAGAAGCGGATCAAACTAGCGAGAGCGATGCGTGGACATAGGCGTCCGGGGTATCAAAAACATCAAGCCAAGGTGGTAGACTGTAGAGAGGAAGGAGACCGTGGAGAGAAAACGCTTGCTGGGTATCGTTGGAATACAGGGCTCATCGGGAGGCAAGCCGTCTAAATGCAGGTAGTGAGGAGATCCATTGTGCCGTGAATACAGGTGGTGCGAGTGTTGATTTTGTTGTGTTCTTTGTTGCCGGGGCGGTTTGCTGGGTGCAATGGGCTTGCCAGAGTGCGTGAACAGTCGTGTCCCGGAGCCTTTCAGTGACAGAGTGCAGGTATTTGCGTGCTTGCTTTGTGTGTACCGGGTCTGCTAGGGGGGCTCTGGCCCTTTCGGAGTTCGTGCATACGATGCCAACAGGCGATAACTTGGTGATATCGGGGGGGGGGGTGTCTTTGGTCTGGCGGTCGGTCTCGAAGGTTGGAGGAGGGAAAACGGGCGACGGTGGTTGAAGAATCGCTGGGGGGGGAGCGCGAAGGGTAGGGAGAATTGGGTGAACGGGCCATGGCGAAAGAGCTGGGGGACACAACACGACACACACACACACACACCCAAAGCACGACAGGTGGGTGGGCATTCCACGGATCCCTGAGTGAGGCTACAGCGGGAATCAGAGTTGGCGGGCAGACGGCGATGCGGTCAACACCCCCAAAACTGACGCCCCTTCCCTCCCTAAACTTGGAGCCGGCTCTTGCGGCCTGACAGTCAGGTGGCACTAGAGGCCGCTAGTGGCGCACCAAGCCAGCCCTAGGGCCAATCAGCACTGCCCGGGTCATCTCCTGTTCCACACTGTTCCATCGCGCTAATGCAAATTCATGCAACTGCGCCCGCGAAGAGTTTTAGTGTGGCCGGCTGAGGTCCAATCAGCCTCCGTATCGCAAACGAGGGTCCACCCGAGGCCGGGTTCTCATTTGGCCCGCAGGCTGCCTGTCTCCCGCCCGCCTGTCTCCTGCGCAAGCTGTTGGCTGTGTCAACTCATCCGTGCCATTCTGTGCCACCCACACCTCGCAGTCGCAGGCTCGCAGAGTCGCACCCTTGGCACCTTCCAGTGCCCAGTCGATCAATCCGATGGTCCTTCCTCGTGGTGCGTGAGATTCCGTCAGATTCCCGCACAATGCGCCCCCAGCCCTCCAGGCTCTTGCCCGTTTCGGCGGTGGGCGTCATGGCAGGTCCGAGAGGGCTGACTGATGAAGCCTTCCCACACAAAAATAGCACGGGCACACACACTCCGCTTTGTCAGGATGTGCGGCCGGCTGCTGACAGCTGCCAGGCATAGTTAGAGATGGTCCGTCCTCCAACATCGTCGTTCAATGTTTCTGTTCTGTTGGTGTGTCTCGCCACACACTCGAGTCACGGACGGTCATGCGCACGCGCCCACCCATGACCCATCATCCGTCATCACCAGGCATCACACATGGTCAGCAAGTGGTGACCGCCTGCCTGGCCCAGTGTCTGATCCCTTTAGGCCATGCGACCCCCTCGCTGTCATGATCTATCACGTCGTTGGGACGGACGCGAAACTCGAGGGTCGAGTAAGAAGGCCTTCTTGTCGAGGCAGTCATCGCGCAGAGAGACAAGGACCGGAGCCGCTGTCGACGAGGCATTCCAGTGCAGTCGCCATAGGCCCAATATCCCTTACAGTTGGTAGTCTAATACGGAGTATGCCATCAGATTGGAGTAACTCGGCGTTGGCACGAACTGACAGGCAGCTCAGCCCTCGAATCGATCTCACGCCATGCGGCGACAGAGCGATTGGAAAGGTGAGTGAGAAAAGGAAAGAAAAAAAGAAGGAGGGTGAGGCCACCACAGATGGTCAAAAGAGGGACGGGCGCACGAGGGACACGCTGCACTTCCACAATCGTGGGGACCACACGGGCGGTTCTTCCCACCATCCAAGCGCCGTCTTTGGCTCCCGCAAGCGCTAACTGTTGCTACCGCTGCCCACTCTCGCCGCCGTTACTGGCTGTTCCCGCTCCCTCCTCACTACCCAGTCGCCCTACCAGTGAGCTTTCGTGGTGTCAGCCAGAACTGGCAGATGTGACGGATCGATCACTAACCATCCATCACAGTAAGACCATGCAATCCTGCTAGAGTATCGCCCTATCTGTCTGTCCTGCAGCTGGCGAGACCACTTCGTCCAGAATTGGCGCTGGCTAGGCAGCGATGGTCATTCTACGAAAAAGATGGAAATCGACAAAGTTGGATCATCATCAATCAATCGATCTACCTATGAGCCACATTCCCCCCTCCCCCGCTCTTCTTTCGGCCGTTCACTTTCTGCTTCTCTTCTTATCTTCCCCCGCTTCTGACTCTTTCTCCCTATGACTGTGTCCCTGTCTTCCTCGTCTGGTCTGGCTACTTATTCACTGGTCTGCCCACGGGTTGAGGCTGAGACTGCGCTGGCCGGGAGGGGACCCATATTGCCATCAGCAGGGCCACACTGACGCTGCCAGGGTGACTCCGTTTTTCTCGTTTCCTCGTTGCGCCCGCCCACAAGACGAACCCCGTCCTCGTTCTTTAGCCCATCTGACATCCGGGCGTGCTCTCTGATCCTTCTCACGCAAAGAGCCCTGTGCTGTCTACCTCCTAAGCGATCTTGAAAAGGCCTTCGATCCAGCAATTACCATGTCTCATTAAGCGGCCTCGGGACAGGGCGGTTCTCGCCTGTCCACTTGTGTCTTTTCCCCGCGTGCTGAGGGCCGCCTGCTCACTTGTCTTTGCCCTCGCCTCGCCTCGCCTTACCGCGCCGAGTTTTTGGGCGACCAGACCCAGCCCGTCATAACTCGACTCATCGGCCGCCTACACACTTTGTTGAGGCGCAATCTGTGCGATTTGGAACAGGCAGCAAAGCGTTCACATTTCTTGCATTGTCCCTCTCTTCTCGTTTCCTCTCACGCCGATTCCCTAAAGCATTCGTGCCTGGCGTTCATTTTCTTGAAAAAAGCTTATCTCGTTGCCATCGTCTGTGACTCTTTCAAACAAGCGTGAAAAGAAGCTCCACGGCACGTTATTGTGTGGGTCATCGCCGGCGTGGAGCGGAAGACAAAACAGTCAGCATCCCGTTGCCGTCTCTCGTCAGAATCATGCCCGAGGCCCGTGTCGAGCCTGCCGGGTATGAGTCTGAGGAGAAGACGGAGCCCTTCTCGCAAACAGAGTTCGATGCACGATGGCAGAGCATCCAGGTGCAGCGGAGCTCGAGCAGCCAGAGCCATGCCGAGTCTGCCGTGCACCTCGACAAGCTGGTCGTACCGCAAGACAAGGACATCCGTATCCTGGTCCGGCCCTTGAGAAGTCGCTCCGTCAGTCCGGGGAGCCGTGAGAACTGCGAATGGCTGGCGCTGCATGCCGAGGTGGCCGCTCCAGACCAGCCTCAGCACAAGGTCCTGGCTGTGACTCAGACGTCCAAGGACATCAAGTTTGTGGTCCGCATCCCCGGTGGCGGGTTTGACGACGACTCACCCAAACCACCATTGTGGTGCGAGCTCTACTATGACCCGGCCAGCGACAACCAGATCCTCGTCAACAAGTCCGAGGTCCCGATTGCCCTTTCGCGCGTGCCCCAACACCTGGTGGCGAGCCCGACGTATGAGTACATCGTCAACCCTTACATGAGCAAAGGCCTCACGCCAGGTACCTGGCGGATCAAGGTCAACGATGTCGAGGTGCTAGACTTTCGCATCCTAGAGAAGCGTCCCGCCGTGCTCAGGACCCCGTCCAAGTCATCGTCTGACGTGTCCAGCTCGACGGTCAGCGACGTCATCAACTCGTCAGGGAAGCGCTCATTTGTCGCCGACGAGAACGCCGAGCTCGGGCCAGAGCTAAGGAAGATACGTTCTGCCGAGACCACAGGACGTGGCGAGGATGGCGTTGTCATGTTTCTGCGCAAGAAGGCAGACCCATTAGTCTTTCCACTGCCCACGGCCGCTCCGGGCAAGGAGATCATGACCACCAATGGCCATGCGCTACTGGATTTGGAGAAGGACGACTCCGTGCAGATTCCGGGAGGTTGTGAATTAGACTCGTACGAGCTGAAGAAGCGCGAGCCCATCGCGTCGACGACGTTGTCCACCGTCTTCACCGCCACCTCTGACCACGTCAACGTCCCTCCAGACGGCACCATCACCGTCAAGGTGCTGAAGACGCGGACGCCGCCCGTCCCCACCGGCGCCATCATGAGGCCCCAGCAAGCCGAGCAGAACGTGATCCGGCAGGCGGACACGTGGCTGCGCGAGTACCAGTCGCACGAGTACCTGCAGCACGACAGCATCGTGCGGCTGTACGGCGGCGACGCGCGCCACCTCTCGCTGTACATGGAGCACGTCGACGCGCACGACCTCAGCGCGAGGGGCAAGTGGCGCGGCACGACGTCGGACTTCTTCACGGGCACGCGGCAGGACGCGCTGCGGATCCTGCGCGACATCGCGGGCGCCCTGCACTACATCCACGGGCGCGACCTCGTGCACAACGACATCAAGCCGGCCAACATCCTGTACTCGCCGACGCGGGGCGCCGTCCTGTGCGACTTTGGCCTGTCGACGCGCGCCGACAACCCGGCCAGCCTGGGCGGCACGCCGTACTACGTCCCGCCCGAGTTCATCGGGCGCAAGCTGCGGGGCCCGCCGAGCGACGTCTGGGCGCTGGGCATCACGATGCTCTACGTGCTGCGCAAGATCTCGTTCCCGGACTCGCGGGGGCGGCAGCACCACCCGCGGCCGCTGTACTGGATGATCGCGGACCTGAACCGCGGCGGCGCACACCACCACCATCACCACCACCACCACAACAGCAGGGGGGCGGCCCCCGCCACGGCGCCGTCGGCCGTCTCGCAGATGCAGATCTGGCTGTCCGAGATCAACGAGGCCAAGGACAGGCTCAACATGAAGGACAAGATGGAGCGGCTGGTGGCCGAGATGCTGATTCCCAACCCGGCGCACAGGGCGACTATGAAGCGCGTCGTCAATGAGCTGTTTGCCGACTGAATGAAAGAAATGAATCGGGATCTTTTCAATGGGAAATGGAGCGCATTGTTGTTATCTGCTTGCTTATGCGACTAGGTGTGTCGTGAGGAGGCGGATCACATGTGATCAGGCTTGTGCCGACAGATTGAGTGTGAGTCTTCGAGGTGCATCAAGGATGACAATGGACATCATGTTGCAATGGACTAACAACCGGAACAGGCCTGCCATACGTTTTGATCAAACTCATCAAATGGTATATTGCGCTGCATCGCTAAGCAACTGTCATCAAGCATTACCCGCAGCGGGATTTCATCTCACCAGGGCCGCAACCCGGTCCATATGTACACCGAATCCACGCTACCTCTGCGTCTCTTCCACGATGCGATGTCAAGACAAAAACGCAAACCATTTTGTTTGCGGTAGAAAGAAGAAGAAAAATCTAGAAACCCAGACCATAGACCAGGGCCGCCGTCAGACCAACGACAGACGCCAGGGCGGTCTTGTCCACGCCCGCGAGCGAGCCGGCGCTCTTGCCGCCGCCCGCGCTGCTGTTACCGCCGCTGCCTCCGGAACCGGAGCCGGAGCCGGAGCCGTCGGCGAGGGTGCCGTTGGCGGTCTGCTGCTTGACGGGGTAGTAGGTGATGTTGGGGTTGGCGGGGCAGGCGTCGCCCTTGAGCACGGTGGCGTTGGCGGTGAAGCGGATGTCGGCGCAGTTGTACAGGGCGCTGCCCTCGGCGCCGACGGTGACGACCTGGATCGACGCGCGGGCGCCCTCGGCGGGCTTGAAGGCGGCGGGCAGCTTCAGCTGGGGGATGCAGAGGTCGCCCTTGCCCGACGAGTTGAGGAACTGGGGCGTCAGCGAGATGTTGAAGTTGGTCACGTCGCCGGCGGCGTTGGCGGCGAGGCCGAGGTTGATGAAGATGTACTCCCAGGCGTGGTGCAGGCCGAGCTTCAGGCTGCCGCCGTCGAGGGGCCAGTCTGTGACGTTGTTGCCTGTTATGTTTGCGGGGACGCCGGCACCTGTTTTTTTTTTTTTTGTTTGTTGGTCAGTTGGTCAACAGCCAAGAAGAGGGAGGGGGGGGAGGGTAAGATGGACGTACAAGGGTAGGTCCACTGGGAGATGGACGGGTCCTTGGAGTTGAGGGAGTCTGTCCGCCAGGGGGGGTAGACGAGGCCGAAGTGGGCGGAGGCCAAGTGGGCGCCGGCGGCGAGGGCGAGGGCGAGGGACTTGACGGCCATCATGTTGGCTTGGTTTGGTGATGCTTCTTGGCTGCGTGTGTGTGTGTTTGTGCACGGGAAGTGGAAGTGGAAGTGGGTGAGCCAAGAGAGACTGGGTGTGTGATCGTGGAGAAAGTGAGAAAGTCACAAGGTCTCGAGTGAGGGTGAGGGTGAGGGTGAGATGATGACAAGCAGCAATATGGCAGCAGCTGAAGTTGCAGAAAGCAGCTGGCGAGGCAAGCTTATATGTAGTCTGTCAATGCAAGCAGCAAGCTACATTACAAGCACTTAAGAAGGAGAAGAAGCTTCTGGGCCTGGACCCCTGCGCCGGGGCACTGGGACTTTGCAAGCGCGGGATGAGCGAGTTTTTTTTTTGTGGTGATTCTTACCCTTTCGTATCTACAAGTACGAGTGGCACCCGCCGGTAAGGACACACGGACGGGCTGGTGCTTCCTTGCCTTAACTACCCCCACACCCATCCCATCACGACATCTGTTGTCCAACGGATGCAAGCCGGTTTTGCGTTCTCTGGCGACTGGGTGAGCATGACTGCCTTGCTTTGCCTGGTTTCTTGTGCTGTAGAACTAGCAGACCCGCGAGATCTGGGTGGTTTCCAGTGCCATGAATGACGTTTCTTTTCACCTTGAACCGTCTGTCTACTGGAGGTTAATCTGATCTTTCAACAGGTGCCAGCCGCCGATCAGATGAGATGGAGAACGGGTTCCTGGAGTGGAAAGCTGCCAGCGTTCCCAGCCGCCGCTCCAGAGAACGCACGCACGCACGGCACGCTAGCATGCGCTACAAGTACAGCGGGCTACAGTACAAGTACAAGTAGCTTAAGCTTAGCTGAAGCGAAGGCCCTCTGTCGGGCGGGCACCCAATGAGAGGCACAGCGCTCCAAGCGCCCCTGGAGCGGTGTGGGGGCGTGTGGCTCCAGGGCTGGTCTTGGCGGCCCGAGAAAACTTGCTCAAACCACCGCAATCCTTCTCGGCTCTGGCCTTGTTTCTTCGCTTACACGGACCGGCCAACGGGGGCAAGCGCGCGGTGCGGCTTTCTTCCCTCCTCCCCTCTGAGCAATCGGTGTTTTGGCCTCGTAGTCGGGGGTGGATGGATGGCCGGGAGGAAACGAAATGAGACTCTCAGGAAACCCCACTGTATAAGCATATTAAAGTCGCTCACGGGCCTGCGGGCGGTTGATTGCCTGAATGGGCGATTTGTACCGGAGGAAGCTGGAAGCTGGTGCTGGACTTTTATTGCCCACGCCGCGGGCTGAAGAAAGGACCAAGCTTTGTAAGTCGATCTCGGCGAACGACAAGCATTGCGTCCATGCACTGGGAGTGATGTATAGAGAGAGAGAAACCCTGGAAACGATGGCATGCATGCTCTCTTGATGTTTGCGTCCGTCCGTCTCCAAGACCCGAGTCCTGGATGTGGGCCTAAACAACCGTCGTTTCATCTGACCAGGATGCACACTGCTCCTCACTGATAAAGGAGAATTCTTGAGTCGCTGGCTGCATTACGAAATGGGAAAGTTACGCTGCCGCTTGGCTGGTCGAGACTCTTTGAGTTGTCTAAACTCGAATTCAATGGCTTCGCTGCTTGCTCGAACTTGTGTACAACAAGGATTCTTTTGACGTTATAGCTTTCTACAAGCATTAAAAGCATTAAGCAAGCCAGTCTTACTGATTATTGAATTATCTTTCAAGGCTTTTTTTGATATTCGAGAAGGTTTTGGTTCGATCAATCTCGTGATCAGCACTTTCCTATTCAAGAAGAGACAAGCAAAAAAAGAAAAGAAACGAGAAGACAACACAATGTCCGGATTGTCGATCCAGCGCCATACATAGCACAAGCCCAAAATAGAACCCATGGCTGATCACTCTCACGTCCCCACACTCGGCATGATCCGCACGTGGGCGCCAGCTTTTGACGGCGCCCATCTTGCATGGCCCAGGTCTCGCCGCACTTGATCTAGATCTAGATGACCACGCAGGTGGCTGGCACGGAACAAACTCGGTGCCTGGACTCTTTCTGATCGTGCTGACGAGCTGGATATGGTGATAATCTATCACTGGTATAGCTATGGAAGGATTTGGAGGTCCTCGGCAGGAGGGATGAGGCGGCGCTATTGTTGTAGTCCCATCCCATCGTCGTGCAAGAAGCTGAGCATTTTGTAGCTGGAGGACTGACACTCTTCCATAATTTGTGAGACCTCATCGTTGGCATGCTGGTCGTGCCCACCTCTGGGAGCACAGGCGGGATGGCGATGCGCACAGAAGCTGTTCTTGGGGGCGTACAGAGTCATTATACTTTAAGGTCATAGTCTGGAAGGGCGAGAGCAGGCTGTTTGGAGACCCAGATCTAACGTACACAAGTGTGGGACAGTGACTGATGCTTAGATACCTGCCCAAAATAGTGGCCGGGTATGAGAATATGGAGGTTAGAAGGGCATATTGCTCTCCTGATACATCTTGTTTATTAGTTCCCGCAAGCATGGAATAAAGCAACGACGACGTGGACGCGTAAAGACGTCATGAGATCGCCCGAGTGTATCTCACAGGACCTGGCTTCTCATCTCATCGATGTCCCTGGTAGTCGCATGCTTCCTCACCACTGCGCAACGAGATCTGAAATTAATTCTCAACAACCGCGGGCCCGCGGGGGTTCGGAATTGAAACCCTGTCAGAAGCCTTGCCGAATCGGGGATTGTCATCACCTTATCTGCACATCGCATTCCTCGACGTCCGATTTGTCGGCTCGGATGAGTTCGTGAGAAAAACACCACTTTCGTCCTGAACAATGCGTCTGGCCACCGTTGATTACAAAGCAATGTGTTTCGCCTGGAATAATGCTCGTAGGCGATGGATGCCATATCTCAACGGCCCGGGCAACAAATGCCTGTGCAAGCGGCTCCAAGTGTATGATGGTAGCGTGAAGCACATGGAAGGGCGATGGAGCTTTTAGCTTTAGACGGCTGAACCTACCCATCGGATCTTAGCGGCGCAGAGGCTTGGAATGCACTGCATTATGGGGCCCAAAGCCAGTCAGTCGTATGGACTAGATCCGGAGCCAGCGGACTTAACACGCCCATCGTGGCGCGCGACGGGGCAGGAGACCAGCGATCCGAGTGCGAAGCCTGGTGCTGGCCTGGGAACTTGGCCGGATTTGGCCCGGCGGACCCGCGGGTCGTCATGGCCCTCCAAGATGTTGACTCTTGTCATAACGTCGAACGACCACGGCCTTTGGACCTTGACGTCGCAATTCATCTTGTCTATATATGTGCACTGTGGGCAATGCCGGTGCTGTCTTCCTCCTTTCGTCTTGCTCTGCGGCATAGTCGAAAGCAGGCTTCGTCTCGGATCATCTCGTTGAATCACAGTACCGCCAGGATGGCTAGCACGCAGACCTCGTTTGTGACCACGGTCACCAAGCCCGTGCCGAGCAAGGCCAGGCCGGATGACGCCGATAGCAAACCACACCACGCAACCCCGGGCAAGGTGTTCAAGAACCCTTGGCCGTCTTTCGTCTACAGGCCAGGGAGGTCTATTGGCTTAGAGCTTGTCTAGTAAGAGCCATTGTCCGATGCGACGCTGTGCTGCAGGAGAATTTGGGACTGACCGATCAACGTATCCAGTCGGAGCTGGACCGGCAAGGCCAAAAAGATGGTCACAGAGGGCCATGGTATCCCAGTGCAAAAGGCCACCTTCTTGCCTTCTCGGCATATCAAATCAACAGATGCAGGGAAGGATGCGGCATCAAGCGACGGCAGGCTATTAAGTCAAGACACAATCCGCGCTACCTGGCTCGGACACGCGTGCTTCTACGTAGAATTTCCCTCTGGCCTCCGGGTCCTTTTCGACCCGGTCTTTGAGGACCGCTGCTCGCCCGTGAGCTGGTTCGGCCCCAGGCGCTTCACGGAAGTGCCCACCACCATCGCAGACATCCCCTTCGTGGATGCCTGCTTCATCAGCCACGCGCACTATGATCACCTCAGCCAAGCGACGGTCCTGCGGCTCAAGGAGAAGCATCCGAACTGCCATTTCTTCGTGGGCCTCGGGATCAAGAAGTTCTTCACGGGTCTCGGCATCGACAAGTGCACGGAGCTCGACTGGTGGGAAGACGCCGAGCTGCGAGTGCGCTCGGAGGATACGGCAGACAAGGCGGCGGCGGCGGAGATCGCAGCCCAGGTGTCATGCCTGCCTGCGCAGCACGCCTCCAACAGGGGCGCGTTCGACGAGAACCACTCGCTGTGGGCGTCCTGGGCCGTCTGCTCGGGCGGCAAGTCCGTCTGGTTCGCCGGCGACACGGGCTACCGCGCCATCAGCGCCGACATCCCCGAGGAGGCGAGGAGCAAGTACACGCCCGAGCTGCACCGCAGGTTCCCCTGCTGCCCGGCCTTCAAGCAGATCGGCGAGCTCAAGGGCCCTTTCGACCTGGGCCTGCTGCCCATCGGCGCGTACGAGCCCCGCCTGCTGTTCAGCAGCCTGCACTCGAACCCGTACGACAGCGTCAACATCTTTGTCGACACCCGGTGCCGGAGGGCGCTGGCGATGCACTGGGGCACGTGGGACCTGGCGACCGAGGAGGCGGTGATGGAGCCGCCGGAGATGCTGAAGGAGGCCTTGCGGAGCAAGAAGCTGCCCGAGACGGGCGTGTTTGACACTTGTGGGATTGGTGAGAGTGTCGAGGTGTGACGGTGGCGACGGTGTCAACGGGATATGAGTGTCTGAGTATCTGTACAACAGCATAGATTTGTTTGCTCGAGCATTACCGCCTGTCAGAGCGAGGCGTCACCGCGTAATATGATCCAGTGTCATTGTCCTCTTCCACTTTTTGCGTGTCACCTACTTGCAGGATTGATCGTAAATGGCCATAACACACCGTGGTCTCACTGGAGACATTAGCACATGACCTGGTTTGGCTTTGCTTTCAGTTGTCTGACACTGGGAGTAAATCCCCTTGAATTCGTGTTCTCACGGGGTTTGTGTGACACAGTCACGACGAGTAAAGCTGCTAGCCTAGCCTTGCGTCAAGAGAGTATCAAGGTGTTCACAGCCAAGCAACCTTCGTCACAAGGAGGCAGTGCGTCGACGAGCATGGCTTCACGTATCTCAGTATCTTGCGTCAGGACTGCTTCGAGCAGCTATATAAACACCCTGCGACTTCCTGAAAGCCACTGGACATTTCGTATCATCAACGCATCGAAATACAACAGCACTCCAAGAGTCTACACACAGCCACTCCGCCACCTTAAACAAAGTACGAAACCACAAAAGCCAACGTCACAATGGGCAAGAGCGCTTGGGAGAAGTTCTTTGATGCAGCGCACAAGGACGCGCTCAACCAGGGCTCGTGGGGAATAACCCTCACCCCGGGCGAGCATTGTGTTTACTTCAAGGACGGGCGCGAACTCCGAGCCACGGTCAGCCAGGCCTGCACCGTCGACATGAAGAATTCCGGGCTCATGATGAACCTTCGCAATCTCGCCAAGTCTGCGAATGACAGAGCGTCAGTACCTTGTACCCTGGTTGATGGTGCCAAGAATGGGGATGGAGGTGCGATTGCGGTGGTTTGGAAGTTCACATGATGTAAGGTTTCATTGGAGCTCTCTCGCTTCCACACATTCCCGGCTTGTTGATGATCAGTTTGCTTACCTTGTTCTCTTTTCTGCAGAACTTGACCGCTACCGAGAGGGGAAAGAGAGAGTCACGAGGCTCAGGGTCTCCTCGTTGGGAGACGGCGGTTTAGTGGCAGGATGAGTGACCAGGGGAAATATGGATTATGAGAGTGGCACCTTTTTTGGACTTTGATTGGAGATACTCAAAACCTTTCAGCTTGAGCTGCAGGCCATACAATGCAACAGCATATCTCACAAGGCTATGCCTTACAATACCTTTTGACCAGAGTGCCAACCGTGAATTCTACCTGTGAACAGACATGATCTCCGTGTCCGAGATGCGAAAGGGTAACTCGAGCAGCGGCACGTCCCCGTGACGGAATCTTTGTGAAATACCTGGTTGATTTTGCCTTGGCACATCTCTTGGCAGGGAGACCGCTTTTGGCCGCTTTACATCCTAGGTGAACCTAACAAGGCGTTCAGATCTGGCCTGCTGCAGGCGAGCAAGACTGAATGTGGCCATGGCCGGCGTTGGCAAGACACGTGGCAGAGTAACCTGATGTCATGCCCCCAGGGGCCGGCCGAGAAAGTCCCGAAAAGACCTAGGCGTAGTGATTGCTTTCGACTTGCCGATTATTGTGAGGAAATTTATTCATCTTCGGCAGTTCGCCAAGACCAGTCGGTGATGGCCGGCCGGGGGGCGCCTCCTGTAAATATAGCAACAGCAATAGTGTGACGCGTGCCCAATGCTTTCGAGTCAAACGCCCGCCTCCCGGAGGCCCGGCAGCTGCTGTTTCGTTTCTAGGCGATCGTGCTGATCCACTATCTTCTTTTTTACCCCGAGCAAGGGAAGGTGGGCATATATTGGCCGGGGAATCCAATAGCTGCTCCGGGTGTTTACTGCGAGTCTGTGACCTCTTATACACCCGCAGCCAATGGGAGCACGGCCAGGTCGGATCCCAACTTTCCCCCAGATTTACCTTAGATTTGGAAATATATTAAATACCGGGCCTGCAATGAGCGGCAGTTGGACGTTTGTCGCCCCCCTCGCTGCAGATTTGACAGGTCCAGGTTCGGGTCGACAACCGTCTTGGCTTTAACCAGGCGAGGTGGTTCCGATTGGCATTCGTTTGCCGTGCTGGGTGTGGAAGAGGGCGAATCCCCAAGGGGAATATAAGGAGGATGGTCGTGCCAGGGACAGGCATCCTGCACCTCTTCTTCCTGCCCTTCTTCTCGCTTTCCTTCTGTAGCCTCACTCCCTTTGTCTCACCTGTCTGTTTGTTTGCCTTGCGTTGTGAGGGAAAGTACTCTTTTATACAATCTCTATCGAAAGCCAAAGAAGCGGAACAGGACACACAAGACAGAAAAGCGGCAGATCACCAAGATGCAGCTCAAGTCCCTCGTCCTCGGCGCGGCCCTGTGCTCGGCCCAGGAGCTCATGCGCTTCGGCTGCTCGCAGCTGGTCATCGACCGCATCGACCCGCTGGTCGAGCCGGGCAACACGCCGTCGGCGCACATGCACCAGGTCATCGGCGGCAACTCGTTCAACGTGAGCATGACGCCCGACGTGCACGACCCGCCCAAGCAGTCGACGTGCACGAGCTGCACCTACTCGGAGGACTTCTCCAACTACTGGACGGCCAACATCTACTTCAAGGCCCGCAACGGCACCTACAAGCGCGTGCCGCAGGTCGCCAACCTCGGGCTCGGCGTCAAGGCCGGCATGACGGTCTACTACATCCGCGGCTACCAGGCCAGCGCGCGCGTCACGGCCTTCAAGCCGGGCTTCCGCATGCTCGTCGGCGACCCGGCCAACCGCGACGCCAAGAAGGTGCCGCGCGGGCTGTGCTTCCGCTGCGAGGCCAACATGCAGCAGCAGCCGTTCGGCGGGGCGCCCTGCACGGGCTCCGACACGCCCGGCTTCCCCAACAAGGTCTGCGGCGGCGGCTGGCGCGTGACGGTGACCTTCCCGTCGTGCTGGGACGGCAAGAACCTCGACAGCCCGGACCACAAGCAGCACATCGCCTACCCGGCGCAGGGCACCTTCGAGACGGGCGGCGCCTGCCCGGCCTCGCACCCGGTCAAGATCCCGCAGGTCATGTACGAGATCATGTTCGACACGCGCCAGTTCAACAACAAGGCCGAGTGGCCCGCCGACGGCAGCCAGCCCTTCGTCTGGAGCATGGGCGACAACACGGGCTACGGCATCCACGGCGACTACCTCTTCGGCTGGAAGGGCGACGCCCTGCAGAAGGCCATGGACACCAAGTGCGCCAACGACCGGTGCCCCGCGCTGCAGCGGCAGCAGGAGGCCAAGGCCATCGCCTGCACGCGCGGGCAGGTCGCGCACGAGGACATTGGCGACGACTGTGAGTTTTCTTTTTCTTTTTCTTTCCCCGAGAAATGGTCGAGGACTGGTTTACTGACGCGTTGCTCGACGACAGGGCTCCCTGCTCTCCCCGGCATGGCTGGCATGCACTCTTAACTTACGTACTTGTATACACAGGGCTGTCGGCTGAAAGGAGGGGTCGAGTCGAGCCTTTTTGCTTGCTCCCCCGGTTCCTTTTTTCTGGAGGATCTTCGTCAATGGGAGCTTGTTGACTTTTCAATCTCTTGACATGCCTTGCGCGGCTTTGTAATTTCCCAGATAAACCTTTTTATTATATATCCTACAGAATAGCAGAATGCAAATATCCTGTCGTTTCAGAGCTTATCATCGTGATGCGCGTATGCTGGTGAGTGCTAGGGGGGCAGTTGTTGGATGCTCGAGGTGTGGTGTTGAGCAAAGGGTGACACCCTGAGTTAACATGGCTGGCTCACCTCTTTCGGAGGAGGCCTAACAGATGAAGAAGAGAGCCGTGAATGAATACCAGTGAAGGATTTGACGTAGTGACCGAGGCATAGGGACACAATAGGTCTACTGATGCTCGTAGACTATTGATTCACTAGTTGAGTTTCACAAGATGTCTTCTCTATTTAAACAGCAGCCTCACCATGAGAATTGACACAATCCTCATTCTTGATCAAAGTATTTACATCCGAGACGATCCCCTCACTTCTGACTCCTGCCTTCAAACAAGTCCACCCGCAGGCATCAAGCTTTTCAAAATGTCTGGCGAGTACAAGTTGACATTCAACAAGCCCACCTCAAGAGGCCCCGTGCCCATCGTAGTGACCTTTCGGGCAGCGGAGAAGGGGGGTTCCCAGGCGTCAGTCTCGGCGTATTCGATGACGGGCACGGAGCTCCGTACAATTCTCAATACAAAGTTCCCCGGAATATACTCCATCGAGGTATGTTCTCCAATGAAGCGAACTGCTCGCAAAGAGGGCAGATTGCTAAGAGTTGGGACAGATGCGGCACGACACCTACACCGTCACATTTCCAAACCACACTCTTGTGAGTATCGAGGCCGCTTCCTGTCTCAGATCCTTGGACTAACACGCATCCGCCTGTAGGAACAGCTGGGGATCAAGAAAAAGTGATCACATCACCAACGCATCCAACAGTGGCACTGGGATCTCTCTGGTGCTTCACGGTGGACAGAAGAATATCGCTTAGACATTCTGCGGATGAACGGACACGAAAGAATCAACACAGCTCAATGCTTTCTTTTTGGTAGCCATCAGCGGCTTTCTTTGTCTTTGGACAGGTTGCGCTGAGGAAGAGAATTTAAAGTCATTACTCCGTCCTCCATACCCTTCATCGTGCTTGTACGGTACATCATTAAATGCGCCCTAGGCATCCTTGAGAAGCTCGCCCACGAGCCAGTCTTCGCCCTCCTCGGCGGCAATACTCTCAAGGATGCCCACGAAGACCTTCTCGGCCTTCTTGACGCCCTCCTCTGTCATCGCCGCGCCGTCGGAGAACGCATTCTGCAGCCGCACCCCGTTCTCGTGCCCGACCAGACAGGTGTTGAACGCAGTGCCGGTGTCATTCCCAGACACACCAAAGATCATATCCGTGGCTCCCTCGGGCAGCGCCATGTACGACAGATTGGACCAGATACCGCTTAGTCCGTCGTAGGGGCACAAAGAGTTGATCTTTTTCAGCGCCCCCTCCTCCCGCAGCGTGTGCGCCCTCTTGTCTCCAGCAGGCAGGACGGCGGGGTCGGGAGCGCGGTACCGGCACTCTTCGGGCTTGGTCGGCTTCTCCTTGACCAGGTTCAGCATCTTCATCATGTTGAAGCCGTCGACGGCGGCCTGGGGGTCCGCCGACACGCCTCCGTACGACCTGGCCAGGTCCCAGAAGCGGCTCCGGGCGGTCAAGCTGCCGGTGGACCACATGAACATGGTCGCGTGGCCGGCGAGGCAGTACGGGTCTCCCTTGCTGACGTCGCGCAGATCCTTGACCGAGCAGTCCCGTATGGAGAGGTCGTCCCTCCTGCCGATGAATACGGTCCATATCGCGAGCACCCACGCGGTGTGGAGCGTCGGGTTGAGCGTGGCGATCCCGTGCCGCTTCCCGGCGGCTTTGAGCTTGTGCATCAGGCCGGCGGGGACGTCGAGGATCGATAACTTCCAGGGGCTGTCGATCGGCGGCCGTGCGACCTTCTGGGGCCAGGCGGGGACGTGGCCCAGCCACCTCTGGAGGAAGCCGGGCAGGCGCGGGATCACAAGCATGCTAAAGATGGTCGAGGCGATGAAGGAGTAGGGAGGAATGCCCTCGATCTCTTCGCCGCCCATACCCTTATAGATTGCGATGTCCTCCTTTGGGTGCTCCGAGATGTCGTCGGCGATAAGGGCCCTGGCGAGCTTGACGGCTCCGCGGCCGTCGATGATGATGTGGTCGAGCGTCAGGGAGAGGTAGAGCCTGTGGTGGTCGGGATTTGAGGAGGCGCGGAAGAGCGTGACCCTCCAGAGGGGATCGCTGTCGAACGAGACCTTTTCCTGGAAGAGCCGCAGCGCCCTATCGTAGATCCAGTCCCGCTCCGCGCCCGGGTCGGCCGGGTTGGCGTCGTAGGTCTCACGGCGGAGGACCTGGTCTGCGTCCCAGCTCGCGCGGCGGTATCGCATCGCCGGGCGGGGGGTGCGCTGGTCGGCGATGGTGATGCTGAGGAGCGGCCATTTCTGCTGGAGCTCGGCGGTTCTCCTGGCGAGGCGGGAGGCGTCGAGACTGGCCGGATTGGGAAACGTGAGGAGGATGTTGATGGTCGAAGGGGAGCCGACGCTCCGGTTTGTGATGAGGACTCGCCCTATGCCCGGTACTGCGGCGACGCAGCGAGGTACCTTGGTTAGCGGCGGCAGTTAGGTAGGTTAGGGGGGTGGGGGCCCCTGGATTGCGGGGGACTTACTGGGCCACTCATGCACGGCTTTGTGGTCTTGTGCTCCTGGCGAGCCGTCACTCGAGGCCATGGTCTGGATCAGAGGATGGATCTTTGGCACGAGAAATCAAGGTGTCGTCGCCGCATGTACGACACGCCATTGGGGATCCGCGCCAGCCTTAAGTAAGCACGCTCCGTATTCGGTGCCGCTCGACGACCGGGCAGCGAATCCCGCTCACAAGGGCGTATGGTGGCGCCCAGGGATTAGGCATTGCGTGTCAGCCGCCCTAATAAGCTCCAAAGGGGCATGTAGTCTGACTCTCTGGTAGTGCAAGGTCGACGCTGGGCTCCTTTGGGCCAAGTTTGACTCCTCCAGCTGTCTCAGATAACCAAGGTACTCTGTAGTAACCCGTACTGTATTCCTGTTTGGGAAGAAATAGCGGCTGGCACGCATATCCTCCGTGGGTGCTTCGGTCGGCTTATGAGAGTATCCATGTTCTGACGCTGATCCAGTAGCCATCCAAGCCACGCATCAGTTCTCTCTCCCGCCTGGGCACTTGGACAGCAAAGGAGTGATCGTTTCGGGTTGGCATTGGATTGGGCACAGTCGTCTGGATGGAACGCTGCGAAGCGTACAGCCCGGATTTCTACCAGCTGCTGCCACCGCGTCTCTGGGCTCCCCGTCTCTCCCTCTGGCGGGATGTCGACGCATTCCACCATGACAGGGCATCCCTCAAGGATGATACCCCCATGTAACCCTCCAAGGATGCACTCATGCTGGTTGGCCGATGGCAGACGCGCGCAATGATGATGACCAGCGGGATCAACCATTCCCGGCCAGTATTGCTCCCGATAATGAATGAGCAACGGCCTTGCCCCTCTGTCACGGCTCGAATCCAGGCGGACCAGGTCGATACGCAATCCAATCTGCAGTGTAGCATTCGTACGCGTTGAGTGTTGTCGACGTTTACCCTTTTTTTTTTTTTTTTTTTTTTTTTTTTTTTTTTTTTTTTTCTTTTTTTTTTTTTTTTTTTTTTTTTTTTTTTTTTTTTTTTTTTTTTCTTTCCTGGCCTGGCAATAATACCACGTGATCCGCTTGGCACCTATTCACTTGTACTTTCATTGCCCAGGTGGCCCAGGAGCCTCCACTGCTCCAGGCAGCAACACCAGCACGCTGGGCCTGTGGTCAGTGCTGTGAACCCACTGTCCCAGGCGAGCCAGGCTACAAAGAGCTCCTCCTTCACCTTTTCCGACATCTCCAGAACACGTGACGATAACGATAAGGGCCTCCACTCCAGCCTCCAGTCGATCCATGTCAAGATGGATTTCGGTAGCCCGCCCCTCCTCGCCCTGCGCCTTGGCAAGGACATCTCCTTGGTCATCGCAAGCAAAATCGCGGATGCTAGCAACAGCAACAAGAAGACCATGACGTCCGATCCAGCGCAAACCATGGCGGCGACGGCAGCGGCGGCCAAGATGACGATGATGAGCGGCGATGACGTCCCCCCTCAACGCGTCCACTATGGCTTCCTCGCACGCTCCGGCCTGGCCATTTCTCCGCCTCCAGCGCACCCTTCCCCCCCCGCCCGATCCTACGGCGCCCTTCGTGACGGCGGCGTCGGCGACGAAGCTCTCGTGCGTCACTTTGATGCCACTCCGGCCTCACCTTCCTCGGCTATCCCCGAGACCCTCCGCGAGCAACTGGAGGCCATCCTCGCCAACGACGACTGGACCAGCATTGGCGGCTACCGTATTGGCTACTTCCAAGACTGTGACGGCCGCCCTGGCGATGCCGACACCGAGGCAACCATCCTCATCACCGTTCGTCCCGGCTCCATGACTTGCGCGCGCGCCTAGGGTGCTGTGCTCGCTATTCGTTCAGCTCTCGAGGCGTAAGTCGGATTCCCGCGCCCGAATGACAAGACCATGGCCGCCGCTAACAAAGGCTCTTAGGAGGAACGATGACTCTCTTGCAGGAGTGGCCATCGAGATCACCAACGGTGAGGTTCAGCCTGCCGCTTCAGCGGTTGAGCAGCTCCACTGTGTCAAGGACATCACCGACCAGTATGCCAGCTCCCCGCTCCCTGGTGCCAGCGTGGGAGCTTCGCAGCTTGGCATGGGCTCTGCCACTCTGGGCGGCTACTTCCGAGCCGTCATTGATGACGAGACCATCTTCTTGGCCCTCGTTTGTCACCACGCCATCTCGCGTAAGGAAACCCACCCCCACCTTTCCATTTTGAAACATGTGTGAATTTGCTATCTGACCGTTCCCCTTCCCATTCAGGCCACGAGGAACCTATCACTTGTCCAGCATCTGGCCCTATTGTCTGTTCTCCTTCCGACGAGGACCACAGCTCTCACTTGCAGCTGCTCAAGGACCTCGGCGCTTCTGGTTACGTATCGCCCGATCACCGCTCCCAGATTGAAGACCTAGTCCTGCGGCTTGATGGACATGACCGCGTCCTAGGCAAGGTCATTTGCAGCTCTGGCATGGGCCGTTGCCGAGACGGCTATCTCATGGATTGGGCTCTTGTCAAAGTCTACCCGGAGCGGATGCCTGCGTCTATGGACCAGCATCTTCAAGTAAGTGCTCTCTGCCCATAATTCATACTTGTCTATCTCCTTGCGTCGCTAGAAGCGGGCTGAATACTTGGTACCGAAATTACCAAATCACTCAAGGGTTTCCTGGACAGCATGGCTTTCTGATCGCTAACCTGTACATGTCTGATCTTTAGGGCCTGCGCCACTGCATGATCACCCCAGTGCTTGAGCACCTCGGCGAACGCAAGACCTACTTCAACGATCAGACTTCTTACGACGGTGTGCTTCTTCGCCGCCCGGTCGAGGGTGCCATGTACTCGACCGAGGAAGCTCTCGCTATGGAGATCGATCACAAGCGCCACGCCCCTGTTGTCAAGAGCGGCCGCACGACTAAGACCACCACTGGATCCTGGCACCGCATCGAGCCATCCATCACTGTCACTCATGAAACCCCGGGCGGTCTGTTCCTCGCACGGGGCCGCGCTCTGAGCATCTTCGGCCGCCATGGACGTGGACAATGGTTCGCAGACAAGGGAGATTCGGGCGCCCTCGTCTACGATTATCGACTCCGTTATCTCGGCCACATCGTCGCCACGGACAAGCTTTGCCCGGGCCCTCATTCGCTCTCTGTCCCCATGCCCATGGCCCTCGTTTCTCCCATGGTTGTCATTCTTCGCGATGTCAAGGAGAGCCTGGCTCAGGCATTTGGCGCGACCAAGGTCGAGATCGAGCCTTTTGCTTAGGGCATGGAGCCTTGGAAGCGACGGATGTCTTTTTTTTTTTTTCTATTTGGGAGCCCTGGTCGCTGGAGCTTGAGAGCGAGCGCGACATCTATTGACCGACCTTGATGGGCTTGTGATCTGATCATCGATCATCGATCAACAGCCCCTTTTCATCACTTGACCACTCGAAATGGAAGCTGTCTCTTTCTCAAACTAAGACCTGATGGTAGTAATTGATATTCTCTGCCTGATTGACTAAACATTTGGCCTTGCCCGACCGATTCACCCCCAGTCCCCTCCTGTCTCTGTGTCGCGTACCAAAACAACTCTCTCTCTCTCTTATTGGGCATGGAGACCGGTGAATCGCGCTACGGGGTTCTGTGTCACCCGAGGAATTGCTTGGCTCGTTGGTCATGATCATGTGTAAAAAAGGCACTACGTTAGTAGGTGTATGTGCCCTTCGCTGGGTGATGGCTGACAAACGATTCAATGAACTCATCTCGCTCTCATCCATGCCTAACACCCACCGTTGACGCCATTGACTCCCTTTGCCAGGCCTCCCGTTATGCGCAACATGTCATCGACCATCAACTGGCTAGCGCCAAAGTACTTTGTCGGATTGCAGACGTCGGCGAGCCTTTCTTGGCTGAAGCACTCCATGACTTGGGGTCTGGTTTTCAGGGCGTCAATCAATAACTTGCCAGACTCGATCGCCTCCTTGCAAGCCTCGTAGACGATGTCGTGGGCGCCCTGGCGGCCCAGATGAGGCGCCAAGGCCATCATCACGGCCTCTCCGACAATGAGACCCCGCGTCGAGCCGAGGTTCTCCATCATCCTCCCCGTGTTGACCACCAGCCCGTTGAGGGCGAACTGCGTCTGGTGCAGGGACCCGGCGGCGAGGACGAAAGCCGAGGGGATGGCAGCCCATTCCAGGTGCCAGGGGCCCGAGGCCCTCTCAAAGTCGACGACCATGGCGTCGAGCCCCAGGGCGGCGTTGGACCGCAGCAGCTTGGAGGCGGCGTAGACGAGCTCGCTCGAGATCGGGTTGCGCTTCTGCGGCATGGTCGACGAGGCGCCGCGGTGGGCCACGAAGGGCTCCGAGACCTCGCCGACCTCGCTGGACGACATGACGATCATGTCGTAGGCGATCTTGCCCAGCGACCCGCCCACGAGCGCCAGGAAGTTGAGCACCTCGGCCACGTTGTCGCGCACCGAGTGCCAGGTGACGGGCGCGTCCCGCAGGCCGAGCTCCTCCGCCAGCGCCGCCCGGACCCGGACCCCGTCCCCGGAGGCGGCGCCCAGGGAGGCGAGCGTGCCGGCCGCGCCCCCGAACTGCACCAGCAGGCAGCGCCTCTCGATCTCCCCGAGCCGCTCGAGGTGCCGCGCGATGCCGGACAGGTAGACGGCGCACTTGTACCCGAACGTGCAGGGCAGCGCGTGCTGGAGGTGCGTCCGGCCGGCCATGGGCGTGTCGCGGTGCCGCTCCGAGAGGCGCCGCAGCGTCTGCGCCAGGTCCCCGAGGCCGGCCCTGACGATGGCCAGGCCCTGCCGCATCTGCAGCTGCGAGGCGCAGTCCATGATGTCCTGCGTCGTCGCGCCCCAGTGGATGTACCTGGCGACCTCGGCGGGCGTCTGCGCCGCCAGCTGCTGGATCAGGGGCAGCACGGGGTACCCGACGATCTCGGTGTCGGCAGACAGCTTTTCGTAGCTGGTGGAAAAGTTAAGAAGAATCAAAATCAGTATTACCCGCCGACGACAAACAAAAGGTTCTCTCTCCTGCCTGCTGCTGCTTCGAGGAGGGCCCGACTCACTCTATCTTGACCTGGCCGACGGCCTTGGTCAGTGCATCGCCGGCGCTGGCTTCGATGACCCCGACCTTGGACTGAGCTCGAGCCAGCGCCGTCTCGACCTCGATCATGCGTCCGACGTAGGCCTCGTCGGAAAAGACATCACGCATCTGCTGCGTGCCAAAGAGGTCGCGGAAGACCCGCGAGTCCAGCACCGAGACAGCCATCATCGCAATCAAGGGTTTTTGTTTTTGTTTCTTTTTTTCTTCCCTAGGAAGCAAATACTTGACAGCTCCAGAGAACATCGACTTCATTCATTGCCCTCCTCCCCCTCCCGCGGGAGCAAAAGCGCCCCCCCCCTCCAGCACGCAGGCCCGGATGGACCTTTATACCAACACCTGCGAGCCACGGGGACTCGAACCAGGGTTCTCCGCTTTTAGCCATGATGCTCTGGAATTGCGTCTATTCCGGCGCTAATGAGTGCCCAGAGTTAGTTTTCCCCTTGCCTGCGATGCGACTTCGGATCCACAGACAAAGGATGGCCGCCGCACTAGCCACGGCTGGAAGGTTGACCTGTTTGCCCTCACTTCTGACCGACGTGCATCGTGGGGGACTGGAGGCGCACGACCAATTCTTCCTCTTCTTCATCCCATGTACTACTGCACTGCGACGGCACGACCAATGATAAGCACAGGTCTCGGACGCCGTGTGTCACCCTGTGCGCCCCAGGCTCATCATGCGGTGATATGGCCACCGCTGCCGCCGGAGTGATGAACTCGCCAAGCCCGCCCGCCGGCGGTGCAGGATCCGGCCAGGTCTGGTTCGTCGATAAGGCTCCCCCCCTTTTGTCGAGACTTTTTTCTGTATTTTCCATCTCTAACATGACATAGCGATCGATGTCGGATGTATGGGCTCTCTGCGAAAGTTGTATTCTTTGCGCTCTTTTTCTTGCTCTAACCAGCGCATACATAACATGTGTAGGAAAAAAGTGAAATGTGACGGAGCTGCGCCGACTGTATGATGCCTCAAATTCCGACCAGTCAGGTCGTACACACACCGCCCCCCCTTTCTTTCTTTCTTTTTTTTTTTTTTTTTTTTTTTTTTTTTTTTTTTTTTTTTTTTTTGGCTACGTTTCCTCTCGTGTCTAACGGCTCTCTTCCTTTTTACCCAGTGCAGCAACTGCGCGTCCGCAGCAGTGGCGTGCGTCGTCACGAAGAAGCTGCGCCGAAGGACAAAGATCCGAGGCTACCCGACCCCGGCCGAGGAGCAGGTCAGGAGGCTGCAGGGCGAGAACGACGAGCTGAGGCGGGCCCTGCAGGCGGAGCGCGACGTCAACGCCGGCCTGCGGCAGCGCCTCGGGGAGTCGCCGGGCCCTTCGCCCGCCGCTGCGCCGAACCGACGGAGCGACTATGTGCCCGCGCGAGCGAACGTGACGCTGTCAGGTAGTCTCGAAACCCCGGGCGGCGGCAGCAGCGGCGGTGGGCTACAGAACAAGTCGGCCCTGATCATCAAACACATGGGCCGCCTGGTGCCGGACTCTGTCGGCGGGGAGAGGTTCGCCGGGTCGACGTCGGCCGTCCACTTTGTGCTGTCCGTGCAGCAGGCTCTCCAGAGTCGCCGCATCTACCAGCTGCCGTTCCCCGAGAGCTGCTTCTGCATCCACCTCGTGGAGCCGTTCGGTAGCAGCACGGAGATCCTGGACACGGCTGGGTTGGACCCGGCCCTTCCGGGCTTCATCTTACAAGACCCGAGGCAATATTTCCCTCTGTCGGCTGCATATTACTCACAAGAGGTCGACCTTTTTGCTGACGGCTGGGGATCGTTCTGCCCGATCGTGGCGACCTCGGACATCTCAAACTTCTTGCAAAGCATCCTGGATGGTGCCGTTTCGGCATCCCGAGAAAGTATCGATGAACAAATGAGTCTTTTGTTCCAGCTTTGCATAATATTGTTACTGAACAGGGCGAGCGCGAGCGCGAGCACTGAGAGTCGGAACGACTATGACACGACATATCTGCGACTGGTCCGGACCATGGTGCCCCGGCTCATCGGCAAGGGCGATATGCCCAGTCTGCAGGCCTTGAGTCTCTTCTCGCTCTACCTGCAGGCCACAGGTCAGATCCTGCTCATGGCGCAACTGAACGGCATCCTCGTTCGTCTGGCCCAATCGTTAGGTCTCCACCGACACTCGAGGCGATTCAAATTCGTAGAGGGGCAGGTCGAGATGAGGAAGCGCGTGTGGTGGTGGGTATATATGTACGACAAGTAGGTGACCTATCACATATGACCGCACTAACACCGTTGGCTGACGTGGCTCTAGGGTGACATCGATAGCGCTGGGATTGCCGAGACTCATTATTGATGCCGACGTCGACGTCGACTTGCCACTGGATTGTGAGCTGAATGAAGTCAACACGAAGAGCCTCTCGTATCCGCTCCCCGGCGAGTCGACCCGGGTGAGCCCATTCATTGCGTACATCCACTTGGGGCGCATCTTGTACGAAGCACTGAGCGAACTGTATACGACAACTCGCCGTCGCCACGGCGCCGAGAAGATCGCCAAGCTCGAGCACGACCTGCAGTCCTGGGAGCAGCGCTTTAAGCACAACATGATAGATCCGGATCGACAGGCTCCGCACGCTATGGGGTTGGAATGCTCTTCCCGCATGTCCACATGGATTTCGGTGATGGCCAACATTGTGAGAATCATGATACATCGACCCGCGCTCACATTCGACGAGAACGCCCCACCGTTTGCCGAGAGCCTTTCTGCTTGCGTCGAGGCCAGCTCTGCCATCATAAGTATGCTGAGCCATGGGGAGTATCGCTCGGAGATACTCGGTATCATACCGACGGGCCCCGGCCTGGTGTTCCAGTGCGGCCTCATGCTCGTGTATCACGAGTGCCTGAAGGGGAGTGGGCGCGCGCCTTTCGAGAACAGTTCGGCCTCAAGCCAGCGGCTGATCGAGATGTCCATAAACATTCTTGACGCCTATGTCCCAGCTGTGTCTGGAGACCTGGATAGGAGAGGCAGAGGCATCGTGTCTGGACAACAACTTGCGGCCGCGCGGCAGGAGGTGGCCGAGCTGCTCCGATCGCTGGCGTCGAGTCTCCGAGATGCGGCAGCTCCAGACGCGCCCCAGCTAGCCGCCTCCGAGGGCTCTGGGCAAATTGCAATGAGCCCTGCTATCGTGGGTCAGTTTACCGGCATGGATGCGGATCCGATGCAATTCGACTTCCTCGGCGGCCTCGGCGCTCTCGACACGCTCAACCATTTGGGCCGCCTTGACTGGGTCTTTGACGGCGGCGGGCTGGCCGACTCGGCGATGCCTTTGGAGTAGTAGTCTACACCCGATTGTCGTACTAGAGAAGAAATTAATGTTAATCGAAGTTTGCTGGAAACTTTGCAAGCATTTCATTGTGTAGAAAAGCGTCTCTTTCCTTCATGCTTTACATTCTGTCCCGGCCCGGCTGCAATTCCCTGCCGGTCACACTCCTGTCTCTCATGGTGAATCTTTTCGCGATAGAGCCCACGCGACCTCCACGAGGTGCCCAGGCGTGACTGCGTTTAGTGGTAGGTACGTATTGCTTTTCCGGCATTTCGCCGCGGAACCTGGGGCGGACCGGGGTTGAAGATGGCTGCCCCGGCCGGAATAGCGATATTGTGGGTACCGGCTTAAGGTCTTATTCCGGTCCCATGGGGTCAGGCCCGAAAGCTCGGGGGTACATAAAGGAATCGTTCTCTTTGAGCGTTTGAGCAAGTATATGAGGGGGAAGGTGGCAAGTACGCAGGTTAAGAGCGAGGTGAGAGCTTTGCTTGTTCATTGTTATCCATCTCTTGACCCAAGGTGAGTGATTTCGAGAACCCCGAGCCAGACCTTGGATACGAATCCCAGCCAAAGTCTCACAGCAGGTTTTGATGACCAGGTTCTCCCGTTTCTCCAAGTCGGGAATACCACAGCCATCATGGGAGAAAAGAAATCTTTCCTGGGCCTCACTGGGCGACCATTGACGATAGCCCAGATGGCGACCATCGTCATGCCTTCTTTCGTCTTGTTCGGCTACAACCAGTCCAACCTCGGCGGCCTGGTCAGCCTGCACGACTGGGTCGACCATTTCCCTCGCATCGACACCGTCAACACCACCGGGTCGCAGAAGAGCAACAACGCAACCATCCAAGGCGTCGTGATAGCGACCTTCACCCTCGGCGCCCTGCCGGGCTGCCTGTCCTGCTCATATACTGCCGACCGCTTCGGCCGGCGCGCCATCATCTTCCTCGGGGCCCTGCTCACGCTCATCGGAGAGGTGCTCGAGGCCTCCTCCTTCAGCCTCGCCCAGCTCATCGTGGGCCGCCTGATCCTCGGCGCCGGCGTCGGCATGCTCAGCGGCACCGTGCCGACCTGGCAGAGCGAGTGCTCGAGCTCCAGCAGCCGCGGCCGGCACGTCGTGCTCGACGGCCTCTTCATCAGCCTCGGCTACGTGCTCCAGGCCTGGATCAACCTCGGCTTCTACCAGTACAGGACCGGCCCCATCACCTGGCGCCCGCCCGTCGCCATCGCCTGCTTCTTCTCCCTCGTGCTCATGTCCTGCATCTTCCTGATGCCCGAGTCGCCCCGCTGGCTGGTGCGCCGCAACCGCATCGGGGAGGCCCAGATGACCATGGCGGCGCTCAAGGGGCTCGCCCCGGACGCCGACGAGATCCGCAACGAGATGGCGGCCATCGAGATATCCCTCGAGGGCAATGCCGGGAAGAGCGCGTCGCTGGCCAGTCTCCTGACGATGGGCGAGGACAAGATGCTGTACCGCTTTGGCATCTGCATCTTGTTGCAGTTCTACCAGCAGATGTCCGGCGGCAACCTGATCTCGGTCTACTCGACCGTCATCTTTCAGCAGGGCTTGGGCCTCGATGCGCAGACGTCGCGCATCCTGTCCGGTGGCACGCTCACATGGAAGTTTCTCTCGTGCTTTGTGTCCTTCTTTACCATCGACCGCTTCGGACGCCGGGTTGCCCTTATGGTTAGCGGGACGGGAATGGCGTCGTGCATGCTGGGATTGGCTGTTGCCACATCCTTTCCCAGGTCCAACTTTGCCGCTCAGGTCGTCAGCGTCCTCTTCGTCTTCCTCTTCAACTTCTTCATTCCTATTGGCTTTCTGGGCGCCAATTTCCTCTATTGCACCGAAGTTGCGCCCCTGCGGCTGCGCGTTGCTATGTCTAGTATCTCTACAGCGAATCACTGGCTCTGGTAAGCTTCTCGACCTATTCCTCCTGCGCCTCTGCTGACGATAGTATTCTAGGAACTTTGTTGTCACCATGATCACGCCTGTTGCCATCGAAAGCATTGGGTACAAGTACTACATTGTGTACACCCTGGTTGGCTTCTGTATCCCGTTCTCCGTGTACTTCCTGTACCCCGAGGTAGGTTGTCCCCACCGCCACTACTTGAATGCGAAGCATAAAGCTGACAGACGTAGACCATGGGCATGAGGTTGGAAGACATCGATCTCATCTTCAGAAACAGTCCCTCTGTTTTGAAGACGGTCTCGTACGCAAGAACCCGACCGCATCTGGCCGTCGAAGAGGCTCTGGACACCAAGGAAAAGGCGGAACATAGTGAGAGTGCATAAGTAGTCTGCTGAATCCGGCTGTAAGCCACCGTCTATACCAATACATAGCTACATAGAGCCTAAATGTTGATTCGACCACCTGAACATACTGTAACAATATCCAATACCTAGCAATTTGTGGTTCTGGTTGTGGCCGATATCGGGGAGTTTCTTTGTTGGTAAGAGCATTTGCGTTGGTTTCGATGACTCTTTGACAGGAATGGAGACGGAGCTGGAGATAGAGAGCCACGCCACCACCAGCGTCTTAGGTTCCTCAGAAGTCCGCTCTGGGAATTGCTCTCTCGCTACCAAATAAACTACTCCGCGACCATATCCATCTCCGGAGAGTACGGCATGTTTGGCGGGGGCAGAGCCTTGGGCGGCCACTCGCCAGCCACAAAGTCGCAGGCAAAGTGATGCACGCCCGAGCCGACCAGGGTAAACGCCTCCTCGGCCTCGTCTCCAGGGTCCGTAATCCAATCGCACGGCAGGATGACCTTGGCAGACGAGTTCGGCGGCACCTCGAGCTCCATCTCGAACCGCGCCGCCTCGCCCGCAGCAGCACTAGACGCCGCCGCCGGCGACGCCGTGACCCTCCACGCGCACCGCAGCAAGCCGTAGGGCCCGTCGAACCGCGCCTCCGCGTGCGTCAGGTTCCCGCCCGGCACGGGCCTCACGAGCGCCACCCTCCACCCGGCGCCGAGCGGCGCGAGCCCGCCGACGCAGCCGTGCAGCCAGTCGGCCGCGGCGCCGAGCGCGTAGTGGTTGAAGCTCGTCATGCGGCCCGGGTTGACGCTGCCGTCGGGCAGCATGCTGTCCCAGCGCTCCCACGTCGTCGTCGCGCCCATGGTCACCGGGTACAGCCAGCTCGGGCACGCCTTCTCCAGCAGCATGCGGTACGCGAGCTGCGGCTGGCGCGCGGGCCCTGCGAGCGCCGGCAGGACGGCGGGCGTGCCGGCGAAGCCCGTCGAGACGTGGAAGAAGGCCGTGCGCACGAGCTTGGACAGGGCGCGCGAGGCGGTGCGGCGCTGGGCCGGGCCCCGGTAGAGGCCGAACTGCAGGGCGAGGGCGATGGCGGTCTGCGTGTTGGACATGATGTTGCCGCTGGGCGTGAGGTACTTGTCCTGGAAGAGGCGCTTGAGGGTGGATGCCTCGGCGCGGTACTTGGTCGCCAGCTCGGCCTTGCCTAGGAGCGCGCAGACCTGTGCAAAGACCTCGGTGGTGTGGACGAGGTAGGCGTCGGCGACGAGGACCTTGTCGGTCAGGGCGAGAGCCGGGTTCTGTGGGGGGGCGTTGGGGTCCAACCAGTCGCCCAACTGCCAGAGGTAGAAGTTCCACAGCCCGTCCTCGCCTCGATCAACGCCCTGCTCAAGCCAGGCTCGCATGCTTTGGAATTGCCTTTCAAGGAGAACCTTATCACTGCTGAAGCGATGCAGATCCCACGGAGTCAGAACGGTGACATCATGCCACACCGCTTGAGGCTTCCGACGAGGCCAGGTAAGAAGAGGAACTTCCGGTGAGACGAACGGTGGTACGCCATTATTGCCTTGCTCCAATTGCTCTGAAGACAGGTCTTCCAGCCAGTTCTCCAGGAAGCCCACTGTATCGTAGAGGTAGCTAGCAGTCGGGCAGAAGATCTGTATGTCGCCTGTCCAGCCCAGCCTCTCGTCTCTTTGCGGACAGTCCGTCGGCACGGACAAGAAATTGCCTCGCATGGACCAGACCACGTTGGTATGAAGCTTGTTGACCCATTCGTTCGAACAGCTAAAGTACCCTCTTCTTTGCATGTCGCTGTGCATTACCGAGGCCGACAAAGCAGAGCGTAATTCGTCCTCCGACCCCGGCCAGCCGTCGACCTGCACATATCGAAAGCCGTGGAAGGTAAACTTCGGCGTCCAGTTGCAAATTTCTTCCCCGGAGCCAATGATGACATCTTCACATTTGGCGTCTTTCAAGGGACGAGTGCAGAGTTCTCCATGCTCGAGAACCTCTGCGTGCCGGAGTACAAGACGCTCGCCGGCTGCAAGGGTGACTGACTTGACAACGACCTTGCCTGCGAGATTCTGTCCAAAGTCTACAATGGTCTTGCCCGCCGGCGTCTTGTGTATAGCCTGCACCTGCCGACTCTCAATCACTCGGACAGGGGGGCTACTAGTTGTGAGTAGCTTCCGACCGGGGACCTGCGGAAGTGTCTTGACCCGAAGCCATCGAGTTCCCATCTTGTCAGCATCTTGGGCTGCTGTTGTCCAGAGGCTATGGTCCTCACGAGCATCATAAACCTCTCCATCGTATAGTTCGCTGGACTGGATGGCACTGACTGCGCACGCCCAATTGTCGTCCGTCGTCAACGTCCAGGACCGGGCGCCGGAAGTGATTTCGAGCTGTGCCATGACCGCGATGTCCTTGCCGCCATAGAGGAATCTGGTTCCTCCGTTGAAACCGAGCTTCGTAGCGTACCAGCCCTCGGCCACCTCTACGGCTATGACGTTGTTGCCATGGTGCCTCAAGTGAGGTGTCACGTCCAAACACCTGTAAGTCAGTCGGTGATTGTAGCTCGTCCATCCAGGTGCCATGCATTCGTCACCCAGCCGCTCTCCGTTTAGGAAAGCCTCGAAAACTCCGAGTGCAGTGATGTACAGGCGAGCCCTGGCCGAAGAGGTGACAACACTCGAAGGGATCTCGAACTGACGACGGAATCGTAGTGGTTGCAGTGGAGCTTCAGGGCCGAGCCTTCGAGACGAAGTAATCATGGACGCAGTCCAGTCACTCTGCTCAAGGAGGGCAACTTCAAGGCTAGCCACTGGCGACCAAGACGTGGGTTCTGGGTTGCGGCGAACTGTACCGTGTTCATCTGGTGATTGGCCCCAGCAGCGGACCCGGACAGAGGCTTGTTGGCGAGAACGCAATGCTGCAGCAGGCCAAGGGACAAGCACTGACTCTTCACTGTCCACGAGGAATGTCTGGGCTTCTTGATCGCCATGCCGAAGGATTTCAACCTCGTATGCAGCCTGCGTCCAGCCTCGCGTAGGTTCGGCCGACGCCAGGAATTTCCAGGAAAGACGAGGGCGGGGATTGCTGATGCCGAAGCCGTCCGGATGGTGCTCAAAAACCGGCTTGGTTAGCTCTGGGTGTGTGACATCTGCCATCATGTACGTCTTCTGAGAGAATGCTATGCTCGTTCTAGTTTGTGTGACACAGAGTATAGAAGCTGATCAACCGGCAAGTTAGTAGTGGCTTGGGCGACTGATGATGTAGGGAACTGCCGATTGAGAGAAGCTCGGCTGCTCGGGGTAGTCGCGGTCGATGTGTGTCATTCCAACACGGACATGTCAGCTGTGTGCTCTAACTGTTTCTGTGCGCTATTCGCGTAACTGAAGTCAGTTCCAACATGAGATCGGAGGTCTCAGGTCTTGTCGAAATTCGAGTACAAGGTAGCTGCCGAGAAATTAACGTCAGCCTCGACAAGCCCTGGCTTTGATGACTCTTAGCGGTCGTTCGTCACTATTCAGCTCGGTGCTCTCGCTGCAGCGCAATCCGAGTTGCGGGGTTGGTTGTTGGGGGAAGAGGATTAGTCGGAGGCTAGATTTGGCACCCTCGGCTTGGATTTGAGTGGTGGGGTGGAGATGACTTCTTGGAGAGTCTCACATGTCTTCACTAGTCTTGCAGCCAGAAACCTGACAACGAGTCGGAGTCAAGTATCCGTGAAGCAGCGTACTGTCAGGCCAAGAAACTGTCAAAGATGTGATGGGAAAGGCGCGACGCTATGGATCCACTATCGGTTCATCAATGCTACGAGTGTCAACGAAATAGAGGAGCTTACTGGGGGATGCGGAGGGTGTGGGGAGGCGTGCAAGGGGTTGCGGGGACTCTGCACAACAAGTCTTTATAATGCCTCCTGAGACTCAATGCTGAATCTTCGAAATAGTCTTTCATTCCCATCTTGAGTCTGTGTCCTTGAACACGGATATCAAGTTGTGCTGCCAAACATGAAGTTGATCATCTATGTCATCACCCTCGTCACCGCCCTCGGCGGGCTGGTGTTTGGCTTCGACTCAGGTGAGTGAGATGCGCGCCACTGTTCATCAAGCCGACGAGAGTAAGCTTCCGCTAACGCACAGCCTTTCCTGCGCTCCCTCAAAAAAACAGGCATCATCGCAACCAGCTTCGGCCACGAGTCCTTCCGCGTCACCATGTACGGGCCCTCGCAGGCCAACCCGCCCCTGACGGGCGCCATCGTCTCTGTCTACAACGCCGGGCAGGCCATCGGCGGTTTCACCGTGGGCTACCTCGCCGACCGCTACAGCCGCAAGTACACGCTGTGCCTCGCCGCCGTGCTGACCATCGTCGCCGCGGCGCTGCAGGCCGGCGCCGTGCACGTGGGCATGATGATCGCGGGCCGCCTGCTCGGCGGGCTCGCGTGCGGGCAGATCATCGCCGTCGTGCCCGTGTACATCGCCGAGGTGGCGCCGCCGCAGCACCGGGGCTTGCTCGTCGGCCTGCAGGGCATGATGCAGGCCAGCGGGTTCGGGCTCGCCAACTGGGTCGGGTACGCGGGCGCGTTCGCCACGGGGTCGGCCACGTGGAGGATCCCGCTCGCGATGCAGATCCCCATCCCCATCGTGCTTGCGATCGCGGTGCTGTTTGTGCCTTTCTCGCCGCGTTGGCGTAAGTCGCAAGCCGCGCCGTTGTGCCTCTTATCATGAACGAAAAGCTGATCGAGGTCTGTCGAATAGTCATCATGCAAGACCGTATCGAGGAGGCCGAAGCAGGTAGGTTAAGCCGCCTTCCTTCATGTCAAGCTTTTACCCCTGTCTCTCCCTCCCCAAAACACATCACTGACGTCCAAACACCGACAGTCCTCATCCGCCTCCACTCCGGCGCCGACGCCTCCGGCCAGGACCTCGTCGCGCAGGAGATCATCCAGATCCGGCAGCAGCTGGCCCTCGAGCGCTCGCAGCAGGGCGGCAGCTGGGCCTCGGCCCTGGCGACCATGTTCTCGCGGCGCTTCGCCCGCCGCACCGCCATGGCCGCCTTCATCCTCATGCACGGGCAGCTGTCGGGAGCTCCGGTGATCCAGAACTACCAGAACATCTTCTACGCCATGGTCGGCTTCACGGGCCGCACGTCGCTGCTCATCAGCGGCGTGTACGGCATGATGGGCGTGCTGGGCGCCGTCGTCTACCTGCTCGTCGTGGCGGACCGGTGGCCGCGCGTGCGCACCATGTGGACGGGCTCGGCGGCGCTCGTGGCCATCATCTCCGTCTGCACGGCGCTGAGCGCCGTCTACGGCTCCTCGGGCGGCAGGGCGCAGGCCCAGACCCCTTCGCAGCAGGCCGGCGCGCGGGCGTCCATCGCGTTCATCTTCTTGTACTCGGGTGTGTTCGCCGTCTTCTTCAACTCGATGATCTACGTCGTGCCGTCGGAGCTGTTCCCCACGTTCCTGCGGTCCAAGGGCCTGGCGTTTGCCGTCTTCGCCAAGGCCGTCACGGCGATCGTGCTCTCGCAGGTCACGCCGATCGCGCTGGCGGACGTGGGCTGGAGGTTCTACATCTTCTTCATCTGCACCAACGTCTTTGCCGGCTGCCTGTACTTTTTCTTCCTCCCCGAGACCGTGAGTTCTTGCCATGTCCTATTTACAAGGCTGTTCAAAGTTGCTGACTGAGATGTGGTATGAAACAGGGCGGGAAGAGTCTCGAGGAGATCGCCGAGCTCTTCGGCGATACGCTGGCTACCGAGCACATCGGCCGGATCGACGTCGATGCCAAGACTGGAGCGCGCGGTGAGGGCGCTGAGCACTTTGAGATGGCCGAGGGCGAACGCCGTGGAGACGCGGTTCAATCTAGAGTCTAGAACCTTGAGACTTTGTAGCTGATTTGCCAATCTTCACACCATGTACCTACGATGTCACAGAACCAGTATTATAATACTATGGCATCTGGGAACCTCTCTTGGCACAAGCAGGCCACCTATTGTTGATCTAACCCAGGCTCCCAACCACCCTCATCTCACCCCGTGCCAGCCTGCTAGCCCCGGCCTTGTCCACGAGCTTGAGCGGCCTGTACACGGGATCCCACATCTGCTCCCTGATCCACTCCTCCAGCTCCTTGTCGTCCCGGGGTATGCCCTCCTCCGTAGCCAGGCCGTCCTCGACAGCAGCCCGTATGACCTTGCGCGCCACCCGCACGCTCACGTCCCGGACGACATCCACGCCCGGCAGCAAGGGTGCAGTCGGATCCTTAAGAGCGGGGCTCGCCTCGGCCACGCCCTCGACGGCTGCGACGAGCATCTTCTCCGTGACGAGCCTGGACCGGCTCAGCACGGCGCCGAGCCCGATGCCCGGGAAGACGACCGAGTTGTTGCACTCGGCGACCTCGATCGTCACTTCCTTTCCATCCTTGCCCCAAGCTCCCTTGACGGGGTCGGCGGGCGATCCCGCGGCGACGAGGGCCCTGCCGTCGGTCCACCTGAGGATGTCGGCGGGCCTGGCCTCGTGCAGGCGCGTGGGGTTCGACAGGGGCATGACGATGGGCCGGGCGTGGTGCCGGGCCATCTCCCGGACGACCTCCTCGGTGAAGGCGCCGGGCTTGGTGGACGTGCCGATCAGGGCGTTGGGCCTGACCTCCCTGATGACGCCGAGGAGGTCGGTGCCCTTGCCGGACCAGTCTGCCTTGGGCTTGGCGAACCCCCTTTGCGCGGCGGAGAGGTTGTCGATGCCGGTGGTCAGGAGGCCCGGTTTGTCGATCAGCCTGTTTGACGGGCGGTTAGTCAGTAGTTTCTGCGTTTTTCCTTTTGGGAAATTGGCATGGGAGCAGAGCTTCGTGGCCATGGTCACCATACCAGATCTGCTTAGAGGCATCCTCCTTGCTGATGCCGCCCTCCTCGGCGATGGCGTCGCGGACCTGGTCAGCGATGCCGACGCCGGCACTGCCCGCGCCAAAGATGACCATCTTCAAGTCGCACAGCTTTTGCTTGCTCACGTGCAGGCCAGCCATGATGGCCGCGAGCGTGACGCAGCCGGTGCCCTGGACGTCGTCGTTGAAACAGGGGATCTTGGACTTGTAGATGTCGAGAATCCGACGCGCTTTACCACCACGACCATCGCTCCGAGGTCAGAAAAAGTATACCACAGTCATGGTTTGGTGGAATATGCACGAACTTACCGTTGTCCAGCCCAAAGTCCTCAAAGTGGATGTACGCGCGCGGGTACAGCTTCCGGGCGGCCTTGACAAAGGTGTCGACGAGGCGGTCGTACTGCTCGCCGCGGACGCGCCTCTCGCGCAGGCCCAGGTAGAGCGGGTCGTCGAGCAGGTCCTGGTTGTCGGTGCCGCAGTCGAGCACAACGGGCAGGGTGCGGTTGGGGTGGATGCCGGCGCAGAGGGTGGTCAGGGCCAGCTTGGCGACCGAGATGAGGATGCCGCCCGCGCCCTGGTCGCCGATGCCGAGGATCTCTTCTCCGTCTGGCACAGTGGTCAGGTCGGGTCAGGTCGGGCCAGTCCAGCTCGCCGCAGGGAGAAAGTTGAAATCCGTCCGCAGGAAAAGGAGGAGAGAGAGAGAGAGAGAGAGAGAGAGAGAGTAGCCACCTACCTGTGACGACAATGTAGTCAATATCTTCTGGCCTGCCCCACTGGGACAGGTCTTCCTCGACGCGGTCGATGTCGTGGATATTGAGGAAGCACCCCTGCGGCCGGCGGAACAGGCGCGAGTAGTTCTGGATGGCGTCGCCCTCTGTCGGCGTGTAGACGACGCTGAACATCTCGGGCAGGTGCTTTTGCAGCAGCTTTGACGGCGCATCACATCGCACCACATCAGCCTCTACTATGTATTACAGTCTTTACAGTCCGTTCTTGCGATGCAGGGTTCACTCACCCGAAAGTACAAGACGTCGTTCTGCTCCTTGAGCGAGGTCAGAAAGACATTCTTGGCGAGGTCGTCGGCGCGGCTGCGGTACTGCTCGTAGGCGCGCTGGATCTGCTGGTCGAGGGTCTGGATGCAGGCGGGCAGCAGGCCGATGAGGCCAAAGTCGCGGCGCTCCTGCTTGGTGAAGGCCGAGCCCTTGTTGAAGTAGGGGTGGTTCAGCAGCACGGTGCCCTTGAGGGCGCACTCGAGCGGGCCGCTGGTGCTGAGCGGCAGGTGGCCGTACTTGGGCGACTTTTGCTCGGGCTGTGTCGACATTGTGCGATGCTGGGCGCTGCTGGCAGTGGCAGTCACTTGTCGTTGCTGTGGTCGTGGTATCGCGAGGTGGTGATGGTGCGGCGATGCGGCGGCCTGCGGGCTCAAGCTGCGAGCTACTCCCGCACCCGCAAGGTGCGGCGGGGCCCTCGGGATGCGCGGCCAGATCATGACATAACAGAGACAAAGGCTCGGGATTGGATTGGATCACACCTTCACTAGTCAGGGAATTGCAAAACGTGGGACCGGTGGCAGGAACAAGTAAGGTGCAGCTAAGATGGAGCATTGATAAGATGTGTGACGTATTCGACGTCAATTGGGAGATCCAAAGCTGCCAGTACCGCATTCAATTCCCGTCACTACGGAGTAACCGCACGAAAGACCCGCTCATGGAGAGCTGATGATGGAAGATCCCGGGAAACGCGCGTCTATTGCTGCTCAAAGCAGCCACGCGCGCCCCAAAGTCAATTGAGTAGCTCGCGGAATGCTATGGATGTCTTGCCGTGCTGCATGTCGACCACTACGACCAGGGAAATAAAATGTAGGAGCTCTAGGAGCCTCACCCGTGTAGCTGGCGAATTTGGGCCCTCGACCAAACAAGAAGTCGGACGAGGTTCGCTCAACGGGCGCGGACTATGATGGACCGGTTGATCTTGCAGCAAACTAGAATCAGAAGAAAGGAACACGAGGTCCCTCTCCCGGTGTTTGTCCAGCACCCCTCAGACACCCCGGCACAAGACGTGCCGCGGTGAAGAGGTCTTCCGGAGAAGTCTCGTGGGATCTTGCGCGCTTTTGCCAGAGGCGAAAACGCGCCGAGCGGCTGGAGTCACCATTGCTGCGAGCGAGATTGGCATGAGTAAAAGATGGCCTACCTGGTGCCTAACTCTCTGCAATTGATGCTTCTTATCATTGACACCGCCGCCCAGGTGTCGGGTTGTGTTGGGGTGCAATGCTCGTTCAATGCTTATCAAAGTCGGACTGGAGATGAAAGAGAGAAGATTCGTGAGGGCTTGAAACATTTGATGAACTGGCCCCAATCAAGATTTGGCGAGCGGAACGGCGGATTGATCGCGCCGTTGCCCCACCCTCAACATCAAAAGCCACAAAAGGTGCTGTGCTGCACTTCGATGGTGAGAGGCTGAAATCATCAAACTGAAAGTTGACCGTCCAACAGTATATTTGGCTTACAGTGCACACGCCATCTCTTGTATGAATGAATTGGGCGTAGCTGTACTTTCTCTCGCCCGGATCTTGCCCAATTGGCAATCGCCCAGTCCACGACGGCGTGGACCACGTGTAAGTAAGCCTTCTAATCAGCCCTGATACGAGACATACCGCAGAGACAAATCTCGGTCAATATACCCGTATAAGGTGATACAGCGATAGTTACAGCGAAAGAGTGGCACTGAGCCGCTATGTGGTGTCGCTGGCTTGGATAGACATTTGCCAAACCCTATGCATTGCCGCATTGCACAACCAGTGGTTACCCTGAAACACTTTCTGGCGGCAAACAAATGGAGCACGGCAAGCACTGGACAGGATCTGATATGACAATACTGCGCCGGCCGAGAGATAAGTAATTCGTGTTCTGGTATGATCAAAGTGCCGCCATAAGTCGAGACATCCCAAGGGCTAGATAGCACTCTGATATGGAAAAGTCCAAGGCACAAGGGAGCTGCTCGTCGCGGTTTGCATGGATTACGGCAGGTTGAGACAAACTCATGCCTTATCTTGAAGGCTTGAACTGGTCATACGCCTCAGCAACCAATATGCTCCCATAGAACCAAGTCTAGGGGTCTCCATGTCATTTCGCTATCCTAGGTATTCCAAGGGCCAACGTGTATGTACGTGAGAATTGACCGCCCCTTGATCACGAGCCGTCCCGAACTACGCCTGCACCTGGTGCATCAGAGTTACATCATGGACCATAGACAATGGGACCTGTCTCGCTAAACCCCCAACGCGTCGACAGCAAAAGGACAACCCGATTCATCTTCCCACAAATGGTTTCCGAACAACGACTAAGAAACTTAACACAAGGGTGGTACTGTGGTTCACACCGCGATATCATGAGACTGGTATTCCCAGCCTTCGAGGCATCTGGGATGACCCCTGTGTCTTCCTGCTCTTGAGCCAACTCCACGCTGACGCAGTGAAGACTTGCGGTTGCATTATAGTCCCAATTCGCTCTGCAGTCGCCGGTTTCATTAGTCTGGGAGTGCTGGGCATGTGCACGGGCAGGTAAACTAACAATGCCAATATCAGGAAACGTTATTGTGTACTGATCGCGCTTCAGCTACACAACGCAATTAGCTAATTATTCCAATCCTGCAGACATTAGACCTAACAACATACCAGAATGTGGTATCGTCGAGCCCGGTAGTTTGAGTCTAGAATCGTCCGCAGCTCCTTGCCCGTCAACCCGGTGGCAGGCAACTGTACTTGACATCCGCCACCTACTTTTGAAGAGCACCGGATCGGGATGTGGCCCCAATTGCTCATGTAGGATGGTGCTTTGGACGAGTGAGACATTTGTGGCGAATTTCCTCGGAGACAATAGGGTTCAACGTTGGCAGTAACTCGATCAAGAAGCATGCTGAAGACCAAAGGGTTTCTAGAAAACCAACCGAAGAAACTAGGATAGGCTTTTTATTCATACGTACGTTCAGGAGACCCCACTATAGTCATCCAGATGGGATAATTGGTAGGCACATTGCCTCCACCTAACAGCGCACTCGTACTCAGCCGTGTGCTTTGCTGCTTGCTTGTTCTACAGAATTCAGACCGCTTCGGGAAAGCATCACCGCGGACGATGGATCAGCAAAGGGGGGGCCGTCACGAAGCCGGGGCGAGCTTTGTATCTTAGCCCGCTTGGAAGGAGAAGCCGGGCTGGGCGCAGCTCGATTGGAGGCCACATACATCCATCGATGCAGTGCCACGTGTATCCAATGAACGCAGTTCTACCCAGACATTGCACAACCGCTCGCCTCACAACATTGAAATGAAAAAGACCCCTCGATGGGCCGCGTCCCACACACCACAAAAGCAATGACACCCTAAAGCAGTCAGGCGATCCCACACAAATATGCATGGTCAGCTTTGCTGTGCATGTGCAGATGGAACCATCGATCGGGCTGTATCCATCCACCACTTCATCAAGCCTGGTTTCTCAGCCGGTCAGCCAAAATGGGGACGGCCGCACCTCCGGCCTGAGGCACACTCTTGGGCTTCTCTTCAGGCGTAGAGACAATCCGACCCCGGGAAGAGCCCATTGGAGTCGACAAGTACGTTCGATATTTGTATGAGTTAATGGTAGCATCCGGTTCTTTCATTCCATCTCCAGCATGTGTTCACTACCATGCTCGGGGTTGGTTGGCTGGCGCGCCAGCACAAGAGCCGCGACGTCGCCGGCCGGCCGGGGGGGGATGGTATTGTGTGTGTGTGTGCCTACGAGGCTTAGGCGATGCTCAAGCTCAGCAAAAAAGGCAACCAAGAATACTACACTGCGGTCGAGAGTGAGTAAACTTCGGGCAATGTAGTCACAGCCTGTTCCTCATGGCGAACGCCCGGAATTATGTTCTTATATTTCGATCGCCGCCTCCAATGAATTGGCACAACCTCCCTTTCGCCTCATGGAATAAAAGAGCACTTTTCTTTCGTTGACTGCTTCCAAGACATCAGTGACACTTCAAAGTACTTGTACAGCCGCTGCAGTCAAGCACTCGTACTGGTCCAACGAGCTCTGTACTGCAAATCCCAAGACGTGCAGCGCTGCCCACACCTCCACCCCAACTCAACAGCGACCGCATCTGCGATGCCACCAGATCACAAAGAGGTGCCCAAGACTGGTCGCACCAAGGATGGTCTGAAAGACCCCCGGGTGCGACACTGCCGCGATCGAGGCAACAACTTTTATCGCCAAGACAATGCCAGAACAGCCCCATCAACGCACGACTTCAAGCTTCCACAGGCCGAGGCCAACGCCAGGGACGCCATCGTTACAGATCTCGAGGGGTGCTCCCTCGAACCTGCAGACCACCCTCACGCGTTTTTCGTACCTCGTGATGATGTCAAGCGCATCATGTCACCGGCCCGCGTCCGTGGCGTTGTCGACGACAGCCTGCCTGGGTGTGGTAGCTGGAGTGCAGCAAAAAGGGAGCGATTTGCCAAAGACATTCTCCTTGGAGGAGGAAATATATGCAAGAATCCTTCCATCAACCTCCTAGCTGCTGCTATTGGTGGAGAAGCCGAGGAATACTTTCTACCTCTTGTCGAGCGCCACATTGATGACTTGTGTTTACCACTCGAAATCCAACAGGGCGCACATGGGTGTACCATCAAATGTGCCGCAAAGCACAAGCATGATAGCATCGGCATTGTTCGGGTAAAAGTTCGCCGTAGCTTTTGCCTCTGGATGCATGCTTTATCCTCTCCCTACTTCAAGGTCGAGGAGGGTCGACATTGTCACTACTACCTGAATGGCAAGGATGTTCTTCCGATCGAAATCGAGCCTGCCCAACCTGCTACCAGCATTCCCGAGATCCAGCAACACCTACGAGATGAAATGCAACAATCTAACATGGGAGGGGTCGGTGGGTTTGCGAAAGTGCGAATGGTACAGTTCCACCCAGCGCACCTCAGGATCGAGATCTCGGCCAAGGTTCGTTCCCCACAGAAGTTGACTACACAAGAGGATTCTAATATGGGGTAGAACAACCAAGAAGCGCATAACGGAGTATATGCCTTGAAGTGCCTCAACGAGCCAGATCGAGACGCCTTCAACCAAGAGTTGGCATCACTGCTAAGCTGCCAGAACAACAAGGGCTTGCATCTTATTCGCCTTCTCTTCACGTTTGAGATAAAGAAGGACAATGGCGAAGAAGCCTTCTACTTTGTATTCCCGTGGGCGCAAGGAAACCTGTGGGAGTTCTGGAAACAAAATGAATCACAACGGCTCCAGATCTGTCCCTGGATGGCCGGTCAGTGCCTCCGATTGACAGAAGCCATCCTGTTCGTTCACAACGAGCGTACTGGGGAGCTCGAACGGCGAGGCCACAGCGAAGTTGAGCGAGAGCTGTATGGCAGGCATGGAGACATAAAGGGAGAGAACATCGTCTTCTTCCAACATGAAGACCACATCAAGCTGTTCATAACAGACTTCGGCTTGGGCCAGCTACACAGTCGAGTCTCTCGGTCGATTTCCAACCCCCGAGCGACCCAGATGACGGCAACCTACCGTGCTCCAGAGTTCGACCTGCCCTTTGGCAAGATATCACGAGTGTGCGACATATTCTCCCTGGGCTGCGTCTTCCTCGAGTTTGTGACATGGCAACTTGAAGGCTTTACATCGGCCCACGATTCCTTCCCCGACGCTCGGCTAGAGGTGGACATCAACCAGATCACGTCTGACACTTTCTTCAAAATCGAAAACAACGAAGCTATCGTGAAGCCGAAAGTCTCTGGCTGGGTCAAGAGGCTGCTTCGGAATCCACTCTGCAGTAATTACCACAAGGACTTTCTGAGCCTCATTGAAGAGAAGATGCTCGCACCCGCAGCTAAGGACCGAATCAGATCGGATCTGTTGGTCGAAAGGCTTAGAGTTCTCTCCAAGGGCTGCCGAACAGACTCCAGCTACTGGCAAGAACCCCTGTCGGCCCAGGAACGACTGTCATTGAGTTGACGCAGCTCGTGACACTCTAACGATGTATTTTTATTTTTCCTTTTATCTCAGTGAGGATCAACGCATTTGTGGATCATGAGGGCCATCTGCGAAGAACTCTGGAGTTCAGGAGTTTTCAAAGCTATCCATACTATAGCTCGGGAGGCGGGTTCGGCGAAGGCTTCGATACCACGGGTGGTGTCTTGTTTGAATGAATCTGATGTGGTTCATCTCGGTTCGGCGTTGGTGTCATCTGGAGAATGTGTATGAACCTTGGTCTTTTGGTGGTAATTATCCCAATTATGTCATATCGCTACGATTCTATGAAATAGCACTGCTCGAATAGTTTGCTTTAGTCAAGATATCCTGCCGTTCTTCAAATACCATAATGATGAAAAGCCTTGACTTCCAGCCCTTCGAGCTCAGCCTATGGATCAAGTCAGCATCAATTCCTAGGCCATCAACTTATCGCCTGGCGTAAGATGTACCTCGGTCAATTGCTTGGGAAGCTTAAGAATCCACCTTCCACGCAGCTCCTAAATATTCATGTCAGCACGTTACTAAACTATAGGCTTGTAGAGCTGGGTCTGATTCATACCATCAGGGTGTACTCTTCCTGGCCGCAAAGCTCGTCCAGCGCTTGCTTCAGCAATGCGGGGTTGGTGTATCTCCTCCGCAGCACATGCTGATACAACTGAGAGCCGGTAGAGGCCAGGCTTTCTTTGGAGGTTGACATACTGCCTTGGGCTTCTGGAAAAACGTCTGGTGTGGGTGCGGAACATCGATCGTTAGGTTGCAACGAGAGAGGCCGCGGTGCTCCGCCCCCCTCGGCATATATAGCGGATGCACAGCGATATGCACCATTTTCGGTGGCGGTGATGCGACCAGCTCAGCAGTACATACGGGCCCCTTGCCGGACGAATCATCGCACACCAGTCCCAACATTGCACCAGTCCTGCATGGAGCTGCTGTACACACTCATATGATGAGGAAAGTGAGAGCTCCCGAGCGACTTGATGGATGTGCAGCCCTGGAAATTTCGGGCTTAAAACCCATTGGTTTCTCTTTGAGACATGCCTGCTTTTGTGCTCACCGCGCATTCAGAACAATTGGTTGAGGTTGGTTGGCGCTTGTCACCGCCACTTCATATGCAAATTGCTTTTTTCCTTGATATTTCTTTCCGTCAACTAGTCAAAGATTCCCACGAAAGACGTGTCATGAAATCTTACCCATGTTTTTGAATAGCTTGAGATGATATGGATTGGGATCGTAGGACAGAAATCTGGTCCGACTTTGAGTATGACCGATTCAGCTACCAGCCCAGAGAGGCTACAGTACTTTGCAAATTCGAATTGGAAAAGGTAGTATTCTTCCCTCGGCAGATCAGATTGGAGATTCACTGATGTCTATGTTAGGAAGTGGTCTCCAAGTCACTCGTCACGGCCCATGACTGGGATCAATGGTTAGAAACAGTATGGAACTCCTCCCGTGACTGGTTGCGATACCTCCGCTAACATGACAGGGCCCGGTTGCGCGCGATGGTCCTCCGAAAGCTGGCATCTGCATCATGTAAATCAGTTCGCCGGACCGGACTAATGGCGGAGGCTTACTTTGACTCAGTCTTTGCAGCAGGGGCAAGCCCACCCTTCCGAATATTTCTCCCTCCATCTATGATCTGCCTTTCAAGAAACACATTTTCAGCAGAATCATCGACCAATTCCATATACTCCCTACGATAGTCCGGACAATCCTTCGAGATGTCGCCCATTTCTCGATACAAGAACATGACAATGAGCGCAAGGGTCGCATGATCAGTACGTCTTCTCGAATCATGCATTTAGTACACGCAAACCTGTAGTCTAATGATACAGGCTGCACCGCTCGCACGAGCACTTTACTCCGAGACGATATGGCCATCTCCTCGACATTCCTCGTTGACGCAAAACTAAGTCTCGTTGTCGTTTTTGGATGTGGCAAGGCGCAGAAGGACAAGATCGAGAACCGACTGGGCCGTCTAAACGCCGCAGACGACAACCATCCGCTCTTGGTATTAGGGATGTTTGCAGAGATGGAGCGTATCAGGCTGCAGAAAGACGCTGAACGACTTCTCGGGCGCTTCGCATTGCGCGCGTCACGCGACCACGATCTCGACTTGGACATGAGCAAAGCCAAGATGACGGAGTTTCTCAAGATGTGTTACGAGTCAAGGGAACTCATCAGTCATATACTGGCGTTCAAGCTGCAAGCCAAAAAAGTAATCCACAGTGCGGAAGAAATGGATAAGTCGGAACGCCTGGCTGAAAGGTGGTCCCCATGGGCTGGTGTCCAGATTCAAACTCGGCTTTCAGATGTATTGAATGAGCTTGAGGGGAACATCGAAGATTGCCGGATGATTATGGACAATATGTCTCTTACTATGCAAACCGTGAGTTATCCAGTCATTTGTGTCTTTGAAGGGGGTACGAGGATGGATACTCTAGCTAAATACCGTTTTTCCAGTCCTGGAACCACTTTGCCCGAGAGGACAACAAAGCGAATTTAAGTCTGGCGCGGGCAAGCACTAACCTTTCCATGGATATGAGACGCGACAGCTCTCAAATGCGATCAAATGCGTTGTTGACAATGGTCTTCTTGCCGTTGACGACGCTTGCTGTAAGTCACCAAAGCCATATTGAGCGCTTTGCGCCTGGCGCTGAAGCACGCGCTGATTTGAGGCAGTCTATATTCTCAACTACGTTCTTCAATTGGGGACAGACAGACGGGCATGCGATCGTGTCAGGATACATTTGGGTCTTTGTGGTTCTCGCTGTCGGAATCACGACTATTACCGTAGGCGCTTGGTATTACGCGACACATCGAGCAAGCAGAAAGGAAGAAGAACGTCAGCGCCGGGAAACATTGGGGTATGGCATGGAAGCTATTGTATAATGATAGTGCATGTAATGAGTTACTATGAAGGGATGATAGTTGGGTCAAAAACGACACCTTTCCCCAGGCTGCTCTATTTCAGCAGCTGTACGACTTTCTAAGTATACAGTCCTCGTCAATGGCAATGACAGTATATCCTAACTGACCCTTGTTTTGTAGCTGCATGGCCTAGGCCTCTCCCTATGAAAGGCTCATTGTAACTTCCTAGACTTCAAGGTCTGCCTTGTAATACGCTGAGGATAGTGAACCCCGTAGTGGCTGATCGTTCCTCTAAGAAAAGAGTAGTTGGCGCACACTGATTCTCCAAAAACATCCCGCCAATGCTTCATTCCGGCATGCCTCCAGTTTCTGCCAGTAACTGCGTAGCAATCTGCCGCACTCGATCCTCGGCTCCCGGCGTCGTCCATGACACCATCTCCAAGGCCCAAAGCATCATGCGCCCGAGAGCATGGACATCGCTGACATAGTCCGGCGCAACCTCTCCCATATCGACGAGGACGAGACGATTGTCCGGCGTGAGCAGCGTATTTCGATCGTTGACATCGCCGTGGACAACTCCAGCCTTTGCCAGCTCGCGGACGCCTCTGAGCAGGTCGATAATCTGCTCTTCCGCGATAGGAAGGCTCGGCCATGGCTTCGGAGGCAGGCCTTCCTCTGGGTCAGCCCCCATACCGTACTGATAGCCTCCTGCCAGGCTCTCCAGGCTCTGGCCACCGTAGGGCATTATGATCCCTAGAACCTCGTCTGTTTCGGAGTGTTTGTTGACGACCGCGAGGATAGGCAGCACGTGAAAGCGAAGTTCGATGGAGGTGCCCGGTGGCTCTGACGCGGCCAGTAGTGCTTCTCTTGTTTTGATTTCCCTCTCGATGGCCTCCAAATCCTCAACAAACTCAATCCTCTTGAAAATACAATCCGCACCGTTCCAGACGCAGCGATCAATCCCGCGATTTAGATATAGCTTCTGTTTGACCTGTTCAAAAGTCGTCGTTGGGAGAATATCTGAAGGCCCTCTGCCGTAATGAACATTGCCTTCGATTCTCCGAGCCACATGCTCGTTGGGCTTCTTCTCAAAGGTCGTCGGGGTGCCCTCGCGGGTGGTATTGATGACATTGAAGTCTGGCAGCGTGCCATGATGTGCATGGTAGTCCGAGATATGTTTTGTAATCACAGCGTCCATCCAATCCTCATCTCGGACGATAGTGTCAAGGTTGAGTTCGTACCATTTGCGATTTGCAACATCGTAAGCTATGGCAGAGGAGGAGACTTCCGGGTATACTATGAGATTGTAAATAATCACTTCAGGCTCGTGCCATACCCGATCTGCTTCGTCCGCGGGAGCTGCCCACCGCGTGGAAGACATAGGGTAAAAGGAAAGATATCAAGGGAACCGCGCTCGGAGATGGGACGAGAAGGTTTCTGGTTTCAAGAGGGGTAGCTAGCGGGGGCTGCCTGCTTAGCAGTACTAGGTGGGGGTTTGGCAGCCAACAGTTTGCTTTCTCTCGGATATCACAACAACAGTGAAGACAGATTGCTGAGGATTTAGCATGATCTCTCTGAAATATGACCATAATGTCTCGGCGGCGCTTGAGGCCATCGAAACTACTGCGACGGATCACGAAGACGCACATGAACCGGCATATCGTCCTTGACATGAGGCATGCCATCTTTGGAGATCTGATAACACCGTTCGCCCCAGATAGTCTCTGTCTTGCCCTTTCGGCCTCTGCATCATGCCATGTTAGCTTTCATCCAAGGTCAGAGATCCGGGCTCAGAGAATGACGACACTCACTTCAAAGCGTCCCACTCATCCCAAGCGCATTCGATATCAAACTCTCGCACCGTCATCGCCAGCACCATCTTGATCTCGGTCATGGCCAGGTGCTGCCCGACACAGTTGCGGGCGCCCTGGACGAAAGACCGCCAGGCATTCTTGGGAGGATAGAGCGGGTCGTTTTCGTCGGTCGTCAGCCATCGCTCCGGTATGAATTCAAGAGGCCGCTCCCAGACGTCAGGGTGGCGGTGGATGGCAAAGTTGCCGTCCCAGACGACGCAACCCTCGGTGGGGAAGCAGATGCCTTCGAAACCGGATCCCGGGGGTCCATAGAGATTGAAATTTGGGGTTCCTTGGCGAAGAGTGCCGACGTTGGTGTGGATGCGCATCGTCTCTTTGATGACAGCGTTTGTGTAGGCCAGTGAGTTAAGAAGATGAGGCGAGGCGCGCAGAGCTGAAGCGGCATCGGAACCCAATACTTCATCAAGCTCCTTGCGCAGGCGGGCGAGCACCTCTGGCTTCTGAGAGAGGATAAGGTACACGTACGCAATCGTAAACGCAGACGTCTCATGCCCGGCAAAGAATGTGTGTTTCGTCTCTCCCAAAGCATACGGGATGAATGTGCTCTCGTCCTCTTTATCCTCGGCCATCGACTTGACAAGATTCTCAACTAACGTCCGTGGTCGACCGCTGGCATCCTCTGCCTTGCCTTGAGCTTCGAGCCTGGCACGATCGTCGAGTCGCTGATGGATAAACGGCAGGAGGAAGTTGTCCATAGCACGCGTATTGGACCACATCTTGTACCGCCACCACGGGTTGTAGACGTCAAAAACGTTGGCGATGGTCACGAAAAATCGTAGTCTGGAAAGAGTATCAATCATGCTCTTGGAGAAAGGCGTCATGGGGCTGGTCTGCTCGTGCATGCGTATGTCTCTGTTTTTGCCACTTAGTGACTTGTTCGTACTCGACGTCTTCATGTATAGCACTCACAAAATGTACTTTCCAATCACGTCTAAAGTCAAAAGCGTACAGAGCCTCTGCAAGGGGAACACATTGCCCCAGCTGCCATCCTTACTAGCCTTCTGTCTCAGAACACTGACAAACACTGCAACCTCCTCGAGCAAATCGGGCACACGAGCCATGACCGTTTGCGGGCTCAGAGCGAGGTTCATGCGTCTCCGGCGGACCTTCCAAGCCGGTCCGTTGCTCGATGACAGGTCCAGATTCTTGGTCAGCGGGTAGAGGAAAGCGTTCTGCTCAGGTGGCTTGTCCAGGTTGAACTGCTGGGTAAACTGAGCCGACACATCCGGATGCAGACTGATGGCCATGGGCGGGCTGAAGGGCCATGCGTCCACATAGGCTACAGGTGGGCAACGGTCACAGCCCGGGAAAAGCTCGCGCCAGTTGTCCAAGATCATGACCATCATGTAATCGCCGTGTGCATCAGACGGGATCTTCGACATGAGCTTTCCGACAACTTCCAGATGGCCAAAGACTGGGTGGTGGCGCATCATCGGCTGGCAGGAACGGTCAGTGCTCGACCCTCAATCGAAAACCTGGCATCTCAAGCACTCACAACCCCCTGCTTTTGGAGCTGTTGAAAGCGGCTTCTGACACAATAACCGCGGTAGACATAATAGGCCACAACAATCGCAAGGGCGAAGCTCGCCAGGGTGAGAGGGGAGACTGGAAGCAGGCGTGACATCTTGGTGCCAGCATACAGTCTCTGTCTGCTGATCCGGTTAGGTTTTATCAATCGAGCGAGTATGACAACGGAGGAAGAAAGATTGGTCAGAAAGAAGAAAGGAATCACCAAGGCTGATCCCGAAGGATCAAGAAATGTGGACTAGCACGACGAAAGAAGGAAGACTGTCAGCATGTGGAACTCTTAGTGCCTCCCTCATAAGCAAGGAGCCAATCACAATTGAAGCCAAGTTTGTTTTTCGCAGGTAGCGGTAATGAGTGTGGTGTCTGTCTCGTAGTTATGTTGTGCGGAGATAGCATCATCAGCATCATCCCGGTGCCCGCCACTGCGTTGTTGGGTTTTCACGACGTGTCTCTGTGTCACCAGACCACGTGTTTGGACTTAATACATGTAGCCTCAGAGCTGTGGACCCCAATTGACCGACACGCAGTGGATTCAAGGCATTATGAACATACGGATACAGTACAATACTTCAGATATTCCCCGCACAGAATTTTCTTGCCCCAGACATCATCCTCCCAACTCTACCAGGCCTAGGCTGTGGTGATTTCCGGTCCTGTCCATCGGGCTAGGCAACTCGCTAGCCGTCGTTACTTGCTGAGGTGACTTGACGCGATCGGAGGGATCGTACTGCTGGTCCAGCCTCGCGTTCTGCTGCTCTAGCTGAGCTGCGAGCGCTTTCTGGGTCTTCCTCAGCCTCATGATGCAGTAAATGACTCCGAAGATGGCCGCAGTACCAATGCAGGATGTGCTAACAGCAATCCCAACTATAGCCCCAGTGCCTAGGCCGTTTTGTGCTTCCGAACTGCCGGCAGCAGTTGACGCCGCAGTGGGAGTTGTAGACAAGGTTTGTGGCGTTACCGGTGATGCTGCTGTCGTCGGCAGTGGCGAACTCACGCTGCTGGAGGATGTCGAGCTCTGCGAGGTAATGTAGAAGTAGGATGAGGCAAGCCCTGGGGCTGACTGATTGCCCTGCTGGGTGGCGGCGCCCTGAAGCAGCCAGAAGAAGAACTTGTTGGAGAACTGCAAGTCCATTCCGTAAGTCTGTACAGTCCAGTCGAAGTGATCAACTGCGGAGCCGTCGTGGGTCATTTCTAGGGCTCAAGGATGTCAGTGATTCTCACGCCATCGTTCCACGGTAGCAGCGCAGGGGGATTGGACAAGCGTACGGAGAACAATGGGCCCAAGAGTTGCCGAGCCTCCGGCGAGAGCCTGCTGCCAGAGTGCGACGGTATAGTTGGCCAACGTCGTCTGCCATCTGATTGTCTCTTTGTCTCCGATATGGAAGACCGCTCCTTGCGGTGGATATGAGAAGTCAGCCGAGGCGAGTGGCAGTAGAACCGTGGCGGTAAGGAGGGCGAGACCCAAGAAAGACAACATGGTCCTTTGTTCGGACGTCTGGCAGGCTAACTAGATCATATGTGCATCGGCGTCCATCGGTTTGCAGTCAGTATCTGCGATAAAGGGGCAGCGAGGCAAAATAACCCTTCCGAGGGCTGGCCCGGCTAGTTGCAGGCAATATGAGTGTTTCGACAGGAGAGATGAACTTAAGTAACCCTCCACAGCCTCTTGTATTCGGACCGGCTGTTGGTTCCAGATTTACGCACGAGCTCGGGCTCATACAGCTTCAGAATTACACTGCTGTTGAGACAAATCTCAGGGGCCTGAACTAGTTAGACTGCCCACCAAAGCTTGTTCCCCCCGTGACAGCCTCATCAGCTGCCCATGTAGTGACCTAATGAAGAATACTGCGTATGGCATGGTTCAATAGTGTATATGTGTAGTACTTTGAGTAATGCGATACCTCGCCCCTCTGCTGGAGAGTTTCATCGGCCAGATTACAGCGAATCGGATAAGATACAGTGCTTCCGCTGAGCGCAATCCGTGGCAAAACTCGCGAACCGAGCAGAAGGCCGGGACAGCCCGTCATTGGCCAAGGGGTCTAACCTCAAACCAACAACCTGCCAACAGCCAACAGACATGACCCTTCCGGTTGAATTGATGCCCTGATAACCTGCTTGAATTAGGGGTCCTGTAGCACCCGGGCGCAGACACGGACCCCAGCTTGAACGTCTAGCTCCCGGACAGGGAGCTGGCGCGTACCTGCATTAAATGCATCCATGCCAAAAATATCCGTCCAGAACAGCCCTCTAATAAATCAGCCATGTAGCCCTCCTTAGGCAGCACCTCTGCTTCCTGCCCCATCGCCTAACCTTTGCGGGCAGCCACAATGGCAGTCGGGGATTCCTTCATCATGCGGCGGCGGTGGCGGCTCAACCGCACCCAGATCGCCTTGGGATGCATAATGGCCTCTTCGGTGATGCTTTTCTTCAAAGCCCAGGTCCTCTCCGGGGTGGTACCTGGAGTTACCTCGTTTCTACCTCCGTCGTCGTCCCCTGGATGGGCGGAGGACATAAACAATGCCACACTTGGGGTGAGATGTTTTCCCGGCGCAAACGATACGATACCTCTCAACCGTGCTTCCATAATTTTATAAGAAATCTACTAACATCATATCCCACAGTTCCAAAAAGTCTTCGTCGTTGGCTTGCCTTCACGCACCGACCGGCGTGACGGTATGCTGCTACAGGCGTCCCTCAGCGATGTCGACATAGAGTTTGTCGACGGCATCCTCGGCAAAGATATCAATGAAAAGGCCATCCCGCAAACCAAGAAGAAAGACGAAAATCAACGAATGGGCCTTCCAGTAATAGGGTCTTGGAGGGCACACATGAATGCGATCCACGAGTAGGTGACTGATTCCTCCAGTAACTCCCCATTTACACGTGCCGACTTAAGCTGCATTTAGGGTAGTTCGACGAAACCTTTCTTCCGCTTTGATCCTGGAGGACGATGTTGACTGGGATGTACGGATAAGAGAACAACTTCGCGACTTTGCCTTTTCGACAAATGCTCTCACGCAACCCTTACGCGCAACTCCTAGCTCCTACTCCGATCCTACCTTTCCAACCGCACCATCAGATGACAGCCCCGCCGTGTCCGTGGCCGATATCTCTTTCCATCACCTCCCGGCTATACTACCTCCCAGGTTCTCGCCGTATGGGGATAACTGGGACGTCCTCTGGATTGGCCACTGCGGGATGCACTTCCCAGCCGCCGGCCGCCCAGGAGCGGTCCCGCGAGGGCGGGTAATCCACAGCGACGACGTGACCGTCCCCGAGAGGAGATATCTGTGGACTTTGAACGACCCCTTCACGCTGAAGGACCAGTACCCCGAGCACACGCGGGCGGCGCACCACGTCCAGGAAGGCGTATGCACATTGGGCTACGCGGTCACGCAAAAGGCCGCGCGGCAGATCCTGCACGAGATCGCGCTCCGCGACGTCAGCGACGCCTTCGACATCACCATGCGCTTCTTTTGTGAGGGGGTGCGCGGCCACAGGCGCCACACCTGCCTCACGGTGCAGCCCGCGCTGTTCCACCACCACCGCCCGGCCGGTCCGGCCAAGGCGCTGAGCGACATTGGCGATCACGGCGACGAGTTTCGCGAGACGGCCTCGACGGACATGGTGCGGTGGAGTGTGAGGATGAATGCTGATGTCCTGTTGGAAGGCCGAAGGGACTTTTGGGATGGTTATCCCGATGCGAAGTAGGACTGTGTACTGTTTTGCATGCATCAAACATGAAGCATATGGATAGCACTAGACTGGGCCGAATCTAGTCATCGATTTGATTCAAGGTGCAAACGCGAACGGCATGGTCCAGCTGGGCAGGCAGTTCCTCTCAGCAGCCTACCTCATGGCCAGTTATGATACTGGCAAGTTTCAGATGCGGATGGCGAACCCTACCAATGACCAGAACTTGGTTGCGGTGACCGAGAAGGGCTTCGAGGTCACGGACAACTTCTGTGCCGCCGACAAGACACCTACGGACAGCGGCACAGGAGGTAATGCTGGAAATCAGACTGATCCAAAGACTGGGACCCCAGTTGCAAGGTCCAAAAGTGGGACGCCGGGTGTTATATCTGGCGTTGTAATTGCAGTGTTGGCGATTGTATCCCTAATCGGCATCGCGACCTGGTTCTTCTTGAAACGAAGAAAAGCCGCCGTTGCAGGAAGAAAAGCCGCCGTTGCAGGGAGTCAGGATCCGTCGCGAACATCTCCTCACTACGACGCGTTGCCCTCTCAAACCAAGGATGTCCACATGCAGGTCTATCCAAAGCCTGAGCTACAGGGGTCTTCTCCGGACCCTTCTTCGCACCAGATTTCTCCACAGGCACCCGGACCGCATTCGAACTATCGTTATGAACTGGCATGATGAATTGGCAGGATAGAGGATGCCAGGTTATTCATTTATTCACTCTGCTTTTAGAACCGGAGGCTGGACGGAAGCATGTAGGAGTATGTCATAATGAGTTCAATGATATGATTCTTTTTAATTTCATGGTGTGCCGCGTACTGTGTAGTATTGCCGTCGATGTATTACTGTCGAAGAAACCAGGCAATCCACTACTCGAAGCTCGAAGCTAAGGATATGTTCAAGTCCTGTCCATATTTACAAGGCCGTGTCTTGGTAGAAACGCGAAACCAAAGCGGTGCCACCCTTCCCTCTGGGCAGGATGGGTAGCATTGCTGACCTGTCTGACCTATCTGGTGGTGGAAGGCGCCTTGAGCATGACCACCAAGGTATCTAGTCCGTCGCTTGCCATGTGTGTATGAATATAATATGCATTCGAAATCATTCCCAACTCCCTTGGCTCCTTCAAGGATATTATTTTCCCATCAAAGACTCTAGAGAGCCAAAGCAGCAAGTGCAGCGGCGCCCAGCATGGCGTAGGAGCCGGTATCGACGGGTGCAGCGTTCGGAGCAGGCGAGTTGGAGCCGCCGGTCTCTCTCGCGGCCGCGGCTGTGGCAGAGACGGACGAGACCTTGGAGACGAGGTCGGCCGTGGCAGAGGCGACCTCGTCAGCCTTGGGGTCGTCGGCAAACTCGGCGCAGAGCTTGGCAACCTGCTTTCCGCTGTCTAGATTGCGCATTCTATGGTCAGTCATTTTGGCATTGGCTCCCCGAAGGGGGGAATTAGCGCGTCATGGACATACCGTATCCGCTGTCGTGTTTGCAGTTGTCGCCCATGCAGAGGCCCATCTTGAGGGCCAGCTTCACTTGGTGCTCGCAGACGCACTTGAAGTCCGTGTTCTTGCAGTTGTTGTCCTCGGCTGCGCGCGAGAAGCACATCAGGCCGCAGGCGGGGAAGTCGTCGATGATCTCGGCCAGGTCGTCGGCCCGGACGGCGCCGAGGAGGGCGAAAATGGGGAGGGCGACGGATGCGAAGCGCATTGTGACTTGTTGGTGATGAATGAGGCACAGAGGGAAAGGAGTTTGGACGGAGATCCAGGGCAGAGGTGAGTACGCTTGGCAATAAAATGCGGAAAGCTGCTGGACTTTTATGGTGCTCTTTCGAGGTCAGAACCCAGGTTCAGCACGGAGGCCTGTCGACGAGAATCTTGCTTGCTTGCTGACGGTGTCACTCCAGATCCATGCCACGGTGATGGGTCTGACACTGCTGATCTTGGCCTTTTTCAGGAATTGACAGCTATGGACCTTCCCAAATTTAAAGATGAGACTCCTTGGAGCTCGTCCACCGAATAGTGCCTGAGGCAGTGCGCCGGCCTGCCCGACATGTTTCTCCCCTTCCTCGGACCAATAGCAAAGCGATTCGCCAGTCGACTGGGTGTCGTTCAGATGATCACCAGAGCAAAACAGACATAAAGTCGACACGTAGGGCTACTAGTTGGGCCTGTCACTCGCTGATCAAAGGATCGCTCCGGGGCCCCTTTTGTGGGTTGAGGGCGGCTATGCGCCCTGAGCCATGCTGTAGCGACAGGATTATGACGTCGAGATGGACAGGGGTGAATATGTCTCGATTAGGCAATTAGATGTCTGTCCACACATCGGGGAAGCCTATTTCTCCGTCTGGAAAACCCTAGGCCAACAAATGTCAGTAGTAAAAGCCGGGTTCTAAAGCCACTGCTTGGAATAGGTTAAGTATGCCCTTGATAAGTCTCTTTCAATATAAGAATATGAATAATCATGCTGCAAAGCCGAGTCTCTGAAGTGACAAGAATACCGGTGCCGTAACTAAATGCTGGAGTTAAGAGCAAAGATCCTATGAACTGCTTGATATACCTAGAAACAGCGGTGGAAATAGTATCGTGGATACGATGATATCTAAGAGTATGAACTGACTTGAAGTATTGTGTTTGTGCGCGTTTCCAGAATCAGAGTGAGTAACAACTGGCCAGTATATTCCATAGTTTTACCTATTTTCTGGAATCGAAGAGTCGACTTGTCCGCAGTGCTCGGTCACGAACTTTCCTTCTCTGCAATTTGAGAACTCAAACTCACTAGTACCCTACGCTACGTGGCACCTCGAATGCCCTTGTTACCGACTCAGTTCCCGATTCCTACAAGCCCTACGCATCCGGCCCAAAGAACGTCCTAGGCCAGATGTTCATAGCCGTCTTCATACCGTCGCCGACCGGCAGCCCGGCATGCAACACCCTCGGATCACCACTCCCATTCGCCATCAGGTTCACCCAGAACAGCGCGTTGCCTCTCACGGGCCTGAACGCCATCCCGCCCTGCTCATGCATCCTCCACACCGCTTGCTGCTTCTTACCACCACTAACACCATCATCACCCTCAGCGGCGGCACCGCCCCCTCCGATATCTCCAGCTTCTTTCCCCCAGTCCTGCGGCGCAATAGGCCGGATCTGCGGGAAATACGTCTCCCCCTCGGAGCACCCGTCCTGCAGCACGACAAAGAAGGTAGCGACGCGGTTGTACAGCCGCCGCCGTCCACGCGCGCCGTCCCCGTCCAGCAGCCGCGGCTGCCGGAACCAGTCGTGGTGCAGGTCGAACTTCTGCCCGGCCGTGTACCGCACCATCTGCGCGACGCCCATCTCGTCCCTGCGGGGCGCGAGCAGGGTGCCCAGGAAGCGCCGCGCGCGCGCCAGCACGCACGCCACGGCGGCGTCGTCGCCCGGCAAGGGAGCGCTCCAAGACGTGCGGCTCTGGGCGCGGGTGCCGCCTGCGGCGCCGTAGCCTGTCACCGGGGAGGGCTCGAGCAGGGGCTCGCCGGCCTTGATGATGAGGTCAGCCTCGCGCGGGCTGACGAGGTTGTGGATGTACACGACGAGAGGGTCGAGGGAGATGAGCTCGGTGGTGTAGTTGTCAGGCCCGCATGTCCACTCTACCCCCGAGGCAGAAGCAGCAGGATCAGAAGGGTGCGGCTCGGGCGTCCGGGCTAGGTTGAGCTCCTGCAGTCTATGAACGGCCAGCTGCGTCAGGATAGGGCCGAAATAGGCAAGGCCGATGCCAGCTCCGAGAGCAAGGATCTGGCTAAGTGGCGGCATGCTGTGAGCTAAAGTTGAGGAGATGCAACCCGAGTACGAGAGCAGAGGTTGATAATGGGCTTGGCTTGGCAAGTTGGTCGAACCCGGCAGAGGTGGAAAAACCAGGGACCGCAGAGCGTGTCTCCTCTTCCTGGATAGGTGGGAAGTCAGATACCGTCTCGAGCGATTCGCCAACAGTCGTCAATAATCCCCGTGAGGCAACGTCGCTCGCGACTCGCGCCCGGGCCACTGGATCTCTTCCGGTCCTGGATATCTCACAGGCTTAAATCTCCGACGAGAAAGCAATATACGATCCCGCGGCAGATGACAGATGACAGCTCGACAGAGACGATAGCAATATCGCAAAACGTGCACCCGATCCGCACGCCCGGATCAATCAATGTCAAGATCCAAGGGGGACACCTCAGCTCCCCCCCGATCATGGATGTTGTTTCCGGCTAATATGGGACATGGCCATATTGGCGACTTTTATTACGATGCCCTCAGCGCAGCTATTTAGCCCAGTTTCTCCAGGAAATTAACCTCCGAAACTGCACAGATATTGCGACTCTGGGGCGGGGGAGGACGCGCCTTTGATGTTAGGCGCTCCTATTGGAAGCGAGGCGCAGCCCGGAGGAGTTTCTATAAGACTCGTGATGTTTGCGCTTGGCGTATGAGCTTGCGAGATTCACGAGAAGGCTCCCAGAATAGACTTGACAACTTGTGGGATACTCAGATCTTATCTTCCGAAAAGACTACTTCATAGAAATCAGCGAAAATGCGTCTGTTCAACCTCCTCGCCGCAGCATCGGCCCTCGGGTCTGCCCTGGCTCAGGGCTCCGACGGGAAGCTCCGCATCAGTAAGTAGATACCTAATCACCAGGAACAAAAATGTACCTAACATTGACCCTCAAAGTGCCCCTCGGCGACTCCATCACCGAGATCACCTGCTGGCGCGCCTTCGTCTGGGACGACATCGTCGCGGCGAACTACTCGTCCAAGGTCAAGTACGTCGGCTCGCAGAACAGCAACCCGCAGAACTGCAAGCCCAAGACGGCCGGGTGGGACATGCACCACGAGGGCCACTCGGGCTGGCTGGCCATCAACATCGCCAACCAGTACCTCGAGCGGTGGATGCAGAGCACGCCGGCCGACATCGTCATGTTCATGCTGGGCACCAACGACGTCAACACGGGCCGCAGCACGGCCGACATCATGGCCGCGTACACCAAGATGGTCAACATCATGCGCAAGGCCAACCCCAAGATGAAGATCATTGTGAGTCTCTTGAACTTGTTTCCCTCTCCCCCAGGTTGAATCCGAGAAGAGAGATGAGGTGTGGCTAAATGACAAACAAAAAAAGGTCGACCTGGTCATCCCCCTGCCGTTCCGGCCCGACGGCATCAACGCCATCAACAAGGCGATCCCGGCGTGGGCCGCGGGACTCAACTCCACCGAGTCCCCCATCGTCATTGCCGACTGCAACACGGGCTTCCCGGCCTCGGATCTGAGGGACGGTGTCCACCCGAACCTGGCGGGCGACGAGATCATCCGCGGCAGGATTTCGCCCCTGCTGCTCAACCTCATCAAGGAGTCGCTCGGCGAGTAGACAAAAACGTCAACGCAGTTGCGGCTCTGTGCCGGCGAGAGAGATGGAAGGAACAAAAGAGACGACGCTGTTTGATTTACGTGTGTATATTGACTTTGTCGATGATGTTACATGTCTTACTAGAGACCCCGGCGTTTGCCAGATACATATATGATAGTTTAGTGCTCGCAGAATGAAATTGCGTTCTGTAAACCATACGTCAGTACATCTAGACTCTCAAGCATTTCAACCCGCACTCGGCAAATAAGGAATGCAGGGGCAACATACCTCGTTCATCTCCTCCTCCACCTTGCCCGTCATGGCGCTCCGCTCATCCATCAGCGCCTCGCGCGTCTCGACCGCCCACTCCCACGACAGCGGGAACTCGACGAAGCTCATGATGTGCTCAAAGATCTCGAGCGGCAGGCGCGCAAAGGCCGGCACGCTCCGCACCTGGGGCGCCCACCAGTCCCGGCGCTGCGGGGGAACGTTGGCCGTCGACAGCACGCGGCGGTAGGGGTCGATGAGGAACATGGCGAGGATCTTGCGGTGGCCGGGGCGCTTGGGGTCCGCCAGCTCGAAGGGCTGGACCTTGTGCTGCAGGGCGTTGGGGAAGGCGAGCATGCGGCCCGGGCGGGTGAGCACGGTGCCGAGGTTCTGGATGGGGTTGCCGTCCTGCTCGACGCCGAGGTACTTCTCGAGCGAGGTGTGGGCGCTCTGCTCGGGGATCATGATGAGGTGCTCCGAGTCGATGCCCTGGCGGAAGGCGAGCCGGCTCTCGGTGATGTTGTCCTCGTCGTAGTAGAAGAGCGCCGTGGCGGCGATGCGCTCGTTGAGCGCGCCCTCGATGTGCCAGGTGCCGCCGCCGTAGCGCGGTTTCTCGGGCGTCAGGTGGATGTTGGCCAGCTTGAAGATGACCTGCAGGCCGTCGGGGAACTCGCGCGTGAAGTCGAGCCGGGCCGAGAGGTCAACCTGCTCGGCAAAGGGCTTGAAGTCGTCGGGCTCCCGGAACTTGATGATGCGGTGCTGCGTCCACCACTCCTCATACTCGTCGGTCCACTTGTAGTCGTCGCCATCATTGTCCTCGGGGATGTCATAGGCCGCGCCTTCAGGTAGGTAGTAGTCCTCCTCGTCGTCGGTTCTGCTGAACTTCTGCCTGCGGCGGTCCGACCACCAAGACAGGCACTCTTCCCACATCGGGACCGCGGCACCAACAAATTTCTCCAGCACTGGGTATAGTACCTTGTGCTCCTCCGGATGGAGGTTGTTGATGTAGCCTGCGATGCTGGGGCCGGCCTCGGTCCACTTGATGTCGGTGGGAAGCCACTGGTAGCTGCCCCAGCCGATAGGCAAACTGCCGAAGGGACGATCCTCCTCGCTCTTCTGGAATCCGGGGACGAGTTCTGGCGTTGACTCGTAGCTGTTCCAGCTCTGGAGAGTGATCTTCTCCGAGGGAAGGACATATGACTGGCCGTATACGACGGGGAAGAGCGAGGGATGAAGCAGATCCAAGACTAGGTTGTCTGAGCGGGGGTGCCAGTCTTTGAAGCTCTCAGGGACGTCCTCAAGCACCTTCACGGCGGACTTGAGGGCCGCAGCGAGGTCAGGAGAGACGTTGGTGTCAGACTTGACCACAGTTACCTCGGCATCAATGGTGTTGATAAGACCCGTCTCCTTGAAGCGGGTAGCCTTGTCCTGCAGCTCAAGGATACACTGCACGCCCATGCATTAGCAAGCTACTCTGCGTCAACTTCTGGCCCTAGATCAGACTGAACCTACGTTTTGGAACATCTTCTCCGAGAGAAAAACGTCATCCTGGTCGTCAAAGTTGTCGTCCTCTGTCGGGGCCGTCATGCTCATGGCCTCCTCCTTCCACTTGGCGACGATGCTCTCGTCAAAGACCTTGCGCTCCCACTCGGGCTTGTCGGTGATGGAGCCGATAAAGGCCATCATGCGGCGCTCTCTGTAGCTGACGCCAAGGCTCTGGAGGACGCTCATGTCTCCGATGGCATGGGGGAAGGCCTTGACGCAGTTGGGGTCGTGGTCGGCAGGCAGACCAAAGCCAGGCAGGCTCACGCGCTCAGCGGAGGGGCCGGCCGCGGCGGAACCTTTGCCGAGTGCTCTGGAGGCGACGAGAGCGACATTCTCGAACATCTGGGCTGCCACCGACTTCTTGTCGCCTCTAGTCTTCCTCTGGGCCCTGGTCTTGGGATCCTTGGGGTGGTTAGGACCGAAAAAAGGGGGCCCAACATCGCCCTTTGAACTGTAGACATCGGCGGCCTTGATCTTGTCGCAGGTGAAGCAGCGACCCGACGGGGTGAGGATGTGACGGGTCATGGCTGGAGGGCTGGGGTGAGAGAGGGACCGGATGGCTTGAGGGACTGTCTGACTTTGGAAGAGAGAGGGGGAGAGGCCTGGTCGCAGGTGAAGTCACAAACGAATCATGCATACACACACGATTGCAAGGAGAGGAGCGGTGGAAGAGACCGGCCGCCGTGGGGTTCATATCTGCCACGAGCCAGGAGAGTCGTCTAAGTGCGGCTGAGGACTAGTGACAGGGCGCCAAGCCCGCGGTAGCTGAGATGGTGCCTGTATTTGGGCCATCGCCTAACCAGATCGGTCCTCGACATTCCACGACCGTTTGGCACTTGGAGCGATTTGCGATTTGGCACCGACTCGAGCCCGGATGGGCCTCTCCACCTGCTGTTCTGCCTGCTGCTGAGACGTGGGGACTGCCTCGAGCTGCCTGTTGCACAGACAAGATCAGGCGGAGACCAGGCGGAGACGGGATGTTGAAGCATTGAAGCAGCGAGAGTTTCCATCACAACACCCGCTGTGCTGCCTGCAGCTGAAGTCTGTATCCTGGTATATGATACGACCCAATGCTAGTACTGCGCTCGGCAGGCAGAAGGTACAACAAAACCCCGCATCCGTCGTCGCTGTTTGCCAAGCAAGGCGATCGCTCGATGCTATGCCGGAATGGCGATGGTGGTGGTGTCTAAGTCTCCGAGGTGAACGCTGTGGCTGTGTTTTTGGCGATGAATTCCACTGGAGACCATTCGCTAAATTAAGCGTGATAACGATAAGGAAACATCGATCTTTACGAGAAGACTGGAGGGTTCTCACCGCCCGAGCCCGGACCCGCATGTCCGATCCATTCTGCCGCCCTCTCCCAAGCTTCCCAAATTTTTCTTTTTGGCGCCTTTGGTGGTAGGAGGTGCAACCCGCCCCACGAAAGTCCGAATCGAACAACAACCAATTGCACACGACACCATGGGCGGACAACCGGCAAAGAAGAGGTCTGCGGACAGCCAGGCCAGGTTAAAGGCCCTCAGGCCAGCCAAGAAGCAAAGGAAGCAGCGGGAGTACCACAGCAGCGACTCGGAAGACGACGCCCCGCAGGACGGAGGAGACTTCAAGGCGGTCAACCTGCTCGACTCGGACAACGAGGACCTCGACAATGTAGAGGTAGACGACGTGCCCTCGGGCTCCGGGTCAGGCTCGGACTCGGATTCGTCGTCAGCACCGGCCTCGAGCAGGAAAGCACCCAAGGCTGCACTCAAAAAGTCAAAAAAGCAACAACCCAACCAGAAATCCCACGACGCACCAGAATCATCGTCCGACAACGAAGACGAAGAAGATGGTGACGACGATGAAGACGAGGACGACGAGCTCGATGCAGACGGCAACAAGGCAACCGGCGCGAACCGCCAGTCGTCCAGGTCGAAGCGCAACGACCCGGCCGCCTTCGCCACCTCGCTCTCCAAGATCCTCTCAACCAAGCTGTCCACGGCCCGGCGCGCGGACCCGGTCCTCGCGCGCTCGGCCGCGGCGCAGCAGAGCGCCCGCGACGCCGTGGACCAGGCCCTCGAGAACAAGGCCCGGCGGCGCCTGCGCGAGCAGAAGCGCCTCGCCATGGAGAAGGGCCGCGTGCGCGACGTGCTCGTCGCCAGCACGGCCACGGGCCTCGGCGGCGGCGGCGGCGGCGGGGAGGCGGACGGGCTCGCGGCGGGGAGGAGCGGGGGCGAGACGGAGACGACGGCGCAGATCATGGCGACGGAGAAGAGGCTGCGCAAGGTGGCGCAGCGGGGCGTGGTCAAGCTGTTCAACGCCGTGCGGGCGGCGCAGGTCAAGGCCGCCGAGGCGGAGAGGACGGCGCGGGCGCAGGGCGTGATCGGCATGGGCAGGCGGGAGGAGAAGGTGGCCGAGATGAGCAAGAAGGGGTTCCTGGATCTGATCGCGTCTGGTGGAGGAGGGCTCAAGAAGGGGCCTCTGGAGGAGGCGTAGGGAGGAAGGGGCTCGGCCCAACGTCCTGTCCTGTCCCTGGAAAGCGCGGCATTGAGGTGTTTAGGACCAGTTCAAGTCAAAATGTAATGATACCACTACAGTATTAATGATACCACTACAGTATGAAACGGCCATTCAGCTATTAGAGATGAGTCCATTGGTATTTCTTTTTAGATCCCCGAGCCACGCCGTACCCTGTGCCGTAGATTGCCGCCTTTCTCTACCTTACTGTACAAATGCTTCCCGGGTGAGGGTGAGCAACATTCGTGGCCATACGTAACGACTTCCCCTTCCATCATCGCCCTTTGAACTAGATGTACACAGCGACCTGAGCCGGAGCCGAGCAAGTCCCCGGATCAAGCCGCAAACCGACATGTAGAACTAAATCACGTAAAGTCCTTGGCTTGCAGATTCCTCGTCATGGACGGTAGCTGGAGCCTGAGCCCATCAAGCTCCTTGGTCATGTGGACCTGGCACCCGAGGCGGCTGGTCTCGGTGAGGCCGAAGGCGAGGTCGAGCATGTCGTTCTCGTCGTCGTCGGGCTCGGGCATCTTCTCGTAGTACTCCTCGTCGAGCACGATGACGTGGCAGGTCGAGCAGGCGCAGGAGCCGCCGCAGGCGCCCTCCATCTCGAGGCCGTTGGCCTGTGCGATGTCGAGCAGGTTGGCGCCCTCGGCGACGGCGAATTTGTGCTCGATTCCGTCCTTCTCTATGAAGGTGATGTAGAGCCTGGTAGTGGTAGCAAGACTGGTCAGCAAGCCAAGACACGCAGGTGGCCGTGGGGCAGCCGGTTTGAATATCCCGAGGTCTTTGCGGGGGGTTGACTCACTCCTCGCCGGGCTTCGGCGGCTCGATATGGCCATGTGAGGCTGCCGGGGTGGATGAAAATGTTCGTATTTGCTGCCGGAAGGATCGTGAGGGTATCAATGCTGCAAGGCGGAATGGTCAGCGCGGGCTCGGAGGGGTGGCGTGGAGGTACGGCATCGTATCGTGATGCGGGCGAACGGGCCTTCGCGGCTGAGCGCGGCATATGCGAGTCTGCGCAAACTTACAGGAGATGGAATTCCTTTGCCGCGACGTCTGGCTGGGCATCGGGGGTCTTGCGGTGCTCAATCGAGAGCCAGTGTGACGAGCGGCCTGGGCGAAGCGCAGCAGCGGCCGCGCAAGAGATCTCGGGGCCGACATGGCTGCTCTGCTCGGAGAAAAGAAGGAGAATGAGGGAGCAGCGACGGGGGAGGACGGATGCCTCGAGTTTATGCCAAATTGCGTCGAGGACAAACAGCGGTCAGAGGACCCGTGACTCGACCTGGACTGCAGCTAACAGCAGGCAAACATGCACGGGCTGTTGGTCCTCGGAGGGATCTGTTTCGTCGACGAGGTGTGTCGTGCCGGCCGGCGCTGGTCGTTGGGAGGGAGCAGAAAGTGGTGCAGCTGGGGATTTGTTTCTGTGCAACCCACTGCAAATCAGCGCCTCAGCAGCTAACAGAACCCAGTCGCAGCGAGTCTAGGCATGAATTACCCGAGCTCTCACTGGTCAACATTGAAAAGCCCGCTGGAGCTCCGATAAGAGCGAAGCCCAGGAAAAAAAATGCATGTCGCCAGAAAAGTTCCTTATCGCTGGCTCAGTTGGGGGCTCTCGGTTATCGCACTTGTTCCGCCCCCGGTTTTTATCTCCGACTTTGATCAATCAATCATGATTTCATGTTCATAGCATTTTTCATGCTAGACATGCTTGGTTAGGGGCTCGCGACAGTGGGGAGATCACCTAAAGCTCAGGAGACACTAAGAAAAGCAGCAGGATGTCACAGCACGGAGCACCTCCATACACGGGCCCATTTTCATGCATCATCAATCACCAGCCTTTTTTCCCCTGCCTGCTTCTCCAAACAAACAAACAAACAAACAAACAAACAAACAACCAACCACTGCTCCTGGCCATGAGAACGTAGAGCCCGCCGCCTCCGTTCTCTTCCCATCCGATCATGTCTTCGCACAGAGAAGGCGTCAACCCTCTGAGGCCCTACTACGTCCCCCCCTCGATAGGAGAGCCCTCCGACTTTGGCCCCAAATCCGGGCCCAATCCTTTTTCTCACGGCAATGCGACCGGCGGCAAGTACGCGTCTAAGGCGCGTGACATCTTCTCCGATATCGACTACAAGGACTACATAGCAGAGCCTTCTCCCTCGGTCGTGCGATCCCTCAAGGAGCTGGTTGACGAGCTGCTATGGAAGTACACGTCCACATTGATGGCCCAGCCCTTCGAGGTAGCCAAGACGGTCCTGCAGCTCAGGATACAGGATGACCCGGGCGCGCTCTCGGCGGTGCCATCGACACCAGAACCTCTCCAGAGGCAGTCCTCCTACAGGAACTCAATATACGGCGATGTACGTGTCTGGTGCTGTCTCCTATCCTCTACCCTTTCCTTTGCGGAATCAGGCCATGCTGATGACAGTCTTTTGCACGTGAAGCTCCCCGACTCCGATTCCGACCCGGACGAGCCAGCCTACTTTACCTCCAACATCCCCAACACACCCACCCCTGCGGCTTCCCGCTCCCGCTCGCAAAGATTGGGATCACCGATATCACCGCCCGGCACACCGCGGTCGCAGCCCAAGCCGCCGAACGCCGCCGAGGGGCAGCTGACCCTGCGCCGGCCAGACTCCATCCTCGACGTCATCTCCCAGCTGTGGTCCAGGGAGGGCGCATGGGGCGTGTGGAAGGGCTCGAATGCCAGTTTCCTCTACTCTGTGCTGCAGTCACTGCTGGAGAACTGGTCGCGGAGCCTGCTGAGCGCCCTGTTTAATGTCCCCGACCTGGGTGTGAGAGATGATGTGGATCGCCTGATCGACATTGCGTCGCCGTACCCGTGGCTGTCACTATGCGTTGCGGCCGCTGCCGCTGTGACCACCGGTGTTCTTCTCGCGCCACTCGACATGGTGCGCACAAGGTCAGTATCGTTGCGGTTTCCCAGTCCCACTCCGTTTCCCATGTGCTAATCGACCATCGCAGGCTCCTGGTGACCTCGGTCTCGTCCAAATCCCGACGAACTCTCTCCAACCTCCGAAACCTCCCCTCCTACTTCTGCCCCTCTTCAATCTTCCTCCCGACCGTCTTCCACTCCCTCATCCACCCGATCTTGTCGCTCTCCACTCCTCTTGTCCTCCGCACACAGTTCCGCATCGACCGGGATCTCAGCCCCACTACCTTCTCCATCGCCAAGTTCTGCTCCTCTGCTGTCGCCCTGTTCGTCAAGCTGCCGATCGAGACAGTCTTGCGCAGGGGTCAGATGGCTGTCTGGAGCTCGCCGTCGTATGCGGCTTCTCTCGAGACAGCTCCTGCTCCCAGAGTACGAGGCAAGGAGGCTGCCATGAAGTCTGCCGAGGCCGATGTCCTGGTCCCTCTGGGCAAATACGATGGTCTGGTCGGCACCATGTACAAGATCGTCACGCAGGAGGGTTCAAGACCGGTCAGTGCTCCAGCGCCCCCGCCCCCGCCCAAGGCAAAGGCTTCCGGCTCTAAGCGGGGGAAGCCCAAGATTGCCGAGACGGTGTTTCGGCGCGGCCAGGGCGTCGAGGGTCTCTGGCGTGGCTGGAAGGTAGGCTGGTGGGGACTCGTCGGCTTGTGGACAGCGGGTGTCGTAGGCGGAGGAGGAGATGGAGAGTTTTAATGGCGGATCAGACACGCATGTTAGTCCCGGATGGGACGACTCGGCCCGGCCGAAAGATTGGATGGATAGAGCCTACACTTCTCCTCGCACCTTATTTTGCGATACTGGGATGCGGGCGTTTTACGGGGTGCGTCCCTTTTTTGTCTTCACGAATTCTCAGCTCACGATGACGGTATGATATCCCAACTTGGTTTCTATTTTCTCTGCGACAGCACATGGAAGGCCTGTCTGGTACGAAGATGTTCTTTCTTCTGGCAGTGTTAGTATAGATGTACGATCTAATATGGTTGCGATGTGGCGAGATCTCCAACAAGGCCTCTTGGTATCCTTTGCTGCTCCATGTGAAGATCGAGTGTGCAGTCTGGGGTTTGCCGGATGTTGCGGCCGGATCGCCAGGTACCGTCACCCGGACCAAAGTCGGATATGTTGACTCCATGTCTGCTTCGAGATAACCTGGTTAACCAAGCTCGGGATGCGACATTTGACGTCGATGACAAACCCGTGCATCGTCACCCCGGGTTTACCGATGACGAGGACATGGCCCATGATACCCCAAACCTCGGGAGTCCTTGAAACCTAGACCGCAAATGATATGGTGCAAACCCCTCAAGCCCATCGATCACTGCCCAAGAGGCGGCGCACGGCACGGCGGCTCGGTAACCACCCTCACTCACATTAGCTGCCCTCCCGTGGAACCGTCGCAGTTTGGACGAAACCATTCCCCGGGCTTCCTTTTTGATCCTCCTGGCAGTCGACAACCTTCCACCAACCACTCTCGCTCAGCACATGTCTCGACAAGGTCAAGGGTCAAGGCGGTGATTTCGAGCTCAAAAGTTCGGTCCACCTCCACCGCCGACGCAACCCTGCCGGAGCCTCATCGACCGAGATTGCTCTTTTGGTGTGTAGTCTGCCCACCACGCTTTGCCAATTCGAGTCGCAGATTGGGCCATCGAGGGGTGAAACGCCAGCACATATGTATGTCTACGAATGTAAACTGCCCTGATGCGGGAGTCCATGTGATGCTCTAACTCGTCCGCTAGGCCGAAGGAACCATGATTACGACTTCGACTTTGACGGAAGCGAGTGCCGCTTATGCGCACAACACGCGCCTCTCCCGGTCGCGAGCAAGCCATGCAGTGCTGCTTTGCTTGCGCTCTGCGGTAGCGAAGAAGGTGTTCCGCCAATGAGACGCGGTCTGGGGGGTTGGAGGCAGTTGCATTGAAACGCTGATCCTTGGCTTGGGTACCCATTACCTGGACTCCCTGGACAATGTTTAATCTATTCGTGCAGGACGCTCTCCTTCTGCTTGCCCTGGAGATATTGGGCTGCGCCAGGGTGTTTCTGATGTCGGGGTTGCCCTTGTGGACTTGCTTGGCATCACGCGTGTAAGTCACTACGGTGGCGTTCGGTGGAAGTGCCTGATGCGGAGTTGGGGTTGCGAGATCGTAGTCGAGGTGCTCAGATATATAAGGCGGCGATGATCCCCCAGATGACGTTGCGATGTTGAGACTGGGCCTAGTCGTGGACAAGTTGATCACCTCTTCCAGACTCAATAGCTGCAGGGACTCGAGGCACACACAAGTCTTTCACAGCCTTCTACCGACCCAGCATCTCCAGCATAGCCCAGCCACGATGAAGCTCCGATCCACCGGCGCCCTCGCGGCCCTGACCTCGGCCGCCGCCGTCGCCGCCCACGGCCACGTCTCCAACATCGTCGTCAACGGCGTCTACTACGAGGGCTACGGCTCCGACTCCTTCCCCTACATGCCCAACCCGCCCGTCGTCGCGGGCTGGACCATCGACGCCAAGGACAACGGCTTCGTGTCCCCGGACGCCTTCGGCACCCCGGACATCATCTGCCACAAGTCGGCCACGCCCGGCGGCGCGCACGTCGAGGTCGCCGCCGGCGACAGCATCTCCCTGCAGTGGAACACGTGGCCCGAGTCCCACCACGGGCCCGTGATCGACTACCTCGCGCGCTGCGACGGCGACTGCGAGACCGTCGACAAGACCTCGCTGCGCTTCTTCAAGATCGACGGCCCCGGCTGGCTCTCGGGCGCCAACCCGGGCCTCTGGGCCGCCGACGTGCTCATCCAGAACAACTTCACCTGGCTCGTGCGCGTCCCCGCCGACCTGGCGCCGGGCAACTACGTCCTGCGGCACGAGATCATCGCCCTGCACGCGGCGGGCAACCCCAACGGCGCGCAGGCCTACCCGCAGTGCTTCAACCTCAAGGTGACGGGCGCGGGCGCCGCGCAGCCCGCGGGCGTGGCCGGCACGGCGCTCTACAAGGCCACGGACCCGGGCATCCTGTACGACCTGTACCGCTCGCCGCTGCCGCCGTACACCGTCCCCGGCCCCGCGCTGGTCTCGGGCCTGCCCGTCTCGGTCGCGCAGGCGAGCTCCAAGGCCACGGCGACGGGGACGGCGACGAGGCCTGGCGGCGGCGGCGGCGGCGGTAGCTCCGGCGCGCCCACGAGCACGACCAAGCCGCCCTCGCAGCCGACGACGACGCTGGCCACCACGACCAGGCCGACCAGCACCACCGCCGCCGGCGGTGGTGGCGGTCAGGGGCAGACGCGCTGGGGCCAGTGCGGTGGGAGCGGGTACTCTGGCCCGACGTCGTGCGCTGAGGGGACGTGTACTGTGCTCAATCCTTATTATGCGCAGTGCCAGTAGGGGTGAAGCGGGGGAGGTCTGCAGGGTTTTCAAGTGTGATAAAGTCGTTTTTGGATGTCATGATTATGGTAGCATTCTACTTCGTGTATATCTCGTATGGAAATTGAGCTTTACAAAAGCATCATCCCTCGTTTACCAGGTGCCTTCGTGCCTCGTCAAGTGTCGTGATTCTGTAGTTCGCTTGTATTACATGCTCGATCGCGTCGACTGGCGTGCTGCCCACTTCTCCTCAAAGTAGGCACATGCCAGGAGGAGCCCGGCTTCTCGGTCCGGAGTGCTTGCTTTCAGCTGCCGGGCTTTCACTCCCGGCAGGGATTCGAGGATGTAGATCGTATCCCCATCAATGATATCCAAGTCCTCTGTCTCTCCTTTCCCAAATATCAAAGCGCAGTCATTCTGTGTGAGGTTGTAAGCTAAGGGGAAAGAATCGAGAACAGCTGTGAGACACCTACCCAGTCGTCCCAGTACCTATCAAGCTCTCTGCAGAAATTGCTAGGGTCGAGCTTGCTCCTCCGGAACACGGTATTGCCACCTAGGTGATCCCAGGAAAAGTGCCCGTCTTGAAAGTACCTGGCCTTCTTCCTATCATCCTCGGGCACCCGACTCCAGAGTCTCTCGTCCTCACAGTTGCAAGGATAGTACTGACCAGGGAAGTCCATCCCGCCAGCCCATTTCTGCTGGATATCATCAGTCAAGTAGATTGTGTGTCGAAAACTCTGCAAATCTTCAGTTGTCCTGAAAGGGTGTCGCTTGCAGCCGAGCAGGCAGACCAAGTCAATTTCCTCCGCATTTTCAGTTGCATCTAGATCAAGTTCTCGGAGCAGCTGCTTTGCTACAGCCTCCGGAACCTCTCGAAATGAGAAGTTGCTGTAGTCCCAGAAGTCGATGAACTGATACGGCAGAGGCAGTGGCCAGTAGTGCCGGACTTGCTCATACTTGGCCGAGATCTGTGGGTTGAGTGTCAGTGGCGATATCTTTCTCGTCGCCTTAGCTTCAGGGAGCCCACATAGCCATGTCCAAGGACAATCTCCTTCTACACCAATATTAGCTAGAGTCTTTCCTGCAAACGCTAGACCGGCATACCTCGAAGGGTTGCATGCGCTGAAACACTGCAAGCAGCTCGTCTCTGCTATTCTCCACCACAGGCGTCCTCGTCCAGAACTCCTTGAATGGCAGATACCTCTCAAGCTTCCTGAATAGGTATTCTGTCCCCGGCTCCTGGTCAACGCCTTGGTACGCTGTTCCGCACAGCACGACTTTGCAGAGTCTCCACACGTCCCAGACATCGGACGCCGCCAGCAGATTTTCCACATCCTCGAACATCGAGCAGGGATCCGGGGCAGACTTTTCAGATGCCGAATCTGATGCCGTCGTGTCGGCCAGCTCTTCCTCTGCGGAGCCACTTGATGGCATCCCGCTGCTGGGTCGGCTTTCGTCTTCATCCCATTCCGAGTCTTCGGGGGCGACCAGTGGGTGCCACACGTCGTAAAAGGGGTAGTACGCTTCGCAGTCGACGTCCTCTCCCTTCAAGTACGCCGCCTTCCACGCGGCCCAGTGAACGCCCGGCCAGCTGCGCAACACAAGGTGGTGCTGCATCTTTTGCACCTGGTAGGCTAATAGCCGCCAAGTGCAGAGGTCCGCTGGGTGCGGTGCGATTGCGATCTGCTTGACGTCGGCGAGGGTATCCTCAGGGTTGGCTCGAAGTGTTGCAAAGAACTTGGCGTTCGCTTCATCGTTCAGGAGTTCATTGACTCTGCTCCGGCGGCTGTCTGCGACGAATGTGTCATCTGATCGAGTAGCTAGGTTTGAGGCAAGCAGTGAGAGCAGCTTGGCACCATCGAGCCCGACTTCCTTGGATGCCTTGTGCAGCGCTAAGACATTCCTCATCACTGAGTTGGCCCACGACCAGTAGTAGAACAGGTAAGCGGCGACGGTGTTGAGAAACTCGCTCTCTTCATCGTCCGGCGGCCGGCTGGCGATCTCTTCGGCGTGCTGTCTCTCTGTATGCCACTCGTTGAATCCCCACTTGAAGATTTCCTCATCCAGTAGGTAGGACTCCTGAGTGGAAAGCCGGACGAAGACGACATGTGCAAAGTGACCAGAGATGTCTGAGATGTTGGGCACCTCGTTCAGGACAGTCCAGAGCGTCAACCTGAAGGCGCTGTTGATCGATAACGTTGCGGTCTGCATCCGGCGTCTCAGACGCGCTTCCAGCTGATCCTCTGCCATTTCTCACACCTGCCGCTAGTCATAACATCGAGCCTCAATTCTGTCTCGTGTTGTATGCCGGTATACGCCGTATCCGGATCATCGCCTGGTTTGCGTCAGCCCAGCCGAGAGCCAAGCTTTTCGGGTAGTAAAGCGGGGCTTTCTCCCACGCCGTGTATGCGGGTGCAATACGAATCGCTATTACGAAACAACACTGCAGCAGCGAGGTTGTACAGTTTCATGCTGTTCACTCACTGACAGTCCGGTCTCGAAAATGCAATCCCAAGCAGGTATTACCCAGGCTTGCCCACCGTTGCATCTAAACTTGTACCGGTAATCGATCCTGAGCGGAGTCCCTGAAGGATCATTCCGTATATAACAATCGAGGTTAGTGCCCTGAGACACCCGTTACGGAGATCCGTGCCCGGATCTCGGCTGGCTGTTTTACTGGAGACTGCTGAGCTCTGGTAAGATGACATCAGCCACGCAAAGAAAGCCGTAGAAGTTCACCTCCCGCTTCTCAAGTATGTACATAATACTGGAAAGCCAGCCAGAATCTCTTTTTTTTAAACAAAAGTTCTTTTACATCCTCTAATCGAACAACATCTTGATTGATTCCTAGACTAACGTGCTCACTTGCCCGGAATGGCGTCAACAAGTTCGGTTGCAATAGAGGACAAGGTCTTAAAGAGTCTTGAAGGCTCGAGATTTGAGTCCGTAGCACTTCAAAAGATTACAGAAGGGAACGTGAACTGGAGTTATGTTGCAAAGCTATGCAGGCCTCTCGATGACGGAACGGAGGAAGCGCTAATCAAGCACGGGGAAAACTTCATGTCCTCCAAGCCCGACTTTGCATTGACCTTGACCCGCTGCGTAAGTGCAAAAGCCAATGCCAATGGGGTTGGTCCTCGCTTTCGTCATTCCACCGAAGCTGACATGCAGCAGCGGGTCGAAGAAGAGGTGTTGAAGAGACTTTCGGGTTGTTCTTCATTCGGTAGCGGCGATTCCGGGGATGCATATCACTTCAGAATCCGTACCGCAGAGGCCCTTCACTTCGATGAAGAGAACGCAAATCTTGTGCAAGAATACCTCCCAAACAGTATTAACCTAAAGCAATACGTCCTGCAATATTACAGCAGCCAAACCCCGGCGTCTTTCGAGCCACAATGTCGTCAGCTGGGCAAGGCTGTGGGTGCGTGGCTAAAGGGGTATGTCGAGTGGAGTACAAAGCAAGTGGAGCTACGAAAGGTTGTGGCAGAGAATGGTTTTGCCCAGGAGGTGAAGCGCATGCTCAACTTTGGGTTCCTCCGGGGACGCGTGGACCAGTTCCCGGCACTGCTGGGTCACGACAAGAACATATTCGACAAGCTTGAGCAGATGGCCGAGGTAGAGTTACAGGACCAGAGTCAACTCCAGATCGTGCACGGCGATCTTGCTCCAGGAAAGTATGTATTTGCAGCCTATTCATTGCGCACTTCGATAGAGTCTCGGCCGAGCTGACCATACATACCAGCGTCATTCTGCCGAATGTTCCGATGGAAGAAGGTGTTGATATACCCATATTCATTATTGATTGGGAATGCACCCAACTTGGCGTGTTGAGTGTCGACTTTGGCGAGATGGTGGGCGAGTTATACGCTCTCCGGCTGTACAAATCCGTTCCTGCGGGACTGTGGATCATGGAGGGCTTCGTCGCTGCTTATGGACACTTCAGCGAAGACTTCGCATTCCGGGCAGCCATCCAGATAGGCACGCATCTCCTCTGCGTTACGCCGGCGTCCGAGGGCTGGGGCACACCAGACCAGATCCAGGGAGTGGCTCGAGTTGGCAGAGACGTCATCGTGCATGCCTGGAAGAGGGATCGCCTCTGGTTTGAGACGAGCGACCTGGCATGTTTGTTCAAAGCGGCCGTATGAATTCCGGTTTATGCATGTTTGTGCCAACGGACAGCGGCTTGTCCGGGAAGCGAGACATAGCTGTATGCAGATGACTTAGAGGTCGTGTTTCCCACCTCTGATCAACTAAGCGTCTGCTTCGTATGCTGATGCCATGCCGTCACCAATAGTACAAGGTATCCGCCTCATCTGCGAAGACCCCGCGACCGCCCATCGTGCAGTCTAAACTCCGGAAGCCATGTTAGTTAGATGGCATAAGACGACGCTAAGCCCAAATGGGGAATCGAGCGAGGGCTTCGTTATCACCTAACACCGCAGTTGCTACGTCCGCCAGGACGCTGGTCTAATCGACGGACTTAGATACCACAATTTCCGTATTAGGAACCTGGACAGCATCGCAGAGGCACGACTCAGCCTGGGTTCGAAAGGGGCTCGAAAGTATATAAATCTCAAGGAAGAACATCGTTCTGGATTGGAATACCATTGTTGCGTCCGCATCCACATCCGCTGAGACGATTTTATCCATTGCTCCAACACTACGTTTTACCCCAATATTATCGATACATCTTCCATACCCAGCCCTGAATGAAGGGATACAACATGGCCTCCTCAGATAGAACCATCGTCCTCATCACAGGTAGGTTGAATTTGATCTCAGCTGCATCACATCATGCTAATATCAAGTCAAGGCGGCAACAGCGGCATCGGTTTCGAGACTGTCGCTGCTTTGCTAAAAGCGTCGGCCAACTACCATGTCATCATGGCTGCCCGCTCAATCGAGAAGGCGCAAAAGGCCGTCGACGAGATAAAGTCGCTTCACGGAGACGCTCTCAAGGGCGAGGTGTCTCTTGTCCGCATAGATGTCACTGACATCGAGTCCGTCCGTGCTGCCCGGCAGGATGTTAAGTCCAGGTTCGGCCGAGTCGACGTCCTCATCAACAACGCCGGTATCATCGTCACCAGGGAGTGCGACACCCTCACGAACCTGCGCGAGACCTTTGAGACCAACGCCTTCGGCCCCGCCATTGTCACCGAGATCTTTGAGCCGCTGCTCAAAAAGTCGTCTCGCCCCAAGATCATCTACGTCTCGTCCGGCCAAGGCTCGATGACGCTGAAGCTGGACCCTGCCAACCCTCACCGCCTGTTACGCGGCGACTTCTACCGCATGAGCAAGTCGGCGCTTAACATGCTCGCGACGAGCCACCGCGTCCATTTTGCCGAGTGGGGATGCAGGGTCACTGCGTTTGACCCCGGCTTTTGTGTCTCCAATCTGACGGGACCGGAAGGCCGCAAGATGCGCATCAAGAATGGCGCCAGGGACCCCGCGGAACCGGCGAGGGAACTCGTACGTATCATAGAGGGCAAGAGGGACGCGGACTGGGACAAGTGTGGCATGATGGACGTCGATGGCGGCATTTCTCCGTGGTAGTGATGCCATGCTTTCGCCTTGGCTCCTGTTCAAACCAGCGAGACATTGTACTAGCTTGTAATCTCATGGAATTGACGAAACACTCAATGCTCCTAAGAAATCTGTTTATCCTCGGAATCCTCGCGACCCGCAACGCTCATCAACCGTTGAACCCGTTGAGTCTCTGCTGCCAGCTGTAGTGACCCTTGGGGTCAGCAGCCATGATACGCATGGCAACGATATCATTTGACTCGATGCCCATCTCGATGATTCCTGCCTGTATCGCTAGGTGGACATACTTGAGAGCCCTCTTCTCATACCCCAGATTATTGTAGTTGATCGCCGCGGTCCAGTAAGCCTCCATCATCCGGCTCTGCAGCCTCTCCTGCTCGTACAGAGACAAGTACCGGTCCACCATCTTGACCGTCACACCGCTCGTCCTCGGGTCCTTGAGAAGCTCCTCGAGAGACTTGATTTCGCGCAGCCGCTCCTCAGCCTTGGTCACGCCCATGAGGTTGCCACCGGCAATGCAGGCCGAGCACGAGCAGTTCGTGCCTCGCACCCGGTGAGACAGCTCCTGCCTGACGGCGCGCGGGAGCATCGAGTCAAAGACCGAGACCGTGACCGTCTCGCCCGGCTCGAGCTTGCGAGCGACCGTGAACTGGGCGGCCAGCTCCGGGCCGATAAAGTAGGCCGTGTTGGGGCGGCAGTCGTGCGTGAGGATCGAGGCCTCTGGGTACGTGGCGAAGTGCTTCTCGGACTGCTCCTTGTCGAAGGGCGAGCTGAGGTTGATTTCAAAGGGATGCGAGCGGACGAACTCCCTCAGGCTCTGCATGCCACCGCCCGGCCGCTGGCGGTAACTATTGACCTTTTGGCGCGTCTCGTCGGGCAGCAGCTGGAGAGCCGCCTCGAGCAGCCGGTCTTGCTCGGCCTCTGGCTCGTCATCAAAGAAGTCCTTGTGAATGAGGAACACAGGCGTCCAGTTCATCAAAGGCGTGCCGCGGCGGACTTTCTTGGCGGCCAAGAGAGTCAGTCCGTTGTCAGCGTCCTCGATTGTGTCGAACGGGAATGGACTCGCGTCTTGATTGTTACTCGGCTTGTCCAGCAGTGCCTTCATGGAGTCAATCTTTTCGCGCACTTTCGACATGGAGATCACCACAATGCCTCGACGGCTGGCAACTTGGCGGTTCGAGTGGACGCAGTAGTGCCCGGAGCAGAGCCCTTTGGGCGAATACCACCCTATAGGGTGTGTACCTGCTAGGACACTCTGGTTCACTGCATACTGGACCTTGTCGAGGCCTATTCCGTCATTTCGGATGGCAGGTTCGATTTTGGCGGTTACGGACGCGGTCAAAGCGATGACAAGAGAAACGCAGACGAGAACCATTGAGCAAAGCGACGCCATCGCGCGGTGTGGGCAATTATATAGCAACGGCAATGACGCATCAGTACGTAAACAGAAAAGAAAACCCAGTATAGACACAGACGAAGTGGTGCGGAGGCAGGGTTTTATCCAATTCGGACACCAGCTCCCCGTGCGAGTCGGGCGACGTGTCCACAGCAAAAGGAAAACTGAATGGCGATGGCACGCATTACATTCATATACTCGAGAAACATATTGGGGAGGTGGGGAGCGGTCCCGAAGCCATACTCCAGTGCCGACTAAGGGGAAAATTACAAGGCTAAATGAAGAACTGCTGATGATGTAACAGTCTCGATGGTTTGACGAGAACCATGCGTCTTCATGATTTAGCCGGCAGTGTCACATGTGAACCCCTGTATGCTTTTGTTACCATCAACTACTCTTTGATTTGTGCCGTTCAAATCCCTTGCCTGATGCATAGTAATCGTTCAATCAAGATCTGAGCTCTATTTCTTCCTGCTCGATACCATAATTCCCATTTGTGCTGGAGTGACTGCTTTTATGCATTCCATAGAGAACAGCAAGATCGAATTTCAGTCATAAGTATGGCACTTGTTTCTTCTTAGGAGAACAAGAAAGTACGACTATGGCTGGTCTGGGTTGAGGAGTTGTAGGTTTTCGCTGTCGTACAGGCATTCGGTGGCTGTTGTCAAAACTCACACCAGATATCGTGGATGGAAAAGATCTTGACCTATCTTGAGCCCGTTTCTGGTTCTGGCCAGGGTACATTGGAACATGTTTACCTTCGTAATCATATTCACGTAGAGGAAGCAATCTGATTATTCTAGGCAGTCATATGGAGCTGTTTGGCAGTTACAATGATCACTTTTTTGCTACTAGGACTGGTGGTCAAGCTGCAGGAATTTCAGTAGTGAACACTGCATAAACTAGGAATTTTCGAGCAATGAAAAACTTTGAACGCAGTTGAATATCACAGAATCCATCAGGGTAGGAATACTCAAGTTGTTTTCAACGATTATTGGACTTACTTGGGGCTCTTCATTTATGAAGACAACAGTCACTCGGTGAATTCTTTGTCTTCTACAGCCCCCGAGCGCTCATTCATTCCACGCCTGCCCAGCCATCAGTCACCAAGTCTAAAGTCTTCAACAATGCAGGTGAAAGGCGGGTTTGCCTCTCTTCTCCTGTCCTTGATCAATCAACCATTCACCATTGCCTCCCTGCCCAGTCATTCGACATTAACATCTTGAGCAAACACCGGCCAAGGACTGACGTTTTCGTCGCCTACCAGAAGATGGATATAAAGGGTGGCCAGTTCCCATTGATGGAAATCTCTCTCTCTGTTGGCACCAAATCTCATCATCCCCAGAGCACCCTGCTTCGTTGCTTCTTCAGTTGGGATAAAATGATAGGGATCCTCGAGAAGGCCCGCGAGGTCTCCAGAGAGTACTCAAAGGCCCAGCCCTTCACAAACCTTGATATGTTCGAGGCTCTTCTACATCGACGAGGTTCGCTAGCTGCTTTTGTACAAGACCCAGCCTCGCTCAAGAAGTTGTGCCCAGTCCTCCGAACCGACGCCGATGCAACCTCGTTCTTAGAACGCACACCAGCCGGCACTTGTACCGTCAACATCATTCACTGGGCAGATCGCCTACAAGAGAAATACCCGGACGAGTTCGAGTTTCTTTTCTTCAACACGGGCAATCATTGGGTTGCCCTATGCCCAAAGAGCATGGTTCTTTTGGACTCGATCTCGAAATTCGGAGCTGTCAGGTTGGAGAAGGATGCCCCGTGCCACTGGATTGCATCTGAGGAGGCCCAGAATCCTGGGTCACAGAGATTGGAATGGGGGTGGGACGGTAAAGAGCTTACCGTAACAAATCGGAGAGGAAAGGAAAGTAGATCAGAAGTTGTGTTTTTTCTTAGGGAACGCTAGGTGCTAACCTCTCTATAGGAGCGAACGATCAAGCAGATTATATCACGAGCGCAAGCATTGACGGAATCTCTGTGGCATTTTGTGGCCAATAAAGAGGCACAGGTAGAGATAGTGCTTCTCTTCAGGTAAGCTCTATTACATCTTGGTCCATTTTCCAAGTCCGAGTACTGACACGCTATTGCACAAAGATCTACCTCACCGGCCGGAAAGAGACATCATAGTGCGCTAAAGTGGAACTTTTCCAAAAAGGAGGCGACCTTGGAGCTTGATATTAAATATCCAGAATGGAAACATGAGCACACAATCTCTTGGAGCAAGAGCAATCCGAAAGAAACCTCGGCAGTCAGAGAAGTTGAATGCTGGACAAAGTTGCAGGACTTTGTCCAACAGCATGGTGGCGAGCATGTGGATGTCCAATGGACAAATGCTCGGCGAAGCTTCGTTCGAGCTCTTTGGGATGCTACTACCAAGGCCCATGGTTCTCCTCGATTGACCAAACCGCAACGTACAGGAAGAAGATTAGAATAGGCTTAGGTGCTAGTACACGGTGCGGCCGAGGTGTGAGGACGAAGTCACCATCACAATGGCATCGGAATATGCAATTGATCTGATATTTGAAGAAGAGACAGACGAAATGGTTGAGCGCACACTTCAAGTGATATTACTAAGTCCATGGCCTTGGAGTCGACTTGTATTCCATCCTTTATCATAGTAAGATATGTTACGCCTTTAGTCCGGTCTGAGATCTTTAGGAATATAGAGATGGAATTATTGATCTGTTTGGCATTGTCGCTTCAGTTGTAAGCTTTTTGGACTTCTAAATACAAGTTCCAACGAGCAACATAAAAGCATGGACTGTATGTTTAGTCGTAACCTTGGCTGGTACGGATAATTCATTGCATGTATCGCATATGGGTATCGGAATATACTTTTACTATCGTCTTCCGGGGATATTACCTAGGAGGCGGAGAATTGATTTATTCACACGGTTTATATTCTGCCATTCCTACTTTATCGTACGCTAACACCAGACCGACGCCATCTACCACGTCCTAACCGCACTGGTAGACCGGCGTCTCGGTGTTCCAATACGCGTACAGGTTCTTATTGCCCTTGCGGTCGATCTTGGCCTGCCGCCTCCTCTCCTCCTTCTGCACCTTGATCATGTGCCTGTGCTGCGTGGCTAGGATGGACAGCTGCTGCGACGTGGGCAGGTGCATGAGGCTGCTCCGGTCGTGGGCGCGCATGTTGGCCAGCTGGCGCGAGACGACGGCCCTCTCACGCTTCTCCTTCCGGGACAGGACCTGTGTCTGGGGGAGCACGTCCGAGTCGGAGCCTTCCTTGTCCGAAGCGTCCTTGGCGGCGTCAGGCTCTCCCTGGTACTCTATTTGCGCCGCGGCGGCGGCGTTGCGCGCTGCACGCCTGCGCTCCCTCGTTTGCGAGGGCGCCGCTTGTGCTGACGGCTGCCGCGAGATGATCTTGCCCGAGGGTAACCTGATCGAGTCCTGGTCGACCTGCTGCGGTTTCCTCCTCTTCTCCTCGCCGTCCTCCGCATCGCTCCCTTTCTCGTCCTCGTCCTCGTCCTCCTCGTCGCCCTCGGGCTCGGAAAAGTCGTAAAACTCGGCATACTCCGAGTCCTCCGCGGCGATGTCGAACCGGCAGTGGCCCTTGCCCGTCATGTGCTGCTGCACGGCCTGGACGGTGGCGCGCTGCGTGCCGCAGCAGATGCACTCGCGGTACCCGAAGATGACTAGGTGCAGGTACTTGAAGAGGGTCTCGGGCTCGACGGCGAGGCGCTCCTGGCTCGGGACGAAGAGGCCGTGGGATTTCTGCATGTGCGTTGCGCTCTCGGCGAAGCTGGGCGAGGTGGCGGGGCAGAAGAGGCACTGGCCCGGGACGAAGGGCGGCATGGCTGTGTCGGGCGACTCGAAGGAGTCAAAGTCGGAGTTGGAGTCGTGGCTCCTTGAGGATGTGGGTGTCGAGCTTCGCTCGATGTTTGAAGGGAGGCTCATGTTGGTTATGATGGTTGTTGTTGGGGCTGTTGTTGCCAGCATTGATGAGGAGTGTAATTCAGGTGTTGGTGAGATAAGGGTGCTTCTAGTGTTGTGTGTGCTGCGCCGGTGCTTCTAGGTGGTGGTTCTATTTGATCGCCGACTTGTGCGGTTACTTTCCTTGATGGATATTACAGAGTTTGAACAAAACAGGCCGAGTGCAGGGTGGCAACTGTGTTATATAGTCAGCGAAGCAATCGTGAAATAGTCAATTGGCAGCTGCGATTGGGCACTTGTCTGTCTCGGCGCCGCATGACCTTGCCTTGAGTCAAAAGCGCACCATGCGAGCCTTGGACCTGATCCACTCCCGGATTGGCATTACTGGAGATGCAGGTTTCCACCCAATAGCAGGAGGGCGGGCGAGACCGCCGTGATCAACTATGAATCATAGTGACCAAGAACTTCTAGGCTGGGGGCGACGCAGCCAATCCGGCCAATCGGGCACTTCCAGATTCCACCCATCCCGCGCCCCGTCAGATCTTACGATCGGTCCTGCACGCGATTCTTCTTGGCCCGGGCCATTGGATCCACGACAAGATCGACGACAAGACCAAGAGTGGCGACTTGTCGGCCGAAACTAACCAGCCCTGCGCGGGCCGCATGCTTCTTTCAAGGTTGGCAAGCTGGCAATCTGGCAATCTGGGCACTTTGCCTTCACCCGAGAGCTTACAGCTCATGTTGTCAGTGCGGCCTCAGACTGGCAACTAGGCAGAAACGGGGAGCACCAAGATACATGCTTCTGAAAATGAACTATACAGTCGTTGTTGTCTCTAAATGTTGAAATAGACTGGAATAGTGCTTGATTGACTTGCTTAGAGTGCCTAGAAGAGTGGGAAGGTGCTACATCTAAATACACACAGCGCCTGATAGTGGGAATAGCCTTATGTATAGGTACTTATAGTATACATACTGATCCTAGCTTTTAGTACTCCTATTTACTGTAAGGATAGATATTTCTACTTCTACTAATTCTAGGCTATTAATCTTTATTCTTATTATTATTATTAATAGTTATTTATATATACATATATATCTATTTATTTTATTTATTTTTAATATACCTATTAGATATAAGCTAAGTTATACTGTTGATATAATATAGTTAAAAGAGATATAATAAATATAATATCTATATTCTAGAGACACTATAATAGTACCTAATAATAAGGATATAATTATTATTATCTATAGGATTAATTAAGTATGGTCCTTTAATTATAAAGGCTCTTAAGTCTAATAGCTACTAACTGTCTATAATATAGGTCTAAGATCTAGAATTAGTTCTAGACTTTTAAACCTCTTAACTATAATTAAGATCTAGAATTAGTCCTAGACTTTTTGACCTCTTAACTATAGTTTAGCTAGACTTCTATAGCTAGCTAATAAGTTAACTTATTTAGATATCTATATATATAAGTTTATAAGTCTAGATATATAAGCTATTTAATAATAGATATAACTAAATTATTATAATAAATAGTCTCTTAGTAATAAGTAATCTACTTTATAAACTATAATAATATACTTTAAGATTATTATTAAGAGGTTATCTTAAATATATATAAAATAATCTATTCTTCTATTACTCTTTTAAGTCTATCTCTTATACTTATTTATATTAAGACTTTTAATTATATTCTTTATTAAATAATCTAATATAATATTAATATATATATCTAAGACTACTAAAGAGATATTATTCTTTCTTATTTCTATAATATCTAATAAGAAGAATAAATAACTTTTTAGTAAAGTTAAGAAGTTTATCTTCTTTAAGCTTAATTTAAATAAACTATATAAGATTATTAAGATAATTAATTCTATTAATAACTATAATCTTTTAAGATTTAAATATAGCTTATTAAAGACTATTAATATTATAAAGCTACTTAAAAATATAATTATTCTTATAGATATAGAATTTAATAATTTAAATCTTAATTAACTCTTTAATATTAAGAAATATTAGTTATAATTAAAATATCTAAGAAAGATAGTTAAGTATCTTTAAAAAAGAAAGAAGAAATAGAATTAATATTATATTATATCTATCTATTTTATTTATTTTTAATATACCTATTAGATATAAGTTAAATTATATTATTAATATAATATAGTTAAAAGAGATATAATAAATATAATATCTATATTCTAAAGATATTATAATAATATCTAATAATAAGAATATAATTATTATTATAGATTAATTAAGTATAGTTCTCTAACTATAAAGACTCTTAAGTCTAATAACTATTAATTATCTTTAATATAGATCTAAGATCTAGAATTAGTCCTAGACTTTTAAATCTCTTAATTATAATTAAGACTTAGAATTAGTTCTAGACTTTTTAATCTCTTAATTATAATTTAGCCTATAGCTAACTAATAAGTTAACTTATCTAGATATCTATATATATAAGTTTATAAGTCTAGATATATAAACTATCTACTTAATAATAATAGATATAATTAAATTATTATAATAAATAGTCTCTTAGTAATAAGTAATTTATTCTATAAGCTTTAATATAATAATATACTTTAAGACTATTATTAAGAGATTATCTTAAATATATATAAAATAGTCTATCCTTCTATTACTCTTTTAAATCTATCTCTTATACTTATCTATATTAAGACTCTTAAGTATATTCTCTATTAAATAATCTTATATAATATTAATATATATATTTAAGACTACTAAAGAGATACTATTCTTTCTTATTTCTATAATATTTAATAAGAAGAATAGATAACTCTTTAATAAAGTTAAGAAGTTTATCTTTTCTAAGTCTAATCTAAATAAACTATATAGAGTTATTAAAAGAATTAATAATATTAATAACTATAGCCTTCTAGGCTTTAGATATAACTTATTAGAGACTATTAATATTATAGAGCTACTTAAGAGTCTAATTATTCTTAAAGAGATATAATTTAATAATCTAAATCTTAACTATCTTTTTAGTATTAAGAAATACTAACTATAGCTAGAATATCTAAGAAAGATAGTTAAGTATCTTTAAAGAAGAAAGAAGGAATAGAATTAATATTATATTATATAGTAGTTTTATTATATTAATAATTATTTTAATAAGATTATAAATTAAATAGAGTTAATAGAAGCTACTTAAATAACTTATATATAAGATTCTAATTAATTAATTAATTTAATACTATAGAATTATACTATAGTTATAAACTCTTTAAAAGAGATATTATATTATATATATATATAATTTTACTATATTAATAGTTATTTTAATAGGATTATAAATTAAATAGAGTTAATAGAAGCTACTTAAATAACTTATATATAAGATTTTAATCAATTAATTAATTTAATACTATAAATTTATATTATAGTTATAAATCTTCTAAGAGAGGTTATATATATATATATATATATATAATTAAGACTTTATATTATTTAATAGGCTTAAAGTTATATATTAATTATATTTAATTAAGATTAAGGCTCTATATATACTTTAGTTAATTAAGACTTTATATAATCTATTTAATTAAGACTTTACTCTATTTAGTCTTTTTTAATATCTAACTTCTTTATATATAATAGAGTCTAGATCTTTAAATTAAGTAATATTAATTATTAACTTCTATTATCTTTAAAGCTATCTATCTTCTATTATTATTATTAAATATATTCTCTTATTATTAAATTAATATAAATTATATTATATAGACTATCTTATATTATATTTTACTTATATAGAATTAAGTCTTTATCTTAATTAGATTTAGTATCTTTTAGAACTTAAGAAATTTATCTCTTATTAATAGCTTTATTAAGTTATTAGCTATTATATTATATATTAAGATAAATACTAACTCTATTACTTCTTCTATAATCTTTTCTTTTATAAAGTATTATTATATATTAATATACTTTATATTTTAATAATTTAATAGATTCTTTATTAATATAATAGTATTTTAATTATTTAAATAAATAATAATAATATTTAGTATATTAATAATATTATAACAATCCTTAGTCCTAAAAGGTAAGACTACTTTATAGGACTAAAGGTATGTAGGTTTATATAAGCAGTAAGTAATAGATACTGCTAAGTAATAGTAGTTGACTTAATCATAGCTAAGATAGCTTTACTTAAGGGTGCTTTATTAAATAAGATACTTTAAATACTAGAGAGCTATCTAGAGTAGGTATCTAAGAGTAGATATATATCTATATATATAGATAATAGATTACTTTAGATTATGATGATTCTTTATAAGTTCTTATTATAGAGTGTAATAATCTATAGTAAGGGATCACTAGCTTAAATAACAATCTTAGGGTCTATATATTTTCTATCTATATTATCTTTCTGACTGCCTAGAGTGGTGTACTATAGTAAAGGTGGTTGGTTTTATAATATGATATCCTCCTCTTAGGTTGATGTCCTAATGATCTAAGGCTATTCTTAAGACCTATCTGCCTGGAATTAAAACTTCTACTGTAGGTGTTAAACTCTCCTCTTAATTCTTCTAATATCCCTCTAATAATATATTCTTAGATTGTGTAGAGAAATAGAAATCTTTAAAAACTTCTGAATGAGTTGTACTTAGTATGTATATAGATGCCTATAGGGTTAAAGTGATACTATATTCTTATTACTTTAAGAATAATCTAATATATTATATAGTAGAGGGTAAGTCTTAATATAATAACTATATTTATTATAGTTAGTCTTATAATAGTACTAATATAGCTTTCTCTTATAAATACTTCTATATTTCTTAAGTTTTTTTTCCTTTATAGCTAATCTTTCTTTAGTATTCTATATACTAGCTAAGTAGTAAAAGGTTTTAAAAGAGAAATTAGATACTAAAAAGAAAATATTTATACTATAGACCTAACTATAGATAATACTAAACTACTTATCTTATCTATATAGATAGAAGTAGTTTTTAAAGAATTATAGAACAGACTT